CCTGCTGCGGCCCCATGCTATTATTATTATTATTATTATTATGACTGCATGCCTGGCCCAACGCACACAATGTTGCCCCCGATTTCCAAAGGGGGAGGCGTTAAAAAGAACAACATCGAATTTACGAGCCATGTTGCACAGAAGGACATGGCCTGCAGGAGGCTTTGTCAGCGCCTACAACCTGCACCCACTGCCACCTCTGGCCCCTTCTACCTAGTAGGGAGCCTTTTGTTGGGCATCTAGATTCAACTGTTTCCGCGGACTCGCTAACACTTGCACAACACACGCAATCATCATTACTGTGGTTCTGATGTAAAGAACAAAGGCAACAGCTACTGTGTTGGCATTCACTAGTCTCCTTCACCGTGGTGCAATAACACTTTAAGGTAGACGAAAAGTACGGTGAAGACGGGGAACAAGAGGTCAAACTCTCAACAAACCCCCTTGGGCAAATAGTACGGACATAGGCTGGGTAGGTGGGTTTGTCGGCCCTCTTGGACCTTTCTTTCTTTTTCCCCCCTTCAATTCTTACGAGGACCACGTGGCAACTAAGTCTCGTGTAACATGGTTGTCTTGTACTCGCACGTCTCTTCTGCTTCAGGCTTTCCCCAAAACAAATTTGATACAAGCTAACAGGCGCTATGCGGACGATCTGGTTTCTACCTAGAAACCCTTTGCCCGGGAGACCGCGAACCCTGAAATCCTTCGCGCCCTCGTGCACTGTCTTGAACAATTTGCCTATCCAGACACAAAAATGGTTATCTGGCTTCTGGATTCCAAGACGAACGGATACAATTCCCACTAACCTCAAGATTGACTCCAGACAAAGAAAGATACCGTCCCGAAAGATATCTTCTGGTGCAGGCCAAAAGATGTGATTGCATCCGAAGATCATCCATCCAGTCCCCGCTTCCGGCAAGAACGGATCTGAGATCAGGCCATGTGGATTGTTATTGTTGTATTCCGTGCCTCCTTCTGTTCAAAAATCCACACCGGCCACTAGAAGCTGGTCTGGCAGTCCAGCCTAATCTGAATGCGGTCTTTTTCATCTCTGCGATCGACAGTCAGGGTCGCTGACTCGACGAGAATCCAAGTAGGCGTCAGACGGTTTAAGGAGGAATAGGTAAGGACAGCAAAATCCCCAGAAACGGTTGCCCAGAAACCCCATTAAGAAGCACTCAATACGAGGTCACACCCACTCCCCTCCTGGGAGGCGCAAGCTATGGCTCCAGCCACGGCACCCTAAACTGTCCTTGAAAATGATGTGCAAGGATCGCCAGGTACTGAGTTCCTTCATTATACATGCTCAATTGCACACCCTACAACCCATGAACATCGATGATTCCTGTGTGGTTGCTTTGCGCTCCCTTGAGCTACCGGGACGTGGACTCGTATCCACCCCGTAATTAGCGCCAGCCGCCTCCAGCTCGTGCTGGAGGACAGCTTGCCTCGGCAGCCGGATTGGGGGCCAGACTCAGCGACAGGTTCTGTTACGGATCAACAAGACCCGACAAAGGAATCCACACTGGAACTGGGACCTTCTCGACTGTTATCTAACAAAGTCGGCTACCGAACTAGGAATGGACAGTCGTCTTGACAGCCTGAAACCAACCTTCTAGAAACGAGAATGTTCCGAGCTTCCTGGAGGTCCGACAAGCGCTGGCGTCAGGAGGAGCTGAAGATTTGTGGGCTAATCATTTAGCAGTGCTTTCCAATTGACAGAAGACTACCTCGTCCTGCTTGGGTAGGTCGAGCGCGAGTTTGAGTGTCCAGCAAGAACTACCCATACCCTTCAGAAGAGCTTTTGTCCAAGCCCATACTGCCTCCTGGGTTACCGCACAAACTACCTGAAGATCCTTCGGGGAGCAAGCGCTGAGAGCAAACCTGTGCAGGTTGGTCTCGGATCATCATGGTCATCACTACTGCAGCCTTTCTGTGTCGTGGGTCCTTCTCATTTTCCAACCCCGGGCGCCGCTCGTTTGCTCCATGGCTTAGCCTTCCCCAGCAGGGAGCCTAAATCCTCTCGACCTCACAGGTATGCTGGGAGTGCCCGGGTCCGGGTTGCATGCTTTTACCACCAATCCTCGTATTCGGCTACTCATCACGCTTTCCCTTGTCCGTGTCTCTCCTTTACCTGGCTCGGGTGACAGGTCACAAATCCCGGCAAATTCCTGTGATCGAGCGCTTCGAGCAGCTAGCCTCTTAGGCTATCCTACTGGACGCGCCGTCCCCAAGCTAAGACGTGATGGACAAGGCCGTTCAAGCCAGCCGGATTAATTCCCCGCTAACAATTCCACGTGGCAGCCATCCCTGGAACGGCTGCTTTTCTGGTCCCACTTGCTGCGAGAAGAAGCTCCCCTGATCATCCTCGAAGTCAGCCTCTCAGCCTAGAAATCTGAGCACGCCATCCATCACCCCAAGAGAGGAGACTACTCTGTGATATCCACCTCTTAACCCGGTTCGAGGCCTTTCTGCATCCCCTTGGCTTGCTCTGACCCATTTTCTGCTAGGCTCACCAAGGTTAACACCCAGGAGTTCCAGTGCTGGCCATGTCCTCACAGAGCCGCTTGTGTGCCCTCACAATTACGTTCTGATCTGCGGCAACGCCGCACCGTTGGAGGTTAGTTATTGTCAACAACCAGGCCACCCTTGTATTTGCAACATGGTTCTTTTATGTCAAACTTCTCGATCCCTCTGCACAGACCAAACGGAGGATACGAGCACTTCGAGGCACTGAAACAAGGCGTTTCCGAGCAAGCGTAGGCCTGTCACCCCAAATGCTCATTTCGATCACCTGCAGGTCCATTCCAGGCTCACCTGGTCCGATTCCTTCCAGGCTGACATGGCTAAAAACGGTGTCCACTCCCATCGGCTGGCGATTAGCAAGCGTGCCCAGGCCTCAGAATCGCACCCTTGTGGTCTCACGAAATCCACCCCAACCAATTCGGTTAGTGCAGTCATTGTGGCTCTCGAGGTCATGTTAGAACCCCGAAATCCCCGGGTCCCCGAAAAGTACAGAGCAAGCTGTTGGGCAAGAATAACCGTGAGACGGGAGGAGTGACAATTGCAATTGTGGACCTGTTCGCTGGACTGATCCAGGACTTTCCCCTCCACCCTGACCGTCTCTGGTCCGTTTGACGTACAGAGCATCCCCAGAAGCATGCATCTAAAGCCGAGATGAAATTTCAACATCCTTTTCTAGACTCCCAGGCATTGTCCGTGGCTGGCTGACCAACCCGACCGACGGCGTTGGCAGCCGCGCGAGAGATCATCCTCGTCCACGGGAGGCTGGTTCGTTGTCTTGGGTGATTGTGGGAGGCGTGATGCCTACCAGGAAACTGTCCAATGAGGGGTGGGCTCCTTCATTCCCAGAGTTTGAAGCGCCGCAGAGTTCGCTCCATTGCCTGCCCGGTGCAAGTCGCATCCCAGGTAACTTTAGGACGATCAGGATGCGTTCTCCCTGTGAGTGGTAAGGGGAAATACGAGTCATCATGCACTGTCACCGACGATCAACGGTAACGATCTGCACCCAAGCCAGTGCCGTCTAACAGGAGTATAACCCAGAACAATAGCGTATCGCCGTTCAAGTCAGCCGCAGCTTCAAACAGTCTGGGGGTGGCCTCAGTGATGATCATATTGGTGATTCCATCATGAAAGCCGCTGTCGCAATAACCTGCGATGTGGAGGATGGATGGGGTGTCTTGACATCAAGCTCACAAAAGAGTTGAGCAGGCCGGGCCCTCCCTCACACCAACCAAACCCGTAATGACGATTCCGCCTTCCTGATCGACTCTCTTGCGACGGGATCTTCATACGCCATAACCAGAGAGCCCAATGACTTGACGTCTTGCCTCAATCCAATATGGACTCACCTTCCTGAGTCCAGCCATTGGTTTTGATTGATATTTGGCCTAAATCCTCACGTGGTGAGCGATGTTTGGTTGGCGTGATGAGAACCCCCGTCGGATCGTCGCTGATCTGCTTGGGGTTCTTTGCATCTTAGTAAGGCAGCTCAAGGAAGTCCCAATACCTGAGTTCCAACCAGAAATACGAAAGTGTCAAAGCACTGCTTTCTCACAAACGTTCAAAGCAATACCGTATCAATCCTGTCCCTTGTTGCTGTGACCAGTTGGCAAATGCATGCGAGGCGCGTTGCAGCATTGGTCTCCAGTTAGTTTGCCTGCTCCACAAAGGGGCAAGCTGGTGAGAAGATCCAAAGATATTCTCGCTCTGACCCAACTTCCTCGACTCCATCCCCATTCCTACCTTCCCATGCTGGGCAACCACGTTTCCTCTCGAGTCGGAGGTACCATTGCGTCAACCTGGTCCTCACTCGTTGAGCTTGAGCGACATGGCCGGTCTTGTCGCTGCCTTCACGTTTCGCCCGCCCAAGGAAGGCTCAGAATTCTTGCCGTTCGCTTCACAACCGCTGAACTGGGTGACTTGAAGGGTGAGTTTGTTGCATCGCTTTCGCAGGATCATCTTGAGCCACAGTCAACAAACTGGCTGCCTGGACGACGATAGCATGTGGGGTGCAAATGCGAGCTGCTATCTTACAATCGGTCCGTGAGTGGTGCTAACCATATTTTGAACGAAGGAGATGCACGTTAGCAATTTACAACCCAATTCACAAGTACATGAGCATTCTGGGACCTCCCTTTCGCATCAGTGCTATACAATATGCACAACATTGGAGACAGACTTTGCTGGAGGGAAGCAGGCTTGACACGTGACCTGGAGCTCTCTGTTGCATTGTGGCGTAAGTGCAGGCCTTTCACGTTTGCAGGTCCATTAAGGCGCCAACTTGTATTCTGTATTGTTTGTCCTTGTCCCCCTGCAGGTTATTGGGGGGAGAATACAGTGCGTAGAGGGCTGCGAGTAAGTTGTGGATGTTGTGATGGTGAAAGTGGTTAATGACATCGTCGCTCGTTGCCCCGCAACGCGCGGGTAAATATCGAGCATTGGATTTCTCTCTCCCACACACAGTGAGACACTCACCGGCAGACACACGCTTCCACTTGTTCGTCCAGACGGTCCATCTCTAATATTTATCGCACAATTCGCAGACAAAGCACTGTTGCTCTGTGACCGGGCACTGTTTCATGCATGGGCAATGCTCCTTCTGTCATAACCGGACAAGTCGTCGTTAATTGCGCCTGCCTGTCGAATCTGTTCCGTGGGTAGTCGCCATGGCCCTCGAGCTTGCCGATAACGACAAGTACGAGGTCAAAGAGATTATTGGTATATTCCACCTGCGCTCTAGTGTTTGCTTCTTCTTGCTGACAGTCTAGGTCGTGGTGCATTCGGGATCATTCGCAAAGTTCGTCGGAAGCAAGATGGCCATGTACGCCTCCTCCCCTCATATGACCCATTGTCCACGGTCTAACAACCCACAGATTTTGTGCCGCAAAGAGATCAACTATCTCAAGATGTCTCAAAAGGAACGCGATCAACTACATGCGGAATTTTCCATCCTGGCCTCCCTCAGTCACCCCAACATTGTCGGATACTTCCACCGCGAGCATCTCAGACAGACCCAAGAGCTATACCTGTATATGGAATATTGTGGTGGTGGTGATCTGGGCTGTGTCATCAAAGAACTCAGACGTAAGAACGAGTACGCCAAGGAAGAGTTTGTCTGGAGGATTTTCAGCCAACTGGTCACGGCTCTGTACCGTTGCCATTATGGAATCGACCCGCCCGAGCCTGGAAGTGATTTCTCTCGACAGAACGACACCCGACCTCTCAACAAAGGCAAAATGATTCTGCACCGAGATCTCAAGCCAGAGAACATATTCCTGGGAGACGACCAGTCAGTCAAGCTCGGCGACTTTGGACTGTCGAAGATCATGCAGTCGCATGATTTTGCCTCGACTTATGTTGGAACACCCTTTTACATGTCACCAGAGATCTGTGCGGCCGAGAAATACACTCTGTATTCAGATATATGGTCTCTAGGATGCATCATGTACGAACTCTGCACCAAGGAGCCCCCATTCAACGCGAACTCCCACCTGCAACTCGTTCAGCGGATCCGAAAGGGAGACTTCAAACCTATTCCATCCGTCTACTCGAAGGACCTCGCAAATGTCATCGCGAACTGTCTCAAGACAAATCCAATGCACCGGCCGGACACGAGCTCACTGTTGACTGTACCTTACGTGTGGCTCTCGCGGAGACAGCAAGAGATGGTCACCATAGGAAAGACATTGAAGACCAGGGAGGAGATTGCAGACTACAAGGTCAGACAAGCTGAAGAAAGACTCTCTGCACTCGAAGCAGATAGAGCTGCGTTGAAGGTAGAGATTGATGCCCAGCTCCGTCGCGAGTGGGAGGTCAAGGCTCGACTTGAAATTGACCGACAAGTTCAATTAGAGCTAGAGAGACTCCGAAAGAAGTTCGACAGGGAGGTCGACGAGCGTGTGGCACATGTCTTGGTTAAGCAGAAATACTCAACAGAAGCTCGAGCACTGAGGGAAATCCAAAACCCCCCCGGGAGAGCCTTCGACAAAGAGAACCTGAATCCTTCCTCGTCAGTCAACACTGCGGGGGAGGAAGATTTCCCGTCAACCACAGATATAACCGACCTGTCGGATCTTTCAATCAACTCACCAACTACGTCGAATACTAAACCAATGCCAAAGAAGGCGAAAACACCTTTTGCTCGGTCCAAGACCACGTTCGACTCTCCTGTCGACATTCAGATGTCAGAACCATCACCGATGTCCATCTCTTCTTTGGCACTCTCTCCGCGTCGAAATGCTGCAGCGCAGGCAACCGCTAACCCGACGGTCACTGCCGTAGGTGCGAAAAACCTCTTTGCCGAAGCGGCACGCCAAAAGGCTCGTTGGGAGCCACAACTAGCTTATTCGTCCGACGAAGAGAACATTGAACCCCCAGAAGACTCGGACGATGATGGGTTCCCCGAATTGGCGAGTCCCACGAGACTGAAAGGAAACATTGCCAACACTGACCCGTTCAAGAACCCTGCACCACTGCCACTGAAGAACAGACCGGCGATGTTGAGACAGAACACGACAGCCACTATGCAGAAATTGATCGCGAAGCCGACTTTGTTCCCGTCCAGCAACACAGGAGCACAAGTCAGAGCTGGGATCGCTTCGGCAAACATCGCCAATGCCATTAAAGGTATCCCACGGAATACCACAGACGGCGATTTGAGATCCGCGGCAGTGAAGGCCACGAGCCCTAATCGCCGTCTCAGCAAGATCCCAAGCCGAAACGACCTCAGGGAGCATGCCATCGCTGAGGAAGGAAGCACTAGTCCACTCAGACGAGCAGCAACTACCGCTGGTCGGCTCCCTAGTAAGCTCGGAGGCGGCCGAGACGCTGTCACTGGCACTGGTATTGGAGGCCGGACGCTCGTGGAGCTTGCTCAGGCTCGGGCTGGAGGCCACCTGAATACAAAAGCGAAGACTATGCCGGAACAGAGAAGTGAAAAAGAGCTACCTCCTGTTCCAGTTTGGGACCCAGAAATCTTTGGGGATGAGATGCCGAGTCCTTTCCTGAAGAAAGATGTCAAATCCGTGCGGGTTATGCGGTGATTCTCCAAACCCTTGTGTCGATTTTATGCGCGGAGGATGGAATAACGACGATCATGCGACAACGTAAAGAGTCGATCTGACAGGATATGATCGGCCATGGATGCCATTTGGAAAATCATTGTCTGGGGGTTTAGCTCTTCCGGTGTCTCCAGAGTCTCTGACCCGAAGACAAAAGGACAGCCCTACCCCCAATTGTTGCTTCGAGGCGATCGTTAGCAGGCCGTTGCTACTCGAGATGGAGTGACGGGCACTATGTACAGATTTTGAGCTCTGTTTCTTTTGTTTACAACCGTTGATGAGGATCCAATGATGGTGTTGGAAAAGCGTGCGCATGACTATCACTCTGGAGACCACGATGGCGCTTTGGCGTTTGAGGGATCCTTAAACGGACGCCGCCAAGGGATTGATTTTTTGTGATTGACGGGGGAGTTGGATTGATCAGATGAAAGAAGCACGCTCTAGTTGTTCGTCTGCTTTGCACGACACTCGGAGTCTTGATGATTCATCAGGGCATTACTTGGACTAGAACATGGCCTTGTATGTATGTATGCGACCTTTCTAGAGTCCAAAGCAATCTCTCTACAGTTGGACGCCCGTATGAGAATTAGAACCAGGCTCGTTTTGTATACAGCTTCGATGGCGTCAGGAGCCTTCCTAGAAGGAGATGAGAGCGGACGAACGAGCCTGGCTCCCAGGCCCGAGTTCCCCTCATTTCCTTCTTCTCTCCTCTAGCTTGGTCTGGCTGGGTCGGTCGGTCACTCACCCGTCCTCATCCTCGACCTCTTCAAGTTCCACGTTTCGACGGGGGTTGCGTTGTGACTCCAGGGTCTCTCTGGGACGCCTCGCTTCATCTGCGTCCTCGCGCGGGCCGACGTCTTCAGTTCCGTCGTCTGCTTGATCCTGCATCTGTACTTCATGAAGAAAGCGCTCTTCCTCCTCCGCAAGCCTCCTCGCATCCTCGTCCACATCTCCGTCGCCCGTGGTTGTCGCGGTCTGTGTCCTGCAGTCATCCGTCTTGCCCAGATAGCCCTCCGCCTCGAGTCGATCCATCTCTTCTGGCTCGATCAAGCGACCGGTGGGCCCACCTTTTGCAGCCTCCTGTTTCTTGCGTACGACATTGGGGACGAATCTATTGACGGCTTCTTTGCGGAGATCGCGGATCTGCGGGGCACTTTCGTATTTGGTCTTGACTTCCACGGGCTTCGTTCCAGGTTTGATGGGCAGTTGTCTGCTCGGTGCGGTCGGTTGTTGAGGGTTGTTGTCACCACCGTCTTCGTTGCGCGGGAAGTAGCGCCTCAACTCCCGCGGGATAGGTGGCGGTGTATCTTCTGGCATGGGAATGCGGCGGACGGATTCGTCGGTGTCACTACCTGATGACTCTTGTCTCGGCTGATGGTATTTGCGCTCGCCATCATGCCTTCTCTTGCCTAATGTGGTACCACTGCCCTCGCCTTCTCGTCGGCGTGGTTGCCCTGCAAAGTTGGGAGCTTTGTCGCCCAGAGCTTCTCTGGCTTTTCGGACGGCACGGAGATCTCGTTCCAAATCTTCTAGGATGGCCCGCTCTCTGGGTTTGAGATCGCCCGCTGCTTCAAGAGCCTTGAGGTCCTCGATTTGGCGTTGGATGCGCTCGGGATTTCGGCGGGCCAATTTTTCATTGCGCCTGGCTTGTAGCTCTGCCCGACTCTTTTTCAGCTGTTTTGCCTTTTCGAGCTTGCGCTGTTGTTGCGCAGGATTGACAGATCGTTCCTTGTCTCGCGCCATGGAGTGTGGGGATTGTATTCACAAATCGCAAATCCAAAGGATAACGATACGGCGAACTCGGGGTGGATGGCTGTTGACTAAAAAGTTTCTTGACCTGCAACACGACGTCAGATGTCAAAAAGGACCGGCCGGGGCCGTAGGCGCGTGCAGTAGCACCAATTCTGCAGTCGAGGGCGGGTTTGACTAAGTGAGCTGCCAGACTTGGATTGATTGCAGTCACCTCTTGGGGTTGCTTGGTGTCACACCTGCACCCATGAAACATTGGGTCTCACCGGTCAGAAGCAGACGAACCCAAGAGGCAGGATCCAGGAGGGCTACCGGGTCGGCTGCAGGGTGTCGAGATCAAGAGGATGCCAAAAGATGGGTGGGTTGCAGTAGTGCTGCAGTGGCAGATGCAGCTACCTGTTGGGAAGCGTTGACTCCTGCATGAACAGCTAGGCTCGCCCGCGTGAACCAATTCAGAGAATGGTCATTGGAGCTTGCTCTGAGTCTGTCACAAGCACTGGCAGCACAGCACAGCACAGCACAGCACAGCGCTGTGGCTGTCCTGATCGTCAACTTGTTCTGAGGAGACAACCTGCAGATACCGTAGTCAAAGGCGGGCGCAGGCAGTTCAGATGCAGGTGTGACCGACTTCAGGCCTTGGATGTAAAGCAGAGGCACGAACGAGGCTGGTTGGGACAAGCCAGCAGGTGTGAGGGCTAGGAGAGAAAGTGGTACCTAGGTAGTCTTGCATAATACGAGGTACCAGAATCAAGACGGTCAAGAAGGGCAGTCAGTAGCTGTAGCTCGCTCTCTCTGCCCTCCGCCCTCTGCTCTCTGTCGCCCGTCGAGCCCAAGTCGCCAATAAATGGCACAGTCTTATGAGAAGAGTGTTCTCTGGTGGTTACTCTGACTTATACTCTATTATTATCATACACAGTGGTACCCCCTATCCTTGTGGACAATATCAGCCATATTTGATCCGGCGGCTACCTCGTCGTTATCTCAAGAGTGCGGCAGAGACTCTGCCAATGTCGTCTTCCAAAAGGCTTCCCGTCTCCCTCTCTCGTCGCTCTTTCGCTCGCCTTCTACTTCCCCCTTCACTACTACTGGCTTGTTTCTCGGAATGCTCAAATCAAGATCCAACAGCCAGGCACCCTCCCCCCGTCCCCCCTCCCCACCCCATGTCGGTTGTCTTCTTTGCCTTGCTGCTACTCGCTCTCCTCCATTCGTGCCCCACGAAAATGATCCTCCTCTACCAAACTAACAAAGACCACGGCTCCAGAGCCAATCGAACATGTTCTCTGCCCATCCCACGGTGCTGTGAAGGTCGGTCACCTGCTTGTCCCCACGATCACTCTTTGTCCTTGTTGCTCCTTAGCCAGGCACTAGGCTGCTGAGGGCCCATCAAAGGAAGTACCTACTGACCCTAACCGTCCTGCGATAGCCGCGCTCCTCTTTTCCCTCGCCTTTCTCAGCTCAGCAGCTTCAATTGTTTTTTTCAGTTTCTCCTTTACCCTGCGTCGTATCCATTCCTCACACCTCCCGGTTGTCATCGTTGCAGGCGATGAAACAACACTCCTCCTCAACCGTCTCGTCCGTCGCCATCCCCGCTCCCGTTGCCGTTTCCGCGCCTAGTCTCGTCTCCTGGTTCTAGTTTGCTGCTCTTCCGAGCACGCTTTTCATCGACTGCTCTGCCGACTGTTGTCCTACCCCTCTTGGCATGAGCTGAACCCGAACCGCCTGCTCACCGTTAAATAGGGTCTCTCCACCACCAGCCGCCGGGATCCTGGGAGGGGTGAGGAGAGGAAGCCCAAAAAAAAAGAAAGAGAGCAGAAAAAAAATCCCAGTCAGCCGTGTGTCTGAGACAGCCAGATTTGCGAGCGCTTCGCCAAACTTGAGGCTCTGCGGTCGCTAGCGACGCGCCCATCCATACGTCAAAGCTACAATGACCAGGCTCATCCCGACTGCCATATCTCGCAGCTCGTTCGCTGTCTGGTGCCTCTTGCACCACTCTTGACGGCTTCTCGCAAACCTATCAGCTCTCAGAACTGCTATGTGCCGTTTGACCACCACGGGTACCTGTCGAAGCTCATCTGCCTCAACGCTTAGATTGGTCACTTCTACTGCTGTCTCTGCTGCCCGCCCGGGACGTCCATGTCCGCGACTCAGTCAGTCGCCGACTCCGTTCTGGGTTTAACTCAATCTGAGTTGTTTCTCCTCCGACAACAGCAACAAATCCTGGCCCAGCGAAGTCATCAAGGCGGCATGCCCGACCGTGGTCGTGGCACTAGCAGGCAGTCGCAGCCTAGCTCCCGTGCGGTCAGTGCCGCCAGCAGCCAAAGCGTCCCGGGGCGGATTATGCTAGATCCCCATAGTCTGCAGGCTTTATATGCGCACCTGGAGAATGTGATGAGGAGTATCCAGCGACGGATTGGCGAGGTATGCATTCCAGCCTGGCATCTGCCTGGAAAATTCTCCGTGCAAAGACTAACCGTCATGTAGCTCGAAGATGCCACCGAACAGTCAGTCAGAAACTCCAGCAGCCGAGCTGGAGGCGTCGTGCAGAATGCAGAAAATGAGATTGTCAGGATGCGGCGCATCATGGCCGAGATAGACAAGCTCGAAGAAGAGTTTGAGAAAATCAAGCGAATTCGTGACAAGATAAAGGGCATCAGAAACAATGTGGACGAGCTGAGTGACAGGCTCGATCGCAGTCGTCCAAGCGGCCACAGCTCTGGCGGAGCACGACCTCGGCGCTGAAGTGCAATTGGTCTCTCGGGACGTTGAGCGATCCTGAACTTTACAAGCAACTATAATTCTACGAAGGACTGGGACCCCGCCGGGGGGGGGGGGGGGGGACAAACTCTCTCGATCACATCTCACAGCGGGGGAGGGAGTCAAATTTCTGCTCGACGCTCTCGTCCCTGGCGTCTCAACTTTGTTTTACCACCTTTTCGACGGCGAATGCAGAGATGGAAGCCTCACGGCACGTCATTAGTTAACGAGGTCATGCTTGATGAATGTACGAGTATTGAGTGGGACTTTTTGCTGTGCGATTTGCATGAAAACTTTGACCCTTTGGCGTTGGAAGGCAGATGATGACGAGTTCTTCGATCTCATGCGCTCTGGATGGGTTACCTCCGATAGAGATGTCGTGGCTCAGGCCGCAAAACAGACACGGTTGGGGCATGGGCAACTTGGAATTTGAGGCGACGGAAAGCTGGATGATTGGAATCAATGCAAATGTTTATTTTGACCTAGGCCTCTGCAACAGGTTTCGCCTCTTCCCGCCCGGTCTGGTTTGACTTCCTTCGACAAGGAAACCGTTTGATAGTCCCGCATTTGTCGCAATGAATCTCGTACACGTCTGCCCATGATTTCCTGCCCCCTTTGCTCGGGTTCGCAAGCTTCTCTGTCATCGTTTCCCCTGGAATCAAGAGTACATCGCAGCACTTGCAGATAGAATGCTTCACTCTTGGAGCAATCCGGATCTGGGACTTTCGAGAGACTCCTCGGAGGTGCATCAGTAGTCGGGTGGCCTCGACGGAGCCTTGATTGGTCAAATCCCTATCCGCCACAGACCATGTGCATTCCGCAGACTTGGTGGCTTTCTGCTGTCCATTATGGCTGCCGACTGTTGCTAAATATGTTGCGGCCTGATGGAGGTAGGATAATCTGGAGTGAAGGTGTTTTTGTGGCACCTGGGAGTCCTTCTTGGGGGGCTTCGATTTACCCATGGTGGGAGTTTCCGGAGGGATTCAACAATGATTTCGGAGCCTCATCCTCCAAGAGACTTGGTAATATTCACATGGTGGTCTTGCGTTGGGTGAGTGGTTTTGTCCTGCTCTCTCTACATCGAAGGACGTTTTGGCTGCGACGACAGCATGGAGTGGATGACTAAGCAGAGCGGTCTTGGCGCTACGGTTGCCTCGCCTTGGCCCTCCGCCGCAGAAAACAACCTGGAACATTCCTGCGCAGGCATCTCTTCTCATCTATTTCTGCTTCATCAATCTTTTCTCGCCTTCTTCATCAACCTCTCCAACTCACGTCGCGTATTTCGCAGACCTTGGCTGGTTCTGCTCCCTACCACCACTATCATCATCCCCCATCCTCTACTCTTGCTCCCAGGTTGAAACAGCCCTTGGTTCCACCTTAACCTCTTACACCCCTGTTTTACTTCGACTCATCGCCTCAGCTACAAACACACCATCCACCATGTCTGCCGAAGAGGATCTCATCGACTACTCGGACGAGGAACTTCAAGCACCCGAGGCTCCAGCGGCCGGCGCGACCAACGGTGCCGCAAAGAAAGGCGATCTAACAGTCAGCGGAGGGAAAGCCACCGACAAAGGCAAAGGCAGTTATGTCGGCATCCACTCGACGGGCTTCAGAGACTTCCTGCTCAAAGGCGAGCTGCTGCGAGCAATCACCGACTGCGGTTTCGAACATCCTTCGGAGGGTTAGTCATCCATCATCCATCCTGCCATATATTCTTGCAAGCAAAATATCCACCCTCCAAAGTTCTTCCTGCTACGAGCGCATCCGTCCATCTCCAAGAAAAGAAAGGGAAAGAAGAAGAAAAAGAACGAGAATGAAAAGTTTCTACAACGGATTCGAAAGTCTCCGATCGGCGACCTGTACGGTCGAACATTGGCGGGCAATAAAATGCCACCGCCTCACGCCGGCTGATTCGACCTACCGTCCTGGAAGGTGGCAGTCTGAAGACCGAGAAGTGAGAGCATGTCTCTTCTGGGGTCGCCGTTTTCGCTCCAGCTCCACGTTCAAATAGGCATGCTGAAAACGCTGCAAATGATTGACACTTTCGCACACCCAAGCCAACGTCCCTCCTGCGTTGTGATATTCGCGGGAAATGGTGGCCTGAATGTGCGTTACTGGTGTTCGGTAATAGAACTAGTCACGGGTGGAAAGAACGGGGATGCGGCTCAATCCTTTCAGGTGCAAAATCAGGGAGATGGACGGATCGGCCTGCGATGCTCTTTTATCGTCTTCACACATGCTTTACCGAACCAAGTCTAACATCAACGATTTCCTGCAGTCCAGCAAAAATGTATCCCACAGGCTCTCCTCAGTGTCGACATCCTGTGTCAAGCCAAGTCCGGTCTTGGTAAGACCGCGGTCTTCGTCTTGACCACCTTGCATCAACTGGAACCTGTTCCTGGCGAATGTTCCGTACTGGTCATGTGCCACACACGTGAACTTGCCTACCAGATCAAGAACGAATACGCAAGATTTAGCAAATATCTTCCAGACGTGAAGACAGCAGTCTTCTACGGCGGTACGCCCATCCAGAAAGATATTGATCTTCTCAAGAACAAGGAATCCTTCCCCAACATCATTGTCGGGACCCCCGGTCGTCTCAACGCCCTTGTCCGTGACAAGATCTTGTCATTGCGCAATGTCAAGGCGTTTGTTCTCGATGAGTGCGACAAAATGCTGGACCAAATCGGTATGCCTTAATGACCAACTTCTGCCATCAGACAACCTCTAACACAGCTATTCCAGACATGCGCCGCGACGTTCAAGAAATTTTCCGAGCAACTCCGACGGAGAAACAGGTCATGATGTTTAGTGCCACCTTGCCCCAGGACATCCGACCGATCTGTCGCAAATTCATGAGAAACCCTCTCGAGGTGTTTGTCGATGACGAAACCAAGCTTACCCTCCACGGTCTTCAACAATACTCTATCAAGCTCAGTGAGGGAGAAAAGAACCGCAAACTCAATGAATTGCTTGACAGCCTCGAATTCAACCAGGTCATCATCTTTGTCAAGAGTACTCTCCGTGCCACTGAACTTGACAAGCTGCTCCGGGAATGCAACTTCCCGAGTATTGCGGTGCATTCTGGTGTCAGTCAAGAGGAGCGGTAAGTCAAGGCGCGCTCCTAATCTGTCAGTCCCGTGCTAATTGCTGCCTTCAGTATCAAACGCTACAAAGAGTTCAAGGAGTTCAACAAACGAATCTGTGTTGCCACTGATGTGTTCGGTCGAGGAATCGACATTGAACGGATCAACTTGGCCATCAACTACGACTTGCCTGCCGATGCTGATTCTTATTTGCATCGCGTGGGTCGTGCCGGCCGATTTGGTACCAAGGGGTTGAGTATCAGCTTCGTCAGCAGCGAGCAGGATGAGGCTGTGCTCAAGGAAATTGAAAAGCGCTTTGATGCCCAGGTACCTCCCTACCCTGAGGGTGGTGTCGATTCGAGTACCTACATGGCATCTTAGACCAGGAGTTCGGCTTGATGAACAAACAGAATGGGGGTCTCGATTCCGAGAGGTTATGCAGATGTCAAAATCGATCTCCGCATCTTTGCTTGGGAGAAGAGGACCATGTATGTGTATCGCGGGGTCTTGCTGGGATAAGGACGGTTAAGGAAAAGTGAGACAGGGGACAAATTGCCATTCAGGTTGATCCGCTTAGGTACAACAAGAGAGCTTTACATAGCTAGTCCTTGCCTTGGAACATTTTCCCAAAAAGAAGTTTCTGATACGTGGGTTTCTCATGCTGTACTTTGTCTTTGTTCCTCTCGTAGCGGTTGACCTTGGTCATCTATTTTCTATCTTAATTTATATGCAATAATGCCGGTTCTCGTCCACGCCAATATTCATAATCCGACCCAAAAGGGCTCGTCAAAGGAAAAGATCAGATGAAGTCCAGGTGGAGAACCAAATGTAGTACGACAATTGATTCCCTCTCAAGGGCCTCACCGTGAGGTCTCGACCACCCAACACCAGAGTTGACCAAAGGGGGGGGGGAAGGGGTGGTAGGCCGAGCAAGCCATTCGATGATTCTGCAGCCCCAGACAGCTGTAGGCGGTTGTTTGAACTGGCTTTAGGCATCCAGCTTCAACTGCTCGAGCAGGCGGTCAATCTTGGCCAGGAGAATCTGGTAGTTGACGGCGTCGGCGGTGAATTCGTCGCCCGCGAGTTCGCCGTCGAGCGTGCGCACGGCGCCGGATTGCAGGAGCGCCTCGACCGAGTCCGGGTCGTGGCCTGTCGGGCCTCCCCCGGCGGGAGCACGCGTGGGCGTCGACATGTCCACGCCTTCGTCGTCGGGGAAGTGTGACCCCTTCTGCGAGTCTGCCTGTGTCGCGGGCTCCGAACCCCACCGCGGCAGCGAGGCAGATGCTGCTGTTGGCTCGCCGGCGTGCCCATTCGCTTGTCCCTGTCGAGGTGACTGCACGAGCGCCTCGGCCATGATCGCCTGCTCCTCGTCCATGACGTCCTCGAGACCCGAGTCCTCGAATCGCAACCGGAACCTCTCGCTCAGGTAGTACCGGATGTCATCCAACAGTTCGATCGAGTCCGTTTCCTGCCTCGCGCTGATTCGACTGGCAGACTCCTTCACCAGCTCTGCAAAGTCCGGGTCGTCGATGTAAGACTCGAGGCGGTAGGCGATGTAACGTGCGGCGAATTCCTCCAGGCGTTGGACCCGGGTGAGCCAGGCGGCGCGCAGGATTTCGTAGATGTCCATATCCTCGTCCCCTTCGGAGAGATGCGTGTTCGCGCCGTTCTCGGAGGCTGTCTCGGGGGAGATGGCGTTCGGCATCGCCATTGCGTTTCCGCTGCCCAACGAAGAGATCACGAGGGCCGATTTCGCTTTCACTTTCTCCAAAAAGAGCATGTCCGCGGCGAAGAGGACGTCGACGGCGATTTCTAGCCCAAAGTCCGCCTTTTCAGCGTACAGAAATGTCAGTATGATTTCCAGGACCTCGGGGCTACAGTCGATGGGCACAATCTGGAGGTGCGGCGTATCCTGTGCTTCGCGGAAGGAGGATTCAAACATGGTCATGAAATACTCGGAGCGGATGAGCATGGCTTTGTGGCAAGGGTAGATTTTGGATTTGCGTGGTTTCCTGGAGCGGGAGGGAGAGCGCGATGTATTGGACCTTTGGTCTAAGGGGATGCCTAGCGCATTTGTGGCAGATCGGGACTGTTGTGGTTGCCGGTCGGTTGTGATTTCTTCTTCAAATTCGTCCTCGTCGGCGCGGAGAAGCACGTCTGCAAAGATGCCATTGTCACGATCCCATTTGACATCATCGGCTCGTGAAGTCTCGACCTCGATTGCGTGCTTCAAGACGTTCTCACGGAACCACTGCTCGAGCTGGTCGCGACCTCTCTGGACTTCGTCTTGACGCCGCTGTCTTGCCAAGCGACGGTCACTGCTGTCGAGGATTAGCTGTGACAGGTTGTGAATCTCTAGGTGCTTGCTTATTCGGTCGACGCCAGCAAGGATTTCGGAATCTGTAAACCCGGTACCTGGCCCTCCGCCAAGATCTCTGGGCACTTCCCCCAGATATAGATGTTTCAGGGCGATGGCAAATGACTGTGGTGGAATCGTGGGGGCTGGTTTCCAGAGTTTGGTGTCTGGAGATTGGCTGAGTTTGCTTTTAAAGTAAGGGGAACGAGCCGAGAGGATGAACTTATGCAGACGGAATGACTCGCTGGGCGTAACGACGGTAATATCATGAGTCTTGGGTTGGTCCCGACTGAGCAATGAGACCAAATGTGACGCTAACGGCTGTAAAGGATCAGTCGACTTGGAATAGTCGTACTGTAACAAAAGATTTCGTATCCGGTCGTTCAAAGCATTATAAAGACATCTAGGACGAGGTTGTTAGTAGAATATTCCTACCATAGTGCAATGGGAATCCGCACCTCTCACCCTGGAATGTATCTCGTTCGCACAACGCGCCGGATTCTAACAATAGTTGTACAACCTCATAATGTCCACACAAACTAGCCTTGTCGCAATGTCAGTCGAGAATCCACCGACTAAATGTGGCAAGATATTCCGGTGGATATCAAGAACATTGGGAAAACCCACCAGAATCAGAGGGGTATAATCATATTGATCTTTTGCATTAATGTTTGCGCCCTCCTGAATCATCTCCTGGCAGAGCTTGAGATCGCCTCTTCTGCAAGCGTCGCATAGTCTCTGGAAATTGACGCTGAAATCGAGGGGATTGTCTTCTTTGAGAATGCCTTCCTCGATCAGCTTTTTCTCGTCGTGGAGACTGAGCTCGAGTTGATCCTTGCGCAGGAGCCCATTGGCGCTCATGGTACCGAACCGATAGGAGTGAAGAAGATGTGGCGAACAGTCCGAGAGAAGCAGAAAAAAGCAGATGTCGAGACGAGGAAGAATCGAGGGACTAACCAGCGGGCGCTGTTGCCGTCATATCAAATAATTTATATCGCCGGCCTTGTCGGCATTAAGATTGATTAGATAAGATCCTCCCCAGGCACGTGACAAGGCCCTTTTTCGCAGCGCACACTGGCGGCCCATGAATTTCATGCAAGGCTGTGTGGCCCAAAATTTCCCGCCCCCCAATCCAACACCAGAGCAAAACCACCATCTGCGCAAGTTTCAAGGCCCAGAACCAATTCCACCGGCCAGCTAAAGAGTGAGGGCAGACTAACACAGAGATCATCCCCCAGCAGCCACGCACCTGTTGCCCAGCATGGCTGAACAAGATGCATTCCTGCACCTCACCCGCCCTCTGGGTCCTGTCGCAGTTGGCGCACAACCCACAACAGCCCCCCTCCGCGTCGTGATACAACCACAAGTAAGTCCAGAAAACCAACCAATATCGTACAGGCAATTGACTGACCCCCCTCCGCAAGGCTCTCTTCTCGATACTGGACCACTGCGTTCGCCGCCCTCCCGACCAGCAGCGAGTCATTGGCACCCTGCTGGGAACCCGCTCCGACGCCGATGAATCCCAGGTCGTCGTCCACTCCTCTTTCGCCGTCAGCCACACCGAGACGACTGACCAGGTCGAAGTGGACATGGAATATCAGAAGGCCATGCTGGCCCTGCATCTCCGTGCGAACCCCAAGGAGGTCCTGGTGGGGTGGTACGCCACCAGCTCAGAGTTGAACACCTTTTCGGCTTTGATCCAGAACCACTACAGCAGCCAGGGCGAAGGCACGTTTCCCTATCCGGCGGTCCATATCACGGTGTCATGCCAACCAGGTCAAGACATCGAAGTGAGAACGTACATTTCCTCGCCAGTAGGCGTGAGCCCCGAGAGGGCGGCCGACTCGGCGGCATTCATCCCCATCCCTTACACTGTCAACTACGGCGAGGCCGACCGCGCCGGTCTAGAGGCCGTGGGATACGCAAAGGACTCGGAGAGCAGGACGGCGACGATCCTCACGGAGATTGAGAGCCTCGAAAAGTCGTTGGAAGACACCCTGGGCATGCTGGACCGGGTGGGAAAGTACGTGGAAAACGTGATCGAGGAAGAGACAGAGCCATCTACCGCGCTGGGCCAGTTTCTCCTCAACACCCTGGCCCTCGCGCCGAAAGTCGATCCCGCCGAGATCGAAAAGGATTTCAATAACCACGTTCAAGACGTCTTGACTGTGTCCTACCTTGCCAACATGATCCGCACACAGATGGACCTGTCGAACAGGCTAGCGACATCAGCATTGACCATGGGTGGCGGTGAAAGTGGTGCTACGGAGAAGGAAGGACGAGGTGATCGCAGACAGAACCGACAAGGTGGACAGGCGAGGCAGAATAGGACAGAGAGTTTCTCGGTGTCCAATGTTTGAAATGATCATGGAACGCAGGCAGCCTATCTGAGATCGGCTGCTATACATGAAGGCGGATAGCCCAGTGACACCTGCTCTGTGTCGCAAAGTGTCTAGTCGTCCCGAATGGACGCCAAAGCAACTCTGAGTGATGATTGCATGAAAGAGCAGTTGGGATCTGCTCGAGACACGCGCATACTGTCTCTGAAATAGGGAATGACTGCAAAAGTCATCCTGGTGGACAGTTCAGCTGAGGTCTCTCATATGATAGCCGCCCACAGACAGCAGATGCTTGGGCAGATAGACCGAGCCGACTCCGCTTGGTAAACTTTCACGAATAACATGGTGTATTGGTTCGTCATTCGGTGAGGTAGATTTCCCAAACCGGCCTCTCGTTGTTGTCAAAAGAGGCAGTGTGCTGGATGTCTACCTGGTGCCGTCCTGACAGGGGATGTCTCTGGCGGCTCTGGACAGTTGGATGCCCCTCTTTCTCCATAGGTTTTGGATGCTTTTTGGTAGGATCATGTGTGCCAAAGAAAGAGCCATAAACGCCAGCTCTTGATAATCAGTTGCGTTCTCATCCAAGGTCACTCTTTGCCCGCTTGCTTGCCCTCTCCTCGCCGCTCTCATCAGGGCCGGGCGTCCTCTCCTTTGAGTTTAGCCCTCCATTGACCATTTCGCCGTCCACTTCCTCAACATCCCTCTTCTTCTTTCTCCCTCTACCTCTCCCCTTGCCTTTCGACGTACCTTCCTCGCCCACCACCTCCCCCAGATTCACCAGATCGTCCACCGCGAGCTTATGCCCCTCCTTGCCCTCGGTCGTGTCGAACAGCTTCTTCTTGTTATCAATCTCCCGCTTTTTCTTGAACATCTCCTGCACTCGGCCTAGTTTGATGGCGTCCTTCCGGATCGCGAATTCAAAGTCCGAGACTTTCAGTTTCGCGCGGCCAGAGTAGACCGAGACGCCGACGGCATTGTGGCACGTTTCGATGATGAAGTCGGTCAAGATCTCGTCCAGGACACGCAATGTTTCGGGGAAGGGTTGAGTGAAAGGTGTGGGTGGATGGGTGGTGTTGGGCGTGTTGGAGGAGGCCAGGTATTGTCGTGATGATGCGCCCAGAGGTTTGGCAATGTCTGGGTGTGTGGGTGCGCCATATGCGTACAGAAGTGCCGAGAGCTCCGGGCCAAAATTGAGGCTGGTTTTGTGCCGGCCGGCGCGGGCGCGAGGTTCCATGATTGTGCGTGGAAGCGAGGGAGGAAAGAGATAGGATCGAGTAGAGAGATATGGGGGGTTTTTTTGGAGTCCGGGTGATCTGGAGGACAAATAACCGTCCGAAACGAAGCGTAAATGTTGTAAACAGGTCCGTACGCAAGCAGAGGCACAGACCAGCAGTGCCGAGCAGGGCGATACCTAGGAGAAGTATTGGCTTGAGATACCTCGTAGTGTTGAAGCATTCGGTTGCAGGATTCCTGAAGGAAGCGGACTGAAGGTGGGAAGTCCCTCCGCAAGCGAGGCTGAATCTGGAGTGCGGCAAGGCTGCAGCCACATTCGAAAAGACACAGCACGTGATCTTGGGGCAGCGTTGTACCTATTCTTCTTTCAGTTAGTGCCGCCGACGTCTTCGAAACCACCTTTCAACATCTCTCTCACTTGGTCTCTTTTCTGGCATGATGAATCTGTCTTGTATTCCACGACGAAACCCTTTGACCGACTCATAACAGACTCCACCACTTTCCGTGTCCGATGCGCACGGATTCTACGCCCTTTTGTCCCATCTTAGCGGAATAATTGGTCTTCGCAATGGTACGTCTCTTGCCTCCATACTCATTTCCGAAGAACAACGCCCCCAAAATTTACCTACAGGAGGGACGCTCCTTTCAAGAGCCAGAGAAGAAGAAAAAGTGTCTGAGCACTGACTAACCTGCGCCTCTGTGACTGATATAGACCGCCATATTCAACTTCCAGTCCCTCCTCCTCGTCATCCTCCTCATCATCTGCACGTCGACATACGTGCACTCCATGGCCCCCGGTGTCATGGACAGAAATAAAGACGGGTAAGTACAGGACCGTGCTGGCTGGCCTTTCGTGCAAGTGCAGGGTGGTGGTCACGCTCTCTTGACAGCGAAGTGTGTACGCTCTCGTTTTGCTCTCTGCACCCAAATGCTGATTCTTCCGTGATGGATTTAGCGTGATGGGCATATTCTGGAAATGCGCCCGGATAGGGGAACGCCTCAGTCCCTATGTTAGCATCTTTTGCATAGTCATGGCCGTAAGTATTGTTGGCTGTCTCTTCTTTTCTTTATCTTACAGCGGAATGATGTCCTTGTTGTCCTTGTGTCTGACCATGCGACGACAGTGCTCGGTCATGATGGGCTACTAACAAAAAACAATTCCCTTCTTGCAATTGAGCATCTGCGGTCCCGAGCATGAGAATCTACGATGTATGCATGGTGTTAGGCGTTATACCCTGAGCAGTCACGGTCTGGCATTCGAAGGCATTCGAAGGCCTGGGTTCGGGGGCAAGGCGGTACAGGGACATTTAATCAATAAGACGTGTTACAGTTCACGTCGGTATTCAGGTTGTTCTGTGAGAGGTACAATGTGTTCCAGGTGTGCTATGCTCTGCGCTGTACATGAGATGCACACCAAACCCCTGCCATTGGCAAGTCTAAGTTCAATTTCAATACACCATTTCATAACGTTTGTGCACACTCCGCGATGATTTCTCGACGAGAATCACATGCGGCACGGGTATCATAAAGCAAGTCGTTGCGTTCCATGCATCAAACACTCCCACACAGTCGTCAGCGCTATCATGCATTGGCTGTTGACGTTCAGAGGCCATCTTGCTCTCCATACGCACAGCGGAAACAGCCATAAATCGCCCCGCCCAAGTAAAATCCACGGAAATGTTTGATCACTCGCTTTCCAGCTGTCACACAAGACAAGGGTTACCTGTCACGCTTCACTTCCGAAGGGGCCACTTGCACACCCCTCTTGAGTCAAACACCAGCTCCTGCGAGAGCCCAAGAACCTGGCGGGCTTCATGGGCAATGTCGCGGCTTCAGCTCGGGTTTTGAGTGGTATGAAACTCAATGCCTCGCTACACATGGTAAAGACCTGCACCACTCTGAGACAAAATGGAGTTCTTGACGAGCATTGTCAAATTTGTTGATGTGTTATCGGCATTGGTCATTCACAAGATTACCAACTGATGGCTCCTTGGAAGATCTCACCTCACACGCATGGACCTCGCAGGAGCAAACCCTTTGTCTTTGCGAGCCCCGAGGTACGGATGGACGTCAGAAAACCACTGAGACTTTTCCGGCTGCTGCTGCTTCTTCTCATGCTGAGCGATCCGACGAGGGGGTTTTCTCAAGGCGTCATAGTCATTGGTCGCGTCAGCTTCGGGCTCTGGTAAATCAAACAAAATGCCAAGTTCTCTTAAACGGTGATATTTTTGAGCTTCGTCCTCTTCTGTCCACGTGGCCTGTACACTCTTGGTGGGCGCTTGACTAGTATGCTCATGTATCTTCGACGGAGGGGCCGGATGGCATGCTTGAGATTCTGTTGAGTTTGTCAACGGCGAGATGCCCATGGTCGAGGGTTCAGTCGTCGACCGTGGGCGTGAGTGTGAGCTTAACCGTGAAGCAGATTCAACGTCCTCATCTGTCTCGGTTGAGGGTCTCGGGAGGGCAAAATCAGGGTGTAATGGCTGCCGGCCCCGAGTCGAAGGCTGAGACTGTGTCGACGCCGACTCATACTTGTCATCTCCTTTTTCTTCACTTGTCCTGCGACCTGTCTCAATAGGGGCTTCCCCACGATCAGTCGGGTCATCCATGTTCGCAGTCGGGTTGGATCCAGCTTTAGTCAGGCATTTACTAGCCTTGTCCTCGGGTGTCACGTTCATTCGACCTCCACTAGCCATGTTGTTGAGATTGGTTTGATTCTTCTGAGCATTGTCATTGTTGGAGAGGACTCTCTGCGCGGCAGTGTTCTGAGCGGCGTCTTGAATTGATGCTGAAGCACTACTACTCCGTCGCCGAGGATCCATTGCTCGTGCGCCATCTGCCGATTCTTGTAATGAAGTCTCCTTATCAACCGTGCCCAGAACTTCTGCTGAATGACTGATGTCGTGTGCCTCTGGAGTAGAGATCTGCTCCGGCTGAAATCTCTTTCTTGAAACGAACATTGAATTTTCCGGTATGTGACGTTTCAGAGAGGTAGAGATCACATCTTGCTGAACGGGCGAAGTTGAAGCGTGAGGCCGCATACGATCATTTTCCGTTGCAATTTCCGACCGCTCCGACATATCTTCTTCTTCGTCGTCTGAAATCGTCACCACTATTGGCCCTGTGTCCTCATCATCGGGAATTGTAATTGTTTCCGGCCGCGCGCGAGGGTCGCCCCAACCTCTGCCATCCCAGAGTAGATTGTCGCGCTTAACTGTACATAGGACACAGCGCTGAATTGAAGCTTCGATATGTTTGCTGCAAGCGTCGCATTTCTTCAGGCCCGCGGCTTCGATCACCACTGCATGTCGCTGGCTGTCGTCGGGGTCGGTTGGTGGTTGAGCTGCCCCTCCCAAGTTGCCTTTAGTTGGACGACGCAAGGAAATGCCTCTAGTCCGTCTAGCCAGATGCCTGACAGTAATTGGTCGAATAGGTGTGGAATGGAGCTCCTTTTGTTCTGTGCCGTGCCGTGCTGTTACTTGGCCAGTGCCAGGCCTAGTTGGGGGTGTGGCCACTGCTCGAGCAGTCGACTTGTGGCGTGGTGGCGCATGGAACGGCGACGACCTAGCAATCTCTGAGAATCGTGTAACTGGTTTTGGCCTTCGGAGAGACTGAGGTGTCTCGTCGTTGCCCGCTAGAGGTGTAATATCAGTGTGATTTGTGTCTTGAGCGGATTTGGCAATTGGCGATGAAGAGTCTGCATGTAGTTGCGAGGACGACACAGGAGCGGACTCAGCAGGTTGGACAAAGGAACGGGGAAAGGATGGATTGGGATCAACAGCCATCACGTCTGTGGGAGAGGGTCGATCGAAGCTGCCTCTGAGCGAGTCATCTTTGCTGGTCGTAGCTTCCGACTTTCCTAGACACCTTCCGCAGGTGAAGTCATCGAGATTCTTGCTGTACGAAGTCAAGTCAGCGTGATGATTTGCGTCGCGACTGCCTCCTACCTTACCTTTGAAGTGGTTTCGGGTTTCCACAGTCAATGTGATAGCCTTCACGGCACGCCTTGCATTCCATAAGCGGTTTCACACTGCTTCCGGACCTGCGACAGGCCTTGCATTGGTCATTTCTCTTGGGATCACAGTTTAAGGAATTTGACGAATCAGTCTTGCCGAATCTCAAGGCCGCCGACGGTGGAGATGGATCCCCGTTCTCAATGCTTATCATCAAGGCCGCCCCTCTCATTCTCGTAGAGTGTTGGTCGGTTTGGTGTCGTTGCTTTTGGGCTGCAGAGGAATTCTAAATTGAAGGTGAGTTTAGGGTAAGCCAAGTTGCGAATTATGGTCACCTTGGATACCTGCGTGCTCTCCATCCTCAAGCTGCTTCGAGAGCCTCTTGTTGCCATTACCGATGCTCATCTTAGAGGCCACTCCAGGTGCCACGGTGAAATCAAAACTGGTTGTAAGGACCACATTAGCAAGTGAGAACAATGGAGTCTGAAGCGGAAGCACAGCAAACACGAGTCTGCCTCAGGTCTTTTCAGTTATTCTGGTCTTCACTTTGTGTCGCTAGGGTTGCCTGCTGTAGGGATCGGAAAAGCTCTTATTGCGCGGTCTCCTGAAAGAGAACTGACAACACACAGATGGCAGACGGCCTGCGCTCCCAGCATCCCTCGACATCATCCCACATCTTGGCGATAGATCGTGTCAAAAGTGTGCGCAGCTGCCATTGGCTCAAGTATTCACCAGGTCTTTGAGAAAAAGAACCCCATTTTTGCGGCGCGATTCTGTTGGTTTTCTATACCCGAAGTCTCCAACAAAGCAGTCCAACTGTTCAGAATAGTTCGTTCTTGCGTGACTTCGTGCGGTCAAGATTGAGGAGCTGGCGGGAATGCGGGTACGCATTGAGTCATGTTTCCCTGATGGACATGTCCTTGTGTAGGTGCACAAAGGCCACGCTCTATCAACGAGCGACCACTAACGGCCATTCTTCCAATCGGACCTTTTACCATTGACTCATCATTGGGTAGGAAATTGCAAAAGGTTGGAACAAGCATCGCAACACAGGAGACTATGCTTACCAACAGTTGATTAAGCGCGGTCCTCGAATGCAGAGTGTACCATGTAGCCGTAGGCTCCAGACCCATTCTTCATCAATTAAGCCCATACACAGGTAGAGATCGTTTTTTAACACCGGAGGGACTGTGTGACCGAAAATCGTTGAGAAGGAGTTGGCTTCGTCGTCAGGAAGATTGTCGTTCTCACACACCGATCTATGTCGCCAGAACGGTTAGGAGTGGTGATGGGGCAAAACGCAAAGAAATGGAGGCTCGGTTGACATAGGAAAGTGGCGGCAGGTCGAGTTGTTCCTGCAGAGACTAAGACTAGTAGGGTCGACACGGCTATTCCTACCATTCACAAAGAAAAGATAATGCAACAAGGGCGGTTTCACCAACGACACAATGAGCGAAGAAAGACGAACGATAGAGCTGAAGGAATGAAGGAACAATGCAGAAGAACCAAGAGACGGGGGACCGCTCATAATTGGCTGGAACAACCACTCTTCTCCTGGCACGCGCTTGGCAATCCCCCGGCCCCCCTCTCGGGAAGTTGCTTTTCCCCGTTTCTATACGAGCTATTACATCGACAGCCTTGCCGAATCCTCGCAACGCCACAGCATGATACTCCAGCTGCGGCAATCGGTCTTGAAGAGGCACACCGGTTATACGTCCGTCATCAGACCCGTGCGAAATGCGCTCGTCCGGGACTGAAGTCAGTACTTGTACAGCTGGATATGACGCAGGAAGCTCAGGTCATCAGATACTTCTATTATAAACAGGTGTACTCGGTATACAGTACTATTGGTACATGTTCGCGCCCTCAAGAGCGGGGTCTCCCATGGCATCTTTGAATCCATAGCTCTCAAAAATGCCGTCTCCCTCAGCATCTTGCTCTCGACCAGCGAGCGATCGTTGAGAGTCGAGAGCTTCTATTTCTACAGCTTTGGTAGCTGCATTCGTATCATCTTGCCACTTGAGGGTCTCGTCGAGCCCATCAGGAATTCTCCGTTCGTCCAAGACATACCTGACCAGCTTGGCAAGCTGGCTTTCATCGTACTTCCCCAAGAGAAACGCATACCCCTTCTCGGTCGGCTGGACATCTCGTGCCAGCATCATCCTCCAGATTTTCTCCGCAGCTTCTTCTTCACCGTGTTGCAGGAAGCCACAAAGCACTTCGCTCCACGTTCGCTCGCTGGGAGCACACAGATTCCGCTCAATCATGGCTTCAACCACGTCCACAGCTTTCCTCAGGAAAAAACGGCTGCGCGCGTAGAAGTGGATGAAGCCATTGTACATGATGTCATGTTTAGCGCACTCGACAATGCTCGGGTCCTGCTGTTTGATCATGTGGATTATCCAATACCACAATGCTGAGACAAGTCGCTCGTCTCGTTGGCAGAGAACATAGGCCCAGATTGTAAAACCGAGGACCGCCGGTGGAGGTTCATTAAGCCTTTTGGGAAGAGATTCATCGACAGGTAAAGGATTCACAATACCAAGCTTGATAAGCGGGGCTCTGTCATAGGCTCTGTCGTAGATCGCCAGAAGATGTGACACCGATATTCCAGCGGGCAGTTTGCGGTCGATTGTGCAAACAACCCTGACGATATGCATCATGTATGTTACCAAGTAAGGATACTTGTATAGATCTTCGCGTTGGTGGATAGCAGACATGATTTCATCCAGCTTTTCCCGATTCTGTCGCTCAAAGCTATCTTTGAGCAAGAAAAGATGACTCCGTTCGTCGACATGGATACCCTTTGCTTCCATGAAACGGAAGACTTCCCATGCAACATCCGGCACTTCCAAGGAAATTGCTCGCTCAATAATAAGGTTATGCGCCTTTGCATCCATTGGCATGCCAAGTTCGATCAACTTAGGAAGTGCTCTGAAGTTACCCACAGTGCCAGATTCTTCGACTGTGTCAATTGTGATAAGCTTGGCGCAGCGGTCGAGAATCCGCATCTTGTGTTCTTCCCTCTGCTCTGGAGGGATGCATGAGAGGAGTTCTATTGCTCGCTCCGCATCGCCAAGCTTCGTAAAATGGTCCACCATAACTAGAATCAGTCGCGGCGGCACGGGTGCAGAGTTCTGGAAGAGGGTGTCAATGATGTTTTCGCAATGCTCCGCGTCATTATGCCGCAAGAGGAGAACGAGAAAGTGGAACGGCATCGTCTCCTCGGGCCAGGTCCAGATGCGAGAGACCAGGGCTATTTGCTTTGCGAACAAGTCTCGAAGATACTGGTCCGCAGCGATCTCATCCCGGTAGACCATGTCCAAATAGCAAAGACAATCGCATCGAGTTCTCCACTCACGAGGGACCACCGCGAGAACAGATAGCATGAGGAGGGTCCTCCGAGCACTGTCAGCAAGGCATCCAAGCAAGATATGTGCGACACGTCGCGTCTTGCTGCGAAAGGGCATCTTGAGCCATGCTTCATGAAGCTCCTCTAGACTGCGATCGCCCACAAAAGCCGTTGCAGCTTGTTTATGCACCTCTAACTCTTGACGCGCCTTCGCGTAATCGCCGTCTTGTGGGAACACCAACTTCTTGTACGGCTTTATCCACATTCTGCTGAATCGGTCGTCTCCAGACAGGTATCGTCGATCTTTCTGAGATCCAGAGTCATCACGAGTCCTAAAGCCTTCGAACTCGGGAACACTGGACTCGATGATATCAGTTTCAAGGGCCTCCGACTCTAGAACAACGGATTTCGAGGCTGGTGGGTAGGACCATAGAGTGCCTAACTCATCGGGTTTAAGCATAGGAACGGGTGAAGGCCCATGAAGCCTGCGAGAAACTAGATGATTCGACACGCCAGGCCGACCCTTCTCGACACCAAATATCCGGTCCGAGAGCGATTTGACATCTTGGAGCTTTGACGTGTCTCGAGAATAATGACCATCTTTACGCGAGCGAGGACAGACTGACTGCACTCTAGACTCCGCAGGCGGAAGAGGGATCTTGTTTGAGAAGGGTATGGATTCTGGGGATTCTTGGAGCGGACTGTCTGGTCCGCCGAATCTTGCAGAACTTTCGTCGGACGAAGCGTGGGACCCTTCTGGCAGCTCTGTAGAGGTCTTAGCGAGGACGGAGGCTTGGTGGAGCGATTCCCATCCCGAAAGGCCATGCCCGACGAAGTCGAGAGAAGGGCGTTTGAATCGGGATCGGCATCTGTGGTAGGTTGCTGGACTATTGCTGAAGCATCCTCTAAGAGTGCTGGTTGACTTATGGAACATTCAGGTTCCAGGGCATCTGGCTCTATTGCCTGCCGACAGGTGGATCAGGAGTAACAGATGGATGGTAGACGTGGAGGAAATATGTGGTAGAGAAATGCAGGCATATCAAAACCGAGTGATTGAACTTCTTTGCGGGCGCAGCCGGGAAAGGGAATTTTCCCGAGTGAACAGACCCAAACCTACAGGGATCGTTTCGTTGTCGCCAGCTTTTCCCTCCAAGCCCGCCTTCATGGTATAGGTCGGCAGCGGGATGTCACTACTCTCGAGAAACTATCTGTAAGATAGAGAGGACAATCTTCGCGATGTCAGCCACACATAGCAGCCTAGATGCTGCTGCCGTCGACAGAAAAGCTCGCCTGGCGAAACTCGCATCTCTGAAGCGCAAGCAGCCTGGCTCCCATTCCACAGTTTCAAGTCTACAAGCGGACACCGAAACAGGAGAGACGGAAACGCCGCCTCAATCCACGACTGATCAGTATCTCTCAGGCCGAAATTACGATCTAACAACGAAGAATGCCAAACTTGGATTCGAAAACGCGCCCGTTGGTGACGACGTCGAGACTGTTGAAGAGCAGGCTGATCGCATCCTAGCATCCACTGCAGAGCAAGCCGCCAAAGATGAGCTGGAAGCAGAGAAGGGTATTGACTTGTTCAAACTGCAGCCGAGAAAGCCAAATTGGGACCTGAAAAGAGACTTGACGGAGAAGATGAAGATTTTGGACGTCCGGACACAAAACGCCATTGCCCGTCTGGTGAGAGAACGCATTGAGAATGCGAAGAAACAAGCTCTAGAGAAAAATTCCGTTCAAAAGCAACCTGCGACAGAGAAGGGCGAGGAAGGAGAGGAGGTCGGCATCGAAGGCAACACGCTAGTGGAGAGTATACATTTACGAGAACAGGAGGAGGAGCGAGAGGCTGCTCTCGAGAACGAAGAAGATGGCATTCCCTGATCGACGACGGAGCGACCTAGCGATAATTGCACCAAGGCGATGGCCAAAAAGTCAAGTCGATGAGGATGCGCCACCCGGTGCCTGTTAAACCCGCAGGTTGGATATACATCTGAATAAGGTCGATGACAGCGCCTCGCGCAAGAGATATGGATCACAATTTCCACGACCTTCTCAAATATCCGAATTTCAAGACTGAGCGCGGCGCCCCACACGACATGACGACCGCTGCTCAGACCTAAAAGCTGCAGGAATCCGCCGCGCTCGGTCGGAAAACTTCAATCGTTGTTGCAGCAGACCGCGCTTTTGGCGAGGGTATGCTACCGCAGAAATGTGAGACACAAGGAGGTACGGTGGAAAGTCTCGCTAAGCAGAAGGGCCTGTGGCAAGTAGCATCAAGAGCCATAGCGAGAACTATTGGCGAATGAGCTAGGAAATGAATACACAATAGTGAGCAATGACATCCCAGTGTCCGGTAAACCAACGGTACCACGATACAAACAAGTACTCCATGACGACAAACGTGCATTGCTCGTAGGGGTATGATAAAGGGACATCAGCCAATTCATGTGTCAATGCAGCCACCAGCGCCTTGCAAACCACAATCAACAATACTTCACCAAATTAAGGTTCCTCCGTTTAGAACTGGAGCATCCAACCAATATCCTGAAGTTGCGATTCAGTTGACCTATCACATATTCATCGCCTGCGTTAGAGCCAGCCTTTTGCTGTACGGGCTCAAGCTCCGGTCCCTCATATTGCTTCGCTTCTCGCCGCCAAACCTGAATTCTCGCTGAGGCAATCCGTCGTCATCATTGTCGTCGTCGTCGTGGTCCCGCGCGTATCGCCGGGATGAAGCAGCGGCGTAGTCTTCATTTTCGAGGGATCTTCTCTGCTTGGTTATCTGGCTTTTGTCCATGCTTGGAGTGCTAGTCCGGCTGCGATGGCTGCCTCGACGCATGGAACTAGGCCGGCCTCGGTCAATGGGGCTGATGGTGCGGTGACGTCGGCTTTTGCGGTGTGAGCCACCTTCTCGCCTTGGGGACCTCGGCGATCTAGAGTAGGAACTGGAAATGGACCGGTGCTTCCTTTTCCGGGGAACTTCAGTGGTTGGTGTCCTCGAGCGGTTCCGGCGTGCACCACTGGCGGTGAGGTAGTTGTCACCGCGCTCTCGTGAATGAGTCCGTGATCGAGACCGCGACCTGTTTGTTGATATTGTCGAAACAGAATCGGAGGAGTCTGGGGTTAGCGATCGACCCCGATCTTCTGACTCCACGACCAGGTTTTCTCGTCTGGCCTGAGTTTCGGCCAGTTGTTGGTCAGCCACACCCTTGCTAGGTAACCGTCAGAAAGATGCTGTATCCGAGAATCCGGGCAAGCCTAGTCACCTATTCAATAAATTGTTCGGAGTGTCGCTCGTTAGCTTTGGCGCAAGTTTGGGGTTGAGTAGTTGTTGGGTCCTTGATGGCCTGGAGGTATACGGCCGCTCCTGTACGCTTGATTTGCATTCGTAACTGTAGTGACGTGAACAGCCTGTCAGTACGAGTGGTGGTCAGACCGCAGACGAGAGGCAAACATATCTTTCTTCAAGCATTTCTGGCACACAGTACTGGCGGTGGCCTTTTGTGGCCCAAGGCCCGGGAGTGTGCGATACCGATTCATCGGAAAGGTCTCCCTTGTAAATGGCCAGGCAGAAAAGGACGCCGACAAGTCTCAATGGAAATAGTGAAGGCGCAAGTTTGGCGACGCAGAGTGAGATGCCTGCTTTGTCAGAATTTATATAACGGGGCACAGAGCGGCTCCGACATATATGGGGGATAACGACGATGAGAGTGAAAATGCTGATGCCTTGTGTCGATGCCGAATCTCCCACTTATGAACCCGGACAGAATGCTGGTATCCTGGCTGGGGCGGATGTGAAAGGTAGCATCCCAAGAATCGAAGCAAGAAGGTGCCGTCCTCCAAGCCACTCGGCAGGCAGGCAGATAGACACCACTTTTGAGAGACGCAACAAGGGCCCGGGAAGTAGAAGGCGAAGGAAGCCCGACTCGGCTGTTTCCAATCCGGCGATGATGCTGGTTGGCCTATTGTTGGTTTGTTCTACCTTTTTTTTTTCTCCTCCCTGGCTCACTGATGGAGATGCCCCGTGGTTCCCTGTTGGCGAGAGGCGTGCCACTGTGCCAGTCGTGCCAGTACAGCGGCGTCGCAATAACTTTGATCCGCCCACGGTGACATGGGGATGCCTTGGCATTCTCTCTCATGGCCTGCTTGCGGTTTTCGATGCCTCAAGACTGCCACAAGTCACGCTTTTCCCAGCCTTGACTTCAGTCGTCGCTGTCCACCTTCTCAAGCTTGTCGATCTCCATTGTTCATACGCACAATGGACTGATCCGACTTCCTCCCCGACGCTGCTGTTCCTGTCAAGGGTCTGATATTCCTCCACTTTGTGAGCGCGACATCGTCGCCCAAAAAAACCCCCCGTAATCCCTCCAAGGTGGGCGAGAGGGTTCACAACACCTGCGCCTCGTCTTTTTCAACCTTAGCGACCTTTTCACATCCTACCAGGTCCTGCCACTTCGATCTCTGGCCTCGGTTCCGGAGTTCCCCTGCTTAGCATTCCACCAAAGCCTGCCAGATCTACCCTGCCTACGCCTCATTGCGCTCAAAGGCATCCAGTCTATTGCTACGCACGTTGACAACCCAAAGACCGTCTTGTCGAATCCATGGAGCCTTTTGGGTTGTGCTATGTTGGCTCGTTCGATGAGCAAGACGTTGTGTGAGACAGCGGAAGGAAGAATTGAAGCGTCGACTTTGGCTCGTACAATTCACATTCATTTTCAATACCAATCCTCAGCTTGATAGCCTGGCTTGACGCTGTTGGATACGACGTGACGAATCTCCTTGGGCATCATGGCGTCTTCTCAGGTCGGGCCGCCTCCGGGGAAGTTATCGTTCGCGAAGGTATGTTTGATCTGCACGTCTCTCTCTGCTTTGGCCATGCTGACGCCTTTTAAGGTCGCTGCAATGCGTGCCCCTGCTCTCCCCACGCCAAACCCAAATGCTTCTGACGAAAAGAAAGCTCGTCCTGCTGAGAACATTAATGCAAAGGCCATACAGACCAACCTTCTCAGGTCTCCGGCATCGCCGAGAAGGCCTAGCGATCCACAGCCGAAGTCTCTGGAAGAGCGCACCCAGCCAGACTATTTGGCAACTGCAATCGAGGGCCTTTCTCTGGTTGAGGATGCGAGCCTTGTATCAGGTGGTCCCCAGAGTGCAGAAAGCGGAGAATCCCTCGAAGATGATCAATCTCATCTCTCTAATTCTTCTACCAAACACCAGAGTTTTGATACCAAAAGCATGGCTTCCGTCACAACCTTCGCGATGGACGAGAAGGAGAGCATTCGTCCGGATGACAGTGCCAGCGTCAGAGCCGCAGAGGACGAAGAGACCTCAAATGCGCCACACAGAGAAGACTTATCAGCGTCAAACGCTCGTGGTACATCGCGCCCAAACAATTCTGGAGTTACTATTGCGGCTCGCCGATACCACACCTTGACTTTAACGAACCCTCCGCGATTTGGAGATCTTCCCCTTCCCATCATTCAAGCAGAGACCACGAACTGCCAGCCCCACTCCGAAGGGTCGATAGAGCAGCCACGCGAGATGCATGAACGAGCTTCATCACTTCCACTCGCGCCCGATGAGAAGCTATTGGATGCATTAGCCACCCCAAAAGATCGCCTGCCTCTCCTTCAACTGGAAGAGAAGTTTCTGGCCTTTATTACAATGCCCGGGTATGTCTGAGTGCTGTCATTATCGACGTAATCCGCTAACCACGTCACAGAACCGATTTTCTCGACCTACCGCCACAGAACTCCTTCGCCAGGCTTCTTGCACATAAACTCGCAGACTATTACTCGCTCGCCCATCACATCAATGAGGACGGTACATCGATCCGCATTTTTCGGACACCTGATGTCTCAATGTGAGTGCACCGCCTATTTACGTCCAAAGTGCATTATCTGATTTCTTTTGTAGGCCCACCCCATTGCATGTCTTAGCCCAGTCCATCCCTGCTGGGCCATCTCAACCTCCTTCTGCTGCGGGTTTTAAGATCATGCGCAGGGTCGGTTTGGGTCCAAGGCAGGGCTCGGCCGGTGCCAGCACACCTGCGAGTTCGTCTGCTCCATCCAAAGCGACTTCGGAAGCAGGCTTGGAAACGAATAGCGAGGAGGGCATCATGTCTCCAGTGGAGGGGACGCCAAACAAAGACAAGTCCAAACTCACAAGAGAAGAGCGAGAAGCTCAGTACAAAGCTGCTCGAGATCGAATCTTTGGCGACTTTCAGGAGTCGGTGACGAGTGAGAGTGCTTCGACGGGGGAGAATTCGGCAAGCATGTCGCGGTCGAGCTCATCTAGTGGCAAGAGAAAGGCACGCAAGCACAAAACGCCAAAGGACGATAGTTTCGAAGCGCGTTCAGCATTCATTCCCAGCTACGCACCAATGCATACGTCACAAATGCATCCTCAGTACCAGCCGCATTACTCGGAACAGGCATATCACGGGCAGTACCAAGCTCCTAATGGCGGATTTGGTGGAAACATTAATTACAGTTCGACACCCACTCAAGCATATCCTAATTTCGAGTCTTCCATGTCTTACAACAGCGCTCCCATGGGCTACGGAAACAATAGCAGCCAGACTTTCAGTCCTGCGGAATCGTGGTCGTCGATGCAAACCCCCTCCTCGAACGGGTACTTCAATTACTCTGCCTCCCCAACTACGTATCAGCAGAGCATTTCTCCCATGATACCTCAGATGAACAATCAGTTCATGCCAACATCACATCCGGGGATGCAACAGCCCCAGAACTGGATGAACAATCAATTCCAGGCTGCCTATCCGCAACCCCAAGGCCCACCAGGCTCGAACATGAACGGCTGGTCGGGCTACCAGGCTAATGCGACTGTCAACAACGCAACAAACTACGGCTATGGACAACTTCATGCTCAGAACTATGGTGGCAACGGCAATCAGCCATACAATGCTCAATATCCCAATCCGAGCGGCTACTCCAGATCGCTCTTTAACCCACAGACCCGGTCCTTCGTTCCAAGCAATTCCACAAGCCGCAATGGCGGTCGTAGTGGCCACAATAACAGCAATAACAGCGGACGGAAGAAACCTTCTTCATCCTCGTCTAGCCAGACTCGAGCAAATAGCATTCCTCCCACAAAATCGTTTAGCTCAGATGCTTCTGGTACGCCACCACCTGCACGGGCATTCGAAAAGGGACTCGCCAGTAATGTCTCGTCGCCCAAGCCACCTCCAGTCAAAGAAGACTCTCTCCAACAGAAATATGGCGCGCCTGCGCATTTGCCTAAGAAGCCTCCTCCATCGCAGGTCACGTCGCTGTATGATGTTGAGAATATCAACAACTCGAGTGCTGGCGGAACGGGGACGGGAACGACTGCATGTGGAAATACGAGTAATAGTTTGACGGGACCGGGACAGGACAATGGATCATCAGCATGAGATATGGGAGTGGGCAGGGAATTGGACACGTGCTCAGGCCGGGATGGGCGCAATAGCGCATGGTATTCAACTCTCGACATTTAGTCTCTTTGCCCATGCAATTGAGGTATGCAAGGACGCCAGGAAGGCATGTTCATGTGATGGACCAAGTTAGCTTGGATGAGGAAGGGATCAATCATGCATGTATCAGGTTCCTCTTCGCGGCGAGAGGCACTGAAACAGGAGACAGGCTAAAACCAAAAGAACCAAAAGAACCAAAAGGGGAATCCAAAACGTTTGGTTTTCAACGGAACAGAAAACAAGTGTTTTTGTACTCGGTATGTGGCCACACGGCCCTCGCTTCCCCAACGTCTCGCCCGTATTCTCCCACGTATGCGCTGGGACTCTGCAGGATTGTAGGCCTGGGCTAATCACCACATGCTTTACACCGAGTTGCGGGTGTCTCTACCGGGTGCCTACCTAGGTGCCTGATAGTTGTATTAGCTGACTCGAGGATAATATTCAGCCTTGCATCTTCAACCTTCCAGGTCGTCGTAAACTGCACCTATATTCCTACATAGACTACACTGCACTGAACTACAGCAGGTATCTTAGATACGGAATGCTCGAGCCATGGACAGACGTCTGTTTATTCATACTCCCCCCTGGGGGACCCCGGGGACACCTGATACTGCCGTTCTGTGCTTCCTGCTTGAGCTGCATACCTACAATGCTACATGTACCTACAAGCGTAGAGGCTGTGTGAGTTCTCTCGTCAATATTTAGTCCATTCCCATGGGTCTTGCCGGCCAAAAGATAGTCCAGAAACGCCAGTTTGGCCTTCTCGCCACCAAAGTGCCCGTCGAATTACCTGTATACTGCCCACTCCCCCTTTTTGGCCACCCTGAGACCCATGTCCTTCGTTGTATCCCCGACTCCTGGTTTTTTTTGGGGAAAGAAGCTTTCTATTGTCGCCATGGTTTCTCTTATAACCCTTCCAAGCATCAGCTGGTGTCTGGGCGCAATTCATGCATTTCCATGCTTTCAAGCGCCTTGCCGTGTTCATTTTGGTGTTCGGCGTCAATGGTGTCGTTGTCATCATCGTCAGATTCGTCTCTCTCGTTTCCGTCCCGGCGGCTACTCATCAAGCCAACAGCCTCTTCGTGGGTTGCCCCTTCCTTGGACCGTGCATGCTCTCTCAGCACTTCCAATCCAGACGGAGTGCCTGTGGCCCTTGCACGGGCTTCATGGCCATTCGACTTCGCCTTGGTGGCCGAGTCTCGGGCAGCAGCCACCCACACTGCTCCCGCAAGAATCAGCACGCTGCCAATCCAGCTCATCGTGTCCGGGGTGACGCCAAAGACCAGCTTGTCGCCAGCCAGCGCGAAGAGCATCTGCGTGTAGCACATGGCCGTCGCACGCGTCCCGGATGGTTTGGGCCTGGGCTTCCCCAAACGGCCACCATTACCACCGCCCACGGGGTTTTCCAGGTGGGCTGTACCGGTGCTTTCGAGATCCCTGATCAATTGTGCCGGTTGATTTTTGTTGCCACTCTGACCGGACGGCTCACACGGCCCACCGTATGCTAGGCCGGCCGTCAGGAGAAACTGCATCACAAAGCCGCAGAGACCCAGGCTGGCCAGCAGACTCCACTCGGTGAGATTGCCCGGCAGCCGGAACTTGACGTCAGGGAAGACCATTAGGCATACCAGCGAGACGACGCTACACCATACGCTAAAGTAATTGATACTGATGAAGGCGTGAGCCCTGGTGCCAATGACGCGAATCGCAGTGAGTGCTCCAACGCCACCAACGACGCCAATCATGGCAATGCCAACTGCTGCCAGATGTTGCTCGGAGGTGATGTGTTGACCAGTCTCGGGAGTCACAGTGGAGTTGACTGGAGGACTCACCAGGGCGTCAGAAGGCTGGGTTGAGCTCGAGAAGAGCGTGGCTGGTCGGGCAATAAACAGGACGCCGATAAGACTGACGAAGCCGGCAATTTGCTGCTGCATGGTGAAGATTTCTCCCGGCATGATGAGACTGCAGAGATAGCAGGTAAGGATCGGCGATAGAAACCCCAGCACCGTTGCCTCGCTCAACGGTAAGTACAGCAGGCTAAAGTATAATCCAAATACTCCGAAGAACCCAGCAATACCGCGTAAGACAAGTAGCCAGCGCACACCACGGGGGCCAAAGGGAAAATATGGAGTTGTCTTGAAGTAGATGCCGTACGTGGTGCAGATGAGGGCAGTGATGGACTGTCGAGCGAAGAGGATCTGGAACGGGTGCATGGGTTCGCCATGTGAGCCTGGGGTCTCAAGGAGTCGGGTACTGATGTTCATGCCGACACCGAAGGCTTGAGACGCAAGCACCAACAAGGCACCATAGTTCGTCACGTAGAAGGAATCCCAGGCAGCTCTGAGGCGGGACTGTGGAGGAGGATCGGCCGACATCGACGGGGCGCCATCTCGAGATATGCTGCGGACGAGGGGATGGACGGCTTGAAGTTCATTCGAATGGAACGACAGCTCGGAGAGCTCTGAGTACGTGCTGTCCAGCGACGGCCGGAAGGATGGGACGTCAAGGTAGGAGGATCTATGGCCCGCTGCTGAGATCGGGGGAGGAATCGACTTGGACGATGAGGGAGACGCTACGACGGTGGTGTCGCTGGAAGAAGGGGACGCTGGATCAGATCCATCGTGGGTGGACGCACTGCTCATGGACATGGTCTAATATGCGCCATCCCAATGACTCCGGATGATGCGTTCAGTCGTGCAAGGAGAGGGAAACAAGTCGACTTGATAAGTCACAAAGAGAAGGGGAAAAAAGATACGGCGGGCGAAGGCCTGACGGAAGAATAAAATGCTGACCGAGATTCCAATGACGGAGGAATCTATACGGAAGGACAGGAAGAAGACGCTGTCAAGCTACCGATGGAAGGGAATGTATTCTGGTTTAGATAGAAGAGGCACAGAGGAAATGCATTCAAACAAAATCACACAACAATTGCAATGATGGAGGTAGCCAGAAAGAAAAGGCAGAAATTAGGGCGTGATGAGGAATGAGAAGAGAGAATGGCCAGGCACTGGCGGGATGTGCATCACCGGTCTCTCGATCAATCAGCAGCCCTCATTCTTTATTAGTAGGTCCTTAGGCGCAGGCAGTCCCCCTCTCCCCCTCCAAACGCCCTGCGACACCGCAAATCCGTGCCATACACATGTACCAGCTGGCGTGCGATTGGATGGTACATTACACCGCAGGATAAGGGCCCAGTGGGTCGACGGGGGGACGGCCGGTATACTTGTAGGATGCAGTAATGTATCCACGGAAGACTCGGGAATCACGGGGATCGAGGGACGAGGGTAGCTAGAAATGGTGAAAGAAAGAGACTGAGCGACGCCAAAGAGAACAAGCTGGAGAACTCTGGACAGTAGGAGGGCACGGCACGGCACGTCTTTCTTCTCTTGTAACCCCCCGAAACCTCCAGAAGAGAACAAGCCCGTCGTCCTGGTCGTATGTATCTTTGTATTCCTCTGGCCTCTGCCTCAGCCTCTGCCGCCGCCTCCCAGCGTCTACGAGGCCGATGCGCTGGCAGCCTCTGCCTCACCCCTCCTCAGCGCCAACAGCGCCCTCACATCCGTCACGTACTGCAGCGCCTCTAACATGGGTATCAAATGAAGCAAATCGTTGTCGGTCGGATCATTGATCCATCCTTCAATCGGGATCGCGTTGTCTGTCATCCCCGTGGTCTTAGTCCTCAGCTCAACCTGCGTTTCAGAGGTGCTTACCTTCGTGGAAAATGTAGCTGACGGGACTGTTGTCCAGAATAATAACCTTGCTCAAGTCGGGCTCAATGCTGCTGAGATCTTTGATGTACGCCCCATTGCGAAATGTGCAATGTTGCCGGTAGTATCTTCCCACAAAATACTTGCGCTCCTGCTCCAACCAGTCAATCACGGGATCAGCGTATTCTTGTACTGACGCCGTAAACACCACCAGCTTATACCACTTGGCCACTTTGCGCAGAAAGTCGTCGCAGTGAGGTCGCTTGTGCACATAGTATAGGATGGGATGCTGGGGTCCAATCACAGGTGTTGCCTGACCGGGTTGAGGAGGTGCTAGAGCCACCGGGGCATTCAACTTGACCTCGACCATATGCCCCGACGACATCCGACCTCCTTTGGCCAAGGAATGGATCAAGGTCTCATCAAGGTCCAAGATCAGCGTCTTTTGCTGGAGTGGCGGACCATGGCGGGTTGGAGACCTGGGAATGAGGTTGGCATAGGAAGGTTGCCTTCGAGGAACCAGCGGCCGAGGTGGCTGCGGCGCATGAGGATATCTAGTGATCCTAAGGGAAGGAGAAGGCGACCGCGGAGATTTGATGTTGTCGACGGTCAACGGAGTGGAACCGGCCAAGGGGCTGGCAGCTTTCTTTTGTTTTCGCCGTTTGAGAGCAAGATCATTCTGCTCTTTGATCCTGATGGAGGATCGCCGCGTTTCCGAGTCCTCTCGCAGGCTCTTCTCGCGCTTCGGCTTCGACCGTAGCTGAGCGTGCTCAAGCTTGCGATTTTCTGCGTCCGAATCTGAAGTGGTGGCATCTAATGAGTCGCTTGAATAGGAGTGACGCAGCTTGGTCTCTTGGAGAGCACGGTGAGTGGGCTTCTCGTTCGCCCAACTGCTGTCCTGGGCAGCATTTGAGAGCGCCATCGCACGTGCAGTCCTGGCATTGAGCGCTCTTTCCCTTCGCGGCCAACCTGGAATAACGGTGAACTTCCCGTCCTGATCCCTAAAGCACTTGGCGAGGTAGACCACCGGGGCACCGATTGCAGCCAGGATGGTGGTTATAGCGTCTGTCAGCTTCTTGACCAGCAGGCGCCAGCCTTCTGGAGTCGAGGCTACATCGTCCTTCTCGCCCGTGTACAGTAAAGGCCGCTTCTCATCCTCCGACTTTATGCCAGGTTCGCCGTCCTCGGTGGTTACTTCAACGGGAAGCTTGTCTGAGAATTCATTGTCTGGCTCATTCTTCAGCTCGGCTGTAAGCTCCGCGCTGTATGATCTTCCCCTAAAATCCTCATCGCCAGATTCCTTCTTCAGAAGTTCACCTTGAGATCGGGACCGAGGACGAGAAGATGATTGAGACTGTCCGATGACTCGGGAGGAGATGAGATTGAGCGAGTTCATCTCCCACCAGAGACGCAGGCGCGGACACTTTGTAGCGGTCGATGCATCGGCTTCTGGGCAACAGTGTCCTCTGGTTTGACTATCGTGATCGCATGACGATCTTAGACGATGGCGGGGGTGTTGGCGAGCAGCGGGATAGGGATATGGTAGGCTTGTGAATAGCGATGAGATGACACGATATGCTCACATAGTCCAGCTCAACGTGATGGGGAGAGTTCCTTTCACTTCCAACAAACGTTTGCGGGGACAAAGAAGACAATAGGGACAAGATCATTAAGCTCAGGGCTGAACAAGTTCTTATTGATGAAGGATGGTGGCTGGCGCAGCTGATCCGATCAAGAAGCCGGTCACGAAACAACTCGGGGTGGGAGTTCGAAGTGGGAGTTCGGGAGTGGGAGCGAGACTACACACGCGGGCGGCTTCCGCGTCTCCAAATGGTGGCATGCGAGTCATCCCTCACCACCAAAAAATTGTCGGTTTAGACGCAAACACCGCTGTACGACGTCGACCTCCACGTACAGGCAGAATAAAGAAATCCACTCTAGAGCAGATTTATTGCGCTGTCTCTTTCCTGCTTGAGTTCTAGAGCCACGTGTTTTCCTTGCTGAAACCTCTACAGTCTTGAACCACAGACTCTGAGCACGACTCCAAAGGATAGGAGACAACTACCAAAGTTGTACGCAAATACCTTGCGGGTTTTCTCTCCTGGTTAGAGGGCCAGCAATATGGCACCCGCTGCAGCGTCTCTGACGCCGGGGTTTGCCAGTTTCCAAAAAGTCTTGTCGACAGAGCCGCTCGACACTTCGACGACATATTTGGTTTCGTGGGTTCTATATTCAAGTTTCTTCCGGCAAAAACTGGGCTAATATGTGGATAGATTGCTTAAGAGACGGCAAATAAGAGGCTCGAAACGATGCGCTGTTGTTACGACACTCCTGCTGCTCCGTACCGTTGAGGTAACCAAACAAGCCGATTCAGTCAGGTTGATCCAAAGAGTCACAGAGGTTGGCAAAAAGCTCATCGAAGCTGCTCCTCACGAGCCAGCCGTTGGCAACATCGTTCGCAGAGTTTTGGGAATAATACGGGAAGAAGAGGAAGATGACGCTGTGGGCACAAAAGGAGGAGATGAGTTGAGCTCCGTTGGTGGTGATGCGGACGTTGACTCGCCCACAGCGTTGGAACCTATGCAATCAAGAGGCATCTCTCATGCGGTCGTTAATGGCGATTCTACCAGCCCTTCGCCTCACAAAGGCACTGCAAGTCCCCGCCCCCCGTTACTGAGCTCGCGCACTGGTGCTCCAGAGACTACTCGCCCTGTGACCTCTATGTTCAGCATCAATGCCCATCCGACCATGCGAATGCTTGGAGGACCAAATGACTCACCTTTAAGCCGCAGTGGTCAAGCCACTCCACAATTGCATGCTTCAAGCATATTTCAGTCGAATATCCGCCCTGAAGTGATAAAAGGGATTAAAGAGATCATTGATGAAATCAATGCTGCCGACGATGAAATTGCCACTGCTGCACTCGACCAGATTCACCCACAAGAGACCATCTTCACATACTCTTCTTCCTTGACTGTTCAGCGATTCCTCCTTCGAGCCGCTTCAAAGCGGAAGTTTACAGTTGTCCATGCCGAAGCATATCCCAACAATCACCTAAAGACATACGCCTTACTTACCGGGAATCAAGAAGCTGTCGCGGAGGATGAGGAAAACCTGCCCAACGACACGTTCTCCAAAACGTTAACTTCGGCTGGCATCACGGTCATGATGATTCCCGACTCGGCAATCTTCGCAGTTATGTCTCGTGCAAACAAGGTCATCCTAGACGCCCACGCGGTCTTAACAAATGGATCCATAGTCGCCGCGGCGGGAAGTAAGGCCGTCATCAAGGCTGCCAAATTCCACCGCATTCCCGTCATCGTGTTGGCAGCAACATACAAACTTTCTCCAGCGTACCCGTACGATCCATTCAAATTGATTGAGTACGGGGAGGCAGGAAAGGTAGTGCCATTTCAAGCGGGCGAGTTGCGCCACGGACTAGAAGAAGGAGCGAGGAATCCTCTATATGACTTCGTCGAGGCAGGGGATATCGACTTGTTTGTCACCAACGAAGTGCCAGCTGCTGTGAGCACCGGATACTTGTACAGGGTTGTGCGGGAACAGTATCGGGATGAAGACTTGCAGCTGTGATGAAGCTTTTGAGTTAACATTGAGGCTGCTGTCGATCTTCGTTGCGCGAGGACTGCCTGTCGTACGTCCAGAATAAATGTTAGGATAGAGAAGAGCTTGATACCCCCTGGCACCGGTGGATTTGGTGGCATACAGATTGTTTGCAACGTCTGTTGCGCTTTTGGATTCCAGCACAATACACTATACAAGATACAAGGCTAACCATTGCTTGGTAAACGTCTGAGGGCAAACCCGCGAGGCCCTGGCGCGTTGATGGTAATACAGATCAGAGAAGTCCTTTTCACACAGAGTTCATGGAGAACTGTATCAAGGAATAGCCTTGTCCTCACCGACCCTCTGCCTTCTCAGCCGTCCCGGGCCCTTCTTCTCCTTCCCCTTGATCTCGCTCGGGCGGTCCTTCTCCCCCCTCGCCCACTCATACACGGTCCCATCCTCTTCAAATTCCTTCCGCTCTTTTTCTCTTTGCTCCCCCTGATCCTTCTCTAGTCTGCCCACTTCTTCTTCCAGCGCCTTCTCCCCGTCAAGCCGGAACCTCGTCACCTTGCGGATATTCGCTGCCATCATCTCGGACATGTCGAGGTTCTCTCTCCGCTGGCGCACGAGCGCTTTGGCGGTCATGCTGAACCGCATATCCCGCGGGCCGTCCACCAGAGAGAGAATCGCCGAGGGCGCTTGATCCTCCCGTATCGGTTCCTGCCTCAACACTCGCGTGTAGCCTCCCGGGCGGCTCGCATAGCGTAACCGCAACTCGCCGAATAATTTGTCCATGTGCCCTTCTCTCTCGGGCTCGAAGAAGATGGTCTTTGCCCGTTCCCGTGCGGCGCCCGTGTTCTTCTTGCCCAGCGTGATGAGTTTCTCGGCCAGCCGTTGGGCTTCTTTGGCTTTGTGCCAGCTTGTGGAGATGGACTCGTTGGCGATCAGCGAGGTGACGAGGTTGCGGAGGAGGGCGCGGCGGTGAGCCGAGTCGCGGCCCAAGTGCCGGTATTTGAGCGTCGACATTGTGTTTTCTGGGAAGCGGCAGGAGAGGGAAGTAGAAGGTTGATCTCGTTCAGGAACGAGCAGGTCGCTGTTCGTAAAAGACCAAAGTGCCCCGGAGGACTTAGTGTCACGCTGAGCTTATTGCAACATCGGAGGAGGGCTGCGGAGACTGAGAGAGAGCTGGTCGTGTTAACACAGAGTATCAATGGTCTTTAGATCGTCCCCGAAGTGAATCATGAAATTCTTCGCAATAGAAAGCTTTTCGTTCAATGGCGGGAAGTGGCTCGGTGGAATTCTAGTCGAGCGAATAGTCCACAGTACAACGGGCCTAGTAGAGTACGGCGGATCACCAAGTCGCTGGCGGCAATTTCAACCACCCCTTCAGACCTGTATAGGACATGGAGCTCCAGTGTATTCCGTATATTTACGAGGTGAGTGTGGCTCACATTAGACAGAGGAGCGGATATAATGTCGTGGACCTATTTTGCGATGGGACTAATATCTGATCTCCAGCGGTGCTACCTTAGCACGTCAGCTGTGGTATCTCTCTTCCAGTGCGGACAAGGCTGCGAGGCCACGAGGCTGGAGACAATGTGATGCCGCCCTCCCCTCCCTTCTTCGTCCCTGCCTCACCCACCCACAGGGGAATATACATATCTTCCCTCTTGCCAAGCGTGCAACACCATCAGTAATTGCGGGTCCATCGCAAAAACAAACAGATATCAATATCAAAGGACAAATCTGTGTTCACATTCGACCGGTGCGAAAAGCAAGGTGCAGCAGTAAGGCTCGTCCACAGTCTTGGATTGTTTACCCAGGAATTGTTGATCGTGTGGCTCCCACTGCTCTCTCACCAGCTCATCTCGCTAACTCGAAGCTACCAGAGAACATCCAAAGACAAGGATCCATCGAAACCGTCGGAGGGAGCTCTACAATCCTGTATCTCTCTAATGCGGCTGAGATGGTGACTTGAGGATACTGCTCCGATGGCGGCGAGTTAGACGGGTGAACTGATGAGGGGGCGGTGTGGGCACAAGATCAATATGTTACCTGACAAACAAGTACTCAAGCTATAGGTGGGAGCATCAGCACAGCGTGTGATTCAAGCCAAGTGAATGCAGGAGAAACAAAAAAATTCCTTCGCGGGGTTTTCTCACAAGCTGAGTTTTTTTGCACTTTTGCTAGAGGTTTTTTTTTAACTCTCTCTCTCTCTCTGTGTGTGTGTGTGTGTGTGTTCTAAAGAGTAGCGTCACAAAGGAAATACCCTTTATAGTGTCTATATCTATAATTTTGCCTGGACGGGGGAGGATGGTAGTCTTGCTTTCGACCGCAGCTCCTTTCTTAATATCTTCCCAGATGCGCTCTTCGGTATCTCGTTGACAAAGAAAACACCTCCTCGCAGTTGCTTGTAGCTCGCGGCGTTCCTTTTGACAAAATCGGCGACCTCTTGAGCCGTGATGGGTTCGCCCCCAGGCTGTAGCCGGCTGACCACGTAGGCCCGCGGGACTTCTGTTTGTTGTTGGTCGTCCCAGAGGCCGATAACCGCGGCGTCTGCAATCCGCGGGTGTGAGGTGAGGAGCGCTTCGAGCTCTGCCGGGGCCACCTGGGCGCCTTTGTACTTGATGAGTTCCTTCTTCCGGTCGACGATGCGAACGTGCCCGTCCTTGTACGTCCCGATATCCCCCGTGCGATAAAAGCCGTCCTGGAACGATTCCAGGGTGGCCTGCGGCCGGTTATGGTACGCCTGGGCGAGGATGGGACCTCCGACCAGCATCTCTCCTGGCTGACCCTCGGCGAGATCCTGGCCATCCTCATCGACCACCCGGAGTGTGACGTTGGGACACAGCTCGCCCACGCTCCACGTCCCGTCCTTTGCGTAGGCGGGCCAGTCCGTGGCAGCGATGACACCGGTCGTCTCAGTTGTTCCCCATGTTTGAGCCATGTGAGCCCGGCCTCGACCTAGCTTCTTCCTGACCTCTCTCACGACATCGTCTCCGATTGGGGCGGCACCCGTAACGGCAACCTGAAGGGCGTCGAAGTGGTCAGTCACCTTGTCGCTCTTGGCAATACGCAGCCATACCGGCGGCACGCTGAATTGGTATGCAGGGCGGTACCGCCGGTGGTATTCGAGAAAGGAGTCGAAATCGTACTTTTCCATCCACCAAGTTGTGCCGCCCATGTAGAACGGATTCGTCGAGTACAGGCTGATCCCGGCGATGTTGGACATGGGCAGATGTGCTATCGTGTTGAAAGTGAACTCTCGTCCTTCTCTTTTGCAAAGGGCCTGGTAGCGCCGCGCGGGGTCCATTGTGCAAACATTGTTTGCCACGAGACTCCAGTGAGATATTCGGATGCCTTTTGGGAGACCCGTCGTTCCAGATGAATACAGCAGGCATGTGGTGACTTCTTCTAGCCTCCGCTGGTCTGTGATGCGCTGCCATTCCAGCATCTTGCCACGGCTTCGTTCGAGCACGTCTGACCGGTCCGCCACCGAGATCAATTTCCAGCTGTGTGGGATCGTGCTGTCCAGGATCAAAACCCGGTCCCTCGCAATACCACAGGCATCGGCCGCTTGGACCACCTGCGCTTCGCATTCGGGAGAGCACACCAACAACGTAACCGCTCCGTCCTCAATCTGACGAGTCAATTCTTCCACTCGGTATTCCGTGCTGGCACCCGAAAAGATGCCCCCAGCAGCGACGACGCCGTAGAAGAAGACCGGTGCAAACGGACTCCCACTAAGCACAGTAAGGACAACATCCTTACCTGCTCCCGAGGCGCCGATGCCGAACCGGTGGCGAAGCACATATGCAACCTGTTTCAGCAATCCGCGGCTCTCGGCCTTGGTGATGCTGTTGGATGGATTTGCAGCTTGCACGTGGATTTTGGTCTCCTCAAGGGCCAGACACCAGTCTGAGTCTGCAGTAGAAATAATCAACGAGCCATGGTCGACACACGATGCATGGGGGAGGGGAATGATGAGCCTTACCGAACAACAGCGATAGGAGATCGAGGCGGGGAAGATCTATTTCCCTCTTGGACTTGAACACTACCATGTTAGCTGGAAGTATGAAAAGGACGCCTTTGGAAACCTCCTCTTTCTACCACTGTTCTAGGGCCGATCCCAAGATGTATATAGAGTATCGAGGGTTGTATACGAAGCTGCCACTTAGGGAATGAAGAGGGTGGTTTATGCTGGGGAGTGCGGGGAAGGCTGAGAGGTTGCCCCGGGTATCGCATGTTATAGCCGAGTTCCCCCAGCAGTCGGGGACCGAGCGTTGTGAAGGGTAGAGAACTTGGAGGCATCTCTGCTTCAAGATGGGAAGCCTAGAAGAGTGGTAAGGGTAGCCCGAAAATGGTCCATAACTTCTCAGATCATCCCTACTCATATTGCTACTTCCTCGTCCGTACGTCAAGTATATTCCAGTCGACTAGGACGAAGGTGGCATCACTCCATCATATCAGGTTCGTGAACATCTTATCTGTCGTGGAATAGGACAGAATTCACGGCACAGCAGCGTCTCCGCCTCGTCAACGAAACACCAGGGGCTAAACAACTCCTGCAAACCAACAACCAGTAGTCACAGCCCCCCGTCTGATGCAAGCCTGTATAAGCCCGTCTAAGCCTCGCGAAGCTCTGCATTAGTCTCTAAGAGGAGATCTCTCAGGGGCCAATATGGAGACTCGTATCTCGGGACCAGCCGTCCTCCCCTCCCGTCGAAGATGGCATTCTCATTGTTTCCCTACGATCTACCATAATGGCCGATGCTTACATCTATTGAAAATGAATACACGCCCGAAGGAACACCAGCACGAAGCACGATCTGAGATCCACCAGCTTTCGATTGATGTATGCTTCGATGGACTCTCGGATCTCTTGAAGTGACTGGCAAGGCTTAATGATGGAGAAATTGCGTCGACAGGGGGAGTCGCAGGGCTAGCCTCCCTATCATATGCTGTGCCGCGTGCATCGCCGCCACCGCGTCTCGATGCTAACAAGACCCTTGTCAGGCAACCTATGGGTCTTGCAAGAGGTGTTTGGGAAGTGCTCTGGGTGCCAAAGGTCAGGCTAAGCGCTGCAAACTATGGCCAACATACTTTCTCTATTCCTCCTTCATTCTTCCTGGTCGCTGAAATCCAGGAGTGTAGCAGAAACGAGAGAAGACGGATCCCCGTCGATCAGGACAACTCCTCTTCGATTGTATATTGCAGACTGACGACAATGCCCGATTCGAAGGCCGCCTCTGAGGACGTGACGGAGAGCCTCAAGCCCGCCAGTCTACGACAAGGGCGCTCGCTCTTGCGGAAGTAAGATCTTAATCATGCCATTGTCTGCTAGGTTGACCCCTGATCTCTTGCCAGTGACGAAGACCAGTCCCGTACACACGCCGCCATATCGGCATGGGGCATCGAGACTCTGGGGCTTTTGATTGCCGTCATTGCCTTTGTCGCCATCGTCATCACACTGGCGCTTCATCAAGGCCGACCTCTCCCTGGATGGCCGCATCTGATATCCATCAACGCGTTGATTGCGGTCTTTACGGCAATACTCAAGGCGGCCTTGATACTCCCAGTGGCATCCGGTATGAATGCTTCTGGCTTGTCCTCTGCATCGCTCGTGCTGAAGGGCTCTCTCCCCGAAAGGCATCTCCAGACTCAAGTGGCTGTGGTTTACCCAACCTCAAAAAGCGGGCGATCTGGAGCATTTTGACTCTGCCAGCAAAGGGCCCTGGGGCTCTTTCTTGCTCCTATTAGATCTCCGAGGCCGGTCAGACACCCTCCCCAGAGAGCCCTCGAATAAATGCTGATGGTCTCAATTTCCAGGCATTTGGCAGCGCTGGGAGCTTTGATCACTGTGCTCGCGACCGCAATCGATCCATTTTCGCAACAAATTCTCGACTACCATGACTGCTTGCGTCCGATTGCCGGCGCGGGAAATACGCCGGCCACGATGCCAATCACAAATTACTATGGTGCGGGTTCGTATTTCACGAATGGCGACTCAAAGGCTGCCGACGGAAACATGACGGCCGGGATATACTTGGGACTCATCAATCCTCCTGTCAATCTGTCCTCGGCCATCGTACCCAACTGTGCCACCGGCAACTGTACATTCTCCACGAATGCGAGTGACACGTACACCACCGTCGCCATGTGCAGTTCATGCACCGACATCTCTCGGTCGGTTCAGAACACCTCCACAAGTGAGCAGCTGAACTACACCACGCCTTCCGGGTGCCAAATCGGCCCCAGAGCCATCTTTGGCAATTCGATGTACGTGGTCGACGAAAGCGACGACGCAGAGAATCCTCTCGTGACCATCGACGTCCTCGTGGCGCAGAACAACGCCGAGGGCGACAGTTATACGCCCTTCGCCGCACGATGCAACCTGGTTCCGTGTGTGAATACTTACACCGGCAATGTCAGTAACGGCGTCCTCCACGAGACCCTGGTGTCTTCAAAGATCATGCCCTACATGGGTGCCAGCTTCATCTACTGGTACAGCCTGGTTCTCCCTTCCGTCAAGCGCAACGGCGAGGAAATAACGTGCACCCCGACCGCCGAACCGCGTCACGACACCGATCTCTGCTCGAACATAGGCTACACGCCGTACAACTTCTCCGCTCCGGCGAAGCAACAACAATGCTGGCACAACGACTGCGTCTGGACCCTCGGCGTCAATCCGTCAGGCGGGATCCAGGGCCTCATTTTGTCCCTGTTCAACGATTCGCAGGTCACGAACATCGACGACATCCCCTACGGCGTGCCGTGGATGGTCGACCTCTGGAACCAGGGCGCCACGGACCTCACGCACTTCGAGACCGCCTTCGCCGGTCTCGCGGACCAGATCACGTCCGTGATGCGACAGAAAGGCGAGAACTCGACGACGCCGCTCGCGCTGGGGACGACGCTGGGGGTGCAGACGTGCATCAACGTCCGGTGGCCGTGGCTGTCCTTCCCTGCGGCATTGATCGTCTTGACGATGGTCTTTTTCGCCGTCACGGTCCTGCGGATCTCAGGCAGCGAGGTGCGGAAACTGTGGAAGTCGGGCTCCCTGGTGCTGTTGTTCCACGGCCTGAGTGTCTACAGTCTCCACCGCGCAGAGGAGGGACAGTCGGAGCAGAACAGCGACTCGGAAGAGGCGGCGAAGAAAGTCACGACCAAGCTACAGTGGTCAGGCAGCGAGTTCGAGTTCGTCGAGGGCCTCGAGCCCCAAAACCTAGTTACCAAGATACCATTATAGCCCGGATTTGGCTCCGGCAAGACCAGAGGCTGTTGATGTTCGCTGCGCTTATGTGTTCCCGCCGTCTTTACAGCGATGGCGGGATCTCCTGTGAAGCCATACCACACAATTGCGCGTCATAAAGCGGACGCCATTGAACATAATCAACAGTAAAGTCGGCCCCGGCACCACCTTTTCCAAGCCACCCATTATCTAAACATACATAGGCGGGCTGCCCTCGTCGACGTCGTGCATCACGATCGTTGTGCAGACATTCTCTTCATCTCGATCCCTTAGCGGTGGTCCCGTCGGTCCACCCCTTAGACGGCGACACGTTGGCCCGCAGGGCCTTGCCACAGGCCCCAAATCGTAAAATATCTGCAAGGGCACTTCCAGTCTAAGCTTTGACTGTACTTTGATCCCAGAGACTTTCACATCCAGCAGAAGACTGTACTGTTGACTTGCCGTGGGGCTCCAGAAGGTAGGTACGAGACCATGGGGGATGGTGAGAGGGCACCTGAAGTGGCCGTGCCAGCATGGGTCAACTTCCGAAGCTTGTGCATCGTCACCCAGTCTCCTGCTGTACCACTCCCACTTCTCTCTATTCTTTTCATCTCTCATAGTGGAGGAGCCGCCATGGGCGGTTTCTTCGAAATGCATGGATGGCCTCCTCCAAGCATCCGCTGTTGATTTCACGGGAAGACCCATTACAGCGCCAAGCTGAAATACCTGATCGTTCATCCGGCAGCTACTGGTCGGAGTCAACATGGTCTGTCCCGGGATCTTCTCAAAAGCCACGGGGCTGTAGAATGTCTTGGCCCGTAGACCTGCCTGCACCTGGACCTTGACTTTGGCAAGGAGCCGACGAAATCGACGTTCGTCCACGCATGAAACCGGTCGTGAAAGGCGGACGCTGAGCTCAATGTTTGCCGTCTGGTCTGATTTTTGACAATTGAACGCCACCGCAGCTGGTTCTGTCGTCGATACCCTAAGGCGGAATTTGGGCGATTTCAGCCTTCGGAGGGCACACTGGGTCTCCGCGACGGTTCTGTATTCTGCAGCAAAGTCACCCAGGCTGATCGGCGGCATGATTGAGGAGGTCTTCCAGATCTTGATCGGCTTCTCTTCCCTCAGAATCCACGTATCTGACGTCGACTGATCAAGTAGCGCCACTTTGGCAACGAGATGATAAGAAATATTGGGTTGCGCGAAGAGTCTGCCATGGTCGCGGTTCCACGCAAGTCTGCCAATCAACATTGTTGGGGGAAGCTCAAGACTCCCTGCTGGCAACTTGTCTGCGTTCGATGATATTGTACTGGATATCAGGAAGTCAAAAGGGATGCGATATGTTGAGAGGGCAGGCCTCTGGGTCCCGTTGCCGACTTTGCTGACAGAATGCGCATCATGGTTTTGTGAGAGAAACTAGACGGTTTTTTTTAGCCTTGATAAGTTCACAATTATGGTGTTGACTTCCTTACTTTGTGTGCAGAAAACGTCGTGCTGCGGTCCTTGTTCGTAATGTGTATCAGTGACAAACCTGAGGCAGCATTCTCGTCAGTGGGATCTGGAAAGCTGCTACCACACGGCTTCGCACACCTTCAAGGTCAATCCTCGCGCTAGAGATGGTCGATGAACATGGCACTCTGATAACGACAGCCCCACGCATGTGTTCGCCGGGGAGCCAGTACTGTTGTTCAAACATATCGAATGTGATGCTGAGAGCGTCTGACGCTTGGTTGCCAGGCTGCGACTGCCATAGGTACTTCATCCTGCCTCGTCCTTGCAAGCCAAGCAAGTTTTGTTCGGACGGTATCGTATCCTTTCGTTGCCGTCTGCTGGATGCGTCTTTCCAAGGTATCAGGCAAAGAATTTCCCCCAAAAACGGATGAGAAGGGCTGTTCTTTCGTTCAGCCAACAATACTATGACGCAGTGGTGTATGAACACCTCATAGACATAGCAGAGCTCACTTAGCGAAACAGGAGAATGGCACAGATGACGCTATATGTATAGCTTGTCGATGGCTTCACTACCATTGAAAACATACCTTTTGATAGAGGGACAGAAGCCCAGCTGTAGGGTGAGATGACGTATTGGAATTGAGTTAGCCACTCAAGCCATAGAGGTAGGTGAATAGCAGTCACTGAAATGGACTGGGATGTGGTCAGGCAGTCAATGGATGGAAATAAAGGGAAAGAAAGAAAGAAAGGGTTGAGACAAGAAACCTGCCTGCGCGAGCCCAATGATAGCCTGTCGATCGATGTAGAGGGAGGGCTTACAGTCAATCGATCTCAGACAGTATTTCTTGTAATGGCATTAGACTGTCCCGTTGGCCGGATCCTAGTGGTGAACAGCCAGTAGCCTTGTAAGTCTGGATTAGGACTGGCAGTCAAAGCAAGCTCTGGCCATGAGGCGGCCAGTGCACAACAAACACCTACCGCTGGTGCTGCTGATATCAATAAAGTGGTTCAGGCGTCGGCGCTCTTCTGTTCTCATCCTCAAACGAGATTGATGCTACATAAACGCCAGGCGTTCCGAGCCATTCCACAGATGGGACGCACTGGAGCGACTGTGCTGAGGATCTTCCCGCAGTCCCCAAATAGAAGTATTCCAGGGCCTCAGGTGTCGATCCATCCACGCTGCGAGACGACTGAGCTGGCTGCAGCACCATGCGGTAAGTGCAACAGCATCAAGCCGTGGCCCTTTGAAAACCCCGTCCTGTACGAAGGCACGAGACCTTTGGCAGGAACTTGGAAACTCGCATTGCCGAACCGGGTCGTCTGCCGAAGTAAACATTTCCATAAGAAGCACAAGTAGAGATCCGGTGAACGGCGATTCGTCCAGAATGGCCGCGCATGTGCTCACTCGTCATAAGGCCCCTTGCCCAGGCCGCTGCTGGACGTGGCTAGTATCCGAAGACGGCGAGCCCAACACCTTGGAGTATTTCCCTCATGCTCGTTTGGATTTTCCGAAAATGGAATTGAGCGTCGCTCGACAAGCAACAACCCCTTCGAAAGATGTTGGAAGTCAGACTACACGAGAAGCCTGGTCAGCATCATTTGAACGGGTTTGAGATGGATTTTGTGAAAAGAGTACTCGTCTCGAATGTACAAATATATCACGTAGCACTGCTAGTTGCAATGATCCACCGTATCCGGCAAGAGATATAGTAGGGCGGAGTATAGGCGCTAAATATTTTGTATTCTGATATCAGAGCTCAATTCCCGGCTGAAGAAATACTTTGAGCTTTTCTACTGATATATCCACGTCGACCGCTTGAGCGAAATCCTACCGACCAGAGTCCTAGCTTCTTGTAACAGGACACCTAAGCTCTATCCACACTCACTCCCTTTCGTTCATCTCGCTCGACACGCTTGTTTCGACGGGGTTCTACCAACTTGACCTGAGTTCTTAAGCTCTGAGAAGCACAGAAAGACCGTTATTCTTATTTAGCATCTGGGTCGGATAGCGATTTTGAAGCTCTCCAAACGCCCAAGATGGGCTTCACAACAGGCTTTGTAAGCACTGCCTCTTCCTCTGTCAATCCCTTCCAGACGAGGCCGCTCGTACTGACCAGGTATTTTGAACAGCTGGGTGGTGCGACACTAACATACTCTCTTCTCTACCTCTCTCTATACTTTCACCGCGCAAACCGCAATGTTCAACGCACACTCTTGTCCCAACAAGCCGCGCTACTAAACTCCGTGGTTGAACCCGCGCCGCCACTGCCCGAGCCTCCGGCGTACGAAGTCCGCAGAGCTGGGCTGATGGAAGAGCTCAAGGATAGGTGGAACAGAGAGGTGGCGAGGCTAGTCAAGAATGTGGAGGAAACTGATTGGTCAGGCGTGAGGGAAGGAGTCGAAGAGAAGGTGGGCAATGTCTGGACAAGAATGAGGCAATCGCAGACGGGTAAGGAGGTCGAAGATAAGATGAAGGAGGCGGTCGATGCTGGAAAGGAGAAGGTGGACGAGATGGTGGGTGCTGGAAAACAAAAAGTCAAGGAGGAGACGGCACAGGAACCGACAAGGCTGCTCGAGTTGAAATGAGGTTGCGGCCTTTGTCGAAGCAGCATATTCCCTTTTCTTAATATGAACGGTCTTGTCTCCTCCACCCCGAAACTGTGGCAATCAGAGCGACCTAGCGGAGAAGCCACAATTTGCACGCGGCACCGGGACAGCTTCCAACTACCTTTTCGGCCGCTGAAGTTTTTCAACGGGCTCAACTATATCGTCCTGCTCTCGACGACGGCTTGACCTTCTTCGCCAACAAGGTATCCGATCGCCAGCAACATTTTGAGTGCTGAGCAATCCACCGCGCCCAGTCAATTCTCTCGTCCGTCTGACGAGGTTGGCGATTAGCTTGTTCAAGGTGAGGTCAAAGAGCATGGTGCTTCTTTCCTGGCTAAGGCCCGTCCCCGTCGACTTGCGACATCCAGCTGGTATTATCAGGCTACCAAATCTCACAGAGAAAGGACGAAGGCGTCTTGAAGGGCTCCATTTTTGGACACAGGGTCGTTTTAGACAAATAGTCCAAGCTCCTTCCTGTCTCACGTCTCCCTACCAATATGAAAGCTGCGTCGCACGCACCTTTGGCTGGACAGCAATCGCGGATTCGTGTCTCTTGCAGTATGAGTAAGGGAAAGAAGAAAGCAAACGCGGACGGGGCGGGACAAGATTTCGCAAGAAGAGGAGAGTGGTGATGGGGAAGAAGTGAGAAAGTCGTGCCGGAAAGGTGCCCAAATATCTTGAGGTATTCTATCACAACAAATTCAAAACTGGTTCTCGTTTTCCATCCCTTATCGAGCCGAGACGCTGAAGTCTCTCGCGCTGGTTTTGCTCATTAGGTCAATTCGGAGACATGCTATGGTTTCGCGGAAGCTTGCCACCTGCAGCATGATCGTATTGGAACCTTCAGCCTTCAAAAAGCCATTGAACACCGTAGAAAACAAACGCCTCCAACACCATGCATGCTGTTTTTCGAGTTCCTCGATCGTTCCCTTTGAAAAGTGTTCCTCCAGTTGCAAAGTGGTCCTTGTACGGCGAGCAAATCGTCATCTCAAGTTGCTCATTCATCGTCATCATTTGATTCATCATGTGGTTCTTCTCGCTTGTTCGCACACATCTCAGTCTCTGGAAAGAGCCTTCTGTCGATGCACCACCACCCACCTGCGCCTCAGCTCTCTAGAGATGGAGAGCGAGAGACTCGGAGTAGTCATGACGTACTCGTCACCTGCGCCAGCTCGTTGGCCCTCTGCAAACTCTTCTCCAGATCTTTGACTCTTGCTCTCAATGTCTCATTCTCCCGCTTCACGGCCTCAAGTTCCGCCCGCTGTGACGCCGCCTCTTCATACCTCGCTTGCGCAATAGCTGCGTTGGAACTCGGAGAACGCGTCATTGCGGCATGAGGAGCGACAGACGAGGCGTCCATCGTCGACGACACAGAGCTGCGGTGTGGATATGCATATCCTCCTTGGGTCAAATGAGGGGAAGAAGTAATCGAACTAGATCGGAATCCTGATGCAGAGGTCGAATTCTGTCGACTCATGTCCGGCCTGCTCATTTCCATGCTAGGTCGTGCGCTGGCTTGGACACTCTGATCTCGTGGGGCGGCCACGCCGGAGACGCTGGTGTTGGCGGCATTGGTGAGGCTTTCACGGATTGAGCGAGCTGAACGAGTGGAAAGGTTCGAGGAGGAACGATGACGGCGGGTGTTGGTTGGGATGATTGTGGTTCCGGTTGTGGTTGTATTGTATGGGTCGCTCGAAAACAAGTGCTCGGAAGTGGACGAGGTTGTAGAGGCTACAGAGGCTGTTTGGGCCCGTAAAGCAGAGAGTTCTCGTGTGAGTCGATTGACCTTGGAAGCGTCATCGTTAGTGTCCCGTTTCTTGCACGCCGATGTCCTTGCCAGTGGCGAGGGCTTACAATGCTTTCTTGCTCTTTTTCAAGTTCCAAATGCAATTCAGCCGCCGTAAGAGGTCTGGGATGTCGAATAGGCCCTGATTCGTTCTCAGTTGATCACCCTTGAGTGTTTGGGACAGACTGTGCTCGCTTTTTACTGACCTGGGCCTAAACCTACTCCTGTGTTGTCCACCATAGCCGCCTGTGATGGCCTGGGTGAACTCGGGAGACTGTTATTCTGAGGTAGCGGCGGAGGCAGCATTTGTGTCGAAGTTCTCCTCGAGGCGGGCACGGATGGGGGCTGTGGTGCGGCAGAACTGGTTCCTGAAGCCTGGGGATTCGAAACACCCCGTGGTGATCTTGGAATCGAGTTGAGGTCGGGCATCTTTGCGTATGGGAAAGAAGGGAGCACTGGAGTGACTGTCAAGACAGGTGTCAGGGAGAACAAAAAAGTGTTCTGCGAGCCAGCCTTAGAGCTCTCCCATCAGAAGTAGGAGTAGCTGTCGAAGGATGCGGTCAATGGCAGGGGATAGGTTTGCAGGGCGACGTTAGACCTGGGACAGCCTTTAAGGGCCTTTCCTCTATAGGTGAGGCGAGTACTGAACAGACCAGACCGCACAAGACGTGGGAAGGAGTGAGTGGTCTGGACTCTGGACTGAGGGCCAACGAAGCAGGTCTCAGGTTCTCTCCTTGCGCAGGTTGAAACCCTGAGGTCGCGTCGCCTTGGGCCAATCACAATCCATGGCCAGAGCACCCTCAATGCCCTGTTCCAAGATTGTAGAGCACCGGACCTAAAAGGGAAAATCGTAGCGTGTGATGAGCTCCGGAAAAGCTCTGGAACATCTGTCAAATGTCTATATCTTGAACATGGATTCATTGGATTTCATCCTGCCGCCTCTCAGCCTGTATGACCCTCCTTGAATCATTGCTTTGCCATTGCCCCTTGCATGCCCTCCGGTGTCCATTTCTGAATTGTGCGTTGATGTCGACACGGGCATCAACCGACGTTTGTGACATAACCCTCCAAAATCCAAGAAAACATTCTATCATTTCGTGCAAGAAGCTGATGGCAATCGGGTCGTCTTAATCGCCTTTTGTCTTCTAGCTGCCGCCAAACGCACGTCGCCGAGCCGACGAAGAGCCCGACGCGTGTGCCCGGAGCAAGAGGCACTCTGGCTGTCCTGGCTCACCTGTGCGACATCGCGCTTCAAACATGCGATATACTGGTTGATGGTTCAACGACAGGCTTTCCGTTTTTCACCACCGGGTCTGCGTCGCTCTCCCGCATTGCAGACGAATCTGAAGATGCCGGAAGGTCCGAGTCGTCATGATCCCAGCTCTCCCCAGCATTTGAGGGACCCTTCTCTTGTGTGTCCTCTCGAAATTTTGGCGATTGGTCTCTGTGAGCATTTTCGACATGAGCACTGTCGTTGTCTTTCTCATCTTCCCCAATCATTGCGGCCAGGCTTCTGAAATTGAACATAGGCTCAAGACTTCCTGGCGGAGGGGTACCGGAGCCCGAAAATGAAGCCGCAGGACCCGGTTCAACAAATGAAGATGAAGTTGACGAGGCAGTTGACATTTGCCGGAGATGAGACCGTCGGAATGGTTCGGCCGCTGTAGGTATCGGAATGGAACTCGCCAAAGACTCTTGGCTGGTCCCGGACAACGACAGGGCCGGAATATAATATGGTCGCGGAGCCTCTTCCTCCACCTTGCCTCCCACCACAGGAGGAGTATCACTCCGTTCTACGCCCTTGCCCTTGCTGGTTGTAGATTCATCGTCTTGGCCGAGAGAAAGATTGCTTCGAGACCTTTCCATCTGACTGCTAGAGGCGTCCCCATTACTGCCGTTTGAATTGACCGTGAAAAGACTGTTCTTCCGTGCTGCTTTCTCGGCCTTCTTGGTTTCCTTTTCCTTCTTCTTCGCTTCTTTACGCGCTTCTTTCTCCTCTTTCCTCCGACGCTCTTCTTCGGACGCTAGACTCAGGCGGATAGCCTCCATCATCATCATGTCTTCCAGATCGTCCATCCGACTTCGTCGGGAACTGCTGCCGCGTGGTGGAGGCAACAAGGCATTTGCGCGGGTCTCTCCGGCCGCCTCCTGCTGCCGCGCTGCATGTCTTTCCGCTAACATTGCGAGTGCGCTCAAGTTAGAACTTGGTCCATTCTCTCCACCCTCCAGGGTGGATCGTCTCAACATTCCGCGTCGGCTAAATGCTGCAAAGGCTCGTGAATCGGCACTCTGCCCGTTCATGAGATACGCAGCTGTATGTAACGCCGTAGCTGCTGCAGAGCGTCGGGCAGCATGGGCCCGAGCGGCTGCCAGCTTGGTAGCCCAATCAGGGCGTATCTTGTCTGTGGTAATCACTTCCGGAGCATTTGCAGACAAGGAAGTCCCCCGCCTCCGTCCAGGGCCTGGAGATAGGTTTCCAGAAGAAATTGAGGTTTGAGAGGACATGGCTGACCTGATCTGATATGGGTGAGATCCTGTGCCATAAGTAAGCCCTCTGCGGAACGGAGGTGGCGTGTAGGTGATGCCGAAATCGGGAGTTTTGCAATACGGGCAGGTAGCAATCTCGGAAACAAGCAGACCATCGGCCTGCGCTTCACGCTCAGCGTCTGAGACCGGTGGCGCATTCGGATCCGGTTGTTCATGTTCTGGAGGGTGAGGATCAGGCCGCTTGATTTGAACGAAACATTCCGAGCAGATAGGCTGTTCACAGCACCTGGTGGTGTTGAGGTAAGGTGGATAGTACAGGAAACAGATTGGACATTCTGATGCGTCCTTGTAGAGGTAAACTTCAATGGGCTGACCGTTGACGAAAGGATCCGGTGGCAGCTGGAATTCTCTTGGCGTCATATCTACCTGGGAATTACCTCGAGACGAGGTCGCTAACGATGCCAGTGTCTTCGCGCGAGTTCGAAAGGTGCTAGTCCCTGGCGAGCCGGTAGGCGGCGGCGAGGAGGGCGATGGAATTGGTAAAGAATTGGGAGGCGGCGATAAGGGGGCGGAGCTATCTGACTGAAAGGACTGTGATCTGCCTCCAATTGGGATTGTCAGGCTTTTGAGTGCTGATTCTTTGGTCCTGTCCGTAGTTATCCTCTTCGCAAGCTGGTATTCAAGCTCCGGAGGTACTTCATCCGCTGGCGGAATGGCCATGCCTCGGGCGGCTGCCATGAGTTGATGCTCTGCCCACGAATCTGAGAAATCGTTCAGACCTCTCCAGAATGGAGCTAATCGTCTCTCGATCTGAACCATGTCAGCTACTTTTAACATATCTAATGGGCCACATTTCCTTACCATGAATTGTCTGACAATTGCTTTGTTGAAGTCTTCCGTACCCACATAGACACCTTGGGTCACTAAATATCCCCCATCGACATGCTCTTCTCTCATGCTGCGCTCGCGCTCCTTGAGTCTTGCTACTCTTTCCTTTTCCGCCTTTCGAGCTTCTCTTTCCACCTTGGTCTCCCGTCGCTGCTCAAGTGAAGAGGTATCTTGATCACTGTTTCCACCAAGGCCGAGGAAGGAGAAGTCGGGTCGGCTGCCTCTTCGTTGACGGGAGTGCGCGGGTCGAAGAGGAGCTTCCAAGTTATTTTGTTGTCCATCTTGTCGTCCCGTCGGGCTGGTACTACCACTGACCCGTGGGCCAGAGGAGCCGTGCCCACGTGCTTCCTTTGTCTGAGAATTGCCCATGGCGGACGTATTTCTGGATCAATGGGCAACCTCCTGCTACTGGGATACACCGGTTTGCTCAATCATCGCCACATTTTAGGTGTGTCCTGCGGATCCGGCGTCAACCATGGACAGTTTGAGTGCAAATAAGATTTTGGTTCCTTTCGAGTGCAGAGGTCGGTACAGGTCTTTCCGAAGGGCTAGGGCACGGATCGGATGCTGCGGAGAGTACAGCCAGGTAGAGAGGCCCAGGCCGTAACTGAGAGTGATGGGCAATCAACCTCGCGAAGTGAAGAGGCCGATGTAAAGAAGGCCGTGGAGTGATCAGTGACCTTGTAAAACAACCATGTGAGATGAAATAAACTGGGACATAGTACATGCACGCGGTAGGTTATGCCGTGCAGTAGTGAAATCGCAGGGCAAGCAAGACCAGACCAATCTGCCCCAGGGATGGCAAATTTCGCTGCGGCGACGTCAACTTACTGTGCCTTGCTTTTCCCTGACGCAGGGTGCTTAGAAGAGGAGCAGGATGATGCACGGGAGGTGTGAGCACGGAGGGGAAACGCACAAGCTGGATGGTGAAATGTCAGGATTGGGCTGTTGCCATCCGAGCTTCCACGATAACGATACGGAGGGCGATCTACTGGGCCGCCCACCTATCCTTTCCCTAAATCTGCAACTCATCGGCGGTGGCTCAAGCCTAGGAGCCTCGGGCGCCCCCCGCATCACTTGGGAAAGTCAAGCTTTGGAGAACCCCCCGTGCCTCCGTTGGTGCCACCAGTGCAATTACCACGGGCTTGTGCCTGAACCATTCAAGCTTGGGCCTGATTCGTTGGGCGCAGGGGTCCATCTGCTGCCTACCACCTCTCTTGTTTCCCCTCAAAATTTCGTCCAGCGTCATTTAGGTGCCAGCTGGATGCGAGCGCGCCAAAAATCTTGCAGCGCTTGTTGTGGATAATCTCTCCTGCGAGCGCGTGCTGTATGAGATGACTGCACCATGGTCTCTGACTTTGTGCGACTGCATGTAACGCCCTTAAATCCCGATCTTCTTCAGGTCGTTGTCGGTCCGCACCTACTCAAGTTGGTCTCCAATTTGTCCTATCACTCGATCCAGACCTTTCCCGAGAACAGTTACGGCTACTTTGACCTCCCTACCATGGAAGCCGACAAATTGAAAAAGAAGCTCAACGGGGCAATATTGAAAGGCAGAAAAATTAGAGTGGAAGAGGCCCGGCCGACGAAGCGCAGGCGTGTCGAGGATTCCAGCAAAGACGACGATCCCAGCGCGGAGCTGAAGCGAACGAAGCGAAAGAGATCCAAAGAGCGCAATGTCATTCAAGGCCACGAACTCCCCGCGGCCCGCAAAGTGAAACGCGGCTGGACAGAAGCCAAGTCCACCAAGACAAGCAAAAAGAACAAAGGCAAGGCAGCTTCGTCCAGCTCAAAATATACCGATAAAGATGAGGCGCTTTTTCGAACCAAGGTTCCGCCCAATAAACTCGACAATGTAGAAGTGGCGAGGAAGGAGAAGGGCAAACCGAAGAAGAAAGGCACCCAACAAGTGGTGCATGAGTTTGAGAAGTCTACAATGCAACCTTCCTTCCTCAAACAAGATATTGGGCTAGGTATCAAAGGAAATCTACAGTACATCGAGGGAGAGGGTTGGGTCGACGAACAAGGCCTGGTGGTCGAAAAGGAACACGAGCACGTTTCTAAGCACCGCGAGATAATCAAACGACGACCACAGTCGGACCATGCAGCTGGAAAACGACGACGTCAGTCTCCACCGCCTCTATCGTCCTCGTCCGCCTCCAGTGAAGACGGTGATGAAGTCGAGGTGGATTCGAGCTCTTCAGATGTTGAGCAAAAGGAGGATACGAGTAGCTCGGGTTCTTCATCCGAGTCAGAATCCGAGGAAGAGGCAGCCAGGAGCGCATCAGCCCGCGGCACCTCGGAAACTGATGCGCAATCAGGGGTGCATCCGCTGGAGGCTCTCTTCAAGAAGCCGACAGCGCCTGTTCCACAGGATATTGCAAAGCCATCATTGGAGATTTCGACGTCATTCTCCTTCTTTGACTCGGGAAATCCTGAAGACCTTGCAGAAGAGCCTGTCATCCCATTGACGCCGTTCAGCTCTCAGGACATCCGTTACCGCGGATTACGGAGCGCTGCCCCTACGCCTGACACCGCCCATCCTAGCCGGTTCAATAGCTATGGCAGTTCTGGACTCCCAGGAGACGAGGAGCCGCAGGGAGACGACGCAGATCAAGCTAGTGAAGCCGAGTTTGGCGTTAATTCGGGGTCGCGGGAACAGCCCAAGGAGCGGGCATCCCGATCGCAGAGTGATTTCGAGAAGAAGTTCTGGGAGAATCGAGCCGAAAACAATCGGTCTTGGAAGCTGCGGCGCAGGACTGTGCTCAAGGAGAAGCGGCAGCGGGAGAACAAGGCGCGAAGACCCCGGAATTGGTGAGCCATGGCACCGTTCGTTGTATACTCGATGCTCTTGATCCCATTACGGCGTCTTGGGCAGGGCTTGTGCTGAGTCAGAAAAACGTGGCCGCTTGGCAATCGGACCGCAATTACTATTTTGCTCGAATGGGATGATTTCCTGCAATTCTGGAGCCTGATCCTCGGGGCTTCCGGTGCTGCTCACAATCGACGTCTTGTTCCTTAATCGCTTTGCTTCCACGTCTCTTTTCCTCTTGTATTACTGCGTCTGTCGCTGTGCCATTGTATACCCTCCGCCTATCTGGCTCCCGTTGAATAAGCGCATGGCTTACGCGTAATATTCCGACAAAACATTTAGCCCCCTGGTCAGCTCGACGGCCGCCAACTCGATGTTGTTGTCATGAGATGCGACAGACCACAACCGCCCACGGACTGAACTGCTATTCATAGTGCGCTTTTGCTCATGCCGCCAAAGAATCAGCGACGTTCTCATACCAAGTCGAAGAACGGATGCAGTCAATGCAAGGTTCGGCGGATCAAGGTCAGCATGTTCGGACGAGACACCTCAACCAGGGGTCGTATGTGCTGATCTCGCTTCGCAGTGTAATGAGGTGCATCCAGTTTGTAACAACTGCGAACGGCGCCAAATATTCTGCGACTTTTCGGCGTCGCCCGGTAGCAGCAAGTCTCCCAGCAACGTTGCCCCAGATGTACGAAGACAAGGGAGTCAGGCGGGATCGGTCAGTGGGTCACAGCGGACGCCGACGCAGCCTGTAGTCGACCCGTTTCAACAGCCTGACCTCGTGAGCACCAAAAAGAGCACTGATCTTGATGTGACCGACCTGCGCTTGATGCATCATTTCACCAGCGTGGTTGCGCTCGACCTGGCCAACGCCAAAACTCCCGAAGCACAGGCATTGTGGCAGGTCCATGCGGTTAAGCTGGGCTTGAAGCACGAATTCCTTCTCCGAGGCATCCTGGCTGTTTCAGCATTTCATCTTGCTTATCTCTATCCTGACAGGAAGGCCGAGTATGAACTGATTGGGACGACGCATCAAAGCCTTGGTCTGACTGAGTTTCAAGAAACATTGGGCCACGTTGACGAAACAAACTGCCAGGCGCTTTTTGCCTTTTCCTGCCTGCTGATCGTGCTGGCCTTTGCTTCCAGTGCGAAAGACAAACCCGAAGACTTTACGCATGACGTGCTGCATTGGTTCTATTTGCTGAGGGGCGCAAACATGGTCCTGAATATGCATCACGATACCATCCGGTGCAGCTTCCTCAAGCCGTTACTGGACGAAATGGCGCACATGGATAACATTGCCGCCTACAGATTTCCAGACACCGACCAGATCACCAAGTTATTTCGGGTATGCAGTTCTTCGGAGCACGACAAAGAGACGGCGCAAGCCATCGACCTGGCGATACATTCGCTTCTCAGCACCTTTATTCAAGCTTCATTACTGAAAACTCGTGGCGACGGCACTGTTCTAGCAACATTTGTCTGGCCGATCAATTTACCACCCAAGTTTCTTGATCTTTTGGGCGAGAAACAGCCGGAAGCCATGGTCATTCTTGCACATTATTGCGTTCTCATATACTGGGGAGAGACCCACCATGAGGACACCTGGTTCATCAGTGGATGGGCCAAGTATATGCTTGAGACGGTAAAGGAATCGATACCGGATGCGTGGCAAGAACAGCTCGATTGGCCAACCATGATGATCACAAAAGAACACGGGTCGCCCAGTGTTGACGCAGCACCTTTGGCCGGAAGTCGAACGATGGGTTAAACCACGCCCTACTTCTGCCGGTTGTCGGCGGCCAATGCGATGCGGAGCACTGATGGAATGATGTATAACGCAATCTTGTACACTAGGATACAAAAGGGAGGAAATCGCATATGCTTTCGGTTGTGATGCCGCGACTCGGTTCGTGGGACATGGTCATCGACCGGCGGCGCCACGGCGAGTTTGCTGTCTCGGCCACTGGCTGGAAGCTGATATGGACGATTGCACAATGTGTAGCTGGGACGACCATGACGACTGGGTGGGTTTGTTCAAAAGGACGGGCCAGCTGCGGCCTTGGCTTGCTGGGAATTTACAGGGCTTGTTCACAACAGGAGTAATGTCAACCACGAAGTAATTCTCTACAAGTAGAGCGGTAACAATAGGCGATCAGCAAGACAACATCTGCTCCAAATGATGGTCTGAATTGAAGCATCGTGCAATTCAGCACTGGGGGGGAGCGTGTACTTCGGTAGATGTGGAGAAAAGTTCCGCCGAGTCCGGCGCCAGAACTGCGCCATGCCAATTGATGTTTTGTTACCCGCCGTCGCCTCGCCATCTCGAGGTTCTCCTCAACCCTCCTTTACAAAACTGCCTTCATTGTCTTCACAGTCCCGCAAACCCCCCAACGAATGTGCTTTGGGCGGACCACTACGGGAGAATTATGCCCATAGAGGCTGCTCAATACGAGCTATGAGGTGGGATGCTTGTACGGAGTACCTCGTACTGACAAAGATCAAAGACGCGCACCCTCAGTGGAGCAAGTCTGAAACGCCTGTGTATCCTGAAGCGCCCCCTTGCGACCATGGAGCTTCAACCACATCCAACCGAACCCTCCTGACACAAGCTCGAGTCTCCCTAAACCTGCGTCTTTGCGCTTTCCTCTTTATCTGTCGCGCTGTGCGTTTCGGTTCTCCTCCCTCTCTTTTCTTCGACCACGTTCACTTTTTCTGTTTCTAGAGGTTCATTTTCCTCCCGCTCGACCAGATCGACAGCGTTCTTCGAGCAGGTCTCGTGTTTTCCTTTTCGACACTCTTTACATTTACCACAGAAGAACAGATTCGCTACTGCTTGACCCCCTCCTCGAGACTTCGAAAGTCCACAGCAGCGATAATGGCTAACAAAATCCTCTTGGTCTTTATCGTCTTCGACGTCATTTTCCTTCTTTGCGCCGGCCTCCATCTCTTCATCCCATTGTATACTCGCATGAATATCAAGAATAACAACAATGTCAACAATATTGCGTCCAACCTGTTGCTCGACAATTGCCCGCTTACAGGTAGGCGTTTCCCACCCCGTGTAGCTGAGGATTCCCCGAATGTCTTGACTGACGGTTGACTCCAATAGTGAGCGTGGTCAACTCCATTATCATGTTCATCACCTTCCTCCTCTCCGTTCCCGCCTTTTTCATGCGGCGCAACCGCACATTCTTGAAAATCCACGCCTGGGGAATTGTCATTGCGGCTCTCCTTACCCTGGCCATTGGTCTGGACATCTGGTTCTCTACCCTCCAGACCAAGAAGAACCTTGCTCCCATTTGGAACGCCCAAGCACCTGCCATTCAAACCATGCTCCAGACAAAGTTCCAATGCTGTGGATACAGTAATCCCGCACTGTTTGTCAAAGACCAGACCTGCACTAGTGCGGCCACGGCGGCGAGGCTGGGACCCTGCATCACCGCCTTCGGCACGTTTGCGAATCGATTCCTGGATGTGGTTTTCACAACGTTCTTCGGATTTGTTGCGGTCGATATGATGCTCCTGCTGGCTGCGTTGTGTTTGATCAAGGACAGAAAGGAGAAGGAACGATATCGGCTCATCGATGAAAAGAGAGGCTTTGGACCTATCTAACAGCAAAGCAGCAGGGGCTAAGAGGTGGGCTGGCGGGGGAGCTGCGAGTGCGCGGAACTTGACCCAGATGAGGACCAAGTGGAGGAGAGAGAAATGAGGGACTCGAACGTGTTCTCGAGGGCGATCTAAGAACGCAGGAAGGAATGTCGCCCTTCTATTTCTCGTTTCTTGTGTACCACAAATTGTGACAAAGACTTTTGTGATCCGTCGGAGTTTGAACATGCGAGGTCTGTTCACTGAGACGGGGACATGTGTTAGCAATGACAGCGGGTGTTGTATGAGGAGATTCTTGATATATAAACATTGGACATTTTAGACACGACCACCATGACAGCGGCATAGATTCAAGAGATTTTCAACCCCACGAAAACGCCCTTCTCAATATCCAGTCGAGATCCGGCCACTCCACTCCCACCATCCATCTTATACTACGTCCAAAGTGCAGACTGTTGAACCAGGCCGTGGTACAGAGTCCTTCCGCAGTAGGACGACGGCGGGGGAATCAAAAATAGGGTACGGGGGTGGTTTTGAGTTTGGTCGAAGAAGCTTGGGCATGGCTGGCCGTGAATCGTCGACATCATCACCATCATCATCATTCTCACCCTCTGTGGCTCTTCCCAGTGCTCCTATGGACCTACGTGATAGATCTCAACAACGCCCGCTTGCTCTACGTACAACCAGCACCTCCCTCGTCATCATCAATTTCTGACCGTCTCCCAAGTCCGGGTCTGATGGAAAGGGAGCGAATTAATCGGGGGTATTGGCGAGTCATCTCATTCCACGCGCACCGTTTACAATAGTAGACTAGGTGGTTTCATGTGGCCGTGATATTGACGGTTCGGGCATGACAACTCTGCCGGTGGGAGGGGAGGACTCGGGAAGCGAGCATCACAGAATATCAGCTGAATACGAGGAGGTACTGAGCCGCTTTGCGAACTGGGCCAAATCATCAGGGACACAGAATACTGCGAGCAACGACACCGGGCAAAAGGCTGACTAGCCATGGCTTGGGCACTCGTGACCCCCTCGTCGAGAGGCATTGGCTTCGCATTGACCCGTCACTTGCTTCGGACTCTGCCCGCGAGCGTGCCCGTTGTTGCGACGGCACGTTCAGATCTGGACGGCGCCAAGGAGAGGCTGCTCTCGTCGCTGGAGCTCTCTGCAGCACAAGCATCGCGCCTCGACGTGCAGGAGTGTGATGTGCTTTCCGAGCCTTCGATTGCCAAGCTGGCTGGGTACTGCAAGGATCGATACCACGACAGATCGAAGGAAAAGAACGCACATCTACGCATGGGGTTCCTGATACCTGGCATGTTGATACCCGAGAAAGCACCGGAAAAGATTGAATATGACGCCGCGCTGCAGACGCTCAAGCTCAACCTCCTGGCACCCATGATGCTTGTGAAACATTTCGCCAGCTTCCTCCCGCGGAAGTCGACAAAGATGGTGCTCGAGGACGGGTTGCCCAATTGGGCCGTGCTGGCACTGATGAGCGCTAGAGTCGGATCGATCACGGACAATCGATTAGGAGGATGGTATAGCTATCGAGCTTCCAAGGCCGCAGTCAATCAACTGGTCAGGTCTACCGACATATTTCTGGAGATGCAGAGCGGACACAGCGCCATGTGCGTCGGGCTACATCCAGGAACGGTCAAAACCAGTCTGAGCAGGGAGTTTTGGAACAGCACGCCCCCGGAGAAGCTGTTCAGTCCCGACTTCAGCGCTCAGAGACTGATAGACGTCGTCAACGGGTTGCAGGAAAGTAGCCGGGGGAAATGCTGGGATTGGAAAGGCCAGCAGATCCCTCCATGATGATGGCGGATGATGTACGGAGTACATGATGGTTCGTGATGAATAAGTAGCAGTGGAACGAGGCTGTTGTGGGTCGGTCAGTGCAGATGAGTACCTCGTACCTATGAAGGCCTGTCGCGCAACGGTCTCTGGGAGGGGTAATTTTTCATTTGCCGAACAGGCTTATGAGACAGGAGCAGGACTGGGTTGCACAGACAATAGTCATGAGAGCCAAAAAGCCGGTAGACTCCGATATAAGGGAGGAAGTGGATGGGATTTGTGTGTGGATATCAAAGCCACAGACGCCCAAACCACGCGGGTCGATGTCATTGACTCTGTGATATGCGAGCTTACTGTGTTTTTTTGCCCTGATGTCCAATAATGCAGCCCATGAAATCCCCAATGGCTATAGGACACGGATGTTTGTGGGAAGGAGGAGTACTGGAAGCTGGAGAGGAACGGATGTCATCGTGACCAGCTAGTGACGGGCTGGTGGCGGTGATGAATCAGCTGGGCCATTAGAGCGGGTGTTGCTAATCTCGGGGCTAACAGGCTGTTGGATTGCGCTAGTCAGGGAGCAGGCAAGCCCGGAGTGGGGGAGTTTGGTGGGAGGTACAGGGTACTCGGTAGAGACGAGGGATGGATGGTTAGCAGTGGGTAGCAATATTGAATTGAATGATGATACGGAGTAGAAAGGGAAATAACAAATCCTCGGCGTCATGTGTTGGGGGTGCCTGGGTGCCTTCTCTCCTGTGATGGCTGGATGGGAAAGCATCTGGAAGACTCAATCGCCCGGCTTCCACCCATGTTCTGCCTCCGCTCACGAGCTCATGCTGAAGCGTGAGCCGGTGAGCACTTGTGCGATAAGTTGCATCAAGAAGCCGTGGTCCGTGGTGGTCAGTCAGCTAACGAGACGCAGGAGTCGAACTAGCGACCCGGGCTAGTTGCAAATGGCCTCGTTGAGTGGATAAACCGCCCCGACTGGGCCAGTGACACCCGCCCAAACAGCCTCTGGCCACTGCCCACTGCCCATCATTGGCACTCCGGGCGTCGACTGGGGCGGCCCCCTCCCCCCAAAGGCCCTTAGAGAGCAGGCCCAGGGACCCAAACATGTCGGGGAAAGAATGATCCGCTGCTGGTCCTGGCCCAATCACGGCCCAGGTGTGCCCGGGGCTGCCAGCGCTGCTTGGGCGGTCCCCAGGTGGCCTTCTGTCTACAAAAGGCAGGCAGCTGCCGCTATGCCCTTTCCGACTCCCTTTCCTCTCTCGTCCATCCTCCATTCTGCCACTGTCCACTGTCCTGTCGCTGTGTCTCACGGCGCGCGCGCCCTGTCCCATCCACCATCCATCCCAACGTGTTTTCAAGCCTGTGTTCGACGAGATCCAGATAGATCTGCCACTGTCCACGGTTGTCCTGTGCGGCTTGTTGCTTTGATCTGGGTGTCCCGGGCGACCATTGAATTCCCAGCAGTCGAGCATCCCGCTTCCAGAATCCCCCTCGACCCTCGACCCTCGGTCTCGCCCAGCGACCGAAATACCATCCATCCGACCTGTGTGCTTCATTAATCAACCCGTCCTTCGATCAATTGATCAACCGCGACACGTCACATCCGTGTCCCAATCTGATTCTCGACGCTATTCCTGGCTCTTGGGGAAAAGGTACGTTGTGTCTTCCATGGTCTTTGGCTCGCTTTTTAGTTGTGTCGTTGTTTCCTGTTCCATCCACAAGGCGAGGATCATCCTTTTCGACCATCCCGCATTGAGCACAGTATGTCCATGACAAGCTCCTCCACGAACACGAACGAAGGGCCCTCACAATCCTGTGTTGGTACTTTTGACAATCGAGGCATGTTGATCATGGTCGTCATGGCCATCGTCATTCCCGTTGTCGGCCAACATGAGAGCGTGTGCCCGCTGGTTCACGGGTGGCTGGCGATTTTTTCTGTCGAGGACCAAAGCCCTGAGCAAAGGGAAAACGGGAAATCTACTTGCCCACCCACACTCCCCCAGCCAGACTCGACTTGCCACAGAGAGAGAAGGAAAAAGTGGAGTTCCAGCGTCTGCGTGTGAGAGTGAGCGAGAGGGACGAGGGTTGGTTGTGTGTGCCCAGTCACGCCCCCTAGGTTCCGTCTTGCTCGTCGCCAAGGCCCGTCCATCAGCCCCCCACTTTTGGGTCACGGGCGGGCTGCATGCACGCTCGCTCATTGGTCCACCAGCCTTTCCCCTCTGGCACTGCAACCCACCGCTTGCTCAGAGTCTCAGACCACCTTTTTGCCCATGGCCGGTGCCCGCACATTCACTCAAGTTGCACAGCCCACCACCTGCCCACCTGCCCGACTGTCCCCCAAGCCACCCATTTTGCCGTCTCTGATTCTGCCGAAAGACTCCGCCCCTCTTTTCCCCTTCCACCCCCCCTCCCCTTTGTCTTTGTTTCCTTCTTCAGAACCTCCCGAAGCTCCCTCCTCCTGCACACCAAACCGTTTTCTATCCAGATCTCAGTCCATACAGAAAGTGGTTACTTCTCTGTATTCCAAACCCACTTCTTATCCCATTGCAGTCTGATTGTTGCACATCCGCCCTCTGCCCACAAAGCTTGACCCCCTTCTTCGCCTTTCCAAGTTACCTGCCGTTTGCCCCGGATTTCCCTGCGGCGGTACCTGAGCTTACCGCACCCGTGTCCCTGCGCTTTGCCGAGTACGTCCTCTGCTATACCAACCTCGCTGTCCAATCCGTGCCATCTCTTCACCAATCGTCACTGTTGCTCAGAGTCTCGTCTTTGCTTCACTTGGTCCAAGTCACTGACACTCGGTACCGTTTTCAGTCGCGTCGCCAATCACTGCTGCTGCCTGAGATCCAGTCGACCACACCACTTCTTAAAAGGTATTCTATCCGTCGACCGACTTCCTCTTTCGTCTATTGACACTTTACTTCTTTAGGGTAGACATTGTCATACTCGATCCATTCCATACGATCCCATTATGGCGGACATCACCGACCCTTCTGCCAGCCTCGAGCACCCCTCCCCCGGCGACGACCTTGCCGGCAATGGCGTCGACTCCCGAGGCACCAAGCGACCAAGAGCCTCCATGGCGGGCGAGGATGATGATGACGATGACGAGAAGGGAGGACGAGAACGCAGAAAGATTGAGATCAAGTTCATCCAAGATAAATCCCGTCGCCACATCACATTCTCCAAGAGAAAGGCTGGTATCATGAAGAAGGTCAGGCTCAGCCTTTTCCAAATGTTGCAATGCACGCGTACTGACTCTGACCCCAGGCATATGAACTGTCTGTCCTCACTGGCACTCAAGTCCTCTTGTTGGTCGTCTCAGAAACTGGTCTTGTGTACACCTTCACCACCCCGAAACTGCAACCTCTGGTCACCAAAGCAGAGGGCAAGAATCTCATTCAGGTATATCTACATTCAAGGTTTCATAGCGAATTGGTCCTGACATCAGCCCTAGGCATGCTTGAATGCTCCAGAACCGTCTGGCAACGAGAATGGTGTCGACACCGCTGATGATGTCGCCTCGCCTGACGATGTCCCCTCCATGCCTCCTGCCGCTGCCGGCGTGCCTCGACCCGCCCCTCATACTGGGTATGGCATGACTCCGGAACAACAGCAGCAAGCCTTGTACTACCAGCAACTGCAACAACAGAATCAGAGCGGCCAGTATGGCGGCATGCCCCAAATGCCTCAACATCAACGTGCATAATAAGCATCACGCACCCTCCCCCACATATTGATACCCCCCAACCTACGACTCGGTCGGCTCTCGTGCGGTCCTTGACCTTTCTGACACATGGGCCTCGCTCGTTGTCAATGGCGGTCTGATATCGGCTGAGAGGCGGCTCCCAAATGGCTCTCCACTGATCGACTGGCGTCTTGAAATATTTGCTCAAATCAACATCACCACCGGAGTTTTCCCAAGATGATGTGCTTCCAAGGGTGATTTCTCTTAAAAAGGTCCAGTATTCTCACATGCATTTTGTACGAGACAATATTTTGAAGAATGGATGCGGGACATGGTGGGCAAAGACTGGGAATCAGAGGGAATACACTCCTAGTATGCACAGTCATGAATCGTGTGTCATGCGTTTCAGGCAGAGAAAAAATGTCAAACCAGATTCAATCCGTGGTCAAAGTCTTGTGCTTGCTGATTCCCAGGTTCATGTTCCAGGTAGCTCCATTCCATCTTCTGAATCCATGAAGGCAAAAGTGGCCGATGATGATCAATCCAAATTGTTTTTGCATTTGTATCCTATTCCTGTTTACAACTTGCTGGGGACCCATCTCGGGGCCCGCTTCTCTACAAATGCTCGGACACCCTCGCGAATGTTCTCTCCCTCATTCAGCCTCTTGGAATAGACCTCGACAATGTTCTGAGTTGCATGTTCCGCACTGCCATCTTCCCAACCCTGAATCACGCCTGCGCGGCTGATGATGACACTGTCGGGGCTGTTGTTGCCAATCTCCGCGGCATACTCCAGAGCCTTCTTGACGACGGGCCTGTCCAGGATGTCGGCGTCGACGGGGGCGTCCTCGGTCACGGCGTTGACCATGCCCCATTCCCTGGCCTCGGCGGCGGAGACGGTCCGTCCGGTCAAGGCCATCTCCATGGCCCTGGGGCGGCCGAGGGTGCGCATGATCCTGGGCAGCGCGCCGGCGATGGCGACCACCCCGCGCTTGACCTCGGGCAGGGCGAACTGGGCGGACTGGGCCGCGACGACCAGGTCCATGTTGGCGACCATCTCCATCCCGCCGCCAAAGGCCAGGCCGTTGACCGCGCCGATGACGGGCTTCTTGCCCGCGCGCCGGCTCACGGCCCCAAACCCGCTGCTGGGCATGACGCGTTGGCCATCTCCGCCCGCGGCGCGACGGGCGTTGGACTCGTTCCACTCCTTCAGGTCGGCGCCCGCGCAGAACGCCCGCCCCATCCCTGTCACCACGCAGCACCGCAGCGACCCTTCGTTGTCGTACCACTCCAGCAGGTGGTGCAGCGCCCAGTGCATCGCCGTCGACAGGCAGTTCAGCCCCCGCGGGTTGTTGAGCACCACCACCACCACTCCCGGTTGGGGGAAGAGGAGGAGCGTGTTGGGTGTCGCCGGCGGCGGCGTCGTCAGCGTCGACGGGTAAGGCGACATTTTTTCCTTATTCTTTTGGAGCCCCGGGGGGTTAGGAGATTTGAGTGTATGTGTGTGAGTGAGTGATGATTTAGTAGTTGATTCGAGCGTCTGGTGCGCTGGTGCGTGGGTGAGTGTATGTTGGTTGGTCGGTGCCTCTAAAAGTATCCTAGGTATGTTGTAGCGACGAAGCTCTGACTGGTGCTTGTTGCCTACTTCCCGCTTCCTGCTCGTCGCCCCAGCTGTGTCGGCGCCGTCAGTTCAATGGGAGAAACACTCCAGCTGGATGGTGTAATTTGTTGCAACAGAGCCTGGCTCTCTCTCCCCCTCGGGGAACTTCCAGATACGTTTTATGCCCTTTTGTGTGGAGTAGAGCTACCTACGGGTAGCCGAGGTAATACATCAATTAATAGTTACTCTCCCCGTCACGAACCTGGACGAAGATTAGGGCAAGGAAGGAAGGGCTGATTGAATTCGGGATTAGTAGACGAGCAAAAGCCTCGAGGAAGAAATGGTATTTACCTCTTTCCATTTCCACGGCACACTGGCTCCCCTCCCTCTGCTTAGGCGGGTACGTTGGATGTCCCAGTGGGATGAGCTGAGCACTCCCCCCCCCCCTCTCTCTCTCTCTCTCGTGCTCGGCTGGCTCTTTCAATGTCCCCACTTCCACACCATGAGATGGGACATGGAGATGTCTGCGGGCCAGTCGTCTCTGAGTGTAGCTGTGGCTGCAAGCTTGTCACAAGCCAATGAGTGATATAGAGGGAAGGCTGGAACTGCTACAAGCTTCTCGGATCTGCATATGCTGGCCCAACGGGAGTTGAATTCGTTACTCGGTGCTTTACCATGTCATTACCTTGCTCTCCTTCGAGTGCGGTGCGAGACATACGTGGTAAACCGGCAGAATCGCCGTGTCTCTCGCATCTATACCTGTGTGGTGCCCCTGTCTCACCAGCTTTTCACCTCTGACAGCTCTCCTCCGACTGCCAACAGAGCATACACATCCTAAATCATATCGCCCGCCGCCCTCCTCTTGTCTTGCACCTTTTTGAAGACCTCCCCCGCCCACAGTCCCTCCTCGTCATCTTTCAAATCGACAGCGCCCTCCGGGTCCGGGAGGATTGCAATGGCTCGTCCATGCAAGCTCTCGTCGACCGCGAATCGGCCCGCCGCATCAACCACGGTCTCCATTTCCACAAAGGTGAAACCCTTTCCTGGCTCCATCCCCGCAGCGGCAAAGGTATCCAGCGCATTCTCGACCAGTGGAGTGCGCATAAAGTAAGGTGCTAGACAATTTGTGCGAATGTTGAGGCGGGGAGTCTCGTGGCGCAGGCCTCGGAAAAGACCCCGGATGCCGACTGCAGAGGAAATAGACGTCAGTATCTGAAATCTGCAGAAAGCTCATAGCATAGAGAGAAAGAAAAGCCTGAGCTAGAACAGGACGGAACTCACACTTGGAGGCATGATAGTCGGCAAAGTTCCCGACGTCTGTGTAAGCAACCGTCGAACTCACGAAGATGAGTGACTTGGAGAACTTCTTGTCTTTCGCCGGTGTGCCAGGCCCATGCCTGTCGACTGTCATATACCACAGGGCCAAATACGCACACTGGTACACTCCAAGAAGGTTGACGTCCAAGGCCGAATGGTGTAGCTCAGGCGGGTGGACATGTTTCTTGCTTTGTGAATCTAGCACTTTGTCGACCAGGCTTCCGGCCTCACCTATGACGCCCGCGATCAATGCCGTAACATCAATCGAATTGTTTGGCGAAGACCGAAGGGCGTGATCGAAAGCTTGCATAGAGCTGAAATGGTCCGTCACGTCACAGTTAACAAACGTTGCGGAGAGGCCCTGCGCCTGGAGATCCTTAACCGCACGAGTGCCACCTTCGACATTGAGATCTGCGATGGTAATGTGGGCGCCTGCATGGGCGAAGCGGTTGGCGATGGCAAGCCCCAAGCCTGAAGCTCCGCCTGCGAAAGCGTCAATGGAAGAACAGTGCATGTTCAATGCCGGCGGGTGGGGGGAACCAAACAGAATGTCTCTGAGAGTTATTCTTTCGAGTTGAATGGAAGCACCCACCTAGGACCATGACGGATCGGCCCTGAAGGGCGGAGAGATCTACCAGCTCTGACATGTTGAGTCGAGCAACCGTGGAGGGGATCTCAAAAGCAGACACAATCGAATAGCCTTCTTCCTGTCTTTTCAGAAACAAACCGGTGACGAGATTCGAGAGCTCAGGACGGTCTGAAGAGGGGCAGAGGGGTTTTTGTGTAACCTGCGAAGCGTATGGATGCTAGGGAATCCGACTCTGAAACGCAGCTTCCAAGTTGGCTAGTTTGCAGTCTCGTTCGGTCTGAACGGAAAGCTTTGAAGGTTCCCTCGCACTCTTTAAACATCAAGAAGCCGCCAGTGGCGCCCTTTGTCTTTTGAGTGGAACGTGAAACATGGATCAAGAAGACCAGGAGCGGGAGAAGCGGGCGAGACCCAGATGGCCCAGGTGGACGTCTCAAAGGATGCCAACGAGGAGACATCGGCGACGATACCTGAGTCTGTCATTGAGGGCTTCAGCCTTGTGAGAGGCAGGAGGTTTGAAGATGGAAATGGGCAGCTGCTGTTCAGTAGTCTCTGCTTGTCTGGTACTCGAAATAGCAGTCCGCCACGACTGATACCTGCTACGCCTGAATTGCGATGCATATTCCTGTTCCCACTGCTCGAGCATACACGACATGAGCAGCGTCACTCTGCGATGATGCAGCAGAGGTCTGCGGCGTCTTTGTGTGCCCTGCTCTGAGCCGGCTTCCCATGTAGTCCCCCTGTTTTCACTATCGCTGAGAGACCTGGATTCTTCCTCCCGATGTCCTGGTGCCGGACTCCCCTGGCCTTCCAGGAAACAGACAGCATTCTCATGTGCTCGTGCCACCTCGACTCGACCCAGTCTTCAAGCCGTCGTCTTCAATCCACCTGCGTGGGATTCGGGTTGCAACAGTTGCCTTTGTGCTCCCCGTCAACCCTGCCCATACAGCCTGTGGCAGGTTTTCATTCTTTTCATCTGTCGGCGAAGGATCGAGGACAATGGGAGGCACGTAAGGGAAGGGGATTCGCGATAGCTGGTCGAGCAAAGTCGTATGGCAGACTCGACAACTGTGGCTAACATGTCCCCTGAGCAGCACTTGCAGGTGTGGCTGAAGACTGCTTCAGGGAACTGGGAGCGCATGATGCAGCTCTGGACCAGATCGCAAGACGCGATCATCGATCCACATTTTCGATCATCGATCAGCATACGCAAGCGGCTCGGAGCTTGCCGACTTCACCTCCCTAAGCTCTCAGCCTTGGAGGTATCTGGGAGACCTAGAGCTCGACAGACCGCGCCCGAAGTAACTTGCCAATGGCTGTTGCTCGGCGTCATTAGATTGGAAAGACACATGTGCCCTGCTATGTGATAGTTTGTATGGCAAAGTAGAACGCTGCGTCTCGTCGTGTCTCGTACAAAGGCAATATCAGGAAACGGCACCCTCATGGATCTCCACAGCCTGGGGAACCAACAACGCCAGCGTTAATCCTTATATCCTGTCAAGCCGAACCAACCCCTTGATTTCAGGAAACGTGCTAAGAATACTTTCGCCGATGCTCCAATTCTGATAGTTTGTGACGTGTTCCACGAAGTCTTTCGACAGGGAGCGGCGACGGCGTTGTTCGTCCCAAACTACTGCTTCGTCCATACTGCGGGCCCAGTTGACGCTGAGTCGAGCTGCGGGTAAAGCCGTCATCCAGTCCCGGAGATTCTTGATGAGAGCTTCGCGCAACGGTGGTAGTGGTAAGAAGTCAAGCGCAATGTGATGAGGAACCAAGTATTGAATCGGTCGCGGTCTGAGGATAGCCGGAATGGCAGCATAGGAGTGCTGGGTGGGAGCCAGCATCCAGCGCATGACTGCGGTATAGGCTAAAACTTGTGCAAGTCGGACGTACACGTCCCAATCGTGAAAGCTTCGCCATACCTAGAGGTATCGCAGTTAGTTCTCGGTGGGAAAGGTTTGGTTTGAGGCCCACGTGGAGGCGGAGCTCTTACCTCGCAAGCCCAGCCACTGACTGTCAAGTCGTCCTCTTGCGTTCTGTCACGGAAAAACAACTCCACATCAATCATGCCCGAACCAAGAACAGAAGAGGACGAGGCACCGTATGAGAGCAAGGTCTTAGCACTGTCCAGAAATCCAGTGATGATGTCGCTCAGCGGCGTGTTCTCCTGCATAATCAGCGTTTGAATGCCGTACATCGGGGATACGTGGTTGTGCGAAGAACCGGGAGTAGCCGGACCACCAATACTGTTTGCTGCTTCACTGGGGTCGGTGCAAGTATCTGTGTCCTGACCGGCACGTGCGTGTTGGGCCACCAGTTGATATGAAACATCTGTTTGGTGCGCCTCCTCTTCATCCTGAATGTCTGTTGAGGCTACAGCAGAAATCGCCGAGTCAATTTCCGAAACTTGCAACGAGAAATGCCACCCCCGTCTACTGTGCTGCAAGTCGGAAATGTTGCTTTGCCGTCTCGGAGATGTCGTCGGTCTGTCTGGGGGTGTCGCTTCACAGACGTGCTCAGCGTTGCCACTGTGGAGGTTGGATTCTTGTGCGTATTGCTCGTCGTCTGACACGGGTTGCACGGGGTGCTCTTGGGCACCTTCCGGAGGCGTCAGTGCGCTGGCAGAGGCGAGAGAAGGCTGGTTACACGTTGGGCAGATTTTGTTGTTGTGTTGATGGTTTGGGTGGTTTCCGGCCTCCCCATCGTCGTGGCTTGATGGGGTGCTACTGTGGGGAGCGGGCTCTCTGCCATCTAGATCCCTGCTCAGACTGACGATGTCGAGTAAATTGTCGGTCGGAGGCCGTTCGGACGATGAGGCTTGTAGCTGTTGTTCGAAGTCAGGTTGCAACGCATCCGCTGAGGTCGCCGCAGCGTCGCCGTCGTCGAGTTGCTGGAGACACTCTTGGATTGTTGCAAAGATATCATGAGTCGGATTGTCTACGCGGAGACAATTGATGACGGCTTCGACCTGGGAGCTGGAGCGATATCGGACGACTTGGAGTAATGCCGTGAGGAGGCGGTTCTGTAAAAACAGAGCTTCACGGTCTTCACGGTGGCCTGCACGTCGGCCGTCGAGCGAAGGGTCAAAAGTACACTGGATGCCGCTCTGCAAGCACGCTTTGCACGGCGCAGGGACGCCGCTACACTATATTGCCAGGTCTCGTTCAGCCTCGCCCCCCTCGGCACGGGCTACAAGCAGGGTGGGAGTTTTCACCTACCTTGGACCTGCGCCGTTTGCAGGATTCGCAGGCCGTGCGCACACGGGTGATTTTGTTGCGTCGCGGCCTCTCGGGGCGACCAGACTGGGCGACAGTGGCGGCATAGTTGAGATTGTTGTTGTTGTTGTTGTTGTTGTTGTTGTTGTTGCTATTGCTGGTGCTCGGAAGCAATGACTGTGGTGGTCTTCGATCCATAATCACGCCTCGAGCTTGTGGTAAGCCGGGCAGGAGGAGTGACCAAGGGGCTTGGAGTGGAAATTTATTCCCTTGGTGACCCCACCCTCTGCCAGCTTCCAGCCATTCCCCGCCATGGGCGTGCAAAAGCCACAGTTCCAGCACTCGTATGACAAGACACGCCGCGGGAAAAAAGGACCCCTCCAGATACGGGCCCGGAGAGGATAATCAAGACCCATTGCCTCCGGAGTCGCCCCTCCCGCAGATGCCATTGGTGTAAACGGTTGAGGTGTGATGGCGATTCGACCACGCGGTAGCCGAGACTAAGGGGGACTTTGATCCTCGCTCTGGCACTCTGGTCGGTCCCAGAGGAGGGTCTCTCGCGTCGATCTCTTGGGATAGGGGATCTGACTCGACAAGCCCCCGGCTTTGGGCTGAGGTTGAGTGACACCATGCAGATGGGGGACGCCCAAGCAACGGGGCTTTCCCAAGCCACGGTGCATCGAACCAATCATGACGCCTGTCAAGGCATCTTTGCATCTCCGTGCCATCTCCCATCTGTGATTTGCTGGATCTGTGCCCTCTCTCATGGCTTGTCTAAGAAAGACTGGCTCGCGCATACTCGTAAACATTGGGGGCCACCGGAGGGTACCGAGCTTGTAAACCCCAGAGCCTCTCTAAGCATAGACGCGTTCTCGGGATAGCGAGAAGGGTGGTAGCTAGATCAGATATTGGTAGCCCGTAGGATACCACTGTTCCCCCAGGGTGGTCTATACAAGTGGCCGTGGTCCCCTTACAGAACCCTGGTCACGACAGCCTGTGCTACTTATTTTTTGACATCTGCTCACAGCAGTCTCGTGGACATGGGAAAGTGGTCAAATCTCTCCTCGTGGTAGAACGCTTCAGACACGAAAGATCTGTCCGCTTCGACCTTTAGCAGAGCCATACCCGCCGAGTGGAAACCGGGTGCAAACCTAACCATGTCCTGGGATGGCGCTCCTCCGTCGGCTATGTCTCCGTTGATCTGGTTTCTCTCGCAGGGCCAATAATGACTTGCTCGCCCCGTGGAGCATCAACGGCGATTCAAGCACAACTCAGAGAGGGGCACCAATGACTCGAACGCCCCGTTGATTTCTAGTCCAAGACGCTACGACGAAACGGGGTTTCAGTGGACTGTATGATCTGACGTTGAATTTGGTCCACAGCGCTCAGATTATCAAAATACTCGTGGCGCTGTTCGTGCGAAGTCTATCTGAGAAGTGTGCTTTTCGAATCCTGCAAAGTAGCGGAAGGACCATCCCTTCCCCGTCTCCATGGAACCCCACCGACACCTCTCGCGTGTCTCGTAACAATCGACTGCATCGGTCGCAAGCAGAGGCCAGTCAAGTCTACTTCTTCTCGTTCTGGACGATCTTGACCTTGTCCAGGATCTTGGGGTAGAGAGGATGGCTTGGCTCGAGACCAGTGAGCTTGGTGGTTGCTTCCTCGGGACTCATGGTGCTCATGATATGTGCCAATTCCTTGCTCTCTTCGTCACCTTCCACGTTCTGGAATCGAAGAGCCATCTCCACGCCACGGACCAGGGCCGTCACATCGTAGCCACGTTCGGCCAACTGAGCAGCAGGACCAATGAAGCGCTCTTTGCGACCAAGCTTTCGGAGAGGGGCACGTCCGACGCGGACGGGGACATCTTCAAGGTGAGGGTTGGAAATGCGAGAGATGATGGTATCGACATACTGCTGTTGCTCCTCCGGGGTGATGCCGTGTTTTCCGCTGATGAGGTGCGCGGTCTCTTCCAGAGCCTCGTGAACTTCTTGTCGGATCTCGGGATCTGCCATGGCTTCATGGATGGTCTTGATACCCTTGTAGTAGGCAAAGTATGCGGCAGTAGCGTGGCTGGTGTTCACAGTGAACAACTTGCGCTCGATGTATGGCTCGAGGTCATCGACCCAGTGGATGCCCTTGACGTCTGGATGGCCCGACTTGAAACCGGTGGTCTCAACACACCACTCGTAGAAGCTCTCGATGACGACGTCGAGGTTGGCATGCGGAGGCTGCGTTGGGACGATTCTGTCAATAGCAGAATTTCCAAATTCGGCCTTGGAAGCAAGATCCTTGAGAACCTCGGGCTTCATGTTCTTCTCGTCGGTGATGAGGGCCTTGAGGGCATCGGTGGCGTTGATCATGTTCTCGCAGGCGATGACAGCAAGAGGTTTGGACTTTGTACGTGCCGCAATGCCATCAGCAATCGGCTTAGCAATGAACTTGAGAACGTTGGGACCGACGGCACAGGTGACAATGTCGGCGTCAGCGATGCACTGCACAACCTCGTCCATGTTGTACTTTGAGTTGATTGCACGGTAGTTTGTGATGACCTTGCTCTTCTCCCCCTCTTCACCGACCTCAGTAATCTTGTATGTTTTGGAGGCGTTGATTCGGTTGATGAGATCGTCGACAACATCGACAAAGATGACTTCATAGCCAGTCTCATGGAGCAGCTCCGCGATGAAACCACGGCCGATGTTACCACCGCCGAAGTGGACGGCTTTGCCAACCATGGTGGATGAGGGGATATCCGGTGCTTGAGAAAGTGGTCAGAGGAACTGTCGAAATTTGCTGCCCAAAGTCAGTGATGTTCCTGTCCAAAGCTGGCGCGGTGATAACGACACCGCTCCGATAGGTTGGGTTGGGTTGGGATGTACGTACAGGTCTCGTCTGGAACGCAGACGCTCTGAAAGCTCAAAGCAGATGGATAAAGGGTACGGCACAAGGTAGGAGAATGACAGTGCTTGTGAGAAGAAAAGTTGGGCAGAAAAATTGGGAGGTGTAAGAGAAGATATATGGGTTTGGAAGCGGTCAACAAGAAAATGGACCGAGTGGGATGCCAGAGGTGAGGCACAGCGGCTAGTTTATTGTAGCTCAACGAGCCAAAGCTTCGAGCCCCGCGTGCCAGTGCGTCACCGGGAGGTCAAATAGCGACCAGTCAACGACACCTAATTGGTTCGAGGGGACCATTGGTGCAGAAGCTATATCAAACCCGGGCTCCCATGGGGGTCGCTGGGGGGTGTAAATAAAGGGCGCCGATTTGGGGCGCAACTTTGTCGACCACCTCATTACGTCATACACGTTGGTTGACCACGGCGGCCATCCTCCCACGCAAGAAGAAAGAAGAAAGTGTGGTAGCTTTGTGCAACATTCTCGATAGCACTGCAACCCAATCATTACTACTTATCATCCAAGTCTGGTGCTGGTGGTTCTGGCGCCACTGATACGCCACTGGAAACATGTACAAGTCGTGCGCCATGGTGGTGGCTTGCTGTCATCCACAACCTCAAAGTCCTATACCAATATGCATCAGGCACCTCACAGTCTCAGTATCCATCTTTCGCGCTATATCGTTTGGGTCTTGGTCGCCCTACACAGCATTGCACAATAGACACAAACGATGCCAGCAGCATGACTGCTGTGGCCGCCCATGTTATGGCAAGGAATTTCCCCCCTTTGGTCGAAGCGATGCCGATCTGATCTGTGTATTTGTTGATTCGGTTGGTCGCAATGACCATCACGGCCGTTGCTACAGCGGAGGCGACACCGAGCATGATGAACGCAAGCTACAAAGATCATGATTAACACAATTCGGCGTCGTCACCAGGAAGAGAAGAACTTACCAAATCTACCAACCAGTTGAAGAACGCTGATAGTCGCCCGTTGGTAAATATGCCGGCGGCAGCAGTGAACATTGCGACACCCGACAAGACTATCCCAATGATGTAGAAGATCACCATGATGCGGCTGACAACTTTGATGGTGTGTTCGGCATCGGTTATGTCGCTTGGCCAGTGAATGTCATCCAAGGTGATGCCAGCCGGCAGAAGATCCTGGACAATCTTGGTAGGCTGGAAGTGAAAGCCCAGGGTCGAGTTGGAGCATTCGGTCACATTTTGTTTGGCATGGTGTACCGTGGAGTTGGGTGAATACGTGCCCTGGCAGTAGTCTGTGACATGGACATTGAAGAAGTCGGGTAGGCCCAGCAGCGAGGCAATATCAGTGGTTGCATCGCCAATGATGTCGTTGATATCCTGCTGAATGGTGCTGCTCAAGCTGGAGAGCAAGCCGCTGTCGCCACTAGAGGTATCAAATAGACTCCCATGACCGAGCCGGGAGATGTTGAGCTTTGTTCCGTCAATATATAATGCACCAATAAGCCCTGACGAGGCGATATGCTTACTGTCAATATTTCCGTATCTTGCAGAAACGTCCTTTTATCGCCAGCAAGCAGACAGAGGATGGAAAGAACGAAAGCTGTTATGGCACATGCCAGTGTAAGGAGGGAAGACAACCGCATCTTGGAAAGGATCTTGTGGGAGAGGATGGTTCTTTGCAGGAAAACGAATGGATTTCTAGAAAAAGAACGACTGTCTGGGCCCTGCAGCAGAAATACAAGTACGCAGCACGGGTTTGATTGTGCAAGTGACAAGTCCAGGGCAGTGCTGATGGGCCCGTTAAATGTAGGACGACCCGTCTCGTCGTTTGCTCTCAGCCTCAAATCGGGTCGTACATTGGGGGACTTGCGTCAAAGAAGAGGCCATGACAACAGAATCTTGATCGGTGTGGTCAGAATCTGGCTGGGGTGGGTGAGAAAAACAGGGCATCCGGCCAGCGAGACATGGAGCTTGGATTCCACAATGGCAACAATAGTGGGTTGGTGCAGGTCTCGGAGCCATTGAAAGCCAGGCACTACCAGGCCCCTAGAGTGGATTGGGCATCCCCAGCCTTCACTAGCCTCCTCCCAGGGCTCCCTAAGCCTTTATTTGGGCGCCACGGGTGCCAGTCAGGCCCCTAAGGCTGCGGCATGGGCCTCTGATTGGCGCCTCAGCCACCCTGAGATCGTCGCCCTCGCAGCACCCACCAAACACTCCAGCAACGTCATGCATGACCACATCTTTTTGAAACAACGCGTCCTGATGCCCTTTCTTCCTCGGCGGCAATTCGTCATCTGGAACGGCGACAGGCATCAGGCTAACCTGCCATGAGAAGTGGTAGACGGCTCGCACAGGATGCAGCTGGTTGAGCATTCGCAGTGTGCCATCGCTGCCTGGCCCTGTTTCGGTGCCCCATGTGCTGCCAAAAACCCATTGGGTGTGCCACTCCGTCTGACGAGGCGCAAGGGCGCAACCCATACGGATCTTACGCGTCACTGCTAGAGGATTTTCTCCCGAAACTAGAAACAACCAAAGCCGTTGCAGTCACGTGGACTCGAAAAGTTTTGGCGCTACACCATACATTGGGGCTGAGGAACATGCATGAAGGCGTGTCGCATCGCATCGCCAGACATTCCCGAAATGCCATATGAACATGCGTCTCGTGCCAGTTGCTTTTTCCACCGTGTTCAGCAGTAGCATCCTTCTTTCTCATGGCGGAAGCCCGCCGGTATGGAACAGAGGAGTGGAACCGAATTCGAGACATGAATACGATGCTGATTTTTGGGGACAAGGCAGTACTCTGGCCAACACCCTGATACTACACCCTCAAGCAGATGGCACGTTGCGACGGAGCAGATTCATTCAGATAGTCCAGACTCTGGTTGTAAATCCTGGGTTTCTTGTCGTAGTCCTTTGATGGCGGTCTCAAAACCACTTAGCACTGGTCTCCTTGTGAACCAGTCTGAGTCCTCAACTTACCGCTAAAGCCTCTGGGTTGACCCCGTTCTCGACGAGGGAAACACAAAGCGACAGCTGTGTCCGATCGAGCTGTGTATTCTGCCTTTATTGTGAGAGACAAGCACACGAGAGTGATCATCACCTACCAAGAGAATTGATATTTCTTCGAGAATATCAACAACTTCTCGAGCCTTTTCCCGCTTATCGCTGGTTGCAGGCATGTTGGCTATTGCACGGGAAATGGCCGAAACTCGAACTTGGGGTCTGATATATCGGAAGTTCGAGTCTTGATGAAAGTAGTAAACAGCAGGGGGAGTTTGTTCGAAACGCGTCGAGAACACTGCAGTGCGAACAGCGAAACTCCTGGCAGTACCAGCGAAAAACACGCTGCTTTAGCAGGTCGAAACTAACTCGGCCAAGCCACAGAGCGACAACGACTTGCACGACTGGAACTGACTTGACTTCTTCTGCGCAACCTGCCCTGCCACCTCCTTCGATTTGTGCGTTGGTCCAGGACGGTTGCTGCACCCATCACTGCGACTTCACGCTGTTGGAGACTCCTGGCATAATCATGTCCGGCAAGGCAGCAACAAGTCCTCGTGACGATGCTTCGTGCCAAAATACACCTCTTTTCCACAACCTCCGGCAACTGCCTCGCTCTGTTATCCCACGCATCCTACAAGAGATGAAGAGTCTGGAACGCAAGGCATTTGCTTCTCATGAAGCGCTTCCCTTTGACGACAGAGTTCTCCAGCAGCGCAACATGGAAGTGGTTGTCGGACTCTCCGACCAAGCAAGATGTTCGCCCGTCGTCGCCTATGCTGTTGCGGTGAAGTGGAACCATCGCCTCCTGCTACACAAAGTTTGTGTCTCGCCGGCGGCAAGAGGGCAGGGTATAGGTAGCTTATTGTTACAGAAGGTCATCGAGGACTCCAAATGCTGGTCTTGTCGCGCGATTGATCTATGGGTCGACGAATCAAATATAATCGCTCAATGCCTCTACTCTAAATGTGGTTTTGTGGTGCAGGAAATTGTCAATGACTACTATTCCCCCGGTAAGAATGGAGTCAAAATGGTCCGAGTTTCGCAGCCTTGACGTCGAGGTCTCCTTGGATGTTGGGTTTTCACATTCTCGCGCAGAGTTATCCCTTGCAGGCACCATCAATTTCTTCGACTGTCGACCAACCCCTCGAGAACATCATAAAATGCTCGCGACCGCGTTATCTCGCGCAGACCGCGTCTGCAATTGCGACGGAAATCTTCGTTTCTGCAAATGCTCTTTGACAACACTCAGCCAAAGCCTCGAGTTCGCCCATTGCAGAATGATTTCGGACTTCCGGTTGATCACTTGAATGTATCTCACACAGATCAGCAAGCCTTTGTTGGCGGTTTTGCTCTCTGTAATACTCGATCTTGTCACAGCCCTACCAGAGCTCGCTTTTCCGCTCAATTCTCAAATTCCGCCCGTTGCGTATGTGTCGCAGCCGTACAACTTTGCATTCTCCGCCAACACGTTCACTTCGAGTGTCCCCCAGATCTCCTACACAATTACACATGGACCAAAGTGGCTTGGTCTTGACAGCGGTTCTCGCCAGTTTCGAGGAGTTCCAACCCTAAGCGATGTAGGCACTACGACATTGCAATTGGTCGCTTCAGACTCGACAGGGCAATTGTCAACGAGCGTCACCTTTGTTGTGGTCGGGTCCCCCACTTTGAAGCTCAATTCACCTCTGTTGCCTCAGCTCGAGCAAAGCAATCTCATTTCGCCGCCCAACTCGTTGCTTGCGCACCCACAGCAGCCGTTTCATGTTGGCTTCGGAAGGCATATCTTCAGTGGCGCAACGTTTGATACAAAATACTACGCAGTTTCAGCCGACAATACCCCTCTGCCTCCGTGGGTGCAGTTCGATGAATCTCTGCTCGAGTTCTCGGGCACAACCCCTGCGTTGGTGTCCCCCTTGGCTGGATCCCAAACGTACGGCTTAAGACTTATTGCTTCGAATGTACCTGGATTTGCAGAATTGACCATTGACTTTCAAATTGTTATTAGCCGCAGGATCCTGGCATTTTCAACCGCATCTCAAAATGTCCAAGTCTCCACTGGTGCTCATTTTCAGACTTTGCCACTCCGGCCCTTGATTACACTCGATGGAGGACCGGTCACGGACGATCAGATTCTGAACGTAGAAGCGAGCGTTCCGGCATGGGCCAAGCTAGACCGAGAACAATTGTCTCTGAGTGGTACCTCTGATGGCTCAGCCAGCACCACTGTCACCATCACTGTCACAGATATTTATCAAGACGTTGCCAATGCGACCGTCTTTCTCGAGAATACTGGAGCTTCAAGCGTTCCTCTCGGGATCATAGGCATCGTCAATGTTACAGCCGGGGAATACTTCTCATACAACGAGATCACCCCGTCCTCCTCTCCTTGGGTCCGAGCTATCGCGGCTCTGGGCAACGCATCGGCCTGGCTTAATTTTAATCCTCAGACCTGGGCTCTGTCAGGGTTAGTGCCTCAAAACCTATCCCCACAGACACTTAGTGTCTCTATCACATTTGCAAATGCATCAACTGATGGTACGGGAGAGGTGATTTTACAAGTACTTCGGAATCCCTTTGTCACCGCAACGATACCAACGCATCCCACGGAGCCACCAACAGTTTCCAGAGCTAGTGACACGAGCAAAGCATCTGAGCGAGCAACGAGTTCTCTGAATGGCAACATATCGAAAAGCCATGTGCTGCATGTTGCACTGGCCTCTGTCTTTTCTGTTGTCGGAACATTAGTTGCCGCTTTTCTGATTCTTTGTGTTCTTAGGAGAAGGAAGAAAAGAGAAACCAACGAACCCTCAATCGCAGAGAGCCCCCAACATGCCGGTGGGCATTTAAATGGACCGTCTAACCAACCAGCACTAGCTGCAGAAACTACTGGCCATCTACCTAACAATCGGGACACCGCCTCTCCTGATGCGCTGAGCGTGACTCCTGTATGGTTTAACGATTCTTTCAAGAACTCTAGGCAGAGATTATCGGACACAGGACGTCTGCATCCCCTTTCGCAGCACCGCACTTCACAAGTTCTCACGTCTAGCAGCGTTTTGGCTGCCCAGCCTGAGGCTGCTGAAGAACTTGACAGAGCGAGAGGTCCGGCATTGGGGCCTTTGCCTGCCAGCCTGAGACTATCGCTGCCCAGACTTCCACCAACACACAGCATATTATCGGCAGCAGGCTTGCACAGCCAACAGAGGGATTCGATCACCACTGTCCATGCAAGTCCGGTGCCACAGGTGGTCGGGTTGCCGGACAGGAGGAGCGGGGCTGGACATGGTGCCGGTATCCTTGTCCCTCTTGATACTGGTCTTAATGAGACGTCTCGGCGAGATAGCTGGGCATCTAACCCATTGAGTGACCACAGAAGGACTACTCTGGTGTTGGATTCATTCCCTGCGCCCCCAGTGAACAGGACCACCACCGCCAGAACTGGATCTCAGACTAAGAAGTCAGTTCCCGTTCTGCGAATTGTCCCGGAAGATGACAGTCAATCTCTATCCTTTGAGGAGCAACGCCAGAAATGGCATACGGAACGTGCACGGGCCAGATTAGAAGGGTCTTCAAGGTTTTCAAATGCAGGCTCGGCACGGACACTGGTCTCGCCGCGAATTAAGTGGCCCAGAAATGGCGCAACGCTTTCAGAGAGAGACGTGCCGACATCCACACCGATGGCTAGAGGATCCAAAGAGATGGACGTCCAAGCATCTCCCGACCATACATGGCCAAGGTGGTCTGGTCTTGATCCCGGGGCTCAGGAACCTGCACGAATGGGTAGTCTGGTGACCCCTTGTCAGAGAGATACATCCGTATTGAGGACGCACCACAGCATTGCGAGCAGTGGGCAGTTTGACTCTGTCACCTCCTCCGACAGCTTCTTGGAGGACGAAAATCCCTCCGCAGAAGAAGTAGCAGCAACAGCAGAAACCGAACAGTGGCCGGCTAAGAGCAGCTCCCAATCTTCACCACCGTTACCGTTTAATCCCGTCTCACATTCACGAGGAAATGTGAGGAACAGCGAGTTCAGGGCCGATGCGAAGCAACCAGGGTGGTCGCTAGACGAGCGGCAACGCATTGGTGTTGAAAAGGGTGGATTGAAGAGACCCCCAGATAGCCGAAGAGGGAGTTTTCGATTTATATGATTGTCGAAGTTGGTTTGTGCTGCAGGACATAGTCCAGTCAGAGCGAAAAAGAACAAAAAAACCTTTGCTCTGTGCAGGACCAAGCGGCTTGTAGTTTGTATTAACCAAAAGAGCTGATATGTAAGGCTGCGGGCGGACGGGGGCATCTATGGAGCATTGCCTAGGCATGGACAGTAGATGCCTACCCAGTACCGAGTACAGAGCTTGGCATCCCAATACAGGGCTTCGAGGGTCGCAGGCGGCCTCCTCGCGTTCTTACTAAGGGATTTCGGTTGGAGTGGGTGGGCTTTTTGAATCTATCGTCATTTACTCGCCCTGGGCCCTGGCACCGCACTGGGTGGCAGCCCGAAAGCATCATTCCTGCAACTCGCTGCGACAACTCGCCTGCCCACCTTTCAGATTCGGATTATCTTTTTTCTGTTGAACTGACACTCTCTGACTTCTGCACGCGACACCCTGATTGCCGGCAAGCAAAGAGAGCCTTGGCCTGGCTGCGTTCACCGCCTGTATCGTCTTTCGGTGCATCCCTCAGACGGTGCATATTTCCCTCAAGGTTGCAGAGCCTGCGCCTCTTCCCGTCCTAGTCCTCCTCCGCTGCTTTTTCGACCACCTGCCACATCCGCCGCCAGCTTATGACATCGCGTGCAAGGAGTACATGAGCACCGTCACCTCCAATTCCAGTCACAAGTTGAAGATCTACAAGCATGGGTCAGACTCTGTCCGAGCCTGTTGTCGAAAAGGTGTGCTCAGATCCTGCAATTCCCCCTCCCCTCCCATGCTGTTCTGAAGAAGCCTTGTTGCGCCTCCGCGTGATCCAGACCCGGAGCACCGCCAGGCCGGCTTCCTTTTTGCTGTTTCATCTCTGGCGTCAAAGTCACGGACACGGTAGCTAACGCAACTGCTCGACAGACATCCGATAGCGGCGCAGATGACTGTGTTTACTATGGCCTCTCGGCAATGCAAGGATGGCGTATAAGTATGGAAGATGCACACGCCGCAGTACTCGACCTACAACCCGAGGAAAATGGCAAATCCAAACAGCCATCGCCCCCAGATAAACGGTTATCGTATTTTGGTGTCTACGATGGGCATGGTGGGGAAAAAGTCGCGCAGTTCGCTGGGGAGAATATCCACAAGATTGTCGCAAAACAGGACTCATTCTCCAAAGGAGACATTGAGCAAGCCTTGAAGGATGGCTTTCTCGCCACTGATCGTGCGATCCTCAATGGTATGGGAGGCACTCTCGCGAACACCATACTTCCTAGTACTAAAGGATCGTTCAGATGCTCGTTACGAAGATGAGGTATCCGGATGTACCGCATCCGTTGGCATCATATCAAAAGACAAAATATGGGTGGTGCGTCCAGCATGTTCAAGTCAGTTTATGTCTTGACTGACAATACTAGGCCAATGCTGGAGACTCTCGCACTGTCCTTGGTGTCAAAGGGAGAGCAAAGCCGCTGTCCTTCGACCACAAACCCCAGAACGAAGGTACACTATCCAACTGTATTGCTGTTGGGCACCAGCTAACCCGAGGTAGGCGAGAAAGCCCGTATAAGTGCTGCGGGAGGCTTTGTGGACTTTGGTCGAGTCAATGGCAATCTCGCCCTGTCACGTGCCATAGGCGACTTTGAATTCAAGAAGAGCGCGGATCTTTCCCCTGAGCAGCAGATTGTCACAGCCTTTCCCGATGTGATCACGCACGAGGTCTCGTCCGATGATGAGTTCTTAGTGATTGCCTGCGATGGTATGTTACCGTTTGGACCCCTCCATGGTGTTTGTATGCTTATGATGAAACAGGTATATGGGATTGTCAATCTTCGCAAGCCGTGGTCGAGTTTGTGCGAAGAGGGGTTGCTGCCAAACAAGAGCTACATCTCATTTGCGAGAACATGATGGACAACTGCCTCGCGTCCAACAGTGAGACCGGCGGTGTTGGCTGTGACAATATGACAATGATTGTTATCGGCCTGCTGAACGGCAAAAGCAAAGAAGAGTGGTATGAGATGATCAGTAAACGAGTGGCAGACGGTGATGGACCATGTGCGCCACCAGAGTACGGCAAGTCCAACCCTAGTTTCCATGAGGCCAAGTCTTGTCTAACAATTCGCAGCTGAATTCCGCGGACCGGGTGTCCGACATCAATTTGATCACGACAGCCCGGACGAGTACGAACTCGACCTTGACCACCGGCCTAGAGGGCTCGGGGGCCGGAGTGGTAGGATTATTTTGCTCGGGGATGGAACAGAGGTCCTGACAGATTCAGACGACACGGAAATGTTCGATCAAAGTGAAGAAGACAAAGATGCGGCGAACCAGGTCAAGAAGGGCACTCCAGACACATCAGATATCGAGTCTGCGCGAAGCGAGCGAGAAGGCACTCCGGCCCCCCAATCGGCGGCTGATGAATCGAAAGCGCCAAATCACCAGGATGCCTCGCACAGCAAAGACACCGAGAACAGAGAGACAGCGGATGACACGACCCAGAAGGCTGCTGCCTGAAGGCGCAGTATGAGCGAGACCAGACAGGCAGACCTAGTTTCTTCCCGACGCAAGATACCCCTGCCGTCAGCGCATTGACGAAGAGTCCTAGCATGCATGATACTGGTTTAGACCTACACGGGAGAGCGTGCAGAAGGACTTTCTTCGTGCAGCCTTGTTCTCATACCATTGCGCAACGAGGCAGTGAGCACGACGGTAGATTGATGTCGCTTTCTGTACCTCCTATCTATATACACCGTGTGGGAAGGGGCATACCTTGAGTTCTTTTGAGCGCTGCATCGCAACCACCAGTTATTCATCAACCGACTTCTTTCTTAGGGGGTGTGCGCGGCGTGCGTGTGTCTATCTCAAAGCAGCTCTGATGGCAGCAACTGACAGAAGAGACGTTTGCCTCTACAGAGACCTCTTGCAATTCCTTGCATTGTCCCGACTCTGGACGATGCTAGTCCCCGTAACGTGGCGAACCAAGCAATCTATGCTGTATGATTAGAGCATTCAAACTTGCCGTCTACAGTTGTGCCATCGGATGACGTTTGACCAGCGACGTCCCTGGCCGGCTTGAAGGGCCGTGACTGGTGGATAGAGACATTGCGAGGCACATGCCCGCCCTCCTCTTTTGCTTTCCACCTCTGACGGCATTTGCCAACAACCGGTTTTCTTTTTCCCCCCAAGGCATTTGGATTTGCCCATACCAGGTTGTTGGGGGACGAGGTCTTCTCCGTATGGAGCACCGTGCCAGTAGGGCTCCTTTCTCGCGGTCAATCTTACTCTGATAAAACCTGACCATCACGCAACTCCAACGCGCTTCTCCCTCTCGCTTCTCACGATCCCCGAAATTTGTTTCTCACTGTGGATCTTGGCACCTTGCGGGAAACTCTGTCTCTTCGTGCCTCTTCGCCTCCTAGCGACTGTCTCCTGTTACTTTCTTCCTGGCATGGGACTGCGTGTACCACCTTGAACGTGGCTTGCGATTCTGAACATCTTCCCGACATGTCGTCACCATCCTCTACGTCTTCCGCGAAGCGGAAAAGGACGACCGCCCCAACCGACCTCCAACAACCATCGTCGCGCGACGCTTCAGGCGAAGAGCTGGCCGATTCGCCCTCGCACAACCTACGGAACCGCAAGCATGCCTCGAGTAATTCTATCGACGGTGCAGTGCCGCCTAGTAAGCGAGCTCGCACTCGGTCCATCGCCAAACCTGTCGAGCCCAATGGAGCGAGTGAAAAGGACGTTGCCAATGAGGAAGACCCTGGTGAGCCGTCAAGCACTACTGCGGATAGCCAAGAGATCGAAGAAACGGCCAGGAAAAGGCAAAGGACCGTCACAAGTGCTATGAAGAAAGCAATTGTCAATGACGACCGGGGCACAATGGAGAATGTACCAAAAGCAGGCTTGAGGGATCCCGTTGGGTACAAGACCAATCCGCCACCGGTTGGTAGGCCCGTCAGAGTCTACGCTGACGGTGTGTTTGATCTCTTCCACCTTGGGTAAACAGCCTCGCACATCGCTTTCGGGACGTGAGAGTGCTAACCTCATGTGAAGGCACATGCGCCAGCTGGAACAAGCGAAGACCGCATTCCCAGATACCTATCTAATAGTCGGGGTTACGGGCGACGCCGAGACACACAAGCGTAAAGGTCTGACCGTGCTCACTGGTGCAGAAAGAGCCGAGACGCTTCGCCATTGCAGATGGGTCGACGAAGTCATCCCTAATTGCCCCTGGATTGTGACCCCAGAGTTCCTGGAAAAGCATAAGATTGACTATGTGGCCCACGACGACGAACCCTATGGCGCCGATGAAGGGGACGATATCTATGCGCCTATTAAAAAGGAGGGCAAGTTCCTGGTCACGCAACGAACCGAGGGAGTCTCGACAACGGGAATCATTACAAAGATTGTTCGAGATTATGAAAAGTACATCGTTCGCCAACTCAAGCGAGGGACTAGCCGGCAAGAGCTGAACATAAGCTGGCTCAAGAAAAACGAACTTGATCTCAAGAGGCACATGCAGGAGCTGAGAGACAGCGTCAAGTCAAACTGGGTCACTGCCGGAGGAGAGATCTCCCGGGACCTGCGGTCATTCTGGACGAATGCCAGTTCGAGACCCGCGAGTCCTGCTCCGTTTAACAGACAACTGAGCGATGGAGGCCTCAAGAGTCCCCTCCTCAGCGGTGGCATGACTACCGTCGAGCAATTGAAACAGTTGGAGACGGCCATCAACCCAGAGAAGCGAAGTGACTCTCCTGGTAGGCTCAGTAGGAGCGAAGATTTTGCCGCAGGATACAGCTTGGGGTTGATTGGGGGTGTGAAATCATGGGTAAGGACAGAAAACCTTGATCTGGATACGTTGGTTCGACTCCACTGCTGACATGGGTAATTCTTCACAGATGATGCGAGGGAAACGGGCTCTGCGCGACAGCCAGGCACCCAGCCCAGAAGGAAGTGAAGATGATGAAGCTAGAAGCCCCATCAGCAATGACGGAGAAAACGACATATTTGGATTGAAGACACCTCCCCTTGGTTCGATTCGGGGGAGAAAAGGCAAGATCGCTAAGAGTAATGTCGAAGAGCCCAAGCGAGAGGCCATGGACGTGATGCATTGACTCGTCTGATTGGTGGGACAGCTTTTTGTGCTGGAGATCGAGTGTGAATTATAGCGACCTCTACGCTTTTCCTTTCGACAACACACTCTTTTGCGCAACACCTTTATTGTCCGGTCGGCGGGAGGGCTCTAAGAGCAGGGTACGAAAATAGCAAAGCGCAAGGAATGGCGTTACATTCATTAGGGACTAAACATATCAGTTGGCGGGCGAGGACCTGAGCGAGGGACGCACCACAAAAAGTACATGTTTGCTTTGGAGGGAATACACATGGCGTCTTTAATTCTTATTCAAGGACGAGCATTAGGGGATGGTAATCAAAGACGTTATTGACCGGTGCTGTTCTTTTTTTGTCTGGTATTCGACCGGTTCGGTCTTGAATTCTGACTAGGATCGTCTATTGAGGTAGCCTCAAAAAGTCCCATCGTCCAGACGCCGCCATCCCATCGAGGAGCAGCTGCAAAAACGACCGCCTCGAATCGGCGCACTCTTTGTAGTTTGCTGGATTGAACTCCCCAACCCGACATCTGCAAGCTCAGTGGCCCCAGGTCAGGGGATCCGGAGAATTGTTTTCTTTTTCTGTATTTCAGATGGGCATTCCCTTCAGTCATCATTTTAGGCCGAGCATTTCGACTCCCCATGCTTCTTTCCTTCCGTCCTCACACCAATCAAACTGCATGATTTGTGTGTTTTTTTTCTCTTTTCTGTCCCACTCACTCACTCGCTTGCTTCCTCTCGAGTTCTCGACCGCCACCGCGACCTATGGCCCTTTATGATCGGGGCTTCTCCTTCTTCTCCTTCCACAAGGCGCTCAGGCCCACGCCGGACACCTTGACGACCTTGAACCGCACACCGGGGATATCACCCTTGGCTTTGCCCTTGCGACCGAAACCGGCCAGGAGGACCTCGTCGTTCTCGTCCACGAAGTTGAGACAGCCGTCGTTGGGCACTGGAGGGAGGTTACGAATCGTCAGTAAACATTCTGTACTTCAAGCACTATTTCTCGAAGAGTTTTCTTTGGCCGGGGGTGTTTCCATCTCATGTTCCATCCGTCTGGGAAAATGTTTTCTCTTTCTTCCTTCTCTTTTCCCCATTTCTTTCGGGGTTGGGTAGGTTGGAAGGCTTGAGAATGATTGTGGGTGGGCAGACATACCGAAAGCAGTGACCTTCTTGCCGTTCTTGATCAATTGCACTCTCACGCATTTCCGGATGGCCGAGTTGGGCTGCTTGGCTTCGACTCCGACCTTTTCCAGCACGATTCCTTTGGCATGCGAGGATCCACCGAAGGGAGAGGACTTGTAGGCGGTTCCGAGGAGACGCTTCTTGTAGTGCAAGTCGGCCCAGCGACCCTCCTTGCGGGCGGCGACGAGTTTGCGCGCGGCGTTGAGACCACGGGGTTTGCCTCTGTTTGTCATTTCTAGAGAAAAGTGCGAGGATGGGTTAGCTCGTAGATACTCTCGCCAAAAGGTGCGTGGGAGCGTGCAGCTGGACCGAACCCTCCTCGAGGTTCTGGGGCGGGGGACAAGTGGAACTGTCTGTAGTCTCTGCAATGAGAGATGGTCCTGGGGATTGAACGTACTGGCAACTGTGACAAGGCAGACGATTGATAAAACTCTGAGATTGAGGGTGCTGAGAGCGTGGATCGAGCGACGGCGATATTGACGAGGCCCCAGAATTCGAGAAAGTTTGGTGCGCTTCGCCAAGAGTGAAAAGCGGTGAGCGGTGGCAGAAATTTTGTACGGTGCGGCGTACTCATGCTCTGACACAATTGTTCAATCTGATGGGGCTCTGGCAGTTTCCCCACCCCGACTTCAGCCTTGTAACTACACAGGTCAACACATCACCGACTCCGTCTTATGCCAAAGGTTTGAGTGGTTTCTTAATGTCAACCGCCCTATAGCCTCTTCTGGAGCGGCGAGGGCACGTCTCTCTGCCAATTCTCCTCTTGAAAGCCATGGCCTCATCATCTGCTGCAAAAAAACCGGGCCAACTAGAAGTGCCGGCCGCAACGCCCAGTGTCGAACGACCCAAACTCTACACCACCACTACTCGAACGACAGCACACCGTCTCCCTCCTCCGGCGCTGTTCCAGGGCCCCCCGTCGAAGAACGCGTCGCACATCTCCCTTGTCGTTCCGACTGACCGTCCTCCCGCCGAGACCGAAGGAGGCGCCCAAAATGGCCGGCGAAAGATCATTCGTCCGTCTCGAGTTCCTCCTGCCTCATCCTTCTCCGGCACCTCTCCATCTCAACTACGTCACCCTGCCGGGGGAACAGATGCAGACGATCAGCGTGCCGAGCAGCTCTGGGCTGAAATGCAAAAGACCCTCGCAGACGTTGAGATATCGGCCATGAACACCTCCCACGTGTTTGGATCGTCTCATTTACGAGCATTGGAAGAGTTGCGGACCGCACAACTGTCCCTAGCGCAGACATGGGCGAAGATCGAAGCGGATGAATCGTTGGACCATGACTTCGCCATCGTCTCGCAGAAGGAGTCGAACCTTGGCGCCGCATTGGAGAGCAAGACCTCCGCGACGACGCCATCCGCTCAACAACGACCAAAGGGTACGGGCCCTGGGACCGGCACCGGCACCGGCACCGGCACCACGGCGTCGCCTGCGACGGCCAAGGATGCTGGATCTCCAGACGGGAAGCCAAGCGCATTCACGAATGACAAGAACCTCGAAGAAGAAACAGAGCGGGACATTCAACTCGCCAGGAAACGGCGCGAGGCGAATGATCGGTACTTCTCCCAGGTCAACAAGGGGGTGTTGGATGTGGTGAGCAAATTGGACGAGGTCGCAGGCGCCATGAGACGAGTGGAAAGGGAGAGCAGAGAGATTTGGGACGAGTCGAGCGAGGATTCGGACGATGCCAACGAGACAGGTGGTAGTGACACTGAAGGAGAAGCTACTGACCGCACTGGAATGACTGACAGTCCTGTGCCTGTGAGGAAGGAAGGCTGAATTCTGGCACATTCCACTACAATTTGGACCAACCTAAGATTCGGACACACAGTCCAGGATTACCTATCCCTCTCGAGACTTTGACCAGTGCTAGTCCTGGACAGATATGGGATGTCCCTTTCCCTCTATTGAGTGTCTTGGGGGCAAGCGCGGTTTCGATCTCGACCAAAAAGGGGCAACGAAGATGCCACGAAAGCACACGAAGTAAATCATGCTCCACACAAGCACCAGCGAATTCACGTCCCTCCAGCAATGGACCCTATCCGCAATGGTCCTGCTCTCCAACACAACGGCCATATCCAGCATTTGGGAGAAGCTGGGCGGCCCCTCACATGCAACAACGAGGATGGCAAGGCAGGGCAAGGCAAAGGGGGCATACCCCAGAGTTATCAAGCTCTGTTACACCTTCATCAGGGAGGTTTTGCGATGTAAGCATCCGGTCATCCAGCCTCCGCGTTTTGGTCGAGAGCAAGCCGCTGCTTCCGCACCGCCTGGACCAGGCAATACACTGTCGGGCATTCCTCAAAATGACCGTCGCAAGAAACCGCCATCCAACACAGGCCACGTTCTTTCTGCCTCCTGGGCGGGCAAAGGAAGCGCGAGGCTGCGCACCACCTGGCCGGCGGGACTAAGGCCACTCACTCGTCGGTTGAAGGGGTCAAAGTCGCCACCACGTTCCCGCAAAGATCGCCGGGTTTTTTGAATCGCCTCCTTGTTTTTGCTCTTCGCTGCCCTTGAGATTCGATCAATCCGGTATACGCCCTCGTTGCGCCGACAATGGATTGATTGGGGAGAGGGGAAAGGGGACGGCAGGTCTACTCTCATTAATTTAGTATATACAATACGGAAGACATTCGACGCTTTCATTCGGTTCTTGGAAGTAAAGCGGTCTAGCCCAGCAGAACGAGTTTTGGTGCTCAAACCACACAAATTCACGGTGCACTGGCACAAGAACGAGACAGGTCCATCGACAAAACCCATGATCAAGAAAGGCACTTTAGGTCTGTGTCTCTGTCGCTTGGTTCTATGCGGCCGTCAATAGAAGATATGAACGCACTATTCAGATTCCGTCGACCTCGAGGCATCCATATCTGAAGCAAAATGTATCACATTGGGGCTGCTTGTTCTGTATTTCTGCTTCTTGTGTCGAGCCAGATGCCCATGTGCTCAACAACTACCTGAAGCTGATTCCTTCTCAAAGTCCACTTTCTGCTTTATCTTCCGCGCCACTGGTATCATATCGACTACGAACAGGCTGTCGTCCAGGTTGATCATCGTCGTTACTGTCATTTTCTTGATCTCTGTCATCAACAAACCGAACGGATGTACTCCTGTGTCGGGTGTGAAGGCGAGACTGGGTCGTTTCGCGCCTACCAGTTCCTGGTGCACTGCTTCGCCTTCGATGGACATCCGTTGCCCTTTGAGAGAATATATGTTGATCTTTCTTAGCAGCGACTTTCGACGGCTCCGAATCGTGTCCACTTCCTGTTGAAATAGCTTGTGAAGAGGCCGAGTCGCCTCTCTGACGTGGCTTGAAACTATGGGTCAGGAACGGAGATGGTGCTCGAGGCAGAGATGCGAGGTAATCATCCTGACGCTCCTGGTCGTCTAACTCTGCCCAGATACCCTCCGTGTCAGTATCAGGCGGCGCATGAACTGAAAGCACGGGCGGTCGAGCGCGGCTAACAACTAGGGGTGCCTGCTCGTCGACCGATCGTCTTGAATCAGCCGTGTGGCTCCTCGCTCGTCCAGCCGATAGTAAAGGAGCTCTTTCGTCCACGGGGGATCGCAAGATTCCCATTCCTGGTGTCAGCGGAGTTCGTGGAGAGGGCGACTGGTAAGGCGCTTCTGCGGGTGTCGTATCATCCAATCTCCAAGATAATGCCAGGACTCCAGAAAGAAGTATAACAGTACCCAACGCCACTAGCCCCGCATGAAGAGAACTCAACCTCGACCCTTGTTGGAAATAAATCAGGCCGTCTAGGATTGCGATAATGTTGTAAATGCAAAACACGAAGGGGTATAATACGCTCGTACTGCATAGCCGAAGACCAAGGTGCAAGTAATATAACTGCGTCAAGGCAAAGAAGAGTAGCGCCACCAGGATGAGCCATGACTGAAATCGGTCGAATTGGTTTTTGTGGTCGATGATGGTCCGGACAAGAAGCTCCACTGCGGATTTGGCGACAAGAAGAGAATGCGCCGACAAAATGCCAGATATCAGAGCATAGGACAGGCCTCGGGCAAGCCGCAGACGACTGACACGTAGTTTCAGCGGTTGAGGCAGTTGAGCGGTGAAAGACCGAGAGAGCATCCGAGGGCGGTCAGTGCTGATTGATCCTTCTCGAGGCCTTTCGCTCTTTGGCAGACTTTCTACGATTCGCTTATGAGACGACCACATCCTCAAGACGTGAGCGAACAAGATGGTAGCCACGACCACCATCATTGTACCAACCATCCAGATGATGAAATTGCGCTTGCCGAGAAGAACGAGCAGTTGATGGAGGTTATGCGCCGGCTCTCCAATGGCCCCAAACGTGGCTATCAAGCCTGCACCAGAACATGTAAGGATTGTGCCCACAAATGAGAAATGGGTAAAGGGCTCGCCCAGCAGAAGAGTTGCGAATGCGGTGTTGAAAACAAGCCCTGAAGCCTGTAACGTCGAGAGCACGGGCAAGGGCAGCGTGGTGATCTGAATGGTGCTGCCCACCAAATTGGATACGACAAACATCAACATGCCTAATTGCCATCGCCGCCTCTTGTATGGAGGAATCCGCGGCTCGGAATGATCCTTTGCATCCTCGATGAGATGCGACTTTCGCTGAAGGGTCAGACCCAGGCTTTGGACAGAGGTGGATAAGAGGCCGACGAGGATTCCAATCTGCCTTCCATGTTAGCCGGGGCATTACATCTTAAAGGAAGGAGCAGAGGGGCGCACAGCAATGGTGCCTTGAGGCGAGATGTCACCGAGTTGGCCCATGGCGGTCAAGCGAAGCAGGAAATGTGCAGAAGCGCATTCGTGAGGACAGCTCAACTGAGCCGCTCATCTTGGGCTTCTGCGCATGAAGTTGTAGGGATTGTAATTCAGCAGTTGGGGATATTCATGATTGTAGGGAGGCCGTCGTGGTGAATAAGACAGAATGTTTGGTGTAAGGGTGGAAGCGAGGAGAGGACGATTGACTGAATGACTGAGCCACGAGCGCCTCTCCGGGCTGAGGATGAAGTCACCGATTCGCTCCTTCGCAGCGATCGCTTGGCCGCGGATGCTGTCGCCGTCCACACCAGAGCTCACTCTCCACCAGCGATTTGGTAGCTACCTGCTGCATCTACTGATACAGCCTTGCATTGACTCTCTGGAAGTGAACATCTCGTGTTGCTCGGGCACGGTTTCAATCCTCTGCAACGCAGCTCTAATCTACGGCAAATTGTTGACCCGAGCCCAGCTGCAGGGACACCAGCTTCTGGGATAACGCAGTCTGCCTCTGTCCTATACTCCCCAACGATATAGATACGAACTGCAGCAGGTTGCGAAAACAACGGCCAACACCAGCTCTGTCCCCGGAACAGGATCTCTAATTCTCTACTTCCACTTTCTACCAGTTGTCTACCTGTTACAACCGCCATCATGTCGTCCCACGCGCTCTCGGACGACCAGGTATGCCCATTGCTCGAGCCCTCAGTTTACCCCTCCGCAGCTAATAACGATATTCCCAGGTCGCCGCCGAGCTCAAAAAGATGACGGCATTCATCCGCCAGGAGGCCCTCGAAAAGGCCCGTGAGATTCAACTGAAAGCGGACGAAGAATTCGCAATTGAGAAATCGAAGCTGGTCCGCGAGGAGATCGCCGCAATCGACAGTCAATACGAGAAGAAGTTCAAACAGGCATCCATGTCCCAGCAAATCACCCGCTCCACAATGGCCAACAAGACAAGGATAAAGGTCCTCTCTGCCCGTCAAGAGCTGCTGGACAAGTTGTTCGAGGAAGCGAGAAAGAAGTTGGCGGACGCAGGAGCCAAAAGCAAGAATTACGAGCAAGTGCTGAAGGGGTTGATTCTTGAGGGCCTGTATATGCTCTGCGAGAAGAAGGTGACCTTAAGATGCCGGAAGGCAGATAAAGACAAGGTGCAGAGTGCCGCAAAGAAGGCTGAGGCCGAGTACAAGGAGAAGATGGGCAGTGAGGTCCAGACTGTCGTTGATGAGAAGGAATGGCTACCAGATGAGTCGTACGTTTTCTTTACCACAGACGTGATCTCTTCTATTGACATGCATGCACAGAGCTGGCGGCGTCTTCATCATTGGTGGTGGCGGCAAGATCGAATTGAACAACACCCTCGAAGAGAGACTGCACATGCTCGAGACCGAGGCCCTTCCCAGCATCAGAGCGACTCTGTTCGGCGAGAACGAGAACAGGAAGTTCCATGACTAAAGCGTAGAACGTGGGTGCAAATGGAAAAGATTTTGTTCTAATGGAAAGCTCTCCGTCGTCACAGGGTGCCTGAGGCGCAGTATCAGTGCGTTCGTTCAACATGCGCTTCCGCTGCAGAAGGCAGGCAATTGTGATAGATTGCATATGGAGGGCGAGAGCAGCGCCACACGCAGTAGACAGGGGTATTACTATGGTCGGAATGGGGGGAAATACAGTGCGAGCGTATTGAAGATTTTCTGTATAAAGTCGTCTTATTTCCATGAGTCGTCGTGCGAACTGCACATCGTTCAGACTCCGGCTTGGGGGCGGCATCAATCGTCAAACCCGTTTCCTTCCCGTCGATACGCCCCGGCGCCTTGCTCAACAATAACATGATCCAGCGACCCAATTCTCATACCGCCCTGCTTCCGGGGAGGGGGTCACACTGCTCGAAACGAACATGGACCTTCAGCAGAAAGCTGCACCTAGTTCTCCAGCCCCAGCTGCCTGCGGATCGACATTTCAGTCTCTGAAGGCTCTGATGTCGGAGGAGAGGTGGGAGGGACCTCTCCGCCTCGCTCTTTCTGGGCGTTTTCATGCCCTTGCGGAGTGTCTGCCGTCTGCTCAGCTCCCTTCTCCCGCTCCCTCTCACGTTCACGCTCCCGTGATTTCCCTTTCGTTTTCTCCAGAAACCGGCTCATAAAGTCCTTGCCTCTTTCCTCGACCTGGACCTCCTCGGCGTCCCTCAGTCTTCCCACCTTCCCATCAAAGATATGTCTCTTGGGCCTCAGCTCCGTCCTGACACTGTATAACAACCGCCAATACAGCGCTTGCAAAACGTCCTTGCACTCTGTGCGGGTCATGTGCGAGGCGCCCGTGTCGACAATCGCCACAAAGGTCGCTTTGATTGCATCCGCGAGGCGGTCGACGGATTTGTTGAAAGAGAGTTCCTCCGGGCGAGAGGGGAATTCCGCCGGTCGACCGCCATCCGAGATAGCGATGTCGAGAATGTGAGAGCGAGCGCGTAGGGCAGTGTAGTCCATTGTGCTAGGACCTTTTCGGCGCCGCGTATCGAAGTCAGGAGACTTGGATACGTGCTCAGCCAGCGTGTGAAGTGAAATCTTGGGAGTGTTGGATTCAATGTCCTTTACGTCGTTGGCCCCAAGCAGAAAGGCCTGCGCGAGCAGAATGCGTATCTGCAACGCGGTAGGCGAAGTAGGTAGGATATGAGAGAGTAATTGTGCCTGCAGCGTACTATCTTTCAAATGCCGGCCCATGTCGGCCAGGATTCGATCGGCGATGTGAGAACGCGTTTCCACGTCGGGGAGTGATAGAAGCCTTTCCAGGAACGCGTCAATGCTCAAGGAAATTCGTCCATCGCTGGTTAGCTCGCTGTCGATGGCGAGCCGACAGATTATAGAAGTTAGCTTGCTCAGAGCCAAAAAGTCCATATCCGCATATATCTCCTGGAAGACATCCAGGACTGCAAGAAGGTATTTCGGATCACGCCGCGCTGGCTCCTTCAGGAGTCGATGTCTGGGCTTTATCTCGACAGAATCTTGGAGGCTGTTGGAATCAGCACCTAAAGTCTGGAAGATCGCCTGGACGTCCTGCGCCTGGATATTTATCCTTGTCCAGGATGAGCTTGCGTTCCGCAAGCATCGGATATATGCTTGCCTTACGTCGTCCTGTTCCTCCATGACGACGTTCTCAAAGGTCCAATTCAGTGCCCCGTCCGAGATCAGGCGTCTTGCTGCGAGGTCAGCCATACAGCCCGACACATAGGCTCTTGACCTGGATTCGTTATCCCCCGCTCGCCATAGGTGCTCTGGGATTGCATCTTCGGGGAAGGGATATTCAACCGGATCTTCATCATGCCAGTCGTTTGGCCCGTTGACTCCGAAGAACAAGAAGACCGCTTCAGATGTTAGAGCTTCCGTGCGGTCCACAGCGTCCATTAGTCTTGCGACTCTATGCTCGTCGTCGTCCGTTGTCGCAACGGCCGCCAGAAGCGTCTTGTCAAGTGTTGGTATGCTGTCTGCCCCGGCAGCTTTATTTGCCGCGTCGACCTCTGCCCGGACTTCCCTGACTTTGCTCTCCACTTCTTCGTCATTGAAGTGGTCTTCCATCAAGGCGCTGATGTCAAACCTGTGCGCCCTTTCTTTCGCATACAGTGCCCGTAGTTTGTCCTTGCCCACCAGGGGGACTGACCTGCCTGACGTGAACAGACTCAACAACCTTTTGCGCTCAGCCTCAGCCTTGGCCTCATGCTCGGGGGTGGACAATGGCGAAGTACTGTGCCCACCTTGCCTTCTTCCAAACAAGTCCTCCAGTGACTCCAAAGACTCTTCGTCGTCATCATCGGAGTCAAGAACCTCGATTACTTTGCCGTCCTTAATGACAGCTTGCGTCGAACTGGGGAGGTCGGTAAAAGAGAAGCGGTTGGCCTCGCCCTTGGGAATATCATCTTCTAGAATGTCTGCGCCAAATGTGGGAGCGCGTTTGTACGTTGAAGGAGGCTTTATCGGACTTTGTGAGTGGGACGTTCGGCTGCGAATGGACAGTGAGGCTCGCGAGCCCGGCGCAGACCTGGGTGAGAGCACGGAGGAGGGTGGCGTCCTCGCCGCAAATGTGTCGATGGTTCTCTTTTCTGCCTTGGGAGTGGTTGTCTCCTCTCTGCGCGAGTGTTCTCCCTCCTTTCGCTCCTCGGCCGACGGTGATGGTCTTTTGGCAGGGACTGTGTTTCTGAGGTAAGGCTTGAAGAATTCGTGAATCGGTTTCGTGGTGCGCTTCTTGGACGACGGGGAAGCAGACATGGGAGCGACTAGGGTGGCATTTCAGGGATCTGCTGGAGGTACCATTCAGAAGGGCTGCGACAAGTCAGGTACAAATGGCTCGTTGAGGCCCAGGTCGCTTGGAGGGGAAAGGCGACCAGTACTGTCAGGCAACGCGGTGAAACTGCCCGCGCCTCCACGCGTTGCAAGTCACAAACTCGTAGTCCAGGCAAGCAGCTAGGCGGTTAGCGGGGTGCCGGGACCTTAAGAGCCTAAAGACCCGCCGGGATTGCCGCCTAAAGAGTTGACTTTGGGGGGGGAATCCAGGCCCGCAAAGCTTATTTGCCATCACGTTGCTTCCGCCATGACAATCTTTATCGTTGGGGCCACAGAGGGTGCTATTACGCAGAAACCGAGACGTCTTGGGAGTCCAATGGACGACAACCGACACCATATAATTGTCTATTACTCGGCACATTGTTCAATGCTTGGTCTTTGGAAGCCACTAGAAGCTATGGCCGAGATCAATGCGAGGCATAGCCTCATAAGCCCCCCCATGAAACGCATGGATCCTCCAGCCGCACCAACGGCAGGAAGACGAAGCCGCGCGCCGAATCCACCTGTTTCGCTCGCCTGATCTGAACGACATCCAACGTCCCCAAGCCCCAATCACGAGTCATTCGTAGACCTCCATGGAGAGCACTCTCGTCAAAGGCAAGATCGTGACGTAGGCACAGCGGGCTCCGAGAACCTAGAGGGTATATAGACTCAGGACAGAGTGAGACCAGAGCTCAGGCGGGCATCTTTCGCCCCCAACGGGGGTTGTCCGATATCAAAACGAACTGAGCTTTCATCCCAGAGGTCCAGCACAGCAGATACAGAATCGGGTGGAATATTCTTTCTACCATCGCGTGAGTAGAGTCCAAACAAGGCCTCCTCGAGAACAACAGCATCTCCACTGAATGGGGTAAGATCCTGCGTAGGACATTGATGGCAAACGTTGAGGGGACTCGAGGCAGAGAACGAGGATCCAACGCCAGAGGAGCATCACAGGACGTTGATCGGTGCTCGGTGCCACTTCCCCAAAAGTCGTCATAAAGACAGAGAGAGTGACTCGCGGATGAAAAGGGAGTTTCCCAGGTTGAGGTCGAGATCAAGCTTGAGAAAAGTGACGAGAAAAAAGTTTGACCGATGTTAATGCTTCGCCATAGACCTACGTTGCGGCATTCGCTGGATTGGCGCAATGCAGCCTCGTCTAGTCATCAAGATTCCCCAATCTATGCTCTTGAATGCGTCGATCTGAATACAAATCAAAACCTTCATCGATGTCTGCTTGGAGCAAACTGGCAGTCCGATTTATTATGGTATCTACGGCCTTCAGCACAGCCCGAACCCGTCCCACCCTCTCTTTCGTCTTGCACGGCTGACTTGTGCCATAACATGCTTCTTCAGCAGATCGAGTTGCGACCAGTCAATGCTGCGAGCGATCAAGTCCCGTGCTCGTAGGCACTTCGTGCTCTCAGTGCGGGCCCGAATCTTGAAAACAGCCAGGGAATCGGAGCCATGGCCAGAGCCAAAAACCCCAACAGAGACGAACCCCAATCCACGCCGAGGCGCTCATACATCTGCGTGACAAAAAGCGGAAAGGCCGCCGACAAGGTATAGCGAGACAAAGAAGACGCGCCGCTCGAGGAAGCCCCGTATTTAGAGCCGTACACGTCCAGCATGAAGAAACTGCAAGGCACATAGATGAGCAGGCTTCCCAGCATGATTACTGCTTGTGCAATGATCGAGTTGATCCAATGGACTGACGGCCGTGTTGACCACGCAAACCAGAAGAGGCCAGTCGGCAGCATCAGACTCCCATACAACGCGGCAAGGAGCTTGGTTTCCGGCGGTAATTCGGGTCTTCCGACTGCCTGCTCTCGGGCCGCCTGGAGCTGCTTGTATCGGGGTTGATAGAAGAAACGATCGACTAGAATGAGCACACAGGAAGCCACCAAGCAGCCCGTCACAAGGCCCAGGAATGACAGGTTCTGGCCGCTCGGAGAGAAGCCATAGACTTTTCTCAGGACCCACGGAGTCGTCACCACGAAGGTGTAGAGCAATGCAAACTGGAACCCCGTGTACAGACAGATGAAGCCGACGAGCGGCTCCGTGCCGAGCATGTGGAGCGGCCGGATGATGGTCGAGGTCGCCAACTTGCTCAGAGCTTGGCGGAACGTCTGGTGCGATCCCGGTAGCGCTGCCACCCCGTGCGCTCTTGCTCTACGTCGCAGGATTGTCGCCTTGTAAGACTCACGGAGGAAGAGCGCCGACGGATGGATCAGGGCCGCAGGCAGCAGGACGGCCCAGCAGGTCCATCGCCAGCCGCGACTCTGGACCGCGAAGCCACCGACCAAGGGCCCTAACGCACTTCCCATGAAAGGGACGGAGTAATAGATGGCCAAGGGCACGGCGCGACTCGAAGGAGGAAGACAGTCGGCGATGGTCGCCGCCGTCACGGAGACTCCCGGGGCGGCAAACAGCCCGGCGAAGAACCGGCACGTAATCAACGACCCGATGCTTCGCGACAGTCCCGACCCAACCACAAAGACGTCAAACAAGGGCAGGGTGAGCACGAACACGGCCTTGCGCCCAAACGTTTCCGACAGGGGAGAAGAGATCACGGGGCCGAACGCGAGGCCCAGGGTGTACGTCGACAACGGCAGGATCGACACGGTCGAAGAGACCCCAAAGTCGGCCTGCACTTGCTCGGTGCCAGGAGCATAAATGGACGCAGCCATGGTGGTGATGAACCCGATGAGGCAGCAGATGACTGTGGTCAGGACCTTGCGGCTGGTGGACCAGTTCCTCGGGTCGCTTGGGTCATTCTCATCACTCCAGTCTTGATACTGGTTGCTGGAATCAGTGTGCGTCTCCTGCAGAGCAGGCATGGCTGTCAGGTGGGCGATGGCTGCTTGACGGAGATATCAACTCGATTTCTCGCATCCATCCCGAGGATTTATATCCCCCCGTTATCAGACCGCTGCCAAAGAGGGAGAATAGTCCTAGGCCGGCGATTTTGCGGCGTTTTGACGGCGTTTTCAGACCACCCGGCGTCGACTTCCTTCCGGCACAAGAACCTGTCAGTTATTGGCTCGAAACATTCCTGGAGTATATACATGTATGGATTATCGCGGCAGTACGGAGCAGATTGGCGAGGACGAGTACCTATGATAGGAGACATGAGAGTGCCCTGCTGGTCACGTAGATAGTTTCATAGTTACCGAAGGCTCTCCATGTCAAATGATGCTAATCCAGATATACATACCTAGAAGCGCCGGTTCAATACAAGTTGACCCAAGCCTCGTCGACAACTTTTACTGCATTTCTGGGTATCTGTAGCAGTAGATTGACCACAACTTCACACGAGCACGAGAGTCTCCTCTTCCACAGGGTTACTACTCCCACCAAGGAGCCGCGCTTTCACAAGCTCTCCTTCCATGCAGCCCTGGACGTAGCTCTCCCCCACGAGCCGAAAATGCCCCTTCTCCCCAGGAACGGGCCGGAGCACGCACGGCACTTTGCAGCCGTTGACGACCGCCAGCAGATCCCCGGGGAGGGCGCTTCGAGGCGCGAAGCCGTACCGGCCCTGCTCGGTGAACACCAGCACGCGCCCGTTGCAGAAGTACCACGCATGGTCCACGAAGGTGTCGATGTTGCCCGTGACGGACTGGTCGCGGAGGCGCGCCGTGTCTTCGCCGAGAGCTGCAATTCCAGCTTTGTGGCGGCCCAGTTCAAGCAGACGGAGAGCGTAGGCCAGGCGGTCGGCTTGGAATTGCGCGCGGGGACCTGTGTACCGCTCGCCGGTGAGCATGCGGACAAAGGCCATCAGCGGACGTTGGTCGCCCGCGTACGATTCGTGGAAGCAACCCTGGGCGACGGAGGCGGTCCAGAATGCGACGACCGGATGGGTTGGAGATGGCGCATTCGTCTGGGCCGGGCTCGGGTCGGGGAGACGCAGGGCGGTCTTGTCGAGTACCGGGGATTTGGCCGTGACTCTATCGAACACCAGTCCCTGCACGTTCAAGGTGCGAGGATCGATCGGCTTGCACGAGCTGGGCCCGAGACCCAGGGCGGCATTGAACGGTAGTTTGGTTTGGAGGCCGAGCGTTTGTGCCGGCTGTACAAAGTTCCAACGCGGCACCCACGACGGATAGTCACCACTGAGTGTGTTTTCGTCGTGCTCGACCGAGAGCAGGAGATTGACGCCGTGGGGGTCTTTCAGCCACTCGAGGGCGAATCTGTGGTAAGCATCCAGGTACGGCAGGTTGTAGTCTGGATCGACAAACGAAGTATTATCCGTCGTGCCCGGTTTCAGGGCCGACGGATGGCCCAGAAGCGAGTAGATGAAATCCCGAGGGTCGGTCGCCTTGAGCCCTTTGGCGCTGTGGAGCAGCTTCTGCAACGTCCATCCCGTCGAAAACGTCCCAAAGTCTCGACTCCGCTGCCGGCTGCTCTTGGTGACATCCCAGCCGTCGAGCGTCGCGGCGTGGATCGACGACAAGGGAAACGAGGCGCGGTCGACGAGGAGAAAATTGGCAAAATCCAGCATCCACTGCGCGACCCGCATCATCGATGTCCAGTCGAACTCACTGTCGCCGAACAGCACCCACGGGTCTGCGGCGAGACCGACCTCCTGGATCACCCACACTCGCGTGAACCAGGGCGAGGCGAATGCAGCGTGGATCGCGCGCCAGCGCCCGTCCTTGGATATCTCGTCCTCGGGAGTTGCGTTGGGGAGCTCGTCCCACGTTCCATGGACCGACAGTTGCGCGTCGATCCTGTCGTTCAGTTCGGTGATCAGGGAGGCAGCATTCGCGCCATCCTCCACACTGTCGCCCAGCCAGACCAAGACCCGCTTGGCCTTGCGGTAAATCTGGCCCATCAGACGGACCTGGTGGTTCTTTTCGTCATTGTTGGACTGATCAATCGACAGTTGATCTACCCAGATGACTCGCTCGTGCCCCGAATGGCGCAGGCGCCGGAGAACGCGGTCCAGGTTTGCAGTGATCCCCAGCGCCCACGAATGTTGGCTCTGGCCCCGCTGGACTTGGATGGTCGAGACCTTGTCCAGGCTGCCCCAGGGATAGGACACGGCCTCAAACTCCGGGATCTGATGGATGTCGCTCGTGAGCAGTTGACATGCGAGCGGATCTGACGACGCGCCCGGCTTGAGCACCACATACCGCAGGCAGGGGCCTTTGGGAAGTGCGTCGTAGCTCGACATCAGGTGTTGAAGGTGGACAAAGTTGGGCAGAAAATAGCAAAGTACCTCGGACGCTGAATTCGATTTGAAGGTGAGAGATCAATCACTTACGGGTGGATAAGGCTGCGTGCCTGCGACCTGCGATATCTATCTCAGAGATTGGTTGCCTTGGGCTTGACTAGCTTACCGCGGGCCATAGCCTACTATATAACCCTAGTCATGCCACTACCTGTGGCGGGTTCCTTATAATATGATCCTGAACACTCTCTCAGCGCCTTTCCCACATACCTCCTACCGGGGGCTCTCTTGAGGCCTTATACCTCGCCTTGTATAGCCGCTATACTATAGGGGGAGAGAGAGAGAGAGATTCGGGGGAGTTAGATATTCAAGTAGCAAATAGTGTCGCTACTACATTATCGTCGTGAACATACTATTGAGTGTGCTGTTCTCCATCAAATAAGCATGAAACACGACAAAATATTATATATATATCGATGGGTATCTTAAAAGCCCAGAGCGTGAATCCATCACCAGAGTTGTCTCTCAGTTTTCAAGCCGCAGCAGCAGACCACCAGTCCAAGGCCTCGACGCCGCTGCCGCGTGGGAGGAGCCGGAATCCTGCGCCCAGGCCGTGCCCGAACGGATCCCGCAACATGTCGGTGGCGCGTTTGAACGCCTGGATGGCAGAGAGACAGCCCCGGGGCGACCGGAGCGACGGGGTCGCGAGGCCGTGCTGCTCGAAGCCCAAGCCCGACGACCCGGTCGTCGTGCCGTGGAGGAGTTGGACTTGGCTGTGAGAAAGGCTTCGTGGCTCGACGGCCTCGGGCGGCGAAATGGGATACCCCTGGTGGCCGGTGGAAACCACGACGGCGTGGTGGACTGCTGCCAACGCCGCCCACATCTTCTGAGACACCTTGTCCACCAGGGCCGACGCCTCGAGCATGCCGAGACAGGTCGTCACGCGTTCCAGGTCGAGTTGCGTCTCCGCGCGCTGTGCGGCGTGCTGGATGGTCCGCAGGGCGATGTTGTACAGCAGGATGGTGCACGCGGTGTAGGTCTCGAAGACGCAGATCCAGCACCGCACATGCATGTTGGTGGTGGCGGTGCCGAAGCGGAGCAGAATGAAGATGCGCACGATCGCGCGTGCCGCCTCGACGGAATGCACCAGGTGCTCTTGCACCGGCGCGCTCCAGATGTCCGTGTCCCGGGCGTGGCCCAGGATCCCGTCCGAGACGGCCACCAGGACTCGTCGATGGAGCATCATGACGGCACCCAGGTACATGGCGTGGGAGAGGAGGAGGGCGCCTTGCTGTGCGGCCGTGAGAGGGTCGGCATCGCCGTTCAGCAAAACCGTCAGAGTCATGTTCGGTGGCAGCTTCCGATACCAGCCTTCGAGCGCGGTCATGTGCTCCTCAATCATCTGCTCGGTGGGGGGTTCGAGACCGCAAGTGGCTTTGCACACCCGGGCCCTCAACACGATGATTTCTTTGGCCTTGATTTGTGTCACACTGTCGTCTTGAAGTCCGTCCAGGGTCGGCGTGACGGGTTGGAGGAAGTCGACCTCTCCAGCACACAAGTCGGACATATAGCCCAACGACGTCGATAGCCAGCTATGATGGCGTTAGTCACATGCGGAAAGGAAACACGACCTAACAACACGGGCGGACTGACCATTCAAAAAACATCATTGTTCGATACAATCTTGTCCACTCGTGGGCATCGCCGGTGAGCTCATGTAGTGGCAGGGCCAAGTTCCACCGCGCAATCTGCAGACCGAGCTGGATCAGTCGCGCTGTGGTCTTCCGTTTGTCGATCATGCCGTACGCACAGAGGCAAGCGAGGTATTTCATGGCCTGAAGGTTGCCGAGCTCGACAAGCTCCGGCATGTGGTGGATGGCGGTGTTGAAGAGGGCGTCTTTGAGTTCTCCGGTGGTGTCGTCGACGTTGAAATGAGCCCCGATGGCGGCTACGGCACAAATTCTGGCGACAACGCGACTGTCGGGGGGCGACTGCGGCCGAAAGGCCTGGTTGCAAAGCTCGTCAAACTCGTCCAGGGTCATGACGTGGAACAAGCCAGCCGTCACCTGGAGAAACAACTCGGCTCCTTTCCGAATCTCAACTTCTGGAGGGAGCTGACTCGGGACGAAGACGGTCGGATAGTCAAAGAACCGCAGCGTCGGCCAGGATAAAGGCTGTGCGGGGTGGCGAGACTGTCGACTCCCTTGGTCTGCCTGGAGCTGCTCGAGGTCTTTCAGGGACAGAGAAGGCAAAGTTGGAAGATACATCCCGTAGATGTCGAGAAGGAGGTTGGACGACGATCGACGATGTGCCGGCTCCTGCGAGCCGCGAAGCGCTTGCAGGGCCGCCAGGGATTCCTCGTCGGTGCCATACTTGAGCACGTCGAGCAGGGAGCGCAACTCCTCGTTCTGGGCCTCGAGGACCTGGATGCCCTCCTGCCGGACACTAGCCTTCCTCTTGTCGTTGAAGCGATACACGCACTGGTTGTTGGCGTCGACACAGGAGCGACAGCGAGGCTTGCCATCACACTGGGGGCCACAAGAACGAACGGGTCAGCGTGACACAATCGACCATACCATCAAGCAGAGTTCACGCACTGAGGCAAGAGACTCACACGTTTCCGTTTGAAGCGGCAATACTCGCAGGCGGTCGAGGTATACTTGCGCTTGGAGCTCGTCGTCGCCGTCGTGGTGCCGACCTCTGACGGGCTGGCCTGCTGGCTGAGAGGACTCACGGCGCCTGGCGCAGGCTGTATTGCACACGTCCAGCTCATTCTGCAGGGCGCGGGATTCGATGCAGAAGTCGTAGGAATTAGATTCCACCCGTTGGCTCAACTGGTCCAAGGTTGGAGGACGTCCCTGGCCATCGAGCGCCATCTCAGCCATTATTAGGAGCACGCTGGCCACGAGGCAGGGCTGCAGAAGGGCCCAAGTGCGAGTGAAAACTCCGCCAAACTCGGATTCTAGAACTGGGGAGGCGATGCGACGTCCGGGTCTGGGCCTGGCCATGCAGCTCGAGCCTCTCGGCTTGGGCGTGCCGCGCAAAGTTACTGCAGAAAGCTAGTGGAGAGATGGCGAGATGGTCATCGCTTCGCGTATCCAGCCCTCACCTGATGGTCTGGCTCGTATCTGGTGAGCGGCGAAAGGAGGCTGCAACAACACAAATACACGGTACAAGTGCGTACAAGGAGGGAGAAAATGGGCAGTTCGATTCAATCAGAGACAGAAATCTCTCTTGCTCATCACAAGCATGCTTGAGCCATCTCATGACCAGCATACCAGCCTGGTAACAGCTACTCCTAGTCTCGAAGAAATTATGCATTGGTCTAAAACACTCAAGAGGTTGTACAGAAAGACGGAAGACAGCTGACGAGCACTAGGCAGGCACTCCAGCAGGACCACCACGACCACCCGGAGGATGAGAAGAAGATGCATCGCCAACTGCTTCTCTCTTCGCCTTCTTCTTCTGCCACTGCTCCTTCAACACCGTCTTGATCGCGTCTTCGCCGGCCTCGTAGTTAGCACAGCACACCTTGACAAGCATCTCCACCTGCTCTCCCGTCCACACGAGGTTGTACGACCCGGAGAACTTTGCGGTTGAGGGATCAAAATCCGCAACTGCTCCCTGATTCGGCAACAATGGGAGATAGATCATGGTCGACTCGTGGAGGCACGGAGGTGCTGGAGGATTGGTCACGGTGTGCCCGTAAGAGTCAACCACTTGCTTCGGCCGCTCGTCGAGGATGCTGCCGTCGTAGATCTGTGCATACAAGCCCTTGAAGCGGTCGGGGTCTTTGGGGTCAGGGCCAGCCTCCACGTCAGGGTGTCGCTTGGTAAACTTCAGACACCGTCGGCTGGCAATCTGGTCCACCCGCTCCTGGAAACTGCCTTTCAGCACGTCGCTCGAGGCGTCCATGTTGAGAATCACATCAACTTGCCGGCCAGGGTGCAGCATGACATAGGTCGGACAGTTGTTGTCCATCCCCGAATCGATCAGGTGGATCCGGGGCGAGTTCTCAATCGGTGGTGACGGCTTGTCCTGGTTCTCGCCTCGGGTCAAGTGGAACATGTAGTTGTGCTCATTGACGGCATGGAGAGGGTGATGAGCTTGGAACTCTTCTTTTCCCTTTGGTCCCCACATCCGTGCGATGCCCTTGGCCATGTCATTGATGGAATTACCGATAAACCCTGCGGGCAGACTGCGTTTGATGGTCGCAAGGTAAGAGGTCAAGGGTCCCGCTGGCGCACTGGTACACAAGCCCAGTAGCAAGGCCAGAGATTGTTCAGGAAGCTGCATAGTATCCTGGCCCTTTTCGAACGGTCTGCCAAAGGCCCACGTCGGACACCAAGCCTCCAACTCGTCGCATCCAACCTCGATCGGCGAGATTTCAAACCAGTTGAACCAGGCGTCCTGCGCGTCCTGATGCTCCTTGGTTTCTGGATCTTCATTCTTAAAGGGATGTTCTTTGTCCACCCAGTCCCTCCATGGTCGTTCGTGCCGAATTGCCGTAAGTATGGGCAAAGGTTCGCTGCCGTCTAGCAGGTGAATGTTTGCCGATGACCACTTGAGCCAGTTCTCATGGAGCCCCGCTACTTCCTTCTTGACGCCAAAACTTCCACGGAGACCCGGCGGCTCCAGGGCGGGATCGTGGTTCAGAAACAGATGGCCTGTGGTGAATACAGAATACAAATCCATAGCCACCGTGGACAAGCCTGAGCGATGTTTCTGGACCAATGGACCGAGCGTCTTTGTTGGGCCACCAGGGGCGTTCAGCACCTCCCGAACTGCTTCCGGGGACAAGGGGTGGTGTGGATGCAGCCTCTTCTGACAATGGTCGATCACCGCCTTCATGCTCGCCCCAGCCCACGTATAGTACGCGGCGAGACCCCAGCAACTGCCGCTCACGCCAGCGACATATGTCAGCAGATCCCACATCCCTGTGCGCTTCATCTCCTCGCAATATCCCAAAAAACCGATCATGGCCCTGTAGCCTCCCCCCGACCCGCCAAATGCTACCACAGGCACGTCATCAACATGGACCTCGGACGGGTCGAGGTCGAGATAACGACAAAAGGCATCCCGGACTTTGACCTTTCTCCGCTCACGAAATTGTATCTCCTCTGGAGCTAGCCCAAACCCTCTCCTTACCGTTGCCTTTTGAGCGACCTCGGGATGCCTCTTTGTATCCCTCAGCTCCTTGGTGATGGTGGCCTCGACCCTCAACGCGGCTTTGATGATTGAGATGTCCGCCACGGCTTCGGGAAATGCTGGAACGATGGTCTTGTTCCAGAAGGACTTGAGCTTGCCCTTGACCTTGGCACGTGCCCCCGTCGAGCTCTGCCCGGCCGAAGAAGAGCGACCCTTTTCATTGGTCATTTCGTCGTCGTCTTCCTCGGGCATTTCTGGCTGGTCGGCGAGATGGTGGAAGTCCTGCCGTTGCTGGCTTTCTGGGTAGTGCTTGCGAAGAATGGATTCTTCGTATTCTTGCTGCTCGGTTGTTTCGGACGTGCGCTGTATTCTGGTTCAGGGTCAGGCTGATGTGGCTCGCAGTATGCGGCAATGGGTTGGGACGGACACTGACGTAGCCATAATAGATGGCAAACCCCGAGTTCTCAGAGATCCAGTAGCTCGGGTGTGCCAGTAGTGATCACCCCGTGGATCTGGTCCTTGAGGCCGTTACTCGCTCTCAGTCTTCGAAACGCGACCAGATACAGCGACCAGCGTTCTCGTCTATCTTCATCCTACCCTCGCTACCAGGGAGCTTGGGTCGTCATATGCCGAGCACATTTGGGGAATGGAGGACCAACAGCAAGGCTGAGCCTGAACCGGGCGAATCATGCACAGCCATTGCTGAGCGTGCTTGAAGAGAGGTAGATGCGTCAAGGTCATTGAAGGATTCAAGGAGTGGGGCGTGGCCCATCGACCCAATGAGATTGCACACGTGCTTGACCCTGTGCTATGTCGGACGCCTGCATGGAGCTTGTACAAGAGTAGATGTCGATGAGATGACGAGGTGATGAAGTGATGGAAACTTGAATATGGATTTCTCGAACCACATTTGGGGGTTTGCTTACTCGAGATATCCATCAAGGTCACAATCATCCTCCTATAGACGATGATGATGATTATGACGACGAGGAGGATTATGAGGACTCCGACTCCCAAGAAGAGGACGATTTTGAGGGGGACGATATGGTTTGAGAATCCTGGCAAGACAGGAGGTGGAAGGAGGGTTGTGACGGTATCTGGTGGGATTTGCAGAAGGGAGAGCGAGAATCTGTACCGAATCTGCCTCGTCAATCACCAGGGGAGCTTCGTTCGCAACGGGGACGAGGACAGATTGGAGGCGGTAAGCATCTTCTGAACAATCCAAATGCTCACGCTAATGTGCTTGCAGACCGTCGTCTGGAACCGACAGGGGGTGCGGGTCATGGGCTTGACGCCCGTCAAGTCAAACAACACCGCGGCGAGAGATTGAACCGGGCGATAGGTTACTGATCTGGTCGATTGTCAGATACGAGAGGGCGTCGGGTCGGGTGCAGGTTTGCTCATGTAGATTAGAAAGAGGCATTGTTTGGTAGAAAGGCTTTCTTTTGAGAAGAGGGACGGAGGGGAGGGGGAGTTCCTTGTTTTGCACTTGAAGATGAGGCTGTGTGTGACACGCTGCCCTGAGGCCTGAGCGTGATGTGAACAGTGGCTTCCGAGAGGTTGATTGGGAGTGTCCAAAGAGCCCGGCAAGGTGAATGACAAGGCGATCCCATGTTCTGATGACCGTGTCACGAAGGGTACTGTCAAGAGATGAAAAAGTACATTGACGCACGGGCGGATAGGGGCCAACTCGAACATGTCACCATCAAGAGAGTTCTGCAAGATCTACTTCCCGGCACAGCATTTTGTCATGAGAATCGAGTCCTCCATCGCGACCTGAAGCCCCCAGGTTGAGACGCGGGAGGCGTAAATCAAGTTCTGAATCGTTTGTAGCGAGTGAACTGGACAGGTCGCACAGCGGCGAGGACCGAACCGAGACACGAGATACGAGAGACAAGGAATGAATGGGGCGAAAGAAAATAGCATTCGCCTACGGAAAAGTGCCTATGATGGACGTCTATACCTGCCCAAAGACTGCCTAGATCAGATCGCCACGCCGAAGATCATCAAGTACGAGCTGGAGAACGCTGGTGTCGGGGACGAACCGCCTGCGGGCGATTTTCTCTCTTCACAGTGGTCGAAGGTCCAAGGAAGCACCAGCTCCATCACTCCTTAAACAGTCCTTTGCAACGCGAAACGCAGGGTAGGCGGTGTATCATCCAACAGTGACAACGAGGGAGATGATGTACTATGTTGATGACTATCCATGTCATCTCCCATCTCAGAGCCCGTCACACCCATTGATCACTAATTCCTGCAGCAGACACTCAGTCAAACATTGGCAACACCAAGATCGAAGCCCAATCCACGACGGCCCCCAATCTCAGCTCCTCGGCGTACGAGTGGACGGTATCGCAAGCCTGTCTACCTTGGACCAAACCCCCCGACTGGCTGCAGCACTTTGACATCAGGCGGGCCGGTCAGCAATCCTTCATTCTTAGCCCTGGCCATCAGTGCCCTGTACTGCTCGCCGGCTCGGTGCTGCTCGAGGGCCTCCATGTCCTTCCACCTAGAGGTGCGGCGCGTGGTCAGCCTTTTTTGTTTCTCCGTCTGGTTCCTTCCAGCGAAATGAAGATCTACTGCGTCGGGGGTAAAGGACTGGTTAGATCAGGGACTCACTGTTCGATGAAGATGATGGCTCCATTGCCTGGCTCGGCGTCTGCGGGCTGGAACATCTGGTAGTGCAGGCAGCCTGGCTCGTTGGCCTGGACATACTCGGTGAATGGCTGGATGGCTTCGATGACCTGTGTGCCCATTAGCTATTGCTATAGGAGTGCGAGGGGAGATTTTGGGGGGGGGGGGGGGGGGGGGGGGGGGGGGGGGTGTTGATTAGAAGCGATAGTTACAGGTGGACGAATCGCCATGATGTAGAAGGGTTCCTTCATGGTGTTTGTGATGTGGTTGAATGCCAGTTGAGAAGGCCACTGTGGTGGCTCTTCCCTTGCCAGCCGTTGATATATATATATATATATGTGATCCCCTAGAGCGGCTTACCAAATCCCTCTACACGAACCCACCTCATACGTACGTACTTGGACATTAGAAGCTGTCGACATGCAGCTGGCCCCCATAAGGAAGAACCAGGTCTTGATTGGAGGCGCAACAACTCGTCGTTTCCCCGATCCGGCACACGTTTGGCTGTCCTCTGTAGAATACTTCGTCAAAGGGGCACGGCTACCGACGCCGATTGGAGAGACTCCTTCGGTCGACGAACAGGACATCCCCTTCACAAAGAGCATGCAATCTGGGGGCTCTCGCGACTGTCTCCATACAATGAGATGCATACTGAATCGCAAGTCACATAGAAAGTCACGATACTACACAGTCAGAGCCCAACCTAGATGTAGTATGGTCGCTGACTCGGGTTCCAATGCATGCAGCGACTGGGATACCACTCCTGGCAAGGGGCGATAACGGAAGACGACGCTCGTGAAGCATGCTCGCAGCAGCCCTGACGCAGTCGTATCGCCCGTATGAGAACAAAGGATCCGATGCCCTCTTCAAGAAGGAGTGAATCAACAAATGCGCCGGAAGAATACCCAATCATGTATAACCGCGCGGGTCGATGGGTCGCAGAGGTTCTCGGATATCGATCGACTCCAGCATCAAGCCAGGTTGAACCCACCAAACAGATCCAGCTCTCGTAAAGGGTCGTAACGCGCTCTCCAGACAACGCAAGCATTCACGTCGAACATCGGCCTAGCCCCCCGTTGGTCCGCCTCAAGTTCGACATGGCGCCAGCGTCTCATCAATCCTCCTGTTCAACTTCAAACTCCACATTGTACAGTACCTTCATCATGGACGAAACCAGCCCGCCAACATCGGCAGAGATCATGCCACTCACCTTTTCCGCCGCAATCTCCAACAGCTCTCGCGAGGCTGTACGAAACTGGGGTAACGGGGCCCGAAGCCCAATCCGCTTCCTCGCACGTCCCTTGAGTTTCATTGGCCTGGTCGCCTCTTCAGCAACCTGCAGGTTCAGGGTGAAGCCACAGCGTTGGGCAGTGGTTGCGAGCCATGTTGCAATGTGGTCAGTATCTGCCTTGTACTGCTGATAGCTGCTCTGGAGATGCTGAGGAAGCATTTTCCTTGTTCCCTAGAGACGACTTGGTGTGGGAGGCTGCTTCCGCAAGCCCTGCTGCGAGAAGAAATACAGTGCAGGAGATGGCGACAGGTTTCGAGGTAGAATAGACTGATCTGACGGAGATGTCAAGGCGGGGAAGAGCCAGAATCAATGGATCAGACTGTCGTTGTAAAGTGGCGACATCTACTAGAGGTCGTCAAAGACATTCACCTAACTTTTAGCTGGACTGCCTCGGAACGAGTTGCACTGCAAGTACCTATTCAGTATGATGCGGACGAGGCCACAAATCGACCATTTAGGGGGTCGTGTGGTGAGGCAAGATTATGTGTGTGTGAGAGTGCGTGGGTGGGAGAAAGAGAGAGCCGAGAGAAGATCGAAAAGAGTTGCGTGAATACGAAACACCAGACACCAAACACCAAACATAAACTGATTGGCGTCAAATATTTTTGTTTAATACCGAGTCGCTCACTAACTGTTCAGTCGCCACGCCCTGGTTCAATCACCCTCGCCTTTGATGTCGCTCACATCAGAATACAAGACTTGGAGCGCTTCTGATCCCCTTGCATCTCTCGGTAATGGTCCATGAAGATCCTCTGTTTCAGCTCCTCCACCGGTGCTGTCCGTCGCCGCGACTCTTGCTGTACCTGGCCGCGCACCCTACGGAGGGATTGGATCTGTTTCTGATTGTGGAAGAAGCAGATGCGAGTGTCCAAGCGGCCGTTGAGGTGCACGCTGTACCAGTTGAGCAGTTCCAGCTCTCCGTCGTTCCAAGGCTTCGTCTTGCAGAAGAGACAGTTGCGGTGGATCGCCGCCATCGTGCTGGGCCTATTCAGGGGAGCGGATGGCGGTACATCTGACGCGACCGTGTGATGTCGAGACGATCGCGCTATCTCGAGGGTTGAGGGAAGTCTTTTGCCGGTTACAAAGGCTTGCGTGTACCGGAAATGGATATCCAACTGCAAGAGGACAAGGGAGTGTCTCCCCCAGGGATATATACGCAAGGAGCGAGTTCCCGCATGTTACGAAAGGGGATCTAGGTATACAAGAGGTGGTTCGAAGCTTGCGCGTACGGTCTGAGACAGTTGAGATGATCAATGCTTGTCTGAGCAAGGAGTGCACCACGATGGGGACGTTGTCTCGCTAACCCACCTCCAGTGCTCATTCCTATTTGTCCACTACCTGTCGGTGAGTTGGAGATCAAGCTATGGAAGTGTTTATTGCAAGTTGCCATGTGGAGGTTGATCTGCGTTATGAATACCTAGCTAATTCGCCTAGAGTCGCACGGTTCTCTGCATAGAGCTTGTCGTTCTGGAAGTGGATGAGGTCGATGTCTGCTACCACGTAGTACATGCAGAGATAACAGTGCAACAGAAGACGAAGAGAAAGGCTGCTGGGCTTATCTATCCTCAGGATACACCCTCTTCACCAGCCCAGTCTCAACATCGAGCCACAAGCCGACAACGCCATCGACCAGATCCTTTCTTAGGAACCCGCACATCTTGACCCTTTCAAAATCTTCCAACAACGAAATATGGTTGTCTTCTTTCATCGGCAATCTCTCTTCAAGCTCCACAGACCCCTTAAAATCTGGTCTCTTCTGGTGAACCCCCTCAAGAACCTGCTGCTTGGTGACGTGCGAAGCGCCACAGTTGCTGTGGTGGACGAGGATGATTTGAGAAACGTGGAAGAGAGTGTCGAGCGCGGCGAGATCACCTGCAGCCGAGGCGAAGCGGCCTCCCACGTTGCGCAGGACAAGGCATTCTCGGATCGCGATGTTGAAAAAGTTCATCGGATTGGCGCGAGAGTCAAAGCATGACACTGGAGGCTGTTCAGCGGCACATTTTTCTTGAGGGTGTCTTGAGTAGTTGGTCCTACCAATTACCACATGAGGCCCATACGCCTTGGGATCATTCCTCATCCGAGCCATCAAAGATGGAATAGGCTGGTGACCAGCAGCATATTGCCTGTGTTGTCAACATCAGTCAAATTTCCAGGACAGGTGTCGTTGGTCAGGGGCCCGAGGATTCTGATCCCTCGTGGATCACTGACTTATTGCGTTCAAGCAGCTCGTCGACGCTAGGACCATATGTGATCGCCGTGTTCGGGGACGACATGTTTCGGGAGTGCAGAAGATGTTGTGCTGAACAGATCTAGATTGGTCGAGCAGTATTCACACAGCAAAGACGATCTTACGATGCAATAGCTCAAGCATATCGAGGAAGACGAAGAGGGACCCTGTCGATTTTATACTTCCCTAATAGACCAGGTTTTTGTTGAATTCCTCCATCAAAACTGGAAAGGCCACAACAGGACTGGAGCAGCCAGATTCGAACAATCCTCCTTGCTGACAATTCAGTCGGATCTGTCCCATTTGAGCAGAGCGGAACTCGAGAATGTTGAGTTCCTGGCGACCTGTGTATGCTCTAGTTGAAGGGGCTTCAATGGCTGCCTGGTAGTCATAAGCCCCCAAGTCGCAAAAAAGGCTTCTCTCCATAGTCGCTCCCCGATAGACCACAAGCCCCGTCCTCAACATTTTCAACGGCAGCTGAGGCCAGTTTGCGACAAGGCATGGTAGGCAAGGCTTGGGGCTCCTTAGTCGCAAGGTTGATGTTGAGTAATCACACGTATGGACTCCGCACTTCGTACAGCACGAAAACACCAAGACTAATCGCAGACCCCGCAAGATGGACTGGTTGAGAAGGACTTTGAGGCGCTCCATTCGAGGGCTGTTTTGATTAGAAGACTCACTTGCTGCTTTGTCGCCGCTTGACGTGTTGATTATGGAACAAGGGTCGTTGTATTGGTCTGAATTAGACACGGCGTCGCCTCTTCCAGTAAGGAGGCCGAAGACGAGGTACTGCCTGGTTGTCGCCGCTCTAACTTCACGGTTGTCTCAAGGTCGATATATCTTTGAGCCATCTTGTAAGGAGGGCAGTCCGTTGTACGCCACGTACAAAGAAGACCCGGTTCCCAACCAACCAGTCTTGGTGATCCTCAGGACAACCACCGGGTCAGAAGTTTGTGCGACAGGGTCTTTGGTTGTAGACAGGGTGCGACTCTCTCAAGCCATTGTTGGCAATTGAGGAGAATTGTAACTGATCAGGCCAGCGTGTTCGGTGTTCCCTTAGCCCTAGCGAGGCCTTCTGTGAAAATGTTGGGCGCCATATCCGGCAAGCGTTTCGCATTCAGGACTTCGAGCGCGCAAGCTCTTATCTGAGTCGACCGAACGCGGATCATGGTATCCTGCACGTTCGATTCAGCATGCACGAGGCAAAGTCTTTGGCCAACCTATATTTGTAGGAGAATCGCACTCCCTGCAGCTTTTCTGGACGAAGTGATCGAGGAAGCTCTGCTTGTTCAGCCCCAGACTCATTCGAGGTAGAAGCTTCTTAGCCATGGGGATCAAGACCTGGGCTGCGCGGCCTCGTCGCCCGGAGGGAGACAACTCAAGATCGGATACAGCGCAGATGGCTTGATTTTGACTTCTGGCAGGTGTGTAGCGCAAGGTCCTGGTAGATCTGTAATAAAATGTAATCAAACTTGAATGTATACCAATGAAAATGCCGGACTGCCTACCAAGAGCTTGGAGTCGGGATTGACCAATGATGATTTTAACCTGCCAAATGATGCATACATTCACTCTTGAACAACCGCGCCCGAGACACTGAGAGGTAACAGAAAGAACCCAGACACGGTCCGGCGTGCGAAAAGCGGTGACTGTGGCGGTCGATCCCACGAGGCTGTGAGGCAAACAATTCAAAAACGGTATCCATCTCTGCTTTGGCCAGGCACCGTTACTTCAGGTGCGCCATTATTAAGCCCGTCCGTGGCTCGGACTGCACATCCTATCCGTTGCGCACAGCTTGGACAATTGCTCCAGCGTCCCCTTGGTCCAGCGCATCCAGCGCGTCCATGGCGTCCTGAGATAGCTCAAAGTCGTAAACGTCGGCGTTCTGCTTGATCCTGTCTGGAGTGTCACTTTTCGGAAGAGGAACCCAGTTCTTCTGCAGACAGTATCTGACGAGGATCTGTGGCGTAGTCTTGTTGTATTTCTTGGCCAGGGAGGCCAGTGTGGGATCGTTGGCTTTATAATTTCGGACCAGCGGTGAGTAAGCTTCAACGACGATGGCGTGTTTGTGACAGTAATCGGTGATGGTTCGTTGTTGGCACCATGGATGCAACTGGGAAAATGTGGTCAGCCTTCTCCACGCGCCTCGACAAGACGATAGCTGTTCGATGGGCAAGGAACCTGTTCATCGTACCTCGATCTGATTAACGTGTGGCGGCCACACCTTTGCGTAGTCCTTCATCTCCTCAATATGCCCAACCCCGAAGTTGCTCACACCAATGCTCTTAACCTTTCCCTTCTCGTAAAGTTTTTCAAGAGCCTGCCACATCTCTTTTCTCTTGCCGCTGCCCGCATTGGGACTGTGGATCAAGAACAAATCCACATAGCCATCGTGGCCTGGATCGATCTTCTCCACGCTCTCGAGACACTTTTTGTATGATTTCTCAACGCTTCCTCCAGCAGAGAGGATTTTGGTTGTGATGAAAACCTCCGAGCGGGGGAGACCTGATTTGCGCAGCGCCTCCCCTACCTGAGCTTCGTTGTGATAAAACTGCGCGGTATCAATGTGTCTGTATCCAGCTTGTAGGGCGCAAAGGCACGACTGTTCGCAAACAGAGGCTGGGGATTGGTAGACTCCGAATCCAAGGCGGGGTATGCGAACGGAGGAGTTGGGTAAAGGAAGGGTATCGCTGAAAGAGAGGGGAGGCATTGTATCGAAGATCTCTAAGGGGACGGTACCCAGCGAAGAGCAAAATTTTGAGAGATCTCTGGAGATTTAAAAGCTGAAGGCTGTATTTTTGTTTGCATGCACGGCACCCTTCCACCCCCTCCACCTCCAAATTGGGTGATGATGCAATCATGCGATCCAGCCTTGGGTTCCGCTGCGCGCCCGCAACTGCGCCCACCAGCTAGTCTCCAGCTTCTCCAACCACTCATATTGGCATCGCATTCGCTTCTGCGACGAGCCTCCTCTCGGGTAAGCTGGAAACCATTTCGCCACCAACAGCCCTGGATAAGTACCTCAATCCCCAGAAGGGACATCCCGGCGGTTCCATACGCTGAACCGCGATCTTGACTTAATCGTGGGCGCCAATGACGCATAGTTCCTCTCTGGCGTCTCGATTCCAGCGTCAGTCCGGACGTTGCATCAAGAACGAATTCACTGATTGCAGTGTCGCCCTCGAAGGGTTTGCGTCTTGTTTGGAGCAGATGATCCAGGCCAGCCTTTGCTTGACAAGTTGTTTCTCGACAACTAACTGGTCAGCGATCTCTCTCAAATGGCCTGCATTTCAATTGTCAATTGAGGTCACAAGGTCAAAGGCACGCAGAAAGTTCACTGACCTTCACCGTCGTAGCATAAACACAAAATCGCGACTGCAACGCCGACGCTGAGATCTTTGCCGGTTGTGCAAGTGATCAGTATCTTGCTTTGGGGTCGCGTGTAGAGCTGATTGCTGATGACGCCGACAACGCTAGGGAGCTTGTCGCGAAGCTCTTTGCTCCCGGTTTTGCGGCCGCGACAGTTCAACCAAACGACTCTTGATGTTGAGGTTTGTCCGTCGCCTTGACAATTGATTATCAGGTCGAATCCATCTAAGCTCTTGACAGGCCCGACTGCGATATAAAGGTTGGAGGTTGGAGTGACCCTCGTAACGGAGACCCCTGTGTCATGCATTTCCTTTTCCTTTTCAAGTAATCTCTCGATCAGAGCTGGGAGGTCATCTTCGGGAGTCTCCATCAACAGCTCTCTTTGCTTCCAGAAGAGTTCAGCAGTCAGTCCATGCGACCATCCTTCGCTGTCGTCACCAGCACCTTGGATATAACCCCCTTCCGAGATTTCAGCACCACGAACGCGACGAGACGCGGAGCAGAGCACCACGTTGCGAACAGAATGCTCAAGTGGGGAACATGAGCCTGATAGGGGCTGGTTTGCGTCGTCGCCAGGTTCAAAATCGGAATAGCCATGGATCGCCCAGGTGAGCTGTATAGGACACCCCAGCTCTTCCCGCAGGCTTTGCAAGTCTAGTCCTAGTCCGGTGAAGGCTCTCGTAAAACCCTCGAGCCGGGCTTCGATTTGCGATATCTCAGACTGTCCTAAGTCATCCGGTGGAGGCGGAGTCTGAAGCCTGTGCGCTGAAGGGATTTCTGGAAACAATGCTTTATTGATAATTGCTGTCCATATCGGTACAGTCTTGCTAAATGCATCCGGAAGATTCTTCCCACGACGCGTTGAGTCGACCACGATTGCACCGCCATGAGCGGCTAAGATTGGGAGAAGCTGTAGATTGAGTCTGCGCAGGGAGAAGTCCCATTGTCCGTGGTGACCATCTGTGCTTTTGAAATACGTACTACCCGTTTTATCTGCTGGATCGATGTACCAGCTACCACAACGCTCGTTTGCAACCAGAGGCAAGTTGTACCGCTGGGATGCTGCTTTGACAAATTTGGCGTCATCAAGGATGGACGTAAGGCGATTTGGAATTGAGAGAGTAGACTTGCGAATCGACTTTAGCGTGGCATACAGAGAAAGGTGATGGGTTGAGTCGTTTAATGTCAGGTCAACTAATCTTGTGGGAAAATCTGGATGGGTCATTCTCAAGTAACAGGATGCAGATGCTCAATCTCAGCGAAGGTCAGTGGTCTAAGATTCATCCCAAGTGGTCAAGGCCGGCCTGCTTATCAGGTAGCGATGGTTCATGCAGTCCGTAGTGACGAAGTAAAGCAGATTGTCCGAGTCCAAGTTCCGACGTCCAACCAGATGTGTAGGAGAGCAGTGCGAAGTCCGGCACGTGCGCTTCTGCCCCATATGTTGAAGCACTGAGCCCTGTACAAAAGCCTGGTAGCCTGTGACGATGATGAATGTTGTGAGAAAGATTGAAATTTCCTGATGCCAAGAATGGATCCTGATCCCAATTGGTCGAATGCGAGCCTTGAACTCGGTCACGTAGTGAAAGCGTAGTTTAAGCCACTGGTACTGTGCCTTCGATTGACGTAAGCTCTGGCACCATCACAGCCCCGTTGGTGTTCATCATCTCCATGGCATCGTCGTTGATAGGATGTATCGAGAACTGGGTGGCGGTAAATTCTTCTCCGTCGAAGAGTAGCCAGTTTTGAAGCGGCTGCTCCTTTTGTCCCAAAACATTGATCACATCTTGTGCCAAATAGCCTCCAAGAAATGCAACAACTGGACTGATCTCAGCGCCAAGGTTCTGCAGGAAAGTCCGCAGAAACTCTGATCTCAGGGAATCCAAAGGGAGTGAGAGCTCTAGATGTTTCTGGTTTGCTAACCTGGTGAAGAGCTCAAGGTCTGCTCTGTTGTGTGCGGGAAGTCTGCCACCCATCTGGCCTTGAAAATCGAATAGAGCCCGTAGGCAAGAAAGTAAAGGAGTGACCTTTGTGCGGCTTCGTCGAGCGTTCCTTATCCGTGCAGGAAGAGGAGACAGATTGGCTAGCTGAATGGGCGAATAGGTCTCTTGATAGGTAATGAGTTCCATGGTCTTCTCATTTTCCTTCTTCGACTCGACAGCGGTGACACATTTGGTGGAAGTCTCCATATCGCCGATTTTCGTGGGCTTGTTCCTCTGCTGTCTCTCAATCACGAAATCATGGATGATCAAGTCGTCGAATATGTAACCGTACATACCGTGGGTATCTGCGGCATAGAATTTCCGGCCATACATCCGGCAGGCCATATTGATGGTCCCCAGCACGTCCATAATGAGGCCTGTTGCAATAGTAATGTCGAAATTCTGGAAATATTCCGGATCCTTGGTCACAGCCGCATTCGGGTCCGTGTATACCTCAACCCGTGGATTCAGCTTCTGTAGCTCCGCGAGAGCGGCCTGCGCACGATTCTGGCCGATTTGAGCTTCCCGGACAAAGAACTGCGTCCCCAAATCTTCTTCCACAACGACTTCGTGATCAAGTATTGTCAACACTCCAACTCCTGCCAGAACCAGATTCTTTGCGATTTCACAGCCCAGGCCTTTCATTCCGATGAGAAGAACGTTCGCGCGACGGAGCTTTTCCTGGACTTGCATGCCCCATAGGCGGATTTGTCTGTCATATAATGCGATCTCATCGGCAGATATAGGTTGCTGAGGCGGCACCACGAACATCTCAGGCTGCATCCCATTCATTGCAAGGGTCATGTCACCAAATGACGCATCAGGTATTGAGGGGTAGCCGTTGAGGTTTCCCATAACGGGAACGGATGTCACAAATGTTGAACCATTCATGACACCATCAATGGCTCCATTCACCGAGCTGGCCATGGCTCCGTTCAGGTCGACCGGTGCAGAATCCGCGAGGTGGAGTCCGTTTAGAGGATTAGAGCTACCAGACGCCAAGTTGTCGTCCATGGTGCATTCGAAGGGAAGAGAGGAAATGCGCGAGCAATGTGACGGTTCTCTGAGAGCGAATTTCTCAAGGCGAGAAGAAAGTCCTAGAGTAAGAAGTCAAGTGAAAAGTGAGAGAGAAGGCTGAGGATCGTGAAGGCGGAGATGAAATTGACGTGAAGACTGAAATAAAATGTTTGCTCTGCGGCACACCCACCACGAGTTGCTTTCGCTGGCTGCGCCCGCGATCTTCAGGAGTTGTAGTCAGTCCTTGGTAGCCATCATCTCTTGCTGCAGGGGCAGTTCAATGCCAAGCAAGGATCCAACTAGTTGTCCTTCCTACTAAGCGGCAGGACTCCCGTTGCTGGCAAAATTATAGGCTTTGCAGCCTAGCGGTACGCCTAGAGGGGTTGATGGTGTGTTAATTCTCCAGGTGGTGCCTTCCATTCCGCACGGGCCATCGGCGGGTGCAGTGCATCACCATTTGAATCGTGGGGCAAGAATTGGCCCATGCGCTGCGACATGTCACAGCGCCTGAAGGTTGCCGCACTCTGACTAGCGAACGTCCAACTACCACCCTTCTTGAGAGACCTTCCTCTACATCCATTCTGACGCTGTTGAAGCCTGTGGTCCTCGCTTTATGATCCCACATATCTCCCTCAACCTGATTCAATTCGAGCGGAGCCACATTGCGTGTTGCCTGCGTTCCGAAGGCCGTTCTTGTTCGTGGCGGCATACTCCTCATCCTTTGTTCAGCCATGGTACGATTCCATTCTCAAGCCCTCTTGCCATGCGTACTCAGTTCACTTTGACGTTCTGATGCTAACATCCATCAAGCCCGATCCTCCTGAGCGCCTTGCTTGGTCTGATATCTCCGCACGTCTTGAAAACCTCAGAAATCTTCTCACCTCGGAGCGGCATCTTGGCGTCGATCACGAAAGAGCATTTGAAGCACTTGACAGGGAGATGGGGGACCAGATTGCAGCTTATGAGGCAAATGATGAGAGACAGGACCGATTTTTATCTTCTGACCTCACCCCCCGAGAACGAAGAAGAAGAGAGTTCGGCACACGCTTCCGTGACCAAGACACGTCTGAGAGTCCTGCCCAAGCCAACAGCCCATCCAGCCTCGTGCGAAGTCGGCGGAGAGCCTTCAGGCCTAGTGAACGTCTGCAGAGATCCCAAAGAGAAAGACTCGGACAAAGCGGTAGACCTACCGTCTCTGAGGCATATGTGCCACCCTCCAACGAGTCGCCTGCTTCGCCAGCTCAATCAGCCAGTGATCGCGGAGATGGGCCGAGATCAAAACGGAGGAAATTGACCGACGGTACTTACGAGGATGAACCACGAACGTTTAGATATGGTCACTATTGTCGGGTCGAGCCAGGCCACCTGAAGATGGAAATCATCAGCTGTGATGGTGGAGAATATTCGGATCCTCATATGCCCATCAATTCCTACCCGCGGAATGTCCTACTAGACGATACCAGCGTCTACTGCACCAAGTCCAACAAATGCAACCTCTTACTGAAGCACATAGGCGGCATGCCCTTCACCCTGACTGAGATCATTGTCAAAGCCCCACGTGCTGGGTACGATGCGCCAATTCAAAATGGCTTGATTTTCGTTGCAATGGAAGATGACAATCTCCTCGACCGGACTTCCCAATACGATGTACACTGGTCCCCAAAAAGCTACCGCCGTCAACGGCACAGACCAGATGGGTATCGGCCCTCCCAGGAATATATGAACTCCGCAAGATCTCCCCTCAGGTCCATTGATCGTTCGAGATATCTCAACAATCCCACCAGTTCCGAAGAAGACCCTCATCCTGAGGTGTCTCTCGTTCCCGGGTTTCACATTTCAGTGGCAGACCCATCGGATGGAGAAGACGACGGAAACGGGCCAGTATCGCCGCGACCGTGGCACGACGACGAATATTCGTTGAGGTCATATGTCGACCGATACCGGCCAGTGTATTTCGAAAACGAGCGTAACGATGGCCCAAGATCTAACTCGAGCGACTCAGAAGGCTATGAGCCCGATATCCCGCACGAAGCAAGAGAATCTGGGGAAATCGGACGACTGCAACGACAGCAACTCGATCTCGAAAATACACTCGCGCATCGGAATCGTATGCTGGACCTTATGCGGGCACAGCAAATCCGTGAGAGTGATGAATTCTTTGGAAGTCGTAGCCGGGAAGGCGAGGTTGAAGAAGACAGCTCGTACAACCGTCGCTCAACTTCAAGCCGGAGCGGAGCTCGACCATTTGCTGCTGCACTAGGGACGCCGGGCCCGGCTTATCCCTCGGAAGAACATGGTAGCCTCTTAACAGAGGCTGAAGCATCGAGCTCCAAAACGACTTCGAATGGAGTGGCAGCCAGCTCCTCTGCTAGAGCCGGCGTTGCACCACATGCTTTGTTCTTCATCAGCCGAAACAAATCTAGCACTGAAATCAAATTTGACCCTCCGGTGTGAGTGACGAACCCCCTTTTCATTGTCGGTGGTGAGTCAAGGACTAAGATTATCTGCAGGTCGGGCCGTTATATTCTTGTCAAACTATGGGCGCAATGTCCCAACGCTAACATCGACATTCAGGCTATCCTGGTGCACGGATATGGTGGCCCTCGTTTCTTCCCAAGCGTAGAGATGAGGTGACGCGCAAAGGTGATGTTCAGAAGTCTGGGAATGACTTCTGACACTTTGATTGTTTGGAGTACATGCGAGCCCTCAGAATACCTCGATGGTTTCGGTTTTTGGAGTAGCGTTGGAACTTGATGCTTCTCAGAGAGCATCACCAATCAATCACAGAGTAACCTGCCAGAGCCTTTCGCTTCAGGTTTTGAGGAGTATAATGTTACTATTTGAAGATATATAAACTCATAGGTTAATGCAGAGGCGTCTTGTTTATTGCTACGGCAGAAAATGACAGCATTCAGTACAACACTCGTTCGCGTTCTAGCGTCTCCCTCCGTCCTTACCCTTTTCCCTCTCGACTCTGGCTAAGTCTAGACGATAGGTTCGGTGTGTCGCCCCACGTCATACTCTCGCTTCGGGTGCAACGATGGCTGCCGGTGCCTACGCCCGTCTGAGTAGCGAGGCAAGTATCTCGCCGACGTTTGGTTCCCGGGGTCTCAGCACAAAGGTGTCTTGGTGTCCGCAAAGATGCACACGAGATCTCCCTCCTTGCTGTCCTCGGGAGCATAATTCGCGAATAATCCTCGTCTAACATGTCGGAGTCGGTGCGAGCTCCATGTTTCCTGACGAAAAGGCGGCGTGGATATCATCCAATGTAACCCCTTCACCTTGTCAGCGTTGAGTGATGACTGAACGAGAATCCGAGAACCATTGTCCGCATAAAGGTAGAGGCGCACAATCTTCCATGCTTATAGAATACTTCTGGCCCTTGACGGCTCTCTCATATTCTCCAGACAATGTGGCAATCGTCGTTAATGTCCAACCGAGCCAAACAGACCTGCGCTAGGAAATAGCTTGCACATTCTGCCGATAGTCCACCCTGCGATAGCGGGAAAGTGATGTTTGGTTTCCATAATTTCAGGCAGTCGTGGGAAGGGGGACATAGAGAACTGTACGAGGGATATCCTACTTACCGCGATATATTGGGTGATACGGTATCGACGGTATCGAGTATCTCAAGGTGATCAGAGCCTCGGGGTAGAATGTGAGTCGTATGCCAGTTACCTTATTATTTAGTGTTCGCGCCTAAAAAAGTAGGTGTGACGGCGCCAAAGGCCTTCGGCTAAGACTCACTAGCCTGTTCTTGCCATAAGCGCAGTCGAGCTAAGCAGGCCCTTGGTCCAGGTGACGCCAGCCGATTCCCTCCAATTCTTGGGTGCAGTCCCCTTGAGTCGCGCCTTCAAACACGGCCGACGCGCAAAGCACTTTGATATGCCTCGCTTTGCAGAAGGTACGGGAATCCCGATACGTGGCAATGTTTCTCTACCGCCACAGACCGCGTCGCCCGCAGAGACACCGATGCCAGATCGAATCCGCATAAAGAATCGGCGCAAAAGATACTTGGACACTCATCCTGAATACTTTGGACCCCAGCTTGAGCTGGCAGGTGTGCCACAACTTGGCTCCTCGGCAGGTAGGCTTGGACAACTTACGTTTTGATTCTGGTAGATCCCCTCCTTTACGACCGATTGATCCGCCGTTTCCAAACGCCCGCTGAACGCGAAGCCGAAGGTCGGCAGAAGGGGTACTCCGGCATCCTCGAAGCGGACTTGTACCGGAGCGAAGCAAAACTCGAAGCGTTGCGGCACCCAGACCCTCATGCTTTGTTCACGTATAAGCGCGGGCCGAACGGAGAAATACTAGCTGAAGATCGGGATGAAGTGCCCGCGAACAAGGAGGAAGGCCTCGCAAGGTGGAGGTGGGAGATGCAAGTCCGCTTTCTGAGAGGTGGAGATGACGACTTCGACTATGACTCCGTGGACTACAATCCGGAATACGACGACCGCGTCCTTGAAGAGAGAGACGCTGAAGACAAGTACTTTGATGAGCAGGAGCCCGAGTTCGTCAAGGGCGAGGAAGGACTCCCTGGGAGTCAAAGTCATGAATTAGAGGGCGAGACCGGCATTCAAGATTTCTGATTCAAAATTCTCAACTGCGCTTCCAATCGACATCAGCCATGCTTGGTGCGAAGTCAGCAACGTAAGAGGTAACAGCGAAGTCCTCAGAGCACGATTCCTTTGATCCGACTCCCAGACGATCTAGGCGGCTCATCCGAGCAGGCTCTGGCTTGGTGACGGCATTGGTCACTCCACCTCGAGCTATACCAATGGCTGCGGCGTGCTCCCGGTAGCGGACAGTCCCTGGTACAGAGCCTGAATTTTCTTCGTGCGGTTGCGGTCGAAGTCCTCTGGCCGACCATGTCTTGAAACTGCTTTAATGTCATTCAGGCTGTCAAAATATCCATTGGATCCATCAACCCCCGAAGACTACTGGCACACCGAACGTGAGGCATCCTCCTGAAAACCTCTTGGCCCTCCGTCTCCTGCATGAAATCCTGCCATTCTTTGGTCGCAATCCATTCTTGACGGGCTTGTTTGTCCCGAAACTTCATGATCATGACGGTGTCGTGGACTTCCTCTCGGGAAGTTACTGGGTTCTTTTGGCGTGCAGAAGTTGGGGCAGTATCGGGGATTTCGACCGGGTACGTCTCAAATTTGGATATCAAAGGAGAAAATGCCGCATGCATGCCTAATCTTGCAATCATGGAATCCAGCTGATGGGTTGGCTTGTCCTCCAGTTTCCCTCGTCGAACGAGATCCTGATCGGCAGGTTGTACGTTGCGCTTCATTTGAGATGCAAAGAAGTAAAACATGCAAGTCAGCGGACGTTGGGTGTCAGCATGCTCTTTTCGCACGCGCTCTGCTGTGGTTCGTGATGCTTCGTGTTGCCTGCTAAGGCTTGTTCGTTCTAGGAGCATTCTGATGTCTGGAGGAGTGAGCGGCTCAATTGGAAGCCACGACAAGGACAAGGAATATGTCTGTATATCTCGTGATTTCTAGTTAGCAGAGGCAGGGAGTTGAAGGACGGCGGGGAGTTGACGTGAGGCGCTGGAGGAGGGACGTAGGCGGCCCCAATGGCTGTGAGGCTAAGTTGTTCCTAGAGTTGCAGGCCAACAATGCCTCACCCCGCATTTTCAGCGGCTGTATTTTGTGGGCGGAAGTATCGGCGTGAGCGTGAGATGGACGATGCACCCTCGATGCTGACGCCAGAACGAATTGGCGGTGGCGGCGGATCACGAGTGCCAATGTCTACAGAGACAGGCACAATGTTTTCACCGGGTACCTTTTGGTGTTCCATCCTTCCTCCTGTATCTCGAAAGACAGGCGACATGCGTCAGCGCGGTTCTTCCTTCTTCCACCGATAAACCTGTATCATCTGTTGGGCCATTATTCCAACACAGTGTCAATCACGAGGCATGAGCGGAGGGCAAGAGACATACGGGTTTGTTGTGCTCCCTCAATCGTCTATCTCGGGCCACCTTGAGCTGATCTGATCCCCTCGTTACCCCACAAAGCGCCCCCGCGAAGCAAGGCACGGCATCCGTCATCGAGTCAGCTCAGCCCGCCTCAGCTCTCAGAAGCCAGAGCTCAGAGCTCAGAGCCCAGCTAGCTGCCGTCCGTCCGCCGATGACCGCGGCATTGGCCCGTTCGCCCACAATTGTTCACCATGTGTTTTCCACCAAGACTTGTCTCGGCTTCCTCTCTGCGGAGCGAGACATTAGGACAATACCGTGTGCGCGCTGAGATACAACTCGTGACTGGTTAGGATGGCAAGGACGTCCCCCTAAGACAAACCCAAGATCTCATCCAAAGAACAATGCCAACGTCATGCGGGCTCTCTTTCGACCGCGGGCAGCGGCGTGGCCTACCTTCTCCTCAGTTCTTCGGCAACGACGCGGCCTCCTGACCCAGGCCAAAGCGAAGGGCCCTCTCCATCCTCCCTTGCTCGAAGAAACTGTCGGCGAGAACTTTGCGCGCATTGTCTCTGCTCATGGTGATCGAAATGCAGTCATCTCAAGACACCAAAACAAGCGACTGACATACCACCAACTCGATCTCGACAGCAATGTCGTGGCTCATGGACTTCAAAGCTTGGGAGTCAAGAAAGGCGATCGGGTCTGCGTGTCTTTGGGCAACAACCTCGAGTTCGCGACAATCACATATGCGTTGTTCAAGCTCGGAGCTATACTCGTCCCACTGAACCCGGCGTTCACCTCGACCCAGATCATTTCGGCCTTCAACCACTTGTCTGCCACGCATCTAGTCATTGGGACCGAGACAAATCTACCGTACAAAGCACCACGGCCAAATGTCCCGCTTCTAGAAGCACTTGTGCCTGATCTTGCGAGTTCGACTCTTGCCTCCGAGGCGATTCCAACCCTGAAAAACATCATCCTTGTGGATAACTCCTCTGGTCGGATAGATCCTACGCCTTTCCGAGCAACAACACCATGGGGATCGATATCACAGGACACGGATACTCGTCCCCCTACGCCGTCTTCTCCTCTATCGCATCATGAGGCGGTCAACATTCAATTCACATCTGGCACCACGTCAATGCCTAAAGCTGCCTGTCTGTCGCACAGATCAATTCTCAACAACGGCAATCAAATAGGCGACCGCATGTTGCTGACACCAGAAGACGTTGTATGCTGTCCACCACCGTTGTTCCATTGCTTTGGGTGTATCCTAGGCTACATGGCGACCGCGACTCATGGCTCCGCCATAGTCTTCCCCGCCGAGGCATTCGATCCTTTGGCCTCCTTGAAGGCTGTACAAGAGGAGAAAGCCACGGCACTCTATGGTGTACCCACCATGTTCCTTGCGGAGCTGGAGCTTCTCGATGACGAGAAGATCGCTTATGAAGGCTTCCAGTATCTGCGCACCGGCATTGCAGCTGGCTCCTCAGTGCCTGCCGAGCTGATGCGGAAATTGCACAAGACTCTAAATTTGACGGAGTTGACGATTTGTTATGGAATGACGGAGACTTCCCCCGTCTCTGCGATGACAACGACGGATGACCCAATTGAGAAGCGCATCAATACCGTCGGCCGGCTGCTCCCCCACGTCGAGGCGAAAGTGGTGGATCCCTTTGATCATGACAAGATCCTGAACGTGGGTGAACGAGGCGAACTTGCGGTCCATGGATACTTGGTAATGAAGGAGTATTGGGGCCAGCCAGAAAAGACAGCAGAAGCCATCAAAACCGACGAGGACGGTAAGGCATGGATGCATACGGGCGACGAGGCATCAATAGACGAAGAGGGCTACGTCAGCATCACAGGGCGCATCAAGGACCTGATCATCCGCGGCGGAGAGAACATTCACCCGCTCGAGATTGAGAACTGTCTCTTCGCACACCCCAAGATCGCCGAAGTCAGTGTAGTCGGCCTTCCAGATCAAAGGTATGGAGAAGTCGTTGCGGCGTTCGTCATTCGCAGGCATCATCTGCCACCAGGCGAGAACCATATAACCGCCGAAGAAGTCAGGAGCTGGGTCAAGGATCGCATGAGTCATCATCTGGTGCCGAAATATGTCTTTTTCGTGCAGGACTATCCAAAGACGGCCAGTGGAAAGATTCGTAAGTACCTGCCCGATTATCGATTGATCTTTGCGCCGTGGGAGGACTGTCACTGACTGACGTGTGACTTCCGCAGAGAAATTCAAACTGAGGGAGCAAGGTGTCGAGCTTCTCAAAGAAGGCGAGAAATCGAGCTGAGGCATCGAACTGCATTCGCCCTGTGTTTGCGATCAAGCAGTTGCCAAATAGACCTAGCATACCAGCTCGGTGCTTCCCCGACAGATCGATGCTGATTTGGATAGCATACTATATAGCATGTCGGACAGAGTCCACGCATCAAATCAATAATCATCGATCCTGGTGGAGGGACGATCACGGTCTCGCGACGACCTTCTCTCCCTGCTGCCTCGTTGGTGACGACTATGACGATGCTCCCCCTCTCTGTCCCGGTCCCTGTCCCTATCTCTATCTCGGTCATATCGCGAGCCTCGGTCCTTGTACTTTTCTGGTTGTTTTCTGTCGTCGTTGTGCTCTCGCCGGTCTCTCCCTGTACGCTGCCTGCCGTTCCCATCTTTTCGCCTATCAGGGTCTTCCGGGTCACGATGCCGCTGTCGATGCCGGTGTTCGCCTTCTCCGTCGGTATCGTCATTTCCATCCTCCACGTCGTCATCTCTGCGTCGATGTCGGTGTTTTCTTTTTTCTTTCTTCCTCTCCTTTGCCCTCTCAACTTCCTCCTGCTTCTCTCTGATCAGATACTCTCTCATCGGATCTTCTTCGTCTCCGTCTTGCTTTATGGCCAGCAGCTGCTCCAGTTCCTCCTCTTCTTTCAGCCGGTGCCGTCTCCGCTTCCTTCTGCGTCCGCCCTCATCGTCATCTTCGTTGCCAGTCTCGTCGCTCTCCCTCTTCCCATTGCCATTGACGCTCTCTTCAGCCTCCGCCTGGGCTTCCAACCTGTCGATCCGATACGTGTCCTCGTCCTCGTCCTCCTTCTTCTTATATCTTGTGTGGTCGACCCTCAACAGCCGCCCCAACACCTCGGCGCCTCCTAAGTTATCCACCGCCAGGTCACAGCTCCTCTGGTCCTCGTATCTCAGGAAAGCGAACCCTTTGCTTTTGCCCGTTTCTTTGTCGCGGATCAGGTTGAGGTGCGTGGGGTTGCCGTACTGGGAGAAGATGATGACCACGTCGCCTTCGGTCAGGTCCAAGTGTAGGCCGCCTATGTAGACCCAGGCCGTGTCCCTGTAGTCGGCGTGCCAGGAGGCAGAGGGTGCTGTTGCGTTCTCGAGCTCGCGCTTGTTCAGAAGCTGGGTCTGCCGGATGGCATTCATGGTCCGATTTCACTGGAAGACTTGGGGGAGCGCAGAAAATCTCTGGGGAGCCTTGGAGGAGCGAGTCATTTCACTGTCCCATTTGACTAAACAATTGGACGGTTTGGCGCAAACATCAAAAAGTTTCGTAGATGTTGCGACCTGCGGAGAAAAATGCCTTGGGTAAGTGACGCAGGTTGAACGCCGGGGACGTAAAGTGGGCTTGGAAGGATTTGTGTTTCAGGGCCACCAGGCTTGCAGGACTGCGGAGAAACACGCGACGAGGAGCCAAAAAGTTGATCTCTCACCTCCGGGGGCGCGTAAACAGTCCGCATCAGTCGCCTCAGTCGCCTCAGGAACTGATGAACAGATGCTTCACACTCAATTGAACATGCCCCCCGTCGCGAACCTTTTATTCCCTTGAAACGTATCTCAATTCAAGATGTTGGCGACATCTCAACCAAGCCCCAGCTTCCCTCGCCCATCTCCCTCGTCCACTCCAATCCCATCATCCTTCCGCCGCCCTGGCAGCAAGGATGGCGACCGACAAGCGATCTGGGTGCCCATGCTCAACAGCGCCTCCAAGGGCAAAGACCTATCCGAAAAGCAACTCATCCTCCTCGGCGGCACCCCGGACCAACAGCGCGGGTTCCTCGAGCAGTTAAACCCCCCGAACCAACGAGCCCGGTACGCCAACAACGACAGGCGGCGGCAACCCAGGATAGCCCCCGTCTCGAACCGGTACGCCCTGGGCTATACCTATCATGACGTCTTGGACGCAGACCAGGAAGACGTGCTTGCGAGAATGAACATATACATGCTAGCAAATCCCTCTGCGAACTTCGCACCCTTACTCAAGCCGCTTTTCACTCCGAAAACGGTCAAGGATACGTTGATTACTATCTTACTAGATTGGTCGGATCCTTTGAAATGGGCGAGGCAACTACGGCAATGGATCCGCTTGCTCAGGGCCGTGATATTGACGTTGGACGAGCAGACAAAGATTGAAATGGAGGAAATCATGACGGCCTGGAAGGAGAAGAGAGTCGGACCAGATGCTCCCTCTGCTCAACCCGGCAGCGGCAGCAGCACTACGACGGCCGAGCAGAGATCGATAGTACCACCAGGGCCGGGAGAATGGGATGAAGGACTCGGTATTCCGTTGTCTATTGTCTGCATACAGGCAGAAAAGATCCAAGATCTGGAACGAGACCAGGGCTGGGGGGAAGATCAGTTTGACTTCCTGATGCAATGGCTGCGGTGTGTTTTGCTGAAACACGGAGCCTCGCTCGTCTATACCGCCACATTCGATCCGAACAACGTGAGGACACTAGTGCATTCGAGTCTGAGTATTCAGTCCCTCTTGAAACGGGAGGTGGCCAAACACAACATCGTCGACAGAGACAAGATCCTGGTGCCGCCGAATTGGGACTCGTGGGGGAAGATTCGGATTCTGAAAGAAGGCTTTGACCCGGAGGCCGTGGCGAATGCTTGGTCCGTGGAAATACAGCCACCTCCTGAAGAGACATTCGACCTCTCATCGAAGAGCTACGATCTAGAGCCAGAGAGGCCTTCTCAAGACAACGAGGCCGATTCAGAATCGGCAGTCCAACTGTTCGAAAGCACCCTGCGCCGTCCCACCGACATGCGCCCGTCCTTCCAGCCACGTACGCACGACGAAACGGTCTCTGTCCCGTCTGTCCAGGAATTCCTGCAAGCACAGCACGAGATGCTCGAGAAACTGAAGGCGGAAGACGAAAAGGCGGAGAGGAAATCGCGAAAGGGTGCACCGGCGCCGACTGGAGCCGGTGCGGGCAGCGTCGAAGCAGGCGCCGGGGAAGAAGGGCCAAAGGGGGTGTCGAATCCGAGAATGGCCGAGCACATTGGTCCGTATCAGATCAACGTGAATGGGATTGATTTCGACGCCGAGGAGGCAACACGAAGGTTGAGGGAGAGGGAGAGCGAGCGGCAGAACGCGGCAAAGAACGTGCCCACAAGCGTCCCCCATGCAGTTGGGGTTGTTACAGGAACAGGCACCAGCACGCCAATGCGCCGGATGGGCAGCGACCACGGTGGCGACGGAGCACAGACGCCCTCTGGCGCGGCCGGCAAGCAGAGCAACGAGGCCATGTCCCAGTTCTTTGCCAATCTGATCAACAAGAAGGACAAGAGGGGCGCCGTGAGCGCAGGTGCCAGTCCCACCAGGGTCGCACCGGGCAGCAGCCCTGCCACCCGCGGACACGGTGCTGGAAGTGCCGTGACCGGGGACGAGAGAAGACGCGAGTCTTGAGGATCGATCTTTGGATTGCACGCCAGCTTAAAGTTGGATCCATTTGAAGAGGGTGGGAAGTTGGTGGGAAGGGAAGATGCGCTCTTGCGTGGAGAGGGCATTTGCACCTTGTATTCCATGCGTTCAAGCCCCGTTGTCGAGTCCCAAAACCACAAAGAAAAGGAGGCATATCTTGAGCCGGCGCCGGCGCCGCGAGATTGCCAGACAGACAGGCTCAGGAGAAAAGCAATCTTACTTACTTACTAGACATGGCTCGATACCTCCCTCGTTAGAACCAGCATGTGCCCCTGAGGAGTCACGTTCGTCCCAACCTACAAAGTGTCTCTTGCTCTTTCGTGGTTTCCTGCGCCCTAGATCTGGATATGTCGTGAGCTTGTCTTTGTCTCTCTTTCTGTACAGAGCAACCAACCAGCTACCTACCGTAGGTACTTAAAATATGTAGGTAAGTAAGTAGGTGGGTAGGTAGGTCCGTCGATAAATCACGCTCGGACGGAAAAAAGAGAGACGGGGTCGTCCATGGTCTATTCTGTCTATTCCACCTGTCTGCCTCTGTGTCTATTGTATATGCCGTTGTGTCTGTGCTAAGACACCGCGAGTCTTGCGCATATGTATTTGGGGGGGGGTAAGGCCATAGAATCAGCGAGCGCTGGCCACATGTATGAATAGTTCCAACTCATCCAACCTAGTCCAGTCCAGTCTAGCCCACGTCGTCTCTCTCTCTCTCTCTCTCTCTTCAGGCGGGGCACAGGAACAGCGACGATAGCACCGGCAAGAGTAACAGTACCAGCGTGAACTGACCTGCGTGCCATAGTCGGTTCTGTTCTGTTCTGTTCTGTGCCGCTCCCCTCTCTCCCGCCTCAATCACAGCTTCCACCACCGTCAATCCACACAGCCCCCGTCGGCGGTCCACCCGTCAATCTCGACCATGGTCATGACCTGGCCGGGGACGTCGTCGACCAGCTCGATGAGATTATCCCGCAGACGCACAACCTCGTCGTCGCTGAGTCCACACATGCGGGTCAAGTAGGCGGTGACGCCGCCAAACTCGCCCTCCAGCACGGTGTGCAGGAAGGCGCGCATGTTGCCTGCGCGGCTACCGCAGATGCGCGCGGCCTCCTCCCTCGAGATCGCGGGCCGGCCGTGCTCCCTCTCGCCCGTGACGACCTGCTGCTGGGGTTGGGGCTTGCCGCCGCCGCCGCCGAGGCCCGTCTGGGCGATGCGCTCGATGAACTCCTTGCGCCAGCCGCCCAGCCCGGGCTCGGTCAGCGCGTACTCCCAGCAGATGACGTCCTCGTCGACGCCGACGAGCTTCATCACCAGCGCCCCAAACACCCCCGTGCGGTCCTTGCCCGCCGTGCAGTGGAACACCAGCGGCTCGGTCGGGCGGTCCAGCAGGTGGCGGAACATGATGGTGTAGGCGGCCACGCCGTGGGTGGCAATGTCTCGATACGCCCGCACAAACCCTTCCGAGTAGGCGTAGCCGGCTTCCTCGTCGTGCGCGTGCTCGGCGGTATACCAGGCCAGCTTCCTCGCCAGGGCCACGGGCCCGTAGTCTTCGGTTTGGTAGACCGGGACAAAATGCCTCCTCAGGCCCGGGACCTCGTCAATGCACCCGGACGTCGGGTTTGCAAGAGGGTACACGTCCTTGCCGCTGGAGGCGACCGTGCCTGCGAGCCGGCTGATCTCAGGCGCGGACCGCAGGTCGTACATGTCGTGCACATTCAGGGTGGTGGTGAGGTAGGTGGCGCCGGTCGGGGTCAAGTGGGTGGGGTGAGCACAGCGGTAGAGCAGACTTTTCTTCAGGACGTACTTCTTGGACGGCGGCGTCTGTGACGAGGACGAGGGCGGCTGGCACGGATACCCTCCCAGCTCGCGGAAGTTGGGCACGCCCTGCACATGCAGGAAGGGCGGCGTGGGCAGATGGTCCGGGAAGGCGATGCTGAAGTCGCTGGGCTCGGGGGTCGCCTCGCGCTCGGCCCTCTCCTCATTCTCCAGCGCCTCGACCTCTTTCTCGCTCAGAGGCATCCCGTTGGCGTCGCTGAGGTGGGCTGCCGTGGGCGGTCGCACGTCCATGTAGGGCTGGTAGGGGTGTTCTGGCTGGGCGGCTTTGGGGTCTGCGGCAATGGCGTCGGCGTGGTTGTCGACGTTGTTTGCTGCAGTGACGGTCTCGGCCATATACACGAGGTGGGTAGATGGGTGGTCGGTATGACCGGCTTCGTTGCAGGTTGCAGGTTGCAGGGTTGGAGAGGTTCTCAGTTCAGACTCATCAATGTGCGAATCGTCACCGATTGGCACCCGGCGGGGACGAAACGGAGAGGATGGCGAGATGGCGAGATGGCGAGATGGAGAGACGGAGAGATGGCGTTATCGGCCAAGAGCAAATGGATCCAAGGCCTGGCCTGGTCTACTTTTTATTATGGATGTTTTGGTGCATGGAATGGAACATGATATACCCTTCACCCGATGGTTGACGGCGGTGGTGGTGATGATGGTGATGATCACAATGATGAACAAGGAATACCTCGGCCGATTCAACTGCTTTGCCGGCCCCCAAGGCCCACGACGCACAATCATAATACGAGAATGTCCTCATTCTCTACCACATGTTTGTCCATTGGATGGCCCTTGTGCCTTGTGCCCTGTGCCTTCGGCTATTGCCCCGATCGGATACGCAGGCACAGGCAGAGGCAGAGGCCGTGTGTCTTGGTCGCCAATCATCCCTCCACGTCCCAGTCATTTATGCAGGTGGCCCCTTTTGGCTCCTGGACGAAGCTGGATTTGACCCGGATGCCCGTTGTCGGAGCTCTTTGCTGGCCTTTGCTGGCCTCTGCTGGCTTTTGCTGGTAAAAGCGGTCAAGCTTGTTTCTACTATTTGGAAAGCGACAATCTGATTGTCGACAGTTGAAGCATGGAAATATTCAAAGACGGGCAATTTCCAGTCCATTTTAATCCACGCCAGTTGTTGCCTGCTATCGCCCTGGTTCGAGCGTTTTTGGCCTTGCTTTTTGGTGTACCTGTTATATGCTATGTATATCCCATAGCCACAGCTAAACGCAATCGCGACTGCAGTCTACCACCCAGTTTTTTGGGGGGGATCCCAAGGACACCCGTATATACTTACAACCCATAAAACGTCATTACACAACTCCCACCTGGAACTGCCAACCAAGGGACCTCTGTACACCCGCGATTCCGAGCACTTCGTAACGCAGCCGAGAGTCGTCCACAGAAGGAAGAAAACAAAGAAGATAAGGAGGCCTCCCCGTCTCGGATAAAAGATGCAAAAAAAGAGATGCAAATACCTGTGGACGGAAGCGAGCCGGATCAGGCTTTTCTCGGCTTCAGTCATAGCGAGAGGTGCCATCTCCCATATCAAAGCGATGTTGTGGCAGCCGCTTGACGGGTGGCGGCAGATGGTCATGTTTGGCTTGCACCTTCATTCTGGCCGCCACCTTGTGACACCCCGTCTTGGACACGTCAATCGCATCAAAGGTCGGTCCAATGTCCTCGCGTGAACAGCAGTCGACCCCCTTGATCCATCGATCGTTCAGAGCGTCGCCGATGCTGCATCGTTGTTCGGGATCCGGGTGGAGCATCTTGAGGATACACCGCCGTATCGAATTCGACGGCAGAGCATTGAACACCGGCCCACATTGCGGATGGCAGTTCTCATCGATCGCCGAGTCCTTGAATCGCTCCAGAAACGCTTGCCAGCCTTCCAGGAAGAGAGCATAGTTCATCTCTTTCTTGCTCGCACTCTGCCACGGGTTGCCGATGTGAAACATGGTCATGAAAAGGATCGCACACCCCCATACGTCCAGCTTGGTGGGGTCGTATTCCTTCTCTTGAGCCAAAACCTCGGGTGAGATGTACGGCTTCGAACCACAAATACCGGGAGCTGACTTGCGAGCCTCTCTCATGCCTTGTCCACACAGTCCTCTGGAGAGAGCGCCGCCGGGATGATCGCCACAGAAGACCTCCGAGACACCAAAATCAGTGATCTTGATGTGCCCGTCGTCCGTCATGAGCAGGTTTTCGAGTTTAATATCCCGGTGGGCAATGCCGTGTTCATGCAGGTAATTGACCCCACGAAGGACTTGCTTGAATATGCAGTTCCTGTCCTCTGCCTTCAGGTACTTTCGCTCCACTAGGCTGAAGAGCTCGCCTTGCTGGCAATACTCCATGACATGATTCCAGCGGCCGTTGTTCGTGCACAACCGGACCGTTTGCACAATGTTGGGGTGGTTGAGGGATTTGGCGATCGTATACTCCGACTTGACTTTGCGAATGTACTCTTCCTCCGTTTCCCTTGCAGACTTCTTGCGATATTCTTTGACAGCATACAGTGGCGTCCCTTCGCTCTTTTTCTCGCCCTTGCGCAGCATGATCTTGACCGTTGCGCTCGCGCCCTTCCCGATCTCTTTCCGACGGCCTATCTTGGAAGCCGAGACGAATTCGTCTTCGAGGGGACAGACATCGACGAAGAAATCGTCTCGGGGATCCGCACTCAGGCGCCGGGCTTTTGCTCCTGCGCCTTCCTGGGCAGGGAGTGAGAAGGGCGACGATCGCGTCGGATGGTCGTAGTTGCTGCCATAACTGCCTGTCCGATGGACCGGCGGCTTGGAAGGGCTAAGGTATTTGGATTCCTTGTGAGATTTGATTTTGGAAAGGAGGCTGAAGCCGCTCGAGGTCCGTGTGGGTGTAGGCGGCTCACTGGTCATGACCGACATGGCCTCGGCCGTCGTCGAGACGATGCTCGGTCCGGTGAGGAATTGGGCTCACAAGCAGTGAGCGGGAACTGAGGAGGAGCCAGCGCGACGGGCACTGGGAGGCTTCGTTGCGAAAGTTCTCGGTGTTGCAGGAAGCTGGCACCCTTTTGAGAGATTGGAGAGCACAAGGTGGGTAGGGTCGTCAGAGGGGGAGCAACTAGTATGGTGGCTTCGAGACGATATGGGGTGGGCCCTCAACCGAATTGAGGGCGACAGTGGGATGCGCAATATGCTTTGGAGCACGAGAGGATCTCGAGACGCAGGTGGGCATGCAAGCAATGCGCGATGATCGAACACTGCAGGGAACGGAGTTGGTCACTCGAAATGGGCCGTGTCGTGCAAAAGGCGAATGAACGTGGGGAGGGGCAGCAAAGCCTGCGGCATTTCCAGCAGGCGGGTCCCAGCTTGGTTAAGGTGGAAAGCAGATAAGAACTTGTGCCCGGCAGGTCGAACCAAGGAGGGCCACCGAGGTCGATACCGGATGGCGTTGAGTTCCTCGTGGCAGTCACTCGTGGTATCAGTGGTTAGGGCTTTAGACTTTGGCTTCGTGCTCTTTTCCCTTTTGCATCTGGTACTGTTCCGACGTCTTCTGCTTCTGCTTCTGCCTCTGCCTCTGGTCTTTGAGCCAGCCCCTTGCTGGATGTTCGCGAGGGAGGAAAGGCGACCTGTTGCCGTTGCCGTGTGGACCGACGATGAACCGTGGGATCCGGTGGATTGGCAAATGTCATATATATGGTTGAGTTTGAGGTGGGTCGGTGGGAGGAGAGCAGTGCTAGGGTGGTGTTTCCCGAGGGTGTTGAGGGAGTCGTGAGTGGGTGCAATGAGGAGCTTCACAGAGGGCGAGACGGGCAGGACTGTATGAAGGGTCAGCAGCCATTTGACGGGAACAGGGAGGATTTGAGGGCACAGGAGACATGGCTGAGGAGAGAAATGAGGCTGTTCCGTCAACGAACTCCAGCTCACCTTTGCAGCACCAGCAGATGGGATGAATTGATCGGCAGGTGGTCAAAGAGCGTGGGATGGAGGATGGCCCAGCAGTGGTATTGGCGTCGATCACGAGGACTCGGCTAACCCAGTAAGTTGGAGAGGATTGAGGACAGAGCGAAACTGAGGTAAGAAGTCAAGGTGAGCGTGAGAGTGAGATAGAGAGGGAGCAGGTGATGTTGTGTGTCCATGGGCTCTCGAAGCAAGAATGAATGAGTCCCTTATAAACCTCGCCCGAGTCTATACAACTGATTGATCGAATCTTCTCAACCAATTCCTCCCCCCAACCCTCAAGCCCTCCCACCCACGGTGCCTTGCTCACTTCCTGCACTCCAAACTCGCTACTGCAGCCTCCAGCACATGCAATATGCAATGCACTCCACGCCCACCCGACCCTGTTCGTATTTCTCCCTGTTGCTTGTGCTCCATGCTCACTGTCACCCCGCGCGCTATGCTCCTCTGGCTGCCCTAGAACTATTACCCAGTCGAGTAGATTTACCATTATTGCCCCGCACACGGAAATGTGAAGCGGCCCTCAAGTCCCTGTCCTGACTCGTAGGTGCTTGGGTTCTTGTATAGCGATTGCCTGCTGATGTCGGAACCTGCATCATCGTCTTGTATCTGCCATCTCTAGAGTCCCCATTCCTCACCGGGCTGTTGGGCTGTCTCTCGACTGTGTCCTGTGTCTGCACTCCTCCATTCCTCCTCAGCAAACCACTTGTCTATTCTTATTGCAGCTAACAAGCTCCGCCTCCCTGTAGGGGATCCTCCGAGATAGGTCAAGCCTCCTGACCTGCGCGATTTATTTCTTCTGGTGCCTATTGTACGACCGGCGCTCCATTTCGAAGATGGTCAGGCTGCGCAGCCCCCAGCAGAAGCTCATGTTGTGACACCAAACTTGTCCAGAAACGATCCATGTTCCAACTCCGGATTCGTGCTGCGGCGCCTTTGCTGCCCCTCCTCCGCAAAATGCTCCCTTCCCACTGGCCTCTGCGAGCAACTCGACCAGTGGACATGGCTTTCCCCCCACGCTCTGTTTGACACCGGTTTCTTCACTTTGCTGCTTTCTGACATCTCCAGGTTGACCTCCCAAGCTGACTCTAAACCCCTTAAGCATTGCCTCCCGTCTTCCGCACAACGCACAGGGTACACAAAAGCCTAGTGAGCCACATCCGACCCGGAAAACGGCACACGGTCAGGCGGTCAAGTCAGTCCGCCAGGTACCCGCGAATCAATCCACGGGCACTGCCTGCTGGGGCTTCAAGCCAGTGCCAGGCCCGAACCTTGCTCTGCCGCAGCCCAAACGACTTAGAGCCTGTTCATTACTGGGTGCCTTCGTTGGACGGATCGAGTATTGCGCTGCGCTCAAAGGACCCAGCAGGAGGAAAAGGAAACAAGACCATCTCCTCATTTGCCTTTCTCGAGTCACCGCTGATTAGAAGAATGTACTCTGCTGCAACAAGTATCCATCATCGACAAGCAATCGGGCCCCTGAATGGCGAGCAGAGACTCACCGCCCTGCCGTCCCCGCAACAGCCTCGACGCCTCCGTGGTCAGCCTCATCCCACCGCACGCCTACACCAGCTTCACTTTTTGGATCCATGCCTGCATGAGCCCGATATCAACACGACATCTTCCGCCTCCCCCGATTGATTGGGCCGTTGCCCCCTCCTCTACGCGTCTTGATGCCCGTGACCATTCAGGTCATCCATGCCCTGGCTCTGCTCACGCTGCATACGAGCCTCTATCTCACGCAGTTGACTCTCCCGTGCCAGCAGCTCCTGTCGTTTCTCATTGATCTCTCGCTGAACCTTAACCTCAATCTCCCGCAGCTTCTCCTCTTCACGTCGCAGCTGTTCTTCCTTCAGGCGCACTGACTGGTTGGCCAGGTCCTCAGGGTTGATCGACGAATCTTGCGCTCTGTCACACAAAACAATTAGTCAACCTGCAGAAACACACAATGGGTTCAAAGCCACTTACGAGACACCACCGTCCACGCTCTTGCTGAGTTTCTCCGTTCGGTAGTTTTCGTACAGGAAGTCGTGGGTGATTTCTTTGAGATCGGCAAGGTGCGAGTGCAGGAGGGCGCTGCGAATGGCCAAGAAATCCGAGTGGCGCGGGTTGTCGACTTCCACAATACCCCATGGGTACTGTCGTGCACGAACCCGGCGTCCTCCAATCTCAATCACATCTTCTGAACCAACAATGGCAAACGGCATCAGGCCACGTAGCTCTGCGTTTTCCTCTACCGTGTCCTCGTCATCCTCTTCGATGTCGTAGGGAAAGTTGTAGACCGGGATTCGGTAGTGTTCAATGTCTTCCATGACCAGCTTCTTGGACTCGGCCAGTTCGGCAGGGGTCAAAGAATCAGCCTTTCCGATGACGGGGATGACGTTGACACGGGGGGAGAGACGCTTCATCAATTCAATGTCAAGCTCACGCAGACCGTGGCCGGTTGGGGTAATGAAATAGAGCAGGGCATGCACACGATTGTCTCGGAATCGAGGATTTCTCTTGATACGAGACTCCTCAGCCAAGATATCGTCGTACTGCCGCTCCAAATACCCAACAATTTCGCCGAATGCGGACTCGTTATCGATCTGATCACCGAAGCCAGGAGTGTCCACGATGGTCAGTGATACACGTGTGCCCTCCTCATCCAATTCCAGCTCTGCAATATGTTGTCAGTTCACACCAACCAACAGTACAGAAAAGATGTGTTCTCTCTCTTGACCTACCAACAGTAACCGGCTTAATTCTTACTCCTTCTTCCAGATGGGCATTGGCTGCATCGTCGGCATCTTTAGGCTGAAGGACTCGCTTGCCACAGAGGGTGTTGACAAAGGTGGTTCGGCCTGAGAGCGGTCAGATCAGATTGAGGTGAGGGTGGAGTGGAGGGAAACACGGTACCTGTTCCACTTGCACCACAAACCATCAAGCAAAACTGAATTCCTTTCTTGACATTCTTCTTTCTCCGAATCTTTAACTGCGCCAAGCGCATGCTGTTAGTAGAGAACATGGTGGCAGCGATAGGCGGTTGATAGAATTGGGAGTGGTTGGTGTTGGTGATCAGGGGGTCAGTGTGCAAGAGCGAGACTGCGTACCGCATTCATCGGAGAAGACATGGTTGTGAAGGACTGGGCGTGAGGGGCGCCGGCAGAAAACAAGGACGCCCGAAAACGGAAGCTGACGACAGGACGAAACGAAGGTAGAGAATAGAAAAGAAAACAGATTGTTGGAAGCGCGACGACCTTGTTTAAGATGGATGAGGGTGTCGATTGAGGTGGTGGACGGGCGACTTTTCAAAAATTAAGGGGAAGCCAGGGATCGACGCGCCAATTGGTGCCAGCTAGACTCTGGGGGTGGCGCTTTCCCTCTTTGAGCCGCTACCACCCGCTTGCCTTGCTTCATTCATCAGCCTTGTGCTTCTTTGCACTGCGCTGCGCCCTCCACCGCAGACCTTCACAACTCCCTGCTTTCACCCTTTCTCGTGCAACACAATACCTTTCCTTCCTGTGATGAGCAGCAGTCTTGATTGATACTTCACTGATACAGCATGTTACTGGCCTAGGTCCTGAAAAATCAAGGCAGGTACCTACCCGTCAGGTAGGTCGCAGGTTCTTTTTGTTGACCTGGTGCCATCTCCCACAGCCTATCTCCCCGCGCCTTGGTATTCTCTCTCGTCATGTCGCAGCGTCACAACAATCGACGGTCTGGAAATTCGCGGCGCCAGCAGTCTGTCGACTTCCCTCGCTATCCTCCCATGTCACAACCTCAGACAGAGCCGCCAATATCTGCCCTTGCTCCTGGTCCTCCACCAGTTCCCACTTCTGCTGCTACTCTACCCGCACCCATTGCTGTACCTCCCACGCAGCTTGCTGTTCAGGTCTCAGACTATGAGTCCGACAATCAGGCCTACCAGTCAGACTACCCTATAAAGCCACCTCCTCCGAATCGCACCAACGAAGAACTCAACCTATCGGTGCTGAAACGACACAACCCTCAGATATCCTCGATCCTCTCAATAGCTCCTTACGCCGTCGTATACGAGTTCTCTCCACTACCTCAGCCTGAATGGACAAAGACAGGAGTGGAAGGCTCTTTGTTCATTTGTGAGCTTACTCCTGGAGTATTTGGTGAAGACAGGTATTCCGCGATTGTTCTCAACAGAAGGGGCCTCGACAATTTCGAAGCAGAACTCAGGGAAGGAGAAAATGCCGGCGTCGAGATGACGGGGGAATATGTCATCATCAGCTTCAAGGAAGGCTACGAACAAAAAATCTACGGGGTCTATATCTTCCACGACGGGCCGGGGACCTCAACCGAAAATGCCCAGAAGCTGAACGGCGAACTGATGAAGTCTCTTGCCGATCATGCTGGAGCAAGTAGACAGGCCGCCGAAGCCGCTGCCTCAGCAGCGACCGCACAGCACACAAATGGACACATGCTACAGGCCGAGCAGACCTTGCAAGATCAACAAGCAAATGCACCAGCTCCTGGTCAGCAAATCAGCCTGCAGCAACTTTTTGGCCAGCAGAGATCAGACGATGCAGCCTGGAGTGTACGAGCACATGAGTATGATGGTAGAACCGAGCCTCCATCACAACCTGGGTTGCAACACCCTGACGTACTGACGAATCTATTCAGGAAGGCTGGCTTTGGGGCAAGATAGCTTTGATGATCATCTATTGCGCTTCCAATTCTGCTGCTCTAACAGTTCTATTTCTGTATGGTCTGAATAGCACCGATAGTTCTAGATTGCTGGCTGGAAGGGCGCCCCGTCGTAGAGCGGGCTGTCGTCTGTATCCAAGACTTCCCTCAGCCAGCTGCTCACGCGTCGTGCCACAAATTCGCTCTGGTTCAAACACCATGCATGGTCCATAGCTTCCGTTTCCAGGATCTGGATTCTCGCTGCTCCTGTCGTCGACTCGGCCGTGAAATCCACCTCGTCAGTCTCTACGAACTCCGTCTTCGTTTGAGGCCTGGCAAGGCAGTCCCGTTGCACGCCGACACCGGTGGCTCTGCTCGCGAAGATTGCTTCCTTCGTGACATCGGCGATCCAGTGGTCTTTCTTTGCGAACCAGAAATACAACCTTGGACTTGTCGTGCTCGCCCCGCGGCCATCCTCCGCGGCCGTCATCGCGTCGCTGCTGCTGCCGCCGTGGTGGCTCGCGCCCCAGACCTCGCGTCCCCACGTCTCGCTTCTGATCTCGGCCATCTCCCCCCTCGCCATGCACAGGGCCTGTCTGACGCCTCTCCTACTCCGCAAGAACGCCATCGTGGTTTCGAAGCCGTGACTCCACGTTTGCATCCCCGTAGCTCGCGAGACGAGCAGGGAGAACCACGCCGAGGGGAGGAGGCGGAGGAGCACCGCGTGCAGAAGCATGTGTGCCAGGCCGGGTAGGAATGGGAGGTAGCTCAGAGCAGGAGTGGCGAGGCGGCCGGACGGGGAGAGGTGGATGTCTTGGATCGTCGGCGTCAGGAGGATGCATGTTGATATCACCCAGCTGGGCCTCGAAGGGGCTCCGTCCCTGGTCTCCGGGGAGTTCGAGGCCGATCTCGACGGGTCGTCGTCCTTCCCGTACGAACCGGCTGTGGTGTGCGACGGTGTCTGGAGCTGCTGCGCACGCCGGTGATGGCGTTCGTGCCACAGCCGCACGAGTTCCAGAGCGATGTACGCCCCGACGCTGTGGCCCATGAGGACGACCTGGACGGACTCTTGCTCCAGGATATCCGTGGACGTGCTTCCCTGCTCGTGCAGTCTGTGAACCAGGTATTCCACCCGGGCGTAAGTGAGCTCGATCTGTTCGCCGAGCGTGTAGATCTGGTCTTGTTCGGCTGCTGTGCAGCTTCCTTTCCCGTCTCCTTTGCTCTTGTCCTCCTGTTGCATGCTGTTGCGAGATCGAAGTGGGAATGATGGCGGATAGAGTAGTTCCCTGTCTTCCACCACCGAAGCACGAGAGTTTCGAGTAGATATCATGTCCTCGTTCCCATCCGTTCCCTCGCGATCTTGCCATTCATCACAACGACTAGGATCACTACCACCGCCCTCTTGCTGCTGCTGCTGCTTCTCCCCCTCCCCCTTCTTCTTGCTCCCACATTGACAAGGCTCCTCGTCCACATCAAACCCACCCAGACTAAACCCCGCTACCACCGCCTTCGCTCTGCTCTCACTACTGGTGCCATTCTTGTCCTCCTGTCCACCCTCACTTTCCACCCCCCGCAAACCCCGCGCAACGAGGGCGAGAAACGGATGATAATACCCGATCAACCCAGGATTGCCCGGGACGAAGAAGAGAAGCGTCCGCCTCGACTTCCTCGCCGACGACGACGGCACGTGCAGGAAGACATTGGCCGAGAGCCGCGATTCGAGCCGCCGCATAGCAGTCTACCAAGAAACGTCGCCTTTATCCCGATCCTACGTGAGGGAAAGGGAGGGTATGTTGACAAGATACTTCTGTGGGAACATAAGAATAAACGGGCATGGTGCCTGATCGGGCAAATCAAGCTACTCGAATGATGTGGGCCAGCCAGATGGTGACAACATTCTGTTCCTACGCGCACAGAACGATATCATTGCCGCGACAGAAGCCTCTTACCCCTAGCATCCCCTATTGATGGATGACTGCAAATCACTGTCTTTGAAGGAGTCGAAGAAGGTCCAAGGGGCAGAAGGTGGCTCCAAAAGCTCACCATCCACGAGGTTCTCTGCATATCTGTCCCGGAAGAGACTCTCTGTCCTTCTGTTACTGTACATTCATCGCAAGCATGAAGAAAAATCCACATCCAAAAAGCACTTTTCCCAGCGCCATCGCCAACCCGTGCCTCCCAGAGTCCTTCATGAAGCCGCGTACCCATAACCGTACCTGCATAATGATCGTTCTCCCGGGGTATCTCTGCTAATCATGAAATAAATGCACATTTGCCTGTGAGGCAAAGGAACGGAATCAAATGTGCGTCCAGCTCACTTGAGAATGGCGATCTCAAACCCGTGTCTTCTTATTTCCAAATCAGAGCAATCCACTCTGCCCTTGACGTGCATCGTTGCCCTCTAGTGGCTTATGTCATTGGAACATCAGGCTCCGTGCTCGCAGCACGACGAGGATGATCCCTTTCTTGGGCGAAGGCTTGGAAAGTATCGTCGTAGGATCCAGGCGTGTGAAAAGCCATTTGAACCGGCTGAGGTCTCTGCGGAGCATCTAGATGTGCCCTCCCAAAGGGGAATGCCACAGCATTGGACCGAGAAAATCTTGATTTATTTGCAATGGTGCCAGTTTTCTGTCTGAGCGTGGGTGCAGTAGAAATGACTGCCGGATTCGATGAGGCCATTGGATCACTGTTCAGAAAGCGTGGTTGCTGTATCTGCTGTTCCGCAAGGAGAGCATCCTGCTTCGCTTGCCATGCAACAGGGTCTTCCCGCTGCAAACGCTGATCGTTGTACTCCTCTTCTGCCACCTTCTGATCCTCGTCGTTCAATTGCTCATCGTCTTCTTTCTGGAAAGTCTCAGTCAAGACGATGCTGCGAACGAAATCCAGTTCATGGATGATGGCATCAAGAACTTTCGGATCTCTTCCGAGGGACTCGCCAAAGTCGACTTGCGGAATGTCCCTGACTGGGAACAGGTATTCTGTATGCGCCGCCTTGCTAGCATGTCGTCTTGGGTTCTTCTTGTCGACGACACGACCGAAGAGCTGAGTCTTGAAGACAGAGGTATTGAAGAGCTTGTCTTCAAATGTCCCTCCTGCTTGGAAACGGTAAACAAAAACTGGTCTCTTTTGATTCAGCCGGTATGCCCGTCCGATGGCTTGCTGTTCCCAAGTCGGATTGAAGCTGAAATCGAAGATGATCACTCGGTTTGCGCCCTGCAGATTCAGTCCCAGGCCTCCAGCGCGCATGGAGATCAAGAAAACCTGGAAGTCGTCCCTCTGGTTGAATTCTTTGGTGAAGGCTTGCCGGTCCGAGACTTTTGTTTCCCCATCAATCCGACAGAAGGATGCCTTCATGCCTTTCAACATTTGTTCCAAGTAATTCAACGTTGGGATGCTGTGGCTAAAGATCAAAGTTTTGTCTCCAGCTTCGATCGCCTTCTCCAGGATGCGCTTCACAGCTAGCGTGCGGTAAGACAGAGCTGGATCGTAGAACGCCTTCCGATCGCTCGCATCTGGGAGAATCTGCAATGCTTGTCGCATTGCCACCCTCAGGGGACCCGTAACATCAGGAGCAACGTTCTCTTTGACTTCAACCAGTGGCGAGGTCTCGTCGGTGCTGTCGCTCGGTTCGCTAGCGTCGTTGGCTTGGTTGCGCATCAGCTGGTCCTCGTTCGACTTTTTCTCACGCTCCTTCATTTTGGCCACGAATCCAGCAGGATGGTGACAGAGCCACGAGAGCATTGCAAGCCAGTCCCAGATTCTGGCATTGCGACCTTTCACAGTGCCAACCATCAGCTTGAATGACTGCAACATGTGGCCAACATAGATGTCGTATGCTTGTTTCTGTAGGTCCGTGAGGGGAATTGTGATGAAGTATTCGGTCTTCGAAGGCATGTCTTTCTCGATGGCGCTGATGTCAGCTCGATTGATTTTGGGATCAAGGTCTTTTTTGAGCACATGCAACTTCCGAAGGGATAGCCGCTTCTCGTAAGCGGAGCTATCAGAATAAAGTCCTTCCATAATGGGTTCCGAATATTTGGAGCGAAATTGGACCATGTCTCCCAGATAGCCCGGAGCGATCCAGTCAACCATAGTGTGGTATTCTTCGAGATGGTTGTTGAGAGGTGAACCTGATAGTGCAATTCTGCTCGTTGTCTTCAAGCGTTTGGCAATCTGGCTGATTTTTGACTTTGCATTTTTCAGGCTGTGAGCTTCATCTGCAATGACAAGGGTAGGCTCTTCCAACAGAATCTTTTCAAGGTCGACCGGAACAGGTCCTTTTGCTTTGGCGTTGATGCTGTTGGTGATTGATTGTCTGAACCGTTCGTACCCTATAAGAAGCACACCGCCCTGCTTCGACCAGGCTCTGATGGCATGAATATTGTCTTGTTTCTTGAGTGAGTCGGCCTTGTAAATATCCCCTAGAACAGCAGGAACTGGAGTCCACATCAGGAGTTCGTCTTCCCAATTGTTGAGTAGAGAAGCTGGGCTGAGTATAAGAGTCTTGCTCGTTCGAAGATGGTCTGGGATGTGGTCTCTGATACTCTGATCACTGCTCTGATTGCAAAGAGAAATTGTCACCAAGAGAGAGATCACTTGCATAGTCTTGCCGAGACCCATGGTGTGCGCCAGAATACAACCTTGATGTCTGGGATCTTCGACAATCTCACGCCACATGAATTGGATACCACTGAGTTGATGAGGCTTGACACGTTGAGCAATATGCCGGTGAAGCTCAACAGGCGGCTCTTCCGTGTTGACAATGCGGACGGCACTCCCATCGGCTTGTATTAGGGCAAGCTTGTCGGCCATATTCTTGCGTCGCTCTTCTTGTTCTTGAATCCTGACCTTATCGGTGTACTGTTGTGTTTTCGCTTCCTGGCTTTCTTCCACTTTGCGCTTGCGCTTCTTATGAGATGGAGGCTGAGCCTCTTCAAATGGATCAGTTAAGATCATATCCGTCATTTGTTCGTCTGCGTCGTCCTCTGTTTCAGGAATAGAGAAAGAGTCTTGATCTCGCTTTCTTTTCTTGCCCTTTGTTTGTGTTTGTAATCCTGTTTGATTTCTGAAATATGTCCGGATGATCCTCCGCAGCAAACTGTAGAATGGAATAAGCGCAGAATCTTTGTCCGCAAATGCCTGGTCTCTGTGGGCTTCCGAAAGCTCAAACTCTTCGAATGCATTTTGACCAAAAATGTACGTTAGATAAAGCAAAACCAAGGACTGAGCGCTCAACTGATACTTGGTTTTAATGCCTGGGATGATGGCGTCGTCACCATCTAGAGCAAGGAGCCCATTGACAATGACCGTTTCTTGGACCTGGCTGGAATCCTCCATAGAGTCCAGGAAGAGAGCAAGTTTGGAAGCCGCGTCCGGTTCGAGGTCGTAAACGGCTTTTGCAAGCGCTCGTCGCTTGTCGATGGGGTCTATATCTGACCATGATACACGCCTCAAGCCCTGGAAATCATATACTCCTGGTAAGCTCGTGTCATCTTGAGACGGCATGTTCTCCGACTCAGAGTCCGTTGAGTTAACAACGAGATTGTGCTTCTTCGACTTCTTCTTTGCATCCTCTACTCGTGTGGGGTTAAGTTCGGGTGTATGAACACTAAAGTCAGTAGATGTATCGTTGGCGCTCCTTTCAGGTCCGGATTGAGAACTGAATGTTAGATCAACAGGTGCGACCACGGAACGTCCTTTATTCCGATACCTAGAATTCGGAAGACGCGGGGAACCATCGAGGTCTGAAGTATCAGACGCGGATTGTTGAGGCTTAGGAGGCTTTCGCTTTAGTGATATGAGACGTTTGGTGTTCAGTGTGTGAGTAACCTCAGTCTTAATGCGGTTTACCTTTCGCCGAGCTGATGTAACGATAACATCATCGGATTCGGTTTCGACATCTGCGTCGTTGGCATTGACGTCGGGCAGTGGTGACTCACGAATATCGGCGGCAGGCTGTCTTGTTGTACTCGGAATGATAGGGTTCCAGTCTTCAATTTCAGGGACATGATGAATGGAGCCTTCGTCAGAAGAGTCATCCACAAAGGATAGCCCATCTTCGGTGAATGTTTCTGACTCGGATTCGAGAAGCTCTTCGCCTTCCTCAAGATCGTGTTGTTTTGACGTCCGAATCGCTCTGAGTGCATCTTTGTTGGGCCTTTCCGGTGGAGTGTCCTGGAGCATGACCTGGCCGTAGTATTCGTATTCTTGATGCTGATAGACGGTCAGTTCAAGACTTTGGCATTGTCTCTGGACCTCAGCTGGCTTGCGCCAGATATTTCCGGCGATCTCGCGTTTAATATTATCCAACCTGTGCAGAAGCTGATTCTTGCGGTATTTGAAGTACTGGATCTCTTCTTGGCGACTTTTGTTTCGGGCTGCGTTCATCCAGTGACGATAAGCCTTCCTCTGGACACCCAAGAACCTTGTGGCGCGCCATTCCTGCTTCCATTCAAGTATGGCTTCGTTCATCGCGGCCTCTACCTCATCTGGAGTCATAGTGGTAGGCTTCCGGCGCAACTCCTCTTCTTCCGCCTTCTCCTCTTCGATCTCCTTCCAGGTGTCTTCATCGAGATCGTTCTCATCTCCTGAATCGCCGTAAAGAGGAAGTCCGTCGGAACTCTCAACTGGGTACTTATCCAGGAGGTAGTCCAGGTCTGACAAAATTGAATTACCGCCTTTTGCCTCCAATGGTATTTCATGGGAGACACTTTTAGTGCTCTCGGATAAGCCGATGCTGGAACCCTGCGACTGATTCTCCTGAAGGGCTTTGAGCTCGGGGAAGTCTTCTACCTTATACACCCTTGCCCGATCGTGGCCGCGTGGGAACAAAGTAAAGTATTGTTCGGAATACGGAAGCTTGACCCTATTCTTGTCATATGGTAGCTTGACTCTCAGCCCGCTCTGACGTAGGACAGTCGTGCCCTGCCGTAGGAAAGACTTCATCAGCCGACCTATTGTCCGGCGTTCGCCAGTAGGAAGATCGGCGGAGATGTAGAATGAATCTGGTTCATCGGCAGCGACGCGGTAGAAGAATTCATCACTGAATCCAGTTGGAACTTTGTAGTAGAACACATCTTGCAGGGGAAGCGCGTCTCGGCCGAGATAGGAGGCATCACTCGACTTTGCCACAGTTGCCTCGGGCAAATGCGAGATGAAAGTTGGCGCGATTTTCTTCTTGCCGTTGACAAAGGTATATTCTCTTGCAGGCTGCTGTAACAGAGGAGGTGGTGATTGATCGCAGATTTTCGAAGCGGGTTCATCGACCACGCCGTTTCGTAATGGGCTAGCGATCGTAAAGCTCGGTTGTGGCTGTGGGACATTGGTGAGAGGATGAGTGGAAGGTCGAACAGTTGGCACCGGGGCATCCGGAGCGTTAAACGCGAAACCAGGTGAAGTCAAGGTGAGATCCTTGGGAGCCACCCGCTGCTGGCCCGCGGCACTAGCCAAGGAGGGTGATTGAAAGGGATGTGAAGGCTCGATTGACGGTTGGACGCCGAGACCATAGTGCGCAGGAGATTGTGGAATTACCGAAATTCGAGATTCGGTCATCTGGGGGGAGGCATAAGTGGCCGACTGCATTCTGGCGATACTGTCTGCTTGATAGAGCATCTGCTGGTAGCTTGGTGAAATCGCGCGAAAGAACTCGACCGCCTTCATAATGGCTCGTCTCTGACCAAAAGACGGTATCCCAAGGTCTTCCTTCAGAATTCGCATGTCGACAACCAGGAGGCTGTCCCCGTCGACATCGTTTCGCCGGAGAGTATGCTCCAGGCCATGGCGGTCCGGGATCAACTGAGCCAGCTTGGGCAGCCAACGTGGGGTTGGGCACTGGCAGAGTTCGTAGACAACTTTATCGATTGACCAGTCTCGAGGATCATCGTCGGCATCGAGAAGAGAGTCCATTTTGAGGTATCATCAGGCTGGTGTCAATGAGAGATGAATGAGGATGAGTTGGGAAAACGAAGTTGACGAGGTCGAGATGTCGCCAGGAAACTGCGCAGGAAGTGAAGCGCAGGCAGCGTCAGAGAGAGGGGTATCAGTCGACTGGGCGGCAAAGGACTTGAGAAGCACCTTTAAAGAGACGCTGGTCAAGGCGAGACAGAGAAGGAACAATTCCCCCCACTCTACTTCTTGCCCTAGGAGTGGAGGGCAGCAGCAAGACCTTTACTCACATGGTATGGAACATGGGAAGGCTTCGTTGTTCTGCTCAGGTAGGTGAAGGGCAAACAAACGGGGAAGTCGAGGATTGAACAGAGGGCGGGCGGGTGTCAAGGCAGAAAGTAGCAGTTGCTGTGACAAGGTCCAAGGCCAAAGGGGGGTTGCAAGTGAGGCTTTGCCCGTTTGGTGCCTGATGGCGTGAAAAGCGGTGAATGGGGGCTGGGATAAGCGTTTTAGCCTTGCTCAGCCTTGCTCAGCCTCGCTGGTGGCATGCCCACGCGAACAACCACTTTACGCGTGTACCAGATGGGAAAGTAGAGCGAGCCCATGCCTGATTGCTGACTAACTGACTCGTCGAGACCATTGGCGGAAAATGTGAAATGCGCCAACTTCAGACGCAGGTCGGTCTTGTCTTGAGATGACAAGTTCCCCTTCGTCGATATTGCTCTTAGAACTACGACCTCAACGCACAGCACTAGTCAGTAATATAACTTGTCGACTTCTGAGGCCATGGCAGATCACGCAGCCAACAAAGTCTACGCTGACTATCCTCCCGCACTGACGTCCGAGCAGGAGGACTACCTCGCCCAGACAGTGAAAAACTGGACCGTAGAGCATGCGCTCTTGGTGAGACCATCCACGGCCATAGTCCCAGAAGAGGCGAATCCGAAGAATGTCCTTGCTACTAATGCCCCAGTCACTCTGTTTCCAAGCCCGTTTCCCAAGGCTTGCTTTGAACAGGCGAAAACCATCCAGCCAGTTTACAACGAGCTCTACGCTAGCATTGCCAGCGACGAGCAGTGGCTAGAAGATATTATGAGAGAGTGAGTTCAAGTGGCTGTGCCAGACTTTCCCGCTGACTTCTGTGCTCTTCCACCGCTTTGTGCGCAACCATGATCGGTTGCACCTACATTCGAAACTGACATTAAGCAGACTTATAGAGGTCGATGACTTCCTAGCCAATCTCTGGAAAATCCACATCGCTGTTAAAGAAGAGGGCTACGTTCAAGACCTGTCTCTGGGAATGTTTCGCTCCGATTATATGGTCCACACAGCAGAACAGGCGCCCCCATCCCTCAAGCAAGTCGAATTTAACACCATCTCCTCATCCTTTGGAGGCTTAGCTTGCCGTGTTGCAGATATGCATACCCATCTTGCGACGTTCCCCTCACCAAAGCACTCAGTGGCGTATCCTACACATCCTCTGTTTGCAAACGCGGCGGGCGACAGCTCTATTCATACCATCGGGCATCCTCCTCACAATGAGGCCGTGGCGACCTTGACCGCAGGACTTGCAGCCGCCCATGTAGCGTACGGACCTTCGAGATCGGAACCCCGACTCCCAACCTGCGTCATCTTTCTCGTCCAAGACAACGAGCGCAACGTCTTCGACCAACTGGCCCTCTCTAGTCATCTGTACAAGCACCATCACATCCCCTCGTTCCGCCTGCCAACCAGCAAGATTCTAGCTTATACGTCCATCCCCTCGAAGGACAGTAATCCTTATCGTCCATTGATTTACACCCCGCCATCGTCCCCGTCCACTCAGTTCGAAGTCACGGTAGTGTATTTCCGAGCCCTCTACGCTCCAACGGAATACAACACGCCCACATCCTGGGCAGCCCGCCATCACTTGGAACGCAGCGCGGCAATAAAATGCCCCACCATCCTCCTCCACCTTTCCGGCTCCAAGAAAGTCCAACAAGTCCTTACCGCCAGACCTCCCGACACAGACCACCTCAAAGCCTTCCTTCCAACCCACCCCGAGAGCGTGCTCGACAACCTGCGCTCGACCTTCGCTCCACAATATTCCCTCTCCGCCTCCGCCCCCGAGGCGTCAGGCGAACCGGAGGGGATCCGCCTAGCTCTCTCCGCCGAGACGGCGGCGAACCATGTGTTGAAGCCCCAACGTGAAGGGGGCGGCAACAACATCTACCGCACCAACATCCCGCCTTTCTTAAACTCCATCCCCAAGTCTCAATGGAAGCAGTACATCCTGATGGAACTGATCCGTCCGCCCACCGCGGCAAAAAATACTGTTTTGCGGAGTGACGGACAGGTCGTCAGCGGCAACGTTATTTCCGAACTCGGGATATTTGGCGCTTGTCTTTGGAGAAATACACCTGGTGACACGAAGCCCGAGATTCTCCATAACACAGAGGGTGGGTACCTCTTAAGGACCAAAGGAAAGGATAGTGATGAAGGGGGAGTTGCCGCCGGTTTTAGCTCGTTGGATAGCTTGATTTTATATGAAGAGTACTAGACTAGAGATGAGTGCCAGATTTAGATAGTATTAAGCAATAGACATACATTTTGGTCATTTGATTACTTTTTTGGCGTTACAGGGGGATTAGCCCGCCCTAACGATGGTGATGCTGCTACAGTCGAAAGCAATGATACCATGCTCTTTCTCGGTAAAGGAGTGCGTAGGTGGATGGAATGGCACCCGCCATTCAAAGAGGTCCAGGCTGGCCAATCGAAAAGAGGCGAGTCGGATGTTGTCGAGAGCCGACAGGGGAAGCTAATGTCCGTTCCACGGATAGCAATGACGAGATACCAGATGGCTTCATGCTTGGGAAATTCATAAGCCCGATGCGGCTCTGCCCTCCCAAAACCGCCCGTTGTTTGAGTACGGCTGGGGACCAGGCTGACAAGGTTGCTTCTTCCGCCAACAAGCCACATATTTGGCATGTAATTACATGCGCCTCGTGTTGTTTATGATCAGCACGGCTTTCTTGTGGAGCCGTCGATCTCCCTTCTTTGCAGCCTTGACAAGTAATCTCCGTCGCACAGGCATGACATCAAGAGACAGAACACTGCCTGTTCAAGAACCGATAAATTGCTCAGTTTGCGATGATTTAAGGGGGCACCTTCGCTCTTCGTTCACGTTCAAGAGAACGAGGCGGTGCGCCCTTCCGAGATCCCCGACCTTCCTTTCCTGTTTGGGGTCTTGATTTCTTTGTCATGTATCTTTTTGGAACTGCGACGATTGATGATAAGGCCTTTGATGGAAGGCTTGAGAGATAGAGCAGATATTGTACAGGGATGACAACTGCACCACAGATCCAGTTTGCCAAGGTGAGAACGTAGTTATTCGGGATCCGATCGGCATTGCGCTGCGCTGCGGCGGCCAGGGACACGACGTCATGCAAACGTGTTTCCAGGTCTTGTAGCCTCGCTTCAATCTGCACAGACGAGATGGTTGATCTCTTTTCGTAACGACGCATGGCCCTGTTCAGGGCATCTAGCTCCGGCTGTACAGTTTTCTTGACCTCAGTTGTGGCTGTGGCAGAAGCCTGAGATACGAGTGCGTGATTTTGTTGTTCCTCTTTTTGTTTCCCATGGCCGGCAATGCGGTCTGCAACATGTGCCTCGAGGTCGTCCAACCTGCGTGAGATATCGCGAAGTTGCTGATTGTCCAGCCGACTTGATTCTTTGAGAATATCGATGTTCGCTCGTCGTTGAAGGAATAGGGTTCTCCGCTGGACCATCTTTATCAGGTGAGAGATGGGTCGAATTTCGGCAACCAATATGAATATAGTGAGGTTGTAGTTGGAGACCAAGCCCTCAGATGGCCGAGAGAGCTGGGATCTGATGCTATGCAGAAGCCAGGCAGCGATCAGAGGGAATACAAAACAGGAGAGCAAGGCCAAAAGCTCATGGACACGGAGCTCTTTCTGCGCAGCTGCACTGTATGTATCGAGAAGCTTCGCACGAGCAGCATCACGACTCGCCTTCACTTTGCTGGTGCCGTCTTCTCCGCTTCCATTCATAGATAGTGGATCCTGATCTTCATCCGCTTCATCGATCGGAGTGAATACCGGTGGAGTGGTTGAATCTGTCAAAACAGGCGTCTGAGCTGCACGGTACCAATCCCTGGATCAGCTATAAGTTGGGGGTCCACACAAAAGAGGATCTAGTCACTCCTTACCATGGCGACCTGAGAGCCCAGTTCATGAATATAGCGGCCAGACCCAGGAGTGTTACATCCGTGATGATAGCGCTACCGTTCTTGAAAAACATGCCACCAACGGCAGGAAGCAGGGCAAGCCCAAGAGGCAAGGACTGCCAATGAGAATTGTCGTCATGGTCGTGAAAATCATCATCGTCCCGCGCACGTGGCAGGAGTATATCGTCTGTGGAAGAGCGTAACGATTTGCGCGTCTCAGAAAGAGTTTCAGAGAGAAATGAACTTCGACGGCGGTTCAGCTGCGGGTTACCTTCAGCAAAGGTAGAGGCTCGTCCCAAGGGCCGCTGCCTCAGGCCCTGTGGCGAAGGACTAACTTGTCGACCGGAAGAAGTCAGTGGAGGGAGGACGATCGAAGGAAGTTTCTCTGACGCCATGATTGCAACCCTGAGATCAAAAGGGCGGGTTCGAGGCAGGCAGTAACTGGGCAGAAGGATGAAGTCTAGCGGATAGGGATTCCGCGGGTCTCTGGACGCGTCACAACATCCTCGGGTGTCGAGAAGAGGGTGGAAGAAGAAAAGAAAAAGACGCAGCCGTCACCAATACGACTAGCAGAGGCCCAGACAGGCCCATGCGGCTACAACAAGGCTGACAAGAGTGAGAGATGGGAACAGAGGAGTCAAAGAAGTGTGGCGTCAACGGAGAAGTAAACGTTGGATGAGGTTCGAAGTGTCCGAGTCTGACAGGAGGACAACGAGATGGAGGCCGGCCCCGGAATAATATATGGCCGAGAGCCCCAGGAGTAGGCTGCACTTGAGTTATTCCGAGGTTGTTCCGCTGCTCTATCATTTCTCTTCACGACATATCCCTTCTCAATTACTGGCATTCCAGCTCGATGACATCCAGTATCACAGTATTTTTCAGGTCCAAGCAATGTGCCGCTCAAATAAGTTCAGTTGCGGTGTCAGTCAAGGACAATTGGGCATTGAACCTCAGTCAAGGGACACTCAACCTAGGATTCGTTGCCGTTGCCGAAAGCTGGATTCTGCTTTATACGCCGGGGCGCTTCCACCCAGTCGATGAAGGCTCCTGAATCTCAACTATAGCACGCCGTGCATTGCCAGCATGGTTACAACTGAGAGTTAAATGGACAAAGTGCGCGCAACGTACCGGCACGGCTTACTGAAAGCCCGCCCCTTAAGGAGAGCCTTATTCAACACCACTTTGGGAAAGATGTCTCTGAGATATCTGAGAGGCCCCACCGATGCAGCCATACGCACCATGCTCTAATGTGAGTTGATTCAAGGGAACGAGGAGTGCGGACAGGGTGGCTGGAGGAGGGTGTGAGAGATGATGTCCACAGGCCAGTACTTGGTTTCTCTTCGGTTTTTTCCCCTTTCTCCTGTTTGCAGGACTGAGGACATACGAATCACCTTCGCACACCAAGTATGGCGTGGGATACTACTTCCACAGTTGTTGTGCCGCTGGCCTTATTAGCTATCTTTGCAGCCTTCCCTCCCGTAGTCGTTCAATTGCGCGTTAAGAACTTTGCCGGCTCGGTTCTCCTGATCGGAATCACTATCCTGAACATCCAAAACTTTGTCAACGCTGCGATATGGTCGTCTGATGACCCCGACGACTGGTGGGACGGAAAGATCCTGTGTGACATTGAAGTCAAGCTCTACATTGGGATATCCCTGGCCGTTGAAGGAGCCGTTGCGAGCATTTTCCGACAGATTTCGATAATTCTCGACTCGGACCGCATGACTGTCACCCCTTGCCCGCGACAGCGCCGAATCACTCGCGCGATAGAGCTGCTCCTTTGCATCCTCCTACCTATATTCGTTATGGCTGGCCATTACTTGGTCCAAAGAGGAAGATACTGGCTCAGAACGGTGGCGGGATGTGTGGCGACCTATGACAACAACTGGGTAGCGCCTCTCGTGACTTATGGATGGCCAATGGTCGTCTGTGTTACCGGAAGCGTCTACTGTCTGATCTCGGTCCTTCGCCTCTGGCGGCATCGTAGGCAGGTTTTGGCCTTGCTCACGCACACTCCCGGTGCCACCCCCTCCCGATTTTTCAGGCTCTTCGCACTTGCGTTCGCCCTCCTGGTAATGTACTGCCCGCTGGCTGTATTTGCCTTTGCGCAGAACGTTCGTGTGCCAATGCATATGTATTCTTGGTCATATATCCATCCCTCCGACTGGTCAGAAAGAATCAGGCTGGAGCCCGAGCCCGCTTTGGGAACAGCCTCGCAGGCCTTCACCTTCGACCGGTGGGCGCAGATCATCACGGCATATGCCTCATTCGCATGTTTCGGGCTGGGTCAGGATGCAATTCGAATGTACAAGGGGTGGGCTGAAAGAGCGAGGAGCTTCCTACCTGGAGGCTTCAAGGCAGATGTCAGGTCAACCCAACAAGCATCTCGCAACAGCACATCGGTCAGAAACGAAGAAAATGTCACACTCGATATGGACGAATTTTCTCTAGAGGATAATCACGACATACTTCGCCATCCATCAGCCTCAGGACCAAATAGCTGATTGGAGACACATTCGTCAAATCTCTTTTGGAACATTCGTTGATTACAGACCTTTCTGCCTTTAGAATACACGTTTTTCCTAGATAGTCCTGTTGGTAGGTGATTGGCCCTGCCATCACCGCTCAACAAACCCATGAGTGGCGAAATACATTCGGAGAAGGGATCCAATACAACATATATGAACAGAATCGTATCGTTCAACTTTCATCGCCTAAGTAGCGAAGAATCAACGCACAGAGTAAGCCGTATCACGTTGGGATTGCCAAAAGCCTGTGTATGTTTTCAAGCACTGACTGCTTCGGGTGTGGTCTCCTCCTCTTTGGGCTGTGGTCTTTTCAGGACTTCCACTTTTGTCTGGACCAGGCTCAATGAGCTCTGTTTCTTGCCGTCTGAATCCTCGTAGGTGCGCATGGTGGCATCTCCTTCAAGATAGACTAAGGTTCTGTTTTGACCATCGATCAGCTTAACTTCCTGCGGATGATATTGATTGACATCAGCTGCGCTCACCCTTTGGTTAATCCCATCACAAGATCTCGCTGGGGCGAACCTTCCGGTGCAAAGCTGGCGACGCGGAACCATGATGTTTGTCGGTTTTCCTTCGGTCCGTAGCTGGTGCCCACGACATATTTGATCACTTGGCCCTTGCCGGTCTCCGCGAGTTCTGGGTCCGCGCCGAGTCTCCCCACCAGTGTCATGCGGGCAAGTTGAGACGGGCGAGTCGTTGAGAATGCACGGTGTGAGAAAGAGGGGAGCGCGGACGTCATGCGTCTCGCTGGTGAAAGGAGGAATGACATTGCGCTGGGTGTTTGGTGGAGGTGGCTGGGAACTTGCAACTTGAGGAATGTGAGAGGACCACGGAGACAGGTGATATTACCAGCTCTTTCTTGATTGAATCCAGGAGGGCAGCTCGACGGGATGCCTGGTCGGATAGCAACAATAAGGTGGGGAGTTGGCAAGCAGGATATTGACAGCAGGTGATGGCAGACCGTAACCAGCGCGCACGACGCGGTTCTGGTGCAGCGGGACCATGAAAGTCGCGATCAGGGGATATCGATTTAGTCTAATCCAAATCCGGCAAAGTGCGTGCATACGTCAAATGACACTGTCTTTTGAATCGCGAGCCTCGATTTCCAAACTTCGAAGCGCCCAGTTCCTCGTATCGAGCACCGTTACTGTGGATTCTTCATGTTTACCTCGTAGTCCCGAGCGGTCTCTTCGCAATATGGCCAGCCTAGCTTTGTTCGGGCTGTTCAGACACAAGTACATTCGGGTTCAAGCTCCTCCGTGGGCCCAGGCCACGTTCACTCTCTACACCCAGCAGCCTTCCAATGGTGCCATTAGGAACAGCAAGGAGGTTCGTAGATACAGAAGTATCTTTCCCCTGATGCACAGCTGCATGAAAGCATCTTATTGCGCCGCTACCGGATGTCGCTCTGCATTAACCAGTGACATCTGCTGTTGATTTTTTGACTCGGACAAAGATCTGGGCTACTATTGCCGGAAATAGTCACAAAGAGAACATACAGACTCCAAGGTTGAACAGCGCTCTATGTCATGCTTAAAGGTACGTGCAAGCGACTTTGCTTGCGTCGTCCACTTCTTCGCAGTTGCATTTTAAAGCAATCTGTTCTCAACAAACAATGTCCGCCTCCGATTTTACCATGAGCCCCATCGCATGGCTATTCATTTCCATGTTTGCCGGAGTTATTCTGATTCTCGCCATCGTTTATCTTTTTGCGCTCAAGATTCGACACGACAAGAAGAAAGCAGCTCAAAAAACAGAGGAAGATGAGATCTTTGGTCACGCTATCGCAAACCCCATCACGAGCTGATCAGACTATACCTTCTGTGCGCTGGACGGTCTTGGGATGCTGAAAGCGTTCAAGTGCCTTTGTCCTGTCCCTAGCCTCCCTTTCTTCGCATCGAAGGATTGCAAAAAGGATAGGTCTTTGTTCCACTCACCTCAAAGAGAATCGGATCGCACCTAGAGTCCGTCGAACACCGCGTTTCAACCTCTAACCACACCGTTTTCAGTGCTTGTTTCAGCCTGTCCATTGGTAACAGAAGAACGCATGTTCAACAATCTCACAACCTCAAAATGCTGCCACTTTCTGCGCTCATAGTCCTCGGAGCTGTAGGAACTTTCAGCACCTTGACGTTTCTCTTCGCAATATATCACACAATCAAAACAAGACTTGAAGCACGAAGACTGAAGAGTGTCCAACAAGACAACGACGTGTCTCTACCACTGACAGAAACTGCAAGGACCGCCGAAACGATTACGAGAACTCAAACACCAGCACAAGGAGCAACACATTCATCACCACCAATTACACGCTCTCAAACGCCAGAAGCAGAATATCCGCCTCCTCTGCCCCAAGAGTTGGAATTGGAAGATAAGCTGGGTCCAGGACAAGCGTCACCACAGCCCCCGATGGTACTACACTCCAGAACACCTGATGCAAAGTACTCGACGTCTTTGCCTCGGGGCTATGAAACCCAGCCAGAAGACTCCATCCGAGCGGAAACACCGCCACCTCTTCATCCAAATAGCAGGGGCGGTCCTGTCCGAACTAAAAGAGACAGGGACAGCATGCATGAAATATACGAAATATACAGCAAGTTGCCCCCAGGGCCTAGGTCGGCTCCTCCTAGAATAACGACCTTTGCCATGGCAGACAGTAAATGGGCTTACTTTGGGCAGAAGCGGGCAGAGGAGCTGAATATGATTTAATTTGGGGGAAGCTGGAAGACGTGTGTGTACCTCGTATATACAAGAAGGCCCAAGTCCTGTGACTTTTAGAAAGGCTGGAAACTTTTGTGGCTTCTAATGTCCAATAGAAATCCGAATTCCCCAGCCGAACCTCCCTACCTTGCATCCATCGCATTGATACCCCTGCCAAAGCAAAGGAGAGATTGGGCAGATGAACGGTCTGACTTCTGCATCAGAAGTGCTTCAGCGTCTTCAAATCCTCTCCTGGTTCCTCACCCATGGCTCCAGACCCGACAGTTCAAAGTAGTGTCGTGGCCCAAGGACATGTCGACCTGCCTACCTTATTCCATACTCGTCACAATACAGATTTTCAGCCGCTCAAGGACATCAGCCTGTTTGTCGCAAGCGAACTGGATGTATCTCGACTCGATGCTATGGTCGATCGAGGTCTCCCTTTGGCGGGCCGGTTGGGGAATATCCGTCCCTTACACCGCCAACGCGTCCTCGGTCGTCGAATAGTCGTTACCGAGCAATTGGACTTGCATTTACTGTGGAAGGGCGACACGATATTCATCAAGCCATTGCCCGGATGGCTCTTGGATGGGGACTTTGTCAAATCCCACATCTCCCAGCATCGTCAGGCTGAGAGCGCTGCCAATGGCTTCCTTGCCTCGTATGTGCGCTTGATCAACTACAAGAGCGACTTCTACATGGCCAAGGAGGAGCACTTGCTCCCGGAAGGTATGGAATGGAAAGATTGGCAAGCGCTGAGCGAGAGGCTGGTTGGACTTGTCCATCAGATCAACGCTGGCAAGATGCCGTGTGCACCGAGATTTCAATTCGGCGAGCTACGTCTCAGTCGCATCAACATGATCTACCGGTTCCATCCTGCGTACCGCCTTGCGCATGTTGTCCGGGGCTATCATTACACGAACATGACATATCAATCTTTCCTTCGCCGCAACTTTGCCTGGTTGGTGGCAGTCTTTGCCTATCTGACCATCATCCTCACTGCGATGCAGGTTGGTCTGGGGACACACCAGCTCCGCAACGACGGAGCATTCAATAATGCCTCGTATGGATTCACCATTTTTGCAATAGTGCTGCCACTGGTGACGTTGGGTGTAGGCATCCTTGTCAGCCTCTTCCTCACCATCTACCACATCCGAGCGACAAGAGAGCATCTAAGGGCAAGGGACGCGGAATCAGAATCGGCGAAAGGAGATCAAGCCTAGAAGCACTTTAGGTTCGCAGCGGAGCATAGTCCGTCGTTCTTCCGTCTCACTGTGGATGACCCTCAGTGGGATTTAGGGATCGGCCGACACGCCAGTACTCGAAGGTACTTGGAGTCGCTCGCATCACATTTCGTGAATGATAAAATCTTTTAAAGACCCCTTCAATTTTATTCAAGCTCTTCTTACCAGAGACTATTGCACTCTTCGGCGGGAGATGTGAATCTTGGTGCGGTTGGAACGTGCACAGAGCATGCTGGTAAGGATCGCGAAGATCGAGAACGTGACCGAACCGAGTCGTCGTTGAGGTTGGCTTTGGCTATGGCGATGACGGGCAATGAAGGACAACCTATCTGTCCCACGACTCAACTTGGCTCCCTGAGGGCATGGAGATACCTCCAGTTGGACCGACTGTCTCTTGCGCAGAGAGCTTTCCTGCGCCTGAATCCTTGAGCTTGTCCGCTAGTCCCAGACGAGCAAAGCTGGTTTGTGGCATATTCAAGTTGAACAGCCCCAGACCGAGTTCGCTTGTTCTATCCATCCAACATGTCAAGACCATCCAGCCAGGGGCCGGTGGATAGCACGGTTATCACTGATCCCAGCTGACAAAGCTTGCCGACACCATGAGCAATAAAACGAAGACTTTTCGAGTTCGTTGGGTGCCAGCAGAAATCACCCGCCAGAGCCTCGCCCAGTTCTTACAAGGCTCTGTGCCTGATCTCGGCGGAGAAGCGAACATCCATATTCGCTCTCTCGCGCCATCACCGGACGATTGGACTTCGCCTCGATCACAAACAGCGACACTGGAGTTCCATGAAATACCCAAGCCGCTACAAGACGCGAATAGAACGACCTGGGAATTTGCCCCCATTGGGAGTGATTCACCACTCATATTCGACACAGATTTCCTAGGATTTACTCCTCTGAATAGCGTCGATGGCCGTCACCATACATGCGAGTATGTGCCATGATAGGCCCGCGCAGATCCTTGCTAATCTTTAACCGAGCTTGGTCGCTGTTTCTGGCCTCGCAAGTCATCCGTTCGGCTCATGGAGACAGAGAAGGCCGCCTGGGCAGCGTCAGTTCATGTGGCTCCGAGACCAGCTCCCTCGTGACTTTCCCACTGTCCGCTGCATGATCTACGGATATGATACGAAGCTTGTGGAGAGTAATTCATTCCAATCTCTCGACGATCTTGCTAGGTCTTTCATTCATCATCTGTTGACTATTGGGCGAGCAGAGCATTCCGCTAGACCATTGATCCTTTTAGGTCATAGCCTCGGCGGCATTCTCGTGAAAAGAGCACTTTTATATCTCGCCGGGTCTGGAGAGGCCAAGAAGACTATGCTTTCCAAAATCAAGTTGTTCATTGCATTCGGAGTACCGAACCGAGGGATGCGGATCGACCATCTACTTAGCATTGTAGGATTGCGACCCAACAAACACCTGATAGAGTCTCTCGCGGAGCCTCCTCCAAACGTCCCATCCTGGCTCTCCGTGGTGGATGAACAGTTCTCTGGAATCGCGCAGCACTACGATATCCGGGTTGTTTCGGCTTTTGAGACCGAAACTACACCCTTAACTGAGGTCTGTAAACAGAGGACTTATCACACTTTGCATGCTGACCGCTCCGCTGCTAGATGCAATCAAATGGTGAGGCGCAGAGAACCGGTACTTCCGAGATTCTCGTACAGCGTGACTCTGCGGTACAACGCAGCTCTAGGGACCACCAGGACATATTACACATCAACAAAAATCATTCAGACATGGCCAAATTCGAAAGAAATGACCTTAACTACTTCGTTGTTCGCAATTTCGTACGCGAGATTGTGGATGCGAGAGAGGGTGGCCTGGTATCGGAGCGAGTCTCCCGCGCGCCGACATCATTTCTGCAAAACCTCAGGCCTCATGGCAAAGAATCTGCCGATCCCCACGACACAGCGCACGCGGAATCGGAAATGATCGACGACATAGAATCTTCAAAACGCGACAACGTTGTGGACTCCAGAAGTGAGGTTCAACTAGTTCTTGAGATACCACGATGTTCACTAACGTGTCCAAGGACTTCTAAAATCTCTAAATTTTGAGGAGAGCAGTTTCCGCTTCCAGGCAATTGAACGAGCCCACGAGTCCACCTTCGGCTGGATTTTTGAGAAGGCCGAATTGGGTTTCATACCCTGGATCTTGAAAGGAACGGGCGTATATTGGATTCGTGGGAAGGCAGGCTCGGGGAAGAGCACATTTATGAAATACCTTCACAACACCGAACAGCTCAAGGAGGCAATAAGAGCCAGAGGTACACGAAAACAGCAAATCGACTTGTGGTTCTTCTTCAACGAGAGGGGTACGTACCTCCAAAAATCCTTAGATGGATTGTTGCGAGGAATGCTGGCGAATTTGGTCTCCCGAGAGTCTACCATCGCTGAGCTGGTGCTCGAGATTTACCGCTCCAAGCCTCGACAAATCCGTGACCGTTGGAACTTCGAAGATCTCAAAGAGGCTTTCGCCGCAGTACTTACGCAAGATAAGCACGACCTCGAGCTTACAATCTTCCTCGATGCTTTGGATGAATACTATGGATTTCCGGAAGTAATCTCCCAATGGATTCTTGAGACTGTGTCTACCTCACGAGACTCAAGTAGCCGGACGAAAGTCAGGTTTTGTTTTTCCAGTCGAGAATGGGACAGCTTTGTCAAGGCTTTCAGCAGTGAGCCTGGATTTGTGTTGCACGAGCATACGTACCAAGACGTGGAACAATATACAATCAGCAGACTATCACGGCTGACTTCACAACATCCATACTCCGCGGACGATCCATCGACCCCCAGCAGCCAGCTTCCGCCTGCCGAGGTGGTTCGCCTGATCGCGACCCGAGCAGAAGGAGTTTTTCTCTGGGTAAAGCTCGCAATTGATGCAATCGCGTTGTCACCAACGATTTCTTCGCAAGAAGAGCTTGAAACGCTGATCAGCGGACTGCCGGCGGATTTGGAAGACTTCTACATGCGAATTATTTCGAGGATACCCAAGCCTTCACGCTGGAGAGCATTTACCCTCTTGGAAATAGTGTCTCGTAGCTCGGACTTGGTCACACCTCAAGATTTATTCTTCGCCTCAGCGTGTGCTACGGGGAATACTTTTCAAGAATGCAAGAAACACCTGCGCAATGCCGGATTCCCAGTTGAGCGAGCTTCGAACGATGAATCCATCAGCAGAGACCTTGTTAACCTTTGCGGAGGCTTTCTCGAGTGCGTGGACGTAGATGCGGTGTCCAACGAACGCAGAACAGTTGTCCAATTCATCCATCGAACTGTGCGCGACTTTGTGGCAAGTCCGCAGTTTCCACAGGCCATACTGGGCGATGCCTACAGGCTGCGGTTGGACAATGGCTACACCTTTTTACTGAAGTATAAGTGCGTGCTCGCGAGTCAGGAGAGACAGTTGAACTCGCATCGGACTCTCTTGGACTTGGCACATCATGATGAAAGATCAACTGGTCGTGCAGCAACGACCTTTATCGACAGCTTGCCAGACCCATTCTTCTATCTACCATCTTATTCCGACGGACCCAACAGCTTAAGAACCTCCCACTTCGAATTCGCTGTACTATGCAATCTCTATCTTTACGTTCGAAAATCCCTTGGAGACCTGAAAAGTCACCGGAATGAACGACCCTTGAATAAGATAGCAGCTTCCCTGACTGTGAATCACTTGACGATGGACTATGCAAAGATGGCACAAATCCTTCTGCGGCATGGGTTTCGCGTTTCTGATCGAGATTTCGGCATGACTCCGTTCGAAACAGTTTTCATCCGGGCGCAGTACATAAATTTGCGGAAACACCCTACCGAGTGGGTCAATTTTGCACGAGTGCTCATCCAGGACGGTGGGCAAAACCCGAATGAACTTCTTCAATCAAGGCACACGCACCCCTTGGCAGAGCGATTTTCTGCCCTCCATGCTTCCTGGACCCGCGACATGACACTAATGCTCCTGCAAAATAGAGCTGATGTAAATCTGAGAGATTCTCAGGGGTATACTCCGCTGGACACTTTCGTGCTCGAAGACACTTACAAGGATCAATCGTCTCTCAAAGCAGTATTCGAGTGTGCCATGCTACTCCTGTCACATGGTGGTCGTCTATCCCGTCGAGGTAAAAAAGGTCTTCCTGGGTTTCTGGAGCGAATGCGAGAAGCCGGTTTTCAATTTCCCAATGCACTCATAGATCAGGCCGTGGACACGAGGACGATAAGCGTGAGAAGCAAAATCCGCGACTTCATTTCACGACATCTAGGTTGAACACGAGTAGATGGTACCCCCATCCCAAAGCCGAAGGACTTCAGCTCGAGATTCCGCTTCGCAGACACGAGAGGATCACGACATCTATGTTTGAGGGATAAATGGCAATCTTTTTTGGAGTAAACCAGGAGTAATGAGGGAATGACCTTGCTATCCTAAGAAGGAACTTGGACCGTCGACAGGCCCTCAATCGACAGCGCTGCGAAGAACGTCGGCACCATTCATATCTCAATTGGAGCCGCTCCGGTGCCCTGCTTTCTCGATCAGTTTCCAAAGGAAATGGTTGGAGGTATCAATCAAGTGTTGCCCTGGTAAGACGGTCGCCCTCCAGACACAGCGGAGCAATCCGTTCATCCTGACGCCTGCAGTCAGAGCACTGCATTGATACCTCGCGTCAAGCAAGAAGCGATGGGCGTTACGGCACAGGAAACGGAATCCAAGAATCAAGTCCTTCAACCTAAATCGTGAGTCTTTCAGCCTTTGTCTAACGTCAATTCACCGCAGCAAGCTAACTTTCTAGCGTCTGGCCACGTTTGATGAGGATCTATCGAGGAGCTGCCGACTTCGACTTCTCATTGCGTGCTGTGCGAGCCGCATAACGCCATCACGTTGCTCCACCACGTTAGCACGCGATTCATTCCACGCAAGCATCTCAGCGAATAGAAGAGACTTATGCTCAGCAATCAAAGGATAACATTGCCTTTTTTTTCACCCAAAAGGCACGGGTAGCGGTAGGTCAGCACTACAGGGATGATACCATATGGGAGTTGTCTGCAAGTCACGTGGATTGTGGATGCATATACCTACGGTATAAGTAGTTCGAGAATGTACTCCTTCGGAATATATCGTCTTATCCCACCCTTTCATTGCTGAGACTGCTCAATTTCCAAGATGGCCGTGGAACTTCTCACCCAGGCCGACGGCTATGGCATCATCGTTGGTCTTTCGGTGCTGTTTTGTCTCATTATCATCGCTGCAGTCCGCATCCAGAAGAGGTATCTTTCGGAGGACAGCGATCAATCGGAGATGTTCATGGTCGCTAACCGTTCCGTTGGGACTGGATTGACGGCCTCAGCGGTTTTTTCGAGTTGGTAAGTTCGAATGGTGGTGGTGTGAACTCAGTCTACGTGTTAACTAGAATGGATCTATCCAGGATGTGGATCAACGAAAGTGTCTTTTCAGCTGCCTACACATACAAGTGGGGAGTTGCGCTTCCGATATGGTGGGCCAGTGGACTATCCTTCCAGATTGCGCTCATGGCAGTCCTCGGTATCGTGGCAAAGCTGCGGGTGCCGTATGCTCATACCTCGCTCGAGATCATCAAGATGAGATACGGAAAATATGCGCACTGGCTGTTCATCCTCCTGAACCTGGTCAACAACGTCTTCGGCTGTGGCAGTATGATCTTGGCAGGCGCTCAGCTGGTGACTGGGATGACTGGAATGCATGTTATCGCTGCATGTATCTTGATTCCGGCGGGAGGTAAGCCAAACATTGGTCCATATTGGTCGCGGATGCTGACACTCTATCTAAAGTCGTCACCTACACGGCAGTGGGAGGGCTCAAGGCCACATTTCTCACTGATTTCTTACATACAACTATCGCTCTGATCCTCTTGATCTACTTCTCCCTCGCTGTCCTAACGAACGAGCATATTGGAGGCATCTCGGGCTTATACGACAAAGTCAAAGCCACGAACGATTACATCCCTGGCAACTACAAAGGCTCACTTTTGACCATGAAATCCAAGAGCTGTAAGGGCAAACGCGTCAGCGCATGTCGGGCACTATACTAATGCTTGATACAGCGCTCATGTTCGGCCTGGTGTTGAAGTTTGGGAATCTCGCACTGGTGCTCATGGACACCGCCTTCTGGCAGAAATCCTTCGCCTCGGAAGTGCACTCGACCGTCCCAGCCTACGACCTGGTCTCTGTCGTTATCCTCGCCATACCTTGGTGCACCGGGACCATTATCGGGCTGAGCGCGCGGGCGATCGAAAAGACTCCCGTGTGGTTCGACTACCCCAATACTCTGACACTCACTCAAGTGAACTCTGGCCTCGTGATGCCGTACGTGCTGAGGTCGCTTCTTGGCACTGGGGCCACTGCCGGTCTGCTCGTGCTCGTCTTTATGGCCATCACCAGCACGGTGTCTTCGTCCATGATAGCGGTCAGCAGTATCATCTCTCTCGACTTCTTCCGCACCTACATCGACCCCCGAGCGTCCGACCGCAAAACGCTCAAGGTGAGCCACTGGGGGGTGGTCTTCCACGGCTGCTTCATGGCCGGCTTTGCCATCATGCTCGAGTATGCCGGCGCGACGAACAACTGGTCCACGTACTTCCGACCAATCGTGGCGTGTCCTGGTATCTTGCCCATGATCTTGACGCTCCTCTGGTCTAGACAAACGAAGCTGGCGGCCATCCTCAGCCCCATCCTCGGGCTTCTGTCCGGCGTCGCGACTTGGCTTTCCCTGTCATGGGCGTGGTCGGGGGCAATCAACATTCAAACAACGCAGGACCAGGTCCCAGGGCTCTACGCTGCCATTGTCTCCTTCTTCTCCCCGGCGCTGTATTCTGTCATCATCTCCCTCGCCTGGCCGAGCCAGTTCGACTGGCGCGAGTTCCTCAGGATCGACCTGATCGAAGACAAGAGCCAGCCGAGCAGCTCGCTGCAGTCCACCCTGCCCAGCAGCGAAGCCGTCAACGAGACGCCCAAGACTGCAGACAACAGCTCCGCGAAAGAAGCCTACGAGAAGGAGACATACCTCACGGGCGGAGAGGAGGCCAGTCCACCCCCCAGCCCGACACGGCGGCAGCTGAACGCACAAGTGCCCCTGGACGAAGTGGTCCACCCGTTCGACGCACAGACGATCCGCCACATCAAGAAGTGGTTCAAGATCGCCAGCATCTACTTCGTCGTCAACGTCCTGGTCACCATCGTGCTCTGGCCGCTGCCGCTGTACCGGGACTGGATCTTCACCAAGAGCTTCTTCGGCGGGTGGGTCACCATGGCCATCATCTGGCATTTCGGCGCCATGTGCGTCGTCATCGTGTACCCGTTCTATGACGGCCGGCATGAGATTGCCCGGGCGGTTCGCGGGATGGTCAAGGAGTTAAAGGGGAGGAGGTGAGATGAGTGTTGTGGACGGTGGTGCTTTCTTGGATAGCCAGCACAATAGAGCGATAGAATATACTAGATGGATAGAGCGATAAAGGGTAGACTACTAGACCGATAGAGTACGAGAAAGATAGACTGCTAGAGAGACAGTACAGGGGAAGCGATAGATGGACGATAGACAAGGAATAGAGTCCGACTGCAGCTTGCATACATTCCAGTTCAATGTCCATCCATGTGGGATCTATACAGAGACCATTCGGGACATCCGCTCAGGCCAGCGCTCGAGCTCGAACACCGTCCCCTGGTCCTACTCATCCTACCCCGTCGAGACTTCGTCCTTTCAAAGATGTTTCTCCTCCCAGGGGCATGAGATCCCCCCAAGACCTCCAAGACAACATAGACTACGGCCCTTCCTCCCGCTTGATCACCTCCGATAACGGCATTCTTCGAGAAAAAAAAAAGGCTTGACCACGATTCCAACACAATTCATACTTTCCGCACCACCCCCGTGGCCTCCCTACCATTCTTCATTGGGGATCGGCCTCGACCCTCCCCGTTCGTCTCGCCAGGCCCTTTCACACGACGGACAAGGCCGCCTCTCTCGCGAGACGACGAGGGGCAAGCGATCCCAACCCTCGGCTTTTTCTCCTCCGTAATTGGCGAACAGGTCTATCCACTCTCGCAATGGCCACTACTACTTGTACAGTAGACGGCTCGAGAGCGCCCGCGTCATTTCGGAGCGCCATGTCGTGATCGGTCGGGCCGGCCGGGCTGTGGCCGGAGGGACCTCTATGAGGAATACCCAATAGGAGGGTGAAGCCGGGGGGGGGGGGGATCTGAATATATGATGGATCTCATCATACCAAAACACATGCGAGAAAACCTTGCAACAGAGAGCCAGGGAGGGACGGGAAATCCCCACGGTGCGCCGTTTTCTTAGCAAGGAGCGTGGCGTGCGAAAGGGGAAGAGAGCATGGGCTTTTTCGATTTCAGGTCGCCGAGGGGCTGGGAGGTCGACGAGGCTGGCGCCCCTGATTGTCGGATCCTCCCGCCGAGCCCGCCCTTCACGCTCGCAATGTGCACAAGAGTCGCACAGAGCCAGTCCATGGGCTGGGAGAAAGAACTGGAAGTTGACTACTTTTTCGAGATGTTTGTGTGTAAATGGGGTTGCATTCCTCATGATTGTGTCCAACTCAATGCCTATCTATATCCCGTACAAGGGGGGGAAGACGGCCAAATTCTCACCAACTAACACAATCCCTCACTTCCAGATTCTGTCACACCACTCTCTTATGCTGAAGCTCCCATTCTCGGTTCCTCTTGTGCCATCAAACCATCCTTTCTTTCCAAGCTTGTCTTGACCTCACACCCACCCCTTGGGCACGTGCTCCGAAGTGTACCCCCCCGCATCGACGCTCGGCACCGGCGGGGAGTGAGAATCCTCAAACGCCGCTGCGGCAGCCTGCTCGGGCTTCACAATCTGGCTCTTCACCCTTGGCGCGTCACTGATGGAGGCTGATCTCTGCCCGGCCCTCCGCACTTCGGCGGAACTTTGCTCCATGACCAACGCTGCTTGAAGATTGTAGCGGGCAACGTGTAATGTCGGAGAGGTCGCAGGATGCTGGGACAGGTTTCGTGATGGCTGCGCTGCAAGGTACTCCGTATTCTGCACCTGGATACTGCGACTCTCGCCGGGCTTGGTTGGCTCCGACGCAGCGAGTTCAGCCGTCGGTGTACGGGGATTGTCGAACGGACTGTCCATCCCACTAGCGGCCCTGTGCGTGGTCGGGAAACGTCTGTTCTTCGCTGTCTGCAGAGAGCGGATGGGACGGATCGTTGCCACCGGCGGTGGTGGTTGGATGTTGCCTAGCTCGATGGGTGCTGCCCAGTTCGGCATGCTCCCGGCGACGGCGTCTGTGGCTTTGTTCCTCGATACGTCGTCAGCTCTTCTCCGATGCCTTCGACGGAAGCATATGAAGAGGAGGGCTGCGCAGGGCAGGAAAAGGAGCACGATGGCCAAAAATATGAATAACGGAATTGCCGATCTCGACCTGACAGCCATTATGGATGGTTGGGGTCTCCAGTCGTGTTGTTTGTTCTATGGTGAAGAGGGGACAGTATAGATGTGTTTGGGAATTTCAGGCTTTTCCATCGTATGAGCGATCTCAAGCAGTTGGTAGAAGAGACAGCTAGGCGTCAAGACATCGATGTCTCTTCGTGCTGCCTCTTTTCTTTGTGCCTTGTTCGACAGTCATTGTTAAGTGCAGAATATACACATATCACAAAGAGACATCACATGAACAAAAGGAGTTCGATAGTGGCACTCTTTGGCTGGAATTTCATTGTAATCTGCGTCAACATCCAAACCAGCCACAGCAGAAGGGAAACGGCTTGACAAAGGAAGGCTTTCACTTGCGGGACAAGTCATCACACCGTCATTTCGACAGGCTTGACTGTGATAGCTCCTAGCAGAAAGTCTAAGACCAGAATAATCTGAGTTGACAAGAGCGAGAGTTTCATGGGTAGTGGACTACAATTTAATCATATCAAAGTGAACCTGTTGGAAATTTACCTTCATATTAAGCAAGATACCTATTCCGTATTTAATGAGGGGATATGCTTAGAGCACAAACACAACAGGTATCCTCACTGGTGGGGGAAAGGGGCAAGGGGATAAAAGAGAAACTGGACTCACCGAGAAGAGGAGCACTCAACCGAACAGTTCATTGTCGGCCGTGATTGCAGGTTTCAACATTCCAGGACGGGGAATTGAAAGGACCGGCGCATTGATTTCGTCGAGATCCATTGGATCAGAAAGAGAAGTTGACAGTCGACGGCGAGGCATTCTACGAGTCTCCACGAGCTCGATTATGTAAGCCGGGGACAGATTCTCTTCTAGTGGGTACCAAAAGTGAGGATCAAAGAATGAATAGATGGTCCTGGCCGTTGCTTTGTGGATATCAATAGCTCTTCCCTGAACGTCCAAGAGTGTGAACAGGATGTTGGAAGGCTTGTCGCGGCAGTCTCTTTCCGTAGTCGTGGGGGTTCCGAGGTGGGGAAAGGCCGGTAGGCTCCCAAAGAGTTCGAGTTCCATGGCACAGCCAAGTTCTTCAAACTGTTGAGAGTCGAAGCATCGGGGTTCGGGCGCATTAAAGGTAATCTCACCGTTCTCCACACCTTTGACATGGAAGCCTGACAATTCTCGATCTATCCACACAGCGTGGGCGAGCTCATGGACCAAGGTGGTCGCAAACATGAAGTATTTGGCGTATTTTTCTTGGGTGGATATGGTGTCCCAGTCGTCTCTGGTCAAGTACCACAGCCATGAGCTGTTCAAGCCAGTTTGTGGGTAAGCATGATCGTAGCGAGCGTCAGGAATATGGGTGAGAAGGGCGCAAGTACCAGCTAGCTCGTCGTGGCCATCACATAGGCTTCGCGCGAAGTCGCCTGTCAAGATGGTGAAGCGATAGTCGGAGCATAGTCGTGTCAGACAGTTTCGTTCAAAGGATTCTGTTTCTTCTGGTAGGTACTCCCATGCATCCGTCAGCTCCTCGTACTCGAGGCCATCCGAGTCCACACACTGCTCCACCTCAGCGAACGCGATGCGTGCGAATTCTGGCATCAGATGTCTCATGAACAGTGTTGCAAGTCTGAGAGCCGGTTTCATGCGGTCGTATACAATTGGTGCGAGGTCATAGGCGTCCTTGTCCAGTTCTGCCAGGGGGAGGTACTTCGAAAAATCGGCATACCGAAAGGCCTCTTGGCGGAAGATGGTATGAATGCCAAAGGATGCCAGGTCAGAAGGTGGTGCTGCAGGTGCGGTTTGAGCGTCTTCCGCCACAAATTTGAACGTGACAGGCATGTTTGCGACTGAATGATGAGTTGGGATGTTGTCTGGCAACGTTGTATCGCCATGGATCCGTAGACCTCTTATAGGATGCTAGACGAGGCATAGCTCGAAGAACAAGGACGAAGTGGAGGCAGAGAAGGAAACAATGGCAGTCGCAGCAGCGTCCATTGACGAGATAGGGCAGAAAGACGGGTGAATCAAAGAGACGAAGCATGACAAAGACGAACAAAGTCCTTCAGCATAGTGAGACAAAGTGGCACTGCCGGTGAACAAAGCGCATATGAAGAAGCTTGAGATGGGGATCATGAACGATGAATGACCGATTGACTGGATGCAATTCAGGGGTTGAGATTCGAGCGTGTCACATGATAGGGAACCAGACCAATATAGGACTAGTCTCTATCAGGCCCCTTTCTGTGTTCTGCGATAGCCACAGCCTCTCTTCTTCATCAATCCAAGGCACTTTGCATTCTGTCAGTCACATTGGAGAGGCCCTGTCATGCGCGATCTGGCACCCGGAGCACGTCCGTGTCACACGTCCCTTGGTGACGCTATGTTTTCCCATTCGCGCCAAGAGTTGGCCAGACTCTATGGCTGAAGGGTATAAGTATCTCAACAGGCCCTCAGATGCGTTTGAAACTTGACACTCCGATATTTCACCCATCCTGCTAATCATGGCCGGGAACAGCCCTAGCATACCGCTCATCACAGCTGACGATGGTTGTAGCCTGGCCGGCTTCCAGCTGCTTCTCGACCATGACCGACCGAAACCAAAAGACAGTGCTCTCGAGTACAATGCCGAAGCCATGCAGGCCAGATTGGAGTACGCTCGTGCTTTGAAGCTAAGACGCAACATCACGCCAAGACAGCTTGCATTTGCGAAGAAATACAAGTCAGCTACTTCAAACGCCCTGCAAGCCAGCCAAGATCTCCGGGCCACGGCGCGGACACTTGTAGATGCATACCAAGCAGTGTTTGAGCTCGACAAGTGGGCCGCTAAAAACGAATTGGCATTTGTGATACCATCAGCGCTTGCTGTGGACCTCGTGAGAAATGCGCGCAAGCTGAAGCAGACCCAATTCTATTATCGATACGGAGATTATATCAAGCAACAACTGAAAGCAGGCAAAGACGTTGTCACGGAATCTCAGCAGAGTCATACACTAGATACGGATGCTCAGCGAGCGTACTGGACCGAGGTTCAGGAGAAGATTGTGGTGGAGGACTCACGCGATGGCCCCACGCCTGTCACAACTGCACTCTTTCTGGTCGCGGAAACAATGGGCATTGATTCATGTTGCCTGATCCGCGCCTGTAGAATGTATGTTGAGAGAGATCCGCGATTCCGTTCTGCACTGGATGAGATATTTGCAAGCAGCGCCATGGTCAAGATTGCATGCACTTTGTACAACGATCTCAAAGACCTTGAGTCCCTTTTCCCTGCGGAGGACGACGAGGATCCCCAGAGAGCCCGGGATATGAAAATTCTCAAGGCTATGATCACAGCTTGGACATACGCCTTCTTCACCTTCGAGGAGAGGCAGAAAGATCAACCTGAATCGTGGAGACCTACGGCGGAGGCCAAAAAGCTTTGGGAAGAGGCGATCAACCGGCAGCACACATTTGAGGCCCTTAGCAAGACACTCGAAATGCAAAAGAATAGCCTCGAAGAACAGCGCAGGTATGTTCAGACAGCTTTGTACGATATCGGACTTGAGAAGAGAACATCGCTGGAGCCGAACTCAGACGACGCCGAGGGTGGCACGAGACAAGATCCCAATTTCCACAGGCTGACGGCCAACCCGAAGAACAAGAAACTTATAGAGCGGCTTTTGGTTGGGGCACGCGAATCCTTGGAAGGTCGACTCAGAGCCCTCGAGGGGTGAGTTGCACTGAAGGATGGATGGAAATGTCAACAATGAGTGTGCCAAACAAGTCTTGCGATGAGAGATGGAATGGATTTCTTCTGCAGGCGCTTCAGACGCCTCAGACCACGACGAGCGGTTGACGAATGTCTCGACTTTGTTTCTCCATCATTTTCGAATCGACCTCTATGGCTGTGTATTCGGCCTGCCTCTAGAAACCCCTCCGAAAGGCATTCCCGGCTGCTCGAAGGTGGTCTGTCATTCGGTCGGAAATTCGGTACTTTTTGCCCTCGAGCATAGCGGCCAATTGTACATTACATAGGACAAAACTCTCTACCAGAGGCCGGATCCAGGGCAAATCTCAATCAATACCATCTCCTCTTGTGAAATCAAGCATCCAGTATCCAATGCCGTTTCGCTGTCTACACAGCCGAGGAGCACCGTACACCATGCCCAAGCGAGTCGAAAGAGGCATTTCCCCGAGACATCGAAGGGACACATACGCCCTCGAGAACCGAGATGGCCCTGGACGAGGTGGCGATGCTGGGAACACACAAGAATTTCTGCTTGATTGGCGGAGGCCATGCCGTCTCTTCAGCGTCCCCCATACACAAGCAGTATAGCATCGGTTCTAAGCCGGCTCGGTGACAGGGGTTCGCCCGCTAGCCTGGCGATTCAGCCCCAGTGTTAGCTCCGACGGAGCAATCAGGTCGCGTCGTCCAGAGCGCCTAGCGGCTTTAAACGCTGCACACTAACTAACCCCCCCCCCCACCCCCTGCCCCGTCTCAGCCTCGCGCCGCACACGGGGATGCACAGCTTCCATATGAATTATTGTTGCCACTCTGACCTTGACCTTGCATACGCAGCTGGTGTTCAGTCCGGAAGCTAGTTGTGCGCCTGATCCGCTCGCTGGGCCGTTGTTCGTCGTCGCCCTTCCCTTGAAACACTTGGGTGCCAATTGCTCTCGGTTCAAGAGTCAGGCAATTGTGCGCCTTGGAAGCTACAACCGAGTCTTTGGCGATAAACGGTCGGAAGAATGGCAGAGGTGCAAAGGGGCCAGAAGGCTATAAGAGGGCTGCCAATATGTCCCTCGTCACTTTCGGAGCAGTGCCAACTTTGGCCCTGTGTTTATCAAAACCTCCATTGTCACTGCCCAAAAACAGCATGATTCAGAATGCCGTCCCGCCGGTTCCATACCAAGTCTCGCCACGGATGTGCCAATTGCAAACAGAGAAGGATCAGGTGTGGTGAGGAGCGCCCTATCTGTGCCAACTGCAACAGACTCGGTGGGCGTTGTTCGTTTCTCGACTCGGATCCCAGTGGTGGACCGCTGGTGCAGTCCTCGGGCGAGAGCTCAAGCAGCACCCCCCAAGCATCAGCCAGCGCCCAGAGTCTCGAACACATGACCGACATGCTCGATCAGCATGATGAAGAACTCATCCGGCGCTGGTCAGAGGCCACCTGCTTCACCATGGGTGACCGGTACGAATTGGCTCCAATGTGGCAGGTGACAGTCCCGGGTCTTGCCTTGAGCCAGCCCTTTCTGAGGCACGGGGTGCTGGCATTGGCCGCGATGCATATTCGATGTACATCCCCACTTCCACTGCAGACAAAGTACCTCGACCTTGCAAGCCAACACCAGGACAGAGCGTTGGAGGGGTATATTCCGCAGCTTGAAAACATCACGGCGGAGAACTGTCACGCTCTCTTTGCGTTTTCCGCCCTGCTTCTTGCCATCCGTAAGTTTTCCTTTGGTCCCGGGGATTTTTGTGTGTTTTACTGACCTTTTACAGAGTACTCGTTTATCTCCGTGTTGGACAGCGAGATCGACGGCCACGAGTACATTGCCGAAGTCGCTTCCGTCTTCGAATACGTGATTGGCGCCACTGTGATTGCTTTTGAAGGCGAAGTATGGCTGCGGCAAGGCGGCATGCAACCTCTGATGGCACGGGGGACCGAGCCTCGAAGCATACTCTCCGAATTGATCGAGGGCCCGCAAAACGCGCTCGGCAGCCTCTTGTCGTACGTGCATCATCTGGGCGACAATCCCGGATTGAGCGTCGCGAGAGAAACAACAGCCAACATCCCCGTCTATGTGCGCAGCATCGAGATGTTGACGAACGCGTTCCCCACCCAAGACACCGAGCGTCGGATCTTTGATGACATGATCGGTTGGCCTCATTACGTCGGGGCCGATTTGGTTCGACTGCTCCGAGCTCAGGACCAAATGGCGCTCGCGATCCTGGCGCATTACGGCGTGGCTCTGGAGGCGTTTAGGGACATATGGTGGCTGGAGGGTGTAGGTGCCCGTCTGGTCCGGGCCATTGCGCGTGTGCTGCCTCTCGAATTCGGGCCACTGGTTCAATGGCCGCTAGAAAGGGTTTCGGTGGATCTATCACTGCAACACATGTACATAATGTGAAGGGGTGCCACACATCAGCGAAGGGGGAGGCCGAGGACTGTGAGTGGCGCAGGCTGCGCTGGGAACTTGGTACGTTGCAGTCGGAAGCGAGGCACCGACGTTGGTGCGGGGAAGACACCACCACCACCGCCCCTCGATCCTCACGCCTCCAGAGACTGAGACTGAGATTCGGATCCAGATCTTGGTCACATAACCATCAACCCCTCATACTCGAGTTTCTTGTACATTGTCCCATCCTACATCTGGCGCGTGGCGGGCTTCCCCGACAAGAAGCTCGACACAAAAAAACCATGGTGTCCTCCACCCCATATCTCGACGCCCTACGCAAAGACGGCTTTGTCAAGATCCCGCATCTGCTGCCACCACACGTCGTGTTGGCGCTAAAAGCATCTTGCAAGTACACCACCGAGCGGGCAAGGAACGGTAAATGGCCATACGTGCGCACCGTGCCCAAGCAATACCCACCCTGGCAGGAATGGCAACCAGGCGACAACATATGGGGCGTCCAGCATTTGCTTCACCCGGACATGAACGTCCGAGACACTTTCGCCGAAGTCTACTTTTCGGACGAGATCCTCGACGTGGTCAAAGAGCTCGTCGGTCTCAAGGGCGACCCGGAAGGCGACGACAAGCTTGTGATGGAACTGTTCAATCTCCTGGTCAGTCCTGCCGACCAGGTTGACTTTGAGCTTCGCTGGCATCGAGACGACATTCGGCCCGACGTGACGCCTGAAGAAGAAGAGAGACAGCTCAAGGATAAAAGCGCCGAGGGTCAACAGTTACATGCGCAGTATAACATTGCGCTTTTTGAAGACGCATCTCTCATTGTGGTACCGGGCAGTCATCGGCGAGTAAGGACCGAGACGGAGAGAGAAGCAGCCCCCTACGAGCCAAATCTACCAGGCCAACTCCTGGTCGAATTGCAGCCTGGAGACGCGGTCTTTTACGACAGCAACATCCTTCATCGAGGTGTCTACAAGGGCATCGACACGTCCAAGGAGCTGGGTCGGATGACGTTGCACGGATCCGTGGGATTGGCAGGCCATGGAACCGAGCGTGCCCGACAAGTCTTGCAGCATGCCGTTGGAGACTGGGTCGACAGAGCGCAGTTCTCGATCGAGGGACGCAAGGGCGAAAGGGCCGAGGCCATGCGGAAAAGATTGGTGGAGATGGGTAGTGGGAAGGATCTCGGGTATTCGCTGTTGGGATGAGGATCCGAGACTGTCGTAACGGCTTCATCATCGAGCGGCATCCCTGTGAGGGTTCAACTGGTCCTTTATCGGCTCTTGCAAAGAAGTTCTGAAAGCGTCCGCATCGTTCAGTAGGATGGCACCTTTCGTACCAGTTGCTCCTGCGTTGAAAGCTTCTCGTACGAACCGTCTTTCTCAAGATTCTCGCTCAATGTTTGTTCTCTTGATATTCTCAGAAGCTTGATACTCCCATAGGTCGAGAACAGAAGCATTATGCTTCCACCATGTCAGCAGGAAGAATCTAATCAAAGCGATACGACCTACAAGATTATACCCGTGACTGCATTCAAAGCATAGCTGCAGTAAAGCCCACCTATACCCACGCTCGTAAATAGATGCGTTATCAACTCGCCCGTCAGTGGGATATCATGCTTGACATCGAATGCATATGTTTGGCGGAGGTGATGCAAGTGTATGTTCAAAGAAACAAGGACACCGGTGGCGACCACCCAGTCGAGCAGAGTGAAAACTTCAAAGGCAAGATGGACCAGCTGTTCTATGGTCGAGCGTCGAAGATCATGAGTCCACCAGCGAAGGCAAGAAATGACCAGTGTCCAGCCAAACTAAGCAATGTTCTGCATTCAGCATGCGAATCGTGTAGAACTCACACTCTAGATGGGATTGGCACTTACCGACCACCAAACAACGCCATACGCAAACTCGGCGCCGAAACAAACAGCAGAAAAGGCCGCAAGGATCAGAGCAATGAAGCTTAGGACAAGCTGGAGTACCGCGACGGCGGTGAGGATAGCTGGACGCACCGGAACTGTCATGGTGGCCAAAGACGACTTGGACGGCAACAGCGGCTGAATTACTTCTTACCAGCCAACATGATGTTTCTCTGGCCTTTAAAGCTTTGCGAGGCAATTGCTTACGCCGGCTAAGGTGGAGCGTGGCCGCATCAGCCTGTCGTCATGGTATGGACACTGACGGATTACAGTCGTCCGAGACTCTTGAGCGGATTCTTCCAGGCCTCGAGGCTGTGCAAAGCGTACATCGTATTCGGTTAGAAAATGCCAGGGGATCCGGCCTCGCAACAATTGCCCACTGGGCTGCTTCGTACAACAAGTCTGCGGGAGTCTTTGTCCGCTATGTTGGATGAATAGATAGCTCGGCTGCAAACGAGCCCTACTTCCAAGAGGCTCCTGAAGCAGGGACTGCGTGCATGTCAGGGTGAAAAGCGCCACAGGCTGCCTAACTTGCAGTGGTTTTGTCGAAGGCATACATACAAGTAGACTGGACTATGCCCTCGCTGTTGGATTTCTTCAGAACGCGGTCGAAGGCAACGCAACCGAGAGCCGAGTTGAGAGTCTCGTAACATGGTAACATAATGCCGCTGCACAAATCATGTACAATTAGATGAGTAGAGTACCGAAGCACGGAGTGGAGATGTGTGTGCCGTGGTTTGCCATGTGTGCCATGTGCCTCTCTTTCTGGAATTTGTTTCGTTGCCGTCGCAGGTGCTATACTTACCCGTAGCCGCTACTGCAGAGCACTCCGCTGTCATAATGCCCGGGTCGCCTGCCCGCAGTCTCCCACCTACTAGACTTGACGACTCGACGACTTCACTCACTTGACTACCTTGTCTACCACCAAGACGAATGAACCACAGAGTGTCATCCAGATGTGTCTAGGTTGCTCTTCGATATAAGTTGTCGATTACTCCCACATCACCTCCAGCGTCCCAAAATGGCCGCAGACTTGTCTGCCACCAAACTCAACGCAGACAGCCATGTCCTGCTGGTAATGCACCCCACTGATCGGGCACCGTATGCAAAGTCAAGTGTATCTGACGGTGCGACGACAGGACCAACCACTCCTCCGCCTCCCCCATGAACTCGTCAAACGCAATTTCAGAAATACCCAACGTTATGTGGAGCGAGAGAGAGACTACATCCTTCCCGCCCTCAAGGATACCGCAAATGCTGCACTCAGCTCGTCACAAACCACCGAGCAGACGCTGGCCTCCCTCGATGCCATGATTCAAAGGATGCAGAACTTCAAACGCAAGTTGGAAAAACTACACATCGAGGAAGAGGCTCTTCATGACCATTCGGCCAAGCGAATCAAGCACTTACAAGACTTATACGACATTCCTTCCCTGGTGGACGTCAAATACGACCAGTGGTCACGAGCTCGTCTCGACCGCCTCATTGTCGATTACCTTCTCCGCTCAGGCTACTCAAAAACAGCCATCTCACTCGCTGAGACCAAGCAGATCTCTCACCTGATTGACCTTGACACATTCGTTACATGCCATAAGATTGCTTCGTCACTCACCCGCGGCGAAACCAGGGACGCCATGGCCTGGATAAACGAGAACAAAAACTCCCTCAAGAAACTCGTCACAGCGCCCCACAAAACCACTGACCTCGAATTTGAACTCCGGTTCCAACAATTTATTGAACTGGTCCGCGCAGGGACAACCGCAAAGAAAATGGAGGCGAGAGTCCATGCCCAACAGTACCTGACGCCGCATATCGCGTCCCGAAAAGTGTCGATCATGCAAGCAGCTGGTCTATTGGTGCAGTCACCGGACACAACTACCGAGCCATATCGCACACTGTTTGCCCCATCGCGGTGGCACCACTTATCCAACTTGTTTGTCGAAACCCACCACACCTTGCTGTCCCTACCAATTCAGCCACTGCTTCACGTCGCACTGTCAGCGGGTCTCTCAGCATTGAAAACTCCTGCATGCCACAGTGCCTATAACCCTGCCAGCTCTTCAACGCCGGGTCACGCTCGTATCGCGACGAATTCCTCTTTGTGTCCGATCTGCAGCATGGAGCTGAACGAACTGGCGCGCGATGTCCCCTACGCACACCACACTACTAGCTCTGTTGAACCGGATCCTGTTGTCTTACCCAACGGGCGCATCTACGGCCGTGAACGGCTGGAAGAGTTGCAGCGAAAACTCGTCATGGCTGGCGGTGGCGGACTTGGTGGCGAAGGCGGCATGCACGAGGTACAGATTGGCAAGGAAGGGGAAGTGAGAGATCCCACGACTGGTCAAAGTTTCACTTGGGATCAGGTTAAGAAGGTTTATATTATGTGATGGAACAGGTGTCTGGGAGAAAATGGTCACAAATAGCACTATAAGCTGCTAAGGACTGGATTGCAAATAGGGGGCAATGCTCTACCTCAAAAGATAATGGGATGTTATCTAACAGACGCCGAGGATCTCAACTTGTGCTACCACTCTACCCGAGGGCAGACTTGCCATCACCCTACCCAAGGCCTACACTGATTCCATGGCAGGAGACAGCACGATCTTGGTCTCTTCTCTGAGAGGAAAACCACCTCCAACCATAGCCTCGAATACCGGAAGGCAACCAGAAGGAAGGAGACCTGAACCAGCTCAAAGAGGACCAGAGGGAGAAAAGAGTTGGAGGGAAGGGACGAGCCCTAGAGGCATCGACTACAAGATGTAGTACAATATACTCCGATCTTCGCTGAACCCTCGCCAGGCCTGTTACTTGGGTCATGGTCATGGTCCGTGGACAACGCAGCTGGTGGAGCGACAGGAATGAAATGACGAGGAGGAAATGAGATAATGACCAATTCGAATGAAAGCTGCTGGTGGATAGTTTCTCGACTTGTCTAGCCAGCCACCTAGGTATGCTATTTAATCAGTCAACTTGTCGAGCGTCCGATCAATCAGCCCATCGTGGCACCTTTGGAAAGACAGAATGAATACCTCCTTTATACTCCGACTCCGGCACACAGCACTCAACGCTCAGCACTCGGCTCTACTCTCCCCCTCCACCTGCACACTGGCTTCGACGGCGTCGGGGAAGGGGAGGAGGAGAACAAAGGAGATAGGAACAAGGGGAAGTAAAGAGAGGGAAGAACCAGGGGAATATAGATGCCATCACATCATCCACGCCCTCACCCTCCCTCACTCACATCCACACCCCATCGCCGCAGCAGCAGTAGCAGTAGCAGCAAGCAAAGCGGTGGATGGTGGATGGGTCATTCGACACACGGGACCTAGGTAAGTAGGGAGATAGGTGGGTAGGTTCTGTAGCAGGCAAGCAAGAAATAAAGAAGACTAGCACAGAACTCGTTTCTCATCTCGATTCATTCATTATTCTCAAACCAATACCTCCGTGCCCGTGTGTACGCCCCGTGAGCATTAGCATGAGCATGACTACGACCGTGTTGCGAGGAACCACCACCACCACCACTATCTACCAGCAGGAACAAAATAGAGCACAACGAAGGAAGTAAGAAACAAACAAAACATTAAGAACAAGATTGCGTGCCTTTTGGCCCTGATGCCCCGATGCTCCGATGCCCTGCTGGCCTCATCCAGGACAAGGCCCCTACTCAACCCTCAACCTCAAACTCAGACTCAGACTTCAGTACTTGCTCTGTCCACCACATCAAAGTCGTCACCGTGCATTGCCATGCTAATCACCACAGAAAACTGACATTGCAGACATAGGAAAAAGGTGGTAGAACCGACGCCTGATACAATCCAGATGATAAGGACCCTCGACTTTTTTTTTTGGTGGTTGGAGAGCAAAGGTGCAAGCGACAAGGAAAACCGTGATCAAGGGAAGATGCGCCAAAGTCGTCGTTGATTCGTTCTCAATTTATCCCCCCATCGCTCGAGCACAGCCTCAACGTCCTCTATGACGCTGTGGCCGCTGCCGCTTGTCTCGTGGGGGTCGTTGCGTTCAATCCGGACGCCGCAGAGGTAGAGGCAGTGGGGCCTGGAGTGCTGGACTGATCTCGTCTCCTGACCGAGCCTCGGAGGCTCATGCTCAAGCCGAGATTCCTGTGCCCGTGGCTGATTGACGAGGCATGGCGGTGACTGTGACTCAGGGTCGAGACATCGTGTTTGCCTGCAATAACGATATCAGTAACCGGGTTCGACAAAGTGCATTCATTAGGGGGGGACAAAGGACGTACCATCACAACATGCCCTCACATTCTCCAGTCCTCCATTCCACGCCGCCTCCTCCTGCCTCAGCATCTCCCTCCTCAACTCCTCAGCAGAATCCTTCCGCCCATCGCTAACAACGCTGGCATCGTAGATACTCCCCCCTTCACTCCTTGTGCCGCTAGGGCGTGTAGGAGTGTTGACCGTCGCCTCGCTCACTCTAGGCGTCCGTCCAGTCACTGACCCCAGCATACGCGAAAACCGACTCACGCTGCTAGCGCGAACTGTGCGATCTTTGTCAGGTTCTTGAGACTGTTCCACCCGACTTCGCCGCACTGTGGAGTTTGGAGCGGTGCGGCTCGCCGTGGAGTCCTGAGGGACACGCGTGGTACTGCTGGCTGCCATCGCGCCGGGCGGGAGCTGTTGGCGCTGGGTCCCCGAGTTACGGTGGGAGCCTCGCGTTGTACGGGAGTTGTAGCTTGAGAGACTCATTCGGCTATTGCTTGGAATCAAGGTAGCTCCATAACCGGCGCCATTCACGTTGAACTCTTCCAAGTCATCTCGAGTAATTTCATTCCCACCGGCTGCATATTGACTGTTCTCCTCACCGCGGAGCAGTAAGTAATTGAGTGCATTGAACCAGGTCTCATGTCGCTGGCCGGTGCTCGCGGTAAACCTGACGCGTCTCCCGGGGGTGATCACCTCGAGGCTTTTCCGATGCAGTCCCGGCGGCATGGGATTGTCGTCAGGAACGACATGAACGCTTTCTATGAGCACGCTCTTTGCCCTCAACTCACTCCTGCCGGCTGTTTGGGGGTCCTGGTCCGACCAGTAAAGAGTTTTGGTGTAAGGATGCACCCAGAAATACCGGCGATGCCGGGTCTCGGACATTTCAGACCGCCCGGCCTTTCGTGTGTATTTCCACAGGAATTCACCGATCATGGTCTGCGTGATGGCTTGAATGATTCTTGGGTCGGTACTAAAATTGTGAGCAGAGACTTGTCCTGTCTGGTGCATGTTGAAGCGTTCATCTATTTCCGAGGCGAACGAGGAAACTGAGGAACGACGCGATATCTGAGAAGTGACAGTCCCACGCTGTGTACGGCTGACATTGGACGTCCGTGGCTGATTGCTGTCGCGAGTGGGAGACCGCACAGACTCTCCTGGAGTGCGTGGCCGACGCATTGCAGAGGCGGGGAAAGCTGGTGGGCCCATAACCGTTGATGTCTGACCTGAACCGCCGAGTTCTTTGGTGGGCGATGCTACCCGGCTGCTGGCCTTAGCGATCACTTCCTTATGATCAGCTGGGAGAGGCGGATGTGATGCTGCGCTGGATACTCGCTGACTTGACGCGCTAGACGGTCGCTTGATGGGAGATGGGGCTGAAACTGGCGCCGTGGCAGTGAACTCTGGGCCTGATTTGATCGTGAGAGGTGCATTCGCATCACTCATCAAAGCTCCCTCCGTTGGAGTCAACGGGCTGAGGGGACTGGTGACATTCTGTGCGGACTCGCCGTTTGGTGGAAGTGTTATGGGGACTGCAGTCTTAGGGCGAAGAGCCTCGTCGATCTCTTCAGCTGTAAGAAGCGTTTGAGAGCCACGGTCATGATTGGAGGTGGGGGGCGGTCGTTCTTCCTGCGCCGTTTTTTTCATTTCTGATCCCAATGTCCCCTGGGGTTGACCCCTGTTGCCGGACACATCTTTCAAAGGAGCACCTTCCTCAGCAAGAGGCTCTTTGACCGTTCTCTCTGGCTCACTCGTCTCATCCTCTGCTATTGTGGGAACTTGCGTCTCCTTGGATTTCGCAAAGCCCAAAGCAGCTGCAGCAGATGCGAGAAGCCCCGTTCCAACGACGCGTTCTGCCGTTCGTGGACGGTCTGGAAGATCATCAGCTTGCGTTGAAGCCGAGACGCCATTGAAGGTCGGTTTAGCGGGAGACTGCACGGGCTCAGTTGTTTGAGACTGAATGGCAGAGAAGGTGTATGGCTCGGCTTGCGTCGGCTGAGGGGTTTCTGGAGACACTGGCGTGGTATCATGCATTACCAGACCTGAGAATTCGAACCTTGTGGGTGTCCGCGGCTGAGTCGCAGCATCGACCTCGGAGTGAATCATTTCTGGACTCTGGGCCTCATCCCAGACAGTTTTCGGAGGCGTGATGAACGCAGTGTTCCTAATCGGACTTTCTTGTAATCCTCTCTGCGGAGTGTACTGCGTGCTGTGGTCGATATGCTTGACTGGTGAGGTTGGCACTGTCGGAGGCAATGGGAAGTCAGAGGGCAATGGCGAATGCGCCCTCTCGCTCGAGGGAGAAGGTGTCTCCTCAACAGGCTCTTCTGCACGGCCACTCTGGTCAGGTAGATCTCGTTCTGGCTCCCATGAATCAGTCATCGTTGCAGCATCGACCATAGCAGCCCTGACAGCGCTTTTTGGTGTCTCTTGCTGTGTAAGCTGTCTAATTGGCGTATAAACAGGGATGCCCGGTGTAGATGCGACGGAGGCTAAGCTGGCTCTCCCAGGAGTTCCAAAACTCGCTGTCTCGTCGAGCCCACCTAACTCTGCAAACAGACTCTGCTCAGCAGCGGGTGGGCTACGGTCACTGGTGACCGTTGCGGGAGAGTCTTGAGACAGAGTGTCCGAGTACAGATTAGTCGGTGTGCTGTCGGTTGGAACTCTGGATTGGCGAGCGAATGATTGCCGTCCATTTCTAAGTCGGAATTTGTGAGTTTGTGTCACCACCGGCGTTTTGAGCGCTTCTTCCTCTTCTCCAGCAGAGGTGGAAGCGGTGCTAATGAATGACTGACGATCTCCGGCAGGCTTGAACGTGAGACTGGGTCTTGGACGACGAGAAGAACCTGCCCCTCGACTATGCGAGGCTGTATCTTCTGTCTCGGTGAGGTCGTCTGTACTGTCGCCGGCCAGACTTTCCGCACCCGTTTGGAAATCCTCACTCTCCGTCGCATGTCTCTCATCTGCTGTTTCAAAATTGCCTTCTGTCTCGTTCGCCGTTTGGTATGCATCGCTTGCATCAGTAATGCCTTCACCGGCAGACGGCACGGCCAAGTGTTTCTGACTGACGGGACGACTTGGCGTTTCGACCGCATGATCTTCCCAGTCATCGTCCTCGAGTTCCACATCGGTCCGCGCCCTTCGGCTGCCGCCCAGCATATCAGGACGGGCTGGTTTCTTGAAAGGGTCAGGTTTGGTCTTTTGGCGTTTGCTTGCACTACCCAAAGAACCGTCTCCCCGTCGTTGCTCAAGCTCATCTCGGGCATCTTGAAGCATGCGTTTGAGTTCAATCTTTTCAGTCTTTTCACGATGGATGTTGTTCTTGAGATTTTGGATCATCCGATGGGCGTGGTGTAGAGAGCTACGTAATGTTTCCGATTCCAAAGCTCCTGGCCTTGGAGTAGCCTTAGTAGGGGATGGAGGTGGTGAATGTTCTAGAGCTTCAAGGTCCCTCAGGTCCTCTTCATGCTCTTGATTCGCAGGAGCCGCATCCGGTTGAGCGCCGCGCAGGCGAGCAGCAACAGCTCGGGCGAGCTCCTGGTTTTGTGCCGTCAACTCGTCAATCTTGTGCTGTAACGATGACCTCTCGCTGTCGCCCAAATCTATTGTGCGTTTCAGAGTATGCAGCTCGGAATCATGAGCTTTTTTGGCAGTGGCATGATCAGTGGTTAACTTTTCATGGGCGGCTCTCACTTCATCCATTTCACTTTGTATCCGGCTTTTCTCGGCGGTTGTGGCGGCTAAACTTGCAGTGAGCCGCTTTTCGCGGTCGGCAGCTTCACGGGCAGCTGCGAGCAACTCGTGGGTTTGGGTCTCGAGATTCCAGTTCTCGTCCTTGTACTTTTGTTCGCTCTCGTCCAAGGCTCGCAGACGCTGCGAGAAAAGAGCAGCATCTTTCTCCAGACGGTCACGTTCGGACTTGACCTCCTTCAACAGCTCATCTCGTTCCGCCACGGCACTTTGTAGTTGTCGAACCTGGGCGAGGAGAGAGGTGCTGATATCGGCCGCAAACTGCAAGTCATCGCCCCGATTGCTCGGCTGATTGCGCTGGCGCCGGCTAGGGGCCATAACTTTTGAAGGAGATGCTGTCGCCTGGCTCGAGTAGATGGCCTGCTCCATGCCGGGCTTCTCTTCTGCGCTGACAGCTCTGGATTTCGGGCCCAGCAGTGCCCGCGCAATCTCTTTGCCCACGTCATTATGTTCCTTTTCTAGATCAGCCAGTCTTTGCCGCAACTCGGGTGTAATCTCCGCCTCGCCTTGCTGTTCTTCCACTTCGCGCAGCTTGTCATTGAGTTCTGACTGCTGCATCAAGAGAGACTCGCCCAGCTTCTGCGCGTCATGCAAGCGTCGCTCGGTTTCAGCAAGGTGCGCCATGAGGCTCCGTTTGACCTGAGAAGGGGACAAGCTTGCGCCCATCGCTATGGACTCGGGGTCGACCAGGCTGGAGTAGCGGTGGCCGTGGAATGACTGACGGGACTGGCCATCGTCGACAAAAGGATCTGCGGAGTCGTCCATTGACGTGTGTAGACCATAGTTGAGAGAGTCGTCGCCAGGCACTACGTCCGCAGTGGCCATGGCAGGCAAAGGTGAAACGGGGTGAGACAAGGACAACGCGAGTGTCGATTATTGGCAGTGCATTTGTGCAGTTGACGTCGGTCACATCCAGGCACGGGGGACAATAGTTGGGCGACCTGGTGCTGGGAACGAGGGGACAATGCAATCGCGGCTTGATTCACAATCAGAGACAGAGGGGTCCTCGCGGTGACGGTGACGAGTGCGAGCCCAGTGTTTTTGTCGGCTTGTCAACACAGAAAATGCGGACTCGGTCAGGGCGAGTTGCGGTGATTGGCCAGGCGCTATTGACGCGTTTTCGCTCTGGAAGACCAACAAGTGGAGCTTCACAAAAACCTGTTCTCAGTGCTCACCCAGGCAGTGACACGTGGAAGCCATCCAGGCCAAACAAACAATAATATGATGGTAGCGAGCGTAAGGATAGTGCTGGTGGGCGATGATGATGACGGTGGGAGTGGTGATAAATGGGTCAGTGAGGAGCTCAGGTGCTTCCTTGGAGCTGAATCTCAATGTGCCGATGCCGAGTTCAACTCGTCGCTGGTGGAGCTCGGCTGCTGCAGGTCGTGCATTCGAAGTTCTACAAAATGGCACAAATCACACGTACCAGAGAAAAGCTACCTTTTAGCTGCAGGCGAGCACGACTCGGCCTGGACCGACGGACAAGTTTCTCTGGACGCATTGGAATCGAGAAATGCTCGAGTTGCAACATCTCAACATTTCATATTGAATTCAGGCACACGGGCCCTGTCACGCCGCAGAGATGCCTGTCGACTATACAATATGTACAAAATTCCCATTCAAGGGCTTCTATGAACATGATCCGCCCCCCAATATTAGCTTTCTGTACAATCATCGTGGCGGTGTGATAACCATCACAATGATGGCCCCCACACAATCAATTATCGCGGCGGTATCGAATATTATGGACTGTGTTGCCGCATTATTGAGTACAAGGAGCAATGCTGGCTCCTCCCGCCGGTTGGGGTATTTTGTCCATCGGGAGGACATGTTGGAAGACAGGTGGTGACTTGGCTCATGAGAACCTCTGGCTCAATGGTTCCTTTTCCCTGAGCCCACCTATCCGTTCGAGGTCGAGAGATTGAAATCGCTCGCCGTCTTCCTTCTGATAAGGTGGCAGATTCTCCTGGGTGAGCGGCTCCATGCCGACACTTCCCGAATCGGTAACGTGGACCACGACGACACGTCCTTTCTGCAGGCCAGACTTGCCCTCTTCGTCAGGGAAGGTGATGTGGATTTCTGGGACTGCTGCGGATGGAGGGCTCGAAGAGTTGTGGATCAAGTTCATCTTTTCATCGTAAACAAAAATGGACTCGTTCTTGTCCTGGCGACCGAAATGGCTGATGGATGGAGAGCGATGATGCGACGTCTGGTGGTGAGTCGGCAGTAGTGTCCCTCGCTGGCTGGCCAGTCGTCGCCGACGAAGGTAGACGAGGGCCAGGGAACACAGGGCAGCCATGAGCACGAGGGTAAAGAGGACAAACAGTAGCTGATTCATGGAATATGGTGGTCCGCCGTCCGTGAAGTCGGATCCATCACGACGTAGAAGATATGCGTATTTTAATGAGCCCATGACCCCAGCTCTGCAGTCGTCGTAGGCTCTTGAGGCGTCCTTCGAGGACGCAGACGAATATAGATCTAGCTATGAGGCTGAGGTGAGGGCCAGTCGGAGATCGGAGTCTGGCACTGCGATGGGAATGCGGGATGGATTTGGGGGCCGCGGGCTGATCGTGAGCTTCTTAAGAGCGTCGAGGTCTCAGATCAATCGTCCTTTGTCAGGCTGGGAGGTGTAGAAACTGCTGATAAGAGTCCGAAAGCCAATGCAGAGTCTGCAGGAAGTCCGAGCAGCACGTCAACGCGGGCACGGCCTTTTTGGCACCAGGCGGAAGCAACCTTATCTCCAACACTGTGAGCTAGCGGGTAGATTGGGAAAGAACGGACGGCGAGGATCCAGCAAAAGAGTGAAGCTGGATGCTGCCAACAAGCGTAAAGCAGAGTGCAAGAAAAGAGAGGGAGGAGAGGATTGTGTAGAGCACCAAACTTCGAGAAGAGTTGTTGATGGTAGAGAGGGAGCGACTAGCAGATGATAATATTATTGACAAAGGCCGCCTGGCTTGCTGGGTGATGTCGATGGAGCAGCGAGTTCCACTGCGCAGATCAAGCCTGACACTCAATTTGCCGGGTTCTGGCCTGTGACAGCGAGTCGAAGAGAGTCTCAGCGCCCCGCCCACAACCGCCCAAGCCATTTACAGGGCACATGCTGGGCGCAGGCTGGGCCTTTGCAAGCCACAGTGCCGCCCAAACGGTCACCAGCATCCACAGCCTGGCCGGGGTTCGGAGCACCGATGGCACCAGAGGCCACTCGCCGCTTACCCTGTGGTGGATCGACGCTGCCAATCAACAGCCCCAATCTCGCTGGGCGCCTTGACTGGGCCAATAGGGCCCAGGTCCCGGGTGGAGGGAGCCACGTAAGGGCCAGCAAAGGTCGGCGCACGGAGCTTAGAGCTACGATCCATCTCAGTGGCTAGGCGTGGGAGGCTTGGAAATGGCAATCCATCAACAAACAAATCACACTCGTTGCCACTTGCTCTTCATTTCCAACTGTGAGATTATCCATCCTTTTCTCCCTGGCTTCCTCTCTCGTGAAACAACTTGAAGGAACCACGGAAAGCAACGATTCCACGAGTATATAAGTCCTCATCCTTGCCACCATTTTCAGAGAATTTCGATGGCTCCTGTAAGCGATATGTTCAAGCTCGGTTGTTCTCCCGGGCCCTCTCACGGCAACGCCCCTTGGCTGCCTCAGCGCGCATAAAGCAAACTCAGGATGAGTGTCCAGTGTCCAGTGCCCTTGAGCTTTAGGATCCACGGAAGCAGAGCTAGGATGTACCAACGGATATCGACATGTCCCAGTCTATATCTCTAGCTCGCTGCTGGGACTGAGGGAATACATCTAGGTGGGAGATACCGGTACCTAGCACACAAACTCTGGCCCTCATATCTCTGGTGGCTCATTCTGCTTGTTTGCATGAAAGACCATCCCAAGTAGCTAAGCCTGCCCTGCTGCACGCACCAATAGCTACTGTACGCTGCCAGAGTGCTCTCGGTCCGCCTGTCCAAGCAGTGACCGTCACTCTCTTGCCACGTCACCATATTCTGCCGTTTCGTGTCTTTTGTTCCGGGGCAGGGCAAAATCCTCCGCACATGGCCAGTCAGTGTAGTTTTGCATAATGAATCAGCCTGGAAGGATCCAACCAAGAGAAATCAAACAACAGAGGAGAGGGGAAGAGCATGGAGACAGAACCCCATCTGATTGTCCCCCGTGTCATCTCTGAGTCAGCTCATCAGGCTACAGCTGGGTGAACTGATGCTACTGGCGACCTCAGGACCTACTTGATACTTCCCACATGGGAGTTGTTGAGAGAAGAATCATGTGGAACCACCCAAAGCAGTCAGATGCACGCACAGGGTTGTGCCGTGAAACCACCAGAAAATCCAGAAAGGGCTCAAAACAATTACTACCTACAAGTAGGCACAGTTGGCTTGGACACGTCGTAGCAGCATTACCGAGAAGCAGTAGGAGGCTGACTCCCTTGGCTCCCTCCCCCTTGCAGTGCTGCGACTTTGGGTTTCTGGACGTGTTGGCGGTCAGCCTAAACTCTTTGGGTCTTTCCGAAGAGCGCTGGGAGTAGTCGCCCTCAAGGTTGGAGGCATTTCTGGGTGGTGGCCCCCGATTTGTTGGCAGATGGGCAAGCACCCAGAGGCTCCAGACAAAGAACCCATGGGCCATCAGCAAGGCAAGCCACCCGAAGACGCCAAACGGCAGAGGCCCACTGCAGTGGCACCTAGAACTTGGAGAAGCAGCTGTGTTGGGCTTAGGAATGCCCCGATTCTGAACGGGTTCTAGCCTAGTGGGTGCCTAGCCCTTCTGTCGATCTGGGGTGGTGCCGCCTATCTCCCCTGCGGCCCTGCCTTGCCCTGCGCATCATCCAAACGGCTAGGCCTAACTCTCTCGACCGTCACCCGCTGGAAACTCTTTGTTCCATCATCCGCTCAACTTTTCTGATACATCATCTTTGGCCCTTCACCGGTACCTGTTTGCCAGTCTTCTTCGTGTAACCCGTTGTGCTGCACCTTGATCGTTTCTTCCTCTTCGTTTCTTGCAGCCCAGATTTATCCCTTCCTTGTTAGCAGGCCCTCTTTTTCTCCTTGGATTCTGTTTGCCCTTGCTCCACCCTCCAACCCGCATCCGAATATCTCAGGTCGTCTCCCTCCCTCACCTGCGCCCGCCACCCCACCCGAATTTGCGACTCGCCTTGCACAAACCCGGCGACGCAGCATTCCACAACTTCCACCCCTCGTCCCGTCATATTTTCCATCCCTTGCTCCATGCGCGCAAGCCGTGGTCGAGGCGCATGTCTGCTGGCAGATATTCCCTCGCCCGTGTCCTGCGGCTACCCGTCTACGGCGCCATCAGGCTCAGGCCTTGATTTCTCATTTGCCCTGCGGCTGCCTGCTGGGAGAATTGTACCATTGCTTTGCTGGCCAACGAAGGGGTACATGACTCTGCCAAACCTTGCTTCGTACCGATCACATCTCCTCCTTCTTTAATTTCTCGGCCTCCTTCCTTTTCTCCTCCTTGTATCTACAACGGGGTATATTATAATTTCCCGCGGGTTGGTGTACATCCTCTCCCTGCACATTCACAAATATTGGTACACATCCGCCCCTCTTGTCCCCCGGGATCATATTATCTGCACGCACAAGCCCCAGCTGACTCTACTGCTGTCGATAGTCGATAAACTACTTCCTTTCCCTTTTCCTTGCTGGTCCAGGACGTCCAGTTCATATCCTCAAGAACCCCTCTCCAGACCAACAGGCCCTCTGCACATTTCACCCCGCCACGCACACTTCGCCGACCGACCAGCTTGTCCCTTTGTTCATACTTTGAACTGCAAAATGACCATGATGGAGACCGGAGCCACACTAGACACGGTGAGTGTTCTTGGGGATCGAACAGAAGTGGGGGCTGATGACTGCGTGTCAGGCGAGAAACGGCCGAGTCGCAGCATTTGAACGGATTCCATCCTCCAAACAGCCTCTTGGGCAGGGCGCCGATTACGAACTGGGAAAGAGTGCTTGGAATGCTTCAAGTCGAATATGGGGCACCAGCAAGTCCTTACTCGAGGCCCGCGTTGATAGCGAGCCGATAAGGCGTATGTTGGGGCCTCGCGAGGCTGACATGTCTACTGACCGTTCGCTAGCATCCCCCATCCGTCAAGGCTCTGTCTCAAGTTATGGTCAATCCAAGACCGCCTCATCTTCGTTACTGACGTCCATCGACCTCAACGATGAAAATGCCTCCCAGTCGAAGATGCCCTGGGCCCAGACCTCGTCCACTATCGGCTTTCCGTCAAGACAGAGAGGCCAACCTCTGTCGCCAACCAAGCAGAGACAGAACCAGATGCTGGATTTCGCCGTCAGCGGGAACAATGGTGGTCCGCAGGAATCGAGCTTGTTTGCGGGCAGTGCTCCCGACGTGGAAGAAACTTCGTTCGATGGACCACATCTCCGCCGCGCCATCACAGCCGGCCCTCGTGTCCTCCCTTCTCCCAGCCGAGCCTCCACTTTTGGCCGTAACCAGGTCGATGCTCAAGCTCAGGTCTTCAACTCAAATGCCTTCCACTCGAATGGCATCTTTGCTTCGCTTCAGGAGTTTGAGGATGGACAGGGTCAACCTCTGCACGGTCTTTCGGCTATCAATGGAACCACCGACGTTTTGCCTCTGCATGACAGTCATGGGGTGACGAGGGAAATTAATGGGATGACGGCTGGGAACCTCTCGCGCTACAACCCTGTCTCGCCCACGTATGCGAAACGGAACGGCCGGCTGTTGAATGCGGAGCATGTCGAACAATACCATCCATCCTCAAAACAGAAGTACGACGAGACCGTGAGAGCTCTGGAATTGTTGAATTTTGATCAGGGCACTGCTCAAATTGCTCCTGTCCGGAAAATCCCGTCACAATACCAACGCGATATCCATCACGGCCCGATACAAGCCTCTTCTCAGTCGAGCGCCCCCTTCCATCCGATGGAGAGCAACTTTCAACCGCCAATCGCACATGTCCCAGATGTTGGTTCACGGTTAGATCCCCAAGCGGCTCCACATTATGGCGGCTTTCAGTATGGTGGCCGTGGGAACCTCCCCTCACTTCAAAATGAGTACCGGAGCAGTCTGAATAGTCCATACTACTCAACCACTGGCACGCCTCCAACAGGGCCTCACTCAATCCGCAGCACTCCGGGAAGTGGTGCCTCGAGCCGTACCTCGCATCACGACCCCTTCATGTTCGACCGCAAGTTTACAAATGTTGAGATTTTTGGCTATGATCAAGCCATGTATGCACCCGCATCCCTTCAGGCAGCAGTGGGCAACGGATTTCAGTATGATACCCAAATGCCAGTCCAGCCAATGCGAATGAATCCACTGGCACATCCCTACATCGGGAATGGACATTCCGGGATCACCAACTACCCTGCGGGCCCTCGAATGCCAATTCGCGAACCCGACCAAAGTCACATTGTCAGAAGCCCTTTGCTTGAGGAGTTTCGTATGAACAGCAAGACTAATCGACGATTTGAGCTCAAAGATATCTACAACTACGTGGTCGAATTCAGTGGTGATCAGCACGGGTCGCGCTTCATTCAGCAGAAACTGGAGACGGCCAACAGCGACGAGAAAGAGCAGATTTTCAAGGAAATCCAGCCAAACTTGCTGCAACTCATGACAGACGTATTTGGGAACTACGTCATTCAGAAAATGTTCGAACATGGCAATCAGACGCAGAAGAAAATCCTTGCCCATCAAATGAAAGGCCATGTCCTGCACTTGTCGATGCAAATGTATGGATGTCGTGTGGTTCAGAAGGCTTTTGAACACGTCTTGACCGACCAGCAAGCCAGTTTGGTGAAAGAATTGGATGGACCCAATTTGCAAATACTGAAGGTTGTCAAAGATCAGAACGGCAACCATGTTGTGCAGAAGGCCATCGAGCGTATACCAGGTGAACATATTCAGTTTATTGTCGACGCGCACAGAGGCCAAATGGCCAAGATGTCAACACACCAATATGGATGTCGAGTGGTTCAACGAATGCTGGAACATTGTCAACCACAGGCTAAACGGGTGATTCTAGACGAGCTTCTCGAACATATTCTCCCCCTCATCAGCGACTCCTATGGGAACTACGTCGTGCAGCACATCATCCAAAACGGTGAGCCTCAGGATCGTCGCCAGGTTGTCAATATCGTCCTTCAACAGCTTCTGGCATTCTCCAAGCACAAATTTGCCAGCAATATTGTGGAAAAGAGTATTGATTGTGCAGATGAGGATCAACGTGCACAGATTCTTCGTGGCTTGACAGCACCAAACGAGCAGGGCGTCAGTCCAATTCTTGGATTGATGAGAGACCAATATGGCAACTATGTCTTGCGTAAGTCTGGCGATGCCCGACACCCACCGTCGACTTGTACTAATTTGTCTGTAGAAAAGGTGTTTGGCCAGCTGCAAGGCTCTGATCTTCTCGCGTTAAGGGCGGATATGGAGCAGAACTATCCTGTTCTTCGCCGTACCAGTTATGGCAAGCAGGTCACGGCCATTGAGAAGCTTCTGTTTGGCGGCAATGGACCATCTACTACTTCGACAGCCAGCAGCCGCAGCTCGACACTACCTAGCACGAATGCAAGCAGCACCGTCGACGGCGAGACCCCTCCTTCGCATCCCTCGGACATCAAATAGCGGCATTCAGAGCTTTCAACAAGTCACTTTGCGGTCGGACACGCTGCACACGAGTCCTTCGAAGTTCTTCATTTCATCTTTAGCCTTCACTTTTCCTCGCGACCACGTGAGGAGTTTTGGAGATGGTGTCTGACCGATGCATGAGACATCCGACTGTGGCGCGTTCGATATAGAATTGTCACGATACCCAGACACGTCTGCTGCGGTTCTATATGGGTTTATTCAAGTAGGGAGTTTTGGGAATGGATCGGTATGACGGAGAACATATTTTCCGCCGGGTGTCATACACCTGGCAACATCTGGAACAGTTTTTATGAAATGACATTTGACGACAATGACTCTTGGATACCCCTCAGACTTTAAGGATAAGCAAAGGCAAAGAGGGGTGAGGCGGTATGGGTATATATTGTTTTGGTTGACCAAGGAAGATGGGATCTGTATTGTTTTGGCATGAAGCATCATGAGAGGAATCTCTGAACCGCGTCTCATATGGAAACAAAGGATGATTTGAACACGGATTGGATTCTGGGACCCAGATGCAGGGGCCCTCATGGGCTCTGTGGCAAAGGAGGAGCGCGAAAGGAACTTGGGTATTATGAGAATATGGGAAATTCTTGCATTCAACTGCCATGATGGTCGTTTTAGTAGAGGTTTTGGCGTGAGTTCTTCGTGCCCGGTGCCGGAATACCTCGTGCACTGCCAGAAGCTGTCATTCATTCGTTCATGCTCGTCGTTAATCTGCTCGGGACTCAGATACCAACCTCATGCCGGTCAATGAGGTACGTGTCCAACTGGCTGTTGTCTTGGGAACTGCATTTCAGGACGACAGGATCCCAAGGACCATCGGGTAGCAGGACGTCAACTGCTTCCACCCGCCGACATGCTGAGGGAAACGACACTCGGCTGATTGGGAGCGACTGGAGTTGCGCATAGGCGACATCCAGGCCGGGGAGGTCATCGTCGGACACGTCGGAGCTGCCGATGTCGGCTTCTTCCACCGCCATGACCTTCCTGGCAATCTGCGCGACGAGGGTAGCGTCCCAGATGCCCTCTTTGCGCGGCACATCCGCGATCAACCGGATGGCCTGCACTCGGAGGCAGTGCACCCGGCACTTGACGGCGACGTAGAACAACGGCGCCATCAGGCCCATGTCGGCGATCGAGTGCGAGAGCCCCTCCTCGGTGCCGAAAAACTTCTGACGCACCTTGCTCGTCAGCGCGATGTGGCGGAGGTCGAGCGTCTGCGCGACGATGGTCGTGAAGCGGGCGGTTTGATGGTCGAATCTCGACTCCCCCCGCGGGTCGCAGCCCGTGGTGGCGACCATGATCTCGGCCATGGTGTGGTAGACGCACAGCAGGCGGTGGGCGAAGACCTCCAGCCCGTTCATCGTGGACCGGAGCTTGGCCATCGTCCTGTCATGAATGGATTTCCAGGCCTGGAGATCGCGCGCCACGTCCTTGGGCTGACAGGGAGGCGAACAGGTCCCGTCGGACGGAGTTGGGGATTGCCGCGCGTGAGGCTCTGTGAGTCGGCAGATTCTGAGGAGCAGGAGTTCCATGTATTCCCTCGCCTGGTGCGCCGAGGAGAAGGTTGCAATCTCCAAGATGTGTTTCGAGCCATCGACCACAGTCCAAGGACGGGGGGGTTGTTGTCCGAACAACATCGACTGCACGTACAGTCCTCTCAGATTGCGCACGATCCAGTCATCAATAAAGGAGCGGTTGGGCCTGCCGTCAACGCCCTCGTGACTGTTGGAGCTTGAGAGGGCTTCGAGGCAGTCCAACATTCTCAGTCCGTGCTCCAGATGACTCCTGGCGGTCTGGTAGTGGCTGCGAAAGAACTCCAAGTGGATGAAGGCGATGCACGAGAGGAGACAGAGTCGGAGCGACGTGCGGTCGCTGGCCATGAGCCGGGGCTGCAGGTACTTGATGGCCTTGTTATATTGGACCAGGGCGAACCGCTCCTCGCGCTGCCGCAGGAGAGACACATCCGCGCGCTTGTGGACCGAGCATAGGGCCAGCACGGCATGGGTCACGGCCAGCTCGGCGGCACTGGCCTGGAACAACAGGGCGTTGCCAGCGTCCGAGAAAAAAGCCCCCTGGAGCTTCCTGGCCGTGCGGCACCAGAACCACTCCAGATGAGCCTTTTCGTCGGCGTCCAGGGCGCTAGCTGGGTAGACACAGAAGGTCCTAGGACGGGCGAGGGTGGGGTCAGCACGGTACGAGTATTCTGCGAGAGCGTTCCTCGAGAGCTGGGGACGATGGCGTTGTTGGGATGTATTATTCCCATCTCCTCCTCGTCCTCGTCCTCCGCCTCCGCCTCCCCATATCCCATAGCCGTCGCATTTGCGTCCTGTGGAGGTGCAGCGCCGGCATTCCGGCATCAGCTCGTCACATTTGATCTTCCGGATTTTGCAGGTCCTGCAGCCGGTCTTCGACTTGGTTCGACAAGACGGAGACATGACGGGTGTTGGTTGTGGAGGCGTACGATCCATCGCCCGGTGACGGTGCTCATCTCGCCTGGAGCCCTTTCCACCACGATGTCAACGGCTCAATAAAGCCTGGGAGCATGCGTGACAGGGCAGAAAACCAGCAAATCTCGGTCTGAGTTCTTTTTCTTGGGATGGATCATGGTCTTTGCTCAGCCGAGTAGTTGGGACGGACGGTGAGGTGGGTTGTTTAGGCGAGCCATGGCCGGAAGTCTCGTCCTGTTGCACCCACTGGGACGCCTATCAGCCTGTTGTTCCGATTAGTCGGTTCGGCTTCTTAGCGAATTCATTGGCAGCAGCAGCAGAGGCAGAGGCAGATGGATCCCGTGCAGAGTCGGAGAAGAACAGTCTGGCTGCTTATATTAGGGATTAGTTGGCGGTGGTAACGGATGCTCTTAGGGGAGGTGGCCTGTTCGCGACTATATATCAGCAGACCGCCATTCTTCAGTTCCGTTTGTCTGTTTCATGCCTCCATCGTGACTATGCTTGTCGTAGGGGTTTGGGGCCAAGTAAGGCCGTCCTTCTCGCTCCCTGCATTTGCTATGAGGCCCCTACAACACCAGAGGGAGATGGCTAAGGGCCCAAACATGTGATGCTCGTCAACAACATTACTAGTAGCATCCTGAGGCTTTTGGCGAGCGAATCCTTCTCGACAACACGCAAGATTGCACTTCGCCTACGAGGTACGGAGTACTCGCTACTCGTGCACACCTAGCCATGAACACCTGCTTTTAATAACATCATCATCATCATCATCATTATTATTATTCGTGCGTTCTCGTGGCGTGCCTTGTTTTCTACCGAATACACGAGAGACCCCTCGACTAGCTGCTCGTAGCAACAGTAGCGAGGCTGATCTTCAGAACACGGGCCTTAGCCCCCAACGCCGTTGTGCAAGAAGCGGGACCAGGGGAATTGGACGGAGAACGCGCCAATGCTGTGGGACGCGGGAAGCAGAGAAATGGCCTCCCTCTCCCTTCGAGGCGTTGATCACCATGTTGATGCCTTGTTCTGGGGGGCTCCAGATTTGCAACGGTCATAACTGTCGCCGTAGCCCGTGCCTAGCCACAGTCACCATGGGCTTTTGTTGAGTCCCTCTGTTGTTTGTCGATGCTACAGCACTGGCTTGGGACAGACAGAGATAAGGGACGACAGTGCGAGTAGGTAATCATGACTACGCCCAAGAGCCCCCAAGAGCAAATTTCTTTGTTTACAAACCCCCGTGCCCCCTCCCAAGCCTCGTCAGCACAATAGTCGTAATGTCGCTTGCTCCCTTGTCTAGGATCTGCGACATGGATTCCAGCTGCAATTTTTTTATTTATTTATTTTCTTCCAACCCGAGGCCCCTCCCATGCCGCGTGGGCTGAATAAGGTCTAGTAGAAGCACGGCACCCGAACGGATTGCCGGCAAGAGGACCAGATGGATCATTGAAATGGACACTGGATGGAATTCAGCCTGGTGGAGCACGGCAGGGAAGCAGACGACTACGACTACTCGGTCCTAACGAGGATTTGTAGCAAGTATGGTAATCTTCTGGCTAACCGCCACCCGAGTGCTTCACCAGGCTGGATGAGGCTACACCCATCCCATTTCAGTAACTCACTCTCCCTTGTCCCTCAACGCCCATCTCGCACGCTTTGCCTCATCCGGGCTTCATCGAGCTTGGTTTCTCTCTGATCACCCGTCGATTAGCCCTGGGTTCCGCCCCCTGTGGCTTCAGCCCGGCGTCATGGGTGCGACGCCAGGTGGATGCTCCTGGACACTAGCCCCAAAGCCAATGTGGCATGGTCGTGTCTACCAGTTGGGAATAATGCTCAATTGCTCAACGGCGCGGATGTTCAAGCCATCGTGACCCCCCCCCCCCCCAAAAACCCGTTCGTCGTGGGAATAGTCGTTTCCGAAAGAAATCCTGCTTCCTCGCTCGCTGACCGGTAAGCTGCTACCTATCTGATCCGGACCAACGTGCAGTTCACCTGTTCTCTCCGCGTCTCTTATCGAACGTGCCAGATGCGTAGTCCACGCCGTGGTTCTCTGGTACAGGATTGTTGGGGTTTTTCTGCTGCTGGGTCCTCGCTGCCTAACTGTTAGGTGGCACTGAAGAGAAGGGACCGACCGGATAAAGGCATCTTCGCATTATGGCTGCTGCGGTGGCACCGGTAGAGCTACCCACGGGACGGCGCTCCTACTACAACACGACGACACCGGTCGACATACACGACCCGAATTGGATTCCGGTGCTGGACAGCGCTGCCTACAAACCGCCCTTGTCCCCGACAGAGAAGGAGGTATCAACCTACCCTCCGCCGCCCGCCTCGTTCTCCCTCTTCCCGACCCAGGCCAGCTCTCCAAAGCCGCGCCCAGGCTTTTCTCACACCTATTCCAAGAGTTCTCTGGCACCCGAGAGCGTGGCGTCGGATTCGGACTCGAGGTCGCAGAGCCCCCAGGACAGCATCGAACCATTGCCCAGCATAGGAGGTCCTGTCCAAGCTTCTCAGGATGGCACCGCGAAGGGCCATAATCGTCAGACCACGTCCACCACCGCGGCGTCGAGCGAAGAGAAGATATCGGTGAATACAGAGGGTCCTGCAGACAACACGGGCAGCTCCCCCAACAGCGACGAGCACGAAACTGCAAGTGTCGTGGAGGAGCGAGAATTGGGTCACCCACTGCCGCCCCCGGAGCCGTTTGGAGAGTCCATGGTGAACCCATCCACTCGGTCGTCGATGATTTCCACCATGACCAAGAAGAGCACGGTGCTCCCACCGACATCCAAGTATAACCGAAAACATGTGGCATCCGTCGCCACGACAGCTGGGCGGCCATTAGTCCCCAGTCTGCCTCAGACACCGCAGGAGTCGCCCCGGCTGGGACCAACTATGCCGACGACCACTCCCGTGGCTCAACCTCTACCATCTCCGAAGTTGCCGCCCACCGAGGCGCCTCGACAGGCCGAAGCCTCGCAGAAGCTTCAACCTACAAAGTCGACGGCGTCTGAACGGCGCCAACGAGCCCTTCATTCACACCCGTCAAACGTCTCGTTACGGTCACAGCGCAACTCGAGCTCGGATGACGCCGAGATCATCCCACGCCCTCCGTCCATCCGCAACAAATCCAGGAAATCGACCGACTCGCGAGCAACCACACCGCGATCGACCATCTATGATTCCCAGGTGCCGACGCCCGCACCGACAACACCACTCCCTCAATTACCGCCCGGAGCACAGATTCGAAGGCCGTCGACACGCGAAGGCAATTCGCAGAGGGCGATACAGGCCCCCATCGAAGAACCGGTCCCTTCCACAATGGCTTCTTTTCGACCGTATGAACACGCAGAGATGGCGTCGTTCATGGCCGAGAAGAACACGATCATATGCCGACGATTCGACGCCGTGCACGTGAGACTCCTCCTGTGCCTGCAAGACGAGATCTCGCAGTTGGAGAAGGAGCTTCTGAAGCTGGAAAGCTCGAACTCGCCGGGCAGTGCGTCGGAGAAGATGCTGCAAAAGACGCGAATCCTACGAGAGCTGCGGAAGGTGGTCGCAGAATATGGTAAGATGAAAACTGTCGCCGGTCTCGTGAACACGGCTAACCCTGTCCCGTAGATCACCTTTTCACCACGTGGAGCAAGATGCAGGCCAACAAAGTCAGCGAGTCGACGACCAAGGAGCTGAAAGAATGGCTCGCAAAGCCCGGGACCAGCATCGAGGCCGGCCTGGGCATCAACACGCAACAGGACCTGCAGTGGCTCGAGAACACCAAGGACCTCAGCAGCATCGAACTCGGCGACAAGGAGGCGGACCCGGCCACAGACAAGGAAAATGCGAGCCAAGAGGTCGGCGGGAGCGGTGGAGGAGGTGGTGGGAGTAGTGGGGGCGGTGGTGGAGGAGGATTCATGGCATTATTTGGGTGCGGCGGCAAAAGGAAGTAATGACAGTGGCTACCTATGTTATGACTATTCTGGATGAAACCGGATGGGAGCTTTTTGCAGGCGTCCTCGTACACTATATGCATTTGATTTGGGAGGAGGTCCTCAGAGAACGGGGCATGACTTTGGTATATCCACCTACGGGCGGGAAAAGCATTTCGGCGTTGATGATTGAGTTATTTTCTTGTGCATTTATATATATGTCCACGGCCCTTTGGGGAGGTTCTGCGGGTTGTACATGGATGGGAAGAGGATTGTTGAGATAGAGGTAATGATCCTATTTCTTTCTTTCTCCCTGTGTCTCTGTCTCTATATTGTATCGAGGTTAATCTTCTAGTAAGCTCCCTAGAGAGATAAGGGCGTCCGTATCGTCTCGTACCTGCATAAGGGGACACGCGAATGATTACCCAGTCCAGTCTAGATCGGATCTTGATGAGGAGGGGGGGCGGGTGTGGTATTCGGAGTCTAGCATCGAGATGGGATTAATTACCCCGGATTCTGCGTTGTTATTACATACAAAAAAAGTCGCCTTTTTTCGGCACCGGCAGCAGAGATTTCGCCCTTTTTTATTTTCGCCTCCATCTCCATCTCCATCATTTTCTTTCTCCTCGTTCCTCCGCAAAATCTTCCCCCCTCGTCATCAGTTACATTGACCATTTTGGGGCTCTTCTCCTACACTCGCGCGCGCTCTCTCCCTCTCTCTCTCTACACTTGGTCTGTCTCTATCAAAGACTCTTCTCATCCTCGCCTCGCGCAGAAGGATATTGAGGGAATAATCATCACCGCGTGGGTTGGGTTCTTCGCCTGGTGGCGGTTTATCGATATCGTGCGCCATCATGTTCCCGCCGCAACAGGGCGTCACGCTCGACATCGAAGCTCTGTCCGGCATCTGCGGCTCCATCTCCATCGCCTGCTGGGTCGTGGTCTTCTCGCCGCAGATCATCGAGAACTTCCGGCGCGGGTCGGCCGAGGGCCTGTCGATCGTCTTCATCGTCGTCTGGCTGGCCGGCGACGTCTTCAACATCCTCGGCGCCGTCCTGCAGGGCGTGCTGCCCACCATGGTCATCCTGGCCGTCTACTACACCCTGGCCGACATCGTCCTGCTGGGCCAGTGCTTCTACTACCGCGGCTTCACCCTGACCGACTACGTCAAGCCCCCGCACCCGCAGAACGGCGACGCCGAGACGCGCCCGCTGCTGCACAGCGGCTCGGTGACCCAGCCGCCTTCGAGGGACGAGCACGAGCGGTCGTCGTCCATCTCGCATCTCCGCCGCCACCTGTCGGTGGAAGGCGCCCACCTGTCTCCCGTCACGCCGCTCATCGACCCCCCCAAGCCGTCCGACCCCCCGGCGGTCAGGAACATTCGCCCGACCACCGCGTGGCAGGCGGCGCTGCTCAACACCTTTGCCATCCTCCTCGTCTGTGCCGCCGGGGTGTTTGGCTGGTGGATCGGGGCGCAGAAGCAGCGGCACCACCGCACCAAGGACGAGCCGCCGCAGCCCCTGGAGTTTGACGTCCTGGGCCAGATCTTCGGCTACCTCTGCGCCGTGCTGTACCTGGGATCGCGGGTGCCGCAACTCCTGCTCAACTACAAGCGGAAGAGCACCGAGGGCGTATCGCTGTTGTTCTTCCTCTTCGCGTGCATCGGCAACCTGACCTACGACATGTCCATCTTTGCGTATTCGCCCGTGTGTCGGCAACCGGGGCACTGCCTGCCGGGGGAGGCAAAGTCCATCTACCTGCGGTATATTGCGGTGAACGCGAGCTGGATTGCCGGCAGCCTGGGGACGCTGTTGTTGGACATGGCCATCTTTGTGCAGTTCTTCATGTACCAGAAAGACGAGGGCGACGATTCCGACTCCGCCATTGTGGATTAGAGGCAGGCACTTGGGTTTTGATCTTGCTGGGTTGGGAAAAGAAGAGAGAAACAGCACCGTCTCAACAACAAACGACATATCGTTGCTTCTTATGGAGATGGGCTTCGGAGTTGCAGCGCAGCGGGCCAACTTTCCAGGGATATAGGAGATTGCCGTCATATCCAGATTTCAAGAACGAAACAGTCAGACCCGTTTGGCGTGGCATTCGGCAGGATGAAGTGTGGGTTCTGGGAGACCTTCTGTCATGTCTAGAAGCGTCAAAAAGGGTGGTGGATTTTGTTTTTAAAAAATTGGAAACGGGTTTCTAAGTTTGCATACAGGCTCAAAATGGTGGATATCATTGGGATGAACTACATCTACACATCTAGCTGGTTGGCGCTTTTTGGGGGAGGAGATTTTGAAGGTTGGTTCTGTCGGTGCGGATGGGGATCTATCTTGCGGAAATAAAAGTGTCGCAACTACGGTGTATATGCTATACTAAGTGCTGGGCCAAAAGAAATTCATTGTATGCTTGATCCACCTGCAGGACAATAATACGGGGCACTGTTGTGTTACAAAGATTCCGTATGTGTATGTCCGTTGAATACCCAGGAGATGGCACTGCGCAAAATGAATACGAGATACGAGACGTTCGTGCGTGAATGCTTGCTGTGTTGCCCTGCCAACCGTCCCTCGATCTGGTTGACGTCATTGGAAACACTGCCTTTCGCCGCGATTTCAACAACCCGTCCGAATTCTTTACTGTGTTACTGTAGGTACAGAGGACGATTAGGTACAGCCCAACCACTGTTTCGAGAGATACTCGTACAGCCTTCTGAGCCCGACTCCTAGAAGCACCGGGAGCTGCATTTAAACGCCAGGCCCCTCTCTAGCTTCTCTGCAGACGCCGCGACTGGCATTACGCCACCACGCACACTCGATCCTTCGGGTCCAACTCGTCCGTCAACCACATCGTGCGCCGGCACAACACAGGCCCCTAAAGTCCAGGAAATCCACCTCGAGCTACTACTACACGAGTTCTTCCTATCCAGCTTTTGCCTGCGGTTCGCATCCAATGTCTCCGACCAAAGCACCCGCCGGGCCCCTGGCCGAGAGATCCCCCAACCCGACGTCGCCCGCGAAGTCAAAGTCGGAGACTGGCGACAACAACAACAACAAAATCAACAAGCTCGCGTTGGCGGACGCAGGCGTGGATGCGCACCGAGTCGTCGTGGCGATGCCGATGACGATGCCTCGATTCGAGCACCCGCAGCAAAGAGGAGGGGCCATGCTGGTTCAGAACCAGACCACGGGGAGCCAGACGTACATCTCGCCCTCGGACGCGATCCGGAGCCCGACGACCAAGAAACTGAGTGAGATCAAGGGTCGGCGGTTCATGTGCGTTTTTATTCCCCCCCATTTTTGTTACAACCCCTCTGTATGCCTTTGGCGGGCTCCAGCTAACCTTGCACCAACGAGCTGTGTAGGAGTGCAAAGCCGCAGACGCTGTTCGCAAAGACCCTCGCCAAAGAAAATCTCAAGGCGCAAGCACAGGGGCAGGATCGGGTTCAACATTAGATCCAGGTGCTGGGTTGAAGTGCGGATGTTCGGCAGAAGTCAACCGCCTGTTTGTATCTCTGGGAAGTAGGCGAGGGCGCGGTGTCGAGGTGCTCTGTTCGATTACACGGGTCAACAAGGGGGGGTGGCTAAACGTTGTTCACGATTGAAACGCAAAAAAACACTGGGTAAAACTACGAGTCGGGGGAGTTGCATCGACAGGTCGGGCTGTTGCTGTTGTTGGGTATTGGGTATTCCCCGTGTGTTTTGTGTCTGTCCATGGGCGAGCATAGAGGATCTGAAACGAGAAAACTTGAACTTTCCACATCTGGTGACCTTCTTGAGACCGTACATGTGTTGTCTGCCAATCAATCTTTCAGACACACACATTGAGACACCCGACAGCCATGCTGTGTGCCACAGGGCGCCTCGTGCGAAAGTGCAGCAAGTATGCTGAGTCAGGGCAACATCCAAGCAGGAACACGCAGGACCCCTTGGCTGGTACATGGGCCGTTCATTAGAGTGCACATGGGAGAGCCTTTGCCATTATTGTCAGACAGTATGAAGATAGCCATCTCTTGCACTCTTGCATTGATTCCTGCATATTCTGTGCTCGTAACTCGGAGGTATGGCCTTGGTGGTCTTGGTGGTCTCGGCAATGCAGATGAGTCATTTGCATGGCGGCTCAATGGGGCAAAGGCTTGAGGTATGTTTCATTGGTGGGAGGGGCTTCTGAGGTCTGGACATCTGGACACGCATGTCGCTGGGGATCTTGGAGAGGTGGCCATACGAGCAGGCGTGAAACACATGGGCTGGAGGACGGACATTCATGGTGCTTACAGAATGGCGTCTTGGACGTCACTGGTGTCTGGCCGTGTGGCTGCTGACAAAGAGTGGGAAGAGGCTTGGCTGGCGTCATTGCCAAGCCGCACTCGGGTCCCCTCTCTACGGCCTTGGACGGTGTTTTTTTTTTTCTTCTGTTTTCCATCCTTCTTGCTCTGGTCCCCTTTTTCACCTTTGCGCCGTCCGTTCGATCTCCGGAGGATAAGTGGTGCCTCGAGTACCGTAATGATGCACGCAATCCCGTCAGCCAGTCGCCAGCTCCCTCTGCTTTACGTTACCCTTTCCCCTCCTCGCCACCTCTTATTCGTCCCGCATCTTCGGTCGAACTCTGCCGCGCGCATTTCCACTCCGTCGCTCGCAAAATAACGCGCGCATCTGTCTCGTTTTTTCTCGATTCTCCCTAGCCCCCCCAGCGGGTATTGTCCATGACAAGACGGGTTTAATTGGGCTTCCGTGGAGAAGCTTCTGGCTTATACCCGGTCTCCGTTTTGGCGCTTGCCCCCTTCTTGACGTTACCTCATTGATTATTCAGGATCTGGGCGGCGGACCATCTCAAGCCCGCCGTACGTGGCTTGGGAGATACGGTGATTTAGAATGTTTGGCTGCATAGTGACATGCTTGTATTTGCCGCATTGGGATGCGAAACTCAAGGGTCGGTAAGAACTATATTATACAATCCCAACATGTCTTCTTTTGTCCTGTCCATCATCGGCCTCTTCAAGCCTTCTACAAGAAACGCATACATTCCCTCGCGACTCCAAGCCCGTTGTCGCAGTCCCTCGTACTTCCCTATCGCTTTCTACCTCAACACCCCTTGAAGCAGTCCTCACCATGTCCGCCCTGTTGCGGGATGCCCCTGTGGGCCAGGTGGTCCGTTTCGTGACGAGGAACAAATATTTCCAGTACCCAGAGGAAAGATCCGATTTTGTGCTGCCCGACTCCTACCAATCTCACAAGCTTGGTGCTGCAACCCCAACACAGCCAGTACTCCCCGTGCCTGAGGATATTGAGAAGAGGATCGAGGAGGATTCCGACGATGCCCACAGCCTTTCTGCTGCCAGAACGGCCGCAGATGGCGAGTCCGTTGCTCTTTCAGACCGGACGCTGTCCAAAATCATGACTCGACCCGAGCTGAGCCAAGTCAACACCCGCGCCGATCTCGAACAAGCCTATTCCAACGCCACGCGGCAAGAGACGCTGAAGAATCAAGTTAGTCGACCCATCGCGCCGCAAGTCACTTCCGATGGCACCATCTTGGTCGACTGGTATGCCACCGATGACCCGGAGAATCCACAGAACTGGTCCCGGGGCAAGAAAACCATCGTCGTCCTGCAAATCTACCTGTACACTCTTGCCGTCTATATGGGATCGGCCATCTTCACGCCGTCTGAGCCGGTCATTGTTGAAAAGATGGGGGTCTCGCCGAACGTCGCTGCGCTCGGCTTGTCTATGTACGTCTTGGGGTACGGCATTGGTCCTCTGATCTTCAGCCCCCTGTCGGAGATTCCTATCATCGGCCGCAACCCGCCTTATATGATCACCTTGGGAATCTTTGTGATCATTTCCATCCCCACTGCCGTGGTCAACAGCTTCCCTGCGCTCGTCGTTTTGCGTTTTCTGCAGGGCTTCTTCGGCAGCCCGTGTTTGGCCACCGGCGGTGCATCGATTGGCGACATCTTCTCGCTCCTGAAGCTTCCTTACTTCCTCACCGGGTGGGCCGCTTTTGCTACAGCTGGTAGGTGCATCCAGACAAAGTAAATGCGGGTGATTTTTGCTAACAAACCACAGGTCCCGCTCTTGGTCCCATCATCTCCGGCTTCTCGGTGCCCGCCACGAACTGGCATTGGTCGCTCTGGGAGATCGTCTGGCTCGCCGCTCCGGTCTACGTCTCGCTCCTGTTCCTGCTGCCCGAGACATCTTCCTCCAACATCCTGCTCCGCCGCGCTGCTCGTCTTCGCAAATTGACCGGCAACAACAATCTCAAGTCCCAGTCCGAGATCGACCAAGAGAAATTGACTGTCAATGAAGTGGTGGTTGGCAACCTCTGGCGACCGGCCCAGATCAACATCCTCGACCCTGCCGTGCTCTTCACCAGCCTTTACACGGCCTTGATGTACAGCATATTCTACTCTTTCTTCGAAGTCTTCCCTCTTGTCTACGCGACCGGCAACCCAGGCAAGGCCACACATGGCTACGGCATGAACGGCGGCGAGATTGGCCTGATTTTCCTCTCCATCTCGGTCGGCGTTAGCATTGCCATTACCATCTACGTCCTGTACCTGCACTTTGTGTTCGAGCCGGAGATTCGCACCAGAGGTCTTGGAGAGCCTGAGCGACGTCTCATTCCCGCCCTTCCAGCAAGTCTGCTGTTGCCCATCGGTTTGTTCTGGTTTGCATGGACTGGTAACAGCTCCCCCAAGATCCACTGGATCGTGCCCACGGTAAGTTCGAGCGCACCACCCCCTCAATTCCGGACTGTGACTGATCCCCTCTGCAGCTCGGTGTCGTGGTATTCACGGTCGGGATCTTCATCCTCTTCCAGTGTATCTTCATCTACATCCCCTTGACGTACCCGCAATACGCTGCGTCGCTCTTCGCCGGCAACGATTTTGCCCGTTCGTCGATCGCCGCGGGTGCGATTCACTTCTCCCGCCCCTTGTTCCACAACTTGGGCGTCGGCAGTGGCGTCAGCTTGCTTGCGGGGCTGACTGTCGGTGGCATCATCGGCATTTTCGTCTTGTGGAAATTTGGTGCAAACTTGAGAGCCAGGTCGAGGTTTGCTGCCAAATAAAGAGATGCGTACAGCATTTCTGTGGGAGTACGAGGACACGAATTCCATTGAGTTGGGCGAATCAAACGATTCTATGTGTACAATATTAAGCGGTCGATTTTGGGCAGGTTCTGCTCCTCATTCGCAGCGACAAAGCAAGCGATGGCGTTGGAGGAGTGATGATCCTATATTAATACTACAGCAGGACTGGCTATAGACAATCCACGCATGCATTCAATCACTTGTATTTTGTTCCATTGCGACGAAAGTAGACGGCACACCTGAAGAGACCAATTGAAAATAGTTTGCCCGTGCCCTTTGCAACAAGTCACTTTTGGCAAGGCTCTACTCCCGAGGCTGTCAGTCACGTGGATGTTGATGACGCAGCCTTGCCATGACCACGGGACTCGACGAACAACTCACCCGAACGTCCACTTGATCGAACCAACGACCTGTCCCTAGCCACCAGACGTACAATTCCACCACTGGTTCATAATGCGTTGAACCCGACACGCACGCGGCGCGATGGCGCTGGATCTAGACGACGGCTACGTGGCTCCCGGCCTGGCCTCAGGCGGCGTCGAGACGTCGCTCCCCATCTTCAACGTCGAACGAGTACAGCTGCAATTCAACATCGCATCCGATTTCGTGGCTGGCCAGGTCGCCAACAACGTGCTCATTCTCGCACTGGCCACGGGGCGCATCTTGCGGATAGATCTTGAGAGCCCTTCAGACATTGATGGTGTGTTCCTGCCCCCGTTACTTCACCCGCAAGGAGAGTACCTCCGTCACTAAAGTTGTAATTGCGTGCTCCTAGATGTCGACCTGCCCAAAAAGACCAGCGAGGTCGGGCTCATCCGCCGCATGTTCCTCGACCCTTCCGCGTCCCATTTGATCATCACCACCACCCTGGGAGAGAACTTCTACCTGCACAGCCAGTCGAAGCAGCCCAAGGCACTGTCCCGGCTCAAAGGCGTGTCCATCGAGTCTGTTGCTTGGAACCCTTCACAACCGACGGCCTCTACACGAGAGATCCTGGTGGGCGCGGTGGATGGGAATGTCTATGAGATATACATTGAGCCGGCGTCGGAATTCTATCGCCGCGAAGAACGATATTGCACGCATGTTTGGAAGATACCCGACGGCGCCGTCACGGGCCTTTGGGCGGAGACAATCGACGGCAAGACAGACATACGGAGGGTGATCGTGGCGTCGCATTCGAGACTTTGTCACTGGATAGGCAAGACGGGCGGCCGCGGAAAGGAAGGCTCAGCTTCCATCTACGCCGAGTTGTTTTCCAAGGAAGCACCTGTCGCGCATGACACGACAGGCGCATCAGCAACGGCGCCGTCATGTTTTTCGGTGTCGCCCGAGGCACAAGATGCTAGTCCGGACTCGTCTCGCAGTTTCGCCTGGTTATATTCCCAGGGTGTCCTGACGGGCCAGCTGTTGACCTCCCCCGCGTCCTCCAGTCTAGGCTCCAAGATTTTCAGCGAGGCTAAACTCCACCCTCGCTCCGTGTTTCCAGAAACGATATCTGCCCGCGGAGGTCGAAAGTTGATACAAGATCCCATTGTCTCTGCTATTCTGTCTCAGTGGCATGTCCTGGCCCTTGCCGAAGGTCGAATTGTTGCCGTCAATCGCCTTGATGGCAGCGTAGTCTACGACCAGGCGGTCCTGGAACCTGGACAGTCCGCTCTTGACTTGGTGGCGGATCAAAAGAAGAACACGTATTGGCTTTTCACCAACCAAGAAATCTTCGAGGTGGTGGCAAACGACGAGGAGCGGGACATTTGGAAGATCATGCTGAAACAACAACATTACGACGCTGCTCTTCGCTATGCTAAAGGAGCGGCACAGAAGGACTCTGTCGCTACAGCTTCCGGAGACTACCTCTCGAGCAAAGGACAATACTTGGAGGCGGCAAGCGTTTGGGGAAAGAGCAGCAAAGCATTTGAGGAGGTGTGCCTGTCGTTGATCGATAATGGGCAAGAAGAAGCGTTGAGGAGGTATTTGTTGGCCAAGCTGGGCTCATACAAGAAGTCCTCGACCATGCAGCGAGTGATGATAGCAACATGGCTCGTCCAGATCTTCATGGCCAAGTTGAACTCACTGGACGATATGGTTGCCACGAAAGCGGAATTGCTGGAGCACACCGACGCCGGAGGTGCCCAGCGGGATTTGGAGAAGGCTCGAAACGAGTTCCAAGAATTTGTGACCAAATACAAGGCGGATCTCGATGCGAAGACGGTCTATGAAGTAATCTCGAGCCACGACCGAGAACAGGAGCTCCTGTTCTTTGCCAACACCATCACCGACTACGATTATGTGCTTTCGTACTGGGTACAGCGAGAGAAATGGAACGAGGCGCTGTCGGTCCTTAACAAGCAGAGCAATCCCGAGACGTTCTATCGGTATAGCAATGTGCTCATGACTCACGTGGCAGTTGGACTGGTGGAGATTCTGGTGCGAAGAAGCAATCTCGACCCACAAAAGCTCGTCCCGGCACTTCTCAGCTACAATGAGAACGCCAACGTGCCCTTGAACCAGAATCAAGCGGTGCGCTACCTGAACTTTGTTGTGACAAACAACTTCGAGGTGCCTGCTTCTGTTCACAATGCGCTCATCTCGATCATGGCTTCACATCCGTCGCCGTCGGAAACTATGCTGTTGGGATACCTTGAGAGTCAGCCTTCACCTCCATTCTACGACGCCGACTTCGCACTGAGGCTCTGTATTCAGCATAACCGAGTGCAGTCATGTGTGCACATTTACAGTACCATGGGACAATATCAGCAAGCGGTGGAACTCGCACTGCAGCACGATGATATCGACCTGGCAGCAATTGTCGCCGACCGATTAGAGGGTAATGATAAAGTTAGGAAGAGGTTATGGCTGCTGATCGCCGAGAAGAAGATCAAAGAGGCCGCGTCCATCAAAGAAGCGATCGGTTTTTTGAAGAGATGCGAGCTGCTCAAGATCGAAGACCTTATCCCTTTTTTCCCGGACTTCGTGGTGATTGACGATTTCAAAGAGGAGATATGCGAGGCACTCGAGGACTATTCGCGGCACATTGACAGCCTGAAGCAGGAAATGGATCTGTCGCAACACACGGCAGAGCAAATCAAAGCGGAGATTGCAGCATTAGATCACCGTTACGCCATTGTGGAAGCTGGAGAGCGGTGCTGGATCTGTACGCTCCCGGTCTTGAGCCGGCAGTTCTTCGTGTTCCCGTGTCAGCACGCCTTTCACAGCGACTGCCTGGGCAAGCGCGTGCTTGAGAGTTCAGGGAGCAGCAAGAGGAAGAGGATCAAGGATCTCCAGACAGAGGTCAACCAGGGGCTGAGTGTGGGTGTCCAGCGACAAAAGCTAGTTGCCGAGTTGGATGGACTGGTTGCTGAGCAATGCGTTCTGTGCGGGGATTTGGGCATCAAGCAGATTGATGAGCCCTTCATCCATGAGGGCGATGATGTGGAAGCATGGGCTATCTGACAGCAACGTGTTGTGCATTCACTGGAGAGATCTGTGTGAGGGCAGCCAGCATGAGCTCCGGCTCCTCCCTACCATCCTACCATCCTACCACCGCGACACCATCGATATCACCACACGTGATCCGGGAATTCTTCTGGATGCCGGTGCAAGAAATCTCCCATTGGCGTCTGATCCGCCATCCGGTGCAGCGGAAGAGCAGTTGAGCGAATCCCGAGTCCTGGCCGACAGCAGGATTCGCCTCCCGCCGTGTCGCTCTTCCCACCTCCACGCCTGCATCACGGCGACAATTCCAGCACCGAAGCATAAAGCGCGATAGATGGCGATTCTGGTGCTGTTAAATGCCCGGGAGATGCCACGCCTTGCCCCTAGGAGCTGTATGCTATATACACAGCGATTCCCCCAAGGCTCTGGCCCCTTTTATTTCTGCCCCGCTCAGCCTGGTAAGCACGCGGTATCCATCAGTCCGAACAAGTCAGTATACAAACCGCGTCGAATGATCCAGTACACTACAGTGGCATCACAATTGAAATAATTTATATATTATCCTTCCTTCTTCCTTTTCTATTCTCCTCATACACCATTGCCACTGTTGCAAGATCCACCCAAGCCAACCACCTCCCCGTTTTAGTGTCGTTCCCTGAGTAAGAAGCACTCACCACCTCTCTATGGCTCAAGCAAAAGGCTTCACCATCTTTGCCCGTGCATGGACGGCGTCTCCTCCCCGAAAGACATACATGCATTCCATCCCCTCCATGCCGAGATCAGAGGATGAGGAGAGCGTTGACTCTTCATCCGGCAGCGACGGCACATACACTCCGAGCTCCGTATCCTCGTCGACGACCACCATCTCCACCACTTCAGCACCCTCGGCGGACATTGCCATGGTCAAGCCAGCCACCCGGGGGAAAGTCGACTTTTCCGTCCTGGAAGATATCTTCGCACAGGAGACTGCAGCAGAGACTCCGGGCTCCTCGCCCTTGTGGTACATTCTGACCACCGCGCTCCTTTTGGCCTTCCACAAGGAGAAGCTAATCGGGGAGCTCTGGGCATATCTGAGCGGAAGGGATGTGGCCGCACAAGACGGAGAACCAGGAGATTTGCTCGCCGTTGCCAGACGGATCCGGGAGGCGTGCTTGAAAGCCAGCACGCTGGTGGGATTCCCCAGGGTAAGTCTCTCGCCCCTGCACGTTGAAGGCTGCACTAGCCACCCAATAATAGTGACATGGTAACTGACCTTTTTTCCACCTAAACAGGCCATCAATGCCCTCCTCGCGCTCCAGCAGGCCATCAAGACCACCCACCCAGCCCTCTCCAGCATCCTAGAAGCCGACCAGTCCCTCCGCGCCGCCGCCACGCCGGGCGACCACGAGTCCAAAGCCGCGCGGGGCATGCGGCTGTTTGAGCGCATCTACGCGCAGCACAGCCCGCGCGTGCTGGCGGCCATGTCGACGTGCTCGGGCGGCGACCTGACGCACTTCGCCATCCGCTGCATCTACGGCGAGCTGCTGGCCGAGGCCGCCGTCATCGGCGACCTCGACACCGGCCTGCTCGAGTTCGTCTGCTGTCTGGCCGACGGCTGCGGCCCGCAGGCCAAGGGCCACTTCTTCGGGTCCGTCAACTTGGGCGCGAGCCGGGGGTCGTTGCGCGCCGCGGTGCGCTTGGCCGACGCGGTGGGCCGGCAGGTCCGTGCTGCGAGGCCGTGGGTGGTGGACGAAGACACGGGGATGGACAACGACGACGAGGATCAGGAACAGAATCGCGCCGAGTGGAGGTTCTTGGACCGCGTCATGGTCGAGTAGAGGACTTCCAACGGCAGTGGGTGATCTAGAGCCATGCTGGAATAGAGTAGAGTAGAGTGGAGTAGAGCAGAGCACAGGCGTTAGGGGAGGAGTATGGGACCTCGGAGCTGTTTTGTACCTAGACAGACACCCGTCTGCATAGGGTCTAATCGTACTTGTTTGTGTCTCTCTGTCCGTGTTTCAAGTCTGTTCATCCCCAGACCCGCTTTCTCGCGTTCCCTGGTGGTCTCGTTTCATCTCGATCCGATCCATTCCATCACCCTTCTCTACTAGGGGACTAGGGGTAGGATCACCCAGATACCCAGATACAGTGACTCGGGCGAGATGAGGGAGAATGGGAGATTGAAAGCATGGTTGTATGGGAGGAATCCGTTCCACACTCGTTCCACACTCCATGTCCAATGTATGTCTATCGGAGGAATGAGACACTCGTCCTCATTCGTCCTCCGTGCTTGTATCGCACCGTGTATCCATGACCCCGTCGGCGAAGTCGACCATCCGAAAACACCGAACAATGTCGCCGGTAAGTGTTTCCGACCGCCGTTCCGCGCGCGGCAAAAAGTCGCATCGCATCACTCTTTGGGCCCAAAGTACTGCTGCAGAATCTGCTTCTTGTTGACTTTGCCCATCGCGTTGCGGTCGATCGACTCGACGACCTTCAGGATCGTGGGCACTTTGTACGCGGCCATGTCTTCCTTCAGGTGTTTGCGGAGCGTCGCCAGGTCGAGGCCGGTAGAGACAGCCTGAGTCGGAATGTTAGTACTCAAAAGATCAGAAGCGAGGACAGATCATGACTTACCGAGTCCTTGAGCTTGATGACGGCCGCGACTCGTTGGCCCCATTCCTGGTCCTCGACGCCGACAACCACCACTTCTCCCACAAGGCCGCTCAAGGATTCGTTCCCCAGAATCTTCCTTTCGACCTCCAACGCCGAGATCTTGTACCCGCCGCTCTTGATGATGTCGACACTGTCGCGTCCAAGGATGAAGTAGGCGCCGTTGTCTTCCCGTTTCGCCACGTCGCCCGTCTTGAACCAGCCGTCTCCCGTAAACGACTCAACAGTGGCTTCCGCTCTCCGGAAATACTCCGTAAACACATTGGGTCCCCGGATCTCAATCAAACCCGACTCGTCCTTGCCGGAAGACGTAATGACCTGACCGGTCTTCTCGTCCGTCAAGCGAACCTGCACACCCGGCAAAGGCCAGCCAACACTCCCGTCAATGCGCTTCTCCTTCTCCAAGCCGCAGCTCAGGGCCATCCCTATCTCAGTCATGCCGTATCGCTCAAGTAATTCATGGCCTGAGATCTCCTCGAACTTTCGCTTCGTGGGCACCGGCAGGGCAGCCGACCCACTGACAATAAGGCGGAGGGCCCGGACGCCTTCTCGCGCGGCAGTCTCGGATGGCGTTCCGCGTAGGCTCGAGTCAAAGTAGTCGATTAATCTTGAATACACGGTGGGAACAGCCATGAACATCGTCGACGACCCTTTCTGAGACCACCGATTCCAAACCGTCTTGGCGTCGAATTTCGGATGCATTTCCACCGTCCCTCCAGCAAGTAGTGTGGCAGTAAGTCCATTGACGATGCCGTGGACATGGTGAAGGGGAAGAACGTGGATCAAATGATCGGACCGGCTATATTTCCAAGCTTCAACCAGGCTGCGTGCTTGGAAGGTAATGGTCTCATGTGTCGAGATGCACCCTTTCGGTCGCGAGGTCGTGCCGGAGGTGTAAATAATTAGGGCTCGTCGAGATAATGGAAAAGCTGTCGAAAATCTGGGGAGAAACGGAAAGTTTTTTGAGCTTCGAGTGTGCGGTGTCAGCGGCATAATTGGGATTCCTGGCGCTTGTTCTTGCAGCCCAGCCTCGAACTTCTGGAATGACGGATGCAGAATAATCAGAGACGGGTCTGAGTCCGAAATCGTATACTGGAGTTCTTTGAGCGGGTGAGACGTGCATAATGGCACTGAAACGGCCCCGGCGGCCCATACTGCCCACTGGGTGACGACATAGTCATACCCTGAGGGTGCAAGAAATGCGACTCTCGGTTCTTCCTCAAAGGTTGAAATCGCTGGATCGTAACTTGAGATATATCGTTGGATCTGAGCTTTTAAGGCTGCCACATCATTCAGGAGTTGGACAAAGGTAAAACTTTGGTCTTTGGTCTTGTCGACGACAGCAACCTTGTGTGGGTCTGCGAGGGCATGAGACCTCGCCTCGGCAAACAGAGGCAACTCAGGTATCGAGGGCTCGTCCTTGTTGGTTTTAGCTGAGTATCCAGGTACAGGGAGATTCGATGAGAAAAAGTCGAGCTGCCGGTCGGCGGGGAAATGCCAGCCAGACTGGCTTGGAGAAAGGGAGACCTCGATGCTCATGGTGGCTCGTGATAACCAATGCTTGTCCTGTCGTTCTTGGGGATGGCAATGCTCGAGAAGGCCGACTTGGTCACGGTGCCGGATGGCCACCATAAGAATGCCATATTTAAAACCCCTCGATCCGCATCCAATTTCATTGGGGTTCCCAAAATGGAAGTCAATCACCCCAACAATAACTCTGAATATCCGTCATATGTGGCGCATGGACGCCGGAAAAGAGCAATTTGACCAAGGGCTGGCGTCCGGACACACGGCGATTTTTCAATGATCGAGATGAACGACTTCTCAGGCAAATATCCCCGAAAGGAATAGTCCCGAGTGGGTGTAACCGAATGATGCTGGGGGCGTGGATCTTTTCCGCCAGTGCCACGGGGTGCCACGGGGTATTCTCGCTTCCATCGGCCTGTGGCTCTCCAGGATTTCTCGGCAGCGGCGCCCTCCAGTCAAAGAGCCTGTACCTCGTACACCAAGACTATTGGAAGAGAGAACCTCCGGCACCACGCCGTCGGCCTTCTTCCTCGACTGCTTCTATAAACAGTCCCGGCATTTCGCTCTTCGTGAGGGATGCACTGGCTTGAAGATAAGTGGCCTTGAAGGTCTCCCACAAGGCCATGTCGTTGGGGTGCTTCGAAACCGGTCGAGGGTAATATGGATCGTTGAAATAGAAAGCTCTTTGTAGCTGTTTCACACCCGCTGGAGAATCTGGGAATGGCTGACATTGGTCAAAATCCAACAGCCAGATGCCCATGGACCGTTGATGCAACGCAGACCTGAAAATGTTGGGGAAGTCCGCAAGCTCACAGCGCCTGCTCTCTAAGCGCGGAGCTATCGGCTCGCCGTCGACTTGCGGAGTCCTTCCCAAGACAAATTCAACGTCGTTGGCATCAATCTGTGCCCTCCAGTGCAGTATTGCAAGCGTTTGAGCCATGACATTGGCCCAGGTACCCGTATCAAGTTGCAGGTACTCCATTTCATTGACCATGAGGTCGAAGTTGCACAGTCGGAACGAGGCGGACGCTGATCGCTCGGCTCGTCGACCCAAGTACAGCCGGACCAAGCAGTCGTGGTTTTCCGGGAGCGCCAGGAAATTCGTCTTGTTGTCTTTGATGGGTTGAGGAGCGAACAGGTCCACGATGGCCTCGCGGACCCGCGGAGGTAGAGGGTGGATTCTGGTCGACAGAATGCCACAGGTTGGCTGGAAGTCTTCGGGAAACCAGCTGCGAAACTCGTTCCAGAACGTCGCCTCGGAGGGCTGAACCCAGTTACTCCAACGAGGTATGTTGATGTCTGCCGTGAGTTCCCAGGGCGCCTGGTGAAGTGCATCCTCTGCCTTCCTGTGGTTGCAGCTATCGTTCCAGAGCTGATCCTGTTTACCCTCGTTGGGAACTTTCAAGACCAGATCCATCAAAGCCCAGACTGTACCACACTGACCCTTTCCAACCTGTTTTGGGCCGTCCTGGCTCTGGAGAGACGCAACGGATTCGGGAGGTGGGAGGCTTGCAGGGTGAGCGGTGTCGGGAGCGTCGCCACGTTCGGCACCTGTGAAACACGAAAGAGGGTGGCCCATGGTTGCAGGTAACTAGACTGACTTTAGGATGTATGCCGTGAGGAAGCAGGAGACAGCACTGCGGGATGTTCTGTACGATGTTATATCTCTGAATGACAAGTAGGTGCCAAAATACTTACTGTGCCCGTTCCACAACTTTGTTCCCGTGCAAGCCCATGGTCGAATCTGCCGCTGAGGACCCCTCAAGAGTGGACAGCATACCATATCTGGTTCCTCTTTTCACCCCGAGACTGTCCTTGAGGCATGCTGCTGGGTTTCATTTTTGACTTTGCAAGAGACTGCAGTGTGTCCAGTGTCCGCTGTTTGTGCAAAGTTGCCATCCCAAGGACATGCACACTGGGAATATTGCTTTTGTCTGACGTGATAATTGCCTGCGCTAATCCCCCAGATCTCACACCTTTCTTTTGTCAGACCAAACCCAACTATTGCCCTGTACAACTCTCTGCACTTCCAAAGCTGTTACTCCTTCGATGCTTCTCATGGCTTGTCACAATCCATCAAAATGCTGAAGGCGCGCTTCTGTCTCCTCAATCTCGATTCCAGGTAAGTGGTAGGTTTCCACAGCTTGCGACAGCGATCTAAAGCACACCTTTGACAACACCAGCATTCTCGTTGATCACTATCTCTTGTACCTCACTGCTGCTAAGGCCCTATTCATGTTGGAAAAGCTTTCCCGGGCATCATTCCACTCTTACCCTCTCCCAAGAGGCCATCGAGAGATGACACAAGCACGGAGCGAATCAACCCATGCTTGACGAACGGCCGCGTTGCTCTATTGCCCCTTCCGAACACGAGCCCGCGGCCATCTCGTGAGCTCTGAACGCAACCCCGCCCTTGGACCCTAGGGTAAGGCACGCGACCCCTCGCCCGTGAGAAGGGATAGGATATGACTTCAGGTGTCGTCCGGGGGAAGCTCACCTTTCTACACCCAAGACCTCCTTGCAGCTTGAACAACACCTTTGCTTTGGACTTTCTACCCTTTAGCAACAGACACAACTCACCCTCATACCCACCGTCCCCACCTCCACCCACGATGGAAAGCAAGCAAGAAGCCCCTACAACGGCCCTGCCCACGACCAGCAGTAGCGGCATGGGTGCTTCGCACCGTCGCTCGAGCAGCGGCATCTCGGACGACGCGGCCAAGTCAGCCCACGACTTCATGGCCGGCACCATCCGCCGCTCGTCCAGCGGCGTGACTGACGACGCCGCCCGCGCCGCCCGCGACTTTGTGCGCTCCTCCTCCGCCTCCAACAAGGCCCCCGGCCTCAGCGACGACCTGACCCAGAAGATGCACAACTTCATGGAGGGCCCCGCCACGCACCGGGAGAGCCACAGCAAATACCTGCCCGACGTCACCCTGCCGGGCATCACGGACGAGGTCGTCGAGGAGGCCGTCGAGTTTGTGGACGCCGTCGAGAAGACCGCCCCAAAGGCTTGAAACTTTCAGCAAGGTAATACTTCTCGAGACCATATGTTGGTGGGATTGTACAAAAATATATATTGGGGATAGCTTTTGTCGAGTGCTTGCATGGATTGACTAGTTAGGGGAGAGTTCCTTGTATGACCAGATTGCCAACTAAACCATCAAAAGGGAGGGCGCGATGCGTTGTGTTTGTGTTGTTGGCGTTGGTTATCGGTGTTTCCTCGTTATGTTCATGTGTCGAAGACCGTCCTCCCCCTTTTACCAAAAATGGTCCATTGGGAGATATGGACAACATGTATCGCTAAAAAAAAAGGTCATATTATACTCGCTATTTAACCCTCCAAAAGTGCTAAACCACGGGTCCCTTCACCCTTCATCCGTCTGACTGTGTCACTTTTCCATTGCACCCTCCATCTCTCCTCTCGCGTCCTTTTCTTGTATTCATGCCTCGCCTCAAGAAATATCCTCGGGGACGACACACTGGCCCTCTCCTTTTTGCGTGCGCTCATCCTCGCCCTCACCAGGGTTGTTGAGCGCGCGCACCATCCTGCCCAGAAACCGCCAATGACCCTTCCTGCCCCACCCCTTCTCCTTCCACGCGTTGGCATCGCTGCGGGGGAAGAACTCGAGCACGCCGTCCAGCAGACTGTCGTCGTGCGCGTAGATGACCAGGACGTCCTCGTCGGTGTCGAAACAGTCCGCGAGCACGCCCGCGTTGGCCTGCGAGAGCGCGGCGTCTTCTTCGACGGCGCCGGCGATCAGGCAGAACGGCTGGGTGCGGGAGTCTTCACTCGTAGTGCAGGTCGAAGGCGGTAATGACGATGGTGACGGGGGCGGGGGCGGGGGCTGGTAGAGTCGGTGGCGGCGTGCCAGGGGCTCTGTCCCGTGCGAAGACGGGGAATGGGGCCGGGAGGACGAGGGCGGTGCGGTAATAGTGCTTTCTGAGGAGCTGGTTGATTCTAGGACGATGGTTTCGGGAAGCGGATACCGCGTCGACGGGCGGAAGCACATGCAGCTGTGCACGAGGTCGCCGGCCATGAGGATGAAGGTTGAGCTCTCACCGCCCGTGGCCGCCGCCGCCGCCGCCGCCGTTGTCGTCCTCGCCAGCGCGGAGAGATGGTTTGCGGTGTGGCCCGGCGTGTGGAGGACGTAGAAGCTGCCGTCGCCGAAATAGTCCCACGCCTTGAAGCCGCCGATCTCGCAGACCCGGGGATCGCTCTGCTCGAACGCCAGCTCCACCACCTCGCGCCCGGCGTACGTGTCCGCGGTCGAATCCTGATTGTCGGGGTCCTCAGGATACCCCGGCCAGTACGTCGCCTTGGTACCGGGGCCGACGAGCAGTTTCGTCGTGGCAGGGAACTTGGTCGTGTCCCCGACGTGGTCGAAGTGATGATGCGACAGGATAATGGCGTCGATGTCCCGCAGGTCGAGGCCGTTCTCTTGCAGAATCTCGGCCGTGTCCTTCTCGACCCTGAACTCCATCTGCAGCGGCGCCATCTTCTTGACCAGGTGCGGGTTCAGGTGGGTGCGGAAATTCTTGCGCAGGGCCAGGTCGTATAGCAGCCGGGTGTTTGTCGCCGGGTGATGGATCAGGAAGACGTAGCAGGGCACGGAGCTGCGTTCGTAGCCCGGGTAGAGAGGAGTCATGGCGACGTAGTAGGAGAGGTTGTGGAGGCGAGCGGTGCTGTCGATGACCGAGACGTTGACGATGGACGAAGATGGCGGGACCTGTAGTTTCGTGGCCATTTTTTCTCTTACTGGGGGGCAATCTGCTCGACAGGTTCCCGGTGCTTCTCGAGTTCGTAGGAGAGAGCGAAGACAGTCGACCGAGACAGGGCGAGTCTCTGGAGGATGCAAAGAGACGGAGTTATCGCTCCATCGACATCGAGTATTCACAACCTCCTGCTGTCCCTTGTGTGCTTGATCTCGTCTTGCCCTGAAATTTCAGTCCATCACTTGGCTTGCACAATTCATCATGCTTTCCCAATATCTGTGCTGACAGTGAGCGCTACCCGGCCAAGATAATGGCCGATGTGCATTGTTGATGTACTTCGGTCAGAACCCAAGCTCAACCATGCTGAATCAGGCTGCTGTAACCTGTCGAGTCACGTTCGATGGCGGCTGGCGATGGAAGGCGGATTATGAGCAGGGTGCCTCATTGACCGCGGTCTTGTTCGATGGATTATATGGTCCCTCGGAGGCCGTGTTCTTTGGTATACGAGGTGAGAATGGGGTCCGAGTGAGGGCGGAGAATCCCTGGAATCGGCAACAGGTGTCCCATTTCGGTAGACAAGGCCTTCACTCAGCACGTAACAACTTCCACGTCTCTCTCTTCAGGTTTGAGCCGAGAACAAGCTGCTCGGCGGGCATCGTGGAAGGGTTGGGGCAGAGATTGCTGTTGAAAAGAGACCTCCAAACCCATTTTGCTACGCATGTGTGCCAGCTGTCAATCCGAGAGCGAAAGGGATTATTTCATTTGTGGTACATTCTGATCATTTCGTCTTGTCTGGAGGCCCAATGAACCCGTCATAAGAATTCGTGTCGTGCGTCCCAACGCCTCAAGCGCCTTCATGTCCGTCGTAATCGCGTCTATATTGACCTCAACTCTCTTCAAATAGCCAGGCCAAGGACTCAGGCCAGTCGTTGTCCGACTTTTCGTTGTTGCTCATCTTCATTCTCCATTTCCGGTACCCCTTCCTTGCAAGTCGTTGATCGAACTCCTGTTTGCACCCGGCACACCAACGCTCCCTCGGCAGCGGTCTTTCATACGCCAACCCGAGAATGTAAGTTCGCCGAGGACAGTTGGGGACCCAACAGGATGAGCACCTCGCTTCCCGGCGGCTCTTGGGTAACGGGATCTGGTCGAGGGCGTGCCACCGCGAGTCTTGATGGTAGGCTTTGGTCGTACCGCTCCCAGACTTCTTGCTGTCCTTGTTCTCCTTCCATTCAATCAGAGCAGCCTTTCGGTCTGCAAGCCCTCCTGCAAATATGAAGCTGGTGGCCCACCATTTCCTCCCGCGGCGATCGCGACTTGCGTGGCGTCTTCGGCGTGTCACTCTCTTCCGCCCTCGCCAGGTCTCCATGACCTCGGCAAATTTCCGCTCCAAGCCGTCGATTTCCATGAGATCTTCCTCCCGTCGTCTTTGCTCCTCCAGTTCAAAGCACGGGACACATCCCCACCACAACTCGAAAGTGGAGCTGCCGCAGGAGGAGCAGACTCCGATTTCCTCGTCCGGATTGACCAGGCTTCGGCCTTCAAGCATCCACCGACGAAGTCTGCGGCCTTTGCTCGATTTGCGAACCATATCGCTCTTCTTGACCCAGTTCTCCTTCCACCATTCCCCCTCAATGTCACGGTATCTGCGCATGCAGTCCTTACATAGCCTGTTTTGGGCAAATTTGGCCCCTAGACCTGTGCCACGGTTGCTCATTCGCTCAACAAAGCACCACAAGGGCTTTTCCTCGAGACAGCCATAGCATCGGAGTTCTCTGGCGGGGCGCTCAATAAGCCGGAAATCAAAGGCGGCATAAAGCAAGTCCCAGAGGTGACCAAGTCGTTGTCGTGGATAGATGGATCTGTACTCCCGATACTGCTCCGCCTCGTTGTCAAGGCTTTCCTTGACCATCTTGGATCGAACGCGGCGGACTACATCCGTGGGAAGCGTTTCGTAGAGTGAGCGACATGTTTGTCGAAGAGCGAGTAACGTGTCAAAATCGACGAAGGTGGTAGCAAGGAGGAAATGTAGATCGCGAGGTAAGATGGAGAGAAAGGCACTCTTTTGTCCCCCGCCCGCCGTCCGTTCAGGGTGAGGTTTGTTCGTCGACAGCAAGGCAGGTATGGATGCACGTTGCTTAGCTCTCAAGATCAAAGAGGTCGGATGTTGCATCTTCATCATTGGGGGTATGTGATTGTTCACAGTACGCTCTGTGACGGTGATTCTGGTGGATTCCTTTCGATTATCTGGGAGTGGGTCATCGGGTGTCTCTCGAGAAGATTCATCACCCGCTCCGGCAGAACGAAACGACGATTTCGAGGGCGCTGCTAGGCAGGAATGTCCACGCGCCTCAGCCGGAGAAATGTGCTCCATGGTTTCGCCAATTGACCAAGTAAGTGAGAGATTCAAAAGTGGTGAGAGGCAGTGTCGCTGAAGCGGAGTGATCGCATGAAGAGATACAGAAGGATCGAGGCCCCAAAACAATCTTTGGACACCGTGTCGCGCTGCGATAGCTGAAGCAACCGTGTTTGCCCGTTACACACAGAGGCTGTAGGGAACCGTGTCCTGGTTAGGCTGGGAAGAAGGCAACAGCCTTTAGTGATTCAAGACCATGAACGCGCCGGCACGAATCAGTCAAGGACGCTGCTGAGTCTCAAGGGTCACAAACACGCAAGAAATGACAAGTCTGGTATCAAATGGGAAACGACGCTCTTCAAGGACTGCAATTACTTATGAAGGGAGAGAACGCTGGATGTTCAAAGAGTGATGGTGAGATGGTGAAGGTTCAGTGAAGGTTGGAAAAAGCGGGGAGGGGGAGGGGGGAAGACAGGACTCCTTCGATGGCGAGATGGCGAGACGGCGAGGATGGGCGGGCTCGATGCGTTATTGCATAGCCTAGTCCCTCTGGAGTTTGGTGATGTATGTACTCGTAAGGGGGCAGCAGGGAATCCCAATGTTTCTCTCACGCAAGCACTCGACGCGAATCGATCATTGTGTGGGCTCAGCCGATGACGACGGGGATGGGCTGCTGGGCCGATGGGTTGATGCAGGGGGTTTCAGGTTCCCTCCCGCGGCGAATGGGAGGGTGACAATGACGGGCTTCCACTGGCATAGTGAAGGGGCTAGGGCACCTACAAGACACCCTGAGACCCCAGAGACGCCAGTAGGCGATTAGCCCCCCGTGACTGACGGGCGCCACCAGTGTGACGAGGCCCTGGGGGACGTTCGTTAAACCAATGCCGGGGGGCTTTGCGAGTTGCGATATGTCTTGCGAGGAGCTAGAGTTGCCTGTTCGGTACATCCGAACTTTGCTTTTGGTTAAGCCAGCCAGCCTAACTTGCTTGACCGACGCCTACGAGTGCAGCAACTCAGCCACGTTTCTCATGAACCACCAGAACACCGGAATGCCAAGTCAAGTCGCAAGCAATCGCAATCCAACACAAACGCCATGGCGCTGGTGCTCAGGGTGCCATGTTCATGCCTACCCAGATACCTGGATCCTATTGTAACAGAAAAACAACCCAACAAACTCGACTTTGAGCAGTATCGACATCCCGATATCCAGCGCCCCCCGCTATGAATTTCGATCACGCTGTTCAAGCCTCATACTGGTACACATACATGAGCAGTGACACATGGACCACAGTATCCTGGTGTCTACAGTAGATCCCCCCCATACCTTAGCTCTTTCTCCGTTTCAGGATATGCATATACGACCGACCCGAGAAACATGGCCTACATCATGGACATCAACGAGCTCGCTGCATACGCCTAGCATGCTGTTAGCCGAACGCCATCTGAGGGGTGCTGCTCAATCGACTCACCATAGGCTTGATGTCAGGATGAGGTACAGCCTCAAACTGGTGATACTCTAACTTCATGTCCGGCCCAATGTTGATGTATGCTCCCTTGTTCTCCGTCGTGTCACAGTATTTGGGCGCCGAAAAGACTGTCAAGAGACGTGTTAGTGTCCATGCGCGGATTGGAAGTGGTGATTGGAACATACCAGTGATGCACTTTCCATCATGCTCAACCTCGTATCCATCCATCCGCACCTCGTGGCTTCGAATGACGGCCTCGAGGTTGTTGTTTTCACAGAATTTCTTCGTCACATCGGGGCCAAACTGCAGTCCCACCCCACGCTTGCTAGGGCCTCTGCCATTTTGAGGCTGAGGATCAGTCCAGAGCATCTCCATCATGAGCCCAGACTGCCCGGGCTGCCGCTGCACGTGGCGATCGAGTTTGCGGATGTCGTCTAGCGTAACCTTATCGTCCGAAAACAACCCACCATGGAGTGTCAGGTATTTCTTCCCGATCAAGGTTGCCAATGGCAGTGCTGAAAATGACTCGGAGAAGAGCTTGAATGTCTTCTCGTTGTACTTGGCCTTGCATTCGCCTTCGAACCCATACACTCGGTTCATGTCGTCCGTCTCGTGGTTGCCCCGGTTCAGGAAGAAGGCGTTCGGCCGTAGCCACTTGTAGGCGTAGAGCAGTAAGGCAATTTCCGTCGACCATGATCCTCGATCCACGAAGTCGCCGTTGAACAGGTATGCGTGCTTGTCCGTCGGGAAGCCATTGAGTCGGAAGATCTCCAGCAAGTCGAAGAACTGGCCGTGGGTATCTCCGCAGACCGTGAGGTTGGTGTCGGGCGCCACCTCCATATCAACCATGGTCGGCTCGTCATACACGATATCTCTCACAGCCTTGATAATCTGAAACACGTATTTCTTGTGGATCTTCTTGCCGTTCTTGAACCGCTCTATCATGTCGTCGATGAACTCCTGTGTCATTTCGTTCCCTAATCTTACACCGTCGTATTTCTCGTCCACCTCTATCGAGTCCAGGTCAAGGCCTTCGAATGCTGAGGGAGGTTCTTCGACTTCGATCGCTTTCAAGAATTGTATCTTCTTCACCAACTTCTCGCACTCTACCAGTTTGGCTTTTGCCTCCTTGTTGTTGGGCTCCTTTCGACAAACCGCCTTGAAGTCTCGGAGAGCATCTTGAGAATTTAGAATGGCAGTGTTCGCAATCGCTCGTCTCCAGTATGCCTATGCAATAGAAGTCAACCACTAGACCAGATTCGCAAGAGTTCGACTGTATACCTTGATGTAGTCTTTGTCGAGTTCAATTGCCTTGGTTGCGTCAGCGATGGCATAGCCGTAAGCCTCAAGCTTGATGTTCGCCTGGGCCCGATTGCAGTAGAACGACGGGTCTGCATCGTACTTTTCTATTGCCTTGGTGTAATAATCAATCGCGGAGGGCCAGTCATGTTGCGCAAAGGCCTGGTTGCCCTTGAGCTTCAGGGCGGTTGCGGCGGCCTTGTCTGCGGCGAGAGTCGAGGCCATGGCCGAAGAGATGGGGGTTGAATCGGCCAGGGAAAAATGAGAGAACAAGTGCGGGGGAGTAGAGCCACGAGTGCTATCGTATCATTCCGGTGTCGTGAGCGAACTGCGTTGAGCAATGGGTGGTCGAGTGTTCACTTGCCTCACCTAGTTTTTTGTCGCCGACAGGCCGCAAGTCGAGAACTTTCGGAGAAGTCAAAAGAATCTCGCCAGACCTGCAGTTTTGGGCTCATGAACTGTCCACGACCGGCGCCAGATCTCGTTAAGTGATGCCTAGCTCCACGCTACCGGCCGATCATCCGAAGCCTTAAATGGCAGTTGGTTGTTTGCAACTGCGGGCAGCAAACGCCCCTGCATCTGTGCATCTCTCGCATTTTCGTCATACCATCTCTTCATCCTCATCATGGCGGGCCGCGGTGGCCGCACACGCGCCTGTATGGTCTGCTCCATTGTCCAGACAGCCACTGTAAGCTGCATGTCATCGTTTCCTGCCCTTCGCCACGGCTGACCTTCGAACCGTAGGAATTCTACCGCAACGGTTGCCCCAACTGCGAGGAAATTCTTGGCCTGCGCAATTCTCAAGACGCGATCCAAGAATGCACTTCTCAAGTCTTCGAAGGTTTGATTGCGATGGGAGATCCTAAGACATCTTGGGTTGCTCGATGGCAACGCCTGACCGATTACGTGCCCGGGATTTATGCTGTAAAAGTCGTGGGAACTCTTCCGAGGGAGATAATAGATTCGCTGGAGGACAATGGCATCAAGTATATCCCAAGAGATGGAAGCGCGATGGAGGAGGACAGTGTTGCGGCTTCTTGACCCCCGAAGGACTCGGGACGATTGCGGAGGATGATCTGCACCATTCTATGCCCGGATGACAGGGTCGCTGGAAGTGAGGGAGGCACCCCATCTAGAATGAGCGTGGGACTGTCAAATGAATGATACACGGACTGAAGGAAGGACTTGTTATTCATGCGCTACGATACCTCCATTAATGGAGACCACCGGTAACAGAGATTTGCGCCAAACGCTACAGAGTCAAGCCACCAAGCGACAACTCCTCGATACACACACGAACTTTTGCGCCTCACAGAGACTTGGCCAACTTTTCGAAAGCATCAAGCAGAATGTCAGCATGGTGCTTCTGGAATATCAGCATCGGCCTCAACCGCACAGCCGACGCACCACTACCACCAATGTTAATACCGAGCGTCTTGGCCTTTGCCAAGAATTCGTCACGTTTGGGATTATCAAAGGCGATAAAAGTGCCTTGTCCTTTACCTCGGAGGTTTTGGAATTGTTGAGGATATTGCTGAGCGAGCCTTTCAATGCCTGCGTATAGGTAGCCACCCACCACCGCTGTATTCTCCACCAGGTTCAATCTCTCGATTTCATTGAGGATAGCGCGGAAGAGAATTGCTCGTGCGGGGTCGCCCATCCAGGTGTTGAATTGTCGATATGGCTTGTTCGGTCGCAAGTCTGGGTTGCCAAAGTAGTATCCCGCCGTTTGTGCCTTTTTGGAGAATGTCACCATGTCCGGTGGATCTTGCAGATTCCAGTGATCGTGAGCCCAAAACTTGCCTGTCGCGCCGACACCGGTTTGCACTTCGTCGACGATCAGGAGGACGTTGTTGCGGCGGGTGATTTCTCGTAGACCTCTAAAGAAGGCTGGACTGGCGTGGTTGTCGCCGCCTTCGGACTGTATGGGTTCTACGATCACAGCCGCCACTGGATTGTGGTATGTTTTGATGATATGTTCAGCTTCCTCCAGGCATCTCTTTTCTTCGGCCGCGTTTTCTTCCGCGTACTGTTCGAGTGGGTACTTGAGAGAAGGGAAGGAGCATTGAGGCCAGTCAAAGGCCGGGATGTCAATCTTGTGGATGGGCTTGCTGCGCGTGGTGGATAGAGTCCCAAACAGGCGGCCGTGGAAGGCAGTTTTGAATGACATGATCGACATATCAGGGGAGCCAGGCTTCTGGTTCTTCATCGTGCTCTCGATCTCTTCTGGCGTGAATTCCACATCTCGACCGCCACGCTCCTGCTGTCGCTTCCACATGAAAGCGGCTTTGTAGGCGGTCTCATTTGCGTCGGAACCGGCCGTGGCAGTGAAGACCTGGTCCATGCCCTTGGGCGCCGCTCGAAGAATACCGGTCTGGAGGATCGAAGCCCAGTCATGCGAAGGGAAGTTGCCTAACGCGGGTCGGTTGATGATCGCGGACGCCATCTCTGGACTGGTAGCGGCGAGCAGGAGCGAAGGGTTGTTGTAACCGACAGGAATGGAGGCAATCTGGGCGTAGACATCGAGCAGCACGTTTCCATCGGGATCGGCGATATAGTTGGCGTAACTCTGTTGGTAGTTTGCCAGCATGTTGAGGCTGCGAGTATCAAATATCTTGTGGAGCTCTGCAATGGCCTTTTGGCTCTGAGGCCCTGGAATAGGCGTAACCACCTTGGGCCCAACGGGCTCATCGGGAAAGAATGCTGTCTCCATTGAAGGCGTCTCGACGTGGGCTTGGGCTACGGCGGCAGCTTTACGCTTGTCCGTGCTTGTCGCCAAAGCTCGAACGGGTGTTGATCTCAAGGAGGATCGAGCTGGGATCGCTAGGCGACTGGCAGCACGCAGTCCGACGGAGGCTCGCAGGAAGGACGCCATTGTTCGTATTCAACCAAGCTTTGTGGACGTCGAGTACTGCGACTGTAATTGGTGCGGGGGAGGAGCAAAGTGAAGACTACTGACCCGCGTCCTGAAGCAGGTTTCCAGCGCTCGACTGAAAGGAGAGGTCAGTCTAAACTGATAGCATTGGGCTTACTCCAGACAATATAGGAATCAAATGAAAAGGTCAGGAGGGGATCACGGGGGTAGGCGAAGGTTTTCATTGTTGGATCATGCTGTGGAAAATTGAAGGGCGCGACGCAGGCAGGAGGCAGGAACAACCAAAGTGCGGAGAAGGACGCTGCAAGGGCGCAATTGGAGGGTCGGATATCCTCGCACCTCCGCCTGCGCAAATCAAAGCATATAGCGCTCCCCCACTACTGTCGCTGGAGTCCTTGACAGCTGCTTTAGGAAGCCCCAGGCGGCGTTTAAGAGGCTTTGATGAAGGGCTGACCTTTGAGAGACATGGTGTGGGTATGTGCCATGCAAGCATAGAATGAGGAGACCCGTTTGTGAGTGGATGTCTTTCGTTGAGGACTGTTTTGAGGTATTCCTTGATAAAGACCTACGCTATACCAATTGTTATACCAATTGCTGTCATGCCATTCTTACCCCTATCCTCTGCGCTCAAGGTTGTCCATCGCCTGCTCATCACTTAATCCCTCCTGGCCCGGGGCTCGATCAGTTCGCGGGCCATCCGACGCACCCTTGACAAAATCCGACGGCTGTGCCTTGTGCTCCGTCATTCTTGTCGAGCCCTTGGCAAATGGATCGTGAGTGACACCGCCAGGCACTGCGTGCAGTCGTTTAGAGTCGACTTGAGAGGGCAGGGAGTCTCCTGTGCCAGTGAGAATATCATTGGCAACAGTGTCACTGGTAGTCTACAGATAGTCAGCTTGAGGCATGGGGAAGATGTTGAACCGAGACTCACCCTTGGGATATCACCATCATTGGTCGCTGCCTCTGCAAGTGTCCGGCCACCCAGGGCGTTGCGATCTAGTTCAGAGGCTATTTGATCGGGTCGTGCATTCGAGGGTATGTATCTAGGCTCTGCTGCGTCGTCCGGGACCTTTGTACCTTCCTGTGCCATGTCGAAGAGGTCGCCCCCGCTGTCTCGTCCGGATTGAGCCATGATGGATTCAAAATAGTCACTGTTCACGTCAAGGTTTGAATCAAGGGTGATAGCAACGGTGTATTCTGGTGGAAGTGCAGAAACGAAGAAACAGATAGATTCTCCCACACAATTTATCGCTCGATCAGCTCGCCTCTGAGCTCAGGGATCGAAGTTGATCTCGTGTGCAATTGACATTATCGTCATCCAGTGGAGATAATGATGTCACGAAACTTGCCTCTGAAGTGCCTGGGTTCCAGTCATGATGGCAAAGCTGCGTCGTGGTGATCAGGTCCATGAAAGAGAGATTGGCGTGAAATGCCATCTCTGGCTTTGGAAAGAATGCACTGATGAGAGGGAAGCAGCAGAGGTTGACTGTGTCTCGACTTGATTAGCGTTGATTCCGTCAACATTTAGCTTAGCTTTCTTAAGCTCTGTCGAAGAGCTACGTCCCCCGCAGCCCGTCGAGTTGCCGAGGCAAAGAGCTTTCACCATGAACAACGAGACATAATCAAGCGATAATATTCAATTCAGCAGCCAACTTCGGCTTCCTGTTGGTATATACCCAAACCAACAAGTTTCCGTACTGCCTCCAAGAATCAGCACTGTGCCATCCATCCGCGAATCCTTTTCTCCGATCGTTGTAAGCGTCGAGCAAAGATGGCCGGTCCAAACAACGGCATTGTCCTCTACCACTACTCGTTCTCGCCCTTCGCTAGGAGAGTTCTGTGGTATCTGAGTCTGCGAGGCATGGACTATGCTGAGTGTGTAAGTGAAGTGACCGCCAGCCATTCGCCCATCCTTGTTGTCTTGACTGAGCGCCTACTGAAAACTAGTGTAGAAGCAACCGCCGGTCATGCCTCGACCAGATCTCAGTGTCCTGGGTGTCAAGTACAGACGAATTCCCGTAATGAGCATAGGCCGTGATGTCTACTGCGACAGTCGAATCATCCTGCGCAAGTTGGAAGAATTGTTCCCCGAAGGCGCTCTGGGTGCATCAAGCCCCGAAGAGAAGGCCATTGAGAAGTTTCTGGAAATTTGGAACATAGAGGCGGGACTCTTTACACGAGCGTCGCAGCTGATCCCGACGAGTATGCCACTTTTGAACGATCCTAAATTCACCAAAGATCGAGAAGAGTACTCCGGCCGACCATGGAGCAAGGAATACATCGCCGAGAATCGACCCGAGGCCGTGGCAGCCATCAGAAGCGGATTCAAGCTCCTCGAGACTACCTTACTGGCCGATGGGCGGAAATGGGTACTCAAGACGGAAAAGCCGACTCTGGCCGACATCGAAGGTAAGCAAAAAGTACACTGCAGGCACCTAGCAGGGTCGCTATACCATGTCGATTTGGCTAATGCAAGTGGCCCCAGCCATCTGGACCTTTGATTGGTTGAATGGACTCAAAGGGGCACTTCCCCGGGAGTTGATCTCTGACAAGGGATATCCCAAGGTATTTGCGTGGATTGCCAGGTTCAACAATGTTCTCAAGGCCGCCAAAGCTCAAGCGCCGAAACCGGCCTCTTTGAAAGGCGACGCTGCAGCTGAGCGGATCCTCAACGCTTCCTTCGTCGACAAGGACTTGGGCGTTGACCCCGCGGATCCTCTTGGATTGCAGCCAGGAACCGAAGTGGAAGTGTTTCCAATCGACTTGGGCACCCAGCATCATGACCAGGGCCGCCTGGTTGGGTTGACTGAGGATGAAGTTGTCCTGAGCACCCAAGCCAAGGGAAAGGAGGTCCGCCTACATTTTCCCCGGACAGGGTTCCGGATCAAGGCAGTCACTGGCGGAGCCAAGTCGAAGCTGTGAGGGTGGCTGCACAATCTTGCAGTCGGAGAAGGTGATAGTCGTTCCACAGACACAAATATGATCCGCTGCTCTTGCCTATCCCTGAGTAAAGAAAGCATCTGACCGTCTTGCCGCCCGAGTAGTGCACGCATCGGCACGCTCAGAACCAAGCCACCTGAAACGGAAAGCCAACCTATGTGTCACGAATTCTTGATATTGGGCTCTGAAAGATTCGGAACGGTCGAAAGTCAAGACGCCAATGCGTATATCCACTGGCTGTCTGCGTGTCGGACCATGCCATCTCCATTTTATCCCGTGTTTGCTCTTGTGGAGCTGTATGTTGGGTACAACCTACCTGCCACACCGGTCTGGAAAGTGATATTCAGTAGGGACGTGGTAGATCATCAAGTTCTCGATGGGTTCGAAGCCTAGGCTGCCAGATTCCTAGCTTTTAAAACTCCAGGTTTCTTCCTGTCTCTCGTTGTCTTCAACAATTCAACAGAAGAGGTAGTGGGCTCCCCGGCATGGAACTATTATGCAATAGACGGTGAGCGCATCGGGCCTGGAGGCATTTTGGTCTTCTCACCTCATGGTCAATAAGCTTCGTGCGATTCGGAGAAAATGTGACATGTCACACATGCAACAGCGCAAAAGACTCAGTAGATGCCCAACCCGTGATAGATTGCGGTGGCCAATTGTAGCCCCATGGCGTCCTTTCTTGGCTGGTCAGAAACGCACAGAGACGCGACGCCCATCAGTCTTGCTGCCCAACGGGAGGCCATTGGCTGGATACCGAGTCCCAGCTGGCATGTTTGGGGGTTGTCTGAGCTCACCGGTGTCACTAGGCTGAGCTTTTTCCGGTCATCTGCACTGATAAACCCCCGTGTAAGGAATCGACCGGCCGGTAAGCTCCAAGGCTTCTGCAAGCCTCCCACGCGCGGGCCTCGCTTGTCCATGTCCGCCACGGGGGTGCCAGGACAGGGTGACGAAGGGAGGTAATCTGACGACTGAGGATATTTGGGGCAATTTGATGAACTGGGGATGTCGCTCTCGAGGCAAGTTGCCATGATCGAGAGGGAGGATGGAGTGGAGAGGATGAGGTGAAAGTGAAGAGACTTGGGAATCTTCTTTTCCCACTCTTTCTTTCTGGAAGCAAACGGGATGGAAGGCTCCATGGGAAGCACATGTTGCGACTAAGTGTTTGCAGTGGTTGGGTCTACCGTAAGGTACAGAGTTGCTTGCAAGGTCCTTTTGATAAGCAGTCTGCTATGCCTTCTTTCTGCTGTCCTTTGCCTGCGAACTGAAATTTCTCTCTGGCACCTCGCCTCGCCGGTTAGCCATCCCATCAAGGACGAGGCTTGATTTCTATTCGATAGCTAGAATGCCACCTTCTATTCTCTGCTAGACTGGGTGCCTGTTGATCGACGGTTTGTGGTGCAACCAGCCAGTATGATCATCATCCCACTTCCACCGTGTCTCGCGTTTCAGGATCTGGCGAGACATCGCGCTGACTCGATGCTCGCTTTTCCTTCCTCTTGCACCCTGTATTATGCCGCAGGAGGCGCAAAGAGACAGCCAGTCGCGACTAAAATGGGGAAGAGACGAGGGGTCTTGGGAGGCGCCGTTGACCACTGTTGTGCACTCCGGGGTATTGATCAGCAAGCTACTCTCGTTCCTTGACTTTTGCTGTACATACCTAGGTCGATAGGTACCTCTCCAGGCGAGGAGTAGGCGTGTCAAGTACTCCGTACACCTGTGACCTGGCTCGCTGGGCACCCCAAGCGGCTTATTTGGATTGGGCGGCTGTACAGGGCCGTGTATGAGCATCGATTGGGTGGTAGGGCCTCGCTTGAGCCACCACGCTGTGCAGCCTCTGCCTCTGGCTCACTAGGCCTCTGCCCAAAAGCCGCCTGGTGGCAGTTCTGCCTGCGCGCTGTGCGCACACAACTCGCCCCCTCTCCCTTCTCTTCTATCTTTCCCATTTCCACATCTCGTCAACCAGCAAAACTTGTCCCTTCCATCGTCACCCTTCCCCCCCGTCCGATTAATCACAATCGCCCACTCCTTTATCCAGGCCATACCCATTCATTGGATCTCAATCCCTACGGACTCCTTGGACTTGTCTATCCCGGTGGATTTTGATTACCCAGGAGTTATCTTAGCCCACAAGGAACCTGACCAACGCAATCCTGTCGCTTATCCTCAAACCGTTCTCCTGATCACTTTCCTTCCCATTTGTCTGTTCCCGCCTTTGTTGCTGCCCAACGGAACAAGGATCTGTCCCTCGCGCATCGGAGGCCCTTTATATTCGCGGCCGCCAGCATGTCCTCCCGTTATGATGACCGAGACTACCGCGGAGGCGAGCCTCGTCGAAGAGAACGAGAACGTGAGCGTGAACCCCGCGAGCGTGTTGAACCTGCACCCCGAGAGAGAAGGATAATAGACGACCACCCCGAACGAAGAGAAAGAGACACTCCAATGTCGGATGTCATGGACATTGGCATTGACCGCCGTGTGGAAGCCCGCCCGGACCCCAGGATGGACCGCATGGATATCGCAAGAGACCCAACAAGGGCCAACACTGCCAGGAGCATCGATCCCCTCCGGTCGGAACGTACCGTGGACAGCCGTAGCGTCGAGCCTCCTGAAAGACTGTATCAAGATCCCGCCACTGGAACAATGTACCGCCAATTGCCCCAGAGATATCCTCGTGAAGACCGTGACTACCTTGATCCTGTTCCTCCCAGCCGTCGTATGCCAATGGACGCAACCATGAGGGACCGTGATGAACCCTCGAGGCCACAACTCCAGCTTTCCGAATTCTGGTGCCCAGGAGAAGGAATCGAACGCGAAGTGATCCAACATGAGATTTGCAAATTCCTTGGCCAAGATGCCACATGTCGTCCCGGTGTCGACGCTCGTGTATGCTGCCTCACAAGGTCGTTCTATGGTAAGTGTGGTTGCTAACATGTGTCATTAGGGACGTCCGGGATACTGGGTGAGGGCATATCGCGCACTTACGACGGTACGCACTCCGGCTTGCCGCCTTTCCCCCGTCTCATGAGATTCCAATACTGACCGACCCCTGGGTAGGCGATGGAACAGAGCCTCCGTGATGAGACCGAGAGATGGCTGCGCGAAAAAGAACGAAGGCGACGACAGGGTGAAACCCGAGGTATGGGCCGCACGACACCTCCAGCAAACGAGTCTAAGGCTCGGGCAGGTTCCTATGCCGACTTGGCAGACTCGCAAGAAAGGACCCAAGACCGACGACGCTTCCCACAGCCTGGAGACATGGACCTTGACGAGGATGATTATCGTACGCTTCCCAGGCATCGTGAACCCCGTGAGCGTGAGCGTGATCGTGAGCGTGACCTGGAACCTCCCCGTCCCGTGGCTACTGGCCGTATACCGGTCACTACTGGCTATCCCCCGGAACCTGGATATACCCAATATGCCATCTCTTCTCAGCAGGCAGGATACGCTCCAGGCCAACCGGCATACTACGGAGTAGACAGAGAACCACGGACGTTACATGGCGGTAACACCACGCCCCCGACATCAGCCATCAGCCGAGTCGCACCATCAACTGGCTACAGCCAGCCCCCATACCCAGCGAGGACAGCACCGTCTGTCACCCAATCGATATCAGCATCTTATGATGGGCGAGGGAGAGACCTGATGGGTGGTCCCTACCCACCCAGCTATCCAGAGACACGTACCTCTAGAAGATGAGCGCCATCTTGCTTGTGACCTTTTTCATTCAGCATACGTCCCTGGATAATGTTAGGCCTGAGCAGGAGCTACCCCAAACCCCGGGATTCACATTTCAAAGGTCCCTATATTCTTGCCCGGCCGTGCCGCAGGCCTTGGAACAAGCAGGCCACATGGATTGCAAATGCACTGTTATTGTTATGCCCGGATTGACATGACGACTTGTGCCATGGAAATACAACCGGATTGTTACATCGGCGCTCATGATGCCACGAACTGTTGGAGGTTTCAGAGGCAACACAGTTTGCGCGGTCTATGATTACAGAGCGATACCAATCAGCGCGTCACTTTACTGGAGTCGGACTATTCTGTCCACCATCTTTCCATGGATCCTGGAGGCGTATTGAAAAATACTGGAAACGGATTTCCTCCCAAAGATTGATAACCATCATGGCAAAACCCGGTCATACGAATCAGGAAATGGTGGCACCGGGCATTGGATTGGCGTGTTGGATATGATTCATGGAGCTTGAAAGGTGTTTTTGTTTGATCTATCGAGACTGATGACAACGACTAATAGCAACGACACCTTATACTACTGGCTTGTCATTGAGGCTTTGTTCCGGAAGATTCTGATTGTTGCTTCCTGTCGTGATCCTCGTTGACCTGGATGGCCGCATCGTTCTCGTACCCGGATCTCCCTTGGTGTTCCCTTCTCTTGACCTCGGTCTTGCAGGCTCAGTCCGCTTTGACAGTTCGAAGCTCGCTTGATTGAATGAACAGGCAACCTTCTTATCTTCTGAGCCCACTCTCACTCTCGACAGGATATTCCTTGGGACCTACTCTTGAACGAAGACCAAACTGGCAAGAAGTCAACGTTCTTGGTGGCCACCAAAACAGTCCCCGCTTCCCGCAGTCTGTTTTCTTGCAGCATGGTCTGACACATATGTAGCTCTTCCTCCTGTTTTCCCAAGATCCTGGATTTCTGGCACCCGTCGTTGTCAACCCCAATGCCTCTCTTGCTCATCATACACAGGAATATCCGTTGCTCCGTTGCAGGGAATCAAGAGGAGAGGGAGGTGTTGGGAGTACGTCGAAGGTAGACACCTCTGCTAGACCTGGTCGAGTCGTCGAAGAACCATGGATTGGGGTGAGTGGTGACTGCCGGTCCATCGTGGGCGACGATATCACGATGAAGTTGTCGCCAGGCCGCCAAGACCTATTCACCTGCTCAGCGTGCGCTTGATCGAGAGTGTCACTCGTGCCACATGTTGTTCCTGCCTCACCCGGCCCTCATATCAACATGAGCGTGATTCACTAGCGGGCGGCAGTCCCTTATAAATCATTTCTCCTTCACGGATATTTTCTCTCTTCTTTTCTTCTCTCCCCTTTCACCCATTCCTCTCGTCACCTTTCTCCCTCCTTTCCTTGCCTGAAAGGGTGTACACCCCTTCATCCATCTCAACCATTCCTTGCGATACTGCCGAAAACTCCCTCGCCGCTGTCACGATGGCATCACCATCCAAGTCAGATTTTCCCCGGTTTCTGGACGGGGACGTCCTGGTGGTCATCTCGCCGACTCAAGTCTACAAACTGCACTCTCAAGTCCTCGCAGCTCATTCCTCAGTCTTTGCGGAGGACATCGCGTCGAACCCAGGCCCTCGTCTGAATGCGCAGGCTCGCCGCGACAACGCGGTCGCGTACCGTTTTGAATTCAAGCGGGCGCTGGAAGAAAATCAGTTTGGCGAATTCGTCCGTGTGGTAAACAAACCTCCCTCGAATGGGCAGTGTCACAACAGACCAGACACTAACGAAAGTGCGATGCAGGAGATCAACGAGTCTGGGCGGGTTGTAGGCCCTGTCCTGCATATTGTGTTGCCAGACATCGAAAATGGAAAGGCAACTGACCACAGCAACCGTGCGTGGGACTGGCTCTTTGGCATCTTCTACAACCGTGAGCCTGTCTTCGATGACAGCAGCTTGGCCACTGTCCTCTCGTGTGTTGTTGCTCTCATCGAGTGCGCTGAATCCGTCGGCTCGAGCGACCATGTCCGCGACGTAGTTGACCTGGCTCTGATGCGTCAAGACAATGTGCTTTGGACTTCGATCCTGGGTAACCCTCACGTGTGGATCGAGCTCGGCCGCCGTGTCCGATCCCCTGCCATCTACAGCGAAGCAGCCATACACTTGATCGGCCAGTGGTCCACCATCGCCGATGAGGAAAAGAATCGTATCAGTGAAGATATCCGAGCCATCTTGGAGCGCAAGGCGACTGAACTTTCCTTGGCCAAGGAGGCTATCGAACTTCGTATCCTTGGTCATTACCCGACGTTCATGCGCCGTGCTGCAGCCGACAAGCCCGGTCGCCCGTCGTATTCTAGCGACATCTACATGTGGATGTGTGTCTGCTTTTTCCGTCAGTGGTTCACTCAAAACATCTCCGACGACCGCACCCGACGCGCTCCTGACGGAGGCTTGAATTTCTATACCGCCCTTCACGAAGGTGGTGGAACCTACCTCACCCACATGGATTTCCAAGAGTTCCACAAATATTTCCCCATGAGTATCAAGGCGTGCCATGTGCTTGAGGCGAATATGGGCATTCTTAAGGAAGACATGAAGTTTTTCGTGGCAGATCTCATGGTCGAACACACTCACTTGAAGCGCGACAAGAACGAGATCCACTGGCTGACATGTGCCAAAATCAAGAAGGAGGATATGCCATGGTACAAACCAGATAAGATCGCAAAATCGACCGATGCATTGCAAAGCATGTATGACGATATGGACGACGAGCAGGCCGTCATGCAGGGTCGACACACTGCCGATAGTGGTGGGAAACGAAGTGGCCATGACGACGATTACTTTCGCGCTCGACCAAAGAAGCGAGCCAAAGTCCACGAACTTGACAGCGCCAGCGAATCTGACTATCATGAAGAGTCCTCAAATGACATGTTCGTCAGTGAAGCTGTGGATGACCTGATGGAGGAGTGATCCGTGTATCGCTCAAACTGTGGTTAGGATCCTCGCTCGGACACACCTGCCATCATCGACCGTCATCGGATGGTCCCAAGGTGCCCAATGTACTCACATTGGCGCGACATACCCCGGACTTTTTGATATTGTTTGAAGACGTGGCGGCTACCTGCGGATGAAGCAAGTGCACAAGAGCATAGGAAGCACACGCGCGAGGCGTGACCCAGGACATTACTTATGCACAAGGAATCGAAAAACAACAGACATGCGAGGCGTGAACCAGAACACTATTTATGCACAAGAATAAGCGAAATAGATACGCGCGTGGCGTCAACCAGGATACCACCAGCACATAAGAGCATACGAGACAGACACGACAGGTGTTGAGCGAGACACCACTTGCGCACAAAAACATACGAAACAAACGTACGAGGTGTGAGCCAGGACACTACTTGCCCCCAAAAGCATACGAACCAGATGCGGGAGGTGTTGAGCGTGACACTACTTGCGCACAAACACATGCGAACCAGACGTACGAGGTGTGAGCCAGGACATTACTTTGACATTGGCTATAAGAGTCAAAAGGCAGACCTCACCCCAACAGAGGCTTTGGTTCTTGGTCGAGGCGCCATCTTGGTGGACGTTCCCTCCGTGTTGCTCCTTTGTCACAGAAGAAACCCAGGGCTGCAGAATTGCGAAACGGACGAAAAAGCATGCGTTCAATCGAATTGCTGGGGACATAGGGGGATTTGATCAAAAATCGATTTTTGAATAGAATGCACATTTTCAATGGTTTTCTGTCCCTTTCGTCATGAACTGTAGTCCGGCTCGCTATGTACATTGCTTGACCACCATCGCCTTCTCTACTGCCAGCATAATCAGAGCCATTGTAGACCACTCCTCCGCCTCTAGACTGCAAGGGCCTGTATTAAGTACCCGATCGCCCAAGAACGTGAGATCTCGGCCAGTTGGGATCTAAATAAACTTGGGCTTTCATTCCGGGTCATCGAAGCCCGTCGGTATCTTTCTCGGTCCACTTGGTACTAGAAAGAGATGTGTGTTAGCAGGTTTCGTCCCAGCAACATCGTCCCTCAAGGTGCATTTGCCTGTCCAATGGCTCCTCTTTGACTGTCTGCAACTCATGGGATTTCTAAAGACTGTAGACCCAGAGCAACCAGGTATCCCCTTGTTGATGCTTCAATCTCCCCCTTTTCGTTTCTCCTCATTCTGAGTACGAACCGAAGCTGGTTTCCCACAAGGATATCACCGCCTCTAGAAAACGGACAATAGTCTCTCGACTCGTGTGTACGTACCGGGATAAGTCAGCGGAATTCTCGGTGGATCCTGGTCTCCAAAGTATCTCCTCATCGGTGGTATAAAGACAAATGTCGCAGGACCCAGGCCGCCTATCACACAGCTCCAGAAAATCGCCGGCTTCTCGTGCGCGGCCCAGCGAAGATACCGGATGGGTTGACCCCAAAAACGTTGAGGGGCGCCGGACATTGTTGCTCAATGAGAGGGCGTGGAGGGCAGGTGATGTGTGCGCTAGGAGGGGCCTGGAGCAGGACAGCTAGAGGAGATGAGGTCGTGATCGCGTGGACAGGCTGGTGACGAGGGTATGGAGGGAGGAAGCTTTGCTTTGTTTCGTAGAAGCTGAGCTGTAAAGCGAGGATCGGCTGACTTTGCGAGCTCGAGTCGGGTTTCAGATGGTAGCGGTTCGCAAAGGAGAGAAGCAATCAATATGATCACCGTGGGTTGTCCCGTTGTCTCGCCCTACGTCGGGCTCAATTGGCGGTTGTCTGAGGGAGCGCCATGAGAGGCAGAGCGTTGAAGCTCGAGACGAGGTTCGGAAGGCAGCCTTGGCAGCTACGGCGGAGCATATGACCAGCTTGCGACAAGGCTGAGGAGAAGATTAATTGACCACGTCTCCGCAGTCCGCAAAGCCATTGGGGGAGCGTACGCAATTACAGCAACAACCTCCGAATGAATGTCCCTGCTTAAGCACGGGAACCAGGTCGGTCCATCTTGTCTTCTCTCAAGATGCGGCTCTTCTCTTCAGTTTGTCTTGTCCTCCTATCACTGCTGAGCGCCGTGTTCGCCAACAGCGCTGTGGGAGATAGAGTCCTGGTCGTTCTTGAAGACGAATCGCAAAAGGGACTCTACTCGCAGTTCTGGGCTGATCTGGAAGGTATGTTTCTTTGGGAGTCGGGGCCATTCTATGACGCGACTGGGACGACCGGCGGCTGATTCGACCTCAATTAACCAGGGCGTGACTTTAAACTGTCTTTCCAGTCTCCCAGAAATGAGGACCTGGCACTCTTCAGACACGGCCAATTGGCCTACGATCATTTACTCCTTACACCTCCAAAATCGAAAGGTAATGATTGCCAACCCAAAGCTTTGCTCGGGCTAGATACTGAGAATGAACAGGCTACGGTCCAGCCTTGACTCCCAAGATACTGCTTGACTATGTCAATGCAGGTGGAAACATCTTGCTTGGTCTGTCCTCCGACGCGGGCACGCCTTCCGCCATCTCTTCCCTCCTGCTCGAGTTTGATATCTCATTGTCTCCCGATAAGTCCTCGGTGGTAGTCGACCATTTCAACTACGATACCGTCTCCGCGGCCGAAAAGCACGATGTACTACTGGTTGATCGCCCGGGGCAGTTGAGGCCCGATGTCGTCAACTTCTTTGGTGGCGACGGCACCCTAGCTGTGCCCAAAGCAGTTGGCCAGACCTTGGGAAATACAAGTCCTCTACTAGCGCCGGTTTTGAAGGCGCCCGTCACTGCGTATGCATATAATCCAAAAGAGGAGGGCGAGAGCGTGGAGGAGCCCTTCGCCACGGGCTCACAATTGGCGCTCGTATCGGCAATGCAAGCGCGCAACTCTGCAAGATTCACAGTCCTCGGTTCGTTGGAAATGCTTCAAGACAAATGGTTCGACGCATCGGTGAAGTCGCCGACCGGGAAGAGCGTGAAGACTGCGAACAGGGAGTTTGCAAAGCAATTGACAGAATGGACCTTCCAGGAGATCGGCGTTCTCAAGGTCTTCCATATCCAACATTATGAGATCAAGTCGGCCACCAAGGCGGGGGAAAATACCACGCAGATCAGCGAGTACGATCCGGCTATCTATCGAATCAAAAATGACGTGGTAGGTGTCTGGTCTGGCACTGTATAGCTCTCTTCAAGTGACTGACAACTTTCGCCAGAAATTCTCCATCGAAATCGGCCAATACGACCGAACACACTACGTGCCCTTCACCGTCCCTCCCAATGATGCCCTCCAACTCGAGTTCACCATGCTCTCCCCCTTCCACCGCATCCCTCTCCATCCGTCCTCCGTGACCCCCAACAGCACCGTCTTCAGCACGACGTTCACGACCCCCGACCAGCACGGCATCTTCGCATTCAAGGTCAACTACAAGCGGCCCTTCCTCACTTACATCGAGGAGAAGAGACAGGTCACCGTGAGACACTTTGCACACGACGAGTGGCCACGGAGTTGGGCCATCAGCGGCGCGTGGCCGTGGATTGGGGGCTTGTGGAGCGTCATCTTGGGATTCGTGGCCTTTGTCATGGTGTGGCTGTACTGCGAGCCGCCCAAGGAGGAAGCCGAGCGGCGGAGGAAGTTGAGTGTGAGCACCCCTAGGTGAATTAGGTGCAAGGCTTTTCGCCCCGAGGCGTGGTCATGCTGGTTGGTTTCCACGGCGGAACAAGAATTTCAATGTACTCTAACGGGCTTCATTGGCGGATGAACTGAGCATATATAAGGGATTCTTTAGAGAGAAAAGGCTTCGAATGAGAAAAGCGATCAATTCAGCAATGATTTTCTTTAGACCAGATGTTGATTCGTTTCATGCTTTGCTTTGTTGAACTATGTCCATGCTATCTATTGTACATGCTATCGTGACAGCGGTGCGCCATTTGCAATATTGACCCTCTTTCGGCCGGCTCCTTCTCGATCTCTTACAAGTCTTGCCGCAAGCATTCGCTACATGTCGTTCCACAATTTTCAGAATGAGCTCCCTTGCTCTAGATGGAGAAGGATGTCCAGTGAAATTCACACTCTTTGAGCGATGGCCACAAAACAGCAACGCGATCGTTGGAGCGCCGAGTCTTTGGGTCACTGTGCCACCTATTGTCTCGCAGCCTCTAGCTCTTCGCGGCCCCACGGACAAGTTGAGTCGACTGTGCCATTCAAAGTCGAGGTCAGTCGGGGATGGCTTCAAGCTATGCGAATCGCTCCTGAGAGGTGAGAAAGACCTGCTGGATTGGGTCTGATTGAGCCGGCCAGTTCTCGGCGCAGGTCTGCGTGGCCGCTGGTGGTGTCTGAGGACGGGATTCCGGCGTTGGAGCAGCGAAGATCTCCCCAGGCTGTCCGGCGAACATGAGATGCTTCTTCTCTTGAAAGGACGCCTACGCCATACTTGGGATGATCGCTGGGCTTTCGACCTCCAGCCAAGCAATGCGAATCATATCGTCTCGGGTCCGCGGTGCTCTCGATCTTGCGAAACATCACTTACAGCCCCCTTGTCTTACTCTCGTCAAACCCCAGCCCCTCGACCTCCCCTTTCTGGCCCTTGCCCATCTGCTCTCGGACATCAAACGCCGGCCGTCCAGCGTACAGCTGGCTCTTGAGCCCTCCCCCCGGGGCGCCGTCGACTTTTCTCCCGCTCCCGTCGCCGCCCTCGAGTTCCAAGCTCGTGGAGATGGGCGCGTTGCCTCGGAACCGTTTCCTCATGTCGACCAGTCCGCGCCGGCATTCCCGGAACCCGATCTTGAGCTGTTGGCATTGCTCCGGGAGGGTTTCGAGCAAGGGGTGCGAAAGGCATTCGACGGGCGTGTGGCGCTGGACAAGGATGCAGTCGCTGTTTTGGAGGCATTGGGCGAGCGCGTCGCCTGTCAGGTGGGAGAGAAAGGGATGTTAGTCATAGATCGCAGCTTTGAGTCAGCTAGCGAGGAACAGCTGCAGTGCTCGACACGACTGGTTGTTCGCGAGGTGGAAAATGTAAGAGCATGCATGGTGGCGGGACAGGACGTACGGATATCTTTACACGAGGATGGCATTTTGAACGCAGCGACGTGCTCGTTGGGCCTGGAGGAACAGGAGAGGTATTAAAAGTGACCACGTATTGGTTGGTAGACTTTCTTCTTGGAAGCAAAGCTGTGAGAAATAGGTAGGGCGTTCGCACAAGAGTAGCTGCGGAAGCACGAGCAGAGCCGTTTGAGCGTCAGTCGACTATTTGGGGATGGCAAATGCAAAATGTTCTCCAACTGGCGGAGGCGGAAAAACTGCCTTTTCCGAGAATCGTCAAGGGGAATTGACGAGGCTGCAGCCTTGCGGACATGAACTTTGAGATGGGTCGCGTGGCTGTTGGGAGATTGCTTGAAGGACGCTCCTTCCTCCGGGTAAGAGGACAGAGACCCCCAGCATCTGCGATGAAGCCAATGGGAAAGGTTACACCATAGAACAATCGTGGTACTGAACTTTTTGTCGCCGGGGCATTCCAGGCGGTGCTGGGATATGGAGGCATTGCTATTCAATCCTCGATCCACATCGTCGCTTCGTTTTTGCAGAATAGTGAAGTATCTACACTTGTGTGCTCCAGTTTTAGCCAGTGAGGTGATGACCTCCACTGATGCCTACGCTGCTTTTGAAGGGAGACTTTGAACCCAATCACTGTTTGTCCACCCCAGCTTCAACCTCCTGGATCTTCATCTCCAGATCCTGGTCACGTACCGGCTTCTCGATGGTTATAGCCGTGACGGTCCAGACTGTTGGCAAGACGATCACCAACGACCCCATCGACAAGCCCCAGTTCATCCCCAGCTGCGTCATCGGACTCTTGTGCAAGGCGTTGATCCTCCAAGCCATTGCTCCGCCCGTCGCCTGGAAGGTCTTGTACGCGCCGACGAGAATGGCGGCCCGCGAGGTCGAGTTCGACTCGGTGCCGATGAGCCAGTAGCAGAACCCTTGCCACAGCGCGTCGTACGCCCCGTAGAAGATGTACAGGAAAATCGGGCCGGTCGACACCGAGCCCTGGGTGTAGTCGACGTCCTGCTTGAACCCGGCAGCCAGGCGCCGGTCTTGCCACTTCTGAAACGCATACCCGCCACCCCAGATGGACATGCCGGTGACAAAGAGCACGACCCACCCGACGCGGGCTCGCATGGGACGGGTGAGAAACGGTAGGTCCAGCAGGACGCCGATCAGGAGACCGCCGAGCATCTGCGCAATCCAGTACAAGGCCCCATTGAGTGACCGAGTTCGAATGTTGAAGGTCATGCCGTTGACCTGGTTCTGCTGGTACGAGTAGAAGACGTTGGCGCAGAAGAACAGAGGCAGCATGCAGAAGACCCGCCAACTGGCCATGGTCCGCACCGCGATCTCGATGGTGGACTTCCACGAGTGCTTCTCCCTTTCGACGGCGGCGTGGAGCTGCGCCAGACGGATCCGTTTTGGCGAACAAATAAAGACCCCCAATACCCAGCCGAAGAGCATGATGACCATCAGTGCGATGTAGGTCGAGTCCGAGACCGTGCCGGATTTGGAGTGGAAGTTGAGCCCGAAGGAGGCGAGGCTGCCCACTCCACCACCGAGATTGAAGACGATCCAAAAGACGGCAATAGCACGGCCTTTCTGGGACTCCGCGACGTAGGTGGTCATCTACCAATCTCTGTTAGCTTGTGCTGATCATGAGGGAGCCATCACGACAATGGCTCTATCAACAAGAAATAGACATTCGAGTGAAAGAAGAACCCTTACGATAGCGCCCTGGACAACCCAAAGCATCGAGGCACCGACGCCCAGAATAGCACCGGATGCAATGACGAACGCGCCGTTGTCATGATCTGCGCACTGGTCAGGAAAGTACCTTCACGGGACCGAACATCCTTACGGTTGAAATTGAGCAGGCTGCCGCTGTACAGAGCATACGTCCAGCCTCCGAGCAAAAAGCAGATCCGAGGCCCAGTGTAGGAAAAGAGAGGACCGACTATGAATAATGCTGTGCCGGCGGTTGCGGAAAGGAGAGCGACGGTAGCATTCGCGGCGACTGTGCTGGCTGGTCAATAACACGACTCTTGACCTATTTGGCATGCTTCAAATACCTGTGGGATCGACTTGTCCAGAACCTCCTAGACCACCAAGTGCGTTGTACATCTAACGATAGGTCACCATGCCTTCTTCGTCTATCTCTGTAGGATACAGGTATGCTTACCCCAGGGCAACAGAAGCATATCAGGCTGATGAGCAGAATCTGAGTCCATGGGTGCGCATAGAAGGACTTGACGGATGAGAAGTGGGAGCCATCCGCTCGCTCAACATTGCTCTGATGCGATTCAACCGGCTGCACAGCCTGTGCCTCCTCTTCTTTGACCATGTTGAAGACTTGCAGTCACGAATGGATCGTTAGGGAGTGCACAGATGGTTGAGCTCCGCAATGGACAACGCCCATATAAGGAGCTGCATATAGATTGGCGACATGGTCGTAACAATCCAGATATCTCCCAGCCCGAAGGATACCGTTACATCGACTACTTGCTCTCCTCAACCCGCAATGCCCTGATTAGCCTTTGATAAGGCTCATCGCTGAGGCGAAAGGCTTGACGGGGTGAGGGGGGACTTTTGCTTCATCTGGACGAGATCAACGGTTAGCGGTAAGTGGAATCCTTCGGTAACCGCCTACAAGCCTGATCCCCACCGGCTTTCAAGACGACATGAGCATTGCGGGAGATGTACCCGGCTCACCCAGCCGGTCGCCGGAGGCATGAGTCCTTGATGCAGGGCGTGGTTCTCCGCATGCCTGCCCATTTCAGCTTGCGCTATTGTCCTTGGAGTTGCATTGAGGGATGAGCGTGACAATCCATTATTAAATCAGATCACAATCGCGCCTGGTGCAAGTGGATCTTCCAGGTTCGGAATACGGTAGGATCTTGGGAGATTGGAAGAGAAGGAAAGATGTCTTCAGCCGGTGGGTGGGATTTCCAACCTTGGGGAGCTGCTTTTGTCCTCGTCTCTTGCTCAAAGTGCTGGCAAGCGGCGAACGGCCTGGATGGCCCAGTGATGAGGTGAAGAAAGGGAAGACAAGAGCCCATGGAGACATCCGAGAACTTGGTCGCATTGCAGACCGAGCAAAGGAATGCAAAGAGTCTTGATATTGATCAAATCCCAACAATCGAGCTCTGTCGCATCATCAATGCAGAAGACGCAACTGTTTCGGAGGCAGTCTCGAGATGCATTCCTGTCATAGCGGCGGCCATTGATTGCTTAGCGGCGAGAGTCCAGGCTGGCGGCAGAGTGGTATACGTTGGTGCCGGGACCAGCGGAAGGTAAGCCACCAGGAGCACTTCGACAAGGAGGAGAATTCCATATCTGATCGCGATTCCGGTAATATAGGCTGGGTGTTTTGGATGCCTCAGAAATACCACCCACATATTCCGCTCCCGAGGGTCAGTTTGTGGGCATCATCGCCGGTGGAGATACGGCTCTTCGAAATGCACAAGAAGGTGCAGAAGACGACCTTGATGCCGCGGTCCGAGATCTCAAAACGCTCCAGGTGAATGGCGGGGTTGACTCATTGATCGGCATCGCAGCGTCTGGTCGCACTCCTTATGTCTTGAGCTGTCTGTCTTATGCTAAGAGTCTCGGTTGTGCAACGGTCGGCGTGGCCTGCGCACAGCCTTCTGCCATGAGCACCAGCGGGGATGTGGATTTCATGATTGATGCTGTTGTCGGGCCTGAAGTTGTTACAGGAAGCACGAGGATGAAGGCCGGTACGGCGACGAAGCTGGTTCTCAACATGCTCAGCACGGGAACGATGATCAAAATTGGGAAGACTTACGGAAACATGGTATGAAATCAACCCCCGCCGTCAACATGTCTTGTATCAGAAGACGCTGATCGAAGCCAGATGGTTGATCTCCGAGCAACAAACGTCAAACTGCAACTGCGATCTCGAAATATATTGCGGACCATCTGTGGCTCCCAGTGTCCCGACTCGGACGCCGGCCTGGATGCTCTTCTCTCAAACTGCCAGGGAAGTGTCAAGCTCGCCATTGCAACATTAGGCTTAGGAGCCTCAGTAGCAGAGGCAAAGGCACTCCTGGAAGAAGCCGGCGGTGTCCTGGCTAATGTGCTGAAGAGGCCTACTAATGGAGGTTTGAATGGTCAAACAACAACCGACACCCGTGCCCTAGAATATGTTCTCTGCGTTGATGGTGGTGGAAGCAAATGCGCCGCAGTCGTGATCTCTGCAGATGGTCAAAGAGGATACGGCGAAGGCCCAGGTTGCAATGTAACCGACGTCGGCATCGAGGCTGCCACTCAGTCAATATCGGTAGCGATACAAAGAGCCTGCGACACGCATTCCAGACTCAGAGCAGGGCTGTGGACTCCTGGCCTCTTCTCATCCGTCTGGATCGCCCTCGCTGGCCATGACCGCAAGGAAACCGCAGTCACCGTCGACCGCGTGCTGGAGAAGCTCTTCAAGCGGCCTCTTGGGGCGACATTGAAAGTCACAAATGACATCGAACTGTTGGCGACTTCGGCAGCGGAGAAGCACGATAGCCACTCCGTAATTGTGCTGGTAGCCGGAACTGGCTCGATTGCAATGACTTTTCAACGTCGAGGAGACCGGTTCGTCCGCGTCGGGAGGTCGGGAGGCTGGGGTCATCTTCTGGGGGACGATGGCTCCGGATTTGATATTGGGCGACAGGCGGTTCGTCTTGCATTATCTGCGGCTGACGAGGCCAACAATCGAAGACGGAGCTTGGATGCGGACAGCACGTTCTTCCCAGATGTGCTCGTTCAACGAATTTTCGACTCGTTCTGCGCGAATGGCACAGACACACAGGACTTGGACTTACTGAGCGCCGTGCTATCGTCCTCCTCAGACATGCAGAAAAAGAAACAGATTGCGCATGTTGCCCGGCTTGTGATCGATGCCAGTCCCGACGATGCACAAGCAAAGAATATCGTCCAAAAAGCGATCGAGAGCCTAGTCCGGCTGCTTGATCCGCTCACAAGATCTGGACAAAGTGATACTGCGACATCCAGCCTGGTGTTGGCCGGCGGCTTGATGCAGAGCAAAATCTTCGTCGAAGCATTCAAAGAAGCCTTGCACGCGGCCGAGCTTCAGTTCAAGCATGTCGAAGTGGTCAATCAGCCAGCGATTCTGGGCGCCCAACACTTACTGCGGATGCAGAATGGCTGAGCATTAGGACGGCGTAGAGAGGCAAGAGTGGTGGATTAGGTACACCAACTCAAACGCCTCCATGCCCGTCCGTCTGAAGGGGCAGAGGTTCGAGTGGACGTGGTATGCCCTACGCCGAGTTGGGTTGGAAGAAAATATAGCAGTGGTTGGGAGCTTCGATGCTGGACGATGACGTTCGCAGCCTTACGACGAAAAGGGCCTCTTCAGCCTTGCAGCTTCGCAGCCTCGCAGCCTCGCCAACAACAAACACACACGGTTCACATACACAGTATTGATTGCTGTCCAACCGTGACCTATGTACAGTGCTGAAAAAAACTCTGCCTGCAGTGCATATGCATAATCAAACCGTTGGGTCCAGTACACCAACGCAAATCCGCCAAACACATTAACCGATTCATGCCAGGCTTATTCGAGAGCCTTGCTGGACGCTATTGACTTCGTCTCATTTCCATGTCCCATGCGTTGTCACTCACTCGATGCCTTTCTGTTCTCATGAGAAATTCTGCGAGAAAAAAGGCATCACCCTTTCCAAACACTTCTTGACTTCCACTGCCTCCCTCTCCATCTTCGTCCTCTGCTCCCGCATCCTTTCCATCTGCGCCATCACTTCTCTCTTTTCCGCCGCCAAACCCTCGTGTCCTCCTTTCAGCCTGTCGTTCTCTTTTCGTAAATCCGCTTTCTCGCGCTGGTGTTGTTCCACATCCGCCAGGATCGCTGATAGCTCGCCTTCTTTGCGACGCAGTGACTCTTCATGCTTCGCAGATGCGACGGACATACTCGTGATTTGCTTCCTAAGCTCTTCGTTCTGGCCCTGAGTTTCTCGGAGTAGCCTCTTGGTGTTGCTCAATTCGCCAGTAGATTGCGACAGTTTGGCCTCGGCATCCTGGTCAATTTTGGACAGCGCATTCTCGAGCTCATGCAGTTTGCGCTCCTTGGCATTGAGTTCATTTCTGAGCGAGCGGACTTGCACGTCAAAGTCTTCTGCCTGCCTCCTGTTCTCTTCGGCCCGGAGGGACTCAGCACGATGAAGTTTCTTTTCCAAGTCTTCCGTTGTTCTCTCTCTTTGGGAGAGTTGGCTCTTTAGTGAGCGAAGTTCCTGCTCGAGACCTTCTGTTGCTCGGTCGCGTTGTGAAAGTTGGCTTTTCAGAGATCGAAGTTCCTGCTCAAGGCTTGAAGTGCGATTTTCCTTGTCCTTCTCTGCTTGTTGCAGGCTTGCCTCGAGTTCAGATATCTTGCGATCTTTCACGCTCAGATTGCTTCGCAACGAACGAAGTTCCTGACTGATGGTTTCGAGCCTGTCATCGTTTTGAGTGTGCGACTTCTCCACACTTTCCAGCTCGTCTTCCAGTTTATCGATCTGTCGCTGAAGCTCTTTCTTCTCCGCTTCCAGTCTCGTTATGATCTGGCCAGCCTGCAGAACCTGCTCCCGACGAGTGGCTAGCTCTTCTTCCGTCTTCTTTTTGCAATCCAACGCTTCGTCTAACTGATCCTCCAGTGTCTCTTGCTCTGCAATCGCTTCGGCCAGCTTCTCGCTCAACTCGTTCTCACGGTACTGTAATCTCTTGAAGATCTCCTCTTTGTCCAGAGCTAGCGCTCGTTCTGAATCTAAAGTCTGCTGTACTCGGTGGGCTTCAATCTCTGCGCGCCTTCGTTCTTCTTCCACTCTCTGTCTTTCTGCTGCGTCTTGCCTCATCTTTGCTTGCAAGTGCTCGATTTTCTCGTCTCTTTTTTTGACTTCACTTGCAGTCCGAGTCGCTCCTAGCAGAGGTTTCATACGGACAAAGAGCCGCCACCACGGATTCGCTTGGAGATCAAGGTATACGTTGAGATTCCGCTGAATAACCCTTGTGGCTTCGGCACGGTACAGCTGTTTGAAAGCCAAGCGTCGTTGCATGAAGCCTCGAGCAACAGATTGAAAACTGGACATGATCTCCCGGATCAGACTGTCGCGTTGCTCCTCCAAATCGGCCAGAACTCCTGCACGAAAGAAGACCTTCGTGAGACCCACGCGATAATTTGACTGATCCATCTTGAGCCGATCAAGCATGATTTTCGCAGCCTCCTGCCCTCCTAGATACCCTTTCGGCATATTCTCGCACAAAACCTCGTACCTGGACCGGAATTCTGCAAAAGTCAAACGGTTGGGGAAACCCGTGCGTGCTATTCGGATACCCTCAAGCACGCCATTGCATCTCAGCTGGTCCAATACCAATGGAGCAACGAACTGCTTGGGCTTTTTCTTGTGGTTGGGTAGAATGCAACGGACGAAATGAGGTTGGGTGGAGTGCAGCTGTCTCATCAGAATACTCAGCTGTTCTTTGTGTCTTTGCGCCACGGTCCTGAATAGGCCTTTCTTGACCCGACTTCGAGGGCTGTACGGCTCGTCGACCTCGTCGATACAGTCCGAGAAGAGGCAAGCGATATGCTCGTCCTTCGACGCAGCAAGAAGCCGGGTCAAGTTGTCGTTCAAAGGGTCTTTATTCTTTTCCAACCAGCCTTCGGTAGAATACTCGACTTCTGCAGCGTAGTGTGTGAGGATAAACCCCTGTCTAGTGCGAGCAGGAGCATATTTCGGTGTCTTGTTCTCCCACAAGGAGTTGAGTTTCTCGGTGAAGGATTTGTCTGTAGCCTTGGGCATGACTGAGTCTTCATCCAGACAAGAGAAGATCCCGATTGGGTTGGGCAGCTCGATCAAATCGATCGTCGGCTGGAGGTCTTTTCCAAAGTCAATGAACTGCCACTCAATCTGCTCACGAGCATATTCCTCTTGCTCCAGAACAAACATATAGTGGTTGAAGAATTGCTGGAGCTTTTCGTTGGTGTAGTTGATGCAGAGTTGTTCGAAGCTATTCGTCTCGAAAATTTCGAAACCAGCAAGGTCAAGTACTCCGATAAAGTGGCTGTCATCACTGCTGACCCCTCCTCTGTCCAGTTGGTGATTGATTTTCGACACGAGATCTCCGAAGCCACGCTCGTAAATGCCTTTTGCCAGGGCATCTAGGGCAAGACGGACTTGCTCTGGGGTCTGGGTTTTCTCTACCCATTCTCGTCCGGCTTTGACTTTTGGATGGAGAAGGGCCTTGACAAACGGGTCTGGTTGCACACCCAGTAATCGACATGCCTTGTCTACCGAAGTTCGGGCTTCTGGGGCCAGTGAAGCCTGGTCTGCTGCTCTGCTTTCTTGCCGGACTGCGACATTGCCAAGATGTAATATAGCGGCAATGGTTCTGAAGACGGCCATTTGGTCCTTTTCGGAGAAATTCATGATGTGGAATGCTTCAATCAGCGTGTTCCACTCATCGCGATCGGACACGCCGCCAATGGTGTCATTACCGGCTCGTGTGTAGGCGAAATCCTCCACGTCCATGCCTGAAATAAGCAATGTATCTCTCATTCTTTGGTCGGCCCCCGCTAATAGTTGGTAGAAAACATGATAACTCCGTTCTTGTTGGCTGATCTTGACCACTCGAGACTTTTCGAGCAGATACCAATCAATGAAGGCGCCAGCAATCTGCCCAGACCGGGTGAACTGAATGCGGATGAATTTTCCGAACCTTGAGGAATTATTATTCCTCACTGTCTGGGCGTTGCCGAAAGATTCGAGGATCGGGTTCGCGCGAAGGATTTGTTGAGAGAGATTGGAAAGCTGTTTCCCAGGTGTTCTCCCTGTCAGTGGTGTATCCAGATCTGAGGTGGCAACAGCTGCGAGGTATTGGATGACCTTCTTCGTATTCTCGGTCTTGCCTGCTCCAGATTCTCCAGTCACCAATATGCTTTGATTCTCCCCCTCTTCGACCAGGCGACGAAAGGCAGCGTCTGAAACTGCAAAGATATGAGGTCGAGTGTCTTCGCGGGTTTGGCCTTTGTACATCCGAACGTAGTCGTTACCGTAAATGGGCAAGGGACAGTAAGGATTGATGGTCACTAAGAACAGGCCGGAATACGTGTAGATGAGATCGGCCTGATATCGGGTGTACAGGTTGTGAATGACTGAAGCTTCGTTGAGGTGGGTGAGCTCTGCCATGTCATCGGCCTTGTCGAACTTCGCAGGGTTGACCTTATCCACCTCGTCGACGTCGGTCTCTATTGATGAGCCGTTGTCGAACTGCACAAGGACCTTATTTCCAGGAAGGTCTTCGGTAATCCATCCCCGGATGAATGCCTTTTCAGGATCTTTAACCCATACGTAGCGCTTTCCGGAGAAGTCATTTTCGCCTTCGATGGCCGAGATTCTATCTTCGCTTTTCCGCATTTCCTCGGATTTGATGAATTTTGGAGCAAAGGTGCTGGACGTACTTGCCTGCCGCTGGAGAGACTGTGTGCGGAGGTGGGAGGGGACGGCGCTGAATGTTGCGGTGGGGGAGTAGGATTGTTGGCGCTCATGTCTGGTGGTCGATGTTTGTACAGGCGTTGGGGAGGCAAAGAGGAGAGATTTGCTGAAGCTTGAGGGTGACATTGGTGAGGGCACAGACATGTCGGAATGGACTGATCTGGCGAAAGGCCGTTGAGAATGGCTGTTGAAGGGAGAGGTGTCGGGGCTGCGGTCGTGGAGCAGCATGATGCCGCCCAAAAAAACAAAGAAGTCGCTGTTGCTCACATGCGACGAACTGCTATGGACGCGGAGTGTTAGTAAAATTGACGGTGTCCCGATTCTCAAAGCGGGATGAGGGCTGATGAGTGTTGTAGCCTCGTCGTGACCCAGGTTGGATGACGATGTTTTGTTTGTGCTTCCACATTGAGGAAGGCGTGCCTTTGCAGAGCAACGAGATCAGTCACGTGCGAGCACGCCACCTCCTGGAGCCGTGGGACGTTTAGGCCATGGTTAGTACGGCGGGCGACAAGAGCCGTATGGCAATCCTCCTCTCGTACTCATATAGACCGCCGTAGACAGGATGCCAAGTCAGTCGGGTCTTCTGGACAAAATGGACTCTTGCACTTCGACCGTCTTCGTATCTGTAGAAGATGAAACTGTCAACCACAACGACCTCGAACCCGACGAGCACCCCTTCTGCACCGATCTCTACTCTCAGGGATACCTCAGGGGCGTTATTGATCCACGTGAGGAAGTCGGCAGGCATTGTGACGCAGCAGTAAGAAGGTCACCTTCTGCCTTTGCGCGCGATCTCGCGAACTGTCTCAGTGATGATGACGAGCAGTTTGTCTGGATCAGTGCGAGCGCGTCTTTGTGGGATCATTCGGTTCTGTCGATGACATCGCCCGTTTTGATTTGCTTTCTGCCGAATCGCTGTCGCCGCGCCGCTGTACACCGGGGAAATGGCGCATCCCTACTCTTCCACTTCGCTGTACGCGGGCACGCCTTCATACGCACCTCAGCAGCCATACTACCCGTCTTTTCCATCTAATGGACTGCAGCAGCCGATCAACACCCCTCCAGGCATCCCTCAACAGCTTCCGCAACCGCAGGGACAAATGCAGACGCTTCCCTCTTACCCACCGCAGCCGTCACCTGCTACAAATGGCCCACGATTCGATGCCAATTCACAGATCCGTCCTCCTGCGCCTCCTTTCCATCCGTTTCCCCCTCCTACTACTACCTTCAATTCCGATTTCTTCAAGCAATTTGCAAGTGCGGGTTTCCCGCCTCCACCCCCTCCAAACTTTCCTCCAGTGCCAATACCCGGTGCTGCGTATCCGCAGCTACCTGGTCCCGTGAATACCTCCCTTTCCTCGCCCTATCCTCAACATGTCGCGGCTGGAGCGCCAGTATTCGGCGCAGGCTTTAATTCAAGTGAACAACCACGCCAGCATGCAGGAGATCAATTCATTGGTTCGCGAACGGGCTCACGAGGTGGAATGGATGTGCATACCGACACCCAGGCGTATGGCACAGCAATGACTGTCCAGAGTGGAATCTCACATCCTGCACATCCACTTCCTAAAGGGACGGATTCTGACAAGGGTACGTATGTTGGCCTTGGTCTGGTTCTCCTCTAATCAGATGACAGACCAGACACTTCCGTCTTTTGGCTCGAGATCAGATCTCGATATGCTGTTCGCGAGCGCCCAAAAGCAGTCTATGCTGGGTTCAGTGGAACCGGCGATGATCGCTTCGCAACCCAAAGATACAAACAGCGCCCCGGAGCCTGATCTAGCGGCAGACGGAAATGTTTCGCGTGAGTTTTCGAACTTGACCATCTCTGGAATTGACTAACTTGTTCGCAAGCGTACGATCCAACTCGCCCTGCGGCGATCAATGACCGAGCATCCGGTGGCTTTGCATCCTCAAGCAGAGCCTTGAGAAGCGCCAATCTGAGGCCAGTTGAGAGAACTTACGATAATAAGTCCCTTATTGAGCTCCGACAGCTTGCGAAGGGCGCAGTTCTATCCCTGGTGCCTCACAAAATCCTCTATCCAGACCTAGTAAAGGAAGGCGTAAATCCTCAAATCTTGAACGAGTTGTATGAAGAGCTCGGCCTCAGAATCGAAGCTGGTCAATCGCAAGCTCGCGACGAGTTACAGGGTGAGCAACATCCTCTGGTTGATGGCAAAGAGTTATCGGCGGCCTCGCAACAGCCAGCTACGCAGCAGCCGAAAGTGGGATTCCAGAAGGCTACGCCCAGAATGTCTACGGCGCAACCAACATCGCAACCCTCGACGATACCTTCTCCCTCAACCACCTTTGGCCCAAGTGGGGTCAGTGAGGCCACTGCACCATCGGCCGGTCTGGATCTGAAGAACCTACAGCCGGCGCAAATTCTCGGTTTGGAGCGGAAAGATCGCATCGCCCAGCTTCTCGCTGCAAAGACAGGTCGTCCGACACCTACCCCGACATTAGCTACCCTCGCACAAAGTGATGGGCCTAAAACGACTCCTCCGACAACAGTCTCTGCAGAAACAACCAGTGTTGGCATATCTTGGTCCAGCCCACAGACTCGGCCGGCGCAACTGCCAGAACCAGTCGCTGCCACCACAGGAGCAAGCGGAACGAAACCAAAGGCTCAGACTGAGCTTGTAAAACAGAAAATGGAACAGCTGAGACGTGAAGCGCAGGCAAGGACAGGAGGTACCGCATCGGAGATTCCTGCAGACACGACGGCTCTTGGTCGTGACATCAGTATTGACGCTTCAAGAATACTTCCTGAAGCTGAAAGCATCATACCTTCGTCAGCAAACAAAATTTCTTCCATTGAGAAACAACTCCCAATGCCATCCCTAATTCCGGGCTTGTTCATGACCTCGACTGAATCCTCTGGCTTCGATGAAGCTGCAAGATCGGTGGTTGGGATACCAATGAGCTCCGCAGGAGGCGATGGACAAGAAAATGCTACCGCTGAGAGTGAATCTTCTGTTGGTCAATCGGATCACCAATTACTATCGTCTTCCACCGTCCCAGCGAAACGTCCCTCTGATTCTGATACAGCCATAATGGACATACCACTCCCCAAGAAGCCGAATACGCAACAAAATCTGCAGTATGCTCCTTCGCTACCCCTCCCGGATAGCGAAGCCGACTATCAGTCGGAGGGGGAGATTGTCGAAGAGCCCGGGAGCGACGCTATGGCGATGGGATCAGATTCAGACCAAGATATGCAGGAAGACTACACGCCACCTGTTCTAATTCCGACCACTTCCACCTCATTCTTCAATAAGCCAACGTCCGTCAATCAGACTTCGACCACCGCACTACGAACCACCTCAACTAGTGAATCAGGAAAGGACGAGTTGTATCGTGCCAAACAGTCAGAGATTGAAGCTATGCGTCGGAAGATTGCCGAACTGGAGCAGCGGAACAAACTGAAAAGAACTAGAAGCCAAGTTGAATCTCCATCATCATCGAATCCTCCGACGCCCGCTGTGACGAGAGAAGACCAACAACTGGCCAGTTCACCTATTCCGCAAACCGCTGACTTGCCTGGCGTCTCCCGACCTTCGACTCAGCGTCTGCCTGCGGGTCCTTCAGTTCCTCCGGTAATCTCCAAGCTAACTCCAGCGCAACTTCAAGAAAGAGAGGCAGTATTGAAACAAGCACTCCTGAGACAGCGTGCTCAACGGCAGCAAGTTTTACAAGAAGGCTTGCCTGATCTGAATGCGAAAGTGAAAAAGACAGAGACGCGGCTGGAGGATTCGCGCACGGAGCTGGCGCAAGTTCGTGCACAATTACAAAATGCGCGCATGGCTTTGGATCGATTAGAGGCGCAAGAGAAGAGATTGGTCAAAGAAGTCTCCCAGTTCGAGGAACAATTGCAGGAAGGTCGATCAGGTCAGAAACGATATTCTGATGAGCTGCAGCAAATCAAGCTTGAGAAGCTCGCCGAAGCTCAAGCGGTCCCTACAAAAGAGGGATTGATTGGTTCTCCAGATCAATTGCACCCAGCGACAAGCACGATCTCTGAGCCACAGTCGGACTTGAGCAACGGCCATCTTGACAACCAAGATGAAAATCTGCAGAGGCAGCAGAGTTCGCTCAGCGTACCTGCGGTGTCTGTTGCCGCCCGTGAGACCTCTGACGCTGAGGTTGATGCTAACATGAATGGCGAAAATACCCATGAGTCTCCAGGTTCCTATAATGCTCAGGGTACTCTCGAGGGGGGGATCCAGCCCGCGCAGTCGCTTGGGGTTGTCAACCATGCACAGCATCTCCAAGCAGATGAGATGGAGATTTCGCCCGAACCAGAAGATTACGTTGAAACGCATGAGCACTTGCCCGAAAACGTGGAGGTCATGCAAACATCCGACGAGGCCATGGATGTGGACAATGACAGCAATGGAAGTGCGAGTATGTCTGGCTCAGATGATGAGGAAGAATACGAACCCGCAGATGTCGATACCTCGGAGCCTGTGCAACAGTCGGCGGACGAGTCTGATGAATACGACCCTGAAACAGCGCCGGTGGACAGCGCCACGCCGACGACTGTCCCGGAAGATGGACTTCAAGACTTCCACGAGACTTCAGAGATCGCTGATGCCAGTGGACCCAGCACGGAGACCGGGAATCCTTTCGATGGAGGGCGAGATGTCTCGGGTGCTACAGAGTCTGACGCCTCTAATATCAAAGCAGATGATGGAGTCAATAGAGTTGGTGCTGTGTCGGAAGTGCCGGCAAACACCAAAGATGATCTTGAGTCCGGTGATCAGTTGACTGATGCTGATACACTGGTTAGACCACCACCAGGGTTGAGTCGAGAGACCGATGGTACTCCTTTTCTGGACGGCACCTGCCCAGCACCCACGCATTATGTGCCATACAAGACACCACTTAGCGCCTTCAAAACCTACCGCTTCCACTCCGACTATCCAGATGCAGTCAAGAGTGGCTATCGCTCATTAACCTACAGCAACAACATTGACCCCACGCGCCCCCTTTGTCCCGCCGAACTTTCCGGGGAAGCTTGTAAGGATCCTGCCTGCGAGGAACAGCATTTTGCCCAACTTGAACTTCCTGGTACGTAAGCAGAATTTGATGCTCTGCCTTGTCAGTCTTTTGAGTCTTGAATCATGGTCCAGCCTTTCCCCCAACCAGGATTTCCCATGCTAACATAGTTTCCCTTGCAGATGAGAAGATCCTTGTCCAATTGAGTTCGGCCAGCGACATTAAAGACAAATCCACGCGGGACGAATTTCATGCTGGTTTGAAACAGGTCATTGCAGAATTGAGGGCTAAGGAAGTTAAGGATTTCGAAAAAGTGGCGGCTGCACTTTCTCTGTATCGACGGAGGTTCTTCACCGAGAAAAAAGAGAAAGAGAGACAAGAAGATGATGAGAGCCCGCAGCAAGGCGACCAGGAGCATCATGAGCAACAAGAGCAAGAGGTTCTGGACTCTTAGCAAGCAGTCTTGAAGGCAGGGGTTGGCCAACGCATACCGCTTAACCGGCAGGAACACGTTGCTTCACGATACGTGATCCCTCAAAAGAGGCGTGGAGGCATTCTTCTCGTGCGACTTGCCGAGAGGCGCAGAGGGCTTGAGAAGGGACGATATTATTCCGGAAGGGGTTGAGATGGGCATGTATGAATACCACCAGCCGGCAGGGAGTTTTGGGTTAATCGGTGCACGAAGGATTGCGGGCTGCTGCGTACTGTGATCAAGCTATCATCCAGCATTTCATGTCAAAATATCTGTGTATCAAAAAGGCATAATGAGTTAATGGCGTCTGCCACGATCGATTTCGTTCTGCACGGTGAGCCGAGTCCAAGGAAACCAATACATTCTCTGCAGCCGTGTCTGCCATCGAGGACGCCTTTGCAAGTTGATTCGTGTACAATTAATTTCATCACACATCCCCAAACCCAGTCCCAATTCGACCCAATCGTCCACAACGTTGTGCCTCTCCTCTCTCATTGACTTGGTCCGCCTGCATGCCTTGCCCCTGGCATGCTATGACATGATAGTTGTTTCATTCAGGCGTACCACATCATTCACCTTGACCCTCAACATACGAGATGTACATGTGTATAGCCGAGTGTCGCTCCATAATAAGATATGCAACAGACCGATCGTTCGCCTGCTCCTAGCTTGGAATTCTGGTGGTAACATGTCACGGGTCGGTTCATTCGTCGTCGAAGATACCGCAGTTCGGGTGCAGCGCGTAACTCAGTCGCTGGTTCTGATTTGTTGCCGAAGGCTCGCCGGCGCCATCTTCGTCGCCTTCAACAAGGCCTTCTCCGCGGATCGCAATGATGATGTTATCCTGTAGGTCAAAAAGTCAGTCAATACTTCATCAAAGGTGTAGATCGGAACGTTAGTCCCCCAGCAAGAGACCACGCCGGACCGCCTAAGTAGTGATACAATAAGAAGTTCAAAGAGGGACTCATGCATACCTTAACCATCTTCTTCAGCACCTTCCTTGCAAGGGCTCTCTCGCGCTCAACGTCTTCTTCACTTCCCAGTTGATCTTCGATCTGCTCCAAATACCACAACAGCAATGCGTCGCGCTCGGGGCCTTCGCCCGTCCGATCTTCCTCATCTCGTATGCGCGTCGCCAGCATGGTTTGTATGGTATTGTACTTCTCGAATGTGATTTTCGTGGTGGGTCGTGTAGCTGCAGCAGGGGTTGCAGATATGCCGCGATTCCTGGTGCTGGCTTCACCCTGATGGTCGTTGTCACCATCAGCCATGGGACTATCCCCATCTCGTTGATGCTCTCCGTCATCTTCTCGGTTCTGGCTCTCCTCTTCATCGTCTTCGACGTCGACATCATCTTTCTCGACGCTGATGATCGATTGACGAAGCAAATCATATGCTTCATATACCATGACTTCCGTTATTTCTTCCACACAATTTGCTTTGGCGATTGCTTCGCTCAATCTGATCAGACTCTCCAATTGCCTGACGGTAATCCTGTAGGAATTCTTCCCAACTACGCCACCGGCGTCATTCGCTCTCAGCTCTTTGTATTTCTCTACCAAGAGCCTCTTCGCCTCGGGTAAAAAGACGGGTTTGAAGGTGCGCGCGAATCTGATATAGCGCTGAAGCTGTTCAGTGGAGAACTCAGGCTGCACGAAATCATCTTTCAGCATGTGGAGATTGACAATGTGGTCGGCTAAGTGACGGTCTATCGTCTCATTGCATTCATCGAGGATGATGAAGAAGAGATCGAAGCGAGACATGATGGGCGCCGACATGTTGATGTTTGACCTGAGGGTTGCCTTGCGATTGTATCGCCCGCCGATGGGATTTGCGGCAGCCAAAATACTTGTACGCGCGTTTAATGTGGCATGGATGCCCGCTTTGGCGATGGAAATGGTTTGCTGTTCCATGGCTTCGTGGATGGCAACCTGGTCGCTCAAGTCCATTTTGTCGAACTCGTCAATACAGCAGGTTCCCGAGTCGGAAAGCATGAGTGCGCCGGCTTCGATGGTGTGTTCGCCAGTTTCTTCGTCTTTGACCACCGCTGCTGTCAGACCTGCTGCACTGGATGCTTTTCCCGAGGTGTAGACTGCTCGAGGAAGGAAAGAAGCAATGTATTTGAGGAATTGGGATTTGGACGTAGACGGGTCGCCAACGATGCAGATGTTGATATCGCCCCGAAGGGCCATTCCTTCCGGTGTCATTTTCGATACGCCTCCCAAGAGCTGCAACAGCAAGCCCTTCTTGACTATTTCATGGCCGTAAACCATAGGAGCGAGACTCTGGACAAGTCTGCTGTAGATTTTGTCGGAATGGACCATGTATTTCAGGTCATCGATCTCAGCTTGTGTAAGAGTCTCCAGGTATGCCTCTTGAGCCTTTGTTCCACTATCGTATTGATCAAATAGATCAGTCTGGTGCAGGGAGTTCAGGATATTGGTCGATTGACCGTTCAGTTGACTTGCTGATTGACCTGCTGTAGTGGTGTCTGGGGATGAGAAGCCGGCCATAAATGCCATCCGGTAGGTTAGATCTCGGACACCTAGAGCTTTCAAGCCAGATACTCCTGCGCCACCAGCATCTGCACCCCGAAAATTTCGATTATCCTTTGAGGCCTCTGGTTTTACACCTGGGATTCCCAATTGAGACACATCTGGTACAACAATCAAAGTGCCTGTGAAGATACACTTCTCGCCAGGTTTTGTCCGCTCCACTTGCTCTCCTCGAAGAATGACATCGATTGTGCGTGGCATGCTTCCGGTGGGGATTTCAGAACTGTTCTCTTGAATGCGACATTTCTGCCAATCCACAAACGTGCTGTTCCGGATGTCCAATCGCCATGCGATCTTGTTGCCACAAGTGAGATTGGGGCACACCGTAGGTTCTGTATATTTGAACGTCTGCTCAACATTCGGTACTGTGGTATTGCATGCTTCGCAAATGAAGGTTCCGAGAGCCAGCTCGGGACGAACTTCTGATGTTCTTGTGACAGTGCCCGAAATGGAAAGTAATCTCCCAATCTGATCTGTTCGCAGCTGCCGTACCCGAGACACTAGAGGGAGGTTGTAAAATGCCAGCGCAAAGAGTTTGTCCGTCTGTGGATTCAGTGGTTTGTCGCCTTGACTGCTCCCCTCGCTAGTCGCATTGCCTGCCATTGAAGTGCCTGCTTGCGAAGCATTGCTCGTCATCTGACGGTGATCTTTGAAATAGACTGGCTCATATTTGGCCAGAAGGTTGTGTAACCCTTTGAGTAAGAATGGATGGAATCGATAGAATTGGTTCGCGATTGCATCTGCCAAAATAGGACCTTCTTTATAAGATAGCAGATGGCGAAAATCCACGTAAAGCGTCGAGAGCTGGAATTCTCGCAAACCATGGATCTGATTAATGTAGTATTTGTCTGTTCGCAACTCGCTCGAGGGAGGAGCCCCTGATGAGGAGGGTTCTTCGATGTGGGACTCGAGAAAATCTTCAAAGGCTTGTTGTACCTTCTCGCCTGCCTTGTCCGTAACCTGCGACACATTGCGGTCTAAAGGGTTCCGTGGTCTACCGCGAGCTGCGCCGACGACTTCATCGTCAGGGAAGACGTCGGCTTCGGAGGGAATGCCATTGCTCTCGGAGAGCAAGGGGCGATGTCTTGAGGAGGAGGGAGTGCCGTTCTGAGTCCGCCGCGGTGAGGAGGGTGTTGCGCCGAAGGCGTCTGAGTTCAAGATCGAGTCAACTAAAGTCGCCATTGTTGTGATGAGGAGGTTTTGCGGTTGAGGGAGAGACTGGAAAGTCCAAGGGTGGAAATGTCCCCTTACGTGGAGAATTGGTGCCGCAGGGACGCCCTCGACGCGTCAAGGCGCGTCACGCGTTGCACTTTATTACGGCGGAGCAAAGAGACCTACAGTGTGCCAGCCTTGTCACGGCCTCGTGAAGCACCGTCACAATACAAGTCGCCATCAATCAATGAAAGCCTGAAGTCGTTGTTATCATGCATTCCTACTGTGTGCATCATGTGGGAAAAGCACAAAGGTTTGATCTGCCTCGTAACTAAATGTCGAACTTGCGCATGAATTACCAATTTCCAAAGCGAGCAGCTTTATTTGCTCAAAGCCAGTTCTGATGTACCCGGACTAGCTTCTTGTTCAAGAACTCCTGAATACCGAGCTCGCTCAGCTCCCGCCCAAAACCTGAATTCTTCACACCACCAAATGGCACATCTGGGCCAGAATTGACGGCTGAATTGATGAAGACCATCCCCGCCTCGATCTCTGTCGCAACTTTCTTTGCGTGCTCTATGTTGGCGGAAAATACCGACGAACCCAGGCCAAACGTTGTGGCGTTGGCGACCTCGATAGCCTCCTCTTCGGTGTCGACGACGTACAGGGTAGCCACAGGACCAAATGCCTCCTTCATGAACAACGGGTTGTCTCGAGACACGTTTGTGATAAGAGTCGGCTCAAGGTAGTAGCCTGGACGGTCAATCCGCTTTCCACCCATGACCACGGTGGCGCCGGCAGCCTTGGCCTCGTCGATGAGACTAACGAGGTTCTCGACGGCGGTTTCGGAGACCAGAGGACCAAGCGTTGTTGCTGGGTCCATTGGGTCACCGGCTTTCATTGCTTCAAACTTTGTCTTGACGCCCTCGAGGAATTTCTGGCCCCGCTCCTTTCCCACAACGATGTATCGCTTAATGGAGGCACAAGCTTGACCCATACACATCATACGGCCGGCAGCTGCTACCTCGACGGCTTGATCGAGTGGTGCATCCTCCAGGACAACTAACGGATCTGAACCTCCTAACTCTAGCACGGCTTTTTTGAGATGGCGACCAGCTTGCTCAGCCACCGACGCGCCGGCTCGTTCACTGCCTGTAAGGGTAACGCCCCGGATGCGGAAGTCGGCAATAAGGGCATTGACTTGAGGGATGGAACAGAATAGGTTGGTGTAAACACCCGCTGGTGCTCCGGCGTCGACGAAGAGCTTCTCAAGGGCGATCGCGCACTGTGGCACGCTCTGTGCATGTTTGAGCATGACTGGGTTGCCGGCGACGATTTGAGGACCGGCTACACGAGCGACCTGGTAGTAAGGGAAATTCCACGGCTCAATGGCTAGGATCACCCCGATGGGCTCGGAAGCAATGACCGCCCCTGGAACGCCAGGTAGGTCGATAGTCTGCAAGAACTTCTCCCCGTTGTTGGCGTAATAGTCCAGAATGGCGGCAGAGAACTCGACCTCACCCAGCATACCGCCGATGGTTTTGCCCATCTCCAGCACTGCGAGCTCTGCCAGTTCCTGTTTGCGCTCACGCATCAAGGCCGCAGCCTTGCTCATGATTTTGCAGCGATCGCCCACGGATCGGCGACGCCAGTCTTTCTGATAGACTTCATGGGCCCTGTCGAGCGCGGCGAACACTTGCTCGTCTGTTGTTGTCGGAAAGGTCTTGATCAACTGCCCATTGGCAGGATTGATAGTCTGATACACGGTCTGGTGGTGTGCCATCTCTCTGGACGGTGATGCGCTTCAATGGATGACTGGAAGGGGTGGTGTAGACGTGTGATCGGAGGAGTGAAGAGACTGCTTCCTCTATCGCTGACGTGATGCACTGTGCAGAGCACTTCTCCCGCACCCATTCCTTCCTCGTCTATATATAACCGCGAGGATGGATCAACAATATTCTGACTGCAGATTCCAGGGAGAATCTGCTGACGAATAACTCCTTTGATTTGCAAACTCCGCGTCATTTTGCTTCTGATCAGAGATGTCATGTCAGGCAACGGGACGGATGATGCACGACGTCTGAATTGATCTGAGCGGCACGCTCCAGAGCTATGTACTGTTGTACCAGGGGCCCATTGTCCTCATGCTGTGTTTCGACCTGAGGAGCCAAACATTTCCGCCGGAAGATCGTTACACATCGCCGCGGCTTTAGCGGAGGAGCTCGAAAACGGTCGAAACAGCCAATCAACACTAGCCTGAGACCCTTTTGAATGGCGACATCAGCTGCGAATTCTCCCGCGTCTTGAGTTTGGGCTCTTTCTTACGGCCAGATCCACAGACTCGAAATCCAGTTGGCCATGGTATCCAAGTGTTTTCTGCGTTCTTCCCCCTGGAGGAGGATTGTCATGTCCGCAGCACGAAATCGACACCCATCTAGTGTGATAAGAGGTAAGTTGCATTGGACACCAATGGATGAGTTCGCCAGCGAGTGCCCTTGGAATCTTTTCATGATAAGCAAGAGAATCCTGCGATACAAGGTGCAGAACTCACCAGCTCGCTGTGATGCTTGCAAATCCCAGTGAAAGAATCCAGATCATCAACTCTGCTGGTCACTCCTCCTACAAGACCCTGCCATAAGTCACAAACATTGCCCATCACCTCGTCGAATTCATCAGATCCACCATTCTGGCAGCACGCTGTAAACATGGTGGTAAACAAGGCGATGGTCTTCAGACAAATTCCTGAAGGACTCCCTGTAGCAGGCAAGGACTTAACGATCGAAACCATTGTCGACTACGATGAAACCTCCCCCGCCCCGGATGGAGGCCTGTTGCTAGAATCAGAGTATGCAAGCTTCGATCCTTACATGAAGGGACGCATGCGCCCGGTGCACATCAAATCCAACGCAACAGCCTTTGAGCTGAATAAGCCACTAGTGAACCAATGCATCGCCAAGGTCCTCAAATCGAAACACCCCAAATACCAGCCTGGAGATCAGGTCATTGGGGAACTCCCGATCCAGCAATACGTTTCCCTAAGCGGAGCGGAGCTGGGCAAGATCCAGCACCTGGAGAATCCCCTAGGGCTGGAGGACGTGCGCGTCTTTCTGGGGGCCCTCGGGATGTCGGGATTGACCGCATATTCCTCCTTCTACGAAATCGGACAGCCCAAGAAAGGCGAGACGATCTTCATCTCCGCCGCCAGTGGCTCGGTAGGCAGCATGGTCGGACAGCTGGCGAAGCGCGAGGGACTGAAGGTGATTGGCAGCGTGGGCTCGGACGACAAGCTCGACTTCATCGTCAACGAGCTCGGCTTCGACGCCGGGTTCAACTACAAGAAGGAGCGTCCCGGCGATGCCCTGAAACGACTCGCTCCCGAAGGCATCGACATCGACTACGAGAATGTGGGCGGCGAGCATCTCGAAGCGGCCCTGGATGCGATGAGAGAGCATGGACGGGTTGTCGTCTGCGGCTTGATCTCCGACTACAGCGCTGCGCCGGGCCAGCGATATCCTCTCTACAACTACAGCCTCATCCTGCGGAGGCGGCTCACCGTCCGCGGTTTTGTGGTCTTTGACCACGGATTCGGCGACAAATACCATGCAGAGCACCAGGCCAATGTGCAGCGATGGATCAAAGACGGGACGCTCAAGGTCATCACTTGGGAGTGTGAGGGTATCGACAATGCGATCGACGGCCTTCTGGCTCTGTTCTCGGGGCGCAATTTTGGGAAGGCTGTCCTGAAATTCTAACGATAGCAGATTGAGTAGGTATTGACTCCTAACGGCTAGCGTCTTTTGATACGTCTACTATTTGCTTTCCTATCATTGTCCTTTGAGAGAAACTACTCTTTCTGTTCCGCTGTCGATCTCTTCCGTCGGATTTCGTACTCAGATGATATGCGTCCCGTACCCGTTCAGCGTCGCAGGGTTTCGGCCCGGGGACATTAGTCAGTCCAGGCAATGGACTTCAGAAATGGAATAGTCGCTATAGGAGGCACTCGGCTGTTAACTCCTAGCCTCGGAGCTCTTGGCACCCCACTTCTTAACGCCTAGCGCACCCGGGCCATCTGTGGATCCCTGCCGAGTTTCTTCCTACTTCTACGCAACTCAAAGGATCAGAAGCACGAGATTCCGATTGACACAACATTTATCCGTCTTGTCTCAATCGCGACATGTCCTACAAACGGCGAGCGAACTGGCATAAAGTGCCGCCACCTCCCGCCTTCGTGGCAGGGGTGCTTTGTTGCGTGACAATGGCTTGCTTACATCATAGCCTGGTGACACCCTCTCGTACCTGATGGGCGCCATCGCTACCATCGCGAGTTTGAGTCGGATCACGCTCCGGTAATTCCGCCAGCGGGTGATGAGCTTTGTCAGAGAGTCATCAGCCCGGAACAGGAGGGGAGGTAAGGGACAACAGCGTACATGTACAAGAAACCGCGCAAAGCAGGTCAAAGAGGGGGTGGTATAAAGAAACTGTGTGAGCATTGGGAGATTTCGGTTGTCACCCCCATTGGCAGCTTATCACCGGCGAGTTGACCCGTGCGACTTATCGGATTTCGAACGCCAAAGAGCCCGAGAAGAAATCCTCCTTTCGGATCATCATCACATATAACTAACACGCCGGCACCGAAGCGTTTCCTGACGCAGTCACTTGCACTAGAAGTTCTCGCGCACAAACCGATCTTTCACCACACAAGGCAGCCCAAAGAAATGGCTTCTCGAATGCGCCTCCAGCCGGTGCCGCCGGAGCAACTGACCCCGGACCAGCGAGCGCTGTACGACGACGTGGTGGAGAACATCGTGCGGACGCTGGACGACCAGAAGTCGTTCATCACGCGGGACGAGGCCGGCGCGCTCCTGGGGCCGTGGAATGCGTGGATCCACGAGCCCGTCGTGGGCAGCGCCATGTGGCACCTCAGCAAGGTCGCGTTCCGGGCCGCCAAGCTGCCCGAGACGCTGCGCCAGGTCGCCATCCTGACCGTCGGGGCACACTACCGCGCCGCCTACGAGGTGTACGCCCACTCGGGCCTGTCGAGGCACTACTTCGCCGAGGAGCAGGTCGGCGCGCTGGCCCGCGGCGAGGCGCCCCCGGACCTGTCCCCGGACGAGATGCTGGTGTACAGGATCTCCAAGGCCCTGGTGGCGGGCGGACCCCTGCCGGATGATCTGTACGCCCAGGGTGTCCAGGTGCTGGGCCAGAGCATGCTGACCGAGCTGATCTTCCTGGTCTCGCTGTATGCTTTGGTGTCGGTCAACCTCAACGGGTTCAATGTCCCCGTGCCGACGGAAGGGTCGTAGATTCATGGAAGCCAGTCAGCATGTGATGGATTAGAAGGCCGCTGTTGCCGGGTTTAATAGATATAACTATGCTGTTGCAATTTCCTAACCGTCTGACGACCTTTGTGGCTTAAGTGTGTAGAGAAGCCTGTGCCTGATGATGGTTGTCTCGATCGATTGGGTTCTGAACCTGTTCTTTGAGCTTGGCGAGTCTGTGCATCCACTCCCCGGAAATAGAACCAGCAAGCCTTGCGCCAAATGTCCATATTCTCCTGGTGTTTGATCTTCTCAAAGGTGTTTGTAAAAAGGGTTACATAAACTCCTGTATGATAAGCCTGATCCCGTATCTCTTCATCGCTACAGTTCGTTACCACGACCTTCTGTCCAGCTATGAGCTGGGTACGTTACTTGACGTGTGAGAAGAGCTTCGCGGGTTCGGTCGCCTCCGCAAAGGTCAAGTGGATCTATGAGTGGATCAAGAGCTCTTCGTGACGATTAGCATCATCCCTTGCCTGTAGAATAGACTTCATTAATCAAAGACTGTCCCGAAACACGGGAGCTTTTGTATATAGGACAGGAACCTCTCTCCCCCAGCATTACAGGAGCTGGCTATATCAGTCCAATGCCCCCTCATCATGCAGGAGGCACTTTCCATCCCTGGGAAGAGGCACTCTCAAGACACAATGAGAGCGTCGCTGATAGCTGATCTTTAGTATGCCGCGGAAGTATTTGACCCATTTCCGTCCGAACTCCAAGTATTCCAGACCTGTTCTCGCACTTTCCCTACATCTAGCTGCCCGGGGAAAACTCACTGGTTATTCGCACCCTCGCCATGATGTCGCACCATTCACAAGGTCATATCTTCGTCCTCAGCATGGGGTTCGAAATAGTGCATCGCGGTATCGGAAGGAATACTCGCCGTAAGCATCGAGGGTGGACTCATAAAATCCGACCAATTCACAGATGGAACCGGAGGAAGGCGTGAACGGTGCACAGAGCTTAGGCTTTCGCGCTCCTTAACTGCAGCTTTGAAAGATCTGTAGCCGGAACTCATCGAAGAGGTATAGGATCTTGCAAGAGACGGCCCCAACCAGGCCTCCTTGGCAGAGAACTTTACGTCCAGGCCGCTTCGTCGACTTGACTTTGTGGTAGGCTGGGATGGCCGGAGGTATTGTGTCTCACCCTGGTGCTTGGAGATTAGAGATGGCACAAATGGTATGTCCAGCGCCGCAAGGTCCGAATATGTCGATACTCTGGCTATAAGAGCACTTGTGCCAATAAGATGTTCAGCGGCACCGGCCTTGGGCCGTTCGGTAGTCAGAAATGGAAGGGACGGGGACTGTAATTCGCGAAGATAGACATCAATGAACCCTTCATAGTCGTCAGCGACTCTTGAAATACAAAGCTCAAAGCCATGAACGTCCGGACGGTTCTTTATTGCTAGTTCAATCGATAAAGCCGCGATGGTGAGCTTTTCTGAGAGTTTCCAGTGACCACCTATCGCATTTGGAGCTTTTCCCGAGAGCAAAAATTTCCCATACTGTCTGGACATCAGACCACACATTGCAACCAACACTTGTTCTTGAAGGCGAGAGAAAAATTGGGACTTTTGAGAGTCTCCTGCTTTTTCAGGAGGGGCTCGAACATAAGCATGTTTCGGACCATTACTGAGACGGCGTCTCAAAACCAAGCATGCCACCATTTGAGCCATGAAGGCATCGTCTGCTGGATCGTGCCAGTAGTTGCTCCAGACCCCGTCGATTTCTTCTCTGTTGACATAGAGACATTCTTTTATCTCACCAATTGCTTCATCCATAACGACCCTGATGTCCTCGTCTTCATGGAAGAAACGAAAGGCACTGTCAACACTGTCAAAAGAAGACATGTCTGGCTGGATAGAGTGGCCACCTTCTTCTTGCAGACTTGAATGTACAGCATTCAAAATCCAGTAGGCAGTCATTTTACGTTCGTCACAACCACCCTTTCCCGAACAGTAGAGGACCTGCATATATGAGACAGTTTGTTGGTCTCCCTCCTGTCCTGATGGATAGTAACGCGACAGCCAAACGTAAGTTTGTTTAACAAGATGAAATGCGTCCGGCTTTTCTGTCCATTCACAAGCAAAATGAGCACAGGCGATGACAAAGAAGAGTAAAAGTCGACGTGATAATCCTTGCACCGAAGGCTGACGATTGATTTGATCGATAATATGAAAAGATATTTAAAACGCATCGCTGGGGTACCCGAACGTGAAAAGCAACATAGCCATATACCCGAGGCGATTGAGAACCTTTATAGAGGCGCCATGTTTGGTAGTCGAATAAGCGAGTATCTGGCGGATTGCACTTGGGTTGCTGGCATGACGGTATCCAATAAATGTGAGCCTAGGATGATCTTTGTCGGGCAGCGCTGGTGACACGCATCGCGGGATTTCGGGTGAGATAAGGCTAAGAGATGCCGTGAGTTCAAAGAGGGCGTCTGGCTCAACATTCGGCGTTCTGGAATCGAGAGTCGGACCAGTGTTTGAAATGGCGGAGTCTGTCATTGAGGCTCCGGGCGAACCATCGTTCAATAGTAGCTCTCCAAATTTGTCGAGTGGTCTCTCACGGAAAGTGGCTTGCTGTGATATGGCGGTATCCTGAGAAACATGTTCTCCCAGCGAAGAAGACTCCTGAGGCCTTCGTTGCAGACCCCATTTCTTCATTTGCCGGTCAAGTTGGTTCCGTGTGATGGGAATATCTCTTGAATGGAATTCGAGAGGATATCGACAGTAGTGACGCCTTGGTGGAAGAGCATCGACACCCTGGGCTTGAGGTCTTCCCACCGCTCCCTCGAGAGTCTTTGGCTGTAGCGGGGAACATTTGGATCCTGTGGAATGAAGGGATCAGCCCGAAGGCTGCGTCCAGAATTTGCCATGGCTTAGAGTACAGCCACCCACCCCTCGAACATGTAAACAGCTCGCCGCTGTATATCGCCGAGGAAGTGAGGTTGCGAGATCTTGGAGAAGAGAGGGTTGACTGAACTGCACAATGTCCTTGAGTAAGGCTTGAGAAGAGCCAGCCCACCTTGTCGACCATTGGTCAGAAGTCGACTAGGGGTCGCATGGTGGCGTTCTTCTGCATTTCCACAATTGGGTTTGATGCATTTCAGCGACAGCCTCATGGCTGATTGCTAATTGACTCGACAGACCAAGGGACTGACACCTTGGCCACGTCATTCGAGGAAGACGCTCCAATTCCAGGATGTCGAGGCAACGCACAGGCCTCTTCGCCTGGCGCTGTTGGGTATTCATGTTTGGTGAGAAGGAGAGGAGAGACACGAAGGCCTCGAAGACCATTGAATCCTGAAGCGGCTAATTTTCGGAAGCAGCGCTCGCGCTCACAATCACCCACCATTCCACCATCGTCACCATCACTATCACCATCACATCTGCTCGCTCGAAAACATCGTGCCAGTCAAAAATGGTACACTTACTTCGAGAATGCAGGAGCTGACGATAAAATAGCGTCGGAGCGGCCTCTTGAAGCGAATTGTACGGGCCGACCAAGTATTTGCCAAAACCTGTCATGTGCTACTGAGATATATCACAGAAGGGAGCCACGGGGAAACCTATACTAGGGGATCGAGGCAACCAAAAAACACGCCATGTGGAGTGCAGCGGCCATATTTGAGGCGGTGGCGGAAGGGAAGATTAGGAGCTTCACCAAGGGTTGGGATCAGAAGACCACGCAGTTAAGCAATGCGCTCTGGTACGGCCTCGCTCACACCCTGGCAACAATCACCGGATGACGTTGGAACATCAGAGACGGCCAGAAATAGAGGAAAGCAGGATAGTCGGCAGAAAGAGGCGACTATTCGAGATGAGGCATTGCCGATAGCATTGAGAAGCAAGCACAACAGGCTGCTCAATCTCTTCCACTGCTATGCACCTACTTCCCTTGCTCTCTTTTCTCCCTCTCGACTTCATCCGCCAACTCCCCCAACGTCCCAAACCTCCAACCATACCCGACCTCTCCTCGTTCGTGGATGCCTCTGATAGCCTCGTTGCCGCCCATCCCCGCGCCCTTCCGATTAATCCACACGCTGGCCAGCCCCATCGTCTTGGCCGGGATGTGGTCGTGGAAAATGCTCTGCGCGACGTGCAAGATCTCGTGCTTCTCCACGCCGGCGTCCTCCTTGGCGTGCTTGATGAGGTACTCGAAGTTGCGGAGGTCGGGCTTGTACGACCCAATGTCCTGGGCCGTGTAGACGCGGAAGAAGTCGACCCCCTGCAGCGGGCCGGCGCAGGTGCGCGCGAAACTCGCCCGGTCGACGTTGGAGAGCGGCACGAGCTTGAAGCCGTGCTGCCTCACCAGCCGCTGGCAGGCGTCGACCGTGTCCGGGAACGGCGGCCAGGTGCCGATGCTCTCGCCGAACTGCTTGGCCTCCTGCTTCGTCGACACCTCGGTGGCCTCGCCGACCCCAAAGTCGGACGCGATGCGGAGGTAGATGTCCTGCAGGAGCTCGTCGTATCGCTGCGACGGGTTCTTGGCCTCCAACTCGTGCTCGATGTCGTTGTACTTCGCGGCGAGTTTGATCCGTCCCTCGGACCCTGCAGTCGTGCTGTCTTGGTATTCCTGGCTGAGGGGCGAGGATGAGGGGATGCGCGAGACTAGCGGTTGCAGCAGCCTCACAATCGCCGTCTCCCAGTCCACGAGCGTGCCGTAGATGTCGTACGAGATGAGTTTATAGGACGAGAGTGGCCTCTTGGGCACGGTTGGCTCGGGCATGGGAAGATAAGACGACGCCATCTTGTCTTTGTGCTGTGTTTCCGTGGACAGAGACGCCTCCCGGCACAGATGAGACTTCAAGTCAACGGAGGCTTTGGGTGAGGGAGCTTGGCTGCACGAAAGGCAAGACGATTGCGAGTGATGTGAAAGGGTTGACTCTTCAGCGAGACTCAGAGACGATGATACGGGATGCGATCAAAGATAATATAGTTTTTCGATGAATGTGTGGTTCATTTAGGGTCGTGATCCTTCATACACAACACGCCTCAGGACGATGCCACAAGGCGTGAACAAACCTGCCATGTCATCCGGAGGCCGCCGGTAAATTTTCCCCTTTGCAGTTTGAGTCTTGTCGACGCTGAATAGATAATAACAGGAGTACTAAGTACCGTCTCTCACCATCCCAGAACAGGGCAAAGACTGGATATCCTCCCTCCATCCTCCCTGCGGACCAACGTCCAGTGCTCGCAATAGCATAACAAAGACAAGATCGACGCCCCCCTGAAACGCCTCCACGAGTTTTGGCCGCCCATCGTCCGTGTCCCTTTTTCTGATCTCTCTATCTGTCCTCATTAGGGTATCTTAGAAACATCCCATGCATGCAAAATATGGCAAAGAATATGCATTTGAAGGTGATGTCGTGAATGGAGGGCCGCTAAAGGGGACCGCATTCCGCATCTAGCGGTGTTGTCCATGGGGAAGAGGTGTGCCAATCGAATGCGAGACTCTGTAAGTCACAGATCGACTCATCAGTAATCCGTGGCTGTCACCTTTTTCCGTTTCCTCTGGCTGCCGTATTCGTCACCATCACCATCTTCTGGATCCGAATAACCCTCTCCATATCCGACAAAACTGTCATCACCATAACTCCGCTTTTTCCCGCGAGTCTGTCGTTTTGCTTCTGCCGAAGGCTGTTGAGGTGGCCGAACCACTCCATTTGCCATCGGTCGAGGGGTGGGCTGTTGTTCCGGAGCCACATTCGGTTTCGGCTTGTCGAATCCGAGTACATCCTCCCAGTGAGCGTTATTGCGAACTGTCCCTGGTTGCATTTGCATGGCCATTTTCAACTCGGCAGTAAAATCTATCGTAACTTGAGGGGGTTCTTTCGTATGCTCTGCGTTCCACTGCTCATCCGGTTGAAGACCCCAAGGAGACGATCCAGCCATGCGCCGTAACGGCCCGGGTTCATCTTCTTCCACGTTGCGCTCGCCCTTGACAGGTTTGTTCCGTCCAGCCAACGCGAAGCCCTTGATTTGACCTTCGTACGATTTCCGTAGCTTGTTGATTTTCTCACCAGTCCTTGGGTCGGTGCGAGCGACGCTGTGGAGCAGTGGGCCCAGCCCATACAATGCCAACAAATGCTGCTGCGGGTTCGGTTTCTGGCGCTCAACTTCTGCGAGAATGTCTGTTAACACACCTGCAAGGATAGATTGTGAGTGGTGGACAGATGGAGAGTCTTACTGGATGTGCAGAGAAGAAAGGCTTCGCCCATATCTTTCTGTAGTTGCTCCAGGGTCTTCTCATCCACCATTAGCTCTGCATCCTGCTCATGTTCTGGGAGCTCGGCGCTTTTTCCCTTGCTAAGTTTTTCGCCGTCTATTTCCATCTCATCGTTCCGATCATGATTTGTGGCCTCTCTAAGGGGTTCTACCTCCATTTGATCCGCCTCTTGATCCCTATCCGCATCAAGTCTTGGCCGCTTATCCCGATGTTGATCGATATCATCAGCCATGTCGAAACCAGAGGAAGTGCCCGTTACACTGTGCGCAGGGGTCGGCAAGGACGGCATGGGACGGGACAACGGTTGTTGACTACGCGGTGCTGAAGCCTTTGGTGAGTTCGGAGACGAGCGCCCCGAAGCCTCGTCGGGATTATGTGTATTTCCGTAAGAGGAGACATAGCTCTTTGTAGCGACTGACATAAACGAAGGAGAGATAGGAGATTGCGGAAGATTGTCAGACAGGCGCCGTCGCTTGAGACCTGATTCAGACGGAGAAGTTGGAGATGGCGGGATGGCAGTTGGCCGGGCTGAAGAGGACATGAAACCGCGCAACAGAAGTCCTTCCGCGGTGGTTTGCGCGCCACCGTCGACAGCAGAGGGGATCGCGAAGGAAGCGCTGGGGACCAGCAGAGCTGTCACTTGGGCAGCAGCGGAGCGGGGCGTCACTTCGATCGGACTGGTATCAATGGCGCCCTCGGGAGGGGATGGTGATGATGGCGGACACAGTTTGTGATCAAGACGAGAACAGACGAGGAATCAGGGGGCGGTCGCAGCACTCGAGACGCGATGGCAGCGAGATGTTGAGTGAAACGGGGAGCGGAGAGTGGTTGGTCGGATGGGATTTGAGAAGAACAAAGACAGGATCGAAAGTTGAAGTCGACAGGTGACGGGGCAAAGACTGAGAGAAAGCGAGGCGAGCGAAAGACTGGGGCCCAGGCGCCGGCTGCCAGCACCACCACCGAGCACCACCCAGCGGCCACCCAGCAGCCACCTCCACCCGCGACCCAGGTGTGCCAGGCGCTCGCTGACTACTACTGGCTTAGCCAGCCGCAAACGGCGTTAGCCCGGCAAAGGCTGGGGCGGGCGCAGTTGCGATCACGTGATAGTCGTCGGCCGCGCCGTTACAATCAGCCGAAAGTCCTCTATTGCCCCAAGGTTGTGTCCCCCTTTGTCTGGTTATCTGTCTGACCGTCCGTCAGCTTCCAAGATCTCCTCCTGCTCTCCTAGATCTCGATCCTGTCCTCCCGTGCTTCATCCAATGGAGCAAAGAGCCAGTATACCGCCAGGTCTGCCCCGCGACAATCCCATCCAGAGTTACTGGCAAGATCCTCCCGATGAAATAGCAGATTGCCGGACAACCCCAGAACTCCCTAATGAGGTTGATATCGCCATCATTGGCTCTGGAGTCAGCGGCGCCTCTATATCCTACAACCTGCTCTCTTCGAATCCAGACCTCAAGGTCGTCCTTCTAGAGGCACGTCAAGCTGCCAGTGGTGCCAGTGGCCGGAATGGTAGGTTTCAAGGTCATCAGAAGCTGAGTCGTCCACTTTGATGTTTGCTCTTCTTTCCAGCTGATAAGATCGTTTCTCCCCTCCATGGTACACGAACACTTCCTAACATGGCTCCTTTAAAGGAGGTCACACTAAGACAGCTACCTATCGATCTTTCCTCGACAATGTTCAAACCGTGGGTGCGGAAGATGCCATGAAGATCACCAACCTGGAATACAACTGCATGGTCTCAGTACACAAATTCGCCCGCGAGAACAACATTGGTTGCGACTCTGTCAGATGTCAAACCATTGACGTCTTTTACGACGAGAAACAGTTCCAAAATGCGCGAGAATCGGTCTCGCTGATGGAGAAGTTGATGGGCAAGGGAAACGCCCCGGAGCACATTTTCCACAACAGCCAGGAAACGGCCGAGAAATTTCTGGCACCGAACAGTGTGGGAGCGCTTGAGTACGAATCAGGGAGTCTGAGCGCGTACAAGTTTACCATTGGCGTGCTAAAGCTTGCTTTGCAAAAGGGACTGAATCTTCAATGCAACACTCCTGCGAACAGCATATCCAAATCACCCACGGATGGAAAGTGGACCATATCGACACCACGTGGCAATGTCAAAGCCAAAACCCTCGTCCTAGCTACAAATGGCTATACTGCACATCTCTATCCGCAACTGCAAGGCGTGATCGTTCCGTTGCGGGGAGTAGTGACTGCCCAACGGCCGGGGCAAAATATGCCCCAGAAGGGGCTGGAAACGACATACTCCTTCGTTTACAACGACGGCTTCGAGTACATGATCTCCCGCCCTGCCGGCTCTAGATTCGAAGGTGACATTGTGATCGGAGGCGGTATGCACGTTGCAAAAGACGAGGGAACGTCCGAGTACGGGAATACTGATGATACCACCTATGACAAAAACAGCGCAGACTACCTCTCAGAATGCACGGAACGATACTTTGGTACTAGGAATTGGGGCAAAGATAACCCGGATGGCCGATGTCGACGAATCTGGTCAGGCGTCATGGGCTTCTCGTGCGATGGGTATCCCTTTGTAGGGCCAGTACCCGGTGAGGAAGGGCTATATTTGGCAGCTTCGTTTCAAGGACATGGCATGGTCTTGTGTTTCCTGTGCGCAAAGGCAGCCGCAAGCATGATCAAAGGGGCAGATGGCGAAGAGCTGAAGAGTTGGTTTCCTGCTTGTTACAGAGTGACTGCGGAGAGGATGAGGAAGAAGTCTGGGGGCCGCTTGAGGGCTTCAGGTGCCCCTGAGCCAGAGCCCGTCGAAAATGGAGTGCATTAATGCACAAGGAACCAGCTGTTGGACATCAAGATCCCTTTGCATGGAGAAAGTGGAGCAATGTTCATGTTCTAAGACTTGTTCACATAGAGGAAATATATATTTCAGCTTTGAGAGATCCAATACTGTGGACCCAGGAAGATTCGGCCTCCCAGCCGCAACCACCATCCAACAACATGATAGTTCGATCAGAATGAGAACCGAGTCGGATCAAGTCGAAGCCAGGAAGCACGGATGCGAAGCCGCCTCTCAGCATAAGAGAGCATTGGCATCTCCCTCCCAAGAGCAAGTTCCATTCCGTCATTTCCACCAAAACGCCGGTGCAATGCTTCCCCAGAAACCCAGCATGGAAAACGCCGTCTAATGCTTTGCTTTCCACCATCCCTCGTTTCTGGATGTCTTTGAATCATAACATCGTATCGCGTTCGTCCAACTAGCCGATGACATCCCGGGAACCCGCAAATTTTTACTGAGTCTGGCACTGCGCACCGTGCGGACCATCTTCATCCTCCCACGCCTCTTGTGCCTCCTGGCCGCCGATCTCGTCAATGTCTGCCACCTCGAAACTGACCTCGTCGGCTTCCTCGGCCTCGATCGGCGGCTCGGGGGCCGGGAGGAGTTTCTGCAGTTGCTCCAACGCCTCGGGCTTGTCGAGGAAGAATCCATCTTCGGGGAAGCCGATCTCGACGACGAGGTAGAGATCGCCCTTTGCATCGGACTTCTTGAGGGGCATTCCTTCGCCGCGGATCTTGAGAACTTCACCGGGGCGGAGAATTTGGCCTGGTTCTTGTGGATGGTTGAGCTCGATGCCCCGGCCGTCAAGGTGTTTGAGGACCACGCGGTGGAAGCCGGTCAGCGCCTCGGCGAGGGTGATGTCGAGTTTGGCACTGAGATCGTTGCCCGTACGCTGGAACACCTCATGAGGCTGCTCGACCAGGTGGAAAACGATGTCTCCAGTCTGTTCTGCTCCAGGAACCTGATCCGCCTCGCCCTCGAGTCTGATTTGATCTCCCTCCCGAGCGCCGCGGGGGATATAGAGCTCGAGTTGCTTCTTCTCCTCCGTGACCCGCTTACCCTTGCATTTCTTGCATTTGTCCTTCGGGTTGAACACTTGCCCTGTGCCCTCGCAGGCACCGCATTCAACCATGCGCTGGGTCAACATGCCCGGCCCCACTTGACTCAGGACCTGTTTGACGCCCTGCCCCTTGCAGGCGGAGCACTCTTTCGCCTGCGCCTTCTCGACACCACCCGTACCCTTGCATTTCGAACAGATGACGTTCTTGGTGGATGAGAACTTGACAGTCTTGCCCTTGTACAAATCTTCCAGTGTGACTTCGTATTTCTGATTTTCATCGGGACTTCGTCGCATTTTGCGGCCTCCCATCCCTGGCATGCCCATCCCCGGGATCCCACCGCCCATGCCGAACATGTTGAGGATATCTTCCATGTTCACCTCCCCACCCATGCCGGGGCCGCGGGACCCATCGAAGGCCGCCATGCCATGGGCATCGTAGAGATGTCGCTTCTCGTCATCGTAAAGGATTTCGTAGGCCTGGGAGGCGGCTTTGAAACGGGCCTCTGCCTCTTCCCGTTCTTCGGGCGGCACTTTGTCGGGGTGGCTGGCAAGAGCCGCTTTTCTATATGCTTTGCGGATATCGGCTTGGGAGGCATCTCTGGGGACGCCGAGGATCTCGTAGAGATCGATCTCGGGACCGCTGTCGGTGGTATCGCCGTTCATGTTTTCAGATGTGTTGGGAGAGTCGGTGTGTGGACAAATATGTTCAGGAAGCAGAGAGTATTGTGGTTGATGAAAGGAGGAAAAAATAATAAATCCTTCAAGGCGGCCAGCGGATGACAACTAATCGACAGGTTCTGCTGGGGTGGTGGAAGATGAGTGGAGGGGACTTCGCAGTTTTGTCACTTAGCACGAAAACGGGGCCTTAACTTCAACAGATTCAGTGGCTCGCACCAGAGGCTATAGGGCTGCATGTGCATGGATACCTGAGCGATTGACCCGGACGGCGGAGGAGTAGAAGCATTGGAAGAGTTTGGATGCTCCCTCTTTTCCTACTGGTGGATGCGTGAATCTTCTGGTGCTTTCGAGTCCTGGAGTTTTTTTTGTCTGATTACCACATCTTGCATCCTCTCTATCAACAGCGACGTTTCCCCTCGTTGCACATGAGGGCGAGGCCTGCCATCCACGTTACTGGATGGGTGTGCAATTCATGCCGTGCCCGTCAAACAGCGGCGACGAAGGGGTATTCGCTTGTCCCGAGTCGCAGAGCCTCGACCGCGTCTTCCTCCAGTTCGCCCGCCGGTAGTAGCAGCACGCATCCCACCCAGAAACGAGGGAAGCTTCCCTCAACACCAGCGCGAACTCGATTTGCTCCCTCTCCCACAGGCAACCTGCATCTTGGCTCCATCCGTACCGCGCTGTTCAATTACCTCCTCGCTCGAGCGACACACGGTCAGTTCCTCCTTCGAATCGAAGACACCGATGCAAAGAGAACGATACCCGGTGCGGAGGACCGGTTATACAGAGATTTGAGATGGGCTGGACTACAATGGGACGAAGGCCCCGAGGTAGGAGGTCCTTACGGCCCCTATCGACAGTCTGAAAGACTTGCGTTGTACAAAACACATATCGAGACACTCTTGCAGGCCGGACAAGCGTACCGCTGCTTCTGCACGTCGGACCGTCTGGATGAACTCAATCGTCGCCGCCACCAAAAAGGATTGAGCTTGGGATACGATCGAAAATGCCTGAACAGCCTCTCCCCGGCCCAGGCAGAGGAGAAGGCTCATCGTGGTGAAGCACATGTTATCCGCTTTCTCTCTCCCCACGAATGGCCTCGTTACAATGACCTCGTCTACGGCAAATCCCAAGGCCACGGGGCTGAAAAGACCAAGAGACTACTGGTGGATGAACCCGTATATGAGGACGCGATCCTGATGAAGTCCGATGGCTTCCCTACGTACCATTGGGCAAATGTTTGCGATGACCATGAGATGCACATCACTCACGTCGTCAGGGGTTCTGAGTGGATGGCTTCGACGCCTCTGCATGTCGCGCTGTATAGTTCCCTGGACTGGACGCCCCCAGCCTATGCGCATGTCCCACTTCTAGTCGACAGCAACAAGCAAAAGCTCAGCAAGAGGAACTTCAACTCCGATATCTCACAGTTTCGCGACCAAGGGATCTTTCCCGAAGCGCTGATCAATTTCGCCGCGCTTTTGGGCTGGTCGCACACCCAGAAGCGAGATGTCATGGACCTCGCCCGGCTCGAATCACTCTTCGACCTGAAGATCACAAAGGGGAACACCATCGTGTCCTTCGACAAACTGAATTTCTTACAGGAACAACACGCTCGCCGGCGAGTGCTGGCCGGGGGAGAGGAATTTGAGCAAATGATTCGTGATGTGGCTGTTTCTGTGTTGGAGAAATACGGCGCTGGGAGGATCATGCAGTTTCTAGACACGGGATCGCGGAAAAGGCAGTTGAGAAATGTCCTCGCCCAGCTACTGAAGGTCGAGTCTCTGCACTACCGCTCACCATCTCAGTTCGCGGAACAGTGCTCTTTATTCTTCGAGCCTGTATCCCTAGGCGACTTGGACGTAGGCGGATTCGCATTCCTCCACCCTCTCCGGGTCGCAGCGTCAACTCTTGCTTTGATACCCGAGGAATCCTGGACCAGAGATACGCACCTCTCGCACCTCCGCGCTCTCGAAGCGAGCCTCCCAGACGAGTCTGTCGACCCGAGGACCTGGAAAAGGGAACTGTACCACTATTTGCGCTGGGCATTGCTGGGCGGGAGACAAGGGCCCGGCATCGCTGAGACGCTGGAGATATTGGGGAGAGGGACGTGTATCACGAGGATCCAAGAAGCAAACTTGAGAGCCCGAGAGCTGGAGACCGTTCGGACCAGGCCCGTCATTCAGGCTCAGGGTTGGAAAGGCGATGTCGAGGGCAAGAGGAGAGTCGAGAAGGAGTGGAAGGGCTATTCGCTGCATCGATAGGAGCAGTAGAGAAAATAACAATAACAATGGCGCCGGTTACTCCTCTCAGTTTATGCATGTCTCGACCCGTTCCTCGTTCACGCAGCCCGGTGGGAAATTTGACATGCATCATGCGGTATAGTCCAGACGTGGAGGAGCCTTCGATAGTGAGTTAATCTATCAAAGCCTTCTCATCGCCTATTTTTTGCGTATCAGATGCTTGCTCGGAAGCCATAGAGATCTCCGCTAAGGACAGCTTTAAGCCCCCGAAGACAACGTCAGTAGAGTCGCCTTTTCCATGATATCTCTGGAACTTTTTTCCCCTGGCACTAGATCGCACAGCTCAAGGACGGCGGACATTGATTCTAAGACATTCCACCACCACCCCGATGACCTAGGTACCTCTTACTCGGTAACCTCCCTGACCAACTCCCAGTTGCCTTTCAAGTCCTCCTTCCAGAGGGTGACCTTGTTGTCGCCCCCAGAGACGGCGAGCACGTTCCCGCTCAGACTCCAGCTCACGCGCCAGGTCACGGCGTCAAACTCCAACGTCTTGGCCAGCGTCCAGTCCCCCACGCTTCCGGCGCCGGAGCCCATGTTGGTGCACGTCCATATCCTGACGGTCTTGTCCTGGCTCGCGCTGGCGATGTACGACTTGCTGAGCAGGGTGGGCGACCAGGCGACGTCGCGGACCCAGTCGGCGTGTCCGTTAGGCAGGACCAGCACGTTCTCGTACGTGCTAGTCTGCGGGTTGAACTCCCACAGCTTGACGCTGTTGTCGCTCCCGCCCGTGACGAACCGCTTGACCAGCCCGCCACTGCCCGCGGTGCCGGGGTCTTTCCGCGTGATGGCGCCCGGAGGGGCAGACGGCGCCCAGCTCACCGCGTTCACGCCCATGGGGTGCGCCGGGAAGATGATGTGCCCCCACTGGTTGTCGCGGAACTCGAGGACCGAGACGTTGCCGTCCGACGAGGCGCACGCCAGCAGACAGCCAAGGTCCGGTGGTGCCCAAGAAACCATGTTTACCGAGGCGGTGTGGAATGTGCTCGTGAAGACGAGGGTCCATGAGGACTGTGACTGTTGGCCCGGCTGCGATTGTTGTGAGGGCGTTTCGCGGTAGATGTGCACGCGGCCGTCATAGGAGGAGGAGGCCAGCAAAGTGCCGAATTTCGGATGGGCCCAGGACACGCACCAGACGGCGCCTTCGTGGCTGTATACGTGACACCGCTTGTTAGTTATCGAGTCTGGGGTAGTTGGGAAAACAAGAATGCCAGAATGAGGGGGGGTATAGGTGGACAACGCTACCCTTTCAACGTCTCTGTTAACCGGTGTTGGTCGCCTTCAATCTCAAAGATCTTGATAGTCTTGTCGCTTGAACAGGTCGCAAGTCGTCGGCCATAGTAATCGAGGACCGCATCGTGCTGTGAAAACGCCCGTCACACTCGTTAGCCACCTCTTTCCTGAATTCATTCCCCACGTGAGATTCAAGACCCTATCTTCATGTCGAAGCAAGCATTTCTCATACGTCGAAGGACACAAAGGCGGCCGAGGAGAGGTAGCAACCTACAATCATATCATCATGGCCCGAGTTCGCAATGACCTGCGCCTGTTTTGGAGCCAAGTTAGCCATGTCATTTCTAGCAATTTCAGACCCAGAGAACCATCAAAGGGGCTGTGTCAAACAGAAACCACGTATTTGTCGGGTCCAAGTATGCTGTCCGTGAGAATGGAGGCGAGAGGGACGAACATACCATTTCCACGTCAACTCTTCCAAGTGGGCTTCCGAGTTTACGTAGTAAGGGAAAAGTATGAGGACAGGGACGATAGCACTACCGCATATCTAAGAAGCAGTGATATGGGTAGAGACTGAGGAGCAGAGAGTAAGGCGGGAACTCAAGATGGGGGTTAAGTTGGTGTTTGCGCAAATTCGCAATTCGTGATCTGGCAAGTATTTGTTGCTGGACTCCAAATGCGCAGCTCAGCCTCGTGCGCAGGGCGCATCCCGCTCCGCCATCTTATCTTATCTGGTAAGGCTGAGATGCTGTGACATTCGTCGCAGGCAAGGACACAACACTGGTCTGATGATTTCATGTCCAGCAGCTCCCTTCTATTGTTTGTCAATGATCTTTCTGTCTTGATTGATGTAGAAGCCACAAGGTAAGACATTATATTGCTCAAAAAGAGGAATCTTTCAAGAATCCGGGTTAGTTCTACATGTCTTTTCCAGCCCCCAGCGCAGGCACATGCTACGCAAGACCGGCTGATATATTCGCGCCCTGCAACGCGGTTCCACCGAATAGAACGCCGTGCTGCCCTGAGGCAAATATCCTCAGCGGTTATCCCTTTTCGGACCAGAGAATCGATCCATTCCTAGCCAGGTCCAAAAATATAATGCACAACGACCGCAAGCCCTCCATTGCATATGACGAGATCAGAGAAGAACAAAGGCGCCGCACGTCAATCGGGCCCTCACTCGCGCAGGGAACAAGCTCCAGGTGATTACCTGCCGAGAGGTAAGGTATGCCGATGCAGCCCTTCATTCCATACCGGCAACTTCTTGTCTCGCTCGTAGATCAAGCCGCAACTGTTGCATAGAGTCTGCTCACAAACATCACCAGTCAGCATCGTTCACATCTCAAACAAGACCAAGCATCGTAGCCACACGGAGGCAGAACCATGGCAAAGGAAACAAGAACAGGAAGAAAGTGGAACTCACTCTAGGACCCATAGGTCCATCCCGCACAGCCCAAACAGCGCTGCCCCAGATGAGACAATGCTTGCACCTCCAATTCTGTCTCTCGTACTCCTGTAACCGATTGCCTTCGCCTCCCCACCCTGCACCAGCAGAGCTTCCAGTCGCGTCCGGGGTCTGCGCCTTCGCCACCGGAGATAGCGATCTGAACCGCCGCTTCTTTTTACTTCTTTCTCCACGACCCATGAGTGGCGTCTCCTCCCCTGTCCCAGCGCTCCCGATGGTGGTGTAATCAAAGTAACTTCCTCGTTGCTGGGCTTCCTGTTCTCGAGCGGAGGGCAGCATACCAGCTGTTGAGCTGAATTTGGCAGTCTCTCTCCGCAATCTCCTCAGCTGTCTTTCTCGATCCCCCTCTCTCTTCTCAATCTCTTCTTTACTCAATGCCTCGAATTTCGGCTCCCATTCAGCACCAAAATCGTCAATGTCGTATCTCCACCCGGCACCTTCCTCGCCTCGGACGGCTTGATTGTCAATCTCTCCGCTTAAATGGTTTCCACCGATCATGACCATACCGCCTTCGCAAGCCTCCTTTTTCAACCGTAACACTGCTTCGTAGATTGCATGTGTGATGGCCATAACCCATTCGCCGCCCAATCCCATGTCTGCGCAAGTCTGTCTTGCGAACGCCTCTGCAGCCCCGGGGGGATGTAGCAATGACCATTCGAATTTGTCTTGGTAAAGTTTCGAAGAGAGGTAAATTGACAGCGTAATTATACAACGGTAGGTGTCGTCGGGATTGAGATACGGATCCTCAGAGTCATCCTGCTGCTCAATCTGTGGTTCTGGCGGCAGGGGGGAAGCAACCGCCGTTATAGATGCGCCATTAGTCAACGTAATCGGATGAGGCGTCGAGGCAGCGGGAGTGCCCGGTGTTGTAGAGGCTGGACGAGATATTGACGCTCCCAAGTGTGCCCGGGGTGTGCCGCCACGCGAGCTTCCGTTGACGAAAGCCGACGGTGTGGGAGCGGGGTTAGTATCAGGCATTTGTGATCTCTTCTGCTGGGTGTGGAAGAGAGGATGCATGGCCACTCCAGCATAGTCTTCCAGTTGGGTTCGTATTTGTTGACTGACGTTCATTGCAAGGCCTATTTGGTTCGGCAAGTCCAGTTCGCGAACGAAGCACTGCGCGAAATCATCCGGGGTGAGCAGGTTCTCGTGTAGATTCCACAAAAAGATATCGCGTATCTTGTAACCCGGCAATAGCTCAGGCTTCTTGAACATTGGTAGTGAAGGGTTGACGCCGATATCGATCCCCGCGCGTGGCAGGGGGAAAGGCGCATCGGGCTGGTGGGGTGGCACATCGAGATCGATGCGTATGGGTATAAGGGTGAGTGGGAGTTGCGATTGGATATGTGATTGAGCATCTGTCCTGTTCGGCGCAACTTCGTCAATAACAACACACGGGTTAACAGACGAGAGACGGTACTAACGTAGGCCTGACGGTCCTCCTAATTATCCAGTCTCGATATATGGGCTGCAGGTCGACGGGCTCATGTATTTCCTTTCCCACCTTTTCATGCTGCGGTTCCTTTTTCTCGAGCTCTTCCCGTCGCAACGATCGCAAACCGGTTGGCCGCCGGCCGGGCCCTTCGCTGTCTTCAAAGTCGTCTTCATCGTAGGCATCATCTGCGTAGTTGATTATTGTCGTCCCTCGTTTGGTGGTGCGACCCCCCGGAGCGACATTTTGGGTCTGAAGCACGGGTTGAAGGAGGGTATTAGTGTATTGGCGGATTCGCGGGGGATAGCTGGTCACATATGCCTGCGCGGGCGCCATGGTTCATCGCGGTCGGCAAGACAAGTGGTACAACACTATGACATGGTCAAACGCAAAGACGGTCAGAAGAATCCGCTCCGCGCGCCACGCCCGTCAGAGAATCTCAAGAATATTGTCTGGAGCGTGTCGCAATGCGCAGCAGTAACTGGAGGCTTGGAGAAATGTTCGCAGTCGCGACTTTCGATCCCTTCCGAGTAGGGTCTAGTGCCAAGCCATTTCCAGCCTCCGGTTATGCCAAGGCTCTAGTCTATGATAGGAAAGAGCTTAATCCTCCTGAGCGGAGCCAATGAAATGGCTGTGCCAACTTGTAAACCAGGCAACCCAGAGGGTGGGACGACACATAGGGACCTTTCAGCCTTTTTGTCGTCTCCATAGGGCATCCTCGCCCTCTGATACACTGCCGACATCTTGCTTCAACGTTGCTTCAACAATATGAGTCGTCTCCAGGGTGAGAACGACTGATTGCGTTGCTGCCATCTATTGGGCTTCTGTTTGCGAATCGAATAGATTATCCGTCCAGTTAAGGCACTCTAACACTGACGCAGACTCAATACTACTCCACACTTGCCTAAAATAAAACATGGTGTCGGCTAGGAACCGAGGAAAAGACAAGTGTACTCAGGCATTGCGGTAACAGGCTAACAGCGATCCAAGTCTACTGTCACGTCCTCGCCGGCCGCGCTCGCAATGCTCTTACACGACAGTCTTGTGGTCCCGTGGACGGCAACAACCGGCTCTTTTTGCAAGCAACATAGTCCGTGTCGCAAGGAATCTTGATAATTCGTCAAAGCCATGAGGATGATGCCTAGGTATCCTCGAGTCAATGATGCTCGATCTTTCCGGAGTTCTCTTCAAACTAGGTGAGTCCCCTGCACATTGACAAGTGACTTGTTTCGTCCATTCTTTGACCCGATGAGCGCTTTACATGTCCTTTCTAAGATGCAGCGCCTCTTTGTAGCTTCTTATGACGGTGTATTGAGAACCATCGAGTTCAGCGAGGAACAGACCACAGGTAATCTAAAGGTAGTTGCAGAGTGCAAGGATTGCGCTCCGAATCCGTCCTGGATCACTTTGGACACCAAGAAGAAGGTTCTATTCTGCAACAGCAACGATGGCGCCAACTTGAAGGGGAGTCTCAATTCATACTCTATTCGCAAAGATGGCAGTCTGGAACGACTTGACAGTTTGGCTGCTCATGTTGGCGCGGCATACCAGACCTTCTACAACGATCGAAACGCTTTGGCGATTCCTTACTAGTGAGTTAGCAAACTGGGTCGGTGTTCTAAATTGCTGAAGATTACAGTTATTCCGGTTTGGTTGGCACTTACAATATACAAGACCCTGGGCATCTCCACGAAGTACAAATTCTCAAGTTCCCCAGCTTCATTGCTGGATCTGGTAGATCTCAAGATCAGCCTCGCCCTCATCAGACGGTGGTCGACCCGACTGGCAACTATCTTCTTGTGCCCGACCTAGGGGCAGATCGGATCCGCGTCTTCAGCATCGCTAAAGATCCAAGTTCCCTTCATCAGATCTCAGAGATTGGTGGCTTGGATTTGGAGCGCAAACCCTCCTTCCCCAGACACGTCATCTTCGCCGTGATCTGCGGTAAAACCATGCTATACATCTTGAATCAGGATATATGCACTATCCTGACTTATCGAGTGGAATACCTTCCCGAGGGTGGGCTGTCCTTTCAGCAAGAAGGTGATGAGATTGACCTCATGCAGCGGGGAACCAGGCTCCTCAAGTTCCCCGAGCTACCACCAGGCGAACATGCAACCAGCGCTTCTCAATTGGACATATCAGTAGGCAGCGCTTTCCTTGGAATTTCCTTTGTATTCCACTCTTGAGGTATATAAATGCTGACAATGCTCCACCTCTCCGTCCAGCCCGACAACAGGTTCCTGATCTGCTCAGTGCGCAAAGACCGCGCTTTCGAGATAAAGTCACCCTTCGATCCAGAGCACACCGTTGTCGCGGATTCCATTCTGTCATATCACATTGACCAAGATTCGGGTGCCCTTACCCTGGCTAACGAAGCCCATGCAGGTGGTTATATTCCTCGCCACTTCTCCCTGAACAAGGAAGGCGACCGAATCGCGATCACCCAACAGGCCAATGGATGGGTGTCAATCTACGATCGAAACGTAGAGACAGGTCAGCTCGGGAAACTCCTCGCAATCCAGGACGGGTTTGGAGAACAGGGACCCATCTGCGTGAAATGGTACTACCCAGAATAGCGAAATGTCATGAATAGCGCCTCGACCACAACAAAGAGGGAATATCGCGCCAGTTCTGGCCGACTTTTTGGCACTATAGCAGATAGGCATACCGCCAAGGGGCAGGTTCCGGACAGCAAGGGCGCATAGGATTCCAAATCGCCATCATACTCTCAAGCTGTCCAGAACAAACCCTGTAAGTTCAGACAAGCATCAAGTGCATTCCGGGCGGAGATTGTGTCACCAAGTTGGTTGATGCAATTGACCTATCCAACTATTAGATGTAATAACTACCTAGATACCTAGGTAGTGGTAGACATGCAAGGTACAGGACCTGTGGAGCCACAGCGACAAAGCCGGTTAACCTTCTTAATAGGTTCCTTCCAAATAGGGTTAGGGTAGCGGAGATGCATGGGGCGAGGCTTGCTTTGCTTGATGTGAAATCGACAACCATAGAGCGAGCGAACTTGTCTCAGTCATGACGCTTTCTACATCGACCACCAACCTGGTTTGCTACAGAGTGTCTTCCGAGGACAAGATCTAGAGACTTTCGAGTCAACCTCTTCCGAGAGTTTAGGCCATAGCTGGACTAATCTAGCCCGCAAGCATCAAAGGGTCCCTTGACCAAGAGACTTCTCATTCATATCTCAATGCTGCTGGTAGAATAAAAGCCAGTCTTTGTTTTTTTATCGCCTTGGGGCACCGTATCTACTCTGCGGGCCCTTTACAACGGTGTGTGAATTTGCACGATCATCCCCATCATCATGCATCTACTATCGCCAATGGACGCACAGGAGATCCCGTTGCTCCCACTAATTTGAGAGGAGATAGTACGAAGAGAAACTCCTTGACATTCTCCTTCGAAAGTTCCTCCAAATCCATCAATTCGATGATGTGGATGCCGTTCTCCCAGAGGAGGGTGCCGTGAACCGGTCTCTTGTAGAAGTTGGGTCCAATGGCGACCTGCTCGAAAGAGATGGTATCGCCCCCCGCTGCCCGGATCTTGTGGGAAGCCAGCCATTTGGCAGCACTCGCGTCTACACCAGGCGTGCCCGTTGAGTGACCTTTGTAGGCGACGGGATCGGAGTATAGTTGAGTCCATCCGGTTCGGATCAACACAACATCACCCTCATTCAGGGGAGTGGATCCGAGTGCTTGCTTGAGATCCTCGTCTGAGATGCCCTCGCCTGCTTCCAAGCGCGTCTTGCCTTTCAGGGCCGGTATGTCCAGAAAAATTCCTCTGCACACCATGGGTTTTATGGTCTCTACCCCGAGTTGCACGTAAAGTCCTCCGACACAGGCGTCTGACACGGCTACACCTCCGCAAAGGACGCCATCTCTTGCAACGTGACAGAGTCCATCGATGTGAGTGCCGACATGATCGCCTGTGATGATGACGGCATTCGAGCCACTCCCTCCGGAGTTGCCAGCTCGGACCAAGTCGCCGTGTCGTTTGGAAATCGCGAGCGAAAAAGGGACGTTCGAAGGAGATGATGGCATTCCATTGTGCATTGGCACTGAAAGATCAAAGATGCGAGTGCCTCGCTCAACTGCTTGTAGCAAAGACATTGTGATCTGCTATGGTTTAATATGTAGTGCTTTCGAGGCGAGAAGCCCTGGTCATGCACCTTATAAAATCGTGTGCTTCTACTCAGTAAAAGAGCATTTTTGTTGAGAAATATTTCGGCAGGACAAGGATCGGTCAAGGAACATGTGAAGAGCGATCGGAAGAATTTCGCATCAGTGACAGCAATCGGCAACTTGGTTGGGACTAATGCAATGCACCCACATCCCGAGTCGCTCACTTGGTGCCGATAGACCTCCAATTTCCGACGAATCTAGCGATCTCGCCCCGAGACAGCTCTCTCGGTTCTTCTCTGGACAATACGTGTGACTCTTGATGGCGAACCGCTGGTCATCCTGGCTGGTTCTTGTGAACCAAGAAAGGAAAGAAGTCGCACTGGCCAGAAAGCCAACGAGCTCATCAAAGTGTAATTTCCACACAAAGCCTGAGTTGAGACAACGGCTGCATTCAGCGCTATTCCAATACTCTACGCCTCCGAGGCTACTATTTATCACCCGCTCTATTGTCATAACCAGTAGAAAATCTGTCAGTAAGGAAAGCTCTGGTCTACTGGCAACGAGCACCTTATGATGTTGGACTCCTTCTCGGCTTTCTTCGGTCCGCCTTTGCAACCCTCTGCCGATGCTCTGATCTCGAGCTCTCATCAACCCTGAACCGGCATGACCAGGGGCGGATGGCCGGTGACTCCGGGGTAAGGCGGGGTGATTGCGACTCGGAATGTGCTTCTCCAGAGTCTCCACAACGGGGTCACCCCATACTCTGGGGAACATTTAAGGAAGTATAAGCCATCTCCTTCCCAGCAAACCCATTCTTGCCCACTGTCGGTGACTTTCCTATCCATCCCTCTTCTGCTCCAGACACAATATCTTCTCGAACCATCATGGGTGCGGACGAAATTGACTTGAAAGAGTCTGCATTTAACATTGAAGATACCGGGGTCGAGAGCATCAATAACAGCACTGGCTATGCTCTGCAGCCGAAGGATGGCCCAAGAGTTGCCCCGTCTGGACTCGAAAGGAAACTGATCTTGAAACAAGATCTCCTCCTACTGCCGCTTCTGGCTCTGGTTTACTTTGTCACGTACCTGGTACTTTGCCTCTGAATTGACCCCATGCCGGGGCGCTATGTGGCTGACTTGGTACAGGACCGTAACAGTTTCGGCAATGGACGCAATCTGGGACTTCAGAAAGAACTCAACTTCTCGAATCAAGACTACTCAAACGCGGCGGAATTCTTCTGTAAGCTGTTCCTCTCGCGTAGGACCCTGCGATCAAGCTGATGAGATGCAGTCATAGGATACACTATATTCATGTTTCCCGGCTCCATTGGTCTGCGATTCGTTTCTCCCAACCTGCTCATCGGAGGAGCAGTTGTGTGTTTTGGGTCGTTTCTTTGCGGCATGTCTGCAGCCAAAAGCTACGGCACAGTCCTCGCGATGCGCGTGCTCATTGGCTTCGGCCAGGCATTGGTACAGAGTTCAGGTGTCTACAGCAGTCTCTGGTATACCCGTCGCGAAATCGGATTCCGCAGTGGTGAGTAGGACATGACCTCATGCAACATATTTTTACTGATCAGACACGTAAGGCATTGTATTCTCCTTTTCCACTCTCTCGGGCGCCTTTAGCGGTTTGATAGCTTACGCGCTGGGCAAGCGTCTGAACAAAGAAAACAGCGGACGCTCTCCATGGCAGTGGCTCTTCTTGATTGAAGGGGTCATCGCCGTTTTCGCAGGCCTGTTGGTCATAATCCTCCTTCCAAGATTCCCTGACCGAATCAAACACAGCAAGAAGCCCAGGACCTGGCTTTTCACAGAAGAGGAGATCAACCTCGCCGTGGAACGCAGTGCCAGTGAGTATCATCCATGCGAGCAATTTCTCGGTATCGGTGGGATCAGTGAGCTGACATTCACTCCGTTCAGCCCTGAATAAAGAAGGAGCAAAGGTTGACTTGTGGCAAATCTGGGCCTGCTTCAAGGACCCTAAAAGCTATGGCTATGCCATTCTGAATGGTACTACCGGCCTCTGTCTCTCGTCCGTGGGTGTTTTCCTGCCGACCTTCATCAAGGATTTTGGCTTGAGTGCCGTCGACTCCCAGTTGTACTCGGTCATCCCCTATGCATGTGCATTTGTCACGCTTCTCGTCACATGCTTTTTGAGCGACCGGATCAACATCAAGGGGCCATTCATTTTCTGCGGGTTCCTGGTTTCAGCAATTGGCTACATCATGTTGCTGACCGTCAAGCCAACCTCTGTCAAAATATTGGCAGCTTGTTTCATTACCAGTGGAATGTACCCATCCACCGTCCTGATGGTCGCGTGGCTGGTGATCAATACCGGCGGCTTTACCAAGCGAGCTTCGGTCTGGGCGCTTGCCGAGGTCTTCAGTCAGTGCTTTTCTATCATGGGCGCCAACATCTACGTCAACGGGCCCAGGTACATCAAGGGGCACTCGGTAGTTTTGGCCTTCCTGGTGACGGCAATGGCGACCGTCGTGGCGCTCTCGCTGACTTACCGACACCTCAACAAGAAGCGAGACCGGATTCTGGAGGAGTATGCACAGCGAGGAGAAATCCATCCACACATGAACAAGAGTCTGGAGGAACTGCACGATTTCCACGTCAACTTCCGGTATACTTTCTGATCGGATTAACGCCGTGGGGGAGCCAGATCGGCTTGCACGAAACTTCTTTGGCCCGTGACAATAAGTATTACTATGGCTCAAATGGCTCTCCTTTACCATTTGTGCCGCCTGCCACATAGTGTCATCTAGTCAACACGCCTTGTGACTGGCGTGGTTGCTATGGTGATGAAATACCTGTCACACTTCAGTAGAATTCGACCGCAGCGCCCGTACTAGGGCTAACCACCCTGTCACCCTTTTATTGATTACCGATAGTATGCTCTTCCTGGTATAGTCCTTTCAGTCTCAGCCTTGGGACGCCTGAGCCACGTGACCAGGCTCCGCGCACAGCTTCGTGTTTGGCCGCCGAGTACTCGGTACTTCGTAGGTATTTATGCTCGCTTGTTCTCCGACTCGCAATGCAGGCTTCGCCGCATCCCCTCTCTCGCTCTCTCTGACCGCGTCCCACGCCTACATCGCTCCAATGTCAGCTCCCACCGAACATGAGACCCAAGGCATGCATCAAATGTCGTCAATGGAAAGCGAGATGTGAGTACGACGACATCGCGGGCGGTTGCACACGTTGTCGCGCTTACAACCAGCCATGTGTTTTCGACGCCAGTTTCAAGAGAACCCCGAAGGCGCTGTCGGTGCAGCGGATGAGCGCCGAGATCGAACGCCTTCGAAAGGAGCTTGAGGAAGCTCAATCAACCGCAGCAATTCCTGCGATAACACCAGCGGAGTCTCGGAATGGTGCTCTCGTCTCTCTGGACTGGACATCGCTCTTCCCTGGCGCACAGGATGAAAGCGCAGAATCAGCTCCAGCGGTCCAGCCATCTCAGCCGATATACCTTCACACAGCCGAGAGTCCTTCTACGGAATATCGATCCGTGGGAAACGTCTCCCTTACCAGGGCACAAGTCAACGAACATTTCAAAATCTACTTTGCCCGCTGTCATCCTTACCTCCCCTTCAAAATGACCGTTCGGACGCCGGAAGCCGTTTGGCAAAAGAGCCCACTGTTGTTCTGGGTAATATGCAGTGCAGCTGCTCGTTGGAAGGTCCGACTGGAGCTCATGGCGCCTGTGAGATCAATGCTCGCTGATACCATTCACTCATCACCACGTTCGATTGAAAAGGTGCAGGCCCTTCTGATCATGGCCATGTGGCCATTTTCCATCAAAGCCATCATGGAGGATCCCACGGACTACTACTGCAGCCTGGCAACTCAGATGGCCTTGCAGCTGGGCTTGCACCGTCCCAATCAAACCCATCTACACGATCATGGTTCGGATGAACGAGCCAATGCGCGAATGGTTGATGAGGAAGTCAAAACCACAACCTGGCTGGCATGTTTCATCATGAACCATAGGCAGTCGCTCTGTCGCGGGGTGCCGCAGTCAATCCGAGTGGACTTCCATTTACTAAAAGCCTTTGAAAACAAGGCCATCGAACCCAGATTGTCGGGTCTCTGTCGAGTCTACAATCTGGCGATGCAAGCGAATTTGGCCATCGGTGCCGACGCTCCCACAACATCTGGGATGCTGGAGCCCGAGAAAAGGCTAGAAGCCGTAAATCTGTGGACCGAGCGTTTCGCATCGCTCCAGACAGAGCTTTTTCGAGATCGGATCGACGATGTGGTCAGAACTAGCTTCTTATACCTAAAACTGCAAGTCCTATCATTCGCGCTGCTCGATGATATGCCAGTCTCACCAGGGATCCTCGACTGCGTGGAGGTTGCAAAACAGGACGCATACGAACTTGTCGATCTCTGTGGCAGCCAGAACCTGTCTCTAACTCCTGCCAGTGTCCGCTACGCTATCTGCTTCGCGGGCTTTGTCTTTGTCAAGATTCTCCGGTCGTCCTATAACTCTGCGGTTGAAGTACTCCAGGATAACATAGAGCGCGTCTTGGAAGCACTCACCACGACCACAAGCTCCGCGGAAGATACTTTCCGCAAAGCTTGCATTACGATACAATCCCTCATGTCGATCGAGGACAGGAAGCTCTCCTCCCCCATCTGCACTAGACTCGGTGCATCGATGGTGTATGACTTGTTGCGTATATGCGCGGAGCACAAGTACGGACCGATAATAGACGAACAAAGGCTGGACCTTGATTTCTTCGAATGGAACCTTTAGACTGGCTTTTGAACAGGCTACAGCGAGGCTCGACCCAGAAGATTCCACCGAGATGACCACCATCTCGGACTATTTCGCCGTCTACCATGTCTGTTATGATCTTTTGCCAACGTTTTGTCACAATCTTGGCAACCAAATCTGCTGAAATCGCACCGATCTGCAGCTCTTTGAACGACTCAAATTCACGCGAAACCTTATGTTAGGGCCTGGAGTTCGAGAATGATTGATCCTTGGTCTGGCATAACCCAAATTAGCCTTTGTCTGACAAAGAGACATGTGATGGCCTGACGCCACGCATCCTATGGTGCGAAAAGAAGTCGAGCACAAGCCTGCTCATATTCGTCCCATCTAAGAACTGAAGTCTCCCATAGGCACGGACGGAGCAGAACCCCATGACGTGTTCGAGCCTTGTGCACCCCTCACCAGAGAGATGCCCGAGATGTATCTGTTCGAGGCTGACTCCTCCGAAGCATGTATTGCTCTGGGAGCGGCGACAGGGCTCAATCTTGGCAGGAAAATGCCCGGAAAGGTTTGCTCCGCCTCTGTCACTTTGGCTGCTTACAAAAGGAAGAGTCTGCAGGTCCTTTACAAACAGCCGCACGAAGTCCGGTGTGGTGCTGGATGCATTCGACAGTCACCACGTGGAGGACCCCGTGGGATGCTTGTGCCAAACATGTGCAGAACGACTCCCGAGGACTGCATATCACTGCGACTTTGCTCGTTTGTACTGTGCTGAACCGCGGTCCCGTGGCTGCTGGCATTGGTGCTGCATCGTTTGACCATCAGCCGTTGGAGACCGAGCCACTTGTCCAGATTTGGATCAGCAGCTTATGCTCCGGGGGGTATTCGCCATCATCAAAAGAACAGCCACAGAAAATCCGATGAGGAATAGACCGATGCATGGTACTCGGCACGTCGAATTGTCCAGGCGCCGAAATGGGCCTAGTAAGCCTGGATCGGCATGAAGACGCCGAACTCGGCCTCTTCAGCCTCGTGCGACTGGCAGAATGCGGCGAGAGATATACGCCTCCACAAACGATTGACCTCTGGCCGCGGCGAGGTGATGGATCTCGATGCTATTGAGCGGTGTTCGCGGGAGGCCATCATCGCAGGTGTCTCCTGTGTCGAGAATGGGCATCATCTATCGTGCAGATAAACACAACCGCTGCCTCCCTCCTCTTAAAAAAAAAAAACAAGGCATCTCCATTCGAGCCATTTGGGATTTCATGGTTCAGTGACCTGAAAAGATGGTTTGCGGTGCGGATGAGTAGTGGTTGATCGCTGACAATGTACTACACCACCATACCCAGTGTGTAGGAAGGAGAGGTGAACGCACGCACGTACACACGTATGCATGGATACACTTGTAACGCACCATTTCTGGCCCCTCGTAGACGATCTCAAACCCAAGCTTCACCAGCCCAAGCATCATCCATCTCAGTCACAATCTCTCTCTCTCTCTCTCTCTCTCTCTCACTCACTCACTCACTCACTCACTCACTCGCACCACTGACACGTTCCTGCGCGGTAGTAGTATCGCCAAGACAGTGCTACATAGTCCCCTCAGCCTTGCATAACCTGGCACGCCCCACTTTTAACCGCGAACAAGGCTGAAGTGATATATACTACTTCCCTCTGACAAGGTCCGGCAGTCCCAGCAGCAAAGAAAAAAGGGAAGTGATATATTTTTAACCCCCCAAATATCTCCCAACATTAGCCCCCCCAAGTGTGAGAAACCACACACACAACAACAACAACAAAAAAAAAGGACCGGCCAACCAACTGAAGTTCGAACCAGCACTTGGAGACCCCTACAACTTCAAGTTGAGAGGGGGGGCTATGTTACAGACACGGAAAAGGTCTAGTGGGTTAGGTGGGAGGGGCCTTCCAAAGGGGACACGAGCTTGCGGTAGGGGTCTCGCTCATGTCCCTGCCAGAGTACCTGGTGGCTGTTGTAAGATTGCTCGAGAACGCTCTCCACCGGGGAGAGGCCAGGAGCCGCAACACCTGCGAGGGAAATGGTGGAAGGTATACTAGAACCCGCCACTAGATCTTTTTGTTCCGTGGGTGGGAGAGGCCAGGGGAATTTCCGCTGTTCAACTCCCAGCCTCAGAGGTTCATATACATAAGTTTTTTTATTCTCCCTAGTTGCGAATGAATAAACGTAGGATTCAGCTTCACTAAAGACCCGCCCTGGACGACTTGACAGTGGCGAGAAACCCAACTCTTGGCTGTGTTGTGTCTCGCGCAGCCGTTTGAAGGCGATCCCTCTGCTCAATCCGCGACAAGGCACAACTTCCACATTCACCTGGTCCAGACTCCCCAAGTTCCATACAAATGGATATCCCCAAATTGAACTTCTTTTTCGCCTGATCGCTCAATGCAAAGCGCCAAAACTGAAAGTCACAAACAAGGGCGATCCTGTCATCGGAGGCCGATCACGCTCTGCAAAGAATATAAGCCCAACGTCACGTCACGTCAGCTCGGCCAAGGGGATGCTTACCATCTCGAGAGTCCACACTCTTCGAATCCATACTTTGAGTTTCCCGTCAACTCCCTCCACATCAGTCAACTCAACACCCTCCCACCAGCATCGCCGAGCCGGCTTGCGCCAGAAGAGGAGTAGCTTTTGAGCCATGCCCACCACGTTGCTTCCTGCCAAATCTCCTTTGATGTCAGTCCGCAGTCTTGCAAGCGCGAGGCTGCAAATGACGGCCTTGTTTGGTTCTCCAGCTCGATGGCCCCAAGCGTCATCATGATTAAAGCCGCTACATGCGTCAGTATATCCATCTCGGCCGATCATTTCGTGGAACATACCCTGCCGTCAGCATTTCAATCAGATGTTGCTCGGTCGTGCCTGCTTCTTCACTCCGCTTAAGACCGGAGAAGATTCCGTCTTGCTTGAGTAAGGACTTCCCAGCGGCGCGCTTGATTTCGGTCATTTCCGGCTGCTCAATGTCGGCACGAGGAGGGATGACGTAGAAGTCAAGATCCTCTCTCAAGACAATGATCCCCGCTCGATCTTGAAGCATATCTTTGGTCGAACCCTGTAACGGTTCGATCGATATGGGGTCATGTTCTGGCGGGGTGGTTGGGGAGGGAGATGTGGATGGTATTGATTGAGCCACATCTCGGAAAAAGTTTAACATATACTGAAGGGAGGCTGGGTCATACTGTGAAGGATATGTTACATCTCCGATATAGATACAAGGATTGCTAAGAACAACAATGGGATGGGGACTTTGAGAGGGACGTACGTCGACGGGATAGACATCGCCCTCATGAAACGAGTTCATGTGGCCGTCTGGGAGGAGGCCATTGGGGAATAATGATAGTAACACAAACTCGGGCAGAGTCAACAATTCATCACGGGAAAGAGTGAAATGTGTTCCCCTGTACCATGGTCAGCCTTTTGTTTGCTGGCTTTCAGTGTATTGGGGGAAACCAACCTCAAGTCCAAGGTGATGTGTTCATCAGCTGCCGCCTCGCCTGCTAAATGCCCACCAAGTCAGTCTACATCACCCCCCTTGATTGGCTTCGCCACTCACCTCCTAGGGTGTTGATTGGTGGGCCTGTTTGTTGAACTTGTGTGATGATGCTGGCCGCACCGCCTGCTGCCGCCATGAGGTATGTGAACGACTCTAGGGGACTAGAACCTTCGGTATATGGGGGCGGCGGCTCTCCGTCGTCAACAGCTTTGCCCGAGGAAGACTGGGCCTTGGTATCTTGTGGTAGGGCAGCTTTTGTCTCGCGCTCAGCCTTGGACCCGGGTTCGTCTTCGGCGAGAGCCTCCTCGAAGGAGGGCGCCGGGGCAGAGGCTAAAAGCGAGTCGCAATAGGTCTCGGTGACAGTAGCTCTGATGCGGTCGAGCTCGGCGTCGGAGGGGAAATAGAGAGAGGAGAAGGGAGGTGGTCGTGGGGAGGGAGGACTCGAGGAGGACGCTTCGGACCGGGGGGAATGAGGCGGCGGAGCAATGTATATCTTGTCCTCGTGGTCGAGCTCGGTGTCGTCGTTGTCGAAGGAGTGGTTGAATCTCGACAACGCCGTGATGGGCGAGTCTCCTCGATCAAATGCCGGAGGTGACAAGGTGACTGATTGGGTGCCGCGAGTGTGCAGCAAATAATCAAGCGACCAATGTGGAAGTCGTGTTGAATAAACGAGGCAAAGCGCAGCAACGGGAACGGGCGCGGAGCAGGAGATTTGATCTTGACCGCGGACAGCGATCGTGCGAGCGAAGCGATCGCGAGGTGCGATGTTGATCAAGGAAGAGAGGGACGGTAGAACATTGATTGAGTCACGTTAAGCTGGACATTGGCGTCTGGAGGTTGGGATTGTAGTATTGTACAGAGTTGCAGCAGAGTCACGAAGTTGGCGAGGCGAGTTGGATCACAGCCGCCAGACCAGACAGAGAGGGTCGAGTGCACCGTTTTCCCCATTTCCACGGCAGCCGCAGATGGGACTGTTGTCCGTTGGTGTGGCTTATAAGCGCCTCCCGGGCGCCCAAGTCCCCTGGCAGCAACCACTCGTTACCTGGTGAGGCCCAAGAGGAACCCGTAGCGCCTGCCACGCTTGGGCTTGTCAATGGTCGCGCCACCACCGCTTGCCCATCTTTAGCACGTACGCGGTCCGCCACCCCTCTCCTTGCAGTTAAACCCCCCCTCCCTCCCCCGATGGTATTTTCCCGACTTTGGGAGGATGGTATGCCTATGTGCTTTTATTACTGGGACGAGATGAAGATTCTACCGATTAACCAGTCGAAGGAGTCGCATTGGGATATCTCAAGCATGTTTGTACAGTCGTTGATGGCTTCTTCCCTTCTCCTTCAAATCTCGAGGCCAACTTCTTGCCTGCTCCCCGAGCTGCTGTGTTCCTCCTCAACACACTCTCACTTTAGCGGGTTCAACTTGTCAAAGACGCCCTTCTCTTCGCCAGCCGGTCTAACATCTCCGGTTCCTTGACTCGGAGTGAGAGTCTCGCCGCCAGATCCGGTGACAGTGCTGCTCTTCCCTCCCTCTGCGACGCCTGCAACCCCTGCGCTCTGAATGGCGCTCCCTGTGTCGAGATCGACGCCCTTGTTTGCCGCTCCAGCGTGCCCGCTCGTCCCGATGATGCCTGATCCTGCTCCAGCGCCTGCGGTTGTCGATGCTCTCTTCTGGCCTTGCAGGCCAAACAGTTCCGAGTGCGAGGATGCAGGACCTTCTGAGGTGCCCGTCGTGTTTGCCGCCTGGCTGTCCGCCATTCTCAAGACCAGGATCAATTAAGTGCAGTAGACAATGTTGCGGTGGTTTGGTTTCTGGTTGTCAAATTTCGCTTTGCTTATGGATTGATTTCTTGCGGAGTGTCACCCACGGCTGGTTACGAGAGACGCGCCACCCACAGATATATCATCCTGAACGCACCTACACAGCCCAGTCCCTTGTTGAGTGTCGCTGCTACAATGACTTCACCTGGCATTATCTGACGACAGCAGCATGACGATCATTGCAAATGCTGGAGGGCAGGGAGGGGCGCTGTGGCTTCGGAAGAGTTCTCCGATCAAAGCGGAGGAAGCTGCCCTGAGCCTTGTCACACGACAAGCCATGAGCCGGAGTCTAATAGGAGCAGTCCGCCATCCCTCAGCTTCCCGGTCGTGCAGCATGATCAGCGAAAGGGTCCTGGTGTGCCCAAACAAACAGGCGTCTCAGGACGTGGTGCGAGAACAGAGCTTGATAAGGAAAAGATTCAGCATTGTCGAAGCTGACTCGCCCACCAGGAGGCGAAGGGTAGATCGTACGCGATCCTCGTGATCGTCTAGAAAAGCCTAATCCGATGCCTCTTGCTATCTCGCTCAAGAAAGCTTGCTGGAAGCTTTTTTGAAGAGCTGCAAAGCGTTCCTGCTACATAGTTTCTCCTTGTCGTCGTCACTGGCAAACACCTGGGGCAGGTATTCGTCGTGCTGCTTGGACAAGGCTTGAACCACCGGCAAGGGTGTGTATGGGAAGTCGCTCCCGAACAGCATCCTGTCGACGGTGACATACTCCAGCAGCCCCTTTGCCTGCTCCGGGAACGCCCAGCCCGCCGTGTCGAAGTAGAATTGCGTGTTGAGCCTCTCCTTGACCCAGGCCGGAGTGACCTCGTTGGCAGATCCCCCCAGCTTCATGATCTCGGCCACGCTCGAGAACCGGTTGATCAGGGGCGGGAATGCCCCTCCGACGTGTGACATGTGGAACGTGATGTTGGGACATCGCTTCACGGTGCCGGTCAGGAACAGATTGATGACTGCGCGGGCACTGTCGAACAAGAACTCAAACATTGGCCTTGGGAACTGAGGGAGCGGAGTCGCCGCGGTCCCGGACGACAAGCACGGCGTGGTAGGATGGATGAAGACAACGGCGTTCCTGCGGTTCAACTCATCGAAGACGGCATCAAAGTCCTTGTGCCCGAGATACGTCCCGTGGAAGTTGGTGAGCACGACAAACCCATCAGCATTGAGGTGATCCAAGGCATAGGAGATCTCTTGCAGGGCGCCCTCAACGTCCGGCAGAGGCAGAGAGGCAAAGAAGCCAAACTGGTCGGGCATGCGCTTCTTCAGGTCTGCCCCGACCTCGTTGACATGTCGGGCAAGCTTTCGGGCAAGCGCATCGTCTCCGGCCTTGAGGTGGACTCCAGGTGTGCTGATGCTGAGGATTGATTTGGTCACGTTGATAGATTTCATCATGGTGAGATGACTCTCTTCGCTCCATTCCTGACCCGCCGTTAGCTAGCTATGTTGCTTGGTTGGCGCCCTGCAGACATACTGGGACCGCTGGCATGCCGTCAGGATTCTTGTGGCCATTTTCAGCGAGTGCCTTGCGGTATTCTCTGTTGGATGGCTGATTAATAGGACTTCGCGCCTATGAGAATGAACTCACGCTGGCAGGAAGTGGGAGTGGCAGTCGACTTTCGGGTAGGGAGACATTTCTGGATTGCGAGGAATGCGCTACCGAGTGTGTGAGATTTCAGTGCGTCAGATTCTGCAAGAGACGGCCAGTCTCAGATTGCCAGGTCAGATCTCGAGAGTGCTCAGGGTATTGATATAAGATGGACGTGTCCGAATATCGCGGGGTTGAGATGTGCGGAGGCCCGCTGGTGCCCGCGATTTCCCACATGCTACCGTAAGGACCGATCTTTACCCGCCTGGCTGCCAACTTGTGGGACTGGAACAGTGGTGGGCGAGTTGGGAACAGCGAGCTTTTGGAATGTCCCACGGCTCACGGGGATTTGTGCAACACCCCTCGCCTGTTCGACTGAGGCTGATGACCAACACTGGGAACTCTCCGTCGAGTGTGTCCCTGAATTGCTTCAACAATGGAGGCTGGTAGATGATGTCGTCCCTCCCTTTGCAATACCAGAACCAGCAGATCTATCGACACCTGGGGACGGCCAAGGTCGTGGTCCAAGTGTTGAACGCAGGGTATGATATGGCCGTCCTCGACTCCGGCTGGTCTGCTCGAGCACATTCAAGCCAGACCTGCCTCCCATCACCCAGCCAGAGCCTTGCCTATCATCTCCTTTGCCCTCTCACTCAGATCCATCGCCAACGCCAGCTCCTGCCCTCTCTTCCCCATCTTCACCCATGTCTTCTGCAATATCCCGATGATCTTCTCCTCGTCGTGCCCCTTCTCGAACTCGTCAAATTGGTCGTCCAGAAACACCAGACAGGCCACGTCCTCGATGACCTGCGCGTCGGCGTCGCCCTTACCTTCCCCCTTTTTCAGGTCCTCCTTTGCAATCAGCGCCGCCACTTTGCCCGCCTCCTCTTCGGTGTACGAGCATTCCACACATATCTGCTTGACCTGCTCGGCCTGTCGATTTTTGAGGAACGTGCGCCAGGCGAAGTACCCGGCTTTGGTGCGGGGGTAGCTGTCTCGAGGCACTTCCCAGCGCCGGAAGTGCTGTGCCCGGGCAGCCGTGACAAGCAGGGGACCGGCATTTGGGGTGTGTAGGTCGAGGAATTTGGTCATTTTCTGAGCATAGTGCAGCTCGTAGGGTACTTTTTCGCCTTTGATTTCAATCGTGTTCGGGTCCTCTCTGTGAGCGGTGTCTATTAGTTCCAGTGCCTTTGACACGTCGGGAGCCATGACAAGATATAGCGATAGTTGGATCGTGAGTTATACTCCAGACAGGCACCAGTCTTGTCGATTTGATACCGTTGTAAAGAATCGCAGGAGGGCAGAGCGCAATTGAGTTTCGCGGCCGAATCTGCCGAAGGTTTCCCTCCAGCAAGACTATGATGTCACACTGCAAGTCGTGGGATATCGATGCGATCTTCCCTTTCATGTGTTCAACCCGGCATTGGGATCCCTACACAGTGTACAGAAATGCTACCCAAGAGCTCAGCAGGTTGGAAGAAATATCTTTTGCACTCACGAAAAGGCGAGCAGAATAATCCTGAGTTGAGGAACCCTACGCCCTAATCTATAATCGCTCGAGACGCCTGACAACCGTCCGGCGCTCTGCCCTGGCTCAGTTCTAGCTGACACCAGGAACCTGTTGTTCCCGCCGTATTCAAGCACCGCCCTCCCTCTTCGCGTACTCGTCCTCCATACGCTCCTGATACAAGGCATCAGCCTCCTTTGAGGTAATCCTCTTCTGCTCGCCCACTCCTCCACTGGTAATGCGTCCTTGGGGAGGCTGTCCCGCCCCTCCGTTTGCAATGTAGTACTGTTGTTGTTCTGCGGGGAGGGTAGTCTTTGTTTTCGTCGTGGTTGTCTTCTTGTGGCTGGCCGAGGCGCCTAGTGACAGGGACCCGGAAACAGCGCCTGCGATAGAGGCGCCGGCGTTGGCGACGGCCTCGGACGTCTTTTTGAAGAACCCAGCATCGTCCGACATTTTGGCGTGACTCTGGCAAGTTCGGGAGGTGGAGGAGGATGGTTTTTGGAGAGTTAAAGACTTCTCGATCACAAGGCAAGTAGACGGTCGGTGTATCTTCAATCTGGCTACCCAGTGGTTAGGGTGAAAGTGGTTTGGATGGGGGGTGGTGTTGGAACTGGAGAGGAATATATTTCCTTCAAAGGTGGGAACTTTCCTTTCTTTGCACGCCACAAACGTTCGACCCAGTGCCACGAGGGAGGGGGGCCTTCAAAAACAGGTTTTGGGTGCGATATTACCCTTTTTCGGGTGGTGCTTCGCACATGTCAAGGGCTCAAGACGAGGCACCGACGATGTGCCTGAAGATCACAGGTTGATGTCATAGGGGATCTTCAAATGACAGGCAGCTGAGTGTTGTATCCGTTATTACATGTCATTTGAATTGCTCCCCCCCAAAACTGCACGTTGGTCGGTATTTTACGGTACGCTGGTTACGGGTCGCTGTGATTGGCCCGAACAGATAACTCAACCTTTGTCGCAGAACAATCGACGAGGCTGTGACTCTGTACGGAGTACAAAGCTGGGACAAAGCGCTGAACGAACAGAATAGATCTTTGTCCCGTATACATAGAGCTGCCTGAAATAGCAAACACCCATGATAGATTGATTAATGCGTAAAAGTCCCCGCTACACCCGGCGCAAGAGAAAAAGCACAAGCACTTGTTTCCACCTCCTTGAATCTTCAGCCTCGCGGCCCTGTAGAAATATATTCTATATTCATCAAGATCCACCGCAACGCTATACGGCATAGTCAAAGACTACAATCCATCCATAAGCCGCCCGTCTCGCTCTCTGTTGGCGCACAAGGCTGCCTTGCAAATATTGAGCTGTTCGCATAGCCTGGTGTTCAGTACAATCAACGGCCCTGCAACTGCCTCACCCATTGATTCGCTCCGGCAGCCTTCGAATAAAAATTCGATATGCCTATTCACTTCATCAAAACAATAGAGCCCACTTGCATCTGCCTCTACCCTTTATTCCTTCTCCCACAAACATCTTTCCCCCAAACCTAGCGTCCTTTCGAGCCCTTACCATCCAGCGCCCACTCCTACCAACGCGAGAGAAACACGGTCGCAATCGCCCTCGCAAATCGTCGAGTTCACCTCACGAGAAACACTTTCACCTTCCGCAGCTGTCGTAAGCCCGAGCAGAAGGTTAGCGAAAAGCACGAGAGCCTCGCACCACCCCATCTCCTGAAACCGCCGAACAACTTCAACACATCCCTCAAACACCTCCACCATGCTGTCCTTCAAGTGGACTCTCCTCTTCTTAGTCTGGCTCATCAGCAATGTTGCAGCCATACCTCGCATCACCACTCAAGACATTGAGATCTTCGTTGGTGCAGCTGGCACAATTGGCTTTGCGGGCGTTCTCGGCTGGCACCTCCTCAAAAATCCAAAGAAAGCAGAAGAACAGCTTGTTGCAATAGTCCACTCACAGAAAGGTGGTATCCCGGTCATGCATCCCACTTCATTGCCTGCACCAACACCCACACCCACGGCCCTTAAAGTCCCCAACATTATCGAGACAATAGTATCGAAGAGCAGCCCAGATGTGACTCCTCGGTTCTTCGCGGTTGCAGCATGGCACAATGGCACAATCATCCAGGTTGAAGAGATTGTCAGATTCCGAACTGGCGACCTCAACGACAGATATCCTACCAGCTCTGTTACTGTGAACAACGAAACTTGCATGCCTCATGAATGGCTCGATCATGAAATTCCCCAAGCTAGCGATGTTTTCATGGACATAAACATCTCCGAGACTAGGCCGTCCGCCCTCAACGTATTCTCTCCTCCATGGGACCTTGCATCTATCTTCGTGAATGCACATGCAGACAGAAAAATGAAGCCGGTCATTGAGTTTGCCAGGAAGAGGTTCTTCGTCGTCCGAGACTTGTTGAACAAGGCACTCGCCATTTTCCTGAGACTGGTACCTACTCATCCAGCAAAGGCTGCTTTTATTCTGGTCGGCGTTCCACTCGTGACCAAATTCGGTCCTGCAGCGGCAAGGAAAGGCCTCGTGTTGTTGTGCCGCTATGCTCCTCTCGCCCTCCTCTACCTGCAAGACAACCTAGACAGGTTTATCGAGTGGCATACAGGGAGAGAAGAAGAGCCGGAGCCCATCGTCGAAGCCGCCACTGAGCCATTGTCTGTTGAGGGGGTAGTGCCTGCCCCGGACTCGACGACAAATATTCCACTGGACGCAACAATTGCCACTCAAGTCACGTCGAATCTAACAGAAACTCGCAAGGACGATGATGAAGAGAGCCTCCCCCATCAGACTGTGGATGTCGAAGAGAATCTGCCAACAGCATCATCATCGGAAGACCCTCCGCTAATTGACCGCGAGAATTATACCGAGACGGGAATCTTCAAAACCAGAAAGTCGCCGTGGCAGAGGTCCAACAGTCAACACCGAATACCCCGGCGCATACCCCTGAGGTCTAGCAGACTGGAAAAGACAGCTGTTGTGACATCGACCCAGGAGTCAAGAGAACTGCTTCCCAACGAAAAGCCAGAAGTGCAGACTGAGGCTTCAAGCCTGCGGTTGGCAGACGTTTCAATTGGGAGTCTCGAACAGCCCCGGCCGGCTCATCTGATCGCGCAGGGACCAGAAGATACCGTTGCTCCCGAATCCGAAAATACGCCTCTCTCACAATCGAGTATGAACGTTTTACCTGCTTTGAAAGATATTCCCGTGCTCGAGAAATCGCACGAGAATGAGCCTGCAAATAGTCAGCTTTGGCCAACCGCTGTCAACGAACATGACCTCGTGGTGCCGGAAGACTTCATAACAGATGATTACGGCCTTTCGACAGACAAGTGTCCCTTTCAGCCCGATCTAAATCCCACTCCTCTGTTACAGCACGAGCAAGAGCTAGCTACCGTTCATGATTCCGAGCCCAGTTTCAAAGAGCAAAGTATCACGATGGTGCCTGAGTCTGTCGACTCTCCCGCTTGTGCACCCATCTCGTCGACTTACTCGGAGGACGACAAGAAGGACGAGGATAATGAGCCGCAGGAACAAAGTAGGAGGGGAGAATATTCCCTACGACATCCGACTGTAGAGGATGACGAAGAGGAGGACGTTAGTCCAAAAGCCTCTGGTCCGTCAACAGGTATCCTCGAAGCAATTGCGGAGGAAGAGGGGCCTACAGAGAGCAGAGACAAGTCTCTTCAGGACGACGCTGGCAGCAACAACAGCCAAGCGAGTGACATTGGTTTGTGCAGCGAAGGCATTCACTCCCCGAGCCAGCTTGGCACGGTTGACATAGAGGAACGTTTCCAGGAACCGACTGAGTCTCCTGCTGGATGGACCGACAATGCAACCGGAGCGACCGACGACTCTATCGACTTAGAAATCGCTGACTTTGGCGGCTTATTCGATTCGGACACTCCTGTCTCGACCCCGTCAAAGCAGCCGGTTGTCGATCAATCCAGCGGCGCAGGAAGACGTCGTCCTGGTGGACTCCGCAGTCAGACTCGAACAGCACTACCGAAGACGAGTCGGCCTGAACAAAGCCGTGGAGTGACATTCGCAACAGAGTCTGACGGGTCGGTGGTCAGCCATACATGTCATTTCCGCGCAGAGGAGGCGCCTGCAGCATTGCGAGAGTCGATGGTTATAGATGCGCAAGGTCCAACGGCCACAGGTGTTCGTTTATCAGCCGAAGAGTCGATTCCGGTGATTGCTGCATCCGCTGGTGAGCAACAACAGCTCAAATTTGCTGCAGAGCGTCCCGCTCCTGAACATCAAGCCCCAGACCAAGAGCAGTCCCTCAGTACACCTGGAATCGATCCTGCCTTCTTGAGGTCCTTGCAGTCGTTCAGTCTCATGTCTGCTGAGTACCAAGCGCAATCTATCGCAGAGACTGCGTCGAGAGCTGCGGCCTTCTCTCCTGCTAGCGGCCAGGCGAACTCGGGTCCCATAGAAGGGATTGGCGATGGCGGTCATGCGGACTCAGATCCCATGGAAGTGATTGAAGATGACGACCAAGCGGACTCAGATCCCATGGAAGTGACTGAAGATGCATCAGAAACCGACCCTTTGCATCTCAGGCCGCACAAGAGCGCCACAGATGACGGCATAGACGAATTCTTGTCAGCCTCCATGAGTGGTTTATCTTTGGGGCTAGGAGCCGTGGATATGGAATATGAACATGACGGGCCTGCAGCTCAGATTCCGTTGGCCAAAGAAGCGCTTCAGACGCCCCCCTCGCAAGTGCAACCGCCTGTGATACAGGAACAGGCTGCTGTGATAGTGCCAGGATATGAGCCCGCACTCCCGACTGGCATGGACATTGAACGGGATGGCTCAGCCACTCCGGAGCAATATGACCTTTTGGAATCCCATTTGCATCCTACGGAAATGCAGGAAGAGTTAATGACGCCGGAAGAGGTGGCCGCGCTCCTTGAGTTCAATAGTGGCGCAACGTTTGAGATTCCCCAGGCGGCAAGCAATGACTCTGCTGATCAATCGACATACCAACCCCGGCGGTGCGAAGAAAACCCCCTTCAGTCTCCACTTCCTGGTCTACAAATCCACCACGAGGCAGACCTGGAAGCTGAACGTCGCGAAAAAGTGGGGGGTGTTAAGCGCAGGCGGGACGACAACAACCTGCTACCTGGAGAACAGTACCCTGGCATACTTGCACACAACCGGGCCACTCGATATGCGGGTCTGGGCCGAAAGCTCTTGCCAATGAAGTCTGTGTATTTCCGATGCGACCCTTCGCTGCGAGATATTCTTCTTGAAGACTCGTCGCAGCAGACCGTGAACCCTTTTGCAAACCTGACATACACGGTGGCGCCGGTGAATCCTGGTAGCCAGGTTTCCCGGAATAGCGACGCCCTACCGGGTGGCACACAATCTCAGGATAGAGCGAATGAGATGAACGAAAATTCTCAATACATGGTTGCAGGCGGTGATGGTGACGATGGGTTCCAAGGACAAATCGACATGGCAAGCCAAACCACTCCAGGTGAGGTTGAGGGGGACACTGAGAACCAAGGAGAAATGGTCAGCCAATATCCTCCACTTGATGACGACGTCTTCGAATACACGACCATGTTCCCGGAGCCCGAAGACGATTCTCAAGGTCATTCGGACCCATTAGACGGTGAGTTCGAAGCGGCTCAACTTGCATATGAAAGGCAAAGAACGATAGCCGAGACTCACCGCAGAGGAGAAGAGACAGGCGAGAACCAAGATACGACGTCCTCCTACTATGCCTTTCCTGCCAACGCCGAACGCGGTATTAATGAAGATGAGGAAAGTGGGACAGAAGAGAAATCGGATGAAGAGGGTGGAGAGGACCCTTGGAGCTATAGCGATGAAGAAGACAACGACGGCTATGGTGGAGGATATGGGTACGGTGATAGTGGAGGATCTGAAGACAATGGGGAATATGGGGACGGTGATAGTGGAGGATCTGAAGACAATGGGGAATATGGGGACGGTGATAGTGGAGGATCTGAAGACAATGGGGAATATGGGGACGGTGATAGTGGAGGATCTGAAGACAATGGGGAATATGGGGACGGTGATAGTGGAGGACCTGAAGACAATTGGGAATATGGGGATGGTGATAGTGGAGGATCGTCTCAAGAGCGAGGATTGGGTGACACTGAGGAATTCAGTGACGAAGGCGAAGAGGAGGAAGAAGAGAGCGACGACGACGACGACGACGACGACGACGACGACGACGACGACGACGACGACATCCAGTGGCGAATCTTTCCAGGAGAAGATGACGGCTTGCCTTGCAGGGAACGAATGTTCCTTGAGCTCGACCGGCTTCAGGCAAAGGTCCCCCAGCCTCCCGACATCCAGGAGCCAAGACGAATATTCGTCAACCGTCGGCGGGAATACCAGCACGCGTCTGTGGTTAAAAACGTCTGGTGGTTTACCACACCCACAGGCAGTGAATGGTTGTGGAATAATTGGGAGGGGATCAGAGAACATGGCTGGGATATGATTTACCGTTGCCAGGACCTCGTTGAGGACCAGGAGCAATTGGAAGGCAGAGGGTGAAGCGCATGATTGATGGCAGCAAGAAGATGCCGGCGCCCGTCCTAACACACAATCGTAGTTGTGCCAAAGAATCCATGCTCGAACATTTCCACATACCTCTTGTTGTTCGAGCTTCTCGCTCTCGCTCTGTTTAAAGGCACCGACAACGTGCCGACTCCGGAAAGCAAAAAGCGACGTCTGGTCACACGAGTGTTAGATCGGACTGCGGCCACGATAATCTGCGAGGTCTTTTCTACTCCCCGGGATCTAAGTAACTGCCGAACTTCGCTGCTTTGAGATCGACCAGAGGAAGACAATAAACGAAAAATGGCTCATACACCCAACCTTGTGCAGAATATGGAGTGGAAGACTAATTGATTTAGTCAGCCGGCCACCTTTTTCCTGGACCACCACCGCCCCATGATTATGATGGAGGCCGCCGGGTTGGCTTACCAGAGGCTGCCATGTGAGGAGCCACTGACGGCAGATTCGGCCGAGTCGGTTGGGGCCGAAGTCCAGTTTCGAGAAGAGTCGAACATTGCGAGAATGTGCATCCGAGAAATCGAGGGGAGGAGAGGGCAAGATGAGGCCACTCGGACCATTCATCGGGTCCGCCGGTGCGAAACGACACCGAATCCGACAATACGATCGAACGGCGCCATGTCAAGCTTTGCAGATGTCTGTCTGCAATTGGAGGAGAGGCCGCAGAAATTTACGGAGACGGAGGCGGAGCTCGCTCGAGGGCGGAGCGGATGAAAGGAAATTTTGGATTGAGTTGTAGTCCGTCCGTCTGCGATTGAATGTGACCTTTAGCTGAGGGTCAATCGAGAGAGGAAGGGGAGAGAAGGCAGATGCGGAAATACGTAGGAGGGAGGCAGGCTTGCCGTGAGCCCCCTGGCCATGGAAGCAGGTGCCAATGACAAGAAAGAGACCTCGTTCACTCATGCGGGAGACCGCTTCGAGGCTGATGAAACTGATTTGTCGTGGCGGGAAAGGTGAGGTGAGGGTTGCGAGCTGCAGAGTTGCCCAGTTGAGACGGAATTGTCGTAGTCTGATACATCCCGGGGGGAATCCATGGACGAAGCGAACGAGCGGTACAAGCCATAGTGTCATGGGCTATGATGGTCCCATGTTCCCATGGTCCCATGGTGGTTCATCTTTTGCTGACCGCAGGCGGGAACTGAGAAAGGAAATAAAGCCTTGGTAGCATGCCAGTCTCCGGCCAAATGCCTTAACCCCGGGGACCTACAGATGGCCAGAAATGGGATTGAAGCATGAAGAGTTGATCAATGATGGAATCGTGAATGACTGGAAGTAGCCGCTGGGCGTGGCGCCCATCGAATGAGAATGGCGGCAAGACACCGGGGGGTTCAGGACTCTGGAAATGCAAATACTGGTGCCTGGAGCCTGAAGCCTGAGAGTTGGGGGGCTTCGGTATGATGCTCCCCTTTGAGCATGGGTAACCCCCACCATCTGGTACAACGGGCCCCTAACACACGCAGGGCAGCAGTTGGCGGGCAGGGGGGAATTCACTTCCCACTCTGAAACCCGCAGGGCTGCCCGCCATCGTCATAGCCGGCCGACCGACTAACAAACTAGGCTTGGTGCCCACACGCTCAGCAGCTATGGTGATGGCGAGATGGGTCCCCAATCCCTGCCCACTGTCTCCCCTCGTAAATCGTATCTGATCATGGTCCTCGTTGTGACTACTTGATACACTTTCAACCTTCCTGAAATTCCTGAATCACAACCTCTTTTTCTGCCTGAATTATCGCCTTTGTACCACGTCCTCCTTTTTCCTTTCTCGTCTTCCATTTTTCCCAGTGCCTTTGGTGAGCTTTGCCGTCCGCAAAGCCTCGTTCCTCCTCAGGCATCTCTGTCGACCTGCTGCTCACTCAATATCAATCCTGTCCCATGCCCCAGTGGCGAAGGGCCCCGTTTCAAGAATTTCGCGTACACAATGAGTCCAGTGGCTTACTCCTCCTAAACTATCCGGATCTCCGTCCTCTCCCATCTGGGTGCCTGCATTCAGTGTAGTTCCACGAGTCCCTCTTCAGCGTATACGAACCCTCCTTGAGATACTACGGGCGGTGGCGGCGACTCCGGCAAGTCATCATGGACCCTCGTGGCAGCATTGATGGCTTGGGTTATGACATGTCCCAATTCGTTTCTCCGCAGCCTCCGCAAATCTTTGGCGCATATAACCCAGACGGCACTCCTATACCCCCGACCCTACCACCTGGTGCATATTTTGGCGATTTCAATGATGGAGGAGCCGACGAGAATGATCCCAAACGCCGGCGCATTGCAAGGGTGCGCCTCCATACATAGCTACCCAACAAGAACCGTACCTTCTGACGGTGACTACAGGCTTGCGATATGTGCAGAAAGAAAAAGATCAAGTGTGACGGCAAGATGCCCAAATGTGGCCACTGCATAAACTACAAGACGGAATGTATCTTCACACAGGTCGAAAAGAAACGTAATCCTCCAAAGGGGTATGTAAATAGGGTCCCGCGCAACAACATTGCTGGGGTACTGATAGCCGTGACAGAGCCAAATATATTGAAGGCCTCGAAAACCGCCTCGGGCGCATGGAGTCGCTCTTACGAATGTCTGGCCTTCTCAGTGAAGAAGAAGCAGGAAAGACAGACTTGGGCACGTTGGAGAAGCGTCTCGCCGAGAAGGCCTCTTCAAGGGATTTCCCAACACACAAGACGACAGACTCTCCTGGCGCAGCGAAGAGTGGCACCAACTCTGCGGCGGCCGAAAATTCCCCCAGACCTGCCTCACAACGGGACTCCCTTGAGACTCCTCGGGACAATATCACTTCACCGAGTACAGATGGCGAGAGACCAGGCAGAGAGGACGTAGAAAATCTTTCCGAGGCCATGTGCTCGCTTGTCACCAACAATGTTGGTGAGACCAGATACATTGGTATGTATTCTCTTGCCTGCTTTCCATATCCGCGTCCCCTAACACGTCTTCAGGATCGTCATCGGCCTTCTCCATCTTCTCGAGTAAAGGTATCGAGTGGGTCAATGAAAAGACTGGAGACACTTCCTTCCAGGAAACCATTCAGAATGCCGTCAACGAAGACGACACCAAGTGGCAGTACTGGAAGCCTGAGGTATTCGGAGATATCTTCGTCCGCCGAGTCTTTAAGCCGCTGCCGCCAAAGGAAGAAGCTATGTCCTTGTTCAAGGATTTCTTTGAGAACTTCAACTGCATGTTCCCATTGTTCCATGAACCTACCTTTATGCATCTTGTGGAGAAGCAATATTCCAAGGACCCGTACGAAGGAAGCGGGTGGTGGGCAAGCATCAACGTCGCCCTCGCCATTGCTTATCGCATCAGGGTCATGAGTAATGTTGTTCCGCAAGAAGACGACCAAAAGGCGTGGCTTTACCTGAAGAATGCCATGGGCGTCATCACTGAACTGACCATGCGAAACACTGATCTTCTCAGTGTCCAGGCCCTTCTCGGCATGGCCCTGTTCCTCCAAGGCACACCAAATCCTCAGCCATCCTTCTTTCTGATTGCTGCTGCTATCAGATGTTCACATACAATAGGACTTCACAAGCGAGGCTCCGCGTTCAACCTCAACCCCATCGAAGTGGAACAACGCAAACGAGTCTTTTGGATCGGCTATCTGCTCGACAAGGACGCCTGTCTTCGGGCCGGTAGACCGCCTGCACAGGACGATGATGACATGAATGTCGAGCTACCCTCGGAAGACCCCCCTGATAACATTGGAAATGTCCCGTTGGCAGACGGTAAGAGCAAGATTAACCTCTTCCGTCTCATGTGTGAGTTTGCCATTATTTCAAGCAAGGTCTATCGGCAACTCTACTCCGTCCGAGCTTCGAAGCAGAGTGACGGTGAGCTTCTGAACACCATCGGCGAGCTGGACAAAGAATTGGAGGCTTGGAAAGACAGCATTCCTCTGGACTTCCGACCCGAACACGAAATCAAAACGTCTCATACTCCGCTCATTCTCCATATCGTCGTCCTTCATTTCTCCTACTACAACTGCTTGACGACAATCCACCGGATGTCCGTTCACCACGGCTATTGGACCAGTCGACTTTCGGAATATGCCATCCAGGGCCTTAACGCTCGACCCCTCAATCCAAGGGTCTTTTCTTCTGCGGCACTTTGCGTTTCAGCTGCACGGGCCTCGATCCACCTCATCAAATACATCCCGCAAGGGGACTTTGCATGCGTCTGGCTAATTCTATACTTCCCGGTCTCGGCACTTGTCACCCTTTTTGCCAACATCCTGCAGAACCCTCAAGACACCCGCGCAAGAGCTGACATCAAGCTGATGGACCTTGTCGTCAACTTTCTTTCCAATGTTGCGCATGACGAAGGCACTGGATCGTTGAATCGCATGCTCACTGTATGCTCGGAGTTCGCCCGTATTGCAAGAGTGGTGATTGAAAAGGCCGAGAAAGAAGGGTCAAAACGGAAACGCAGGCTTGTGCCCGAGGAAGTCATGCGCGTCAATCAATCAGCCATGGCGCAGGTGCAGTCACAGATCAATGGGCGCAATGCTGGATCTCGGAGATCGAGCGGCGCGGGAGCCTCACCACGGACCACGACGAGCACCATACCACCGGCTTCTACAACCGCCGCACCTGTGACTCCCATTGCGGGTAATGCCACGGCCAACAACATGAATCATAACAACCAGTTCTTCAACATGCCAGCACTCGACAACGATTATGCTGACATGATTTCGGCGCCGGGCCTTAGCCCAGACCTCAGTAGTCAGCAAATGCCCAGCTCGACCATGTCGCCTCTCAACGTCGGGTCTTTTCAACAACCATTTGTCCCTCAGGACTTGTGGCAGATGCCGATGACTTTCGAGTGGGATTGGGCGGAGACGTTTGGGCAACCCACGTATAACGACTTTATCTTGAGCGACAATATGAACGAAGGGATGATGCCTCAATGATGGATGATGGAGATATACACCGTGCCAGCATGTACATGAAAATTACCTCGGTCAGCCTTGAACCTGCAACGGCGTTCATGGCGAGAAGTGAAAGCACTCTCTGGTGGAGAGAGTAGGGCTGTTCCCGTTGGGCAACACTGTACCAATACATGATACCCCATTCTTGCGATTCGAACTCTCTTGCACCGTTCCCTAGTGTTCCTCCGTCTCCTGTGAATTGTTCCTGCCGGTCGGTGAGCCGCCGAGGTATGTTGAACCCGTCCGGGGTTTGCTTTCTGCTAGCAGTATCCTCTCTTGTCTGCGCAGCCTTGGCTAATATTGAAAATCTAGATACCTTGGCGCCTTGATATACTGGGTTGGGTCCGGCAGGATGGTTTTAGCAATCAGCTTCTTGAAATGGCCTGCGCCTATTGAATTGATTCACTTTGAGAACAATATCTTCTTTTCTCACTTCTCTTCCACCACCATCTCTTCTACAAAAGTCACACCTGCGACCGTCTTTTCCCTCTTCGACCCTTACCACATTCTTGAAGTCCTTCTGCATTCAGCCAGAGTGTGTTCTTGCCCAAATCTTCAAACTCACACATCACCAGACACCACTCCGCTTCCTGCGACACCAGACTTCCTCCTTCGTGACCAAATCTCAATCTCACATCTCAACAGACACCACCCTACTTCCTGCGACACTAAACTTCCGACCTCGAGTCGCGTTCCCGCAGAAACTTCTCCGCCAAGGTGTGAAACAAAGCCCTCCTCGCGAAAACATCATTGTACCGGTCTTCGTGTCTCGGCCTCCTCCGCATCAGACACCAGTGGTGAGTACATCTTCGCCACCAGTGGTCTGGGCAGCTCAAAGGAGGCGACTAACACATTGTTTCAGGCTTTGTACCAGCACCTCCTTTGCAGGACACTGTCTGCCTAGGTCAACAAAGGGAAGTTGCTTGGTTGTTTGTCAACAGACCAGCACCTTCAAACAAAAGAAAGACCTTACGGACAATTCTCTCAACCCATCTACTCTCTCCGTCATACTGCCACCCTACCGGCCAAGCTCACCCTTCACCGAATTCCTGACCTTTGGTCTCTCAAGAGAATAAATACATACATCCCGGCCAAGCACAACTATCCCGGCCTCTTCAAGCGGGTTCGGTGATCACAATCTTATCAGACATTTCCGACAAATCATCCTCCTTCCGCGCAAATACCAGAGTCTCAATCATGGCAAGCGATCACATCTTTTGGATGATGGTCTGGGACCGCTTGGGCGTGTATGACTGGTGGGCCGCTTCTGCTAAAAAGCGAGCCAAGTACTCCTCTGCCACCGTCAAACACGAAGACTTCCCGCTCAAGGCGAAGGACTTTTCCGGCGGCTCTCTGTTTGCGTCCGAGCCTTGGATCGAAGGCCAACGCTTCGTTGTACCCAAGGTCACAACTGGGGCCATCAACCACCACGCAATCGACAAGAATCCCGTCCTCCTCAAGACATGCATCCCTCTGCCGATTGAAGAGGGGGTCTTGCGACCAACGTGCCCGGTGATCCAGCGACAACCTCGCGTCGAAATGCCAGGCGGCATCGGCATGAATGAGGTCTCTTACCTGCCCAAGTCCTTCGTTGGACGCAACGTGGGCTTCCCTCCCGGGGGTTCACTGTCACTCGGCATCATAGCCGTTCTGTTGGCGCTGGCGGTCGGTCTCTGTTTCTCCCACCTCGCCAGTCGGCGGAAGGACTTGGTCCATGAAGGCCAAATGGGTTCCCTCGCCAACAAGGTCGAGAACCAAAAGACAATCAATTTCATCCTGAACGACCAAGTCAGGACTCTTCACAAAAGCAAGCGAGGTATGGAAACCGAGCTGCAAGACATCCGAGGCAAGGTCGACAAGGTCCGAGAATCTGTCAAAGCCATGGACGAACTCACCAAGAACCAGCAAGCAATGCTGGAAGAAAAGGACTCCTTGATCAAGAGGCTCGAAGCCACCCTGGCCGAACAAGAGGCTAGAATCAAGGAGCAAGAAGCCACCATGGCTGAGCAAGAGGCTGCGATCAAGCGGCACCAAGACACCCAGGCTCGGCTGGGCGAGATGGAGGAGCTTCTCCGACAGAAGGAGAAAGCGATCACGGAGAAGGTGAGCGCCATCGCGCGACTTACGGAGGAGAAGCAGGCGGCCGCGGAAGAGGCGAGCGCCCTGGGCGGCACCCGGGACCGGCTGACGCAGCAGCTGGAGGAGGCGACCAAGGAGCTGCGGTCCGCGACCTATTTCGACAAGGACCTCTCGCGCCGGAGGGAGGAGCAGTTGGCGAAGCAGAACAAGAAGCTGCACGCCAAGGACCTCCACATCAAGGCGCTCAAGGCGCAGATCGAAGGGCTCGGCCAAGTGCCCGCCCCCCTGCCACCGCAGGGGGACGCCACTGCCGCGCCGGCCCCGACGTCTGGACAGCCAGAGCCGCCTGCGTCTCTGGCGCCGACGGCGACGCCTGCACCTGGCCCGTCCGCTCCCGCGGCTCCCCATCAGTCCGTGATGGAGAGTCGTTGGGCCGATGCGGCTCCGCTTCCTCCCAGCCAGCCTGCTGCATTCCGCGGCGGGTGGCAAGGACGGGGCCGCGGACGTGGCAGGGGTGGACGTCGACCGTGAGGTCCTTGTCGGAATGGAGTAGGGCGAACCGAGTGGGTGGATGACGGGCGATTTGGCAGGACGGCCAGGTGGAGGACATTGGGCATGCAAGGGCAGTTATCAAGTGCGGCATCGACAGAGGGGACAGCAATGGCAGGACGGCCAGGTGGAGGATTACGAGGTACTCAAGACAAGCGCAAGTCGATAGTCAATTCAACACTGCCCACATTAGATTCTCAAAGCTCCGCTTTCACCCAGTCTTACAAACCCAAACCCTCCGCAAAGTCCTTGCATGTGGTACAGAAGCCCCAAGTCTTTGCGCAGTTGAATTCGATGCTGTCCTGGCTGCTCGAGGGGCTTGTCGTGCCCGCGCCGTCAGAGAGCAGAACCACGTCGTAGCCTTTCGAGAAAGCCTGGGCGCCAACAACCATCGAGCATCAGCGACGATTGAACCTTGCAATCATTGCAAAAGCTCAAAGGGAAAGATAGATGCAGGGGAGGGAAATGGCGATGCCATGGTGACTTACATCCTGAAGACTCCCACCGACACACTGATCCGTGTTCACTCCGGTAAAGAATAATGTCTTGATGCCCTCTTTCTCCAGGAACTCTGTGCACAGGGTGCTTGGGCCCCATAGCCCGGACATGCGGTTCTTATGGATCCATACGTCTGGCGGATTGGCTGTCTTGCCGTCCGCTTCGTACGTCTGTTTCAGCTCCGGAGTCAAGTCAGCATTCCACGTATCGCGCATCAGAAGTCGGCCGCCTTGGATGGTGCTCCCGTCATCGAGGGTCACTGGGCCAACTTCACTGCCCAGTCCCTTGTAGATGCGCGGATTCTTGCCCGAGGTTTCGATCTGAGGGTCTGGGAATTCGTGGCACCCCTCGTTGACGCCGTGCGAGTCGACCGCGGCTTGCTTCTTCGCGACTTTGTCGTAGGATTCAAATTCGGCCGCGAGAACGGTTTCGAATCCGAATGCGCGGAGAGTGCCCGGGGCCATGTCGGCGATCTCTTGGTCGGTCAAGCCCCAATTCAACCAGATGATGCGGACGCCGGCTTTTCGAGCCGCGGGGATGGCGTACTTGAGAAGCTGCTGTTGAGCGATGAGACCTTTGGAGTCCTTGGGGCGTCCGAGGTTGGGGGAGAGGAAGAAGTTCTGCATGTCGATGATGACGAGGGCCGATTTGGGTGGGTGGATTGTGATGGGGAGGGTGGTTGTCTTGACGGTGTAGTTCGGCGAGGGAGTGGGCGAGGTGGGCGTCGGCGGGTGCGTGAGGTCGAAGCCAGTCTTGGAGTCATAGAGCCAGAAGGTTGCATTGGGATTGCCGACGACGCCTTTGCGGTGGTTTGGGTCGTTGTTGTTCATGCTGGGGATGTTATGTTGGAGGGTTGACGGCACGAGGCTGGGGCGGAAAGGGGTTGCAGGAGATATCGGCACCTGTGGGAGTAATTGAACTGGTCAGTCTGGTGTGCAGCAGAGTTGGTGCTATGGAATCTGAAGAGACTGGCTGGAGAGACAGATCCCTTGCGAAGATAGATATAGCATGCACAACAAACATGGGCGCATTGGCTCGTGTGCCCTCATCATCGCATCCCTCACAGACTTGCCAAAATACCCCGCAACCAAAGAGATAAGAAGCTCAAACGGGAAGGAGCGGCTGCGGGCGTGTGTGCATCTACCGGCCGCCTCTTGCTTGTCCTACGGCCATCTCCGTCCACAGGTCTTGCAATGCCACGGATTTTCTATTGCTATGTAACAAAGGGACTGGCCCAGAATGCTGCCCCAGGATACTGATGATGATGCCCTGGTTAAGAACCTCCCTCTTTGGCGCCTCTGTGGTGCCCCTCGCGGCTGCCCTCCCGCTGCTCTTTCCACGAGACTCACTAGACTTACTAGCCCACTAGCGGTGACGTCAAGTACCTATAACAAGTACAAGCTACGCGGACTAGGCTCAAACAGGCATGACTCTCTTACTACCTACTAATTGGCCGGGCACGAGGTCCCTTGGTGTCTCTACCCCACAAATTGCACAGTCCAAAGCAAATGCGCTGGTAAATAAATCGAAAACTGGCCACAAAAGCGCTGCCCATCACCAGACGCCCATTCAAAATCCCGCCCTCCTCCACCGCCTCTTGAGCTCCAAGCCACTTGATATTCTTATTCACTCGCATTGACTCTTTCTGTGCATAGCGGTCCTCACTGATATTCCATTGTCTTCTCATTCTGTTCACAGCTTCCTCTCCGCAACCTCTCCGCTCCCGCAATGGCTCTCCTCCAAGCTCGGGTCAAGAGCCTCCTGTCAGGCGACACCTTGATCATCACCAATGCAAAGGGTGCCGAACGGACCTTGTCTCTGGCCTACATCAGTGCCCCGAGGTTGAAAAGAGAAGGTGACGAGGTCGGTGGTATATCCCTCACGAGACCCAGAACTCCCACCTGCTAACCCGCACCAGCCCTTTGCCTTTCAGTCCCGCGAATTTGTCCGCGAGCTGGTCCTCGGCAAGGTCATTCAATTCCAAGTCCTCTATGCCATTCCCACCACGAAACGCGAGTACGGACGAGTCAGACTCCCCAACGGTGCCGAATTGCCCGATCTCATCGTCCAAGAAGGCTGGGCTAAAGTGCGCGAGGACGCTGGGAAGAAAGAGGACGACGAAGATGCATTGGCATACCTGGACAAGCTGAGGTCGTTGGAAAGTGATGCAAAAGCTCAGGGCAAAGGTCTGTGGGCCAAGGGCGGTCAGATCGAGAACTCGTCCGAGGTCTCCGACCCAAATGCCTTGGTCGAACAATACAAGGGCAAGAAAATTGAAGCTGTCATCGAGAGGGTTCTGACGGGAGACCGCTTGATTGCTCGTCTCATGCTCACTCCCTCAAAGCACATTCAGACCATGCTTGTCCTAGCCGGCATACGCACTCCCGCGACCAAGAGAACCACCCCAGAAGGGAAAGAGGTCCCGGCTGAGCCTTACGGCACCGAGGCACATGCCTTCGTCGACGAGAGGTTACATCAGCGCAAATGCTCCGTTGAGCTGCTTGGAGTGACGCCGCAAAATCAACTCATCGCAAATGTCTTGCACCCCAAAGGAAACATCGCCATGTTTCTGCTTGAGGCTGGTCTAGCTCGCTCCAATGATCAGCACGTCACCTTACTGGGCAATCAAATGGCCCAGTTCAGAAACGCCGAGAACGCGGCAAAGAATGCCAGAAAGGGCGTCTTCACCGGCGTGGCGTCTTCCAAAGCCGCCGGAGTGCAGGAGGCGGATTTCACAGTCTCCAGGGTCTTGAATGCTGAGACGATCTTTCTTCGAACACGATCCGGCGAGGAACGCAAAGTGACTCTTTCCAGCATCCGTCAGCCCAAGCCGTCAGATCCGAAACAATCTCCATTCGGCGCTGAGGCAAAGGAGTTCCTCCGGAAGCGACTGATCGGAAAGCACGTCAAGGTGAGCATCGATGGCAAGAAGCCGGCTTCGGAAGGCTTTGAAGAACGCGAAGTGGCCACCGTGACGGTGGGCGGAAAGAATGTAGCTTTGACGTTGGTGGAGGCCGGCTATGCGTCTGTCATTCGACATCGAAGAGACGACGACGACCGCTCACCCGACTACGACGCGCTGCTCCTCGCGGAAGAATCGGCTCAAAAGGACGGTAAAGGCATGTGGTCGGACAAACCTCCTGCGGCTAAACACTATCAGGATTATTCGGAAAGTCTACAGAAAGCCAAGATGGAAGCCTCGGTGCTGCAAAGACAGAAAAAGGTCCCGGCTGTGGTCGACTTTGTCAGAGCTGGTTCTAGATTCGTGGTTCTCGTCCCCCGCGAGAACGCGAAATTGACTTTTGTCCTTTCCGGCATTCGAACGCCGAAGCCAGCCCGTCAGCCTGGCGATAACGCTGAGCCTTTTGGACAGGAAGCCTATGACTTTGCCAACCGAAGATGTATGCAGCGTGACGTAGAGATTGACGTGGAGGATACGGACAAAATTGGCGGGTTTATTGGCACCATGTATGTTGGCCGCGAAAACTTCGCGCGAGCTCTGTTAGAGGAAGGCCTCGCCGAAGTTCATGCATATTCAGCCGAGAAGAGCGGTCATGCAAATGAGCTGTTTGCGGCCGAGAAAAAGGCCAAGGAGGCTCGAAAGGGCATGTGGCACGATTGGGACCCAAGCAAGGACGCCGATGAAGACGAGGCTGAACCTGCTGCCGATGGTGCCAATGGCACAAATGGAGAGGGAGCTCAACCGACCTCGAGAAGAAAGGACTATCGCGACGTCATGGTGACACACGTCGACGAGACCGGCAAACTCAAGGTTCAACAGATCGGTGCTGGAACCGCAAGCTTGACAGAGCTCATGAATGCATTCAAGTCCTTCCATCTGAACAAGGCCAACGACCAACCACTGCCCGGTCCACCTAAGGTTGGCGATATCGTTGCTGCCAAGTTCACAGTTGACGATCAGTGGTATCGAGCGAGAGTAAGGAGAGTCGACCGTGACGGGAAGAAGGTGGATCTGATTTACCTCGACTATGGCAACTCGGAAACTGTTCCTTGGACCCGATTACGGCCTTTGACTCAACCACAATTCTCCACCCAAAAGCTCAAGCCACAGGCGACTGATGCCGTCCTGTCCTTCCTTCAACTTCCCACCTCCGAGCAGTATCTCCGAGACACCGTTGATTTCATCGCGGAACAGACAGACGGCCGAGAGCTGGTGGCGAACGTGGATTACGTCGCTCCGGAAGGAACGTTGCATATTTCTCTGCTTGACCCGAAGGTGTCCAACAAAATCGATGAAAGCATCAATGCAGAAGTCATTCGAGAAGGATTGGCCATGGTCCCAGTCAAATTGAAGGCGTGGGAAAGGCAGTCCGCAGACACGTTGGCGAAGTTCCGAGAGCTCCAGGAGGAAGCGAAGAAGGAACGGAGGGGTATGTGGGAGTATGGTGACCTGACGGAGGACTAGTTCAGAAGCAGCAAAACATTGGCAATGTGACTGACTAGGCATGGATTCAATGCAGCCCGAGCGAGTGAGGCGGGCATGAATGGTCTATCCAAGCCTCAAAACCAACAATATCAAACATATTTTTCCTTCTGCTCGGCCCCTTCAACCTCCTTCACCCACCCCAATCTATGCATCACGTTCATCTCGACGGTCGGCGCCTTCTGCAGTAAGTTGACATCATCGAGTGTACCCACCTGGATGACCAGAATATCTCGCAGCCCTGGCCCGTGCGGTACTGCGTAGATGGGACTCCCACACTCGGGACAGAAGGCCAGCGAGAATTCAAACCCTTCGTCGACGTGCGTTGTCTTGACCGTCTTCAAGCTGCCGTTTGTGAGGGCGAACGAGGTCGAGGGCACGGTGAGGTTGAGAGACGTGAATGCGCCGGTGATCTTGCGGCACGGGCGGCAGTGGCATGTTTTTGTTTCCTATTTTTTTTTTTTCCAAATGAACATCTCTTGCTCCCAGCCCGGCGTGGATGGATGGGGATGGGGCTGTTTTACCATTTGCGCGACATGGAGATCAATGTCGAGATTATACGTGACGTGTCCGCAAAGACAACTGCCTCGAACCATTGCTGGGATGCGTCTGTACGCGAGCTATCAAGTGTTGAAATGGGGGGATGTGCCGTGGTAGATTCGCCTACTGTCAAGACCGTGAAGTGAAGAAGGAGAGAATATGTCCAGTCTCAACAGGACAATGTCGGACAAGAAGATGGCTTTGTCCGTAATGCTGATGCGTATCGGGTTGTGATTGACGATATGCCAAGACGAGGTAATCCTACACGCAGCCACAGCTCACCCCTCTTTGGACGAGGCTGATGCCGCCCTGTGCTCACCCTACTAGGGAGGGACTCTTGAAAACGGCCATGGTTGATTGGCCTTCCAAGTCTGCCGCCACGGCGCCCTGTCCAAGGCACTTCCACAAGTATGTCCAGTGAAAACGCGGGCTCTGTCAAAAACAGCGTCGCTGGGTTTGCGCTTTAGGTCTTGCGCGACTCGACTCTCCTTTGACCTGTACTTGTACGGGTATGGCACTCTGGGCACTACCAAGTGCAAAGCCGCTGCGTGGCTTTTCGTTTTCCGTACTCCGTGGCATAGGAGGGGTTCTCAAAATTGCTTTATTTTCCCGTTTCACGGGGTGACGTCGCAAGCGAAGCCTAGGTTATTTTGTGTCTAGGAGGGTAATTCAGAACGGATTCTCCTCGAGGGTCTCGTCGGTATGCCCAATCGGGGTAGGGACCGCTACAACAACAGCGTCCGCAGAATGAACCTCCCCGCCCGGGGGGTTGGGGGGGGGGGGGGGGTCCTAGCATCTCCAGACTCGTTTGCTCCGGCACGCTGCCAGTCGTCTCAAGTCATTTATGATTGGCTAACGCATGGTCAGGATCCTCAACTCGGAGAGTAGAGGTCGGTAAAGGCCAGGTCCCAATCTGTCCAGAAGATATCGCCTGGCTGAAGATTGGAAGCGTAGGGATTGGAAGCGCTCGAAGCGATGCCGCTCGGAAACACCAACGGTCCCAACCTGGCATCGGCTGCAATGGCCTCGTCCATAGCCGCAAGGGACACATAGTCATTATCGCAGGTGGTAGGGTGAGATGATGCGCCGGGCGACTTCTCCCTCGAGCCCTTGTCTTGCCCTTTCTGGCGGCCACCGCTGGCGTATGGATATTTTCTTTGCCCTTCTTCGCTTGCAAATCGCGCGAGTGCACACCTCACAATGTCGAAGGCCAGATTTTGACTCATTCGTGAACGGACTCGGCCTGTCGGTCTCGATCCCGGCGAACCTTCAGGTCGAGGAGGTCTGCCGGGACCCCGGGAGTCTGGCTCCTCCATGTGCTGTTCCTGTATCCTTGGATCTGGCAGTTGACACACGAATTCGATAATGTCGCAGGCTCGAGAAACCGAATCATGTTTGAGAGATGTTCGATCAGCCTTCAGGGCTACGAGCGCTTTTCGGATCGTGTTGTCAGCGACGTCTCTCTGGACGGGAAATTGGGAGAAGCGCGTGACTCTGAGAAGGAACATCACGGCATACACCAGAGCCGCTCGTTCGAAGCCAGTCCAAGGCCGGTTCTGTGGACTCAAGCCACCCGACATCACACCGGGCGAGGTTTGGCTTTTCTGCTTGGGAGGATTGGAAGGATCCAAAATAGCGCAAACTATCTCTATGGTTCGAGTGGCGATGGAGAATCCCCGTGAGGTATAATATCCCTCCCGACCGTGGTGTATGGCTCCATCGTGTTCTGGGTCTGACGGCTCCGACGCGACAGCGAAGGAATAAAGACGCAATTTCGTCCAGAGCCACAACACGAGCACACTAGGGTCCCACTCATCCCACTCGCGGCGCTCGAGAGCATCGAGGTCTGCATCGAAGACTTGGATGATATGGCCAGGCTCTGGAAGCAGACCATCCGGTGCCCCCTCGAAATGGCCCAGAATGTTGGTAAAGGAGAATGATATGAACGACATCTGGAGTAGAGGCTTCAGGATCATTGGCATCCGTTCTGGCCATTCTCGGAGGGCTTGATTGATTGAGTGATCGACCTTGAAGGTCGATGGCACTCCTAACTGGCTGCTCACCCTGTTTCCCCGCCGGGTTCGTCAGTCATACGGTTCGGATCACAACCAGGAGGGTTTCCTACATTTGATTGACGATGAAACAAGCTATCCAAGTCCTCTGGCGCGTGGAAATTGCCGATTCATCGGGGAGGGTCCAATTGACAAAGTCCACCAGGAAAGCCGGACGATGCAATCCCAAAGCCAGAGACTTGTGGACGGCAGCACCACAGTACAGCCAGGATGGGTTTTCAGTTGATGCTCCATACGGCAAAGGCCAATATGCCAGAATCAGAAGGGCGTGGATGAGTGAGATAGATGAGGCGACATTCCCAAACAACTCGTTCCCCGCAAGGCTCCGGATTGGGCCAGACAAGACGACGGCCAGTTCTCGTCTAGTTATCGCAACCATTGCCCAGAAAAGTAATCGACACGTCGGGGATTCGTCGACGATGGTCCTGATGTCCTGGAGCAAGGGGAAGAGTGGATGATAGTGATTATAATATCTGAAGATGAATATGAATTGCAGGACAACGACTGGCATGGGTAATGGGCCTCACTCTAGGAAGATATCACACGCATCATCAATGGTGATCGTGACTGTTTCAAGGACGGGAGCATGGGAAAAGAATTCCCTGGTCGAAAGCATCAGGACCAGCTCTTCCTTGCTCGGCAGGTCTGCATTGGGCTGTTCACCTAGAGCGCTGTCCGCAGAGGTTCCATTGCTCTGGGGATCCGGTTGCTCGAGAGAGGTTCTCGACGGATTGAGCTCAGACGTGGGTGGAGCGCGGAAAGTCTCGCGAATGTCTTGAATTTCTCTTTCTAGATGATTAAGACGGCTAGAGAATCAAGGCCTTAGCATGTCGACTTGTGGGCACCGCAGTCCAACTGACTCTCTCATTGCGGTTCGTTGATAGTCTGGGTTCACTGTACAGCTTTTGCCCGCCTTCTGACATCTCGAGCAGGCCGCCGGGAACATGTCAGTCGAATCGCATCTCATCTGTGAATTCATTAGAGGCGTAGGAGAAAGCCGCGAAATGTCTATTGCAATCTACCTTCAGTTGTCGACAGTGCACACAAGCGGCACCTTTCTGCCTCTTGCGCTTTTGCGTCGATGCCATGGCTCCTGTGCCCCGGGGTGAAGGACGAAGTATTTTGAACGAAGAAACCCGTCCAGCTGCACAAAAGGCTTTGAGAACGAGGGGACTCGTCACATGACACGAGATGCCTCGGCTTGTAACTGGCAGGACTGCCAAGATATATCATAACTATTACAGCTAGCCCAAGACTAGCGCCGGTAACCTCTATGTTAATCATTCGAAGGTTATATACGGAGTAGTTAGACAGGGCTTAGGACCCAATAGAATTTTATCATATTCCTCTATTGAGTTATAGGCTTTTGATGTCCACTTAACTGAGCTCTGACATCAAATGGGCCTTGGATTGAGCAACACTAAGCGCTCTCTAGGCACCTCCTAGGCAAAGACACGGGGGACCAAATCTAGTCCCTTCGATCCCATGCGGAAGGAGACTGTCAAAGGGAGCCACGTACTCGAGTACTCCGTGTACATCAGAGGGTGGATCGGGATAAGATCGCCCAGCATCTTGAATGACGAAAGGTGGTCTTGTGAATAGAATGGAAAAACATGTCACTGCTTTTTCGCGTGACTTTACCGAACTACGATCGCTCCGACAGTTGTTCGGGGGGATCTGATTTCACACCCTCAGCAAACCGACAAAAGCATGCAACACCCTGCACCATCTTCAAAGCCAGAACCTGAAATCAGGATGATCATCACACACTTCCTCAATCCCCAGTCTTCGCTTCTCGGCCGCCTCGGGAGTGTGCTTCTCCTTCTCCTTTTTCTGGTTCAAGCGTCGGATATACAGGATGAAGAAAGGGACCAGAAGCGCGGAGAGCGCCGCGGACGCGAATCCAAGACCTTTGCCCCGGTGATACTTGGGTGCATCGGTGAAAATCTCCAGTCCCATGAGCGTAAAGCACTGACCAAAGATCATGATGAAAGCCAACGATCCAGCTCTGGTTGCTTCCACGTAAGTACACGTCGCGGAACCGAAGCTCGAAAAACGACATACCTCTTTGTGTAGCCGATGATGTTCACAGACATCCAAGATTGTATCAGAGTGACCTGTGGATAGCAACCCATGCCGACCAAGAAGCAGCCCGCATAAGACAAGTGCTTGGAGGTGCTCAAAAGTAAGATCAGCCAGCCCGCGGCCGCCACCGCGAAAGCCATGGCCAGGAAGATGCCACGCTGCTTTGTCCTGTCCGATATAGCACCCAAGATGACCAACACGACGGCAATGCACACATACACTGGAATGGTCAAGAGCTGAGTGCGGACAGAACTGTACCCCAAGCCTTTCAAGATGACGGGGAAAAACGACGAGAAGGAGGTCAGGCTGATGTTCATCATGCTGTAGAAGAAGGCTGCAGATTATACGGTCAGCCAATCCACCTGCCCGTCCGCATGGATGGAGATCTGCCCACCGTAACACCAGATTTTTGGATCTTTCAACACCGCGACAAGTTGGTGGGCCTTGATGCCAGTGTGGGGGGTGTTGTACGCCTGTTTGGACCGACGTATAGCGATCTCTAGCTCGGCCGGCGTGAAGAACCACCGCGCTCGTTCTGGGACGGGAGGGAGCAGCACCATGACGAAGAAGCCGCAGCCAACACAGATCACGCCTAGTATGGATGTCAACATGTGTTCCATTTCTTTCTCTTTTCAAGGCAGTGAAACCCCTTACCCTCAATCAGGAAGATCCACCGCCACGGCAGCCATCCATGCACAAACGGCATGTCCTTGGCGATGCCGTAGGAGATCAGACCATTCATGGTTCCCGCGACGGCAGACATGGCGAAGAAGATGGACCCTCGTGTTGCAAGCTCGTCTAGCTTGTACCAGAAGGTCAAGTAAAACGCTCCAGCTTGAAGGAAGGCCTCGAAAGCGCCAACGCCCGCCCTCAAGCCGGCAATCGTTGCCCAGTGCGTGGCTTTGCACATCCTGTCCGACCACTCAGCGGCTGATTGGGTAGTTTGAAACGAGCATTGGTCGACTTACACGGTAGTCAGCAACCCCCAGCCGATCATCGCAATCCCAAGCTGGAAGTGTGGCTGTATTTTTCGTATGAAGACGGTGGCCGGAAGTTGGAAGACGATGTATCCAATGTAGAAAAAGGCAACGCAGTTGCTATATTGCTGGGACGTCATCTTGAGCTCCTCGACCATTCCCGCCACTGCGGCGTTACCAATGTCGCCGCGATCCTACAAAGACAGCCATATCAATCATCGGCCACCACATCACGGCGCCACGAGAGGAAGGCGTACTGCTCACCATCGAAGCAAGAAAATACATCAACGACAGCAGGGGAAGGATGAGAAGGTCCAGCTTCCAAACTAGCCTGCGCTCAGCCTCCCTCTCTTCTGGAGACAGCTCGACCTCGGCGTGCATCTCGAGGCCATTTTCCTTCGACCCTTCGGGCCCTTCAGAAGGTCCCAGTCCAAGACCGTGGTCCTCGCAATGAAGGCTTTCTGGCTCTTTCTGAATCTCCATGGCCGGCAGCAAAAATTCGGTCGACTTCTCAATGCCAAATCAATCAAGGAGAAATACTGGGCAGCCCCGGCTTCTCTGTCCAATTTATCTACCTCCACAGGCCCAGACTTTCCGGGAGTCTGGCCGTTCTGGCCAAACTGGGGCGGGTGCAGTTGCCCAAGTGGATCGCTTCGAAGCGGTTTCGCTTCAATGCCGGAACCGGCTTCACCTCCATCTGCCGCAAGTCTATTCACAAATCTTTGCTCGCCTGCAAGATGTACAGAGCTGTACCGCCAAAGATTGGCTATGATGTTGGGGCCTGCCAACCAATTGTCGAAAGTCATCCGTTCAATTGACCCAGTATTCGGGCTAGATACTGTAGCTGCGGGAAGATAGGGGCAAATTCTGTCGCGGCCACAGCCCTCTGTAACCTGTACACCAAACTTCTCGACGTTAGTCAGTACGCTCTGCCTATTCTTTGCATCAATTTGGCCGACCGTCATGACATAAACACCTACGCGTACTACGACAGCCAAGTTCTGTGACAGGGTGAACCGTCTGCAACCCCATGGGGGACTATACGCGGTGCATACTTAGAGCTACGATCTCGCTCCCATGCCAGGTGTTTTTGATTCTTGGATCAGCTAGCTATGGAGGTCACAGAATGGCCAGAGCGTTGCTAGGGCTTGCGACACCGCCCGGGATGTCCAATGGCTGGCTCGTGAGAAAGAAAGACCACTTTTGCCTCTTCTGGCACTCTTCCGCCAACTGCTCTAGGTTCCAGACCTCTCCGATCGGCATGCCCCAGCCAGCGAGAAATACTTCATGGAGAGCATGCTGGAGATCTGATGCGCGGTCCGGTGGCCACGCTTCGTACGCGTTGGTGTCTCCTGCGACCGCCGCAAAGCCCATGTCCCAGTGCCATTGAGCCATCCCGATGGTGTTTGTCACCCCGACGAAGTCGCGATTGGGCCGCTCAGCAAGCGCCTTCTTCTCCTGATCGCTACACTGGAGATAGTCTTCGGTCCAGCCGGTACGGATGAGGAGGATGTCTCCGGGCTTGAACTCGGTCCGCTGATCCAAGGCACACTGCACGAGCTCGTCCTTTGTGATCCGATGCGTGGTGAAGGCGCTGTAGTGGATTCCCTGCCTTTTCACCCACGCTCGATAATCCAGCAGCACTCCGCGCCCGACAATGGACTTTCTGGCCATGGCTAAGTCGGTCAGGTGTGAATTGGGAAAAAAGGAGGGGAGTCGTGCGAGAGCATATACCTTGAACACCGCAGCGATGATTAGGTGCAGTCCCCGAGATGTCTTCCTGCGTGGTATTGTTGTAGAATCGCCTCGCACGTTGATACCCGACGTGCCGCAGCCCGTCCCAGTGACTGGACCCCTGGGTGTTGATTGTCAGGACATCATCGTTGCTCCTTTCTTTGATGTTGAATTGGTGAACGCAGGGTTTGCGCTCCGGGTTCATCGGAAGAAGAGGCAAGTTGATCGGGAGACTACACGTCAGTGCTTGTCAGGCGCCGGACTTTGAAAGCTCGCTTGCGAGAAAGGTTGATATGAAGCTCTCAATGGTTCCGCTTACTTGAGGCTGATTGTCTTCCCCGTCACGATCTCGTTTTTGGCACCCAAAATCCTCTCCTCTGTCAACAGATTCAACGTCCCCAGTTCATCATCCGGTCCGTAGAGGCCCCACGCAGAGTAGGGGGGATGTGATTCTTCAAGAGGCAGCGAGGCGAACGATGGACGCGACATGTTTCGTCCAACACGAAGTGCTAGGCCATAATTGCAAAGTGACCGTGGATTAAACTTATATGGATGCCCAAGTTATTCTGCCCCAGGTGTCAAAGTCGGGAACAGGAGAGCATGACCAGTCTGGGGGGAGAAGGTCGCCCCGCAAATTGCACAATTGCTGAGGCCCTGTGTACACACCAGGGTCTTGCGATGTCCCAACCCTTATGCCACTCACAGTCAAGCTCGTACACAGAGGACAGAATAGAGCACTGCGTGGCCCGACTCTCGGGGATGGTATGTGGGCGGGCACAGCCTCCCCAAGATGTCCGGGCGAATTCGCTTGCGAAGCGGTTCCGGCACACAGGGGCCATTTCACGACTGTTCCACCTCTCCGCCAGCCTGACTCGACACTGCAGAATTCACCGTATAAACAACGAAACATGGCTTGTACATGAAAATGTTGTTGACGGCTTTGACCTATAGCTCTGGAGGGCGACAGACAAGATGCAGGACGGACTTCGTATCTTCACGCCAGTTGGCATGCTCGGCTACTCGTTCAGCGAAAGCACATTTTGGGACACGTTGAAAAGGGGCGTAGATGCTGTCATCTTGGACAGTGGCTCGACCGACAGTGGCCCGTCGAAACTGGCACTTGGAAAGCCCACGGTGGCTCAGTCTTCATACGAAAGAGACCTTGCAATCTTGGTCGCTGGTATTCACCATTACAAGAAACCGCTTTTGATAGGTGAGAGACTGTCCTATTCCTGGCAACATCCGTTGTGTTGACGGGTAGCCCTCAGGATCCGCCGGAGGAGATGGTTCCAACACTGGCGTCGACCTTCTAGTCAACATCATCAAAGACATCATCAAGCGAGAAGGGTACCGACCGATGAAGGTTCTCCGTATCTACTCCCAAATCGACAAGGATATCGTGCGGAGCAAACTCAAGGCTGGATTGATGCAACCGTGTGGCGAGGCCGTACCTGAGCTGAAGGTCGAGGACATTGATGCTGCGACCAAGATTGTGGCCCAGATGGGCATGGAACCGTGGCTAGAAGCCATGAACCAACACCCCGACTTCGACATCATTGTGGGAGGTCGTACATACGATCCGGCCCCGTACGCCGCCTTTTGCGCGTGGAAAGGGTTGACCGACATGGGCACGATTTACCACATGGGCAAGATTATGGAGTGCGGTGCTCTCTGTGCGACGCCGAAAAACAAGTCAGCATTGGCCATCGTCCGTGACAAAGACTTTGTGGTCACTCCCTTAGACCCCTCCTCGATCTGCACGGAAGCCTCCGTTGCAGCCCATACGCTGTATGAGAAGACGAGACCCGACATTCTCCTCGGACCGGGAGGCGCCCTCCTCTTAGAGACTGCAAAGTACGAACAACTACCGGATGGGAGGAGTGTCAGGGTCTGGGGGGCAACATTCATGCCGGAACAGCAGTATACGGTGAAATTAGAGGCCGGGAAGCTGGTTGGATTCCACAGTATGTGTTTTGGAGGCTTTCGAGACCCGATCCTCATTTCGCAGCTCGACGATTTCCTAGCCCGTGGCAAACAGCTGGTGGCGCAACACGCAAAATACCCCCACGAGCTCGAGTACCGGGTATACGGGAGGGATGCCATCATGGGCCCGTTGGAAAAACGGACTGACACGCCGCATGAGGTCGGTGTCGTCGCGCACGCCCTCGCGGGTACGCAAGAAGAGGCCACCAACGTTGTGCATATTGCGAGAGTACATATGATGCACTCTTCGTACCCTCATCAGCGGGCGACGGCCGGGAACTTTGCCATGCCATTTGCACCACTCGACATCCCTCTAGGGCAAGTGTCCGAGTTTTGTATGTACCATCTCATGCCGATAAACGACCCGCTCGAGCATTTCCCAGTGTACGCCCAGACTGTCGAAGGATCCAACACAGCACCGGCCCTTCAGTTGCCTGCCACAGCCAACGGCCACATCATGGAGAAGCCGACGACGAATGGCCACACTCCAGTCGAGCAACACTGCGAACCAAAAACGGGCTCGGTCCTTAACAAAGAGCCACCTCCCGGTCATACCTTTCTCGCAGATCTGGCCACCTACGTCCGAAGTAAGAATGCCGGACCGTACGAGCTCACTTTCGACGTCATATTCTCGGATGCGAAGACCAAGGATCGGGTCAAAGCCACCGGTGTCCTGACTCGAGCTACAGTGGCTCGCCTGTACGGAATCAAGGAAGACGATGTCATCGCCAGCCTATGGTGGGATCAGGCCTTGGCTTTTAAAGCCACCATCAAGCGACCCCGAGTCGGGGGTGGATTTTGGGAGCGCGATAGTCACGGGTCGCAACAACACATCCCATTGATGGAGCTACCTGTGCCGGTATCATTGGACTCTTACCAAGGTTGAGCGAAGGGTTGAAGGAGGTAACAAGTTCGACTTCACTAGCAGGATTGTCGGTTGGGCCAAGCAGGATTCCCTGTCCTTGCCGATAATCAGGACATCGCAGATGTTCCGCCAAAGTCCACGAGGATGGGCTCGAAATTCTCCGTTCACAATGATCCTAGCGCGTGCGAGTTTCGTCTTGTCGGCCGTTCACCAATTTCATCCGTATAATTGGCCCCTACTGCATTCGTTCCATCGATTCGTGTGTCTGAAGAAACGCCGCCCTCGCCACTGCCGAAGTCGCCTGGTTCAGCCTGAGATACGAACTTCACCCTGGCCTCTCTTGTGTGTGCGAGGGAAGACAAATCTTGGGGAGAAAGGCACCTTGCTAATTGACCCCTGTTGGTGACCACTATCGGACAGATACATGGGTTCGGCCATCGACGAGACTCTAGCGAGTGTTTATCGAACTTGTCGATAGTCGGGATCTGCCTCTACGAAGATCTTGGGGGAAATCCCTCAAACGGCAACAGTCGCATAGACGGTGCGTTGCTCTGCACACCTTTGTGGACATCCGCGCTCTTAGGGTCATCTCCTACTTAACTTAGCAACTATCTCCCCAAGAGGTGCAGGTCGCAGCGATGAGGCCAGCGGAAAACGTCCTTCCGACTTCGTCGCACTTATCTTCGTAGCTGGGACATCGACGGTCAGAACGCCGCTCCGACTATTACGGCGGGGCGTAGATAAACCAGAAGAGGTAGCCACTAATATTAATATTATTATTATAGCTTAAAGTCCCCGTCACGTAGCTAGTGGTATCTTGCCGCCTTAAATGGACGCTACTGGAATATGACACGTGATCTCAGTGAGCAGTCTCCTCTGGTTGAAATATTACTGTGCAGCCTCAACGCCGCACCACAGCCTCAGCGCCCAGTAGCTGAACTACCTGGGGCTTGTCGAAGATACCGATGTTCCCGCTGCCTGAAGCTGTCCCTCATACCGCACTAGTACACTCTCTATAACTCAGCCTATCGTAGTCGACATTGATCATGTTGCCCTGATTCGAACACTGGCAGTGTCTTGAATGCTTCCTCGGTCCGGCAACCTAGGCCTCCCGCCCAACATGAGCACCAGTCTGACCTGACTTATTCTCCTTGAGTGCAGCATTGTCAGTCGGCAATGGCTTTGCCTGTGTGAGACATACAGTCAAACTTGCCTGATGGTGCGGGAACTCAAACAGCGACAACTAGGGCTTCCGGGGAAATTACTCCCGCAGGTGAAAGCGTACCAGCCTTTACTCAGCCTTGAGACTCAGCCTTGAGACTCAGCCTTGAGATTCAGCCTTGCCGGAATAATTGTTTGTCCGCCCATCGGCAAGGCGCCACAAGCGAGCCCTTACAACCTGGGGACAAGCGAGGATCATGCCAATTCTGCTTGAATCTGCAGGGTCTACAATGCCGCCCAATGATCATGCCCGGGCATCGCAACAACTGTAAAGCCAAATCCTCCTCATCTTGCCGGCTGTGTGAGATCGTGTCTTGATTCAATCCACCGAGTCGCAAAGATCGCACGTGGCCGATACGCTCGATCTCGACCGCGCATCGAACTGTCCTTGACTTCGCCTTCACCTGCGCACGTCCCTTCCCACGCATTCCCACTTCACCAGTGAATCATCGCTCCGCACCCGCGACCCTCCTCCGCCGTGCATCGCGCTAGAACTACCCGTCCCTATCTGGTGTCTCTGCGACTAGATGACGAAATCAATTCATCCTGTCTGGCCTCGGCCTTGTCGATAGCGATTCCCAAACCCCATCGATCCCACGACAGAAGAGCGCAAACACTTTCGGCTGGACAGTCATCCGTCTCATCACTGTCGCAGTGGACTGAGGCTGTTGCACATTGCCCCCGCAGTGCACGCCAACAGTATCCGGCTACAGACGACTGGTCCCGGTCGTGGAAACAGTGGCCGCGATGTCCTCGGATTCACGACATCCTCGAAAGAGCCTCGAATTCCTTGACGATGGCAGGCCCCGGTTTCACGGCTGCTCAAGAATCACCGAGTATGAATACATGGGCAAACTCGGCGAGGGTACTTTTGGCGAAGTGTCCAAGGCCAAATCCAAGAGAACAGGGCAGATTGTGGCGCTGAAAAAGATCTTGATGCACAACGAGAAGGATGGCTTCCCCATAACCGCACTGCGGGAGATCAAATTGCTGAAGCAACTCGACCACATCAATGTCTTGAAGCTGTCAGAGATGGCCGTCGAGCGACCGAAGAATGCGAGCAAGAAAACCAGCATGTTCATGGTGACGCCGTACATGGACCACGATCTTTCGGGGCTCCTGGAAAACCCGGACGTCAATTTTACCACGCCACAGATCAAGTGCTACATGAAACAACTCCTCGAAGGCTGCGCATATCTCCACGAGAACAAAATCCTACACCGAGATATGAAGACCGCCAACTTGCTCATCAACAATCGAGGAATTCTCCAGATTGCAGATTTCGGGCTGGCGCGTCCTTATGACGACGAGCCTCCCAAACCGGGTCAAGGAGGTGGAGAAGCCACCAGAGAGTACACTACCTTGGTTGTGACACGATGGTATCGACCACCAGAACTACTCCTCCAGCTGCGCAAGTACACCACTGCGATCGACATGTGGGGAGTTGGTTGCGTCTTTGGCGAAATGTTCAAGCACAAGCCCATTTTGACTGGAGACAGTGATCTGAACCAGGCCAGGTTGATCTTTGAGCTGCTGGGATCCCCTACAGAAGAGAATATGCCTGGTTGGCGCGAGCTTCCGGGCGCAGAGGCGATCCTGGAGTTCGAGCAAATGCCGTCTACACTCAGTCGTCAATTCCGCGACCTCGAGCCTTTAGCCCTTTCATTATTGAGCGAGCTTTTGAAGCTGGATTGGCGAAAACGAATCAACGCTATCGACGCCCTCAAACATCCTTACTTTCACTCTGCACCCTACCCAGCGAAACCTGAAGACTTACCCTCTTTTGAAGAGTCGCACGAACTGGATCGAAAGAAGTTCAGAGATCAGCGAACTAAACGACCGCCTGCACCGGCTGGTGGATCCGTAGGTATCGGCCCGCAGGGAGAATGGGGTATCAGTGGGAGGCCACTTCCACCATATGAAGGAATGCGTGGCGGCGGTCCTCCTCATGGTGCTCGCATACCCGGTGGCAGACCTCCATACGTAAACGGCCACAACAGTCAATCCTACAACAGACGACCACCCGGCCCGCCTTCCCAGAATGGTGCGTATGGTGGTGGGGGTGACTATCGAGGTGCGAATCCCTATCCACCTCATCGAGACATGCCACCATATGACCAAGGTCATCGTCCTTCTTATGATGAGTCGTATCAGCGACGACCCCCTGGCGACCATCCACTACCACCACGACTGCCACCTGCAGAGGTCGACTCGTATCGCCACGGCCCGCCAGATGGTCACCCTTATCGTGAGGATGGGCGCGGCCCACCTCCACCAAGATCTCGAGCTCCCCCAACTGCTAGTGGCGGCGCTGGTCCTGCAGGCGGTAGCAACCGTGACACATATATCCCTCCATACTCGAGTGCCGACCCTCATGCGGCCCCGCCTAAGCATCGACGCAGGGATGATCGGCCAGCGTACCGGGATGGACCCCCTGACTATGGCGAACCATTACGCTATGAGGAGCCTGGTGCGAGAGAAGCACCAGACAGGGACCGGGACCGAGAGCGAAGACCACGGAGTCGAAGTCCATTACGGGATTGGGAACGGGATATGCACGGAAACCGGGATAGGAGAGACAGGGACCGAGAAATGGGAAGAGACTACAGAGAACGAGACAGAGACAGAGGTGGTTATGGCGGACAAGATCCGTATCGTCGATAGGAACGACGAGGCTTCGGATATGGTGGTACAGCCATCGGCAACGGGAGGAAACACACACTCGCCGATTACTACAGGTTCCTACAAAGCGGTGTGGTGCAATACCAACCTCCACCATGGAAATGATGGTATTGGCTCGAATGGCTTAGGATGATGACGAGGATGGGGACGAAGGATGCGTTCTTGCATTTGCATAGCGAACGGGGCGCGATGGGATCGATTAAAACAGGGCAAGGCAAGCACAGCTGCACGATTATAGGGCGCAGCATTAGTCTCTGCCCTTCACCGCATGGCGTTCAATTGGTTGATGAAGGGCAGGGCAACACCGGGCTGATGCGAATCTCCAAAGCTGGGGGTCGGAAAAAGCAAACAACGATGATACCCCCGAGGGACTTTATGTCACCTTTCCAGTTGAAAGATTTGCTTGTGGGAAGGATAAAGAATGGGGGCTTTTGTCTTTCTTTCTATTAATGCCGGAAATATATACTTAGCTATAGCATTGAAGATCAAGAAAAGTTTTCGACATGATCGTCTCCTCGATAGATGCTACTGTAATGCCTTTGTGCTCCGAACCTAGCAGTCATTTATGCCACCGGACAAGAACCAGGCGCATATCACCCAGGGAACATGAACATGGACATGGCCATTGAACATGGGCCCCCATATATTCTACGCATAGATGGACAGATGGACGGGGTGATGATTGGGTAGAGATTTCATTTCATTTTCTTTCATTCAAATCGATCTCACGTCAAGCCCGCGAACAAGTCGTCGATGACGTCCTTCCCTTTTCCTTTTCCTTTGCCCTTGGTGTTGCTTCGTTTAGGCTGGCTTCTGTTCCTCGTGTTCTCCTTCCCGGCACCGGTCTGCGCAGTAGTTGTGGTCTGCTTCTGCTTCTGCTGGTCTTTGGACACGGTGGCTGTTCCCGTCGCGTCAAGTCCGGACGGCGGAGCCGGTGGATGGAGAGGAGGAGGGATACCAGCGGAGTCTTGGGATGTAGTTGCGGTGGCAGGATTCTTTTGGGAAATGGCTAGTGAAGCTGCTGCGGAAGCCGAGGGCGAAGGTGCTCTGGATTTCTCGGCCGCTGGGGAGGGATCCTCTCGCCTTCGTTCCTTCGTGATTTCGACCGGCTTGTACTTTCCAGCAACGCCATCCGTCGCAGTACCAGCTGCCGCTGCCTGGTCTCTCCTCCCGCCAAGGGTTGGATTTCGGACCGTAGCTCTATCAGGCCTTGTGCGGGTAGTGGGTTTGCTCAGCTCCTGTTCCTGCTTGGGGCCACTTCGCTTTCTCTCGACCACTTCTCCCAGGTCGTCACTTTCATACGTTCTCTCCACGACCTCACCGCTCTGCGAGCCCGTAACTCTGATATTCTTCGCCGTGAGACTTCGTGGCTTGGCAGCAGTTGCTGTGTCGGATTGGCCCCCTCTGGTTGCCGTAGTCACCGTCCTTCCCTGCTCGACTTCCTCTTGTTGGCTTGGGGTCGGGAGACCCACACTGCTCACCAGGTCGGCAAGGAGCCCTACGAGCACACTTCCCAGGTGTGCGAATTGAGTATCACTCACGAGTCCGGAAAAGCCGAGGTAAGCCTTCGGCACCAACACCTGACGAGTCCAGTCGACCCAGACGTCTTTCTCTCTGCGGATTTGTGTTTCGCGCTCGAACCTTTCCCTCGCGTCTTTGGCGTCCACGCCGCCGTGCCCAATCAGACCTCGCAGAGTGCGTTCCTCTTGCTCGATGAGGACCAGTCGTGAGACAGCCTTCCTCAACATGGACAGCGATTTCCACCACGGTTGCGTCCGATGCTGGTTCTTGTTGCGGATCCAGATTTTGTGAAGAACGGATTTCGCGAACGATAGGGTGAACTTGCCCTCCCCATCTGACGTTCCTTGAGGAGTGGAGAGACCAGAGTCGGGTTTTGGCCGGCCAGTCAGTCGACGGAGATCTCGCGGCGGGTGAGGACCAAGGCGTCTGCCTCCCGAGGCCCGTCTTTTCTCTTTCGTTCGCACTCGGCCATGAGCCTGAGGCTGGCTTGCTGGCTGTGTGTGTGCCATTTTCCGCCGCTTTGAGCTCCGCGCGTCTGCATCAGCCGTTGAACCGGAGCGAGCGTTCGTGTCCTGGCGTGGGCCCATCTTGTCGGCTCCCCAACTCGCCCAGGACCAATGGGATGGAAACAGTGCACTCTAAAGTGGCAGCATGTTTGGTTCATATCATCTCACTCCGCATATTTGATTCGAGAGCCTGATAATAGCAGCTCTGACTATTCTGGATGGGGGTGAAAGAGGGGATGAAAATGCAAGGCTTAGAGTAGTTATTTTGGCATGCGGCCTAGTATAAAAACGGTTAGTTAATATTCTGGAACTAGTACTTAAATGGAAAGGCCCATATTGGCACTGCGCCTTTCCCGTTTTGTGCATCATCTTCTTTCTACCGCTTCTTCCTCAACCGCCGTCCAGCATACCATCATTCACCACCTATCCTCGAGTAACAGCCAGCCATGAGATGCCACTCTGCGGTGTAGCAGCAGCATCAAAGGTCTCTCTAGGGAGCCCGAATGCCGTTCACGAAAAAGCTGAGAGATCGCGCTGCGACCGTTACTTGTCTCAGCCGTCAGCTTACCTACACTGCCCGACTCTCCGACTTGAGGAGGAGTGAGCAGATTGCGCTAGGGTGTCGAGCAGATTCGCGATTCTACTTCCAGGTACCAGGCCCCAGGAACCTAAGCTCGATACGCTGTGGAACTGCTAGTGGAGGCCTGTGAGATCTCGGATCCCTGTATCCGCCTGTCAGATATGCGCTTGCCGATGTTTCTTTTTGAGGCAGAGGCCTCCATCTACCGAGGGCACTACATCCTTCTCGCTATCGACCGAGGCTCATACGCGCCGGCCTAGCAGGGAGCCCCGTCCTTTTGTTGAGGACCGATGCCCCGATCATAATCATTTGCTCGGCTTGCTAAATCCGTCCGTGAGCAAGGTCGGGGCCTCCGCACCGTCGCCTCAGCCGGGCTCAGGTCCACTATGTACATTCCTGGGCCTCTCTTTCATACGCAGAAGCCGGACGGGTGGAGCATGTCTCGCAAAGGCAATTGCAAATCCAACCCCGGTGGGTGGTCGGAGTAGTTGCCCACACATCCCGCATGAGACATTGCCCAATGCGGAGAATTTGCTTGCACATGTGAGTCGGAGCAGTGTGGACTGACTTGAGCCATAGCATCAGGCCTGTGCCAAGGTACTCTTCTGACAATATGACTTCCCAAATTAAATTATACGAACACCAGCCTCCACCAAACGCCTTTCTCCCGCTAAAGGCCGTTTCAGGTCTATTCTCAATCCCTCAGCCTTCTTGCTTATGTTCGCCGAATCAGACACAAGGTGACTCCTGGATTTGTTCCGTGTGTAGATATATTGCCATGGCCCATCTTCGCCATTTTGGTCTTCTTCTCGCCTCCATCCAAACACTCCGCTTCCAGCCTTCTGACTGCCCCCCTGCACGGAAGAAACAGCAAAACAGCATTCCTGTCAACATGCGGAGAACCAATAACATAGGAGTCTTGGCTCTAGGCCTGGCTTCCTCCATTCGAGGCATCTCAGCAGGCCTCACATGGCCATCCGCCTATGACGAGATCGAAGACATCATGTTCCTGAACAACGGCTACAACGCCAGAGAATTCCCTATCCTCTTGCAACCCTGCACTATCGTCAAGGAGCCAGGCCACTCAATCGCTGCTGGCCTCATCCGCACAGCCTTTCACGACATGGCTCCTCATGATGCTTCAACGGGGGTGGGAGGTGTTGATGCTTCGATCGGGTTTGAATTGGACTCGAGCATCTACCCAACCAACACTGGCATTGCGTTCAACAATACCATGCACTTTTATTCTCAGTTCTTCAACAGCCGAGCCCCTATGGCTGATTTGGTCAACGTCGGACTCTATCAGGCCGTGAGAGCGTGTGGTGGTCCGATTGTGCCCGTGCGGGCTGGTCGTGTGGATGCTACAGGTCCTGGCCCCGTCGGTGTGCCTCAGCCTACCGACCCAATGCCGCAGATGATTGGGGAATTCAGACGCATGGGCTTCAGCCCCGAGGAGATGGTCGCAATGGTTGCTTGTGGGCACAGCATTGGCGGTGTTCATTCTGCTGAGCACCCTGACATTGTCCCTCCGTACAGCACGCCGCTCGGTGTTCAGGATCTGGACTCCACCAACGCTACCTTCGACAACGCCGTCGTCACCGAATATCTCGACGGCACAACTAAAAACCCTCTCGTCGTTGGCGCTAACCCCGCCGCTTACTCTGACGGACGCATCTTCGGTTTGAACAACCGCCGGACGGTATCTGCCTTGGCCGATCCCAACGCCTACGCCGGCGCCTGCTCTGGAATTCTTGCGAAAATGGTCAACACTGTCCCAGCCGGTGTGCAGTTGTCCGATGTCATTGCTCCTTATGAGCTCAAGCCCGCGAGCCTTCAGCTCAACGTAGCTGCCGATGGACAAAACCTCCAGTTCACTGGGGAGCTCCGCATTCACACCAACGGCTTGCCGTCTTCCTCCATCTCTAGTGTTCAGCTTGTCTACAAGGACAGGACTGGAGCGGCAAATGATGCATACACAATTGCTGCTTCTGCCCTGGGCGATGCCAACGGTTTTGATGATACGTTCACGGTATGTTTAGCCCGCTGCATCCCAGCATCGGTGATACTAACAGGTCTCCTAGTTCTACGGTTTCGAAGGCACAATCCCGGCCCAGACCTCGATTTCATCTTTCACTGTTGTTGTCAGTCTTACCAGCGGCTCAACCCAGACTTTCGACAACAACGGACAAGGCTACCCAGTCTCGGACTCGATATTCGCACAAACCTCGTACTCTTCTCTCGCTGCGACGGACGGCTCCGGTAACCAGCAGTTGACCGTCTTCGCTGCTGCCCGCAATGGCGAAACCTACGACCCAGTCACCCTCTCGGTCGATCTCATCAACCCAATCACATATAACAACCTGCCCACAGTCAGCAGTGTTCCTACGCCCATGACAAGTGTGTGCGCAGGCCAGTACTACACATTCTATTCTGCCACTTTCGGAGTGCCTGCTGCTGGTGCAAACTTCACCAAATACGACGTGACCGCGAGCTCCAATGGGGCAACGGTGTCAGACAGTTTCAAGAGCCTTGGTGGCCTTCCACTCACGGCCAGTGCTGCGCCGTCATGTGGCGCTGCAAAGCGAGCCGTCAACTTTAACGCATGAAGCTGTGTTGGCATGAGAAGGGAGTTGCAGGATGATTAATACCCGAACTCATGAGTATTGTATTATATGGCATCGGTTAGGAGGATCCACAGTCTAGAAGGAACTCCCAGGGAACTTGGATGAGGAGCATTGGGAGGCGCATGTCCATTTCATTTTGTCCGTTCGTCCCATTTGTGTTGCATGAGTGCATTTTGCACGCGAAGGATATACCACAGAGCGATGTCAACGAATCTATTTAGCAGGCTTATATTATTACGAGAGTCACTTGGAGGCCCTCCTCGAGAATGTTCACACAAAGTCTTGTCAGATATCTCGCGGCATTCATTCTCAGCCTCAGACCATCTAAGCATTTGCATTCAGTAGCAAGCAATCAGAAGCTTCGGGCGCAAGCTTGATGCCAAGCCCCGCCAAGCCCTTGGCACGGGCGCCGCGCCGCTTCCTCCTCCTCGGGCGGCTGGCGCTTTTCCCACTTCAACCACCGTGAAGGGAGTAGCTTTCTACTTCCTCCCGCCCTCGGAATCTGGCCCCTCCCCGTGACGGCTTGGGAGTGGACGACTGGAGAAACACCATCCTTTCCCTCGCTAAAAAGAACCACGAGGTCATGAAGAGCGGCAGCCTCACCAATTTCTACCCCACCCATCTGTGCGGACATGGCACTTGCACAGCCGTCGGCCAAGGAGCTTAGGGCGCGGTCAGCTGTTAGAGACGTGCCACGAGGAGAGTCGTTTCTGAGGCTCGAGCATGCAAAGCCAATGAGAAGGATGCTTGACTCGTGTATGCACGATTGTTCAGCCCTCAGCCTCACGACCGCTTGAACTGCAACGAGCTTTCGCGGCCTTTTGCTCCGCCTTGAGGCGTTTTATTTTCTCATGAAGTGCATACGGTAAATATATAGTTGCGAGGGCCCTCGGGACCTTGTTGCTGGGGTTTTGTTTTTCCCAGTGATCGCAAACATGTATCTTTTGGTCTTCTTCTGGCTGCTAAGTGTGGCCTCAGCCTTACCGTCCCTACAAGGGCGAGATGCTCCATCTTATGTTGCGCTGCCTTTGACGAGGAAACGATCCGTCAGTAGCGCAGGGCACAGTCGACGAGCCTTCAGCTCTTCGCTCTCGCACAAGAACCTGGCGCACTATACCATTGATGTCAACGTCGGGACTCCTCCCCAGGCCCTGAGCCTGGTCTTGGACACGGGGAGCAGTGACATCTGGGCGTACAGTCCGGATGCGAAATCGTCTTGCCCGAAGTGTACTTCGACATATTGTACATTCCTCCTCCTCCCTTTTTTGGCCATGATAGTCGGCGTTTAACTTGGTGCAGATGATCCCACAAAGTCCTCGACAGCTGAGAGCCGCGACGACATCGGCATCTTCAACATCAGCTACGTCTCCGAGAACTCTGCGGTGCTTGGCTACTACGTGGGCGACACCCTCAAAACGGGCGGCGTCTCTGCCAACGTTATCCTCGGTGTTGCCACAGAGGCGCATGCCGGCGACCCCCCTGGCGGTATCATGGGCATCTCCTTTTCCGCCAACGAAGCGAGCGTCTTCCAAAGCGGTATCAAGTATCCGGGCTACATCGACAGCCTCTACAAGCAAGGCATCATCGCCGTGCGTGGCTATAGCATCTTCCTCAATGATCTCAGTAGGTCGAGCGTCTTTGTTCGTTTCACGACCCGCACACCCTCCTAACACACGTCCCAGCTTCCACCGACACAACTCCCGGCACGATCATCTTTGGCGGATACGACAAGAGCAAGTGGACGGGCGACCTGGTCCCGTTCGCCCTCGTGGAGCCCTCGCCGGAAGGAGCGATTGAGCTGGACATTGGAGGGCCGGTGATGGCCTTCGTCGTCGGCGGCGAGACCTATGACGTGCCCAACAACCAAGCATACACTGTGCTTCTCGACACGGGCACCACGTTCACCTACCTGCCCAAGTCGCAGTTCGCCGTGATCGCGGGCGCGCTGGGTGCGGAACTGTACGACGAGGAGAGCGGCGATTACGTCGTCTCGTGCGACTACGCCTCTGACCCGGGAGGCATTGGCTTCGAGTTCTCCGGGCCCGGGGGCGACGTCGTGATCCCCGTACCCTGGCCCGAGCTGATCCTCCCGGACTCGGGCTTGCCCGACGGGGTGTGTTGGTTCGGCCTGGGCCCGAACCCGGACGGCGAGGGCTTCTACACGCTGGGCGACACGTTCCTGCGCTCCACGTACGTGCTGTTCAACTACGACACGTTGACGGTGGGCCTGGCGCAGGCGAGCTACGACAACAGCTGCAGCGACTGCGTCCTGCCTTTGAAACCGTCCTAAGGTCTGGCTGGGACACACGAATGTCGGTTTGCCAACGTTGCTGTTGTCTTGGCCGAGCATGCAACTGGTACACATAGACAGTACCCTCCCAATTCATCCGAATCTATATGTGTGTGTATGTAGTAGTGTATGGAAAGGCAATTAGACCTTGATGCAATGGCTCCCTTTTCAAGCATTCCCAACCCCAGTCCTCAAACCCTTGTCCAACCCCGGTCCCAACTATGAATTAGAGAATGACTTCAATTTTCCGAGTCGGCATGATCAAGGCCCCGAGCCACGCGTGCATGACGATGATAATCATACCCCATCCCTCCCTCCCTCAGCCCCCACCCCGATCACCAGCACAGAGATGTGCCAAAACACGACAAGCCGAACCAACAAAGTTTCAAGCGCGGAGTAATTATACGCACCAGTACGCTCACCCCCGCGAGCGTGCATGTGGCGTGCCTTACGGTAGGTGCATACTTGTACGTACATTGCTACCCTAGGCGCGAAAGAGGGAAATTCGGCTCAGCCGAGTTTCCCGTTTTGGTCTATGGCCGACAGTATTAATGACCGGGGGGCTTATGTCCGAGATGCATCCACATGGCATGCCATGCCATGCCATGGATGGACAGAAGAGCCCTCCAATTTTTCCAGGGTGGGTGTGTCTATGTATCTGTGTGTGTATGTCACAGTATGTGTAACGGGTATAAGATGCAGGCCTCGCCTCGAAGGCTTCCTCGTATTGACCAGAGCAGAGAAACCACAGGAAGTCAGCACAGTCAAGGCTTTGGCGAGAGCAACAGACTGCATCGAGGACGCGAGACAGTGCACACAGTTGAGGAAACAATATCAGCCCAGTGAGCCACAAAAAAAAGGCATCGGCCATAGAGTCTCTCGGCAGCAGTCCGAGGACGGAACTCTCTAGCGACAACCTCAGTCAATACGACGGCAATGGCGCACAGCACCACCGTCCTGATCACAGGCGCAAACACGGGCTTGGGTCTTGAAACCGTCAGATCTCTCCTCCAGTCCGCCAACAAGACATACACCATCCTCCTAGGCGGGCGGAGTTTGGAGAAAGCCACCATTGCAGCGAAGCAGGTCAAAGGGGAAGTTCCCCAGAGTCAAAGCGAGGTGGTCCCAGTGCAGATAGACGTCGAGGACGATCAGTCTATCAAGAACCTGTTCGAGAGTCTGGAGAAGGACTACGGAAGGTTGGATGTGCTGGTCAACAATGCCGGTAAGGATTCTGGCCCCATTGTAATCGAGTCGACACGATTTGTTCGCGCACAAACCCCTCGAATCCTCGTCGAACAGACAACGTGCTGACCGTGTTGCTTCTTCTTTACGCCTCGATAGGTAGTCAATTCGACCTAAAACTATCCTCCGGCGAACTCACCATGCGCCAGGTGTGGAACAAATCTTGGGACGTCAACGTGACAGGCACGTACGTCCTCACGTACACCCTTATCCCGCTCTTGCTGAAGTCTTCCGACCCTCGATTGCTGTTCATCACAAGCGGTACGTCCACACTCGGGGAGAGCACAAATCCGGCCGTGATTGTCAATCACTCGCCTGCGAACAAAGGCTGGCCGAAAGCCGGCGGTGGCTTCGCGGGGGTAGGAATTCCCGCGTACAGGTCGAGCAAGACTGGGCTGAACATGATGATGCGCGAGTGGGTCAGGGTGTTGAAGGAGGACAATGTCAAGGTATGGTGTGTGAGCCCGGGTATGTTGGCAACGGGGCTTGGGCTGGGCAACCCAGAGCGATTGAAGCTGCTGGGTGCCTTGGATCCGAGCATCGGAGCAGGCGTGGTCAAAGATGTGGTCGAGGGAAAGAGAGACGAAGACGTCGGATCTGTGGTGAGGAGAGATGGGATCCAGCCCTGGTGATGCTCGAAAGGGGGGGGAGCGAGTCAACTTTGCGCCTTGCAAAGAGTCTAACTATGCATCCAGCTCCGAGCGAGACGGCTGGTTGCATTTCTCACCCGGTTCCGAACTCGCCCGGATATGCTGGTGGGCCGTCTCGACCCAAGATATTCGACTCAAATGTCATCCAATCCATACTCTCGAAATCATTGCCCATAAAATTGAAGGGATCAAGAAGTCCGAAAGACAGTTCTCGGTCGCCTGAAGGATAGTACTGGTTTTCCTGAGATTGTAACAAGGACGGCGCTAGGTCAAGATCCTGTGAAATGTGAGCATTGTTTGACTGGTTTATGTGCTGTGAGAAAGCCTTGTTTGTGTCCGCCATGTTTGGAGATTTCGAGCCATCCAGCACAAGACGGATGGCAATTGAAACCCGTACAGCATCCTTGCTCTGGCTGGACTTCTCGATACATATGACAACGGCCTGCTCGAGGAGGGCAACGGCCTTCGCCTCTGAGGCAGCGTCGATGGACGTTGGTATACCTTTTGGGAGACTTTGGCGCCGAATGTGGACAATCAGACAGAGCACCATAACACCAAGCAGAAAATCGTTCATAGTAAAGTTGGTCAACATCCATCGCTCAGCGTGCAAGAGGCCGCCAGGAGCCATCTCTTTGTACATGGCGATGAACTGGCCGACGAGACGTGTACCAGCATTCACACATGATCGTGTGCTTGACAAGTTGCCGCGGGCCATATATCGCCGATGGAGGACCAAGAGACTCTTCAGATAAATGAAATTTATGTAGAGTCTTGTCATGATGACAAATGGGGAGTCCGCAATCGACTCTGATAGAGGCCGCGTCCTTAGAATTTCAGGCGTGGTCTCGTACATCCATTGGATTTCTTGATCGAGTTGAAGGACCTCCGATTCTGTCTTCTCCTTAAACGAAAGAACATCCTGATATACCTTTCCGAATCCGGCCATTTGTCTGTCCTTGACTATAAACCACAGGAGCCTTGTCATTTCGTTCTCGGGGCGGGAAGGGGGGAGTGCGCTGGAGTCTTCGTCGAAGTCCGAGTCCATGAGATTTCTCGGTGACTTGGTGTCACAATTCTCTAAGCAGATGGTGCTTGGTAGGCCGAGTTGAAATGAGATCATGAGGTCCATCTGCTTACACGTGGACCAAAACCGCCGGCGCATTTCCCCCTCAAACACGGTGAAAGAGCCAAAAGAGTCAGGATCCCGGTGATAGCCCATCTCATAGGCCATTCGCACAACCATTCCAAGAATTGCTCCGGCTTCGCGGGAGGGGTCGAGACTTCTGAGATTTTTGAATTGGGCATATAGCCCAAGTGCCTCAACCGCCAGCGGTTGCAGTCGGTAGTATTCTCCAAGTACTAGACATTGCCCGGCGGCTGTGTGAAAATTGGAGCTGGCAGTGGTCATCGGTTCATCCGACAAAGAACCCCCATGCGCGCCTTTAATTGCAGTAGCTATGCTGCAGACTGAGAACAACATGGAAAGCCAAAGTGGATTGACACTCGTCATCTCGCCCCAGAATTCTCGATACTGGCGCTGGAAATGATAGGCATGAATGAATGGGACAATGAAAGTTTCACCCTGCAAGTAGATGGCAAGAAGCCGATCCACCTCATGCCTGGGAGGAAGATATTGAGATAGGATCTGTGCTGAAGAATAGTTGCCAGAGAATCCAAATATCAGCTCCTGGCAGCCGCTTGGAGTGCCACAGGTTGCGGACAGAATGTTATCATTATCCCCTTGTCGACCAGGAGCTGTGCCTGCCAGGGCAGCCTTCAGCTCCTGTATATCCTCCAGTATGGCTGACCAATGCGTCGAGCCGACATATGTTGCAGAGTTGGGCTCCTCATGATGCCCACCAGATGCATCACCGAAGGGCGCAACGGGCGGTGGCAACACCGGTTTTACAGGTGCGGTGTGCCTACTAGCACGCGCTGATGCTTGATTCTCCATCAGTTGGCTGACCAGCGACTCCAAATGTAACAGTCTGTCTTCGGCGACTGAGTGACGATTGCTATCCGTGTTTCCGCCACGCGTGCTACTGGAGAGCCGCGGGTAGTTGCAGAGGACATTGTCGCCTCGTTTAACACAGCTTCCGCAGGGCTGATTGCGATCACATTTCAATTTGGCCTGTTTGCATGGAGTGCACACGTACGACTCTCGGGGCTTCCTGATGACTTTGGCTCTTGTAGAGTCCTGCACGTTGTTCTTTGTCACGGAGCGGAATCTCCCCGTCAAGCCGGTGAAGTCAGACATTTTTGCGAGGCTCGGGCCAGGGACATCCCTCTCCATCGACAAAGACGGTGTCCTCTTGCGAAATGACGTTTGCTGGATGGATGGAAACTGGGCGTCTGCTGAACGATAGAAACTGGGCGTCTGCTGGATCGATGGAAATTGGACGTCTCTCATGAGCAAGAAGCCGCATGCGATATGATGACGGCTGGGCCGGGGTCGGCCGTCGTTGAGGACCGCGGCTTCGCGATTGTACTGCGGAACGTATCAGGATCAAGGCAGGGCCGGCATCGATGGCTCGATGGCGAATTCACGGCGTGTTGTGAAGGGCTTGTGGGCGCTCAGAAAAACAGGCCGTCGTCGGCGTCAGTTTCAGGAAAAATTGACTGCGGCACGCGCCCGCGCCCTAAACCAACTGTGTCGCCGGGGCGATTTACAACATCAACGACAAGCAAGGACTTGAACCGGAAGAGTGGATTGAATCCATTTTGATTGAGTAAGCTAATGGATCACTATGAGTGATCAGTACACGCTGTGTTGATGGTACATGATTTGTCTTCAGAAAAGTCCAAGCTCCATCCCATCTCACCGCCGCACATGATTTCATAGAAGACCCTGCTCACATTTTTTTTTCTGAAGAAAAGGCAAAGAGAAAAGGAAAACTTGCAAGTATTAGGGGATCGCCTGTGTAATAACACAGGGGGGGACAAGGGGCAAAGATAATGATGACTCGATGACAGGGGAAGTTGTCCAGCGCGCTTTTTCCTTGCATGTCCAGGTTGAGACCAACTTGATCTCAAAAGACCAAGTGTCTCAATCCATTCCGTAAGTCAAGCAGGAAGTTCATCCAAGCCGACAGGCAAGAAGCGGCCCTCCAGACCACAGGTATTGATCACCACCAACAGTCCATGATGCCAACATGGTGTGACCTGAAACATCGAAAGACGTCCAGCGCCACCATCATGTTTTGTGTTAATAACGTGGAAGATGAATATTGCCCATGTGTTCAAGCGCAGGATCTTGTAGGCGATAGCGAGGTGTAACGCCCAACTCGTTCTCAGCACCAGGGGTGCCTCGGTCGAATTGCGAGCGGCGACGACGTTGTTCCTCACGATAGACCTGGCCTTGTCTAGGAGCGAAAAGTCCTATAGAGAGCAATAGTCAGTATGCTGAGGTCGTAGACGAGATAAGAATAAGTATGCTCACGGAGAGTTGCGGCAGGGGCGACCGGCAAACGGGTCATAAGGACTGCGGGTGTCAATCACGAAGGGAAGTCGAGGGACTGTCGGAGGTGCGTTGTTTGCGAAAGCCTTGGGTGCAGTCTTCACATTGGGCTTGTTGGCACGAGCAACAGGCAAGTAGACACCGTCGCGGCGAGTCTCATCAACGTTGAATCTTCCGGTGCGACGCAAGAAATGGCGACGACGAAAGGCAGCAGCACCACGGGGTGGCATGGGGTACCAGCCGCGATTAAAACGAAGTGGGAGGTACAGACCAACATGCTCGGCATTCTCGACTGAACGACGCATCTTAGAGTGGTTGTCAGGGCCAGGAAACTTCTCCTCTTGACCAGCATTTGGAACGTTACCAGCGACGAAGAGCTAATGATGGTCAGCTGGGAGTCAAGGCACAGAAAGACTCAACTTACCTTGGGGCGAAAGGCAGGATGCTCGAGCATGACGGAAGAGTTGCGAAACTTCTGGACAAGACAATCCTTGCCTTGAATGGCTGCGCACAATTGTGAGCTCGTTCCGGTGATGACACGGAGAAGAAAAGACACTCACTGGCATAAGAGACCTCGGCAATCTTGTCTGAGGCAAAGCAGTTCCAGCGCTTACCGGCGCGAGCAAGGACGAACTAGAACCACAGAAGTGAGTAAGGGGAAGGAGAGGGGGGATGGTCAGATCACGAACAGGAATAATGGACTGAGCCTGGAAGAGAGTTAGCAGCAGCAATGATCTGGGGGTAAGGACGAACTGACATCGACGAAGTTGATGAAGGCATAGCCGACATTGCAGTTGTTTGCGAAATCTGGCAGTGGTTGTGAGCATCTGGAATGGTGAGAAGGACTTGAACTTACCAATGCGGAGGTACATGAAGTCGTAGCGGCCACGACTGGTGACATCAAGGAGATTCTTCAACATGGGTTGATCAACGCGATTTGGTATGTTACGGAGCATGATCTATTTGTAAATATGCTGTCAGTTGATATCATGAACGTTGATGGGGACAGAGACTCACAGTGGTGCGAACATCAAGTCCTGCCTGGATACGAGCGATGTCGACGGCGTTGTGGTTCATGGCCTGGTTGAGGCGACGACCATTGCGAAGACCATCACGCTGGATTGCATAAGCGATACGATCATAGTCAGGATCAAAGGGGACTCTCGAACGACCAGTGACAGAAAGTTGTTCGTGGTGATCCTCGTCGAACTGAGTCGGAACACGAACATCAGGCTGGAAAGCCGCGACATCCAGAACAGCACCCTAAAATATGTTAGTCTGGGGGAGTATATTAGAGGGAGACGACATACATGGATAATGGTTCCACGAACGACATCTCTGGCGACATCAACGAGGTTGGCATTGAAGAATTCCACATGAATCTCGCGGATGTGAGTCTGAGTGGGAGGTATGGTATGGAAAGCCTTGACATCACCACATTGGGCAAGGAGACGTTTGATTTCAGCAACAACCGGGGCTGCTTCAACTGCTGGGGCAGTGGCATGGCCGTTGTAGTAGATGCTGACGATGATTTGTCCTTCATGGTCGGTGACGAAGGATGGGTCTCCACCAGTATCAGACACGTATTTCTTTGCTCGAAGAGGAAAGATGTAGGAGGAGGGCATGATGGTTTTGGCGACTTCAATGGCTCTCTTTGCGTCGCGAAGATCAGCGCAGGACAACATGAAGAGGCCGCTCTGGATCGCGGTGGACTTGATATCTCTGATACTTGGCAAGCGTTCAGCCTGTTGATGTTAGTATAAGCGTGAACATGAAAGATGGTGGGATACTTACGGGGAAGTGGCGGGCGATGGTCTGAGAAGTGACTAGCTGTTGCACACCAGTGACAACGAAGGAACGAGAGACACCTTCATCAATGCTGAACTGGCCTTCAGTGATGCTGAAGTCATGGAGGTGGATGCCAGCCACGTTGTTGAATGGGGTTTGGTCAAGCTTGAGCAGACCGAAACCATAGTGACGGGCATTGGGATGCGCGGGAGGGGGCACAACAGAACGCGGAACTCCAGGAACATCGATTGGATAGTACGCGAACCTAGCAGGCATGCGAGTCTGCTGAGCTGTCAGTGCATCTAGTCCACACAATGTTGGTGCTGCAAAGTCTTACTGCGATGTTGTCTTGAGCACGGTCAATGTATCCAGCCTGGGTCTTGCCATCTTTCTTCATGAAGCCATTGGACAGTCTTGGAGTGAAGACTTCGGCAGTAGGAGAGAGTTGCTGGCCTTTGGCTGCAACCGGGGCAGTAAGGAAGACATCCTCTTCGGACTCGTCGCAGACACTGAAAACAGTCAGTGGGGTATCCAACGACGGTGATGAGAAAGAATGCCAACTGTTACACTTACCTGGCGTGCTTGGGCTTGGTAGAACGAAGCTTCAAGACAGGACGACCGAAGTCGGAGACACGACCCTTGGAACCGAAGTCGGCCTCAGGAGTGAATGCAGTCAGGTTGGTGGATGGAGTTCCATGATTGGTTGTCTCATCAGTAGAGTGAGGAGAGGAAGCCATGGCTGGACCACGTGGTGGAGACATGGCTGTACGGTGCTGGCAGTTAGCAGGTGGCTCAAGCACACTGAGACGGGGATGGGGAGAGTGATTCTGGTGGCGATTGAATTCGTGTGCAAAAACATCACGTTTTCAGTGGAGCCATCAAGAAGGGCAAGGTCATCGAAACCGATGCCATGGTTTCTGGTACGAAAACATGGCAAGGGCAGGAAGGTTGATGATGTGCGATTGGGATAATCGAACACGCTTCTTGGTTGAGAAGCGAGTCGAGGGCATTGGGCATTGGGCATTGGGCAGACTCACCAGAAGTGCAAATTTTGAGGTTAGGGAATGAGGTGACGCGCTGAAATCAATGAAGAGAGTGTGCTGTAGTAAGGAATGTGATGAGTGAGGACGAATACCAAGAAGATTCGAGGAATTGGATGGTGTAGAAGGAGTGTGAGGATGGTAAAGGAGCGTGAGAGAGGGTGGAAAGTGAGGTGAGTTGAGATGAGAAGAAAAGAGGGAGCCAATTTTTTCGTGGGAAGGAGCGGCTGGGAGACTGTTCATAACAATCCACAACGGGAATAGACCGCTTCAAACGACGACAAATACCTCGAATGACGGACTGAACAGTCGGCCGGGCGATAGAGCAATGGGGTGACAGCACGACCAAGTGAGAGTTGTCGACTTTCACCGGCGAGGGGGGTTTTCACATCGATTCCACGCTCCCAGCCGCACAGGCCGGTGCCTCGTCCACAGAATTTGTATGCGCGCTGACCATCCCACAGCCGCAACCTGCGCCAGCGAGTGTGTTCTGGACGTGGCCACAGTGAGCCCAAAACCTCCCCTGGACTCTCACTTCGCACCTTACTTTTCGACGACATCGTGAGCGGCTGGGTGTCTTCACCGAATTTGCCACCCGGGCATCGACGACACCATCATCATCCTCTTGGCTTTCACGGTCTCAGCAAGCTCTGTCATCAGCTCGGCAAGGGGCCTCATGCGCAGTGGTGATTCTCTTGATGGTTTGTCATTGAACCTGCCTTTGAGACCTGAGGACAGGCCACGAGCTTGTCCACCCCGTCACAGGCCATATCTCTGCATTGAGCTCTTTCATCATCATCATCTTCTTCTTCTTCTCCTTCATGTCTTCTTGCTCAGCCATTCCCCGTATCAAAGGGCCAGGTTCGTTGACATTATTATCAATGGGCAGGTGCAACGTTCTTCTCTCCACATCGTCCTTCGTTTTGCCCTGCATTCACACCTGACATTCTGCAGACATGTCTGCTCTTGAATTAGACGCCTGGAAGCTGCGCCTGGGCAGTGCGAGTGCCCCAATTCTCACAGCCTTTACAATTAACCTCTGCGACCCCCTGGATTTCTCAAGAGGAGGATCACAAGGATGACATTGGGACGACGTTGGGAAGAGAAGGAAACAGCGAAGTCGCGAAGTTGATCCAGGGTGGACAGCGAGGTGGCTTGGCCACCACAGCGCTAACGCTATATGGTTAGCGTTGTTGCTAACACCTCTGACACCTCGCTGTCACGGCAAGTCTGCCGCCTCCTGTTCTCCTGTTCCCGAGAGGAGGAATCACAGAATCTATCATATTCTCCTTTGCTGCCCACTGTCGCACACAGTGAACGTTGCTACAAGACGAATTGATTGCTATTTGCTCTGGTCCTCACAGCTTGCTTTGTTCCGCCGTCCTTTTCCCATGCTGCCGTAAGCCTAAGCACGTGTGATCTGACCGGCTGCGACGCGGATCAGAAATTCAGACATCGGGACTTGTCTACGCCGTGAACTGCCGCTTCTTCCAAAAGACAGAGTAGCACTTGCGACAATGCCGTCGCTAGTGCCATACAGAAATGACATGAACAATGTGCTTCAGCAGGTATGGGTGCCCACGCCATGCCATCGTGCAAATCTAGGCTGACACCGCTGCCTAGATTGTTACCTCTTCGTCAGAGGCAGACACGTTAGATCAACTGATTCCATACATCAAAGATTACAGCTACGGAAACAAGACTGCCCATCTGCTGAGCCAGTTGTCCGACCTTGCCGGGGAGCGAGAGACTGAGATTGAGCGCCAATGCAACACGAACCACCAGGAGTTTGTAAAGTCTGTCAATCAGCTGCTCCGGATCCGCGAAGGCACCGTCGCTCTCACCAACGAGATTCTCGAGCTGAATCAATCCATTCAAGCCAGCACTGAGCGCCTCGTAGATCAGAAGAAAGCCCTGGTCGAGTCCCGGGGCGTTAGGCAGAATATCGAAGACGCCCGCCACTCTCTGCAGGATTGCCTTGAAGTTCTTCGCCTGGCGAACCAGGTCCAGGAGCTCCGTGACCAAAAGAAACACTATGCTGCTCTCCGAGCACTGGACGAGTTGCAAAGCGTCCACCTCCAGAACGTCACGCAGTACGAGTTGAGCGAGCTCATCCAGAAATCGGTGCCGGCGACCCAGAAATCCATCGCTGAGGCCGTCATGGCCGACCTCAACACATGGCTATTCCGTGTCCGAGAGATGTCCCAATACCTAGGGGAGTTGTCCTTTTACCACACGGACCTTCGCAAGCAGCGGCTGCAGGAAAGATCCGAGAAGACTCCCTATCTTGCTAACTTCAAACTCAACTCTGCCATCGAGCTGGTGGCAGACGAACACGAGGAATTCGACCTGCTCAAAAGCGAAGACCTCGAGGTTGATTTCACGCCCTTGTTTGAGGCATTGCACATCCATCGCTCACTCGGTCAGATGGAGAAGTTCAAGACCGACTACGCCGCCAGTCGCCGCGCGCAACGAGACCTTCTGCTGCAGAATTCCATCTCCCTCGTCGACGAAGAGATGGGCGATCTCCACACTCTCTTGGAAGATATAGCAGGCTTCGCCATCATGGAACGTGCCACCATGAAAAAGGTCCCCGACCTGCGCTCGACCACCGAAGTTGAAGAGCTGTGGGACTCACTCTGCCAAACGGCCATCTCTTTGATGTCCAAGGCCCTCTCGGCCGTGGACAACGCCGAACACCTGCTGAAGATCAAAAACCTCATCTCCTTGTTCATCCAGACCATGAACCGTTTCAACTTCAACACCGCGGCCATGTCGAACTTTGTGCTGGTGCTGTTCGACAAGTACGCCGAGCTGCTCAAGCAACGGTTCAGCGAGGATTTTATCGAGATCGTCGGCACCGACGACTACATGCCGATGCCGATCCAAAACGCCGAGGAGTTCGAAAAAGTCGTCAATGTCTCCTGGTACACCCCGGACCGCCCCGTGCATGAAATGACGTTCCCGACCGTCTTCCCCTTCTCGCAGATGTACCCGCTCTGCTGCATCGACATCCGCAACTTCTTGAACCAATTCTACTTCTTCTCCGCGCAGGAGGACAAGGTGCCGTCACCCCTCACGGCGAAGATCGATTCCCAGCTCCTGACCTCGCTGGATGACCTCCTGACCACCAAGGTCTGCGCCAGCCTGGTGTCGAAACTCTCGTCGCAATACCTGGGCCAAATCGTGCAGATCCTGATCAACCTCTCCCATTTCACCACGGCCTGCCACGAACTCGAAACCCTGCTGGCCACGGCGCGCTCGTCGTCCTCTGCTGCCCTCGGCGGCGGAGGAGGCGTCGGCCCACCGGTCTCGCTCAAGGCCACGGCGCAGTTCAGCACGCACCAGAAGACGGCCGAGAACCGGATCTTCGAACTGGTCAACAGCAAGGTCAGCGACCTGATCGAGACGGCCGAGTATGACTGGCTCTCGCGCGACGCTCCCATCGAGCCGTCGAACTACATCCTCACCCTGACGCGCTACCTGTCGAACATCATCAACAGCGTGCTGCTCTCGCTGCCCTCGTCGCTGAAAGACCTCATGCTCTTCAACGCCATCTCGCACACCGCCTCCAGCATCCTCTCCCTGCCTCTGTCGCCCCAAGTGGACAGGATCACGACGGCGTGCATCGCGCAGATGGACATGGACATCCAGCACTTCCGATCCTACGTCGAGACGCTGCCCAACAACAGCATCCTGCTCGAGTCGCTGGACGAGCTGATCCAGACGGTCGCGCTGATGAGCACCGACCAACCCGACGAGTTCTACGACATCTCCCTCCGCAACAAGAAATACCGCAACGTCGACCCGCTCAAGGGCCCGCAGCTGCTGGAGAAGGTCGTGCACGTCGACATCAGGTCGCCCGTGTCTGCCAAGGCCGGCGGCGGACACGTCCACTTCGACGGCGACAACGGAAGAGATGGCGTGCACAGTCCCGGGCTGGCGCACAGCGGGAGCACCGGGTCGCGAGGGGGGAATACCTTTGCGGCGTTGCAGAACCGGTTCATGTCGCACGGCGGGCGCTGAACTACGAATCTCGGTTTCTGTCGGATCCGTGTTCCCTCTTCTCTGTTGTTCTTCGACGAGGCACGTTGGGCTTGTACTAAAACGGGATTCCTGCGGCGATGGACATGGTGCACAGTATACTCTATGTCTGTGTGTATACCTAGAGATGTATCTTCTTCATCGATCAGATTATAGTGCTGGATATCGTGCCATCTTGCCAATGTTTCCAAAGCTTTCTTTCTCTATTCTCGCCGCATAATACTCTGTGCAACAATCATACTCTTGAATCTGCGACATCTGGGCTGGTTTCCATTTTTCGGAGCAGGGACCGTCCGCATCCATGCACATCAGACAAGGGACTTTTAATTAGGTCGAGCCTCTATTCTGCCATCTTATAGGCTTCGCTGTCGTGCATCACGGCAGCTATGGGTGGGGATTTTTGTGAGACTAATGGAAGCATATAGAGCGATTCATCATGAGAGAGGCCCTGTTTCCTAGATTGCTGGTCGCGGTGGGGACCTATACGGGACGATGCTAGTCACGGACACCTCACGAGTCGGATTCTGACACATTGGGGCAGACAAATCAGAACAAGTATGCAGGAGGAGAGGACCAAATCTGAGGGACTGTGAACCAAAGAATTCCATTCTGCTGCGGATGCAGTCCATTAGACACCGTGTTGCGCTGGAGGCCATGGATTATTTATTCCGTCTTTCTGCCGTGCTCGGCGTTGTCCTTGGTGGTGAAATATTGCTGTCACCCTCGCTCGTGGTACCATCCCTTAAGGGGGAAAGCGTAATGGTCTTTGATTTGAATTCAAACAATTTCATCAAACGGTAGTGGTATCAATTTTGGTGCTGCCAAAGGTGGGGACTTGAAATCTTCTGGGACTGGTGATGGTGGTGGAGAATCAGATCTGATCCGGTTCTGGATCTGACACCTAGCCAGGGCCGTAACCTTGCTCGTTGACCTGCTGGTCTCTGCCTGCGGTGCCGGGCCTTGGACCTCCATATCCTTGGCTTTGTGGTCTTTGGCCTGGGAGATTCGAGTACATCTGTGGGGAAAAAGAGCTCCGAGTCAGCGTCTATTGCACAAAGCTCTCAGGAAGTAGGGGTACATGCCCATTGTCGACATAGATTGATGATTACGGAAGTCCACCTACCTGTTGAGCACCGGTGCCACCAAACTGTCCCTGGGCGTATGGATTGTACATATCGCCACCGGGGAACATTTGCGGAGGCTGACCATAGCCTTGACTGGGGTCTTGTTGCCCATCACCGCCCATATGACCCGGGTACATTTGGGGTCTGCCGTATTGGCTGTCGGGTGGCCCCATTGCTCCATGCTGCATGCCGTAGTCTGGAGGTGGCATTTGTTGTTGAGTTGGTTGTTGGGGGACTTGAGCGGCCGCAGCCTGGCCACTGGTGTTGGGCCGTTTCGAGCTTCCGTGCCCGGCGCTGTCTTCTCGTGGGACAATGTCGATGAGAAAGTCGAACATGTCGCTCTTGGCAAGGGCGGCAGCTATGTCGCTACGCTGGAGGGTCCTCCTCTTGTTGTCCTCTGCATGGATCCAGGCGCGCATGGTGAGTTCGGTGATGAATATGTCGCAGCCTTTTGCAAAGAGGATGGGAGCTTCAGCGGAGATCATCTTAACCTCCGGATCCGCTTTCATGACCTTTTTGATCCTTGCCAGTGGAAGTTGATGGATCTTGAAGTCGTGAGTGTCTGTTTCGAGATGGTTGATGGTCTGTTGCCAATAGGTTGCTAGGATCTCCCGAGATGGCCCGGTCAACCCTTGGTTGATCTGAAGACTGGTTAGCAAGTGTTTGGCAATCGGGTAGGGATTGATCGTCACCACATACATTTGACCATAGTCCCGAGTACAACTCAGTATGCGGAACGTAGCCTTGAGCGGACAACTATGATTTTGTGTCAGTATGCGACTCGTCCAGAACAGAAACGAATTTGCGCATGGCAATTTGCCGGTTTCTTCTCCTACTCTTCTGCGCAGAAGAAGCCTTCATTGTCAATCCGCGGGGAGGAGGATGGAAGGCACTAACCGCGGCGCTGGCTCCATAGTGGCCACCTTGAGAAAGGTCGTAGACCGGGGGAGCCGTCTTCTGTTGTTGATCCATAGTCGCCAAACGCCTCGACGTAGCTGGAGGTGGCTGCTGTAGGTAGAGGGCGCACGGACGCGACGGGGAATAATATCGACGGCAGCGCAGCCGGAAAGCTAGAGAAGAGAGGGAGCGCGATATGGGAAACTGTATCGAAAGGCAGCGAGTGCGGCGCAGGCGAGAATATAGAGAAGATAATAGAGAGACGCTGGTGTTTTGGATGCTCTATCCGCCACTCAGTCAACCCCGGGTGTCGCGCCGGACGAAATCAGGATGCGTCTTGATGTCAGTGGAGCGGTCAGCGTCGCGCGAGAGAGGGCGCAATGTCAGGTCCAGCAAAAAACCGGATTATAGATGGGCAGGGTGGATAGATTGTCGGTGAGGAAGTGTGGGAAGGGTGGAGAGAGCGCAGGAAGAAGGAAGACCAAGGTGCATTTATTACATAGTAGGCCGTCAAGCTGCGAGGGAAGGGAAGAGGCTGTGGCTGCAGCGCAGGCGCAGGCGCGGGGAACCCAGCCCACGGAGCTCAGCTGCATCACTCTGGTCACCAAGCACCCGGCAACTGTCGAGATCTGAGATCCATGGTAGAGAATGTCTACCAGCTTCGGTCCTTTGTCCTTGATTCCTTAATCTCGAGCGTGAGAGCCTCGCCCATCTCAATTTCATCATGTCAACAAAGCCTTTCCGACAAACCAATCGGACTTCCATCACTCGACCGACCAGGGCGACGAATGGGACGAATTACAGAGCGTCGAGGGAGCGCTGAGACAACACACCCAGGACACAATGACTGGGCCATTATTGCCCATGGCTTTCTATTTGCCTGGCGCTCACCCATCATCACCACCAGCAGATTGGCCCGTTCTGCAACCCTCTTAATCTCACCCTCGTCCACGACGATTGGATCCCCAGCCACCCCGTCATGCGCCCGCGAGGCTGGGATACCTCTGCCATGTTGTTCCTCCGCTACTTCCCAGGTACCTTGTCGCCCGGTATAGGTACTATTCATGGGAAACAAGGTCACTGCAAAGGGTTAAGAGCCATGATTCGCCTCACTTCGGGCATCAAAACTCAGCTGGGAGGCGGGGTGGGATGCGTTGTCATCCGAGATCCAGGGGCGCAGGCTGTGTTTGCGATCCCCCGTACGGCACGTGATATGTATACGGCACAACATAGAGCTGCTTGTGCACAACAGTAAAGATCTGTTTACGGCGCCGTATTTTTGCGTCGGTGGCGCTTCTCCACAATCTCATTGTTCTCTTCTCCGCAATCTGGCAACTTGCATGTGAAATAAACTGGTCTCAATCGAGTCGTCGCAATCCCAAATTACACCGCCAAATTTACTTCCTTTCAGTGTCCCATCCCTCGAAGCTTGTTATACCAATGATACGCCATAGGTGATTCGGACATCCCTCGCCAGCTCTTACTCTATCGTCCTCAATCCTTCCCGTACCAAGCTGACACGGAACACGCACCCACCATGGTCTCCCATCTCATCACCACCACTCTCCAAGCCGCGTTCCTCTCCGCCGTGTCCAATCTCGCCGCGCAAGGGATAAAGGCCTATCGAGAATCTCTCCCTTTCAGTGTCAAGCTCGCCCCCTTGGCGCAGTTTGTCGTCTTCACCTTCATCTCCTGCCCACCCAACATCCTCTGGCAAGAATACCTCGAGTACAAGTTCCCCGGGTACACGATCGCACCCATCTCCCCTTCCACCACGTCCTCCTCTCCGAACGCCGCCGGCACGCAACTCCACATCCCCAACACGCTCCGCAAATTCCTCTTCGACCAGACCCTCGGGGCGTTCGTGAACACGGTCGCCTTCGTCGCCGCGATGGCGGCCTTCAAGGGAAAGTCGGCCAAGGCCGTGCGGCGAGAAGTGGAGAGGGATGTCATCCCGTTGATGATCAGCAGTTGGAAGCTGTGGCCCATTGTGGCCTTGCTGAATTTCACTCTCGTGCCCGTGAACAGGAGGGTGATTGTGGCCAGCGTCGTGGGCTTGTTCTGGGGCATTTATTTGAGCTTGTTTGCCGCCTTGGATTAAAGTACAGAGGGAAAGACTTGTTTTGTGTGACAATATGAGGCTTTTGGTCTTGAGAAAACGCAAGTGGACATACAAATGAGGTACAGCTTGCAAGATAGGTGGATATCGTGCTGCGCATTGACCAAGCATCAGCGACGTCGAGAAGTCTCGGGCAGGAGTTCTCAAGAGTAAGGAGAAAGGGCTTGACACGATCAAGGGGAATCAAGAAAAGAGCATACCGCCCACTCGAATCTGACAAGAGAACCACGAGAGAACAACTCACTTCCTAGGGGAGACAAGAGTGCGCTTTCCTCGAGCCCTGCTCCCCTTTTTAAGTAGTCACCCGACAGAAACGCTTCTCTACGCCTCCTATCGAGCTAGAGTACAAGAAAACGACGCCATTTGGCCCGATAGAAAGAAATCTACACCAGAAGCCATCGACACCGGAATAGACAAACTGGCAGGGACAAGGAAGCGGTGGCCGGGAGAAGAAAAACACAACAACCACAACAATTCTTCATGTCGCAGCTCTGCCACTTCGAGATGGTTCATGTGTAAGAGCCGTTTTCGAACCTATCGAACGTTTCCGTCCCGCTCCTCGCTCGCTCGTCTCCGAAGATCCAACAGCACGGGAAGAAGCAGATGGATGGACCCCCGGAGGACTGTCGAAAAATCCCCTTCGTTCTCCTTTCTCGCGGGTTTCAGACAGGTATGGCTGGGAACAATTGGGCTATATTCAGTCTTTGTTGAGGAAGAAGAGGTGCCCGGCCTTCCGTGGCAAGTTCAAATAAACAAAACAGGATATAAAGGAGCAAAATTCGAAGAATAGATCTTCATGTTCAGTCCCCAGAAGGTTCATATGTCTCGTGATTGAATTTTATATATAGATATCCTCCGGAGAACTCCAGCAGGTGACAGTGGGTATGAAACATAAATGCAGAGTGAAAGCCACCAAATGAAAGTGTGAAATCCTCGAATCGGGCAGGGGAAACCCAAAAAAACCTGATGGAGCCCATAAACCAAATGAAAGATATATACTGGATATCGTTTCTGCTTCGCCTCAAATCTGGCGCCTTTGTGCACAAGAAGTGTATGTCATCAGTGTAAAATGTATGTGTTGGTCGTCAATTGTTGCATCTCCGCAAATTCGTGTCATGTCCCTTATGTCGTGTGTCCGTTTCCCTTGTCGTCTCGTTCCTGATGCGGAATCTGTTCTGAAAGTCGTCATAATGTGCAAAATGAGTGGAGGGTTTGTCCCCTGTCTTCGAATCCATGTCATATCTTCAAATGTCCTGGTCGAACCTCCGACGCCGGAGGGTAATCTGCAGAAGCGAAAATGCGGCCAGAATAGAGGCAGGCAATACGCGATGTTGATCGCAGGAAACGCTGTTCAGCTCCGCCCACTCACCCTTCAAGAACCTTCTTGAACGTGATCATGCGCCGCACTAGGTTCACAGGGAACCAACAATCTCAAGCATACCTAGGCATGCAGCTTGTACCTTTTCTCTCCTTTTTCCGCCTCTCTTCCTCGCGAACACGCTCAAGTTGAGCCTCCACCGATTTCGCTCCAGCACCACTCCCGATACCAAGTCCCAAACCAAGCAAGTTCTTGCCGAGTCCCTCTTTGATCTTCGGGCTTTGCTGTCCTCCAGTTGTGTTCGCGCGCATGCTCTTTCGTCTTTCCACTTTGGCTTGATATTCGTCAATCTGAAGCACCGAGTTCTTCCGTTTAGGCAGGGTGTCCATTCCCAGCACTTTCCATGCTTTAGCCTTGCTAGGTCCCCGGGTCAGAGACGCCTTCGATCGAGGAGCCAATGCTGGTGCACTAAGAAGTGGCGAAATTGTGTCTTGCCACTCCTCTTCACCAAGCGCCGAGACTGGACTGAGAGATACATCTGTAGCAGTACCGGTAGTGCCCGTAGATCTGTTCCGGGAATGCGAGACGGTCGGCATTCGCTGACAATGACCGTCGCAGTACGCCTTCGGTGGCTGAGGCTTCTTCAGCCTTGCAGCATTAACGGCACTGGCAGGGGTAGGCAGCTCCACGGGCAGGGGGCTCACTTGTTGCGTGTCCTTTGAATCGACAGTCAACAGCTCAATCGCCTTTTGCAAATCAATTCCTGACCCTGAATCGCACATAGCAAGAGCCTTTCTGGCTCTGGTCTCAGCAAACCCCAGTTCACGGACTAAAAGGTTCATTGCTTTGTCGACTGGATCCACAACGCCAGAAGCGCTCGCTGCGAGCGGCTCAGGGGCCCGAAAAGGAACTCGGGGTATGGGACTGGCATAGTCCATAGGGAATAATGTAGCCCCAAGTTTGGTGCTTGCTGTCGAAGTCATTGAAAGCGAATAATAGACTGTCGGATCTGTTGTGGGGGAGGTCGGAAGTAGGTGGGAAGCCCGGTTTGATCTGGAAACAGGATCACAATCAGGTCGGATCTCTTGTCGAGTATTGGCAGGATCGCAGTCCGGGCGGATCTCCAATCGCACCCCTGCCAGAGCATTTGTAGAGATCGGTCTTCTTTTCGGGCTAGAGGTATCAATCCGCAACGATTGCGACTGAATGGTGGCGCGCGCGGAAGGTAAGTGGGTCAATTGCTCGTCGAGTGACCTGGTTGGGCGGTGAACGGGGACTCGAGGGACTGATATTTGTCCAGGCATGTGTCGGAGGGACATCCGTGCTGCCCTTCGAGTGGCATCTTCGAGCACCCTTTCTTGGTAGACTTGTGCAATTGCGGTGGTTAAGAAGGATGATCGACTTTGGCCTGCCTGTGGAACTGGCCAGTTTGTCAAACCAAGCATCTTTGCCTGTTCGAACGAGCAGCTCGATAACGAAAGAACAGTTTGAGGACCTAAGGCGAGTAGGTACGAAGTCCACTCCGCGAGATGTTGGGACTCCGAAGTTGTGTCTCGCAAGTGCCAATTGTCAAAGACCCCATTTCGCTTGGCTTCTTGTTCTCGTCCACGGAACCCTGACATGAGGATCTGCAAACACTGCCACATCTCGTTCATATCCTCAAGTTCGTGAGTCATAAGTCCCTTCCCATTACCAATAGCGAAACCGGCGCCTAGTTGTTTGTTGCTAGCCGCTCTGCTGCCGTTGAGCCAATCGATTTCCGTCTGCGCGGGCCCAGATTGACCAACTGTGTTCCCAAATAGAGTACAGAAGGTCCATATGCGCCACAACGCATCGTCAATCTGAGATTTTCTGACATCATCTTGACCAAGAAGACCAACGAGAGTGCTTTGCTTGCAGGTCGAACTGCAATGAGCCACAATGAACGCTTTTAACGCGTCAAGCGTTCGGCAGTCCCGGCGATGATCTTTCAAGAGAAAGTCGTTCGACCCTTTCAAAGCGAGAATGCTCCGTCTAAGCTCCCAAGCAGCTCGTGAGGTCTTGAAAACCAAATGGCTTACTAGCTTTGATTCGTTCCGTTGAAACGTTCGCAAAAAGCCTTTGCTGACCATCGCAGTAGCCTGGAGGTCTCGCGCGCTGTGGAGGCTGCACATGATTCTGTAAATAACACGCTCTGCGGTGGCTGCGGTGATCGGACGTCGGTTCTGCTTTCGGGTTACTTGACTTGGGCGGGAGGAAGAGGTAGCAGTTAAGGCAAGCTTCTGCATATCGACTGTGTGCCGCCTGGACATTTGGTTCACGAAACGTCCGGGATGCGGCACCTCCGTGTCAGATACTGAGCGATTCCTGTGGTGTCCTTGAGTGGCAGTCCTCTCCGATGAAGCTTCCCGACTTGATCGCGACGACCAGGCCGGCAGTTCTGATACAGCACCGCCATCAGAGCCCCTTCTTGCTGAGATCATCATGCCCGGTTGAGAAGACGTGCGCTGTATTCCGGTAGAGGAGTGAGTGGTTGAGATCGGAAAAGCAGATGGAAGTTCCACCGGTCGCTGACGCAGAAGTAAATCCGGTGCTGAAGTGGAAGCTCTTTTTATGTCGATTGGGCCTGGAGGAAGTGGTTTGTCGAGGTTTGGCGGCACCGATACGACTCTTATTAGAGAGGAGTTGGCCCTCAATGGTGAAGGCTGAGCGCTTACAGGAGATTCTGTAAGGTTGCTCGCAAATGCCTGAGTCGGACGTTTGGGGATTGATATGGGCTTGGGCTTCAACGAAATCGTTCTCTGAATTGCGGATGACGGCTCCTGGGTGTAGCTGGAGCTGGAAGACTGCCTCGTGACTAAGGGTGAGCAATCACTATCCCTTTGGCTTGGTTGAGAATAACAAGATGACGCCGTGGAATCATTCCTGGTGATATTAACTTTCAAAAAGTCGACCTTGGTATCAAAAGCCTTTCTAGCCACCGTCGACTGGGTCGGGCCGGTGGACTCGCTACCTTTCACCAATTTGGGAGACTGTGTTGCCCGAGTTTGAACCTGAGCTGCAGGGACGTCGTCGATCTCCTTGTTCATAAACTCGTCGAATAGTTCCGCAAAGGATCGAGTGTCGACATGTGAGATGGCGGGAAGGCGGTGGGCGAGGTTGTCGGAAGAAAGATCCGATGTATTATCAGAGCTCTGTCGCTTGAAGAACGAGAAGGACGAACGGTCCTTGCTTCCCAGGCGCAGGACCGATGTCATGTTTGTCCTGGATATGTAGCTGTTTCAAATTTCGAGCTCCCAAGGGTCTTCTCCAATCAGGAGGGGCATCGAGGTCGTACTATCAGTGGTTCGTAGCGAGGCTTCACTTCGCGCACACATTGCGCATGGATTCTGGAGAAGAGTGAACAGACCAAGGCAACGATCAAGTTAAATCCTAGTCAGCAGAATGCTGGATGTCAGAGAGATGTGGTACGCCAGCGGCAAGTCGTAGATCTAATCGTCGTGCTATCGTATTGTCGGTGGTTGGGGCTTGGTTGGAGAAGGGCTTTGGGTTATAGCTGACTTGGCCCGCGGTACGGCCTGGCGGGAGCTCAAAGGAGCCTAGTATTTGTCTGGGGCGTACCCTTGTGGCGCCAGCTAAAGATATCTCGCCAATGGGGGCGGAGTCGCGGCGCAGGTCTGATACTGGCCAATCTGCCCAGCAGCCAAAGACCACCTCGATGCGATTGGGCCTGAGGTGAGGCTTGAACGCCTGCGAGACGGCGGCGGCAGCAAACGGAAAGACCTAGGCGCATGGCCGTCAGGCCATCACTGCAAGCCTCTGCTGAGCCCTTTGCCTTTCAGGTATGGCCTGATGGGAGATTTTGAACCTTTCTCGGCCGGTTGGTGGCAGGGGACACAAGTCTCAAGTCTCGAGGCACAGGGCGTCTGCAATGAGAATTATTCGCGAGATAACAGGCGTGGGCTGCGTGGTTCGGGTCACTCTGTGGGTTTTTGGTCTTGGGATGATGGCAATCCTGCTTTGATGGCGTGTCTCACATAGGGTTTCTTGATGTTTCCACAACGCCCGGGGCACTCCTATCCCGACTTATGGATCGTCGGACGGGGTAGAAGGTGATTCGCGACGACTCAGCCGGGCCTGCATGCTGGACAGGAGCTGGACCGTCGATTCTTAAACCTGTTTGTAGGCTTGCGCCGGCGTCCTCTTTCCGGGCAGCTCGAAATGACTTCATCGTTATCCACGTGTCCCAATTCATCTCTTTTCGTCCGGCAGATGCAGTAGCGAGATGGCCTCGATCAAAAACAGGATGAGGATTATTGTTCTTGGACGCTTCGGTTAATCCAATCCGAACTGTGGAGGGTTTGGAGGTGATTCTATGGCGCCACCGATGCCTGGCGTTGGGAGAACTGGGAGAAACGGTGTCTGTGGGGGTCGGAGGCCCGACGGCAACGGCCCAGATTGTGATATTGGATTGACAGTCCCATAGTGGCTCAAGTTGAGGCACTGAGAAAGGAGGTGGTAAGGGGTGGCAACGCCAGCAATCATTGACAATGCAGAAGGAACGGCTCGAATCAAGTCAGCACCCTTTTTCCCGACTAAGCTGGAGATCATTTGGCAAACAATTACGGAGTCCCATGTGAAGGTGCGCAAAAGAAGGTTGTAGACAAAAGCAGATGGAGATTGCCACATGCAATGAGCCGTTAGGGTACCCATGGTGTGTGCATAGTCTTTCTACAACTCCTGCCCAAATCTCCTCTCCTCATCTCACCTCAGTTGCAATCCAAATGTTGCTCTTGGCCCCCCATCCCCTGATGCAGGCTATTATCTCAGATCTCCCGCGTTTTAGGGGTACCTTGCATTGCTTTGAAAGTTACACCGTTCAACCCGCCCGTCTCCCTGCAAGTTTGTTTGCTATGGATTTCTCCATCCTCTATGGCCCTTCATGATGGGGGGCCAGCCACGGAACTCCTGCGGCTGTGTAAGAGCGAAGCCGGGGGCACTTGATGACTTCCCAATCGGCTGCATTCCCGATCTTCGCCCGTATTTGGCTCCCTCGCCTACCTCTTGTGGTTCGCAATGATTTCCAGAGCAGACACCTCAGCCTACGAGCAGTAGGGAGCCTGATAAGCTTCTGGCAACCCGCAAGTCATGCATACTTCCTTCGGCCGTTCAGTTAAGCCGAGTATGGACAGTGCCCAGAGGCAGACTGTGCGTGTTGGGCTCTTTGGCGTCATGAATATTTCCACGTCACAAGTACAGGCAGTGTCAAGGTCTTTTCCTCCTCTTTGCCATGAGCTGCTTGTAGTGTGCTTTTTTACCGCTTGTCTTCGTCTCTTGAATTTCGCTGTACTTTCGCTTGAACCGCCCAGTCTCCCTCTCGGTAGCTATGGCTTCCTCGACAAAGTTCTTCGATCGATCCTTCTTGTTGATCCTTGCACTGAAAAACTCTGTGGGACCTTCAATGACTGTGCCTGTCTGCGAGAATGTCGGTACTTTGCCTCTTCTGTTATTTTTCTTGTAATGCCTGTGTGGATCGAGCACAGATCGCATTTCGATGAGCTGCAGATCGCGCTTCAGTTGGGGAGTCAAGTGTGTCTTGGGCATGTCGAACCAGTCAGGGCCTGCGCTGGTTTGGTCATTCTGCTTTTCATTAGCTGAGTCGCAAATCACAAATCACAATCACACGTGCAATGAGGCAGAGATTAAAGGTACAGTCAGAGTAACTATGAAATAAAATACTTTCATGGATGCAGGGCAGGCCAGAATGGACTGCTGATCTGCGTCAAGAAGAGTTGGGAATAGATTTCCTCATGTAAACCGGAATATTTTGAAGGCAAGGGGGTACGTACCACTTTCTTGGATTTGTGAGGCGCTTCGACAGACCCGAGTCCATCTGCCAGCAGGCTTTGCTGGCCCTGCAAGACCGCTCTGGCATCAGTCTCGGCGACACCCTGCTTGTCGTTGATATACTTCGATCGGACAAGGTCATGGTGTAGTTTGGGAATTCTAACAGAGTCAGAGTCAGTCGAAGACATTCAGGTCGGGAGATGCAGAAGCCATACATTTTCCTGGACGTTGTCGCTGGTCTGACAATCTCCAAACTGATCTCGTCTTCATTTGTGGACTTTGACTTTTCCCGCAGGCGTGCCTCAGCCTGTCCCAGCAGGTCATCTATCTGCTCGTCTGTCAGAATGCCGGTTTCCGCCATCATATCTGAACTGTGCATGCTCTCGAGCCATGGGGAGTTTGCATCAGGCAAGCTCGCAGCAGAAGAGGAATTTTGGAGAACAGGTCAAAAATTCATATGCTTGTTCGTGAAAGGAAAGTCTGCCGGGATATCCAGACCATGGCCAATCAGGACGGGATATTCGCAGCCTTGTCAGCGACAATCGTCTTGTGGCTTCTGAGCTTGCAATACATCAGGTAGCTAGATCAAAGATGCATGGTTGGCTCAGGGTGATGAGAGGAACGTCTCGTTGTCTAATACCAGGAAAAAAGGTCCAGGGTCCGCCGTCGTGATCGCATTGGTGCTGGCTATCAGTCTGGCAACAACATATCATCGGACTCGACATCTCACACCACTTTGTCCTTCCACTGATTCTGGACTTCGCTTCTCGTCCATACAAGTAGTCCCAGCGTATGCTCTCCCCTCCCGTACGGGTTCGACCTCGCCACTGCTGAAAGCACAATGCCCAACCCCACCGCTGTCAACCATCCCAGGAATGACGCCCCATTGCACAGCCTTCAGTGAAGCATCAGTATCCCAGCTCGGCTGATGGCACGCCGCCGCAATAGCCGCACTACAACTCCCCACCAAGGGTATCGATGCATCATACTTCATCATCATTCCCAATCCCAGTGTAGCAACAACGAGGACCCCTCCCAGTACAAGCACAACGATCATGGCCAACGGAGAAAATCCACAAGTGGCAATATAGATAGAGTCATAGAGAGTGCCGTCTGCGTTGTACTCCGCAACCACCGCCAAAAAGATGCTCTGTGAGATCAGCCAATGCAAGGCTCCGGAGAGAACCATCAAGGGTACTGCAGCCTTGTAGGGCAACTGTAAGAAGTGTGTGCTCCTTTGGGCCGCCTTCGGCCTCGACACCCTCAAAGACTTCCTCTCTTTGGCGAAGTCGCTCCATTCGCTCGCTAGCCACATGCTTGTCAGCACGCCGTTCAGATTCAGATATAAGAAGCTGAAGATTGTTTGCGGTAAGTTTGCAATGAGGATCGAGGAGAGGATCTTTGACGAAGGGGAGCCATGAGAGCCAATGCTCCAACCGTTGATCACGGCAGCCTGAGTGACCTTGCCAAAGCCAATTGCGCCGATGTCGAAGCCGAGGGAATTGATTGTCTTGATTGCGACGCCGAGAAGGGCGCCCACCACGATCAACGCAAGGACTAGTAAGCCGAGAGTCAATGACCATCGCGTGAGGCTCGCAGCTTCAAGCCCAAGTTTTGTGCGCAACCGGGCCACTTTGGCCTTCAATTCGACATCCCTCCCTTGTGCCCGAAGGTACCAGTGGCTCTTTGTCTGCATGGCCATGACCACATCGCTCTTGTTCAACAAACATAAGCCTTCGGTTGATTTATCGTTTTCGTTCAGAAAGCTTTCCACGGCATCTCCCACCGTGATCAAAGGGTTATCTTCTAGTCGAAAGGCGACGAAGAGCATTCCCGCAATCTTGACGGCATTGCAAGCAAGAACAATCGCCACAATGGGAATGTTACCATTATAGCTGCATCTCTCAGTCACGCGCTCCGAAAGACAGTACTCGACGTCGAAATTGTATGGTTGCCATTCAGACGCGATGGCTTCAATTTTGGAGACCCAAGTTTCGCATGGTCGTATGCCGCCGTTGAATCCTAAAGGTATATCAACCTTATACTTCATGTTGTCGTCAGTCGTGCAAATCCTAGCTGTAATGTCAGACAAGTGTGGCCAGGAGGCTTGTGGCCGAAGACGAAAAAGGATCTGGAAAGGGTAAAATCTCACCAGTCGAAAGCATTGACATCCCCATTAACATACTGTGTAACCTTCAAGACGGTCTCGTTCGCCTGCTTGGTGCTGTTATTTGACACCAAAACCAAATTTCGCCGACTGGTCAGAAAATTCGTGGCATAGGCATGGATGCAAGCGTCGTTGTCTAGGCGCTCCCAAGTGTCCGGATGTGTGACGAGCGACGACTGAACATCCTGCTGGTCAGGCCGTAGATATAGTTCAGTCACCGGGAACGGCACAAACGGCTTACCATCGACAAAATCTTGTGTCACAAAGTATAGATTGTAGTCGTTGGTTTCGAGTGATTTGTAGAATGCGGAGTTATACCTATTCCAGGCAATCAGGACCAGTATTAAGGATTGGGACTCTGCCCTGGAAATATCCTTACATGAGATGCAAAGGGATGGAAGACAATCCCAAGGCCCACCATAGAATCATTTTGCGACCTGCAACTCTTCTCAGATTTCTCACACTCGGCACTCCCACGTCGAGATATTCTCCCCTCGCATGGGCGCGGTCGACATCCTCTCTGGTAGGAGCGGTGAGGCATTGCATGCAGTAGTTGGAGCCGCCCAATAGCAAAGTGCTGAGGGTGTTGATCGCCAAGTGGATCCAGATGTCGAGGGATTCGACCTTGCCACAGTCGCCATTGTAGACTTCAATGAGACTGGCACCGTGGCCGCGAGCGGCAAGCCAGGAGACCACCACGAGATTGATAAGAAGTGATATCGCGCCAAGAAGAGCAGCTGTAAGTGCGCCGGTGCGCCATCCATAAAGGCGAGTCGGCCAGGTGAAGAAAGGGAGTTTCAGAGACTTCCAGGAGAAAAATGATGATCCTCTCCGAATAGGATCGTCGCCAGAGTTGAGGAGAGGCGATTCATCTCTGATCGTGGAGCTGAAGGTCGTAGTGAAACTGGACTTCGACTGCAAAGAATACTGCTCCAAGTAGACATCTTGGCTCTTGAGGTCTACATCCTCTGTCTGTGCCCGAGTGTAGGCCCTCCGCGGCTCTAGAAAGTCCATTTTCCACACTCAAGGCGCTCAACAACCCGCCCAGTGCTTCTGGTTAAAGTGGTCGACACCGCGAGAGCCCGGTTTGAAGGGCCAAATCAGTCTTTTGAGATCAGCATGTCGAACAGTCGCCCACAAGGGAGAGTCGAAGGATCTCTTACTCGTATTAGGACTCCGATGTCAATAAAGGATTGGTGGGGATGCCAGTTTGTTGATGGCGTTTCGTTGCTCGCCTGGCAGGGCTAGACTTGATTCCCTGAGACCAACACGCATGGTGGTGCCACGCTGTCATTGACAGGGACTTGAGACTCTCGTCCTGCAGAGCCGCTGGCCTGTCGGTACCAGGAGATCCCTAAGGGGCCATGGCCGCAAAGATACGCGCAGGATGGTTTCGTCCTCTTTTCTGCCTTCCGCAAGAACTGTGGTTGCCTAAACCTGGGAGGGGTGAGGCCTGACATGGAGCTTGCATTGTCGTCATCTTATGGTTGGCGGCGTTGATCACACTATCATGGACGGTACTTGGGACATGACCTTGATAGAATCCCCTCAGCCTAGATATATAGCCAATCACATAGCGCCATTCGGTTTCAGCCTTGTCTCCAGGGGGGATAGCAGCAATCCTCCAATCTCGCATGCCGACCGGATGCCCGCCGGCGACAGGATGACAGTTCGGGTATATTTTGATCAAAGAATTGAAACTCTGCCCCCAACTGATAGCATTTTGACTACTAACCTAGCAGAACGTCGATACGTTTTAAGTCTTTTTCGTCAGTTCAAGGCGAGGCATGGGTAGAAGCGATGCTTTTACCCCGCTTGGCACCTAACTGCATGTGAAACTATTCCGGTTGTTCAAACATCTCCACAGCAAGCCTCCTGCTTTCACCTTACTGCAACTATCCTGACCAATGGCTCCGCGCCCCGAACGAATGCCCTTTCGACCTGCGATGCTCTCAATCCGCACTATTGGAGGGTCATGTAAGCATTCAACACCTTCTTCGAATCTGGGCTCATATCATTGACCACTCTGCCTATTCTGCCGCCGTGTCGCTGATCTGCTGCCTTGAGATAATGTCCCACCCATCGCCTCAGGTCCGTTATCTCGGGGAAAGGATCGAGAGGTGGTGGACGGATAGTGTTCAGCTGCGTAAACCCAACGCCAAAGCTGCTGTCTTCGACGTCGAGCTCCGCTATGGCGTCGTCGGCCTTGGGTGGAAGTGGGGGATCTTCGAGCAACTTGAGCAGCGCATTACATGTCAACGGCCAGCCTTTGGGATAACGCTCGACGAATGCCTGGGAATCTGCGAGTGACTTTGTGAGAGAGATGGCGGCCATTTTCCGGTCGAGAGGACGAGCCAGTTCTTGGGTCTTTGGCAAGATAATACTCAAGTACAGCTGGCGGAAAACATCATGCTGGACTCGATCCGTGGCAGCAACAAAGAAATCAGTCCCAAGACCCTTCTCCTGATGCGACGAGACGAAATGATAGAATCGGACGAAGCGTAACTGGAAGCCCTGAGATTGCTTGCTTTGTAGTCGCGTAAGCATGATGTTCAGAATATGGACCCAATATTGCTCGAGGGCGGCTGGCGGGAAAGTTGCAATGGAAATTTCGAGAAGGTCGAAGCCATAGCTTTCGTAAATTTTGGTCGACACCAACTTCTGAAATATCCCCAGCACACTCTCCACTTGGTTGCCGCTCACCATCTCATTAGCTGCGCGGGGGATGATGGCAACCAGCAGGCGAACCAAGGCAGGTATGTTGCCTCGCTGATCCCAAAGCGTCGGTCCGAGAATGGGCGCAATCAGTGGTGTATACTCGGACGGCAACGGTTTGCTCGGCTCGGCTTCCAAAAGAGCACCCATCAGTTGAAAAGTGTACGGGATGAACTCTTCAACATTGTTGGCAAGTATGGCAGCGAAAGGATTGAAGAGATGCGATGCCAAAGCATCCGCCTGAGCCGGCGGCGTGAAACGGATCAGCGCTCCTAAACTCTCAAAGTGATAGTAGTAAAACTTTGGGTTGCTGGGATTGGAGGATATGATTGTTGTAATGGTGGTCAAATGTCGCAGGACACTCTCGGCCACTGTAGAAATACCATCTCGGAGTACCACCAGGACCCTCATAATACACCGCATGACGAACTCATTCTCTTGGATTTTCTGTGGTGTTTGATCCTTTTCGACCAAACTGAAAAGATGTTCAAGAAGATTGCTTGCCAATGGCCTAATATGCCCAGGGTTAATGACAGGTCGCCCGGTATCATCAGTCATGGCCAGTACCCTCTCAACTGCAACGGCTGCGTAGGTGTACACGCAATAGTTTGAGTTACCAAGGTGATTGACGAGTAATGGCATGACTTGCTGCCACTGATCTTTCGTAATGATGCTCCGGAAGACGTAGAGATACTTGATCGCGTCGACCTTGATCAGCGGTTGAGCATTTTCGTCTTGTAGGTCACTCGCAAGATGCTTCGAGAAGAAGTCGCCAATATCGACCAGACTGTTGGTTTTGGTCACTCCGTGCGTGGTAGTTGTTGCCCCTTTCGCGGCCGTGGCATAGAACACGCTCACAGCTGTGTCCTTGGCCCTCCACTGTTGCTGAGGATCTGCTGCAAACTCCTGAAAGCATTTCTGGACATAGGTCATTGCAATTCCAGTCACAGACTGCTCGAACTGATCGCTGAGCTGACGGAGAAAATCGCCGGCTGCTCTTCGGCGAGTCTCGCTATCTGATCCCTCGAGATCTCTTCGAATAAATTCGATGGGCTCGTCCTCGAACATCTCGACATCTGAGTCTCGCAAAGCCACATTCGGCAGAATCACCTTTTCGATGATCTGATGCTGAACGCTTGGGTCATTGAAAGTCTGCGCCTGTTCATTGATGCCCCCGATTGATGTCAAAAACTGGAGAGCTTTGCTGACAAGGATGTCGTTTTTGGGCTCAGGCCCGGTCGTGGTCAACAGATTCCATGAGCTCTCGACGAAGCTCCTGACATACTTGGAAAAGTCATCATAGTACTTGCCGATGTACAAGGTCAATGCTTCGAAGATATTGGACTTTATATTCTCCAGGGGACCCGCCTCTGCGTCGTCGTCTGTGTGCAGAAGACGATTGTCATACCTCAAGTACTTCAGCAGCAAGCCGGAAATGCCCTCTAGATTGTCTTCAAACACGGGAGACAAGTCCTGGCACGACAGATCATAGAACAGCTGAAGAACAAGGTCGAGTTCAGCAAAAGCATGTTGCAGAGCAGCCTTATCATTGCTATGAGCCTCAATGTAGGCATCCAGGCTCTGCCACAGAGAGAGAAAAGGTTGAGCAAACTTGGAAAGGACATGATTGATCTCGGTGAAGAGCTCGTCGGATCGAAACAATGGCCGCCATCTCGCAAAGATCGAGTGGGCGACCTGGAGAACGCCAGCATTGACCACGGGATCACCTGGTTTCAGACGAGAGATCAGGTCATCCACCAAGGTGTCCCACCGCTCCCAGAAGTCACTGTCTGCTATCACACTGATGGCCTCACCCAGCTGTGTCTGAATGCCCCGAGGCACGGATATCATGAGCCCCACGATCTCTGTCTTGATTGCATTCACATCTTGCTGGGGAAGTTTGTAGTTGCCTTCCACGTCGGTCCAACTGCGTCTGATAAAGTTCTTGAAGAAGAGGGCGCTTGCAAGTCTGGTGTTGTACTGGAAGTCGCTCGAGGCGGTGATTTGGAGGAGAGAGATGGCGAACCCGGGTTTTTTCTCTTCCGCGCGAATCTTGAGCTCGGCTAGCCTGCGTTAGATCGAATTCAACCATTAGAATACAGGACTAAACATACCTTCTTTGTTCTGCCTGGGGTCCAGGCTAGCATCCAGGAGTTGAGCCAGAGCAGCCAGAGAAGCCATGGTGAATAAGGTTGCTCAAAATCTGTGGAACGTTGTTCGTTGTTGCAATGTAATTATTTGGATTTCTTAGCGCATGTTGGCGAAGAACATTCACTGTACGATGAGAGGGGACGGCACAAGGTGGGAGAATAGGCACCCAGTTGTTGTGCGTATCTAGCTGTCTGATCCAAGAGTACGCCAGACCAGTATATGAGGATGAGCGCAGAGTGAAATGACGCTGGTATCGGGAAGCTAAATGGTAGGTGGGAGAAGATGACCAGCGACAGTGAAGATTTGTTTACAATGAACATCAGAGAGCGACACACTTGGATCTCCGCCTGGCGCTGTTGCAGGCCGGCAGAATACAGAATTGCTGCGCTCACCGCCTTTAGCTGCGGGTCATCTGGTGATGAGGAAATGGTCGACCGTAGCCTCGTCACCGGCCTTATACGGTGAATCATAAAGACTGCGGATGTTCAAGCTGCGGTTAGGCTCGGACGAAAAAATACGACATGGCGGTGGCCGCTTGGTCCGCGGGCACGGGGCGGGGACCCATTAGGCACCTAGCGCCCAGGGAATAAGGCTGCTGGGCCTTCTCCAGGTCATGATTGCCCTGGTTCTGGGGGGGCCCATTTGCATCCTTGCGCTGTTATTTTCTCTGGATCCAACGCCTTCCAACGCCTCATGGCTCAAACGCCTCCCATTCAAACGGTTCCATGCGTCACGGATAAAATCCAAGAATTCCAGAACAAAAGTCCTTGCAGCGTCTCATCCTGCCCAAGTCACCCATCTCATCTCTCGATTCTAGAAAAAATTTTCCCTCTCTCAATTTTCACTGATCTATGCTCCACCATCGGTTTCCATTAAAAGCCTCGTCTCAAAGTCCCCTCGGCGGGCCTCCTGCCCGTCCCAAATGCTGCAGATAACGTGGTCGCTGTTATCAGCAAAAGTGGCCACCTGATCTCAGGTTGTCGAGTCCCGTACAGTTATAACGCGGAATCCCTCCACCTCCTGCCGGCTGATCTCGAAGATAGCCAAAAACATATCCTCTGTGATGAGAGACCCGTTTGCACCGGTCCTTGTATAATCTCCTCGTCGCACGGACTCTTACAAGGTGTGTACACATTTCATTTCCTATCCGCCCCAACCTTCTGGGCTTGTGTCATGTTATGTGTCTCGAGGCTGGGTTTCCCACCTCCTATTCTACCTACAGGACATCTCTTACTGGCCCTCATCCCACAGATTTGTTTTGCGTCCACTGGCGTACTTGCATTTCCTACCATTTGCCTTTCCGTCGCACTTCTACTTTCTTTTCCGACGGCCCAGCAAGCTGCTCCATCGTCGGGCCTCGTCGTCATGGACGCTGAGGATTACCCTGGCTAACTATATTCTACCTAGGAGAGGAATCGTGTCGTATGTCGAAGGAAAATGACTCACCCCAGGAAGGCTCGGCCAATTCCAATATAAGAGATTCCAGGAGATTGTCGCTGTGGCACATGTCAATATCGACACACACTTCTCCCAGTCCCGACAGTGCTGTTCAAGGAGGACGAGGCTCCGAGAAATCCTCCCCCAATGGAACACCTCTCAATCTGAGGGATGTCCTTAAGGACGGGTTGTCCATTGGGGATGCGCCAGAGGAGGCACGTTCCTGGCTTGTTAGTTTTGGAGACCTCAAACCAGGCACAGATGTCTCTCGCAGATTTCTGAACCTCCGGGAAGACCACCATGGTGATCAAGGCGCCGCCACGCTATTGTCATTGCTGATCCAATGGGTTCCTCTGTGGTCGCACAAGGCGGAGAAGGCTCGAAAGGAAGGCAAGAACTCGAAATCTGGATCCCTCAGAGAACTCAAGAGCCTTGACTGGTTGCTCCAGTACATTTGCGACTTCGTGGAGCTGGGTCACTCGGATTTTGATCCTCTGGAGTTATCCCGTGCTGTGGACACAGTCACTTCTCTATGCCTCAATACTAGCCGCCAGAGCGATATCAATGGAGGCATAAATGTCCTGTACACCATAATGTCCCATTTTGATTATCCGAGGAATGGGCTCGATCAGACTCTCGTGGTTTTGTGTGCTTCTGCTGCAAACCTACAGGAGTTGCCGAGCCACCTATTCGACTGCGCTCGGATATTGGCTGCTGGTGACCTGCAACAACAATTCATGAATACTCTCTACGCCTTCATACGGACTCCCACTTTGAGCAACAACAGCAAAAATCTTTCACATGCCCGCGGCGCCACTCGGCTCTTGCGGAATTTGATCGATGAACAACGCAATGGAGGTGGTTTCATATTCTGCTTAGGAGACTTTTTAGAGCAATTACACATGGCTGCACAGCAAGGCATTTTTCGATTCTGCCATGACATCCTCAGCTCCTTGCATGGGATTCTTTCAAGCAATCGGCCAAAATCCGAACTGGCTGCCATTGATTTTACCAAAGCCGTGGATATTATCAGGCTCTGCCTTCAAATGACTCCTTCAGGCCATCCGCAAGCAAATGTGCTTCGCGTTACTTCGCCAGGGATCAACCCTCAAGAGGATGACAAGGATCGCCAATTTGAACGCCACTTTCGAGACCGGGAAACTGTGGCTAAAAGGCTATCCCATGACTTCATGAAGCTGTGGGATTTGCTGTCCCTCCCGGATCGAGCCGCCGTCCACGAGCTCTTCCTGATGTTTCCACAGTATGCTGGCCAGGCTCAGTTGACAATGACTCTGGACTATGCGAAGGACAAATACTTGTCGTCCGAGGACCACAACGTAAAGAGACAATACTCGGACAAGATCTACAATGATATTGTTCTGAATCACTCCCTCCCTCCGATCTGTCGCTTGAAGGGAATCGAGGTCCTAGTCCAGGCTAGTAATTCCCCTTTGAGCGAGTCGCCAGGGCCCAGCGACGAGTCCCATGTGGCATACACCTGGATTTTGGATAGGTTACTTGACCAGATTGATGTTGAGCGCGATGCCCAAGTCTTCGAAACGCTACTCAAATCATTGGACTACATGGCTTCAAACTATCAAGAGGCTGCGAAGGAACAGGCATCAACCGTTCGCACGGTGGAGAAACTACACACGTTGATCATTGAGGGTCCCGCAGGAGTTGCTTTCAACGATGATCTAGCAATTTTGGCGACAAAGGTGCTCGTTACTATTTTCTGTTACAATATCCACATCAATGGTAGAGCAGCGGTCAGAGCCTTTGAGGTTCTGCTGGACGCAGCTAGTTCACGCTGCAAATCGCGACCAGCTCGTCTCGTCTCAAAACGCCTCATTTTCAGGGTACGAGCCGATGACGCTGGCTTCATCTACATTGGCTCTCCAGGCGAAAGTCAACATATTGCCAGTGCGCTTGTGCGCACCCGAGAATCGGCTGAAGCTTTCAACTCTGAGCTTCCCGCCTCGCAAAGGCATTCAGCTAGCAGCAGCAGCTTGTCGACGAGATCTGACGTTGGTGACCCTTTGTGGATGTATCCAGATACCGAAGATGTCTCTTACCCACTGGCGGGAAGAGTATCCAGCGTTCTTAATGTCGACAAAGGCGCATATCCGCAGGTTCAGGCAGAACTCGATATGGACACATGGCTCATGGCTATCATACGGTGCCTGCAAGCCGATCAGGACTGGGAGACTTATGGCTACACCGTTGTCCATGTTGCTGCTCAACTGAGCAACATTGCTCTCTTCCTCAATTCGATCCAAGCTGTCATCAAGCTACGGCAAGTGCTGTGTGAACAGATTGTCAACAATACCTTCCGAGAGCCACCCCCGTCGACTGGGCTGAAGAAATCGGACGTCGCCTTATGCATGTTCAACATCTTGGTTCAGCTGATACCTTATGCTACCATGAAATCAGAAGCCATCCAGAAAGGGTTTGGAGATGACCTTGTTCGGGCTTTTCTTTCTGGTATTGGTGGAGCTTGGGAAGCAACATCGCGTGGCTGCATTCATGCACTGTCCCTATGCAGCCTTGAAATCCCTTCTTCGGTTGCGACTTTGTATCCCACCATTATTGACAAGATGTCCAAGAACATGACACAGACCCACCTCACCACGCATATCCTGGAATTTCTCATCCAAGTCGCACTGTTGCCAGAAATGCATTCCAACCTCAATCCAGACGAAATTCAGATGATATTTGGAATTTGTATCCAGTTTCTTGAGAAGACGCGAGAGCAACAGCACTCGTCGGTGACTTCGCCTCCCGGCAGAATCAACCCAGCGTCAAGGCACAGTGGAATGAATTTTCGCCGGCCACCGTACCGAGCCGCCATGTTGGCGGACACCGGATTGCCTCAATATGCTGCTGCATTGGCTTATCACAACATGATCTTTTGGTTCTTGTCCCTTCGACTGGACATCAGGGCGAAGTATGTGCCATGGATCATTCCGAGACTCGTCTGGAAGAATGCGCGCGGAGAAGAGACTATCGACGAGCAGAGCCAGGTTCTGATCGACATGATGCAGAGAACAGCATTCTCTGACCTTGGAGAGACTTCACCAGACCACAATTTTGCAGCTCCTGAAGATGGGCCAGTATCATCCGCGTCATGGATTGTCGGTCTCAGTATCGTGACCGCGCAGACAGCCGGTCATACTGGGAAAACGCAGATAACCAAGCGCCAGGCTTCGGGTACTACATATGCAAGATACCAGCAGCTGACAGCTCCATTACCATCTCACCACCGACCAGGCTACACTGAGATTCGACACCAGGAAGCCACGACCGAAATCCTCCCTCCGCATATCATCCTCCAAATGGTAGCTAGTGCAGCAACACCCACTGCAGCCGACCAACCGCTGATTCTTCCTCAGGAGGATTTCGTCCAACGGGCCCTTGAGAGCTTTGATCGCATTCCAACCGTTACTAGCCACAAGATTGGCGTGCTTTACATTGGGCCTGGGCAGAGTGCTGAGTCTGACTTCCTTGCAAATACGAGCGGGACTCCCGACTTCGACCGTCTTCTCGATGGCCTCGGGTATGTGGTGTCGCTTGAACCACCGCTCAATTTCAATCCTCAAGGCCTGGAATGCCCGCGAGACGGCAAACATAGCATCGCGTGGCGAGACCGGGTGGAAGAGATCATTTACCATGTGCCAACTATGATGCCGACGGACCTCGAAGACGATCCTCAATGTATCACCAAGAAATCGCACGTTGGTAATTGTCATGTCAACATCGTTTTCAACCGATCGGGACTTGAATGGGAGTTGGACAACTTCAAGTCCCAATTGAATTATGTGAATATTGTGATCCGACCTGCATGCCGCGGCCGAGAAACACCAGATCCAGATTTTATGCCAGGCTTCTACTGGGTCCGGGTGGTTACGAGAGACGATTTGCCAAACATATCCCCTGCAGCCGATCCCAAGATCATCTCGGCTGCTCAGCTTGGCCCCTTTGTGCGAACACTCGCGCTGAATGCCAACATGTTTTGCCAGACATGGAACACAAAAGATGACGACTTGGAATTTCCCAGTGCATGGAGAGCCAGGTTCCAACAGATCAAAAGGCTCAAAGAGCGGGTGATGAGTAAATCAGGTGACAAGCAGGCACCCTCAGCGGTTCCAGTCGCAGTCACCAGCAGCATAGCGCCGGGCGCATCAACTGGTAGAAGGACTCCAGTACCAAGGGAGAAGGATGGCACTCTAGCATCCCAGCTAGACTTCAGTTCATGGACCATCTAACGAATTTGAGAGGGAAAAAAGAGGCGCTTTGGCGACGACAAGAGACTTCAGTGACGGGAAAGGCAAAGGGGATCACAAGCATGGTGTTGGTGGGACCAACCGGCGGGATATGCGTCGAGGGCACAAGGGAGAGGATGGGAAAAATGCACCCTACTCTGCCGGTGGCTTGAATCTTATGGATTGTAATTTGTATAGCAAAAGTTTTTGATGCAATACCTACCTACGAGTACTATTACCCTGACCTGTCTCAGGCTGTCTGGCATGGGCCTTACACGTGGTTGAGCGTAGACGTCGCTACATGCGCCTACGTAACCACCAACTTTGTCCCCGTGCTTAGCGCCTTCAAGTCCTGTGAGCTGCTCGTATATGCTAGCTACTGAGACTGCGGGGGACGTCGATGCTACTAGGGCCTGCCACTTGTAGTGCCCCTCCCATCCGCCTCTCGCTCTTCGCCCCTCGCCCCTCACCTCACATGCGTAGCACCGACGTCAGCTGCTGCTCCCTCTCCCAGGCATCAGGAATTCGGCCAGTGCACCGCCACCTGTTGAACATTCTCAACTATATACACACTTGTCCGGCCATTGGTGGTGGCATCCCTCTGCCTTTCAGCCACTGGAATATGCAATCGTACGCAGACCAGCGCAAATTCTGCCAGAGACAAGCAACCCAATGACTTCGGGATCATCCTCCAGGCCAGAGGCGCCTTCGCCATCGGCCTCCTTCTATGACCTCTCGGACGACGAAGAAGGGGGCTACAACACAATCACCCATGCCTCTGCCACCAAAGGTGTGAAACTGCTCTTCTCCAAAAGCAAGGTTTACGTGCACCCGTCGCCCTCGGCCAAAGACAACATCCCCGGCTTTATCGCCTTGGTCCAGCAGAAGTCGCCCGCTCTCGCCGACGACGGCCAACGACCCACCTCCGCCGACTCCTCGTCCAAGAAGAAAACAAACGCGTCTTCATATCTGTTGGCTTGGGTCCCCGAAGCCTCGCTGGCACAGGATGACCTGAGCACGTACGTGAAGGTGGACATGAAGGACGGCGAATCTCCTCCTAGACAAAGTTATTTGGTCCCTCCTCTCCCTCTTGCGACCACCTTTGACGAATCCCCCGTCGGACCATATGCGTTCTCGCTACCTCTCTCCAGCATATACTCCATCCACGTCCGTCCGCCAAGTCTAGGCTGGTGGTATGGCAGCATAGTCATCAACACCCGTGCCGGTTCGAGCTTACCTGCGTTATTTTTCCATGACTCGGAATGCGAAAGCACAATACTACAAAAGAAAAAAAGAGCACGGGAGTCATTCGACCCCTTTGGAGAAAGCGGCGACCTGTTTTGGGGCGGTGACGAAGTGCTTAGGTGGCTGAAGAGATATGTGACTGTTGAAAGGAGCACTGCAGAGCCATCAATATACCTCATCGACCCTTCTGAAGAAGATCGTGTTGGCTTCGGCCAAGGTCGAAAGTCGCTCGAACAAGCAAGACGCAAGAGTGAAGCATCAACATCCAAGAAACCCGAGCAGAAGAAACCATCAGGCCCAGGGATGGATCCTTTCACAAAGGCACTCAAAGAAACTAGGTGGAAGATCTTGGAGCAACTGTCCAAAGTCACAACGTTTACTCGACGGACTGCGGAAGACCTTGCTAATAACAAGAACCTGCCTCCGCAAGTGCGACGACTCATCCAGAATCCTGAGATTCAGACTCTGCAGGATGAATTTGACAGTGCAAAGTTATACTTGGCACGATGGGCCATGAGCATTGCAGAGCAAAGCGAGCGTGAGAGGAGGCAGAGAATATGGACTGCACGAGATGTCTTGGACTCGGAAGAGACCAGCGTGGGAGACTTTGAGATTCTGGACATGGAGGCTGCACGAATGACCTTGGCCGACAGCAAGAGGCGCCCTGTCGACATGAAAGAGTGGAAGTCCTTTTTCGATTCAAAGGGCAAATTGCAAGTCACGGTGGAAGAGGTCAAGGAGCGAATCTTCCACGGCGGGCTGGACCCTGAGGACGGTGTAAGAAAAGAGGCATGGCCTTTTCTATTGGGAGTGTACGAGTGGGACAGTACGGAGGAAGAACGGCATGCTCTCATGAACAGAAAACGAGACGAATATATTCAACTGAAAGGTGCCTGGTGGGACAGAATGATCGATGGCGATGCCACGCCCGAACAGGACGAATGGTGGAAGGAGCAGAAGGTTCGAATCGGTAAGCCTGAATGTCCCCCGGGTCCTTGTTTCTTCATACTTACGATCCCAACTGACCTGGCCACGCGACATGTAGAAAAGGATGTGCACCGCACCGACCGTCATATCCCCCTCTTCGCAGGCGAAGATATCCCTCACCCAGACCCAACCTCACCTTTTTTCAACCCCAATGGACCCGGCACAAACGTGCATATGGAGCAGTTAAAGGATATGCTCTTGACCTACCTCGAATACGACACACCTCCCTCCTCTTCTACCGCCACAAGCCCTCAAAAATCGTCCTCTTCCTCGCAACCACAACGCTACCGGACCCAAAACCCGCATCCCCAAAATCTGGGTTACGTTCAAGGCATGTCCGACCTCCTCTCACCTCTCTACGCCGTCTTCCAAGATGATGCCGTCGCTTTCTGGGCTTTCGTGCAGTTTATGCGCAGGATGTCGCGAAACTTCGTCCGCTCACAAGTGGGAATGCGCTCCCAACTCAACACACTCGACCAGTTAGTCCAACTCCTCGACCCGAAACTATACCTCCACCTTCAGTCGGCAGATTCTACAAATTTCTTTTTCTTCTTTAGAATGTTGCTTGTTTGGTATAAGAGGGAGTTTGAATGGTCCGACACTCTCAGGCTGTGGGAGTCACTGTGGACGGACTATTATTCCTCCCAGTTTCACCTTTTCATTGCAATGGCAATTCTCGAAAAGCATCGCGATGTTATTATGGACCATCTCAAGCACTTTGACGAAGTTCTGAAGTACATTAATGAGCTGAGCGGGACGATTGAACTTCAAGACATTCTGTGGAGAGCTGAGGGGCTATTCAAGAGGTTCGAGAAGACGGTCGAGACAATCGACCGCAAAGATGCTTTCCCCCCGCCAAATGCTGGCCAGAGTGACGCGGAACTGCGACAGAGGAAACCAGGTGCTGGACAAGAGACAAATCCGGCCGCATCAGCGTCAGGCGTCGCCTCGAGCACATCATCACACCCACTTCAGGCCCAAAATCCGCCCACAAGTCCGGCCCGACGGGGCCCTCAACAACCAGCGAAAGCAAAGGAGGCTGAAAAGGCCAAAGAAAGAGTCATCACACCGGAACTGCGGCTCCTTCTAAGTCGAAAAATCGTCACTCTAGAAGGCGAGGACGGCTCAAGAGACTCGGAGCGGACAAGGCCGAGTGGACTTAAAGATTGAGCCCAGTGCGTGTTTACAATTGTCATTGTTTGTTGGATTAAACAGAGCCCGGAAATTTGGAATAGCATGGATTGCCTGCCTGGCTCTCTTGCTCCTCCCGTCCTCAGTAGGACGGCTAACAAGTGTGTAACATGTCCATTGATGAGACAGCATGGGAAAGCCTTTATGAGACAGTATACCCGCAGCGGTAGCAACTGATATACGGTGTAAACAATCATCTCAATCACAATATTCTGCAAAAGAACATCTAGTCCTGGTCTCCATGGGCGCGGGCCTGACGTTGTGTTGCAGCGGTGGCAACACCCATGTGCTCTCCTGGTATCTCTATTTGAAGTAACAAGCCTGCAAGCAAATCCGATATGCGGACAAGCTTGTTCCATCGAGTAGATAGATTCTCAGCCGTGATACAAGAACCTTTTCTTTTGGCCCCGTTCCCGCCATTTTTGTGTGTCTGGGTCCTTCCTTTCGACAAAAGGGGCCCTGTTTCGAGTCGCAAACACCCTCCATCATTTGCCTTTTTTTTTTAACCCTTTCCGCCTGCCTACAAGTTGAACTTGTGCTTGATCAACTCGATCTTGTGTTCCAGGAGGGCTCGGTCGAAGTCGACGTCCTTGGGCAGATAGACGTTGCCGAGGTAATTGTCGTATCGATCAAAGGGGCACGGCTCCCCCGGTGGTGCCGTCCCTGCGGGTGATCTCATTGACGGTGCCGCGATATACGGGCAGAGGTGGTCTGCGAGGAGAGTTGCGACCTTGGACATTCCGGCGCTGTTGAGCACAGATGATATCGCCGGTGAAGAAGATGATGATGATGGCGGCGACGGTGGTGGTAATGGTGGTGATTGCTCGGACGAATTCGAACTGGGGCGACGAGTCTCAAAATCCGTCTCCGCGTCAAGCCAGCCGGTCGTGTCGATCCAGAACGTCGACTTGTCCCCTTGGGCTTGCACGGTCGATACCACCTGGGCGATGGCGTTGGAGATGACCCTATCGAGCTTAAGTTTCTTGGTCACCGAGTGCCGCGCCGCGGAGAACGGAGTGAGCAGGAAGATTGAGAGGGTGGACGGCGCAGAGTTGTAGATGTAGCTGCCGTCGTCGTCAGAGTCGTCGTTGTCCAAGTCACTGGCCATTCCCGTCGTCGCTCGCGCTGTCGCCGCCGTTGCCATGGGGTTGAACGGGTACGCATTGGCCCGGATCGCTTGGATCAATTTCACATACGCGTCAACGAACTCGTTGGTGAACTTGGCCAGGGCGTGCTTGTTGACGGGCTTCCCCGTGGCATGAGAGGAGAAGAAGGCGGCAAAATCCACGAGTCCGAGCTGGAGGAGCAGCACCGAGGGCCGGTACAGCTTGAAATTCCAGGGACGTGCAAATGCCGTGGTTCCTGGAGGGCCTGCGCGGAAGAATTGATCCCTGACACTCAATCCTGACTCTGTTGTTGGCAGCAGCCCGATTCCCGTGGTGTCCAAGATCACTGTGTCCAGCTCCTTGTACCAATAGTCTCCTCCGTCGTCCAAGTCACTCTGCGACGTCGGTGGCAGATAGTTCATGGCCGAGAGCGAACCCTCCGACGTTACTATCTCGACCACTTTCCTCCCTCGCCATGGTACATCCTCTTCATTATGTGAAGGTTTGTCGAGGCTTTCGCCAAAAGGAAGGAGTCTTGCTAGCGAGGATGTTTCGTTCGAGGTTGATGAAGCTGTACTAGTTTCTGCAGGTGTGCCTTTGTCGAGCCAAATGCCTTCAAACTCGAGCACTCCACTGGTGCTATTCGGACCTCCCATGTATGTGAGTCTGACCCTGTACGTCTCCTGTGAATTAAGATGCCTGACAATTGGGACCACCAAGCCAGCGGCTTCTACCCAGTATGTGTCTTGGCCTTCGATCGCTACCACGAGACTGACGGGGTCTGAGGCTCTGGCGCTGGTCAACCGGAACTCGGAATGGTGGATATCCCTTGCCTCCAGACGTTCGGTCTGTTGTTTGGATGCCGAGTTGAGATTGTTCAGAGATATGTAGAGAGAGCTGGTGTTTGCTATCATCATCTCGACATAAGAACCTGCTCCGAGACTCAGTCCTTCCGTTGCTCTTTGCATTGACTCGCCCACTGACCTGGAAATGCTGCATCTCTCCGGAGTTGGTTCGCGGTGGGCATCCATCGTCCGGCATACTATCGAGGACTCAGACTTTCAGGAGATGAAGAAGGATCGACGATGTGGCCCTACATGCAAGTGAGGATGACTGGCCGGTATGAAGACATTGTCCTCCTCCATCAGCTTCCGCAGGAGGTGCTTGAGGCCGATCCAGGCATCAACGCTGGGAATCGTGGACGTGGGCAACACAGGCATCTCGAGAACGAGGACGAGGCAAATGAACGTCAGAGGGACAAGTATAAGCAAGCACAACAGACAAACCTTCATGGCTCGTGAGCCGAGCATCTTGACTGTCACAATAGAGGACGTCCTTGACTGCCGAAATTGCCTGCAGACAGACAATGTGAACGTGTCCTGCAGCGAGGGGGTAGGGACGGCGCGTCTGGTAATTCACTCTTCAACCCGTGACCGTGGGTCCCGAACCAGCGGTTGGTCTGGCAGAACCCAAAATAAAAGTATACATATTTTTTAACCACAATTCCTGTCAACAATTCCCATGTCTATCCCGGGTCCTGATCTCTGATGGCTAACACCGATGTTGGCCAGACGACGAGCTAGTCAAGGCGTTAGGGTGTGGCCACCAGGCATGAGACTGCTTCTCTTGGGAGTTACGCGAATCCTAGAAAGTAACTGCCCTGACACCTGTAGCTACCCAAAAGGAGGTACAGGGGGTTCCGCGCCAAATACGGCTCCCTAAACGTGGGTTGTCCGAGGCCGGAGAGAACCTGACGAAACGACGGAAAAAACTCCTCCTTCAAGGGAGTTTTACCTCGATTCAACCTCAACTCCCACCGGGGAGTTGGGCTTGAATTAGAGTTTTTGCATTTTGAGTCGGCGGTGTGTACCCTTTTTTTGCGTGTGGAAAGAGATCTGTGCGCTTTCGAACACAAGGCTGAGGAGTGTGTATGTGCGCGAGGCTGAGTATCCCGCCAAGATAGGTTGACGGCACGTGGATCGAAGGAGTCGGTGTCCATGTATCGCTCACCCTCTTGGCATATGGCTGGTCTCTGCTTGAATCGACGGTCGTCCCTCCCGCTCTTCGTTCGGGTCTTCCTCCGCATCATCGTCTTCTTCGGCATATACTTCCCCTTGACGCCCCAGCTTCTCGTCTGCCAGCCGCCTGTATTTCCTGCGCTTCTTCTTGTCCGCGCTCCTCTTCTTGCGCTGCTTTCTCTCCACAACTTTGGCCGCCCGGCTTTCCTCACCCTTCTCCAACATCTCCACTTTCTCAGCAAGAATCCTCTTGGCTATGGTGTGATTTTGACTTCTGCTGCGCGTGGCTTGACACTTGACAACAATGCCAGTTGGAATGTGTGTCAACTGGGCGGCCGAGTTGGTCTTGTTGATCTTCTGACCGCCGGGTCCAGTGCCTTTGACATAGGTATGTTTGATATCAGCGTCTGGTAAGGTTGGGCGCGGCGGAAGGTGGTTGCCCGACTTGTGAGACCGCCCAGCGAAGGTGCTGAAGGTGGAAGTAAGAAGGGTGTTGCGGGAGAATTTGGTCTCATGTTGGAATACTGTACAGAGGTGCAACCGCCTCAGCGGGCGGCACGCAAGCATCGCTTACATGACCAATTGCAAGAAAGCGAGGTTGGCCCTCTTCGAGGCGGAATATCAACGGAAACAAGTTCTTGACGAAGAACTTGAAGTCCTGGAGCTGCCGAGCTGCTCAGCGGCATTGAGTCCGAGCATTGGTCTTACTTGAATAGGCAGCTTAGCCGGCTGGAATGGGTATGCTTCCGCACCCTCGGGAGTACAGAGCGTCGAAAATCTGTTTGATAATATGATATTTGCCTCTCAGCCGCCAGTGTGTCAAGGTTCAAGCATTCGGTTATGTAGTCATCACGGATTGAGACGTGCAGTAGCCGTGATGGTCAGCGCCGATGGATGCACACCAGGCAAGGGACAAAGGTTACTCCGGCCCGAAGGCTGCGGGCCATGTCTCCAGCGCATCTTGGTGTCGCTCCATTCTCCGCCTCTTCGAACCATCCATCAACCTATCATCTTATGTCTTCTCCCGTGTTCAGCCTCAAGTACCGTGTCTTGTGCGTTGTCGAGATGCATGAGATTCCGGAGCTGAGCGTTGCAAGCGCGCCTATGGATGCTCTCCTGACGATCGTTGTGATATCATAAAATGCTGTCCCCTTGATCGATACTCTATCCTAGCCGTGTTTTACTCCTTCATCACAAGGTAGACTCGTCTCTATTACTCTTCCCCCTTCTCTCTTTCCCCTCTATGCAGTCTCCAGCACCATGACCTCCCCCTCAGGCCGTCTGCAGGGTCGCGTGGCCATTGTCACCGGCTCCAGCTCCGGACTTGGCCAAGCCATCTGCCTCGCCCTCGCCGCGGAAGGCGCTTCGGTTTTCTGCATTGACCTGTACCCAACCCCGCGCAACGCGATCAACCCTTCCACTCAGCGCGCAGATGACTTCCACAACCGCGTCACCGGCCAGCCAGGGACGCACGAGCGCATCCGTCACATGGGAGGCGAGGCCACTTACCACAAGGCGGACGTCACGCGGGCGCGAGACATGGAACTCGCCATTCGAGCCTGTGTGCAGCGATACAAGAGGGTGGACATCATGGTGAACAACGCCGGCGTCAGCGTGGAGAGCACGCACCTCCGCCCCCTCCGGTGCCACGAGACGAGCGAGGAGGACTACGACAAGACCATGGCCATCAACGCAAAGGGCATGTTCCTGGGCTGCAAATACGCCCTCAAGCAAATGCTGGACGGGCAGCCTCAGGTGTACTCCTCCAGGGGGTGGATCGTCAACACCGCCTCCGTCCAGGGGCTCGTCCCCTTCTACGGGACCCCGTCTTACTGCACGTCCAAGGGCGCTGCCGTCATGTTGACCAAGCAAATTGCGCTGGACTATGCCAAGGATTTGATCCACTGCAACGCTCTCTGCCCGGGCTTTCTAGAAACAAGCATGACGCAGAACCTACAGGGCCAGCCGCAGGAGTTGCAGGACATTGAAGGGAAGCATCCATTCGGGCAGAAACTGGGCAAGGTGGAGGACGTGGCGAAGGCGGCGGTGTTTTTGGCGAGCGACGAGGCGGGTTGGATCACTGGAGTTCCCTTGCCTGTTGATGGAGGTTATTTACTTAGATGAGCGTTGAGAGACTGTGAAACTACCTCGGATGCCAGCGAGCCAAGATAGTCATACATCTACGGCATATAGTTGCGCAGACATGAGAAGAAGCTGCTTGAAGCCCGACTGAGCGGGCTGACCAGCAAGAGACAGATGTCCTGGAATACAACGCGTCTCAAATCCAACCAACTAGGCCTCCTGTGCCGCCTCGATCTTCAACCACATATCCAACCATATTCTACCCTCCTCCCCCACCTCAGCAGGTCTGTCATAACACTTCTCCAGCGTGCCCAACACCCTCTCCCTTAAAATCTTCAGCGCCATCAGCTCCCTCCACCGCCGGACCGAAAGCCTCACCTTGCCGCCATCCAAGACCAAGACGCCCGCAAAGAATTTGAACTCGGCCTCTGCGCCCAGCAGGATCGCGAGCGCGGACTCGGGGATGGCAGACGTTTCAAAGACGTTGAGGGAGCCGCTGCGGGTGTTTTGCATGGCCTCGTAGAAGGAGAGCCAGCGCGGCGCCTTGGGGGCGTGCGAAGGGTGGTTGACGGACCGCGGCGTCAGCGAGACCATCTGGTTTGTGTACACGTTGCGCCAGCCTTTGCCTTCGCGCATTAGGATCCGGGGATACAGCGCCACGGCGATAATCGCACTGAGCGCCCGGTCCGGTACGGTCTGGTTGTAGCGCGCGGGGATGGTGTAGGATGGAAGACCGCCACGTCCGGAAGAATACGTTCGGGCCCGGTTCAGGGTTGCTCGTTCCTCCGGCTCCAGCGTCACCAGCCCGGCGTCAACGAGGTACACGAGCAGCTGGATCTTTTGCATTTCGACTTGTCCCATCGTCTGGTCGCTGATGTGGTTCTTGCGGCAGAACTCCGGGGCCGTCCGAGCCGCTTTGGCTTTCTTCCAACCTTCGTAGGCGTTTAGCGAGGAGAGCAGGTCGGAGTCGCCTCTGCTGAATGCATGTCTTGCGTCGCCTTGCGAACCAGATGTAGGAATCTGCAGGAACGGCGACTTGGAGGTCAGGAGAGATATGATAGCCAGGATGGGATCCTTACGCAGACAAAAGTTAGAAACAACTCTCGGATCAGAAACCAATTCGTTCTCCGGTTTGCAACTCACCAGGCATTGGAAAATGACGCCAAAGATCGCCAGCTTCGCCAACAGCACCTCCAAGGGCAATCTCGCAATCTGCTGCCCCAGCGGCGTCAACGTCTCGTTCTTCGCTAATGCTCCCGCGTCTTTCAACTTGTCGATCGCTCTGAGCACGTTCTTTCTCGAAGGCGGCTCGATCGCCGCGTTCAGAGTCTCCTCAATCGACCCTAGGTTCCACACCTTGATTCGCAGGATCGGATCTTGCAGACTCAGCCGCAACATTTCGGGGACTTGCTGCTCAAGCATCAGGTTGTCGTAACGATGCTTGGTGACGAGGTGGAAGCAGAGACCTTCCTGAACACGCGCGGCCCGACCTCTTCGCTGACGCGCAGAGGAGCGAGAAATGAATCCTTCCGTCAGCCGCGAGAGCTGGCGTCGTTCGTCAAAGCGCATGATTTTCTCCTTGCACGTGTCGATCACCGCCGTTACGTCTGGAATGGTTATCCCGGTCTCGGCAATGTTGGTTGCGATCACAATCTTTCTTTGCCCTTTCGGCGGACGTTCAAACGCTCGTTCGAGCTCCTCTGTTGAGAAGGTCGAATGCAAGAGGTGCACGATCCAATCTTTGCTGAACGTGTCCATTGAGAGGAGGAGATTGTGCAAACGCCGCATTTCGCCTATCCCCGGCATGAAGATCAGGATCGCGCTGCTATACTTCGCGTAACGTGGTTTGCTGGCAATGGAGGCGGCGAGTTTTGCGATGAGACTATAGTCGATGTGATATTCGTCCATGTTGGAAATCGTCTGTTGGGTCTGGCTACTATACTTCTCTGGTTGGGCAATGATAGGTCGCCCCTTATCGTTTCCGTAGTAATCATTCCAGTCTTGGTCCTCGTCCTGGATTGCCGGGTCTTTTTCTTTCACGCCCGCAAGGTCGGTGGTGGCCTCGACTGCATCCTCCAGGAATCCCACCTCAACTGGAAACGTCCTTCCGGGGAGGTCTAACACTGGAGCGCCGCCAAAGTAGTCCGAGAACTTTTTAGCATCCACTGTAGCCGACATGAGAACGATCTTCAATGTACTCCGGCGTTTTAGCAACTTCTGCAACGCGATAAATAGCAGGTCCAAATCCATCGTACGCTCGTGTACTTCGTCTAGAATGAGGCAGTCCAGATCATTGAGATTTGGAGATTCCTCCAACATCCTCAGCAGTACGCCGGTCGTTGCATAGGTGATTCGCGTGGTGCTGCTCGTCTTGCTCTCTAACCGAATAGCATAGCCGACAAGTGATCGGTTGGTACCGATGTCGTTCCGGTTCTCCCCAAGCTCCTGAGAAACGCGTCTAGCGAGAGTGATGGCCGATATTCTCCTTGGCTGTGTTACAAGGATGCGATAGTCCCGGGAGGCGCAAAACTCTTGCTCCAAAAGCAATACCGGAATTCCAGACGATTTGCCGGCACCGGTCTCTGCGCAGATAACACTCACGGCGTGTTCGGCAATGCAAGAGAGAATTCGGTCTTTGTACTGGTGAACAGGGAGCTCTTGGCGTACTTGAAGCATTTCGCGAAAAGATGGACGAGAGGTGCGGGTATTCCATTCCGTGGAGACTTGTTCTGGACTCCAATTCACAATGACAGGTGCTCGAGCTCGGCGGCGGTCACCGGCAATGCTGCAGGCCTCAGATCGGTCCTTGCTGGGTAGTTTGCTTTGTCGCTGGCTCAGTCTGTCCTGTGTTTCAGAGATGAGGGCTCGCAGCCTCCGTAAAGTTTCCTTTCGTTCTTCGTTGACAAGTCTTTCTTTGGTGTCGCCCAAGTCTTTCACCACATCTCTCCATACAGTCGGCAGACGGCTTATTGCTTTCTGCTCGCTGGCACCGAGTGTTGACACCAGAAACAGGCCAAGAGTGCAGATATAAGCCTCCGACTGGGTGGTACCCGCTGCTGCAACGCCTCTCATCTCCAATTCCCAAAAACGCTCATTAACCTGAGCAGAGACTTCGGATGGTAATGCCAACGTCGTGCTAGCCTCGGCCATGGTATCGGCTGTCCAAGAAATCTGTAATTTGTGTCTTGTAGAGTGTGAGGTTTGCTGCAAAGTTCTGATCTGTATCCGACATCTCGAATCACGGCCTCTGCAGACTTCATCAAGAAGTCTCTTTGGTGACAGTCCCGACCATTTTCCGAAGTCTAGCAGTCTGATCGAGTTCTCAGATGCTGGTTGGTTTCGTTCAGAGACAATGGTGTCTTCGGATTCTCCAAACATACCACCCAGAAGAGCATCATCGTCGTCAGCAGCGGTTAGTCCGTTGTCCTCTGATCCAGGCTTCTTGATCACGGTATCATCGTCGATGTTCTGTTGAACAGCGGCTTGCTTCTCCTTCCGCCGCTTTGTAGCAGCAACACGCAGGTACTGTTGACGTGCTTCCATGAGTTGAGTCAAGATGATTTCCCACGCAGCTTCTTCCTCTTGCTTATCCAACAGAGGATCACGACGCAGCTGTTGCAAATTACGCTGCAATTTAGCGATGCGCCTTTCCCTTCTTTTCCCCGCCTTCGCAATATCGTTGGCATCCTCGTTCTGCGCCTCCCAGAGTCGTCGTTGGATTTGAACAGATTTCTCAATTAGTTTGGCAGGGTCGTTGTCTTCTTCAGATTCTGAAGACTCTGGGCTCGATGATGAGTCTTCCTCCGCTTCTGAAACTCCTGCGGGCGTGGATGCTGGACTTTGTCTACTTTGGTTCGCGGTCGGCGGCTCTGTGTCTTTGTTAGTCCTGTTGGTACATGCAGCTCAAGATTGCGAAAGGGGTAAATTGGGGTTCGACTAAGATCAAAGGCACCGATCTGAGATGGAAATAGGACGGCAAGATATCGCGACGTCACATATACTTGCGCGAGGCAGGGGAATCTTGAAACGCCGTTATTGGTCTGCCTTGTTGACATAGTAAGGCACAAAGGACATCTGCGCAAATTCGAATATCGGGCCCTCTCTCACTCACCAGATGTCATCTGGAGTGGGGTGCTATCACCGCTCAATCCAGTCGTTGGGCCTGTAGTCTGTTCATAGTTCGTGAGTTCGCCCTCAGGCGTCTTAGAGGCGTACCATTGCAAAGCCTCAGACAGGCCGGGCAGGAAATCGGGGATGCTCCTTAGCTGTCCTAGAAGGGCAGTTTCAGCAATATGGGCAAGTGCTTTAGAGACTCTTGGAAATTTCAATGACACCAAGACTCTCTCCAAACTCCACAGGTCGAGCAAGAGTTTCTCCTCATCGACAGGAATCTCAACGCCCCTAGATGCCGACGATACAGGGCTCCTACCATGGGCATCCATATCAAAGAGACTGTCCACTGTCTCGTCCGGCAGCCAGTTGTATGTTGATAATTTTTGCGCTTGCGGACGCAGTTGACGCCGTTCGGTTTCTAGCCTGGCGACTTGACGGCGAGCATCAGCAATGCATCGTGTAGCGTACTTGGAGAGTACTCCCTCCAGCTCAGAGTCTTCCAGATGAGCTTCAAACTCTTCGGGAGTCATATCTTGGATCTTTAAACCTTGTACAGCCTGTTCGCCATTGCTCGACACCGCGTTCTCGTGTTTGATAGGTGCTGTGGGTTTAGCACCAGTGCCTGCCCCTGAGGCAGTATCATCGACGCTAACCAAACCCTTATCGGGCTCGTCGACGGCTTTAGATTTAGAAGGTACAGAAGTCGTAGCAAACCCTCGAGCAGGGTTCGCTGCAGGCTTCTTTTTCTTCTTTGGGGCCATGCTCTATCAGGTGCTGAGGGGCAGTGACCTGCTCAGCCTGTGAGCCCTGTGAAGATTGCTGTGTGGCCGAAATTAAGCAAAGAGAGACTTTCTATATCTGGACCTTCGCTTTTAGAGAGCCTGAGATGCAATGGGAGAGAGGACAAATGTCGCGCCAAGACCAGCAATGAAACGGTCGCCATTTTGGGACGAAAGTGATGCCGCCCTAGCCCTACTTCCCCCCCCCCCTCCTTCGTCCCCTATTTCACGACGACGGATCTATATAATCGAATGGAGGCGTTGTCTTCACTGCTGCGATCATTCCTGGATCCTGTATCCTGAGGCGAGATGGCTCCCAGACCGCTGTAGACAAGATTCATCTCCACAAGTACAGCTTTGGTATATACTACCGAGGCTGTTAGCGGAGCTCTTTGTCGCTTTGACCATGCGCCACTCCTGATCGATCCTTTGCAAAGCCGGAGGCTGCTTCAGAGTCGAGTTGTGAGGTGTGCAGGATGATTCGAGTCGGTCACGAATGGAGGACCTAGTCTCGTATCGATCGGTCCAGACTGCGCCCTGCCAAGCCAGCTGAAGAGGTACAAGTACCGACATGGGAAGAAACCACATATTCTACGGGCCAAGGTCGGCGTCCCCATGGATACGTTGGCTCTAATGACCAAGGGATGGAGCACGACACCAGGCTCAGCTCCAGGGCCCTACGCTTATCAGGCACTGGACGAAGAACACCAGGAGTTGCGACTCTTGAAACTTGTGCCATCTCGCGACCCCAAGGACCCTCTCAGAGCGACCATCGTCACAGTACGCCCCGACTGGGTGGCGTTAGCTTCTGACCCCAATCACCCAGGTCTTCGCTGGACAGCGTTATCGTATGTTTGGGCTGACCCGGATGAGCCTACTGTCGTCCTTGATGGCCAGCAACTCCGAGATACGCAAAAGAAGGAGGAAATCCTCATCGGAAACACCGCCGTCAAGATTACATCCAATCTATTCAGCGCCCTTATGTCAATCCGTGCTTACAAAGAGTTCTGCACCATCTGGGCCGATCAGCTCTGTATTGACCAGGCCAACTTGAGTGAGAGAGCAAGCCAAGTGCAGCTGATGCACATGATATTTTCCCTGGCGGAGAACGTTCTGGTGTGGTTGGGGAAAGCAATCAGAGGAGAGAAGACACGGATGTTTTCACAAATGCTCACATGGCTTCTTAGCCCGCAACGGACCGGCCTGCTCGAAGACGCTCCCTCGCTCGCCCGATTCACGGCCAAGCTGATGACAGAGGAGCCGCACTTGTATCCGCCTCCGAGCGAGGACCATCACCTCTTCACCAAGCAAATAGCCAAGGACATTCTGGAAGACCCTTGGTTCAGTCGATCCTGGGTTATCCAGGAAGCGGTGCATGCCAAAAATCTCCTCGTGTATCTAGGCCCGGTAGTCGTCCCGTGGGAGATATTCGAGGGAGCCATCTCCGGTTTGTCATACTGGAGCATCCCATGGAGTGCGGCTGAAGATTCTACCTCGGCCACATTCCATCGTGGCGGACTTCAGATTCTCAAGAAAACCCGGGAGTGGCAGGAAAGTCGGTACAAACAGAAGACCCTTCTTCCGTCAGCCCCATTGTCCACTCTCCTTCAGGGGCTGCGGGTCAGTCGAAGCACAGATGCTCGCGATAAAGTCTACGCCTTTTGGCACATGTCTCATCAGGAGTTTCGGGCCGAAAAGGGTCAGATAGATCCATTGCCGATCTCTTACGAGAGAAGTACACAGGAGGTCTATGGACGGACCGTGGCATACTGCATCAACACTGAAATGAATCTGGACGTGCTCTCTTGCGCTTGCAAGCATGAGGTATCAAGCCAGGAGTCTGGGTTTCCATCCTGGATGCATGACTGGCAAGTCCATCCTGACCAACTCGGGTGCGCGACTGATCTGCACAATATTCTCCCTCAGCGAGGATGTGATGCGTATGCCGTCAACAGCGAAGGCCATGGCGGCAAGACCCCGTTCAACGCTTGCGCAGGCCGCCCAGCTCATTACGGAAGACCTCCTGATGAACCTGGACTGATCATCTATGGACAGTTCGAGCGCATTGGATTAAGGGGAATCGTCTTTGATGAGATCCGGACGGTGACCTCGGTGGGCCACTCCACCTCGCCGGAGGCGGAGGCGAGTACTGACCAAGAAATGGACTGGAACTCCTGGTGGGACTACGCGACGACAGAGATAGAGGGCGATCCATACCTCGAACCCGAAAGCCGTATCGAAGCCTTCTGCCACGCCCTGACATTTGGCCACGTCAAAATCCCGGGATCTGCCCATGAGGAAGTGAGACAAGATTTCGAAAATTGGTGGGCCGCTGGGAGGCCCCTCCACGAGCCAAGTTCTGCTCATTCCTCTAGCTGGAGCGAACGACTACGGTCCCACGAAGCATTTAAGAAGCTCTCATTTCCCAACGGGCTTTACGTCAATAAGAGGAGATTGTTCCGGACCGCCCGAGGCTACGTTGGCTCTGCATGTGAACATATCGAACCAGGGGACACGGTATGGGTTTTGTGGGGTGGTGCGTTGCCCTTTCTCTTGCGCGAAATCGAAGGAGAGGAGGGCGTCTACCACGTGGTAGGAGGGGCGGTTTACATCCACGGGATCATGTTTGGAGAGGCGGTTGAGAAGGTTGAAGAGGAGGGAACCAAGCCAGGAGGGATCTGGCTTGCTTAGACATGTAGATGTCATGCTTGATTCCGCTTGATGAACGCGCATCTACCAGGTGTTTTCTGCACTGCGGACTGAGGTTCAGTTGGCAAGGCAACCAATAGAATTGCTCCGTTTAACCTTCGTGATACTTTCTCTTTCACTGCCGCCGTTCATACACGCCCTCAGTCCTTTACGGGCAACAATTTCTCTAGAAAATCCCCAGATTCCGTGCACCTTTTCCCATTGTCCGACCGAACCTGCTGGAGCCTCATCTTCCAACAGAGTGTTTCAGGTCGATTCATCCCAATGCTTGCATTAGCGCTGACGGCGGATCTGGAAGGGTAGGACGCCCAGAATGCGGCCTCTGGGTGACACTGACGGTTCTATGCAGCGTGACCAACCTGGTCCCTTCGGATACAGCTGAATCACCTTACTATTACACCTTCAAAGTCCAGTGTACATCATGTCGTGAGATCCATGCAAACTGGGTCGGGGTCAGCCGTCATGTGAGTTTTCTCCGAGGCTGCAAAGGGGATGTTGCGACCATCATGGTCTATGATGTGTGGCGTCTCCTCGCTCGACTCTCATCTGACAGCTCCTTGGCTTGGTTTTCTGGCTGAAGCTGTCGTGGGTTGAGTCGGCGTTAGGGTACCATCTGACCTCACGAAATACAGGAGATGAACGAACAATCCGGGAGCCGAGGAGAGGCAAATTTTGTCTGGAAATGCAAGAACTGTAAGGTGTGTGTGTGTGTGTGTGAATGAAAGTGACCGCTTTGTTGCCGGAGGCGGCCTGGGTATCTTTCACAATGCTAACCGGACGCATTTCCACGCAGAGAGAGTCAAGCGCCTCAATCAAAGCAGCTCCGGCAAAATACGAGCAGAATTCACCCGCCAAACCGAAGAACATCATCGACATCGATTGTCGAGGTCTGGAATTTACGGATTTCAAGCCAGATGTAGGTCACCCTGCACGCTAAGATTCTCTCTTTCCTCTGACCTTGATTCTGCCCAGGGAGAATGGGAGGCCACGGGAATCGAGTCAGGGACCAAGTTCACGGGGATTGACTTGTCGGAAGGAGAGTGGTTTGACTACGACGAGAAGGCCGGCGAGGAAGTAAGCATCAAAGACATCAAATGGCAGATACGGCGAGCTTGAATCTCTGGTTGGGCTCGACATCAAGGTTAATCCTACAAATCATGCCGTTGGTGCTGTAGTTCAGCCTCGTGCGGGAGCGAGGCTGCGGCGTGGCTCCAAAATCGCGGGGCGGCTCCAGCAATCATCATGGTAAAACTGCCCACAACTCAGCCTCTTCATACCTTCTTCTCACCCTTCGACCTCCGCTTTATATCACCCGCGCCTCTATGATTTCCACTGCAGTCCCTCTTACGCGCCTCTTCCCAAGATAGCACTTATTGTTGGCGAAACTCGGTGGAACTCCATTTTCGGGCCCGTCGAATCGACTCTCTGCTTCTGGTTCCCTTTGGCATTCTTCTTCCCTTCTCTCCGCCGACTCTTCCTTCTCAGGTACAAAATGACGTCCGTTACGCGTCTCAGCCAACTGGCCGCGAAATTGTCCCACGAATACCACGCCCTCCAAACCGCCTATGCTGAAGTCGCGTTTCCCGCTTCCGCCGCTGTTATGTCACAGCTAACGAGGATCATACCCTCCGTCCCGCGACGACCATAGGCAGGCAGAATGTCACGATTGACGAACCATGGGCTTGTACTGAAGCCAATGGCTGCAAGAGAAGAGCACACTACAGAATCGACAGAATCCGGGGCGCGGAGAAGTATGTTTCAAACACAACCTCATGGCTCGGGACCTGAACCGCGTACTCCTCGCGTTGGGGGCCTACGGCGACTTGATTTGCCTCCATGAATGGCATTGGATATGGAATACCCTGCCCATACACGTACTGACTTTGCTAGGACATGGAGCTGATATGTGTGATACTACAGTCGACACCCTGATCTACGTCCCGGCTTCCCGATAAACTTATTCAACACATTTTTAGTGACGATTTCCGTATATGGGTCACGCTTTTTCAAGCCCACCACCCATTCCGCTGTGCCGGCGCAAAAGACCTCCCCCTTCTCTCGCGTGAAAGACGCTATCATGCCTGAGCCGTACTTGAGCCCTTTGAGGTACTCGGGCATGTAAGTCGACCCGTCCTTCTGAGGCTTGAAGAGACTTTGCATGAGCTCGATTTTGTCCCTTTCAGGACCACCAATAGGCTCCGAGCCGTTCCAGCGGTCTTGTTCGCCCAGGACCGCAGGACACATGGCAATGATTTCCAGTGTGGAAGGGGCACCATCCTCTAATGTAGGGTATGGCAGACCCTGCCGAAAGGTATACTGACAGCCATCCACCTCAAATGCGGCAATGTTCACGGGGTTCCCCCCGAAGGTGTCGCCATAGAAGAGTTGTGTGCCTTGAAGCGCCCAGTGGTCTGGCCTATAGACCAGAAAACCCCCGGAAGAGCGTGGAGTGGCGACACCGTACCTTGCGTATACCCCAGTAAGTCCACACAGGCCGACGGTCTGTGCGGCGGGGCGCTGAATAGCTGGCCACTCCCAGGACGTTGTGGTCCGTTGAGGATTTATCTTGCTCTCGGGGTCGTTGTCTGGGGTACCATAATAGTACTGCGTTTTCAGATCGGACGACAACCGGACCTGCTTGGCAAAATTACCGCCGAAGCGTGCAAAGGAGCCTCCCTGGTCCACAAATTGATCGATTGTGTCACGCTGCTCCCACGTCCAGTACTCGTCGTGGCCGACTATCACTGCGCAACGGTAGCCACCAAGAGGGGATGCAGCTGGGTCTTGAAGATCTGTTTGTGTGAGGTGGTGGATCCTATACCCTGCAGGTTCTGCCCAGAGGACAAAAGGTCGCTCGTAGATGGCATAGCCCGCATCAGCATAATGCCTGCTATAGCGCCCATACCACGAATACTCTAGAGAGAGATACCGCGGGGTCCAATTCAGACCCGGCATGAAGTCCCCCGTCCCTTCTCGAGGCGCATTGTCCGGGATCCGGATCATTCCTCTCGCGATTGGCCGTTGCGTACTTGACAGTGGCGTAGGAGTATCGTTTTGATACCCATCTGGCAGCCCGCGGTAATGATTGGCACCGCCCCAGTCGTTGTAGGCCAAGACGGTGCATGTCGTGTGGATCAGCACGAAGTCGGCGTCCGAGGGTTTGCTGGCTTTGACGATGAAAAACCCCTCGCGCTCACGTATCCGTTGGTGGCGGTCAGTCGCTCGAATGACGACCACGTAGTATCCCGGGGTCCAGGTTTCTTCGTCCAGACGAATAGACAGTGCCTCAGGCCAGTTGCAGCCGACGGCGTAGGCATCCGACGGAGTCTCGTGCTGGCGTCCTGGCAGGCCTTTCTGGTGGAAGACGGACCGGGGCTCACACCCGTCCTTGATAATGTCGATGTCGTACACAGAAGCTGCCGAATAGGTTCTCAGGGAGACCGATTCTTGTTGGAAGTAAGAGAACTTGTCGCAATACACCCAGATGTCCAGGCTCCCCGGCTCCGCACCGGGAAATTCAACCAGGCCGCCAGGGCGTGACCAGGCATAGTCAGGCTCTGAAGGCGGCCGTGCCATAGGGCTTTCGTGACTTCGAACCGGACAAGTGATCTATCCCCGTGTCGAACTTTTAGGCCTTCTCTATTCGACGTGGCAAGGTCTTGTTACTGGCAATCACAGTAATACAAGCTCCGGCGGCGGACGAAGGCTTGTCGGGTAAGTCAAGTTACTGAGACTGCTTGTATATATTACGAAAAGAATGCCCATGTCTGTTGAATCACGTCACGGTTATACGGCATGGGTATCGTGGCCGTATAGATACACTCTAACTTGGTAGATCTCGCTTTCTTTCCGATGCTCGACCCCGCTTGACAAAAGTTGCTGATAAGGAGCGCGGACCACGGTCTGGGCGCAGACTGACTCGGCTGAGGGCTTAAGCCGCCTTTGCAGCATCCTGAGAAACTCCTCTCGAGGACTCTAGCTCAACCTGGTAGTAGAAACTGATGGATTTGTCCCTACAACGATACAACAAATCTCGAGCCTTTGCATCTGGGGAGCGAAGCGGCACATGAGCCGTGTGTATAGCTCTGTGCGCTAACCGGATCCAGCAATTTTAGAAGGATAAGCTTTCCTGGCGCCATTCTCCGTCTATCCAACTTTGTACGAGGCACTCGGTATTTCGCCTGTGGCGGGGTATATAGAGGCGCTAACCCCGTTCAGCGGATTTTGCAGGATAGGGTTATCAAGCACACCAATCCAGACCCCCTCCCCCCCCCAGAACTCGGGACCTCAGTCAAAAGCGCACTGTTGAATGTCAGGGTAAAAGGAAATGCATTGGGCCCTACCCGACGCGCCTATCTCTGAGACCGTGCAGATCCACCCTTATCAATGTCGTGAATTGCGAGCCGCGTTCCAAATTGGAAGGCCAGAGAGCAAAATGTTCGCCGCCGTGGTCTATACAAGACAAGAGCCAACCCGGGGGTTGTGTGACTTCCTCCTAGACATCTCCCTGACGGTCTGGTCCTCTCCGCCTTGAGTCTCTGCCTATATCTGCTTTGCCGGGACGTTTTCCCGCACCGGAGGTGCCAATATGTCTATCGACGCTGAAAGCCGTATCGAGGCAGTGGGGACGACGAAGCTCGTCGAGTGTAAGTACTCGGACCTCATCTATATTGACTTGAAAGCTGACTGACGTGCCTTTGGGCTCGCAGTCTCTGAGAAGGAAGATGGCACGGGCAGGGACGGCAGCACCATCATCTTGATTCCAACCCCGACCACCAATCCCAACGACCCGTTGGTGTGTATCTCCTCGCCACTCATTGCGGTGCAGAAACAACGCTGACAACGTTATTCCCCCTAGAACTGGCCTTTGTGGCGCAAGTCCTGGTTGTCCGCCGTCACCTTGTTCTGGTGTTTCATGATCAACGCATCGTGAGTGCTTCTGCCTCCGTCCTCCAAAAGGGGGGCGCTGAAAACTGATATGTTTCAACGTTGTGCAGAATTGCGTGGACTTCCCCAGCCTGGGATCTTTGGGTGGAGGAATTCCCGACGACCTACACCGCGCTCAACAACACCCAGTCCGTCCTCACCTTCACATGTGGCATTGGCGTGCTCTTCGCGCTGCCCATGGCCACCAAATACGGACGGCGACTGCCCTACATCGTCGGCTCCGTCCTTGTGCTCGCAGGGCTCGCGTTCGGGGCGGCCATGCACTCGATCAATTTCATGTGGGCGTACATGGTCCTCTCCGGCTTCGGCTCCAGCCCAAGCTACTCCCTGAACGAGAACAGCCTCCTGGATATCTCGTTCCTCCACCAGCGCGGTCGATATATGGGGATATACGCGCTCGTGCTTCAAGCCGGCAACTTCCTGCCGCCCATCGCTTGTGGCTTCATCGTCGACTCGCAGGGATGGCGCTGGGTGCTGAGATATCTGCTCATCTTCCAGGGCATCTCGGCGTTGCTCATCATCTTCAGCGCCGAAGAGACTCTGTATCCCCGTCAATCACATATCCCCGTGCACGTGGGCAAATCTGCCCAGCCACAGCCCGTTGGCACCGAGCAACAGGGCCCTGCCCGTCTCTCCACGTCCAAGGACGAGGCCATCAGCGCCGACCGGGCCGCCAGTGTCACCGAGGTCTCCGAAGAAGGCCCGACCACAGCTTCCCACGTCGTGGACGACACGATCCCGATCCATTCCTGGCGCCGGCGCCACGCGCTGATCACCACGGACCCCACGGTCAAGCAAGGGTACTGGCAGCTCGTGGTGTCGCCGTTCCCGTACGTGGGCCTCCCCGCGGTGGCGTGGGCCAGCTTCATCGTCAGCTTCAAGAGCTTCCTGACCAGCTTCATCTTCAGCACGCAGGCGAGCTTCTTCTCCATCCCGCCGTACAACTTCAGCGCCGGCACCATGGGGCTCATGTTCGTGGCCCTCGTCATCGGCAACGTCATCGGCGCCGTGCTGGGGGGTCTGGGGGCCGACTGGCTGGTCCTTCGCCTGGCGCGGCGCAACCACGGCGTGACCGAGCCCGAGCATCGCCTGTGGGCCTTCTTCCCCGTCCCCTTCTGCTGCGCCGGCGGCATCCTCATGTACGGGCTGGGCGCGCACTACGGCCTGCACTGGATCGTGCCGTGCCTGGGCCTCACGCTGATCGGCATCGCCGCCAACATCCTGATCCCCGTCTCCATGACCTACGCCTTCGACGCGTACAGCGACATCTTCGACGAGTCCGTCCAGATGATCAACTTCCTCCGCAACACCGTCGGCGGCGCCCTGTCCTTCGCCATCCGGCCCTGGATCAACGCCAGCGGGCCCAAGAACGCCTGCATCGGCATCGCCATGATGTTGTTCGTCGTCTACATGACCTTCCTGCCCTTTGCCATCTGGGGCAAGAAGTGGAGGAATGCCACCGCGGGATACTACCTCAAGGTCACTCGCAAGAACGACAAGTGGGCATGAAAAAGGGGGGGTGTCAGGGTATGTGTGTGTTTTGAGAGAAAAAGGAACGTGAGGTGGTAAAGTTCTATCACTCCTTGGGGGGGTTTTTTTTGGCGTGAATGGAGCTCGTATAGACAAATGACCTGATCGATTTGAAGGCTGTGATGAACGTATCTTGATGCACGTCTTTGGGAGAAACATCCTAGCACTGATGACAGCATCTTGGACTCCCCATCCGGCTGCGCTCGTTGTATGTGAGTCTCTAAAGCCCCCCGCCTTAACATCGGCAGGCGCCCTTATCACTCATTATACCTTATCAAGGCTGTACGCGAAATGATTTAGAGACGCAAAATGATGTAAGACATGATCTAAACTTACCAAAGGCATGAGGCGGTGGACCACCTCGTCCTGTCACCAGATCCCAAGCTCCACCTTCCACTCTCGAGCAAGACTGTCCAAGCTTGTATATTGCCCTTGTCGCCGTCTTGACCATAATTCCTGCATAAGTGATTTGAGGTTCGAAGGACAAAATCCAGCCTCGTTCGGAAATAGCTCAGAGAGCACGTTCTCCGCGAACTCGAGCTTCCTGTCTTCTTCCGTCAAGCACGAGGCGACCACGATGGGCCAAATGACCTGACGTTCATTCTCCGACGAAGCTCGCCTGCAACGCAGCCAATAGCCCTCCACAATCTGCCACAACTGATCGAGAATGCGCGTGTGCGCGGTGTTTTGAAGCTGAGTGGGATGCAAGTTCGGGATGGCAACCCACAATTGAGCCGCCAGTCGGTACGCATGCCAGATCTCGAGTGTGCATGATGGCAGTGTTGTTGGTGCCACTGTGGCGTCCGGCTGCCATGCCTCCAGTCGCTGGAACATGTCTGCGCCTGAGTCTGCCGAGGCGAGTAGATCCAAGAGGGTGCGCGGTAGATTCGTGTTGGGATCGATCCCGCTTCGTCCCGAACACATCGTAGACCAGACGTGCAGGGAGCCCGAACACCGTCCAATAAGCCAGATATCCATGTCAAGCCCTGCCAGACGATCGATGTTTGGTTGGGGCTCCTGGCCAGCGAGCGCAATGGAGAGCAAGCTCTTCAAGTGGCCCGTCCACGTGTATCCGGCTTTCATCTAAGATTCGACGGTAAGAAAAAGGGCTGTTCGACGGAACAGGTCGTGACCTACTGCAACATGACACATTAGAAACCCTGCTGCCAGCAGTATATCGTTGTTGGTCTCGATAGATCCTCTCAGCCGGCTCTGGAAAATGCTCAGTGCGGACGACACTCGTGCTAGAGCAACCGGGGACGAGCCAAATTGCTCTAGGAGTTCGAACGCGACGATTGCCTCCCTAACCGGAGGATAGGTGAAGCACAAGGATCCGTATGTCTTCACAAATTGATTATCCCACATGTTGGACCAGTGGAACTGTAGGTGACCAGAGGTCAAGACTCAATATCTATATCTCAGCAAGGTGGACAATGATGCTGCTGCAATAAATTGGGGGTTACATACACCTTTCAATGAGCTGATTATCATCGATGGACTGCAGGATGACACTGGGGGGATTGTGGTCTCTACCATGGTTGCTCCTGGCAGGACTCTTCTCTCTTGGCCATTGCGGCGAACCTCCCTCATGTCTGTCGCTTATAATCACATTGCTTGGAACATTCCCTGTGAGCACTGCGTTCTTCCACCTCAGCGGGCGCTCATAATTGCAACGAAACCCTAAACGTGTGCATCTTTGGCAGGTGGGCTTGGTTTCATCGCACTTCCGGCTGGCGCTCAGACAGCTTGAGCAACCCGTGCGTGATCGACTAGTCGACGAAAGCCTTCTGTCCGACATTGAGAAAGAGTCCCTGGTTGATTGTGCTGCAGAACACCCATTCAGCTGTCGATAAACCTCCCACAGCAATAACAAGTCTATCCAGAAGGGGAGCTGCAAGAGCGGAGTTGAGAAACGTTCCGTCGTCTGTTATCGACTCTGGTTGATTGGCTACTGTATTCCTGCCTCAAAGAGACATACGAGTTGGCAGTTTTCCGAGGAAATCAGTCCCCCGCAAGCCCGTTTCGACAGGAAAACATAGGAGTATCATTGTGTTCCACTGCCGTTGATACTATGACTCCTGAGGCTGAACTTCTCGATATCGCTCAACGAAGAACCTGTGGAAAAGGCATCAGGAACCGAAGTCTCGCAGGTCTCTGGTAGGAACTCAAGAAGAGTTGACCAAATATTGGTCTCGGTCAAAGCGCAGGGAAGCCCAGGTGGGTGGTTTAATCGAAAGGCCAAAGGCAGAGATGGTTCCACATGACTTTATGAGCACGTGATATGTCCCACGTGACAGAGCCTTCTGCTTGCTGTCCGCGGGTTGAAGCGCGACCGAGTTTACCATCTCTTGGCAGAACATTTTCGCTCCAAATTCGAAGCATGGGCGACTGCGATCCAAGCTGCTGAACCACAACATCACCTGTAGTCAACTCTTCAATGAGAACTGATTGTTCTGCGTCTTTCGTTTGAACCCCTCGGCCTCAACCCCAGTAGACCGAGCAAAATGAATGTAAGATGAAATGTGGCAGCTTTTGCGACCTCTCTAACATGTTTGCAGTTCACTCCCATAAACCCGCGCCCTCTTCTCCAGAGCTTGTACGTCTTTGTGCCCTTGCGTCAAAGTGCGCGAGCACCTCCCCTCGTTGAAGCGCTGCTCGAATCGCCTAGATACGTCCATTGACAGGTTGTGTCGCAGGATCAATGACGAAGTTATCATCCGGTTAAAATGGGGTCAAACCGAATACAAAGGCCGACTCATTAGTGTCGACTCATACATGAACATCCAGCTCTCGAATACGGAAGAGTATATCGACAGGAAACACACCGGTACTTTGGGTCAGGTGCTCATCAGGTATGGCCGACAGAGTCCCAGCGACAGCCAGTGTAAAAATGTGACTGACCACTTGGACCATTAGATGTAACAACGTTCTGTGGATATCTGCAGCTAAGGGAGTCGAAATGAACGGCGAAGGACCCGATACCAAAATGGAGGACTAGGTTGGCGACATGCCGTAGAAGCAGAACACGATGTGGATTCAGGATCCCGCAAAGGTCGGACATGGAGCTGCTACAGTGTTTCTGCACCGAAAGCACATGCTCAGGCAGACACATCTCGCTGGTGGCATACTTCGCACAGCGAAATACATTCCTGTCAAGCCAGGATGGACACAATCGAGATGCCGGCAAAAGGGGAAGTTGATGCGATCCTCCAACCAGCTGATGACGTTGCAGCCCATTGAGCAAAGCCAACAACAACAAAGTGGCATAGTTTGGTCCTGAGAGATCGCATTCGAGGTGACGAGCACTGTGACTGTTCTCGATTGGCGCCGAAAGGGTGGTTGCAGCTGGTGGATTGTGTACGCAATACAGCCATCCTCCAGGACAACCGGTCACGTTCCGCAAGTCACGAGTCTGCACCGGGGTCTGATCATACATACAATCGGGCAATTCTGGACGATGAAGCTTGGTCTCCTTCCTTCACGCCACAAATAGGCACCCGAGGCATCACTGGAGGACAGGATGCGGACCACGGATTATCAGAGTTCTTGCCATGTGCATTAGCTGTTCAATGCACGAGGACATGATCAATGTCGGCCTCAGGAGATCACGGTTCTGGTCGCCGCCCCGTGAGTTAAGAAAACAGAGTTCATTGAAGTTTGATGCGAGCAAACAGGAGAATTCCCCAGTGCCTAGGTAGCTTTTCGCCCCTCAAACTGCTGCGCTTCCGCGCCGCTTGAAAACAATAGTCACGAGGCGTAGCACTGGAATGTCACCATTCTAGGTTTAGAGAGAAGTGGTTCTGTCAGCCGGATAGGCAGTAGTAAGAAGTCTTGCAAACGCGGAGGAGTTCGGACTGTGCATAGTTCGGACAGTGACTCCAAGCGTTTCGATCCAGGAGGCAAACTTGAGCCCAAACCGGCAAGTCGACCTTCTTCCCTCTGCCCAACCTAAGAAACGTCAACCCAAAATACAGAGTGTCATTGTGTGCAACTGCGCCCTGCCCAGCGCTGCTTAGACTGCCGGCCAACCAACCGCCAATCCATCCATCCATCCATCCATCCATCCAAGTACGAGATGCATGAGGAGGGCATCTTGGTGGCACGGAAGACACTCGGCACTTCGCAAGCGAATCCAACGCTGTGAAGTTCTGATCTTCATCTGTCCTACGTGGCTTGACCACCATCCTCGTACGCCTTGACGTGTTACACAACAGCTTTTGCCTTAAGAGCAGCTCTCTTCCTGGAAGATCCCCTGCAACGCCTGCCACCATGTGGTCGATCTCTGGCCTCTCAGGCTGCGGGAATAACCATCAGCCACACACGAGACCCTGAAAGTTGGTGCCCTGAGGGGCGGTGGGTGGGCACCATGGGGATGGTCGTCTCGTGCGCCTCGGTTCTGGGTCCTGAGAGGGTCTAGACATGGTGCGATCCATTCCGTCTGGGGGAGAGCTCGCAAGAAGGAGGGGAATGACGAGGCGGCGTCGTAGCCACCCGCTCCTCTATTGGATTTCCAAACACTCAAACAGGGGGAACCGACGCGAGCGCAAATTCTGAATAGGCGGAACTCTTGATCGTGTGCCGTGGACGAAAAGGGTCAGGATATAACAATGTTAGGGCACCGCCGACCCGAGTTTTCTTCTTCTCCTATATCACCGCCGCCCTCACTGTCCACAGAGCCTGTCTGATCCTCTCGTTTATTACTGGTAGCATTCGTTTCTTGATCTCAGCGAAATACTGAGAATAACACAAAACCCGCAACTACGAGACCGCACATTTTTCCCCACCAGGGGTTCCAACAATCACTACCATGCCTTCTAAATTCACTGAAATACTTGATCCCCAACATCGAACAACATCCCCTCAGGACGATGTACGACTAGAGGACATTATAGGTGCCGCCAACATGTCAGTTCGAGATCGAACATCCTCCGAGGCCAGTTCAACAAGTCCCAGTTCGTCAAGTGCGGATGGCGACAATATCGAGGAGAAGCCGAGGAGAAAGAGGCTCTCACGGTTACTGTCAGGTGGCAAGCGATGATTCCCATCAGGCATGACTATTCCTATACACTAAGAACACACGATCATGACCTCATGGGACCAACGGCACCGCATAGCAACAATATCGACGACGACCTCTTTGACGACCGCACAAAAAGTCCTTCATTGACGAATTCTTTGCATTTCAGAACGACGGGGCAGAAACAATTTTTGGAGCAGGCGAGACGAACGCTGCTGCTACTCTTCGCTATTGGGCTTCCGTTTCGCGACTTTTTCATTCAGCATCACCCCATCGCGACCAGGGGAAAAGGAGATGAGCGACAAAAATTTGCGTTTTGGAAGCGAGGGACCGTCCCGTGCGCATGAACTTCTGCGACTCGACGCGGGTCGCCGTTCCTGCGCCAGACACTTCTAGACCCGAAGCACCTCGAATATGATGTGAAACTAGTTCAGCACAAAAAGGGGCTGATCAGCACGGCCCTGCATTCATGTTCTCGCACGCAAAAGCGAGTTCACTAGCCGACTACCTTCTTCGGAGAAGTACAGATACCAATTCTCGAGGACCATGGTGTCGTTGGTGTGAAGGACCATTTTGAAGATCGAGATTACTACTTACCCCCTATGGACGGGACAACAGATCCGAGACAGGAAAGCCCTTCATCAAAAGGGATCTCACGATCATCTTTGGTGAGGTGAGAAGATGGTGCCCGTTCGACCGATCTCGAATCATCACAATCGCCATGTCGACTGAACATGTCGGCTCCAATCGTATACACCTATTCGCCCGTTTTTGAGGTAGTGGCAACATGGCAAGTGTAGAGGCCGCACTACAGCAGACAGAATCCTAGATTGGTCGTCCACCATTAAATATGCATTTACGATAGACATAACGAACACAATGACTGTATCTCAGCAGGAAATATCACCTTGAACTTGTATTCTCTCTGCAAATTTCATCGTTCCCCGGTCCTCTTGGTTTGCAAAGCAGGATTCGTGAACACCCCGATATACGCGACTGGGGGCCTTGCCGTGGGCCTCATGATCGAGGGATCAGTGCCTAGAGCGCCCCAGTTGCGTGCCTAGAACCGTTCAACGACCCCCGCCCATGCATGCTTAGACGTTGTCCTTTCCACACCCCCCACAAGCCCAGAGCAGCCACAAACCAGGGGGTAGTGTCCACGCAAAAAAATCCGAACATATGTACAACATGTGCCAAAAACAACCCGAATTTATGCTGGGAGGATGGCCGAGGTAAATATTTCCCATCTTTCTTTTCTTCGACGACCGCCCGCTAACAAAATGCGAACAGTGGTTTAAGGCGCTGTGTTTAGGTCTCTGATTTCCAATCCGCAGTGGGAAACCTCGTGGGTTCGAATCCCACTCCTCTCAATAATGCAACATTCTCTTTTTGCCCCCCGGGGGAATTCTTGCAAGGCGAATCATGGGCTGCATGAAATCCAATTTTGATTCTTTTTGTCCCGGAGCGGGGAGGTCTTGGTGTGCGAAAGTGGACACAAATAGGGAGGACGCGGGGGAGCATGTGAGAACGCAGGACGCGTCTTGGACTTTCTAAATGTACCTCGTAAATTGTTGTCAATGCTCAATGCTCAATGCTTTTGATTCTCTGAACGGTGGTCCAAACCGTCTGAAGACAAAGAAGTCAAATACATTCCATCGCGTATACATCATCTCTCTCCCTTCGAACCCGATCTGAAGGGTTCGCATCTCTCTCCAGAACAGGCGGAAACAACTTTGCCCGCATGCGGCCGATATAGAGGAGAAACCCTCCCGGGATGGCGAGCTCGAATAACATGCGCTCCTCGACGGACGAGTCGCAGTCTCATCAACCGAGCGAATTCGAAGTGCGGCGTGCTGCACTGGTAGGCGAGATTGGAGAGGTCAGTTGGATTCCGTTCTATATTCCTCGAAAAGAGCCCATCAGAACCGTTCATGAGGAAGGGGAAGGATACCCACCGAGTAATTGGAAACGTTGGGATGGTCGCCCTCGCTCACATCTTCCTGAACGAGTGTGTTTTGTATGATGGCTGCTGACTGCGGCGGCCCCCTCGCGCGTGGAAGCTAGTCCCTGGAACAAGTCCTCGCACAGATGAATGCTCTGAATCGCAGCCTCGAAGGGATCATAGAAGTAGGTTGCACCGCTCCGAGTGCTCAATACGCACTCTGTCCCCCCAAGCTCTGATTGCGCCGGAGACTGACACGACCGGTAGATTGGAAACGAGTTCTCCAGCGTCGAGGCGCTGTGGAGTCAATTCGAGACGGTGATGGGCAGATCCGCCGCCGACGAGAACGACGCAAACAACGACACGACCGAAACGGCGCACACGACTCCAGGCAACGGAGACGGCAAGCATGGCAAATGAGAGTCGTCTGCCCTTGCATTCCTAGGTAGAGGCCATATCTGACATGTGCTTTGAGCCGCGAGAGCTGTGTGCGGTTGAACGCAACTTGTCCCTTTAGCCATCGATTCTGATCGTCGACCATTTTGGAAGGAGCGGAGATGGAGGACATCAACGAAACCTGAGCAGGGTGACGATTGGAGCGCTCCAGAACAAGGGCATGTTCAACAGGACATGTATTCATCGTCGGGGGAGCTACGCAATGAGCTGCTCATACAGCAATCACATCAAAGCGCGCCACAGAGCTTCGAGCCCGAATCGTCGGAACTCGCCACGCTCGCTCGCACAGCGATCCCCATTCTAAATCCAGCAGAGTCTCATTACAACGCCTCGTCATGCAATTCAGTTGCATCCAACGCCGTCCCATATGCGTACCATCACACATCAGCGGGCGTTTTTTGAGCCCAAAAGGTCAATCATACAAGATCCAAGTTTTGTACCCCGAGAATGGAAAATTGTGACCTCCTCTGAGAGTCTGTTCCTGATCCATTGGATCATAGGAATACACATTTCCTCTTCTTTACCTTCTTGACCTTTACCCCCTTGCTGTTCGGCTTCGCCTCGAAACTCTCCTCTTCGACCTGAATGGCGGTGTTGATGGCCAAATCAAATACCTCTTGAATACCCTTGTTTTCCTTGGCACTGCACTCGATGTACCTAGCCCCCATTCGCTGAGCTACCGCAGCTCCTTGTTCGGGTGTGACAGGGGTGAGGCCTTGAGTTCGCAAGAGTTCAATGCAGGTTCGCTTGTTACGAAGGTCGGATTTGAGGCCGACGAGGATCAGAGGAGTTGTTGGACAGAAATGCAGGACTTCGGGATACCACTGTGATGACTCGTCAGTAAAAGCCATAGCCCTACTATCGAGGATGCCATACCTTGTCCATGACATTCTCTAGTGAGTTGGGGCAGTCAATGGCAAAGCAGACGAAGAGCAGGTCCGTTTCTGGGTATGACAGTGGTCGCAGCCGGTCGTATTCTTCTTGTCCTGCTGTATCCCAAAGTGCAAGTTCGACTGTCTTGCCCGTGGGCTTGTGAATGGTCTGCGTGATGTAATTCTCAAACACGGTCGGCACGTATTTCTGGTGACCGTTAGCTATCTGCCCATCATTCCTTCTCTTGTCCTGCGTACCTCGGGGAAATAGCCTTGTGCATAGCTGATGAGGAGACAAGTCTTCCCACAGCCTCCATCTCCGACAACGACGAACTTTTTGGAGTGTGCAGGTGGTTGAGTGATGTTTGTGGCTTCTGACAGTCGTCCCGCACTGCCATAACTCATGTTTGTGCTGATGGTGCCGTTACTTGTCCTCGTACTGGGCGCTCGAACGGGTCTTCGCTTTGGTGAGGTGGGAGTGATGTAGGAAGTTGGGCCCTTTTCCGACAGGACGGTGGATGTTCGTGAAGGATAGTGGTCGGTTTCTGCCATGGTGGGTGAGGTTGGAGGCCCGGCTCTCTGCTGTGAAATAGCAAGTTGACGTGGAGACCCTGACCTTTTGGGACGGGAGCGGCAGTATTATATGCGGTGGTAACGGTTGAGGGATCTGCACATGTGGTTCAAGCAGGTTTCTGTTGAGACTTCCGAGTCAATAATAGCCGTCTCATCGTAGGATGACTGCGGCGGGCGCCTTTGTTGACCGTTGCGGTTGCCCAAGTAACCACTGCCAAACCCATGTGAAACACAGGTTTTGTGCACAATTGACCCTCTTTTCGCCTGCAGGACTGCAGCAATTGCGACACTGTCGCTTATCGACATGCTTCTTGTACATGCAGGATCCATGTCGAACAACAATTTGCCGATTCCCTCTGTATCGCCCTGTTGAGGGGAGCTGAGCACTGGGCCGGACCATTTATTGCAGGCAGCTGAGTGGACGAATGGGATAGCCCACAATCTCCAAAATCAATGTCCCTGCATCGCCGCACAGCCGCGACTACGACTACTGCAATCTCGAACTCGACCTCTTCGCAGATTTGAATAGCCACGCTCCGGATTCTCCGCTGACAATCTTGATGCCTTCCACTGCCTTCCGCGGTTGATGTTAATGCATCGCCGTGAGGAATTTGCTTCTTTCCTCGGCCACACTTGGTCTCGATGGAAGGGAGCTTCGCTCCGTATTTCCCTCCGCAGAAATGGACAAGGAGAAAGATAGGCCAGATGCCGGGCTGAGGTCGCTCAATCACTGTATGTAGGAGAGAACCACTAAATACTTCATGGAATCATTCTGACGGTGCTTCAGACAAGCTCAGACTGCCACGATGGCGCTACCTTTTCCGAGAACAACTCCTCCCGGTCGTACGCTGGGAGACTCCCTACGTCGCCTGGCTACAAGATACCCTACGAACTGCGGCCTTTGATACATATTTCGCGACGTCGGCAAACCTGGGCACGCACACTTTCTTCATGGTCATGCTGCCTATTCTCTTCTGGTGTGGGAATACAGGTCTGGGAAGAGGGTATGCAACTTTCGATTAACAAGGGTTCATATTGACGTGCAGCAGGATGGTCCATATCCTGGCTTCTGGAGTCTTCTTTAGCGGGTTCTTGAAAGATCTGCTCTGCCTGCCGCGACCGCTCTCTCCGCCGCTGACACGAATCACCATGTCTGGGTCAGCCGCCCTCGAGTATGGCTTCCCTTCCACACACTCGACTAATGCAGTCTCGGTGGCTGTCTATTCACTCTATCTTCTCCGGCAAGAAACCAACAGCCTGGACCCGAACGTCAATCTCGGGTTGCAGATGCTAGCTTACTTCTACGCCCTTTCTATTGTGCTGGGTCGGTTGTACTGTGGGATGCATGGTTTCTTCGACGTCATTTGGGGAAGCATTCTAGGCGCACTCATCGCTCTTGTTCAATGCTTCTATGGAGAGGCGTTTGATGAGTGGCTCCATGGGGGCGATCTGAAACGGGTTGTGCTTGTTGTTCTGGTCATCTTAGTCCTAGTTCGCATCCATCCCGAGCCGGCAGATGACTGTCCTTGCTTTGATGACAGCGTTTCCTTTGCTGGGGTCTTCATTGGCTGCGAATACGCCGTTTGGCACTTTGCCCGCAGCTCCTATGCCTGGTCAACTCCCGCAAAAGGCACTATCCCGTTCGACCTTGAAAAGATGGGCTGGATTACCACATTGGCACGCATTCTACTCGGAGTACTTGTTATTTTTGCATGGAGGGGCATCATGAAGCCGACCCTGCTGAAAATACTTCCACCGATCTTCCGTGTCATTGAACAGCTTGGTCTCACTTTACCACGACGATTCTTTAAACCAGCATCAGAGTACGAAACCATTCCACGTCAACCGAACGACGACAATATCATCCCACCGGCGCGGGACATTCCTCACCTGTTGTCATCATTTCGACGCAGAAGAGCCATCTCGGTTGGGCCTCAGTCCGAAGCAGACGCGTACGAAACGCTGGCTTACCGTGACAAGAGGAGAAGGGACAGTAAAAACGCTCTCGAGGCACTGACTCCGGCAATGGAAGGCTCACCCTCATCCTCACCTTCTCCTGATCACGGGTACTTCCAACCCGAGGATCCGGTTTCGGGCAGAAAAAGATCTAGCAGCCTGGAGATGTTCCGAGCGCAGATGGGTACAGGAATGGAAACGCTATCACCAGTTCCTGCGATCCCACCCGCTGATGACAAAGTGCGCACCCCCGAGGAAGCTCAGGCAATGGATGAATTACAGGAACGACAGATCTTCTTGAGCATACAGAAACCTCGAGTCAGATACGATGTGGAAGTGGTAACCAAGCTTATTGTGTATTCGGGAATCGCTTGGCTGGCTGTGGAGGGCATTCCGGTTCTATTCAGGTATCTCGGATTGAGCGTACATTGACCCAGGGGAGGACAAAGTCCAGTAGGAGTGCTGTTATGGATTCGGCGTCCAGCACAAGGCAACCATACATTGATTGCGAGACCATACAGTGCAATGATACCAGTGGCAATAGTTGTGTTTGGGTGTTTATTTGTTTACGTCCAGCACGAACCATCTGTTCCAACAGTAGCGAGTCCACAGGACGCGGATGATGTTGATGGTGTTCCCTCCATCCAGCAAGCATATCCCTAGTTCGGTCAAATCGGCTTCGTGAACCTTTGAAAGGCGGTATCGGATATGAAATCCATTGTCTGGACAGTAGCGGTGGGGGGGCGGCAGAAAACGAACGTGGCCAATCGCAGCCGTGCCGCATTTTCGCATTTTGGAGAGTCGCGTCTGTCTGTCTGTCTGCGGTGCTTGTCCTGCGTCTTTCATCAATCATACAACTGACGACCGACACCCAAGACGGTGCACTGTTTCTCTTCACGTACCTGAGTGCATGTTTACATCCTGTGGCTCTACAACCTCGCGCGACTCACATCTTCTCGCACTCCCATGCTGTCCCTCAATCCGTTTACGCTCTTCCTACCTCTCTTGTCCGTTCTCATCTCCATCTTGCACCTCCAGCACTGGACTCTCTCTGTCTGCAACCGACCTTGTGACACTCTCAAGCTTCAACTTCATTGTCAACCTCCACAGCCATGGCCGACACCTCGTCGTTCATGGACTGGCATCCTCAAACGCCTCCTCCAGCGCACAACCCGTACCAAGGAAGATACATACCCGGTGGTTGGCCTGTCGACCCTCCCACACCTGCCCCTCCTACTGCCGGCGTCTTCATGCCTCCTCGCAGACCTTCTCCTATTGAACACATCATCCCTGTCGCAAAAAGAATATGCGCAGGCCTGGGCGGATTGGCTGGACTCGGCTTTCATGCAGCTACACAACTCGGCAGATGTACTGTCGATGCCACCACAACTGTCGTCATTGTTCCCACCGTCTTCATTGTCCGACGATTCCAGCAGCGCCGCCGTGACCAGAGGCCTCGCCAGCAAAGACCACAGGCTACTCAAAGATCTCTTCCTCCCCCACTCTCACAATCACCATGGAATCGAGCCGTTGCCAACGAGCGCTTCACAGCTCGACAAACAGCATCTACTGTGCCGCAAACGCCTACAGTCCCTTCCAAGCCGCAACCCACACCTATTTCACCCGAAAAGGAACAATATCAACCCACAGAGGACGTCTTGTACGAGGTCCCAGAGTTCAGACCACAATACGTCTTGAACCCACGCAGCAAGAATGCTACTCCCCGAATCCATTACCGGCGCGCACGCGTCGATCGAGTATTTCCCGACATGCCTCGATTTACACCTCCTCGGGAACCAAAGCCAGTTCATCTTCCAACCCCAGAAGAAAAGTCTGAAAGATCACCTCTGGAATGCGCGAAACTAGAATCCCCCTATCCGCAACTGAGGCCAATTCCTGCCTCACCCCCGTCGCCCGCAGAAACCATCACCTCCGTCGAGACTCTCACACCTAGCGCACAGCTACAACAAGCCCTCCACACAGTCACCGAGAGTGACACAGAATCAAACGGAGTTATCTCGTCCATCCAGCGATCTAGAAAGAGACGCATTCATACACAAGGCTCCCGCGCAACCGAAGACGGCGAACCCGCTGCATCTTCAAAGAGAGTCCAGACCACAGGCCCGAGCGTGGGATCACCACAGACTCCGACACCTGCCATTGTTGTGCAAGACGCACCACCATCAGGAAATCCAAAAGCTCCATCACCTACCGACTCGACATTGTTGTCACCGCCTCGTCTAAAACTACGGCGTTTCAACACCCCGAGGTCAGTCCGACCGAAACAGACTCTCCCCAAGACCCCCAAGACCCCGCTGTCAGATATCTCATCCATGTGCGATTGCTCTCCAGGAAACTATCACATCGATGCACCAAGATCCCCCGTTAAAAGCGAGATATCTTCTTTCTTCGATGGAACCCCACCTCCGAACCCAGAATTGGATGCTCACGTATTCAGAATGATTATGGCAGGAGGTGGATCCCCCATACCAGCTTCCGAAACCTTTGCAGAGAGCGAAAGCTTTGGAGTGACATCAGCACCCAACGCCGCCGCTGCGCCAGAACAAACACCCAGCGAAATGTCGAACAGCAATGAACCTGTCGCATCAGAAAACAGAAGTGAAACAAACAATGACCTTGTCTCTACCACAGGAGGAGTGACCACAGAGATGACTGAAAATGTTCCTGGCCTGGCCAACCACGAACTTCTTTCAGAATTCAATAGTGTCACAAACCGAGTGGAGCAAGACGTCGCAATGCAGGAAACCGAGATTTCCAAGAAAGAATCAACAAAGACACCTAAGCGTGTCAATCCACAAAAACCAAAAGTCGCAAGTCCGATTGACTTAACTGATGACAAAGAGACCAGCGAATCCAGCTCCTCAGCGACATCTTCCCTTCATACTCCCGAAAAGCAACTTGCAGAACTGACTCTAGATGATGTATATACACCAGAGCAGCCGACCCCGAAAGCGACACCACATTCATCCGAAAAGATACAGAGAGTCACGCGCGCAGAGTCCAAGAGACTGGCGATCCTTGAAGAGAAGACTCACTACGAGATTGTCCCACTCACAGAAGACTGGGAAAAGAAAATCCAGACCGCCCTTCGTCACGGTCATGGCGCTTTCAAAGCTAGAGATTTTACCCGCGTCGTCCCTCTCAACGCACATTCTAACCGCGGCACCGATCAATGGCTTAATGACGAAGTCATTAATGGATACCTTAACCTTGTTGTCGCCCACGGCAAGCAGAACGATCGTCCCACACAAGTTCCCACACACCACGCCTTTGTGTCCTTCTTCTTCAACAACCTCGAAAGCCGCGGATATGATAGTGTCAAACGATGGGCTTCACGAGCAAAGATTGGGGGCAAGAACCTCCTGGAGACAGAAGCGGTGTTCATCCCTGTCAACAGCGGTAGTCACTGGACGCTTTGTGTGGTGTCAGGCAAGAACCGCACAATCGCACACTACAACAGCTTGAGGGGGAACGGCAAACGATATATCAACATCGTCAAGTCCTGGGTTTCTGCAGAATTGGGGTCTGCATACAAGGAGTCCGAGTGGACCTTCATTGAGGCAGGAGAGAGCCCTCAACAGACCAACATGGACGACTGTGGGGTGTTTACGATTACAAGCGCAAGGCAGATCATGTTGGGGCTTACGCCCATGTCGTACAACCCCGACATGATCCCCTTGCAGAGAAAGAGGATCGTGGCGGAGCTTGTGAACGGAGCGCTCTTAAAGAGCAGTTCGTAAACAGTTTTGTGTTTCTTGTTTTGTTTTTTTGTGATGACTTCTACGAAAGCATGAGCTGATGACAACGATACCCCCTCCCGACGAGGATCGGGCCTGTGTACGAGTGTTTGGTTTTGGTTTTGGTTTTGGCTTTGGCGTTGGTGGGCTCTTGAGGAGCTGTGAAGCTCCTTCCTGTAGGATAGATAGGAACAAAAGGACGGGAGGATACAGAACCCCAATTCTAATGACTTTTTGTACAACAAGCCTTGTTCATGCACGCCTGTTCCGCGTTCCTTGTATCGTCTTTCCAGCCCCGTTGATGACGACGGCGGCCGTCCCGCGCGTGACGATGAGAGGAAGGGGGGGTTTCGCTCTGCAATATGCCACGTCGATGACGACGACGTGCTTTCCGACCGGTAGAGAGGACGCTGCGCACGGTGGAGACCTTGCGCCGTGCCTGTGCCATTGCGTCTTGAGCCCCTGTATTCGTGGGGAGAGGACGGTGTGGACAAGAGGGTTCAGGGGGCCGTTGCGGATTGTCATGTCGAATGGGTAGGGTAAGGTGGTGGCCGGCGGCATGCGGTATGCGGTATGCAGGATGAGAAGAGAGGGTAAAGAACGATTGGCGTGGCATGGTATGGCGTGGCGTGGCGTGGCGCGACATGGCATGAGAAACGTCGGCAGATATGGGATGTTACCTTCGATTCAGTCAACACCCATCTCTGGGACGACCGGAAAATCGAATGACACACACACACACACACACACTCTCCCTCCCTTCCCTCTTTCCTCCTGCGCCCAACCAAGATTAGTTAGGGGGCGCCCCCCCTATCCATCACTTCCACGAGAAAGAATGGTCGGCCGGGACTAAACTTCAACGCTGCTGCTGGTGGCCGATCTGCCTCCTACCAGCGGGCCTGAACCACTCCAGCGTCCCGACGTAGCCGCCGCTGCGGAGGTAGGGCAGGCAGCCCATCCAGAGGTCCTCGAGGACACCGCGACCCACGTACAGGGTCAAGCGCGCCCAGGCGTCCATGTCGACGCGGGCGATCCAGGCCAGAAACGCCATGAGGATGAAATCCGCGTAGGTCGGACAGTGTCCGCCGGAGAGGTAGCGGACGCGGCCACCGCCGACGCCGTCGTTTTGCTCACTCGCCGCCGACGCGATGCCGGATTCCATCTCTGGATTCCAGTCCAGTGTGTCGTGCAGCGCGGGTCCTCTCACTAGTGGACAGTCGTATAGTGTGCGCAGAATGGGGTCGAGTTCGGTTTCGACGTCGGCCCACAGCCGATCGGTCTCTTCTTGGGTCTTGGGCCGGAGCTTGTCCAGGGAAGAGACGCCGAACCATTCGCTGCGCGTGCGGGTGAAGTACTCTTTCCCTCTGTCGTCGAGGATGTCAGGCACGGAAGGGATAATTAGCCGTCGCGAGGCGGGGAGGAGACGGGTGATGATGGACTGGACCTGTAGCGTCTGGTCCAGGGATTGCCGGTCGGGGAACAAAGGAGGATAACTTTCGGGGTTCCGGAAGAGCACTTCGAGGGCCATGGCGATGCCTAGCGTCGAGACCACGGGCGTGAATATGCCGTACCTCGTCTGCACCGTTTCGTGGACCCCGGGAACCTTTGCATCACGTAAACTCTTCAGAGCATCTTGACCAAAGTCGTGGGCGTCGAGAAGAAGGATGGGCAACGTGCAAGTCGGCGAGGTTCGCCGCTTATTGGTCCCTGAGACATCTTCCTTCGGCGGCGGAATCTTCAACTCCTGCCAGAGCGGTTCGATGTCCGGGTACGAGATCCAGCATTCCGTGTATGGGAGCCCCTTGTAGTGCAAGGCCAGGCGCGAGCGGATCGTGTTTGGCGAGAAAGAGTACTGGCTGCGCAGGAAGGAGTTGGACGAGTGCACCCTGTGGATGGAAAAGGGCGACTGGTTGCTGGCGATGTCGAACAGGAGGAGACGCTTTCGGGAGCTCGTTGTTGTCGAGTCCTCACCCGTCCAGAGATATCGGTTCTTTGACCACGCGCCGGCCGCCTGTCTCGCGTCCAGCCTCTTGCGGAGGGAGGAGGAAACGGGGCGTAACATGCGTGGTCTCCTTTGTGACGTGGCTCCCTCTCCCCAGATGTGGCTGAGAGAGGTCCTGGACAATCGAACAATTTTATTTGGTACCAGGGCCTGAGGATAGAGACTGGGACGCACAATCCCCTCGCTGAAGCAATTGAGATTGTCGCCCTTTCAAGTGCTGTGTCGGTGGGTGGTTGGGTATCGAGAACTGCTCGAAGCCTTGCGCTCAGGTGATCGATTATAGAACCTCTCAAAAACCTCACCGTGTCGTCGACGGAGGTAGATGGGCCCCAGCTGTCGTCCGGAACGCGCGGTCCATGGAAGACTCGCTATCCTCGAATGATCTCTTGGAGAGACGGGCCCAGGAATATAACTTCGACCGGATAGAAGGACGAGTGGGTGAAAGGGGGAATATCTATCAGACCAAGCTTTTTCTTCAAGCTATCCCGAGCAGCGGACGACCGTGTTCTTCGCAACAGAGCGAAGGAGGGATCTTGACTTGACTGGACAGCGAGCGCAGGGAGGTCGTGTGACCGAGTATTAGGGAGTGAATAGGCAATGCTCGAAGCTTTGCTTGAGCTCGAGTTGTGAGGTGTAGTGAGGTGATGCGGGCAAATGAGGTTTGAAGATTCTGGATGGGAAAATAGTCTGTCTGACAATACAGCCTACAGCGTGCCCGTATCCACTTCGGCCAAGTATCTTGGAGGTGGAATCGTCAGACAGCGGATTTTGTGGATTCAAGGACGGTGAACAGTCAAAATACATGAAACCGGTTAAAGGTGCTCAGCTTGGTGCATCTGACTCTCTCATTCATCAGAGCAATACAAGATATTCATCATCTATCCAATCGATCCGAGAAGGGAGAGTCCTAAATGGTCGAACAGAACCACAGAACACAAGATTCCATATGTCCAATTATCCATCTACCGAGTCAATCCCTCAAAGCTCACGCCAGCTCCTTCATCCACCTTCGACCAGCCACTTCTTGAGGAATTCAGTCTGGGTTCCAGCATTCCTCTCGAAATATGGGCCGGAGTACGCCTCGAAATGCCCACAAGGCAAAAGTTGCAGTTGCTTCGGCTCCTTTGCACGTGCGAAAGCCCCGAGAGCAAGGTCTGATGGCGTAAGTACGTCTCCGCTCGCAACTGTCATGAGGAGTGGTGTTGGCGCGATTTTGTCAATGAGTTGCTGCGGCTCATAAGCGCGGAAGAGCTCGACGCTACACCCAAGAGTGAGTATCAGAACGTGGCGAGAAGGGCAGGTGGTATTCATTTGACTCACGTCTTCACAGTGCAAGTATTCTTCCACTGAGACTTCTTCTCCCATGCGGAAAAGAATTCGTAGCTGTCTGGAGTGGGTAGAGCGGACGGCTTCAAAGGATCGGCATCCACCACAGGAACAAATCCCGGCTCCTTTCCCTCAGCTCGAGCAATCCTGTCTGCAAGAGTGTCAGAATGACGATCGAGCAAGGTGCATCGGGGTAAGAAATGTCAGACCTGCAGCAAAGATCGCATTGAATCCGACCGCAAAATCTGGACGCACAAGGCGACTGAAGTTGTCCCATCCACTGACACAAGGGACCTGGCTGAGGACGGCTTTGACTCTTCGATCCACGGCCCCGACGTATAGCACGTGGCCGCCACTGTATGACGAACCCCAGATTCCAATCTTGTCCGGGTTGACTTCAGGCCTTGTCGAGGCATAGGTGATGGCGTCGGAGATGTCGCTACATTGGGTCATTGGGATGATCTCACTCCTCGGCTCCCCCTCGGCGGCATCGCTGTCACCAAAGCCGCGATTGTCGTAGACCAGGCAGGTGATGGGCAGTTTGGACACGAAATGTTCCGCGAAGGCGTCAAGGTCCATTTCCTTAAGGGCCGTGAAGCCGTGGGACATGACGAGGCATGGTGCTTTCCCGGAAGCCGAGTCGCTGGTGTAGAACCATCCTCTCAAGGTGACCCGATCCGCGGTCTTGAATTCGACGTTTTCTCTGCCCATTTCGAGAATAGGTGCCCAAAGCAGTCAGAGAGTCTATAACCACATGTCAAAATTGGAGTGTTGTACAAGATCACTCGAAGCACGGAGGGAGGTGGACGACAGATCTATCTATATGCCGGATCCCCTGGGAGGAGAAGATGGGCCGAGTAGGCGAAGAACGAGGGATCTCTTTGGCCTCTCAAGCTAGAGCCCAATTGCCGCTATTCTTCTGTAAGAAGGTGACCATCACGGTCAGAAGGAAAGGAGGAAACGACATTTCCAATCGCCTAAGCAGCAGCAAACTGATAGACAGCTCGCATTGGTGACTGCTCATTTAACCCCGCATGGGCGGTTAGGATGATGGACGCTTTTGAGTTTGCAGCATCTGGATCCCCCATGGAAAAATGAGGTATCCTCGCGTAACAGTTTGGTCTGATGTGCTGGCCGGCAGCCTGCGGGACCGCTCGAGGGGCACGAAGAAAGATGAAAGATCTTGTCTGGAGGGATGAGCTCGACGGCGATAGGAGGAAGATAGTTGGAGCTGGTCTCCAGGCACAGGGCCGTGGACTGTGCGATCGGTACCGCTCAAGCAGGAGGTGATTGATTGTATTTCTGTTTTCTCGTCTGCGGTTGGCAAATCGGGTATGAGGAGGACCGTCATTCTTCGCGCGGAGGGACCGAGGCTAGGTGAAACCAGGACGCTTTGGAAAAGCTGCATAAGTGTAACCGGAAAGGATGCCGGGATGGCTTGTCTAGTTAAACTGACTTGCATGGCGCCAATCCATTCATTAAGCCGCGAGCTCGTCGACCCATGTTCATGTGTTCGTGGACCAAGGAACAATTGCAGACAGTTGCAGATTGCCGGAGCGAGTAAGGAGAGGAAGAAACTGATGGTGCATTCCAACTCGAGGACGACAACGGTCGATGTTTGATCATCTGGACAATGATGAGCCACTGCCCTGGGACAACAACTGTTTGGTACCGAGTGCGAAGGATCTGGAACCACGAGCGGAAGCGTTGCTCATAGGCAAAGGTGGGCGCAGGTGGGCGCAGGTGGAGAGATGGGCAGGGCGACTAAAGTTCACAGTCCCTGAAGACAGTGTTAGTTGCATGGTCGGTATTTCTGGAGAAACTCCATCTCTCCTCCGTACTTACTCCGTCCTCGTCGCATTGTGGCGGCCATTGTTGTAGCTGGGGACGATTACTGATTGCACTGGTTGTAGAGAGTAACATCTCCGAGCGCAGTTACTCAAAGGTTCACAAGTCGCAGCCTCCGACGCCGCAGCCTCGAAGCCGTCCCCCCCCCCCCCCCCTGCGGAGGGCACAGCACACAGCCTTGCCCGTTGCTCACCGCAGACAAACATTTTTGTGAAAAGATCCTCAAATCATGTTGGAATGTAATTGACTGTCCAATTCTCGTGAGAGCCAAGCTATGTCTCAGAGCTGTTGCATCTCCTCAGCATACTGTCACAAAGAGCCTCCTGGTCGACGTGACCTGGTCTTGGGATGGCTATCCTCGCAACGCTTTTCAACTCCTCTCTCTTGTGTCGAGACGAAACCCTTTCCTTGCCTTCAGTATCGTAATCCTCAGGCGCAGCCTCCACCACACTCTCCATCATGTCAGAATTGTTCCACCACCCTGCCGTCCTGCAGTTGTCTTTCCCAACTTCCCTCCCCGGTGAGGTTTTATACCTCTACCGATCTCCTCCCATGTCACGACCTCCCCATTCTCCCGTCGACGCAGTTCGAAGCCTCCTCTTCCTTCGCGATTCTGCCTTCCCTTCAAAGATAGTCAATTCCCTCCTCTTCAATAGTCGCTGCAAAGAACCGTGGATACCGGTCAGGGAAATGGCTTTCGACCAGCTCAAAGATCTCTCTGGATGTTGCGTCGGCATCAGCGAAGACCCACTTGACGAAGTCGCGCTGGAGTTGGTGTTCGGCAGCTGGACACCAGCCTGCCTTGCGCGCAATCCTACGGAAAGCCGCTTTGTTCGCCTCCACTTTGAGCCACTCTGAGACGAGGATGCGGAAGACGTAGCAGATCTCGGGGTGACTTTTGAGATATCCAATTGTCTCATGAAACAGTCGCTCATCACCCTTCGGAGCTTTGTGGAACTCCGGAGAGCAGTTAGAGGGCAGAGGAGCGTCCTGCATTGTGTGCCAGCTCAGACTGTCAAATCGCCAATTGTCCACGCACCACTTTTGGTTGTCGAGCACTTGTGGTCGGAGGTCAATGGTGTTTCCATTCTCGTCTTTCGCTTCGTGGCAAAGGAGCATGCTGTCAATGCTCACACCCTCTTGCAACATCGTGCCGATAATTGCCTCCCAGACTTCAGGATGGTTCTTTCGGATCTCAGAGAAACGCTGCCGTTCCTCTTTATTGCGTTTAAGCCCTAATCGGCAGCTTGCTGGTGTGTTGAACTCTCCCTTTGAACTTTTTGGGTCAGGACAATGGAATTGTGGCTGTACCTGTAGGTGAGGCGGCCAGGCTGCGTATTGCTCGACACTGCGAACCTCGCACTTCATATATTTCTTCTCTCTTTCGCTGTTGTTGAGCGCAATGGATTTCCACCATTCTGGAGGTGGTTTCTTCTGCTCAGCAGAGAAAGCCACTGCCTCCTCCAAGAAGCCGCGATATTGTTCGGGGACATGACTCAGGGACACGGTCTTCGTCTTGACTGGCGATTCCGCCGCTTTCGACTCTGTAGGAGCTATTGGCCCAGGCTCAGGCTCTCGCTCGTTTCCTTCTGAGGCCACGTTGTTCTCCGCCTCGGCATGCTCATTGCCGATCTTCTCATCTCTCAGCGTTGCCGCTGGAGGATGCGCAGGGTCCATCGCCTCTGTCGCGATGTTGGGTGGCAATATGCCATTGGCAATGTTGTGCTCGAGGTTCTCGAAGTATTCAATCACCTCATCCTTCGTCGGCGGCTCAGGCGTCACCTCATTGCAGGCGACAGTCGAAACGAGGCCCTCGGCCTTTATCGCTTGCTGGAGGATGTCGGCTCCAGCTGGGGGAGGGGGGAAAGGAAAGAAGAACTCTGGTGGCGGGCATTCGCCTTGCCTAGTTGCTGTCAGTGCCAAAGAATGATATATCTTGGAAGATGCTTACCAATAAACCAGATGCGGTGGTTGCCACGCATCGGTCATCTCTACGTCCTCCGGCTCTTCATCATCGGCCATGACAATGTCGTCGTTGTCCACCTCCATTGTGTCATCGACGGCCAATTGCGTCCGACACACGTCCTCGTCGAGAGGACGTCGTGCCTCTTCGACCTCCTGCAGAGCGTCGAAGTCCTTCTCCAGGAATAAACTCGGCTCGGCCAAGTCACTCAGGAACTTGGAGTGGTTGGCGTCCAGGGGCACGAGATGGTCGAGCTTCTCGTATTGTCTCTCAAAGCGCTCAGGAGTAAACTGTTTGCGCTTTCGTGAAGTTCGAGATGGAGAGGGGGATCGGCTGTTGGAGAGTGGTTCGATGGGCTTGACGCGTGTAAAGTGACAGCGATTGCGATTGAAATCTCTGATCTGCCTGCGCAGACTGGGTTTAACACCGGCAAACGGAACGGCAGTCAAGGACCGGATGGGTTGGATGAGTGTTCTTGCGACCTTCATGTTTGCGGATGTGAGGTTCGGTGTCAGAGAAAGAGATGAGCGTGGAGCAGAGAATGAGTTGTAGAAAGAGCAGCGAGCAGCGGACAGCGGACAGCGGACAGCGGACAGCGGACAGCGGACAGCGGACAGCAGAACTCGTGTCTGGAAATCTGGTGAATTTGTTGCAGAGGAATGATCGCTCAAGTCTTTCGAACGGCACTCAGGCAGGAGTCTCGCAAACTGAAAGATGAGAAGAAGGAGAGAAGATTGTCGAGATTTGAAGGCAAACGGGAGTAGTGAAAATTTGCAAGGGCTGCATTCACTCTGAATGTTGCTTTGGTCCATCACGGACATGCCTCACCTTTACCAGGGACCGGCAGAAACATTCAATAGCCTCGTTGAATAGTGAATGGCGGGATTGAACACAAGACAATAAAGGCGAAAATACACATCCAGAGGCAAGGCTGGCCTACCACTACCCCATTCATCTCATTGAGATTGTCTCCCGGCCCAATCTCTCTTCGGCAAAGGAGTTTAAAGCATTGTTCGGTCCCAATGCGCATTGTGCAAAGTCTTTGATGTTCTTCAGGTTGCTATTGCCGTCACTCAAGGAGCCTTGGTTCCTGGTCTGCCACCCCCTGGATCAGCAAACGCAAGGCCTTGGACCATGATGCCTCGCGAGAAGGCGGGCTCAACCAGAGCGTATCTTGACTGTCGGCCGCGGCATCATTCGGGTGGTTTGACGGGTTTGTCAATACCACGCTGCTTGAATGCTGCGTTTGATGCCACAGCTTCCAATGTCGAGAGACTTGGAGGCACGACATATCGGCAAATGCTTGGAGCTATGAGTTCAGTGACGAACTTTGTCGCGGTGGACCGTCAACTTTGTGTGCCTTGCGGAAGAATGAACCAGCAGATGCCTGGCTCCAATTCCCTGCACTAGTTTCGATGGGCTCCATAGCCCGATTGAAAGGTCAAGTCGCGTGTTGTGCGATATCGAATTGCACGATAGCAGCAGGCGGCAGAAGCATCATCACTGGCAAAAGAAGTCAACAATGCAGACGGAGAAGGGCGCTGTCTCCACTCAGCTCGCCTGCTGCTTTCAACCCACGGGCGAAGCTCGCGTCCACACAGAATATATATATATATATATATATATATGTAAACTTCACCGCGGTTTGGAGTCTGGCCAGAGGGCCAGGAAGTCCCGAATCAAGATGTCTCAACAGGTATATGATGTGGTGATCGTTGGCGCGGGTCTTTCGGGCCTGCAAGCGGCCCTTACCGTCCACCATGAGCACCTCAGTTACGTGGTGCTCGAGGCACGAGATCGAGTGGGTGGAAAGACACTGACTCTACGCTCCAGCGAAGGGGCTGTGAAGTCCGATCTGGGAGCTGCCTGGATCAATGACAGCAACCAAAGTCGCATGTGGGAACTCGCGAATGATCTCGGATTGCACACATACGTCCAGAACACCCAGGGCGATGTCGTCGTCCAGGACTTTGACGGATCGCTTGTAAAGTTTCCATATGGGTATGCTCCCATCATCCAGAAGAATTGCTAGTTCTCAGCAAACTTGTATCGGGAGAAAGCTAATCGAGATCCTCAGGGATGTACCAAAGGTTTGAGCCCCTTCTGCCGGCGAGTTGCAGCAGTGATCGATGCTCGAGGGCAAATGGTTGACCCTAAGCCTCTGGACAGTATCCCTCGGGAAATGATACCGAGTCTTGCATATCAATCCGAGACTTGGTCGAAAATATCTCAACCACGCAGACACCTTCGATCTTCTCGGCAGGACCCCATCGAGAGCAGCTCGACTCCATTTCTTTTGAGACGTTCCTGCGCCGTGCAAAGGTCACAGACAAGGCATTCGCGACCGCACAGGTCTGGACTCACGCTATGCTGGGCGTTGACCCTGCCGAGGTTTCGGCCTTGTACTTCCTTGAATGTGGGTTTCCGATTGCGCAAACCGTGAAGGGGCTGACGAAGTGTTCCATAGATTGTGCCGCCGGTGGAGGGTTGATGACCATGCGCTCAGATTGCAAGGATGGAGGCCAATACCTCCGCATTCGAGAAGGAACTGCAGCTTTTGCGGAAGGGATGGCCCAGAAACTGAAGCCAGGGTCGATCAAACTGGCCTGCCCTGTCGGAGGGATAGATCAACAGCAGGACAAGACCGTCTTGGTCTCAACGAGAGGACCCTCGCCGCAAGTGTATCGCGCTCGCAAAGTGATACTCTCGATTCCGACACCGGTGTACAAAACCGTCAAATTTTCTCCCTCTTTACCCGCGGCGAAAAGCGCGGTTGCCAACCACACCCGCTATGGTTTCTATACCAAGTATATCGTGAGGTTCAGCAGGCCATTCTGGACAGAGAGAAACCTGTGCGGTCTAGGACAATCATTCGTGGGTCCTGTGTCGGTCTTCCGGGACACTAGTCTGGGCGACGAGGCTTGCATGACGTGCTTCGTTGGCGGAAAATTCGGGAGGAAATGGGCAGCGCAAGATGCTGAGAGGAAGAAGGCCTCGGTGCTGAAGCAAATCGGCGCCATATTTGCGGAGGGGCGGGACATTCGGCCGCTCTTTGTCGAGGCTTATGAGTCGCCGTGGATGGACGAGGAGTTTTCAGGCTGGGGCTGCCCATGTCCTGCGATGCCACCAGGTGTTCTTGCCGACGGATGGGAAGCGTTGTGCGCGTCGTTTGGTAACATCCATTTCGTGGGCACAGAATTGAGCACTGTCTGGAGAGGCTATATGGAGGGGGCGATCAGAAGCGGAGAGAGCGGCGCGATGCAGGCGATTGCTGAGCTGAAGGCCGGGGCCTCGCAGAACGCAAAGCTGTAGGCTTCATGGATGAATGGGCAAACCCCTCTTCTGCCTGGCTGAACTCAACTCAGCAGGGTCCTGAACGTCTAGCACAATATCAGAAGGCATGCTGCGCAGACCTGGATTCCTGGGTCCGGAGAAGTTATTTGGATCATTGGGGGGATGCGGTGACGGGCGCTTTGTTCCTGCGGCCCAACCCATCCCTCTCCCTCTGATGATTGATGAATTGACCGTTCTGCTCCTTGCCCTTGTGTTTGTTCTCTTTCTGCATGTCTCAAACAAACTGCCTCTTGCATTCCTCGTTTCGTGGGATTCTGTAATGACCGTGATGGCATGTAACCCCAGCGCTGAACTGGTATGGGCAATATCCGACTACATATCATCGCTATCAGGTCTGGCGCAGGTTGCCTAGCCTAATTCTTGCGGGCTTCGTCAATCGAACATGGGTACTGCTGTTGAGGTCTGCTCGGTCGCCTCTCTGACACCGTCTTGCTCTATGCACGATGTTCCCTGGCTTGCCGCCTCCCCGTGCAGGCCGTCCAGATGTGACGAACAAGTTTCATCTTTCTCCCTGGTATTCCTTCATCCTTGAAGTGTCACACCTGTTCACTACTCAGAACGCATTGGAATCAAACCCATCGGAAATGGTCTCCTGAATCAAGGTTCAAATGGATATCCATTTTCCACAGCATCCGTGGCGTCTGCTTCCTTCGTTTAGAGGCAGTTGACAAGAGCCTCACTCAAATGCCGCTGGCTTCTGCATATTCATGACTGCGAAGCACGTAAGTGATCAAAGCAGCCCCAGTGGTCTCTGAAGGCTGAGGTTCGCATGGTCCGAATGAACTCCAGCGTGCGGCGAGGTAAGATGAATTCTGTATAGTTAACATGTCGTTGGAGTGCTGGTCTATGGCTCAAGACCTTCGTGCACGCTCTAAAATCTTGAGTAATAGGCCTGCAGCACGGCCTAGCTCTCCTCCTTCCTTCCTGGCGGCATCGATGCCAACCAAGATATGCCCCTCGAAATTTTGCGCGAAGTCGCGCAGTCTATCTTGTTGATCATCAAGCATTTGGGTCTCATCCTCAGCTTGGAGACCAAAGAGATTTAGATAAGCGTATGCACTGGACTTCCCGGGCACCAGGAGTGTTTCAACTTCCCATAGAGGGAAATGTGCAAGCAATGGGTGAGGTCCAGAAGCAGATTGCTCATCCCCAACAAGACCTGCTTGTAAGAATTCCGCGAGAACTTGCATTATTCTAGCGGTAGATCTGGGATCCCCGGAGAAGGATGCTTTAGTAGAGGACCATTTGCTGGCGTCGGTTGATCTCCACCCTAAAACTGTTGTAAAGCATTCTAAGGTTTGGTGCCAGCCGCCAGGGCACGAGATCAATTCCGAACCAGCAACTTTGATCATGTAGGACACAAATTCAAGCGACGAGAGTCGAATGTCCCGTGATAAATGTGTCATAGCCGCACGTAAGTAGGGCAAAGCTTTGGTCACATGGTCCCGGATGTCCTCTTGGGGTAACGCGCCGAAGAGCTTGAGCAGTTGACTCCTTACGCCTGCCGAGCCATCGAGCATGAGTGGGCAGACACTGCTGAGAAGGGAACTCGTGGAGATTGGCAAGCTGCTTGTTGGTAGGCTTGAGGTGACATAGCTAGTTAGGGAAGCAAGGGCATCTCTCCTTTGAGTGTCGGACCGTGAAGCGAGAAGGGAAATTTGATGAAGAAATATGGATGATTGTGAAGGCGCATTCACGTCCAGCTGTTGGTTCAAAACGATGGCTTCCCTTCTTGTCAGCCCGATACGCCGGTCAAGTGAGCAATTCAACTGAGAAGGCAGCATACCTTGAGACCTGAAGCTTGTGTCGGTATGGTTCTCGGCCTTGGGTTTGGCCTTGCCCACCTTCAGTTTTTGTTTCTGCCCGGTATGTTAGCTTGTTTGCGATCAGCCTGAACGAGGACAGTCAGCCAACCTGGAAATCTTTCTTTTTCTCTCTTTTCTTCCGTGCACTGGAGCCCATTTTCTTGGTTGGTCGTCGTGCAGTGGAAGACTTCTAAGTGATACAAAGGGTGGGAAAGGATTTTCTTCTCCAGCATCCGTGAGGGTCAGTGGGAACAATAAGCTTTGCGCGTTGTCGGACCGAACCGCAGATGGTGACGATCTCTAAAGGCGCTCGATCTGCGGGTGATTTTTCAAAATTTGGCGGAGATGGATTCACGTTGGTCATAGAAACTCTCCACGTTGTCCAAGCTCCATACCTCGGGTTACACACGGCTTATAGTGACCTCATCCTACAAGAATAGCTTGACCTGATACCTCCCCTGCGCGCTGCTGAGACCATCTGTCCACGGAAGAAAGGCGCGTCTAACGCGTTGTTGTGCAGCTCCAAAATCACCTTCAGGCGACAACTGCGCCAGCATGAGGTGACGTCCACCAACGAGCAAAATTTAAACGAGGTGTCTATTGACACTCGAGCAGGATGGCTCAGACTGAAAGGGTTTTTGTCTCCTGCTCCGTTGTTAACCTACTCTTACGCTAATCGGCGCTTTATAGGAGATTCTCAACGGCCCTTCCATTGATGCGATGCTACGAGGTCTGACCGAGAGACCAAACGTCCAGTCCACCTTAATCCTTTCTCGAAAAGATGGTTCTATCATAAGAGTTACAGGCATCGCTTCCCCTGGGGGTAGAAGTCCTTCCGCTTCTGCGACAACATACCAATGGCCACAGGCCGCAGAGTCTAGGGGAGCCGCAGAGGCGTCAGAAATAGGGCGGCCTAGTACCGCCGATGAAGCAGATGCGACATCAGATGTCCAACATATTGAGAAACCAATGGAGCGGCTGGCTTCATCCATCTTTCAATTTGTGAACAATGCCAATGTTATGGGGGCAACGCTCGGTGCCGCTTCTCGAAATGCTGCTCGTCCAGACGGAACATACACTGGAGATGTCTATGGGGAGGCCAAAACAGTTCAGAAGAAAGAGCGAAACAGTGAGGAAGATGCAGAGAATGGTAATACTGAGGATGAAGTCCAGTTGCTGAGACTGCGCACAAAACACCAAGAGATCATCATTTTCCCGGACCCCAATTACATCTGTTGCGTTGTTCAACGGATCGGCAAGACTGCACCCGGCCACGACAGAAGATAGCAAGCCGTTGCCGACCTCAGATTGACCGCTTATGATTGACCTATTCGCTTGAGCGCTTGAACTTGCATTACCTTGCAGTGGCATTGATAAAGTTCAGGAACAATGGGCAGAAATAGCCTGGGGTTCCGGACAACATCCAATGGTAACAGCAGGAAGTGACGGTGACAGATAGGGAAATCAGATGCAACACAACGCTGAAACAAAGATATCAACATGATTCTTTCGAGCATCTAAGTGGATGACGGACGAAGGATAGGCTGATCAAGGCCGCAATGACCTGCTTGATTGAGAAACCCTGCCCCAGATTCTTTATCTGCCTGCCCAAGTAAGGGCCGCTCTGTTATCGCGGGGTTATCGCACTTATCAGAAACCCATTGAACAAATTCCTCCTTTAATGTCTGACTGGGTGCTCGCAGCCTATCGTGTCCGTAGAATGCGAAGTTTTTGTTATCACCCGTTCCAATATTTGGCTGTTTCGAAGAGTATCAGTTGTCGCTGATCTCCTTGACCTTATCATTTGGCCGACGGTGGCTCTGGCCATGCTGTACTTAAAGAGTCAATCGGCCACCGGCCCCCAGGATTTCCATCTCTGAGCCTTACTAGTAGTCCTTCGAAGCCTCGCTACGAGTACTTCCAACAGGCTATGCAAACCGCCAATGATGAACGGCGCCCAATTGTGCCCAATGGAAGTCACCTAGCTACCTAGGTATGCGAAACACGACATGCTTGGCAGACTACACCTCTGCAGCCGCACTTCAATGAAGACGACGCCTCCTCAACGAGTCTGTTGCAGACACTTTCGGCGCTGGTGGAGCGCCGAATAGTCCCCGTTGTTGACAGAATCAGACTCTCGTGCTCACCTTCGAGTTCGCCAACGAAGCCTCCTTCAACACGTATCTGAAACGGGCAATTTGACAACCGTCGTCGCTGACACCGACGCCGACGTCAGCCAAATTAGCCGATACGAGACCAGTTGGGGGACTTTGACAAGAAGACATTATTCACAAGGGCAGGCAGGGTCACCAGGGTTGCTGGGGAGCTGGCATTTCGAGCATGGACACTCACACACCACCCTCCATCATGTTTCAGGACTGCACACCAGATTAGGAGGTAAGCATCGACTGGGCTGCTGAGGCTTGCTGGACGACACCATGCAAAGCCGTGCACTAGCGTGGGGGAGCCATGCCTGTCACCCTGGCCCGTCTCGGGGACCTTGTTGGGACTAACAACGGAGTACGAGTACTCTGGGACGTTGAGGGCCATCATTTCCTCGCTCAAACTCTGGCCTAACAACGGACGCTATGCTTTGCAAGCAGAATTAACGCTCCAACAGATCAGCAACGCCTTTCCCATATCCGCATTCCACATTTCAGGGATCCGACCCATCAACGATTCTCCATATCGACGCAACTACCAGGCTGAGCACCCTTCTGGAGCCAAAAGGGATTTGGATCCACTTGTCATGCGTCGGGGGGTGATGACCCAAGTACCGAAGAGGGGCGTGGTCCGATGGTGCTTGGAGGGGGCGGATGTGTGAGGAAGGACAGCCAAGGGTGGTCGGGGCGCCGCACGCATCCAGGACGAGACTTCAAGTTCTACCGGAAAAAGCAACTAACGATGCACCTAATCGCTAAGGCTCATCCTCGAGCCTTGACTCCTGTCCAGCCATCCCACGCGTCCTTTCCCTGACTTTTACCATCTCGGCAACGACCGACAGAGCGAAGGCCACGAACAGCGAAACTGTTGAGCGCAGCTCACGCTCACTAAGTCAACTTACCTGCTTGGTGGTGCGTCACTATACGGGGTGACGGCCGGGCCTTTTGCCGTCCTCGATGCAGGATGAGTTATACTGACGATTATTACTCTCCAACCAGTTCCCTGATGTGGAATGGGAGGGCCTGGCACTTTTCCCCAGATCTGGATCCTGAGGGTTGGAGGGACCGACTATTGTCAGCAACCTGACTATTGCTTTTCTATCGGCCCCCCGACCGACTGGACTTGTAACTCCTGGATGGTCGTGTGCTGAGCAGAGCGTGTGGGCCTCTCTCAGATCTCAGAGTCCTGTCACGTGCCACCGATTCACTCGCATCGACGCCCCTAGGGTTACGTTTACCTTAGGTTCACTACTGCAGTCACCGCTCTCCGCTCCACCGTCTAGCCTGCCGGCTTGAAAAGGACAACCTGCACTCGAATGGGGCACCAGGGGGTCGCCCGAAAGGGTGCCTTGAGGGTTGGTTGCAATCGGAGAGTGCAGGGAGTGTGGGCTGGACGTTCACCAATCATGCAATCAATTCGACCGAGATGCCGGCAGGTCGAAACAAGAATGTCATTGGGAACTTGAAGCTTGGTTTCCTTTGCGACGATGGTTCGCAAGAGCCATGATTGCATTACCTTCGTCGTCGTTTACTGTTGCCGGCATTGTTGGAAGACTCGACAAGTTTCGTGCGGTGACTGCTCTTGCCTGGATACTCACAACTCCTTTACGAACAACTTGGACATCTCCAGATGTCTGGGAAAGCTACCGTCTGTGGACTATGAAAATCGAAGGCAATTGGCTCCCAGCGCTGGCCAGCGAAGCCGAGATTGACAAGCCTCCATAGCCCACAGATCATTATCTAGACCGTCTTTGTTTTCTAGCTGCAACCCACTCGCATCTCTTAATTATATTGTGGGTCGATCCTGCATTGCAATTATCACATCTCTACAAGTAAAAGAAACCTTGCTTCCAGTAGTTATCTTTCGATTCAAGCAGCCTGGGGGGGCTTCGGGCTGATGGGTCAAAGTCCAGGCTCCTCTCGAAGGTCTCGCTCCAGAGGATCTGCCAGCTTTTAATTCCCAGGGTGACCACCGACGAACTTTCCGAGGCAGCGACAAGGGTGCGCCTGGCTACTTCATCTGCACAGTCGAAAGCCGCCCAGTCGGACGAGGCAGGATGGTTGTTAGCGCAATCTGCAGTACAAAACCTAAAATGGTTTCGAGACAAATCTGAAAATGGTACTTTGTGTTTAGGCGGTCTTGACGGCTGCATGGGAGATAGCAAGCCACGATCGGCCACGCTGGTACTGTATCTCCCAAGTGCAACGAGACGGCACAGGCCAGAGAGAGAGAGAGAGAGAATTCATGCGCTCTGAAGGGGAGATCGCTCACAGCGTCTACCATGCTAGACAGATGACGGGATACGGATCCGATGAAGCTGTTCAAACTGCTCGATGACCTCAAACAAACACGCAACCCATGATGTATACGTCTCGGCAGTTCGGGTCTGGCCCCGCTGACTTCGAGGCTGATCAGACGGATTCACACCGAAGTCGAGTTAACACGGTCCCTGCACAAGCACAATTAGTCCGGGCGATAGATTGGCACAGTACTGGCGATCATCAAGCCTCCAAAGCACTCGATCACATCGACCATTACTGGGCACAGACCATGTCTCCAAACGGACACTGGGTCTCCCCTGGTCGTGCGCTCGCGACATGCGGTACCTAGCCCCAAGCAAATTGTCTATCACCTTCGTCACCTGCACTGTGTCGAAGAAGGCCGAATTGTCCAAGCGATGTGTTCTCGCCACTACTCATGTTAAAGCGACGTAACTCCCACGGCCAAGTTTTGGAACAAATATCCTGCGCCTGCCAGTATAACAAGCCTGAAATCCAAGGAGTGTGCTGGACCGGGGGGCTAGCACTCGTGAGATTTTTGGCCGAAAGTAAGGCGGCGGAACCGTGGTATGACAGCCAGGGGCATGTATTTTGTGAAGGTGTTCGCGAGCTCCCCCGCGCTAAGAAGAACGAAGGGGGTACCAGGCATTTGGAGTTTGGCCAGTGGAGAGACGGTTTCTCGCGGTCGAACCGGAATCGAGTGAAGGCCATTGGGGGGGGGGGGCCTCGAACAGTGATGCTATTCGAGGTGCATCATTCGTCTAGAAGGAAATAGCGTGCGCCCATTCTTGCTGCCATGTGCTTGAATCTGCAAGAGAACGTCGTGGCCGAAAAACGGAGAAGGGCCGAAGGCAAAAAGTCGGAGCACAAGAAAGGTGAGAGTTGGAACTTGGAAGGGGGAAGAAGCACATGCTTTTCGTCCTGACACGGATGCTTACGCGCGGGACCCTTCGAGGAATTTCCCATCGACTTTGGACGGACCACGCGGACCCCACTCCCTGGAGGGTTGAGTGCCTCGTGACAAGTCAGGATACATCCGTTTCGAGCTGGAAGGGTGGTGTTACAGAGTCCTGCATGCAGTCAGAGGAGAAGAAGGAACAGCAGTCGCAGAAAGTCGCAGTATGCGAGGCATTGTACTTGATACCAACGCCCTGTACATGTCAAATACCTCCAAGTCTCTACAAGTCCGTGTCCAATGTGCCACCAAGCTAGAGAGTGGGATGCCAGGCTGCCCAAGGCTGTGAATGGCCAGGCTAAAGGTTTAGGATTTGGGGAGTGGCCAATGCTTGTTGCTGGTTGCGAGCTCTGGCAATCCTCCTTCCTTCCTCCGTCCTCTTCTCCGAGCCTGAGAGCCTGCGTTCTCTCCTCTCTTTTGACTTTTGGAGCCACTGCCACGAGCGTTTTCGTTCAGCAATTTAGCCTGACAAGTACCCAGCTCGCAAGTACCCAGCACCCAGCACCCAGCGCCCAGCAACCAAAAAGCATCCCATCAGCCTGGTGAGGCTTCGCGCATGGGTCCCTTGCGTTGCACTAGGGGACCGACACCGACGCACCGTTACCCTGTTGAACCCAGTGTGGTGGAACAGAACCTCCGTACTATCTCGTTCACCTCAAACACATGGGACTGTCAAGAGGCGGAACCACCAAGTGATCTTCACGAATAACCACAAATGATACAACGGCTACGGAGTACTGGGGTACAAGAGGTGCCGTGGCGAAATATATGGGGGGCGAGGTACCCCGGGCGAATGTCGCAAGAAGCAATTCCTCAGCGCCCCCAATTTGATCACCTTGCATTGGTACTGCTCGCATGAGCAACATGCACCTCGCTTCGAGACTCACAAAGAACGTCCGCTGGTACCCAGCTGAAAATCTTTGCCAGAAAATTTTCCTTTGGGTTTTTCTTCTTTGATCTATACCCATGCTCAGGCCATAAGGGCTATTCCTCAGGCAAACATTTTTTTTTTGGTTGGAGGGCCAGAGCGAAGTCCGTATCCGGAGTACATGCGGCACAACACGAGGAGAGCCAGATTCGGGTACTCTCGCCGTCAAGCCTATAGCCTCCCAAGGAGTCGTCAAGTGGAACTGGGTGGGTACGTTTGGGGCTGCAAGGGTTGGGAAATGGGCACCGTGGTGGATTGCTTCTGGACCTCTTGATCTCTCTCGAGTTCATGCACAAAATCCATACTTCCCACAACCTCGTGCTCCAGCTCCAGAGCCAGCTACCGTTTCTCGAATGACCAGAGCCCGTATGGTTCGAGAATCTCATTCTGGTCGTTGACAGGTTTGCCAATAATGGTACATAGTACTACCCCTTTCCACTTTTGCCCCCCGGTATTCTCAAATAACTATTTCCCTCACTCCCGGAGCAGAAATGGGTTCCGTGCTTTTTCCGAGAGGCAATGCCACCTCGTCCATGTAGCTAAGTTCCACCGATGAGGTGTTGCTGCTTGCATCTTTTAGCTGAGACGCCATGAGTCGAGATGCGTTGGGTGGTGATGATTTCATTATTTGTTTGCATTACCATCCGCTTCCCATAGCCGATGACAACAGCAAGGTCCGCAAAGGAGAACGAGGGTGAAAGCATGCTTTTCTGGATCCTGCCATGCTGCAAGCCCACGGCAATGACAGGCTCTACGCCCGGCAACAGGCAAAGGCCCAGCGTTTGCCAATGCTCCCTACTACTTGCCCGCTTGTTCATGACCTCCCACGCTACCAGAAGCCGCCAGCCCAGAATAGGGCTCGTCAGCGGGCTTTAAGTGGCCGCAAAAAACCCGCTGATGTCGACCCTGAGACCTGGACGTGGCGTTCCTCGGTCCCCCTGGCGTGCATGATGCTTGAAATCCCAAAAAGCTCATGGGGGGCAGACTGGCCAAGTTGGCGAACCGCTTTGCGCAGATGCCAGCTGCAAGCAGCAAGCAGCAGCAAGTGGCAGCAGCTAAGCCAGGCCCCGCCGAACGTTTAACTGCTTCTAGGTATCAAGGTGTGGTGGGAGTCAGGACTCGTAGTGAAGGGGAACCCTCCCTTCCCCTTCTATTGCCGCACTGGCGCATGCAAAAGCGCAGATGCAGTCGCAAGATGCAGATGCAAGAACCAGCCCCCCAGCGCCAACGAGGCCGACCAGGGGGGCGGCTCAGGGCCTGGCTACTGCTGTACCTAGTACATACGAGTACTCCGTACACCTGGGAGACAGGGCGTTGAACCACCAGCGGCATATGGTATTTCCACCATTACGTATCGTCCGGGCCAGCTTTCTTCACGGCCTCTCCTGCGCTGCCCTTGTTTCTGTCGCTGATGTCGTTCTTGGGGAGATCATCGCGACGGGATTGCTCAGGCCGACTGAGTCAGGCCAATCGAGGGTAAAGTGCCGTTGCAAATCAACTGTCAGAGAGCGCATCAAAGCTGCCCATGTCCCACTTCTCGAAAAAAAGCCTCCCACTCTCCCACCCACCGAACTCGCTGTCCTTGTCCCGTTTCTGGTCTTCGCCTATGTATGGTTCAGGCATGGACCGGCGCTATGCCGATGTGCGGTCCCCCCCCCTCTCCCCTGCCCACAGATCCCCAATTACTTTTGCGACTTGAGGAGGGTTTCCCGCGAGTGGCATGCTCCATGTGAGATGAGGCCTCGGGGGAGGAGAAAGGAGGGCGAGATGAGGGGGGGGATAGTGAGATGAGAGATGCCTACGGTGTACCGAGGACCTCGAAATAAACCACCCCTCGACGTCAAGGTTGCGAGATGTAAGAGAGAAAGAGAGAAAAGACACTGAAGAGATCGTCGTCGTCCATCTCTTTCCTCTCGGAATCTCCCCTCGTCACCAGTTGTCCCGGAGCAATGGGTCATCGCCTCTTTTGACTCTTCCCTCGCCCGGTGCGAAGTGGCATTGCTCACTGCCACTGCCCTTTGATCGGCCTTCCCTTGGTACCCTCATCTCTTGTTTGTAACTCTAAAAAGCTGTTGTCCACTCTCGTTCCTAGCGACAGCCCAGCTTTCTCTTTTGCCAGCTCAACCCACCCCAAAAACCCTAGGGCCGTTTCTTGCATCCCCCATCCCGCTCACCCACTCCTTCGAAACCCTCCCTCCCGACTCGTCGCCAATCCCGAGGGCTCGATCACGGTATCCTGTCCTACCGGTACCTCTCTATTGCCCCTCCAGCCGGCTCCATTCGCTCCATCTGCTCCATCGCCCTAGACTAGGCGGGCGCGCCAGAAAGCCACCATCATCTCTGATCCCTGGCCCAACTTTACGCACATACCCTGGTCCACCGGGTTGCGCCTTGACCATTTCTCCAGCACCAGCGGCGCCTCCTCCGTCCCCATAGGTTGCGTGCCTCTCTGACCTGCACCCTGCACCCTCCCACTCCCACTTCTGCAAGCCCGAGCGACGAAAAGGTGCCTTTTCTCGCGCTCTCTTCTTGCCGACCTTTTCCTCTTGTCTCGTGTGGTGATGACACTGCACAGGTCGTCCTTGCTTGCGAATTATTTTTTTGCTCGTCTGCCCGAACCACTCACACCTACATCCCATCAATATCCTGGCTTCGACGCTGGTAATGCTGCCAGAAGCCCAACAACACACGAGCACCCCGTCCTGTTCGCTATCCCATCCTTAGCCCGCCTGCTGCACGCGACTCTCGCTCCAATCCGCCCCGGTAATGTCGAGTGCGGATGATGGTGAACGTGGGGGCACTGCAGCTGCAACTTCGCGCGCAACCTCCGCCGTCCAGTCCCCTGCCGACCACTCCCATCATTCTTCGGCCTCTACATCACAGCCCTCTTCCACTCTTGACGACACAGACTTCTCAATTTGGTCCAGCAGCCTGGGCTCTCATACCGTAAATACTATTTCCACCAGCCAGTCGCCCGCCCATTTGTTCTCGACCGACACCTCCAATAATCCCACTGCCAATTTCCCTCACCCTACAAAAGCCGCAAATCCCAGCCTCAGTCCCAACCTGGATCTCTCCACCCCAGACGTCCTTGCTCGCAATGAGTCGCTGCTACGGGACGCCGTCTTCCCCGAGTGGAAGGACGATGCTCAATCCTCCGTCCTCGACAGTCCAGAAGAGATGCAGAAGAAGGACCCTCTAGGCACTCAGATATGGAAATTGTATAGCCGGACCAAATCTCGTCTGCCCAACCAGGAGCGCATGGAAAACCTGACTTGGCGGATGATGGCTATGAATCTACGCCGTCGAGAGCAACAGCAAGCAGCGTATGGGAATTCGGGTCTGGTGGGCAGCGACCGTCCGAGCGCTGTGACTGACCATCTCTCTAGAGCAAAGCAAGCACAGTTCCAGAACCCTACTCCTCCTTCCTCGGCCCCTAGTGGCATAGCACAGCAGCTCCGCAAGTCAGTGGACAAGTCTGCTGAAACCGAGCAACCCGCAGATCCCATGAACCTCGACGACTTTATCGTGCCGAGCTCAGTCGCCTCTCCAGCAGGGATAACATCTCCCGCGCCGTCAGAGACGGCGGGGCGACCAAAGACGACACAGGCACCTCCTATCCCCATTACTTCCCGTAACAAGCCCCAAGTCCAGATTCCGAAGAATCTACCTCCGTCATCAATGCCCCAGACCTCCATCCCAACGCATCGGACGACAGAATTCGAGTACGTCAAGAAGAGAGTTCGCAAGACGAGCATTGACGAGAGGAGAGGTGTAAGTTTACCCTATCTGATAGATTGTGTCTATCAAAACTGTCCTCTGACCCTTGTCACTAGAACCGCAAGCGTCCGGCGGAATTCTCTCCTCAAGTGCCTCCTTTACCTGCCCCTCATGCCACAAATGGTGCAGAAATGGATGCTGGTGTACCTGACTACGCGCTTGATCAGACAACAGCCGCCCAGTTCTCGGGCCAGCCCAACTTCCAGGGCTCAATGTCTCTCCACCTTGATTCTTTCCACCTCAGTGATGACCCAATCCTGACATCTGCTGGGCCATTCCAACAAAACTTCGCCTTTTCTCCTGCGGCCTCACCCATGGTCACCAATGGGCCGTTCTCGAATGTATATACACAATCTTCAATGGGTTCGTCCTTGAACTCTGCGGATTTCTATTCCCCTCCTCAATCCGGCTATCCTTCTGCCGTTTCAACGCCCCAGCCGGGCCACGAAGTAGACGGTCAAGGGTTTTACTTTGACCAGAGTGGTCACACGCGGACCATGCCCTTCTATCCATCTCACCGAGGGAATCATTTGATGACGCCTGCGGCCCCTCAGTTTGCGTACGGGCCCAACAATGAGCAAGTGTACTCCCTTATGAATGGGGTGCCTTCAGCGCAGACGGCAAATGGGTTTTCGATGCAGCAACATGTTGATCCTTCCCGAGTACTGGTTCCGGAGTACGGACGACGAGTCTCTCCTGGAGTTTCTGTGGCAGGGAATGACAATTTGTTCCAGTTCGGCGCCGATTCTGATGCGGAAGACGAGGATGCCAATTTTGCAATGATCCAATCCGAATATGGCCAGATTAGTGACCCAACATTGGACTTGAATTCGGGCTTGCAGTGGGACCCAAACGTAGCCGATTATGGCAACATGCAGCGATTCGGCAGCGCCCCCGGGAAACAGGTGCGAATTGGAGGAGCAGAAATGGTCAATTCGCCTCCGGATTGGGGTTCCTCGATGCTTAGTCGAACGCATGGCTCAGCAGCCTCAATCAGCGACATTCGAAACCGCGACCAAGACCCAAGGAGACAGAAAATTCCCCGGACGACCTCGACCCCAGCCTTATCTAACCAGCATATGCAGTCTACTGGTAGCTCACCCGGTGAGTCCGGCTTTAGCAGTCGACAACCGTCGAGACCAGGCAGCCCTGGGCCGAAGAATACGGATCAAAATGGTGTTCCAACAACCTGCACCAACTGTTTTACTCAGACCACGCCTCTTTGGCGACGCAACCCGGAAGGCCACCCCCTGTGCAATGCATGTGGATTGTTTCTCAAGCTGCATGGTGTTGTGCGTCCCTTGTCGCTCAAGACTGATGTCATCAAGAAACGTAATCGTGGTAGTGGAAATACGGTGCCTATGGGGTCAGCAGCCACGAGAGCATCCAAAAAGGCCTCTCGAAAGAATTCCGTGCAACAGACACCGGCAACAACGCCGACGTCGGGCAATGCTGCGAGCGAGCAGAATTCGGCCTCCCCATCCTCTGTGCAGGGCTCTGCACATTCAGGATCGGTCGTGACCACACCCACAAGCTATCCACCTGGCACCACAGGAGGAAAGCCCGGGGTCGTACCAATCGCTGCGGCTCCACCAAAACCACCCGTTCAGCCTGGTCCCAACATGGCCAGGCCGGTTCAGGTGACACCGAAACGCCAGCGACGGCAGTCACGGGCGTCAACCAACACATTGCCCATCATCGCCGGAAACAGTGGTCCGACAAATGAGGCGGAAATGCACGACGCCAGCCAGTCGACACCCAAGGTCACTCAAGCCCCGGTGACCCGGGCCAAGGCTGCCAGTATGTCTTCGACCGCGGGGGCCACCACAATGGCATCGGTGATGCAGGGCGGCCTGCTCAATCCCGGTGTCCAGAACATGGCTAGCGGTCCGCATGGAAACAGCCAAGAATGGGAGTGGCTGACCATGAGTCTGTGATGACACTCTACCCATTCACCGCGTCTTCACGTCCAGGCGACTGTTGCGCGGATCAAATTGCAGAGAAATGCCAGTGGCCAGTTTTGCTTTCGTTATTTTGTGTTGCACATAGACCCGTTTTGCCCTGTCTTCCTCATACAACCTACCAAGGTCCTACTCCAGCTGCACGATTTGACGACCATGCGATAAACGAATCTCCAACTTTTCTACTGTTGTACGCCTCTAGCCCCCGGTTCGTTGTCGGAGAGCAATGGAGAGCACGCAACTAGAGCCTGCACGACAGGATATCTCACGGGTGATCAAACCTATCCTTTGGGGTGATGTGTTGGGTGTCTTGATGAGCAAGAATCTAATGGAGGAGGATTTGCCGTCCAAGTGCAAATTGTGATTTTGTCGATTTACAACAGTGATATCACCGCGTCTGTCTCGACATGCTTGAAGATACAGAGCCTCGAGCAGAAGTGCGCACTTGATTTTTGTGTTTGGGAAAAGGAAACCAGTTTTTGAATGTCTAAGTCGGTAGAGGACTAATGAATAGATGGCTGGGCGAGGGGACCTCGACGACATGTTTCGAAACGGAATATATGATTCGAGATCTATGCGGTGGAGGAAACTGAGATGATACAGTGTTTGGAGACCCTCGCCGAGGGCTGTGGATGGAACAACGACTTGGACACAATTTTAGAGATACAACCAGCCAAATACTAGAAATATTGAGCTCTGGCTCTGTTTTCCCGTTGAACATCTTGTCTGTCTTTTGATTGCATGGTGATTCAAAACGCCTTTCCATTTCTCTGTGGCCCTTGAGCCCTTGTGAGTTCATGACGACAACTCGGCTGTACCGAGTACGCGGCATTGTCCGGATTGGAACTCTCGAGAATGGCTTGGCGGGTCGGCTATCTGATTAGATTAGGCAACTAAAATACGGGGATACTGCACTCCCTTGTCTCTTCAACCTGCATTGCACACACTCCATCGAGCTCATCTCCCAGTACCATAGATCTGCTTCTTCTCGATAGACCGGACTATCTACCAGAAGTCTTGGATTATCATCTTGATACCACGAGTGTGGATACTTGTGATTTCTGACATTGGTCTCGACGAGTTCCCTTTGCGAACACCGTAAACAAACCTCGATTCCTCGCCAACGATCCCACACGGCCCCTGTAGCTGCCCATCCGAACCAATCTCTTCATCCTTTCGAACCTACGCTGCAAAAGAGCATCCGCCGATAACTATATACCTCTTGAAGGCCAGCTCCTTGTTCGACGCATCTTCCCTCCATTCGCGCAATCTGTTATCCGGTCCCAATGGCCACTCCCGAAGTGACAACGACCGCTGCTCCCAACAGCACCGCTTTGCAAGGGGAGGTTTCTAGTGTTGTTCCAGACAACACAGAGACGAAGCCTGCAGCAGAGGCTCCCGCGGAGGCTGCCGCAGAGCCTTCTGCCCCGACTGTACGAGTCCCCATCCAGCGAAGTTCCGTGGAAGACAAGCGCTGATCACTGCCAGGAGACTACCCCAGCTACTGCGGAAACTCCAGTCGTCGCCGAGAAAGCTGGTGATGTCGATGTCCCCGTCGAGAAGAAACTCACCCCAATCGAGGAGCTTTGGGCCCTTGCAAAGGCGCACGACCATCCTGAGATTTGGGGTGTCACACTCGAAGACCCGGCAACCCACATCCCGACTCAGGTGATCTTGCAAAAGTATCTGAATGCCTATGATGGAGACCTCACCAAATCCAAGGACACCCTCACCAAGACCCTGGACTGGCGGGCCAAGATGAAGCCAGTGGAATTGGTCAAGAAGAAATTCAACCGGAACAAATTCGCTGGGTTGGGATACACCACCGTCTACGGTGACGCTGATCCGGCGGCCGACCCTGAGAGCAGGGAGGTGTTTACTTGGAATATCTACGGGAGTGTCAAGAAGCTGGACGAGACGTTCGGAAATCTGCCAGAGTAAGCACGAGATTCACGAAAGATTTGACATCTATTCTGTGCCCGTTGCTGACTCGATGACTTTTCAGATTCATTGAATGGCGAGTCGCCCTGATGGAGGATGCACTGCAAGCCCTTGGAATCGACAAGGCCACCAAGCCCATTACTGCAACCTACGACCCATACAAGATCCTCCAAGTGCACGATTACAAGTCGATCAGTTTTCTCCGCCAGTCTCCTGTTGTGAAAGCTGCCAGCACCGAGACAATCAAGGTCTTCGCGCAAAATTACCCAGAGTTGCTCAAGGAGAAGTTCTTTGTGAATGTTCCTGCGTTCATGGGATTCATCTATACATTCATGAAGCTCTTCGTGGCCGCAAAGACAATCAAGAAGTTCCATCCGATGAGTAACGGCGCGAATCTGGCGCGGGAGATGGTTACGAGCAGCAAGGTGAAAGGACTCGGAGACATGCTGCCGGCAGAATATGGTGGGAAGGGAGAAGATCTCAGTACTACCGGACGACAGCCGGCACTCGAGGACGACGAGGCTGCAGCGCAGTGAGCCTTGCTGGGCAACATTGAGAGGGTGGAGGGCGAGTCGATCGTTGGAAGATAAGGGGCACACCTGGCATCCAAAAGCGTGGCAAGAGCATTGACACTAAGGTAATGTGGAGGAGGGGACGACACAGTGTGTGCATGCATTGGGCATTCGTTTTGTTATTGAATAGATTCAGCGAGCGGATACCCCAGGTCTGTTTTGTTTTTGGTCCATCAATGGTTGCAGTCTGCAAGAAGAAAAAAAGACAATCACACCGATCAGACTTGCTAGCTTACATACACCACTGGTTGACATTATTCCTTGAGACAGGAGCACTGAACCGAACGAAGTATTGTTGATATTGCCTGACTCCATCGCTTGCATGTGCCCTCCTTGCGTTTCATGTGCAATTGTTGCTCTGCGATGACGTCAAAGTGTATACGAGCCTCTGCCCACCCCCACCATGAGACCATCCATGCCTCCCTTGTCTCCCTCCAGCAAGCAACAGGTGGGATTTGCTTTCATTGCGCCTGACCACCGTCTCGCCCTTTGCACCTGCTTTGCCTTGTGACGAAAAGCTTAAAGGCAACCCTTCAAACGGCCTCTCTCACCTTTCTCAACCTTTCCTCTCTTCCACCACTGCAGCACCTCTACCATCAAACCATTCCCATTGATTCATTCTCTCTCACTTTGACCACATACATCACTTTAGCACAACCCATAGCCTCAATCCACCAGACCCTCGTTCGACCAAACACTCGTCCATCATGTCTGACACCGGCCGCAAGCCTTTGACTGATCGTACGTGCATTCCCCTTCTGGGTCTCGAGCTATCCAGCAACTAACCCTGATCTGCAGAGGCTCAAGAGAAGCTCACTCCTGACTCTCAGAAGTCCACCTTCGACAAGGCCAAAGAGTCTGCCACCGGCACCGCCGACGACATCGCAGGAATGGTCCAGCCAGGTACTTACCGATCTCAAATCTCCTAAGATCCCTAGCTCACACGGCCACAAACAGGAGACAGCAAGTCCACCACCCAGAAGCTCTCCGATGAGACTTCGGCCAAGTCCAGCTCAGCCCAAGACACTCTATCCAGTGCTACACAGAATATCCAAGACACTGCCTCTTCTTTGGGCCAGAAGGCTAGCTCGACTGCCGGCGCAGCGCAGGAGTCAGGCAAGGAATACCTGCAACAGGCGCAAGAAGCTGCTTCTTCCGTCGGCCAGACAGCCAGTTCCAACACTTCAGCTGCACAGGAGTCAGGCAAGACTTATCTGCAGCAGGCTCAGGAGATGACTGCCAATGTTCTGAACAGTGCTAGCAAAGCTGCGTCAGGTATGCCGGTCTCACCACGCATCTTCTTCGCATCCTCAAGCTGACATTGCTATCAGATCTTGCTAGCAGCATTTCTGGCGAAAAGAAATAGACGACGGTCCATTGTGCTCGGAATAATCGACTTCCTGATTGTGGAGTATGAAGGGGAGGTCAACACTAGGCATGAAGCTTCAGGCTTTCGTACAATCAGCATCGGATCCTAGTGTATCGCAACATGAATCGCCGTCGACCTATTCATCCAAGGACTGGGGTGGTCTCCATTATTGACAAGCTGACCTCGCAGGAACAGTTTGGTTGTGACTGTTAAATTCTACAGACAATGAATTAGTATTCTTTCCAAACTGTGATCTCGTCGAATATGTTTTGCTTGACTTCTGCCAAATCTGTTTACGCATTAGTTACTCGCCAGGCTTTCCCAAACCTCGAACAGATTCTTCACTCCTTTTCTCCCGGCAGTCGAACAGCCTCCCAGTCCTCTTTCCTCACCGTCCTCCACTCGTCAGGATCAAACCAGCCAATATAGTTCTTGTCCCCAAAGCCGCCGATCCAATACGCCTGCGTCACAACCAACCGAGTCCAAAAGCCTTGATGTGCAGCCCACTTGCGGCCGGGAAGCCACATGACACTGTCCCTGTGCTTCCGCAAGAAGCAGGTCTCTAGGGCCTTTGGACTGACCTGGTCTGCAGATATCTCCTCCAGATAGCCGGTCAAGCTCAGCCGGGGGAGGTTCGCCAGCGCCCAGGGCCTCTGTCCCGTCAGATGGATGTACTCGTCCCACCAGCTGAGGGTGAGTGAGACATTAGACCCGGCCGCGGCGTTGCGGGTCGACGTCGACACCTTGAGCGACAGGATGGTCGGGTTGCCGCTCGGCTCCTCGCACGAGGCGATGTACTCGGGGAGTCCGATGGGCGTGTCTGCCACCGAGGCCGGGACCCCCTGGGCGGAGGGGTCCGATGACGACGAGGAGGACGAGAGGTTCGCGGGGAAGACGGTCGTGAGGACCCCGTGCGACGAAAGGGCCAGGAGCCGTCGGCCCAGGACGGTCGAGTAGTACCGCGACGGGATGGCGACGGTGGCGTCTTCTGCTCCTCGTTGTTGTTCGTCTTTGCTCTCATCTTCGCCCTCGTTGGACGAGACAGGGGAGGACGACCGCGCCATCGACTCGGCAAACAGGGGAGGCAAGGGGATCTTGTACGGCGTGTACGAGAACAAGGCCTCGATCCCCGACCCAAAAGCAGAAGAAGAAGCGTGGTCCGTCGGCAGACTCTCGTCGAGAAACTGCTCGTGCTCGTGCTCGTGCTCGTGTTCATGCTCCACCTCCCGCAGCGGCCGCGGAGACGAGACGAGCATCATGCCCCTCTGGCCCTCAGGCTGATGTTCTCGTCCACGAGGCCGCTCCATGACGACGTCCTCTGGCCCAGTCCCCTTCGCCCCCGCCGCAGAGGGGGCGCCGAAGGCGGCTCGCGGACCCAGCAGGCCCAGAACCTGCACCGCCGCCAGCGTCCAGGGCGAAGAGATCCTCATTCTTTGCGCGCGACGTATATATGGATATGGATATGGATATATGTGAGTGTGTGTGTGTGTGTGTGTGGTCCTGAGGTGATTGGTTTTTGTATTCCGCACGTCCAGCTCAGCTCAGCTCGCTTTCCTGCTTGCTTGTCTGGCCTTTCTACCCACCTTGTGTGTCTGTCTCAATATCGGGGCTGGTTGTCTCTCTGGGTCTATAGAAGCGGCGTGCGTTGTTTTTGTAGCCCGGTTTTATTATCCTCTCGTCTTTCCCCCGCCTCACTGGCTTTTTTTTTTCCCCTTTCTTTCTTTTTCCGCTCCTGTTCTCTTTTGGTTTTGTGGAGAAGCTCCCGTTCTAACTCTGGGAGCAGAGTCTAGAAAGAGAGCTGCTCGGCGTAGATGGCGAACGGGGTTCAATTGGTTCGGGTGGGGTGATGATTGTGGTGCCCTGGTATGCACCGAGGTGGTGGGCTATGCGACCGGGAATCCGATACCGATGGCTCTAGACTGGTAGACGACTCTGACCGTCCGGGTCCTGGCTGATTGATGGATAGAGATAGAGAGATAAGATGGGTCGCTCGAGGGATGGTTGATGGAGGGTTAGCTACAGCACCGTTCGACCGACGTGCCACAGAACATACCCAGTGCATCCAGCAAGTAGTCGCATCTTGGTGCATCCGCCCGCGGTCCATCTTATCTAATCTATTTCCCTGGGGCGGTGAGGAGCAAAGCGGGTTCGTTCGTGATTGCGACGGAGTGGACTGATGTTTCCCGATATCGGGCTTGTCAATTTCCCCTTTGTCCACGTGCACCTACGAGGTACTCCGTACTTGGGCGACAATACCCACGCCAGCCAAAACCCGCTTCAAGTCCCTGAGATGGAGACGAGGGTCATAGTACCACGCAGGAAGGCATCGTCACTCCCAGACGGAGGAGCCGCCGTTTTCCCTCCACGACAGATCTCAAGGGTAGGGGTAGGACATGGTTCACGCAGCGTCAGGGGTAAGGGATACTCACAGCTCGGGAAGATACCGCGGATTATCAGCTCAGCTCGTGACAAGTACAGAGACAGATGACAGACAAAATTACGGAGTATCAGAAGATCAAAGACAAAAAAAAGTTCAATTCCATGAGCTATACAATGGACGATGGTAGCGCTGACATGATTCTTCGAGAATTCCTCCAACCGCTTGGATCCATGATTTGTCCTGGCGGTAGATTTTGATACCAAGATTGGGGGTAATGTTGTTGTTCTCTCCTTTTTAGAGATAGAACAGGTTTTTCTGGTGCCTTTGCTTTGGCTGATTTCGGCCTTGTACATTTGACATGGCGTGGATGATGGTAAGAGTTGCCGTTGACAGACCTACTATGAGCTAGGATGCCAGGTGCTGGTGTGTGTCAGGGTCTTGTAAATGGTTCGGAAGCTGTTGTGAGCTGCATTGCATAGGCGCTGGACGCTGGGTATCGCCTGGCACCATCCATCGGAAGCATAGTCACATCTGGCGCGGCGTTGTGTCTCCGATCGTACATACGATAAAGACAGCAAAGGCAGCCATAGTAACGAGGTGCCACCGAGATGACTCCGCAGCCACGAACGACCAAGGTGACCATCATACAGGACACAGGTTTGTCACAAAGCGATTGCACAAGCCTGCAGTCCTCATCACAAGACTTCAAGATGCTGTAATGCCTTCAGTGAGGAAGCGCAGTGACAGATCGGGTGTCGAAGAAGAGTGTTGCATGGAGCAATGACGTTTCGTGCCAGTGGCATTGGAAACTGCTCTCCGGGACTCCGTCAGAAGCTTGGTAGGATGCTGCAATTGCGTGGGTGTGATGCAGGAGTAAAGTGGTAGAGAATCTTCGACGACTTCCATCTGTGTCTGACTCTGCGACAGAATACTCCTCACTTGAGCATGGAGCTCGGAATCGATCTTGGAGAGTGTCCTCTTTTGCCCTCGGGGGTGATTATGGCTCTGATGCACCGCACTGTCAACTTTCCCAGCGAACCGTCGAGGTGTTGGAGTGACACTCTGACTGGGCGATTCTGTGAGCGCTGACAACGACATTAATCCATGGATAGCAGCGACTTCGGAACTGGTAGGTATGTTATTTGACTGTTGACTTTGGGATTCCTCAGAGTAGCCTTGGTGGGAGGGGGCCCCAGTCATCTGACAATCCACCGACACGGGCTTGGACTGTCTATCTGAGAGTGAACACACTCGAGACAGAGGAGAGCTGACGCCGCTCCACACGCTTCTCCGCAGTGGTGGTATGCTTGGTGCCCAGGACGACCAGGAGGAGCTGGACGAAATTGAGGATGACCGAGATCGGGATGTCACAGTCGTCGAGTCCGAAGAGATCGAGGCCGGTGATGAAGCCACTGGGGTCGTTGACCTACTGGGAAGTTCCTGAATTGTCTCAGCAGGACGCAAAAGGCACTTCACAGACGGTAAGACAAGGCTTTGAGGTCGAGGAGGGGGGCAGCGTTCCAAATTCGCATTCATGAGGCATTGCCTCCGCATGCTTCGCAGCGCATCAACCGACGCTGAGCAGCGAAGGGAAGGCCGGCCACAGTTTCGCTCCCACGTATACTGATCTGGAATGCGAGGCGTGGTCTGCGGGGTCGGAAGGTTTCCAAGGTGAGGACGACTCGGCAACGCGAGACCTTTGGCTGGACTCATCTGGACAGGAGTCTGAGAAGTCGAGATAGGTTGAGCCTTGGTTGACTCGGAGGCGCGTGTCTTCAAGGCTTCGCTGAAATTCAAATCATAGCCATGGGTAACAGCATCCGGTCCTACGCCTGCGTTATCTGGTCGCCTGGTCACTTGCTTGCTTAGGTGCGCGAGCGATGCAACGACGTCCATCTTATCGTTTGGTAGATTAGCTCTCAAGAACTCATCCACATGCGCTGTGTCTTTGACGATGCTCGGCTCGAGTTTCCGAAGCAGGGCTGTCCACCAAGCTTCTGAGAACACATGATCGTCAACGTTCTCGTCCAAACCCACTTGCGAGATCATGGCAGCCAAAGAAGTGTTTGAATGACCCCCAGGGGGACCAAAATTCGCGTTGAAAGCGTCTGGCCGGCACGGGGATCCCTCGCTCGACAACTTGCTCAAGATTAAAACAATCTTGCTCCAATTGTCGAAAGCCTCTTTCGGAACATGGAGGTCGTAGTTGATTTGTGCGAGATATTCTCTTTCGTTCTCGTTGATTTCACTGCTGCGTAGGCCAGATATCTTGCTCCAGGCCCGGGCCGAATAATTGCGGTCTTGCAAATATTTCGAAGCCAGCATGAGAGCGGACAAAAACATGCGACGTCCACACTGCATGGCTCGGCACTGAGATCTCTCGAACGGTTCGCCTCTACAGCTGGTCTTGGACGGCCCTTGTGGCATCCTGGACTTTAGTAGTATCAGATAGTACAACGCGACTTGTAAAGTAGAGTAGCTTGTTTTGGAGCGTCGGAGTGTTTCTTTGATGAAGGTATCGAGGCGCAATACACCGGCCCCGTTGAAACAGTCCGACATCATCGGTGGCCGGTCAGAGAGGGGCCAAATGGCGGTGATAAGTCTCTTTGCAAAGACGATGAGTAGAGACACAAACTGCTCTGTGACGTCGGTGTCCCTCTTCAACTTAGGCGGGCATTGTCTCCTGAAAGAACAAGCAGTTCTCCGAGCATTCCAGTGTTGTGCATCCGGGTCAGAGCTGGCTTCGCCACCGCGCAGTCGCAGACATGTTTGGCTGGGTTGCTGAAGATGAGTAGAGACCCGCGCCTTGAGGCTACGATAGGCATATCCAAGGGGACAGGTGCTGCCGGAGGCGGCATGATCTTTGGTCTGTATTCCCTTCAATAGCTGCTCTTGCGGCTCAAGTGCTGTGTGAGAGAGCACCTTCTTGAGAGACGGAAGTGGCTCTCTACCGTCCTCGTCGAGGAAGATGTCACCAGGATCGGTCGTTGACGTCCAGGACGTCTGAGATGATGATTCGGAAGAGTACGACTCGTGGGCTGAATCGCTCACACTGACATCATCGTCAATGGAAGCAATGCTAGTTTGATCGAGGTCCGGGTTGACGTTGTAGCTATTGAAGGCCCAGCGTTCCTGGGACTGTCGGAAGTTGTAGAAGCGGCCTGGCTCTGCCCTCGACACTGGAGAGAGCCATCTTTCGACTGAATCTTGTACGTTTTGGGGGGGATGGGAATTGGAGAAGGCTGCAACCTCCTTAAAGCCCATCTTCTGGAGACTGAAAGGACCAGCGTTTCCTCCGATGGCGAAGAATTGAGATCGCGGTCCCGAGTTGGTGGCAATAGGGTTCGATTACGAAAATCCAGATTGACAACAGAATAACCAATTAGAAGAACCTGGTGCGCGAGCGTGAGCATGTCGCCCTTTGTTTGGGATGTTTTCATTCTTACCAAAAGAGCGGGTGGCAAACCCACCGCGAGTCAGAGCACGGAAGACTGTCTTGTTTGGCAAGATGGCTTGATCACGACAAGCACGAGATCGATGCGCCTTCGAGAGTTAAGCATGAGCCAACTCAGCGAGGGAGGTCTCGAGGTACAAATGCTCGTCTGTCTCAAACCGATCTTGGTGTGGCTTTACCAAAACAATGCGTGACTCTGGCGGTGGGCTTCGGCGTGTAGATGGTTCTTCTTGGATATGTGACACCGACCAAGAAATCATGGCTAATGACCAATTTTTTCCTTTTATGACTGATAGGAGTGGAGAGTTGCGGGAGAGGTGTGCTAGAGCGTGTTGTCAGAAGACTCTTTCAACCCAAACAACCGTCGGCAAGGGTTGGTTGAGATTGCAGTGAGGGAGAGGTGACTAGAGGTAGAAGTCGTGAACACGGTGGTAATGTGTTGGCAATTAAGAGGTCAGGGTGAATTGGAGGGAGTGAATGCGAGACTCGAATCGCAATGGGAGTCAACGGTGGTGAGAGCCAGGGACGCTCCGGACGAGATTCAGCCCGTGGTTCTGGATATCTGTGTATTCGGCGGTCGTGGCAAATATGAAATGGTCCTAAATATACAGTGTCTATAGGCAGACATTGTTCCGTGAGTCAGTTGAGTGTTTTGGACAGAAATCCAGGTCTCAAATGCGAGTCTTTCTGCTTCGTGGCAAAATGCGAGACGCTTTCGCAGCCAGGAGTGCTGGAAGGGCTTACTGGGGGAATTCGAGTGCGGCGGGTTGGCGATAACCTGCGTCTTGTAACGAGAACGTGTGGTCAGGGGATTCAGATGTGAACAAAGTATAACATGCAGCCAGTGCTGCGATCCATGGATTGCTTCATCTTGTCTTTGGTAGAGGAGGACCTCATGCCGGGGCGCTGGCGGTAGTTTGGAGGATATAAGGGCTGGGGGTGGCACCCTCGCCACTTTGGCTCTGCCATGCAGTGGCTTCCTGCTCGCCCGCGCGCCGCTGAACAGCGCCCTCCAGATCATCAGCCGATGACTCAAATTCCAACCTGAACTTGAGACCCCCCCTAGCGACACCCACCCCCCAAACCACCACACACCCACTGTCTGGACCAGGCATGAAAGAACTCTGGAAGTTTGCTCATCTTGCCTCCAGCCTATGGCTTGTTACCTAGTCCTACGAACATGTCTTCTACGAACAAATTACCGGTTTCACGTCTGACTAGGCTGCTCGAGACCTTGCTGGCCTCTCGCCGCTTGATGGATTTTCAGCGCAACCACCGATAATGGGCGAAAGAGAAGCAGCCCTCACTCAGTTGGGGCTACCTGGGCCTCACTGAAAGCAAGGCGTCGATGATGTGCTTCTCCAGCCCGAGCACGGAGTACGGAGTATTTGGTCAGGAAACCTACAACCGCTCGCCCTCCCATTCTGTGCAACCAAGAGCCCAGGCGAACCACCAGAGCCAATGAACCTCGCTGGGATTTTTGCCAGAACAAAGATTATATCAGATTCTGTTAGTCATCTCCGCTAATAGATTGCTTTTCATCAATCAGGTCCGCCCGCGGTGTTCCATTCATAAACGGTTCCTTCACGGCTCTCCGGGTCGAGCTCCTTCTGCTCCAAGTCCTATCTTGATCGTTTCGCTTCACCTGGGAGACAGTGTCCGACGACCACTGGGTCAACAAGATGCTGGCTGCATAGTGTAACTCCGCGAACATGTGCGCAACTCCTAATACGTCAACACAGACGAAGAATGCAAACCCAAGCTAAGCACAACTAATCAGTGTCTGACAACGCTACTACGCTCCAATCGGGCCAGCCAACACCCCGCGTGGTAGTGAATCATCGCCAGCCTGATTCGCCCCCCTCGCGACGGGCAATGTTGCCGTGACCAGGTGGTGGGTGGGTGGGTGGCCGGCACTCTGACCGGAGGACGAGGGTCAAACTGAGAAGGCCCAGCTGGCAGAAAGAGCGTGACTCAAACTTGGTTCAGTTGGGCGGCAAACCGCCACTTTGCCTCCTTTAGGCCCTTTTCCGCTCCCTCTTCCACCCAGGATCCGGGCTTCGAGGGTCGCCGGGATCCCACTGGCTTTTCGAAGCATCACCGCAGCTTCCATGTCGCAGAGTCAAAGCGAAACTCACGTCTTCGCAAGACATTCAGCCTCAAGTTAATTATTCCAACATGCCAACTATACACGGCAAGGTTGGGGGCTGGGTTTGGACTCGCCTGGAGGCTGCCTTGCCTTTGCGAGTGGCTGAGGCACGGGCGGGAACAATAGAAGCAGCGCGACCCAATTTTTCAGTCCTCATCCTTGCCAGTTTGGGGCAGCCTACACTGCCTCTTGGCGAATGCCCAGATCGCAGATCCGACGTTCCTCAATTTTCCGAGATGGGACAACAGAGCGGCCAACACTGGCCAGTGGCCACCAAAACAGGCAGAAGCACTCCTGCCGACCCGATCAATGCTACGCAGAAAGGCAAGCTTGTGAACTCGGTCGAGACACTGGTACGAAACCCTTGGACCTCACTTGGGCTCGCTGTCGCTTGGCCAACTGTGCGATATCCCGCCTGGGACCCTGCCGGAGTTTGTGCAACTTGCACAAATTTGGTTGACTTGTGAGCGACGACGCGAATGTCCCCAATGAACTTATCTGCATTTGTCATCACATAGACTTCATATCACAGCAGCCCGTCGCTGATGCGGAATGCGACATCAGACACTGGCAACAGCCAACCTGACCTTGCCGCCCTGTGGCCTGGCACGATGGGCACTACTCCGGCGACCGGATGTACTAGAATCCCGTGAGATGCCGCCAACTCAGACCCAGCTTTCACTGCTGTGGAGGAAGCTCTTGTTGAGAGGTTGCTCTCGATGTCCCAGGCTGCCTGCTGCCTAGCCAGTCATCAGATGAGAGAACGACTTCCTGCGATCCGCTTCGTAGCATCCTTCAGGTCATCCGAATACGGGCTCCCAATCCATCTGTGAGGGAGAGAGTCGCGTCCAAAGACTTTCTGGAAGCTGACACGGAGAGCCAGTGGGTAACACTCCACCGGCAGCCTCAAGGCAAGACTGGTGCCCAGCAGGAAATGGAAGATCAAAGCGTTAAGCTGTTTTATGTTGATCATGATCAAATCCCCGGCGACTTCAGGCAGCACGGACAAATCAGGGCATGATTTCTGCTCCAGGTTGAGCAGGTAAATACGGCAGAGTCGCCATCAGGATGCATCAGTCAACCCTCGCGCAATCAAGCAACCCCCCCCTCGCCATCTGCTAACGCGGGGATCCAGATTTTTCTCACTCGTACGCGTCCGATGTACATCAAAGCCCGTTGCAAAAATGCAGATGCACATGATCTGCAAGGTTCCAAGAGAAAGAATTTTGAGTGCTGCCTAACAGATCAGGTCACGTGTGGCCGAACCGGACCAACCATGAAGGATTTGAGTCATACCGTCAGAGTAAGACTCGTGGGAAATCTCTTGTCTCTCGAAGTGCGGCAAAAACAAGCGATACTCCACGGATGAGTTCGTCTGCCTGTTCATTGACTCTCCATTTCATGGCCATAGGCGAGATTTCCAGTTTCGCCTTACAGAACGAAATGCAAAACCCGCGCAATTCGGCGCGAGCCGAATGCGTTGCAGCGAGCAACAAGTTGCGCCTTCTCCCAAGATTTGCAGCTGGGCTAGGGGGCTCATGCGTTGCTACTACAGGTAGGTACCAAGGATCAGAAGCACGGGAGAGAGGGCAGACTCATCTGGCAAAATGTCTCGAGCAAGACACCGACACCGACCGACCCCTTTTGGCTCTCCGTTTAGCCGAAGATGTCCCAACATTGGAAAAGCATGGGGAGAATGCTTTGAAGGCTCTGTTCCTTCTTTCGTGGATTTGGTGACGGCCCTCGGAATCTTTTGTCGGAGACGAATGATATGCTTGCTGTGGTAGTGGTGGTGTCGCCGCCCCTCTCAGCCGGCGATGCAACGAGCCTTGAAGTCAGAAGAAGCAAAAGCTTCAGAGTTCCCAGGCTGCAGATGCTTGTCCCAGTTCCGTCCCAACACCTAGTTAAGTATCGTAGAGTAGGTAATATGTATGTAAGTGAGCTCCTCAAACTTCCTCCCTCATCGGGACTGCGAGCCTGTCCTCGAGATCAAGATAAATTTCATGGCCCGTGGACATTCAGCCAGAAAAACGGACGGAAAAGCCCTCGTCTCACGAAGCAAAGATTTTCAGGGTAGTCCTCCCTTACCAAGCCAGCCATGGATTGCAACCGTTGAACCAACTTGTTCCCTTGCGCATCCTCGGTCGCGCATCTTTACAACCTAACCATAATAAAAGTCGGAGGAAATAGCCCTGGAAATCGGAAATGACTTCATCGAGATGAATCTCTCGCCGACGCGGAGGAGCGAAAAGATAAAAGTGAACACAGTTGATATTATGTACCGATATACCTCGCATGTACCACTTTGACCTTCCTGTAGTTCCATACCTAGGTATGCAGGTAGGTGGAAATCTATCTATCATTGATGAACGGAATTCCCGTCTCTCTCTCCCTCCCTTGCCCCTCAAGGGTTCGTTGACCTTCATAAAGCTGCTGCGCTAAACGCTCCTTCACCCCCGGGCGATAAACGCCACTGGGAAAAGGGGACACAGAACAACAACGACCTCGAGAAGACCGACGACATACATCCCAGATGTCGGGAATCGTCGTCTGTGCTTCTCTCTTTCCCTCTCGCTCTGTAGTGTGGGGGTGTGCATTGTGTCTGCGAGGAATGCCTGCGTCTCTTTCCATCTTCCATCGTTCCATTCCCCCCGCCTCTCGTAGCTGGTGGCTCCGTCACATTTCTTGTTGCCTTCGATTTTGTCTATCCTCCCGAAGAATCGCTTTCCCACAGACGTGGAACTCGCTTCCCATGTTGGACTCTTATAGAGCCCATCCATCGTAGTATAAAACACATGTTTGTCCTCTGTCTCGCGGCCATGGCGTGGCGGCATCTGTGCTCTTCCACAGAACCGGCACAGCTTCAATTTCAAACCCGTTCTTCCAGGAAACGCCTCTCAGTAACTTCCCTGCCCTCTCCCACGATCATATCGCCTCTCACGACCTCTCATAACTCGACTTGGGACCCTGCTCATAGTAATGCGCCATCTCCAACCCTGCCCTCTTAAACCCGCATTTCACGTAGAATCCTTCGTTCGCCTCGCTGCAATCCAAAATACTCTTATAGCAGCCCACTCTCTCAGCCACTGCGTCCAGCGCTTGGATGATCCTCAAACCCAGCTTTTTACCCTGTTGATTCTTCGCGACCGCAATGTCCTCGATATGGCCCACGAGGCCCATGTTGTGGATGAATTTCCGCTCCACGATCACGGCGCCCGTGCCCACGACGGTCGACGTTTCGTCACAGATGACCAGGATGTAGTAGGTGTCGTTGCGCGAGGAGATGAAGTCGTAGCGGGCGTTGAATTCGGCTAGAGTGGGTTCGCCCACAGTGGTGAGAACGCGGAGGGTGGGGAGAAAGCCTACAGATCAAAGAGCAGAGAGACTAGGTCAGTTTCGCGAGCGCAAAGGTTGGATCTGGGGGGAGTCGGGAATAGAATGTATGGACCAAAGACGTACCTCCATAGTAATCGCTCCGTCGGAGAGGCCGAATCGTGTAGCCCTCTGGCAGTCGTGACATGACTTCGTCCGAAATGAGAGACGGGGAAAACAGCGGCGGGTCGTCCTCCTCCCTCAGGTTCGCCGATTTGCCATTTTGGGCCAAACCATCTGCCGCAGGCGCAGAGGTAGCCACGGGAACTGGTGTGGTTGTGGCTGATACTGCTGCGGGTGTGTATGTAGTGCCGTTTGTAAGTGTAGCAGTGTCTGTGCTTGCGTTTGTGACTCCATTGACAGTCGCTGTCGTTGTTGCCGTGGGGCCAGGTGCCGGTTCTGTCTCTGTCGATGCGGTGGTAGTGGTCACTGGGGCTTCCACGAGGGAGACTTGTGTGGCCGCTTCTTTTGAGGCTGGAGCAGTGTATTCGGTCGCTGAGTTCGACGTCGAGAGAAGCGTCGCTTCGGTGGGCGTCTGGACGTCGGCCATGGCTTTCTTCTTTGGCCGGATCTATGTACTTCTTTGACCGCTTTTCCGAATCAAGGGATTGATAAAGTCCACAGCCTCTGGCCAGGAGCTATAGGACGCAAGGACACAATGTGTAGAACAAAGAGCGTGAGGATTGAATAGGGGACTTCTGCCTCGAACGAAGGGTTTCAAGGGAGCGAGAGGTTCAGACTGGGTGCTCTATCTGGTGTTTGTTTATCTGCGTCGCTGGAGTAAGGAGACTAGGGGGTTGGAGTAGAATTTGGCTTGATGTGAGAGTGTGTCAGGGGCAACTGCGAGTATTTGTTGTTGCTGTTGTTGGGAACACAAAGGAAGTTGAAGCTCGCCGGAATCAGGAGGGGTGAAGCAACCTGTCTTCAACAATGTTATATTTCAGCCCCCCTGTGCGGTGTCAGCCGCAGCGTCAGATCAGCTCCGGCGCAAATCTCGAGGTGCAGCCGCTGAAACATTGAGATTTGGTTCAGCCTCGGCCGTTGGTCGCCAGCGACCAAATCTCCAGGGGGTTTGGGCACGAGGAGCTATAAATACACCTAGCCTTGTCAATCGCAGCCCTTGTTCTCCCACAAAATGGTATTTGCGCCTTTCGCTCTCTACATGGCTTGTGTGATTCTATTGATGCAGAAAATCGATTCCATCTGGTGCGTCGTCTGGTAAGGAGCAGATCTCTCGGAACTTCCCCAGCTGTGTCCCTTTGATGGACAGGGAGGTTTGGAAGCTCTCCAGCGACACTGCACCTTCTACGTGGCTGAATGGATCCATGTCGGTCAACTTGGCCAAGTCAATCAGCCCATCATTGATAAAGAGCCGGACGGCATGCCCTCGCCCTATTTCGGTCAGCCCTCCATCCGTCTCACAAGTTATACGTTCGAATATCAACCGTCCGCCCATTGGGACCACGTCACTTGTCTTCCACTTCCGCTCGGTCACTAGCCGGTCAGTAGGTAGATGGCCCAGGCCCAAAGACTCGTCAAAGATTCCCAAGGTGGCCAACGCAGGGACAATGTCACCGTCGTGGACGAAGCTGAAATAGACGTCTTGGGACGAGTGGTTTGACATGAGTTGCTGCGTTGCATTGAGCCACAGCCAACCCAATATGGCACCAAACTTATTACCGGGGCCAGCTCGATAATAGTGTAACAAGTCACGCGCATATTCGAATTGGAGCCACTCGTGTTGCTCGAACACATCGCACCACGGGCTCTTCCCCCTCGCCAGGATCTCGAAACCGCACATTTCCATCATGCCTGTGGGTATCTGTCAGTCCCCGTTCGATATCAACACATGCAAATAACGGAAGATTCCTTGCACGCGAGACAGCCCCGGGGAAGCAAGTTGAACATACCATAGACGTCAAGTGGGCTGAATATCATGCCCTCTGCATCGTTGGCGAGTCTCTCGGCGATGGCTTGGGAGAATGTGCGCTGCCACTCTGCCAGCTTCGCATATCCGTGATCGTGACCGTGCTCTTTGTCGTTGCGGTATTTGAGACAGGTGTCTCCCGGGGTAAGCGTATTTGCGCCTCGATCTTCATCCTCGGGAATTACCACCAGCGCCGCCGAACCATCAGACCTCCAGTCTGGGCCAAAGAATCCAGTGGCAAAGTGTTCTGCGGTCTCAACATCTCGCGGAGAGCTGCAAGACCAGAAATTGGTCCTGCGGCCGTCGGATACAAGATGGTTGTACCGCTGCCGCAGAACCCTACCCGTGTTAGAGGCCTGTCGTGTTCCAGCATATGGGCCAGTGGCTGTTAGATTCTCGAACGCGGGATTGGAGAGATCCGTAAAATATGTCCACTCTTTGAGAAATGATAGCGACCCTGTGAGATTCACCTCCGAATCCTTAAGTCGGCTGAGGAGGTCGATGTGCCCTGGTCAAGGCGGTTAGTGCCTCAGCTGGTTCAGATTACCGAAGCAACTCACGAGAGCCAGCTGCTTTTGTCGGGTATCGTTCAGCATGCCGTGATAACTACAAACGTTAGCACGAGAAGTGCTGCCTACCGATCATAGTCCGTGTAATGGACCTTACCATGTGCACTTGATCCACGGAGCATTTCTTGGGTAGGGGTGAATCGTAATAGTTAACACTGTGTAATTTGCGGATCCAGGGCCCGTTTCCACCTAGATGATGGAATATGTTCCACAGAGCATGAAAAACCGTGCTGCACAGACCCGCCCGAAGCAGAAAAGGAGAAGCTGAACAAGTGTCGTCTCGTACATGTCGCAGGAGAGGAAAGGCGAGGAGAGCTGCAACGAAGATGAGGGTACCCAAGAACAACTTCTGCTGGGAGAACCTCCTAGAGCCCCGGCGTCGCTCGAGTTTGAAAGTCGTCGAAGGCATAGGAAGCAGATTTGATCCTGATGGTGATTTCATCACCAGATTCATCAGGCGAGAGATATTGTGTCTCCAGAATTGGTTCTTAGGAGATTCGCTGGTCCTCGGTGTTGTCGCTTGCTGCTGTTTCCAATCTCACCGTTCAACTGTGCATCCCTGGACAACCCTCCCGCATTGCACAGGGAATTCAAAAGCGAAGATATTCTGGTCAAAGCAAGAAAAGTGTCCCACTGGCGGTGCTCGTGGGAGGCAACTTGCAGACAGAGTATATGAATATGGGGTTCAGTGTTTGTGAAACAGACAACTCATGGATTTCGGCAAAAGGACCAAGAGCAAATTGATGTTTGGCTCGGACTTTGTATCTCCATTCTCTTTTGCTAAGCAGCATTTGCACCGATCCCGACGGTCTCCATTTTCATCTTCACCCTTGGCTCGCGCTGTCCGGCTCGTTGGTTCTTCATCTATACACACGGCCTCTTGTCGCTGCTAAAGGGATCAGACTCAACACTGGTGACTCGGGGGTTGTCCCTGTGAAATGTACCTGTATCCTCGTCGTCTTCGGGGTTTCCTTTCCACGGTCGGTCTAGCGACTCCGGTATATCACGCGCCGAAAGCGAGAAGCTCATCGCCAATAGAATCGCCTGAGAGCCCCTGCGAATACGTCCCCGCATGCGAGGAATCAATGAACCTGAGGGGGGAAACACGGGCAAGGATGGCGACGGCGCAGTTACCGACTGACTGCCGCTGTCGGAGGTGGTGGTTCAGCATGATAAAAAGATGGATCATTTCACAAGAAGATTTGTTCTGGGGCCGCAGTCTGTCCCTTTCTGTCTACACCTGAAGAATAAACATTTCCAGCGATAAAATTTCAAGCAACATGGGCTCTACCAATCCAACGCCTCACGCGTATCCGGTCCCACCGTCTGGCGTGTATGCTCCTGCGGTCACCTTCTTCGATCCTGCCACCGATACCTTGCGTCCCAATGAACAAGCACAGTACTATTCCTACCTGGCAAATTCCGGGCTGAGAGGATTGGTTATCTTGGGGACAAATGCAGAGACCTTTCTGCTCACCCGCGATGAAAGAGCTGCGCTGCTGCGGTTAGCACGCAAGTCGGTTCCTGAAAACTATCCCATTATTGCCGGGGTCGGGGGCCATTCAACAGCGCAGGTGCTTGAGTATATCGCTGATGCCCATGCTGCTGGGGCCAACTATGTCCTCGTGCTCCCTTGCGCATATTTCGGCAAGCAGACCACACCCACGGTCGTCCACAACTTCTACGCCGCCGTCGCGAAAGCCTCTCCTCTTCCCATCCTCATCTACAACTTCCCTGCCGTGTGTAATGGCCTCGATTTGGACTCGGATGCAATTGCTGCTTTGGCGCAGGAGTTCCCGAACATTGTTGGAGTGAAATTGACCTGTGGCTCGGTGGGAAAGATCACACGATTGTCGGCCACCTTCCAACCCGAGCGGTTTGCGGTGTTTGGGGGACAGTCGGACTTCTTAGTCGGGGGGCTGGCGGCAGGGTCGGCAGGCTGCATTGCTGCTTTTGCCAACATCTTCCCAAAGACAGTCGCCAAAGTCTTTGATCTGTGGAAAATGGGCAAACATGATCAGGCGTTGGCACTCCAGAGAATGTCGGCCCATGCCGAGAACCCCACAAAGGCAGGAATTGCCACGACCAAATATGCTGTTAGTCAGTTCAGTGCGAAGAAAGCAGGGATCCAAGGCGATCTTGAGGCCATGCTGCGACCGCGGCGACCGTACGAAGAGCCTAGTGAAGCGGTCAAGAAGAAGATTGTCGAGGTGATGTTGCCAGTGGATGAGGTCGAGAAGACACTGTGAAGGTTGGGGTGAGCGAATGCTAGAAAATAGAAGGATCTTGAGAAAGCTCTTGTTTTTGTTTTGGGAAAGTCTCGTCGTCGCGACTCTAGACTTCCACAGCCTTGCTTGATCTCAATCGGGCTGCATGTCCAACGCCGTGCTACCCGATGAAGCTCCACGCTGTGCAAGCCACCTCGTCAGCAGCAGATCCTTTGCATACCGTTTTCCGGGCTAGTTGCTTCGCAAAAGTAGGCGTTATCGATAACATGGTCTTTAGTAGGACTGATCTGCCCCTCCAAAAAAAATACATCAAACCTCTTGTTAGGTGCTGATCGGCGCCGCCAACTTGCTTAGTGTGGACATCACCGGTGCCACTGTGGCTCACCAAGAGCAACTCTGCGGAGGACAAGCCGCGGGCTCAGGAAAAGCGTAATGTCATAAGGTCGGCAAGAGGAAGGTCAAGTGACGGCGAGGCGGGTCGAACGTCTGGACACAGATGCCAGATGACATCTCAAGGGGATCTCCAAGGCACGGCAGGTAGAAGGAGCGGTTTGCAAGCGGCGGAGGCATGACAGCAACACGGCACAGAGAATACGAGCCTCTCCACTTTGACAGGTTACACAGGATCTAGGTACATGACTTGGGGAACAGGGGTGCTTTGATGCAGGGCATTCGAATACGAGGTACATGTTTGGTAGGGGTGGTTTCTGGATCTTACAACAAGAGTCACTGTTTGACGCCTTCCTTTGACAGACACGAGAGAACGGCGGACTGAAGCATCAATCACTCCCATCAATCGTCGAAATCCCAACATGTATCGAGTACATGGCAGTCAATGGTCAATACGTCACTTCGTCCCCCGCACAAGCTGCTCGAGCCGCTCGCCGGATAAAGTGCGCCGATGCCGCGCGTCATTGATTCCCAAAAGATCCAAATGTGAAGAGCACGTTGGACTATGCAACTACCTACGAGGAGAACATCCGCAGAAGGATCATGCCATGCATTAAGCCTATTGATTGGCACCGACTTCCGTGGTGAGCCGTGAAGCTGGAAACCAAAGTAAAACCTGCTTTGGAGGCACTAGGCAGAGTTCGTGAAGCTTTCTCGCGACTTTAGCCTTTTTTTCACATGGGCTTTCTGGGAGCTTGGAGAGCTTAGCAGTATGCACGCCGCCTGCAGACGGAGGACTCGGTTCTTTCTCCACGCAGCTGTCTCGGCGTCGTGCCCATCTAGATGCACCGATACCACTAGGTAGCTAGCTCGTGCTCGTCGTGGTTGGTGGGGTGGGAGCTCGCAGCTCGGTAGGTACCTAGTCACTGTCGCCGTGGTAGGACCCAAGTGACAATTCCCCATTCCCACCTTCCACTTTTCCCGCCATGCTAAAGAGTCCCCCAGTCTTTGACATGCTGCCACCCGTTGTCTCTCTTTTATCACTCTGGAAGTGCTCGGCCATTACTCCCACACCTTCGTCCACATCGTACCCTTCGTTAACAGCTGTCCAATACTCTTAATATTGCACATAAACCCCTCCGCCGACACTCCCTGCCCTTGCCGAGTGACCCGCCACCTATCTCAGAATCTCAGAATCCTCCGACCGGATGCCCTCGCTGCGACCTTACCGGAACTGTGCTCACAGCTCTCCTGCGCCCTGAATCTCTCATAGAATGAGCTTTCAAATAGAATAAAGAAAGATCCCCTACACCTAATCCCGGAGTCCTCACCTAATCCAGCACTCGGTTTGCTCGAGCTGCGCACAACTGAGCCGACGAAGCTTCTTCTGGTTATGTCAAAGGCCTCCAGCCTGCTACCAGCGATTCAAAATTAACAAGACCAAGCCGAAACCTCGTCGATCCGAGACGCCGGGCATTGGCCTGTGGCAGCAATGGTGTCGGTGCTTTGGCGCGCCATGCCCTCGTGGCTGACACTGTGGTCGATTTTGATGGTGCTTTTGGCGACGAATGTGCAGCGGGCTGCAGCGGACAACATCAGATGGATAGAGTATACAGGCAATGATGGCACTGTCTACCTCAACGACGACCGACGCCCTTCCCTGTACACTCAAAATTTCGGAGACTGCCAGGGCGACTCACTCATCAATGTCACCCGTTTCGATGCGGCATACTACAAGGACAACATGACCGTTCTCTTCCACTTGGAGGGCAATTCTGCGTTGACAAACGAGAGTCTGATGCGTGAGTTATATCATTCCCCAGATTAAAGTGCTGACATCCAGCTGATCAGAGCATCCCAGTATACATCGGCGTTTTTGCTTACGGACAGTCCCGTTTTAATCTGACGTTCAATCCGTGCAACGCAAACATTAACAGCCTCTGTCCCCTCAACTCATCCATACCCATCAACGCAAATGGCATCATCCCCGTGGCACCGTCGGATGTGGCTAATATCCCATCCATTGCCTTGACCATTCCCGACTTTGAAGGACAGGCAATCCTTCGCATCTTTGCCAACTCGACCGAATCTCAGATTGCTTGCTTCTCTGCGGTGGTCACCAATGGAGCTTCATTCTCGCATCCCTCAGCAGTGGCCTCTATTCTCGGCGCGTTCGCCGTCATCGCCTTGATCTCTTCGGCGGCCATGGCCATGTACGGACATGATATTTCCGAGACTCGAAAGCACTATGCCCACTCGGTCTCCATTTTCGTGGTCTTCTCCGTTTACCAGCACATCTTCTTTACTGGAGGGCTGTCTATGAACTGGCCAAGTGTTCTGGTCTCGTTCTGGAGTAATTATGCGTGGTCCGCCGGGATAATATATAGCCAGAAGATGCAGAATTCGATCAACCAGTTCATTGGGAACAATTTTGGCAATATCAGCATGGTTGGTGCGGCTCCTAACGGGCAGAATGCTAATGGGCTAGGAGGAGGCTATGAAATCTCGCAAATCTACAAGCGAGCAGCTCCGACGCCGTTTGCGTCAATCCAAGCGGACCCCTTTGACATGCGCCACCTGCTCAAGAGACAAGCCACCAACGCGACAAACGGCACCGATCAGTTCTCCTGGTACGGAAAACCAGTGCTCCCAGGGTTACCGCTGCCCGGTAATTATTCTGGCTTTGCTGGAACGTTGGCCGAGCTCAATATACCCGCGTCCAACGCATTCCTGACGGGACTTTTATGGTTCCTCATTCTGATAGCTTGTCTTTTGGCTGCTGTCTTCTTGCTCAAATGGAGCATTGAGGGCTTGGTCGCCGTTCGACTGATCAAGACAACTCGACTTGGGTACTTCCGGAAGCATTGGCTATGGTTCATGGCCGTGGCTATTTTACGGACATGCTACATTGCCTTCTTCATGATGATGTTCTTGACCATGTTCCAGTTCACCCTCGGGGGAGCACACGGTGTCAAGGCCATAGCGGCGGTGATACTCACAATTTTCCTGGTGGGAAACCTAGCCATTTCGGGGTATGCCCTCTGGTACAGGACCAAGTCCGAGGTACTGCCAGAGCTACAAGAGCAGGCAAGCCATGAATCTCGTGGTACCGAAAATACCGGGAAGTCCGCTTGGTATAAGATCAGCTTTAAGAAAGTGCCTGAAAACCAAGCCGCAGATGGCCAGACACCCCGACCAACGACATGGCTCCAGAGACATTTTTCAGGTCCGAACACTGGCAGAGTTCATGTTCATGACGATGAAAATTACATTATCAGATTCGGTTGGCTGGCATCCAGATTCCGCCGCAGTAGGTGGTGGTTTTTCTTCGTCTGGCTGATCTATGAGCTTGTAAGGGCTGCATTCTACGGTGGTGCTGCAGGCCATGCCTTGACTCAGGTCTTCGGTCTGCTGGCTTGGGAGATTATTGCTCTGGTAGCAATTGTGTTGCTGAGGCCTTTCGAGAGCAACCGACTCAACTTGATCATGGTATACCTTCTAGGCTTCAGCAAAGTGGCGACGGTGGCATTGTCATCAGCTTTTGATGCTCGGTTTGGGCTGGATCGGATCATGACCACAGTGATTGGAGTGGTCATCATTGTCATTCAGGGAATTTTGACCATCTGTCTGATGATCGCCATCGTTCTCGGGGCGATCTCCAGCTACATGTCCGTCACGCGATACCGAGAGACTATCAAACCGAAATCCTGGCTGAAACCACGGACACGATATTTCGCACATGTCGATCGTAAGGCAACTGACCGACCAAAACCACCTCCGCCGCCACCGCCGCCAGAGCCTGAACGTCCGAAAGAACCTTACTTCATGGTGTCAAGTGTCCGTCGCCAGCCCAAGATTGAGGACGAAGACCCAGACAATCAAATGGCCGAGGTGTACATGTCACCACGGGCTTCTATGGACCCCGAGAAAGAAGCAAGCCATCAGGTGAGCGTGTCTCGGTCACAATCCATGCGGTCTCGAACTAGCGTATCGAACCTGCCCTATGGAGCAAGAGCTCATCGTGTCAGCTGGAGCACGAAAGACTTCCAAGACATGGACCTCGAGCAAGGCCCCGGTCCAGTACATACACGCATGAGTATAGAGAGCATTCGCGACGTCCCCAGCAGGCACCGGGCAGCAAGTTTGCGGGGACCGTCAAGGGCTGGCACACCGATCGGGGAGATGAACGATTCATCCACCGGCCCAGATGTTCTGGCCCATCGTCGGGGGCACCGACGCAGCGTGTCGACACCACTGGGGTCAAAGCGGCACAACACGACGGTTGACGAAGAAAAGGAGAACGACCCCGACATTGACCATCAATAGTCGCTGGAGTGGAAACAGCGACGCAGGTCACGAAGCGATGAGACCTTGACGACATTTATGGACATAATTAATCATTGAGCTTTTGACCGTGTCGAAAGGCTCCAGTGACGAGCTATGACTACGACATATTGCACAGGGGACTATTTCATGAAGCCAAGCATAGATACAGAGCTTCACCACCATGGATTGGAATCATCATAGAGGCGCCAGGTATGGGCAAGGCAAAATGGCGAGGCATTACCCAGTGACAGTATCTTCCATCACAGCGAACGGCGTTTGAACAAACTTTGTGGCAGTACATTAACAGATCGCTTTCCTGAAGGTAGAGAGCAATTTCAGAGAAAGCGAGTGGACGCCGGGGCCCATCAGCAGGAACTCATGCAGTGCCCAAAGGCTCAGTGATGTGTTTGATCATTTTAACTCCGCTATCTTCTTTCCTCATCCCGCCCCCTAATCAGACTTTCGCCTCTTGAGTATCCAGGTGTCAGTTGCTGCTGACTACGCCCAGTCGCCATTTTCCCTGGCTTGGGGCTTGGGTTCGACGTGTCCAGGGTTGGACCTGGCTCTTGGGCCTGCGCTATGTGTTGGTGTGCCGTCTTGTCTTCGATCCTTCCCAGGTCACGGTTGCATTCGCTTTAGCCGGGGAGAAGAAGGGACTTTCAATACGAGATGGGTACCTGCGACTTTGATGGGATGGGCATTCTCCAGGCCCCAAGCCCCTGAGAAACGGATATACAGGTGCTCTGATTTTCCATCGTCTTGTTCGTTCGCACGGCTTGGGCAGTAGCCAACTAGTTATTGCCCGCGTCCACCTTCGAATACGGCGCTTTTCCAGAAAGAGGGATGATTGTCCGCGCGCTGAGGCATTAAGAAAGAGTGGCAAGGAATTCCAGCCTGATCCGCCGCAACGCTCGAGACGTTCTTCTGGCACCCCCTGCGTTGAATAGACCGGCGTAGCGCAATTTCCCAGGCTTGGGATGATCTTCAGTGTTTCTTGAAGGTTTGGGGGACACGGCAACCCCGGATCACCGGAAGGGCACCTGGGCACCCTGAGGTTTGGGCTGGTGAGGCCTGGTGAGCAGCGGATGAGCAGTGGATGAGCAGCGGTCTCAGGGCACCAGGCTGGTGAGCCGTGACTGGGCCGTTGGTGTTCAGTAAGCATCGGCCCAAGGCGCGACCCTTCTCACTGGTACCAAGAGTGGATGAGCAATGGGCCCCCGGGAGCAGTGCCGCAAGAAGCGGGCTGCTAGGCGTCCCGGCACCCACCAACCATGGGCGGTCCTTACCGGTAGGCTTAAGTAATGGGCGGCCGTTCTCCCTTGGGGCCCTCGTCTCCCGTGCCATCATCCCCTCCCGTCTCGCCCAAAGGATGCCCAAGCCACCAGGAGCCAGCAGAGGAGCAGCGGTGGGACACCCCGGAGCAACCACCATCAAACGGGTCAGCTTCTACCAAACCCTTCGCGGACAGCCGCTCTTCACCGATGGAACTTTGGATGAGCATCATCAGCCGTCCCTCTGCTCGTTGCAACTTCTTCATTCATCGATGTGACCTCCTGCTCAACCTCACCATTATCCCTTTTCGTCCCGCTAGTCTGGTAGTCGAGATCAACCGGGATCCATCTCTTCTCTTGACAGAGGGCAGTTATCGTCGACCGCCCCAGGCATACAGAGATTGGGTCGAGAGTCGAAACCGACTTCGCGAGGCCACGGAACCGGTTTCCTGGTCGAGGACGCCAGGCATGATTTCTGCGCCTCGTTCGACTTCTTTTGCAGACTGCTTACGACGAGTCCTGGAACGCCGCTCATACCACCTCACTTGACGCCAGCCCTCGTCTGCCGCATTCCATCAACTCCTCCTGTTTCTAACCCAAGCCGCCCCGGATTCTGCAAGGTCCCATCGTCTCACCCCTGCCTCGGGCATCCTTTGGAGCCGATCAGTGATCGTCTAACTATTTGACAGATTGGACGTCGCTCTCTCGTCGACTTCTTGCCAGCTCTACTCTACTTGTGTTTCGCGACGCAGATCAGTGTCTACGGCGGCCCAAGGCTGATCATGTCTTGTCGTGGGCTACACATCTAGTGCTATTGTCAACCACGAGAACTTCATCAAATTCTCCTCCCTGCGGGCCTGGTCACAAATTCATGTCGCGGTGAACTGGTTCAGCACTGCATATTCGATTTCGTGCATTCTGTAAAGGAACTGTCTTTGAGGACTATGCCCAAGCAGCCAGCCCGATCTTCACCATCCGAGACTTTCCTCTCGGCTGATCCAACACCTCAACGGTCTAACATTCACTTCTCCGATATGCCTACCTCGACAATCACGGTCTCTAACACGAGTTCTCGGAGGACCCCCGGCCAGACTCAAAGAACTCTTGAAAATGCTCAGATTGCACCACCACTACCACCACCGGCCGAGACGGGGCCTTCGGTCGAAGAACCGACGCCGAAAAGGCCTAAGCGGGCGCTTAAGCTCACGGCTTCCCAACGTGAGAGAAAAAGAGCCATCGACCGCGAGGCACAGCGAAGCATCCGTCTGAAAACCAAGAATTACATTGCCCATCTGGAGAACTTGGTCCGAATCATGGAGAATGGGGGCTCGTCCGCAAGTCAGGGCGAGGGCGGTGAGCAACCCCAAGGGCAGGCCATCACCGAGGAAGGGCAAGAAAGAGTCAGAGCATTATTATCCCAACTGAGGCAGAGCGAGGATGAGGTCAGACGACTGAGGGAGATGGTCACTGGAGTACAGAGGCTGGTGGCAGGTGCTTTGAATCCTGGCGAGGATTCCGCAACCAAACAACTTACGGGCTCTGAGGCTTACAACATCCAGCAACCAACACGGATGGCGACGCCTCTACAGGTCATGGTCCCGGATCACTTTGAGAACAGCGCGTCCGTTTATTCCCATAGTTCGGATTCATCATCCCCTGTGATCGAGCTTGGCTATCTACCATTTGACCAACCGAGGTCTGCCGAGGCATCCGCGCCCAATTTCACCCCAAGGGTGCCAGGTCTTCGAGCCCTTCCTCCGCACCACCCAGATCGCTTCGATAGCCTTGGGAGGTTTGTTCCTCCCGTCACAACATTGGAGCCACCAACCTCCGAGCCGCTCGACACCCCCAAGGACAGGGTCGAAGGTGAACTGTTTTTCCTCTCCGAACGTGAGGTTAACCGAGTATTGGCAGGAGGTCACCAGTCCTTCGCGAATCAACCCCTGGACGAAGATATCGTCGTCCGCGCAGTATTGCACGGATGGCGCGATGTGCAGGACATCTATCTGCTGGACAGAGGCTGGCAGGCGCTCAGGAGCATTGACCAATCCATCTTCCGCGAATGTGGCGTTGTGGAGAGAATCGCCATCCTCCACATGATGCGGCTGAAGCTGCTCCATCAGAGCAACGTCAATCCGCAGTTTCTGGCTCCGCTACCGCCATTCTTCCAGAGAGGTCCCACGGAAGACCCGGAGATCCTGGAGAAGACGCCCCTCATCGAGCACTTTATTTGGCCCGGCCTGCGGACCTGCTTGTGCAAGAATGCGAGGAGGTATATCAACAACAAGTTCTCCGATTCGTTCCGGCGATCACTAAAGTTCCTATGGCCCTACGACGTATCGGATGTTTACGAGAGAGACCCCATCACCCAGCTATACTCGGTCATGCCGGAATTCAAACGACGCGAAGGGGATCTCCGGTCGTGGACGATGAGGAAGGATTTCTTTACACATGCAAGCGAACTAATCGGCGCGATACCGGTGTATGAGCCGTCTTTGGACCGAGCCCTGATTCCTGCAGGGTCAGTACCGATGCCAACAGGTCTGAATGCAGGACAGCCGTCCCGGCGGATGCTGCAGAAAGCACCTGCGGGGGTCATGGAAAAGCAAGAAGCCCACGAGTCGCAGCTGGGGCCGATGCATGCAGGTGCACATGGTCACATCTCTCATCCTATGGGCAGCCATCCGGCTGTAACGACGACGAATGTCGCTGTGACGCAGATTCCGCACGCTGCTGAGGTTGAAGCTTGGCTAGGAGATCCTGATCTGGTGCCGCAGTATTGGAATATGGGACCTGGCATCAATGTGGGATATGAGGCGGTTTCTCCCCAGTGGACAAGTGTTCCACGAGGATTTGGAGGATGATTAGTGTTTACGCCGAACCGGGTGGCCCACTTGAAAAGCGATGTCTTTGTCCATGCGTCTATGTCATTCTGAATGTATTGGTATTTTGATTCACGGCTGTGCTACAGTAGAACACGGGGATTCCGCTTCTGAAGATCTGCGGCTTTCCAAGCGCGTGGCCAGGAGATATCTCGGGATCCCCATCGAGTATCAGTTGCTTTTTGCTGCAGTCTTGGTTTCCGCACTTTGCCGCTGAAGCGCAACATGCCCATGGCCGACAGAGGGTGAAAATGGGCATGACATCAGGATTGCCGTCGCCCGCGTCTCTTGTGGTGACGCTTCACGCCTTCAGATATTGGCTCAATCACGTGGGCATCCCTGGCCCTGGTAGAGCGCATGCAGCCAGCTGACATAACTGGCATGTTGTTCCCGCTTTGGCTCTTCATATATCCAGTCAACTTATCAACTGAGCGGATGCCCCATTCAGCACCAGCCCCAGCCCCAGTTAGCAGAATCTGCAAGATCCAGAGACACACCAGAAGCCTCCCCATGCGACCCTTTGCCGTTTTGCGCAGCTTAGAAGCTTCGACCGACTAGCCAGGGTCATTGAATGCCTGCTCCTCCGCTGCCGAACTCTTTTTTTCCCATCGTCTTGATCGCGGTCGCCACTGGATGCACGTTGAATCAGAATCTCCCAGAGATCCCCATTCATCTGGTCTCTTCAGCAATCGTCAGACAGAGGTTGCCCCTCCTTTCCAGCTCCAGGACGAATAAAACCCCTCCGGCCAATCCGGTCCCAGGTGGCCATTATTAATCATTCATGATGAATCTACTCACGCGCAAGACTTCGAGCAAGTCGCTCGCGGAGAAGGAGAACAGAGGGAGAGGTCCCACGGGCCAGGGTGCTGGTACAGCGGAGCGGGTTGCGGAAGACACCAAACCGTCACTGTTTCGCCGGCTGAGCAGGAAGACCAGCCGATCGAGAGAGAGGGAGCCGCACGCTCAGAATGAGACGTCGATTCCACAGCCGACCGAGGTGAGTTGTTACCTGAGATCTTTGTCTTCAACTTGCAGTTTACCTTGTTGCCGGATGCATGACGAGGCTGATATCGAGGGGGTCAAGGCGCGCCATGAGCGCAAGGCAGTGACTGACGATGTGGGCGACAAGATCATGTCCTCAAAGGTCGCCGAAGTCCTGCCAGAGCTCGGTCACGCCGACACCAAAGGAAAGCATTCCATGAAAATGAACCCGTCGACGCATGCAGAGAAGACCGAGACGCCCCATCCCATGGACCCAGCCACGGAGAAGAAGATTGCCTCGTTACCCAGGAGGAATTCCGAGAGGCTGCAAACAGATGCCGAAGCAGGTGAGATTCACGAGTATTCAGTGGAGGGAGGGCAGCATCCTAACTTTGAAGGCACAGAGGAGCATCCCAAAAGCAACCACCGCCCTGCAGGCTTGACTAAAGAAGACGTCGAGCATCTCTTTTCCGGTGCGCCTCAGTTTGTCCTCGAGAAGGGCCGGAGGGGCCGCTTTTTCCCCCAATCGTTTTTCCCCTGGAACAATGACCTAGAGATCTCTGATCTCCAGGATCGGAGATATATCAAGCATGAAAGCTTCGCCCTCGCAACGTTACATGCCCACTTGCCCATCCCTGATGAAGTCAACTGGAAACCAGGCATGGCGGCCCCGGTGAAGAAGCAGGGTCTCGAGCTGGGAAAGCGGCCAATGTTTGAGCTCGGAATCTTTGAACGACCGAACATGCTGGGCATCGAAGGTCGGGAGCCCGGCACCGTAGGTATGCGGTATTTCCTCGAAAGACCTGTTGCGGACGGCATGACAGACGAAAAGATCAAGGAGCACGGCAAGGACGTCGAGATTGATCTAGCCATCGCAAACGCACCCGCGATGGAGGCCTTCAAGATGCTCGCCCTGAGCAAAGATAATGAGGAACTGAATGCGAAAATCGGCAAGCATGCCCCCGCCCAGGAGCGAACTAGATTGATCAAAGAAGGTTCTCACGCGTGGAAATCAGTAGGTGTTCGCGATATCAGCATGGAAGTCCTGGCGGAGAGGATGGATCAAATTGGCGACTTGCGCGATCAGGTCCTTAATGCGGGCTGGCGAGTCACGGTCCTCAATCACATCGACGCTGCGGATCTCTATGCTCATCTCTTCAATGAGCTGCTCTATCCCCCCCACCGGGTGCCGTCGGAGGCAAAACACGGCAAGACATCTCTGAAGATCCAAATTGAAGCATTGGTCAAGGTTCTCACCACGCCTGGCGCGTGGCTCGATCTGAGCGTCCCCGAGTCGCGATTGCGGTTCGGCAAAATCCTACACAGCCGGACGACGCGGCGCGACCACGACACCGGCCTGCTGGTCATTGACCCGGAGCGCAAGTGGCTGCTCATTCAGCTCCTCCTGGCGGTGGAATTGGTCATTCGCCTCGACGCCGCTCTCAGATTGGGCGTGGCACTCCATGCGGACCACTTTGAGATCAGCAGCGAGGAAATTCACCATTTCAATAAACTTCGCAACCTCAAGGTCGATTGGGATCTTGTGGCGGCCAGACGATTTCTGTTTCTCTCCTACGTCAAGAGAATCGAAAGGAGGGACTCAACTCCAGTATCGCCAGTCCATACACTGGAGCGACCTCTGACTCTCAGGCAAAGATCTTCGATCGAGCATCAACTATCTCGCGAGCAGCGGCCGGCGCATCTCAGGCAGAAGTCTTCGGCCGATCACCACCATGGACTGTTCGGCGAACTCAGACACAAGATGGGGTTGGACAGATCGGAATCTGAATCACATGTTGTGCTCGATCCCTGCGACGTGGCCATCATGGCTCGACAGCCGGCGGTAATGGTCGACGGCCTCTTCCGCTTCGCCACGAACATCGGGTGGCCACGAAGCGAGCAGCTTCACGACTCCCTGAAGCACAAGCTGTGCACGGCTTCTGTGGAAGAGAGGGAGAAGTTGCTCATGGATGCAATCGTGTGTCCTGACGACAACACGGCTACGACCAACGCTGTCAACTTGACTCCGTCGCTTCAAAGTTTCAACGTCGATCTACACGCCGCTACCCCCACCACCGTTGGCGGCTGGCTCTCACACTGCTGGCTCTCGGGCCTGATCCTCCCGGGCACCTCGATCTGCGATATCCTGATGTCCACGCTCCTCGAGAACGACCCCAACCCGCAGACGCTACGGGATCTCGGCTCCGCCAGCCTGTCCCTGCGAGGATCGGGATTCATCCTCGACGGCTCCTCGTGGTGGTCCAAGTCCTGCATCGTGGGACGAGTCATGGCGCCCATGCGCGGAGCAAAGGAGTCTATGGGCTGGATCCACACGCCCAACTTCGTGCCCGTGCATGAAAACACCCGGGAGCCGCTCAGCAACCGCTGGCTGAAGATCAAATCGTTCCCTGTCCCCACGGATCGCGACCGGCCTAGGATATTCGACGGCGACCGACTGGCCGAGGATTCGACTCCGCTGGGCAAGGGCAAAGGAGGGATCATGGGAACCGAGTTCAGCATGGTGACGGACCACGTATTGGACGATGCAAGCACGCCCGAAGTCACCATCAAGGATATCAAGGTCCACCTATCCAGTTCGGACGTCACACTGGCGTCGGCAGAGCACCCGTTGTCGGCATGGGCTCAGTTCGATCTCATACTCGCACCGCCTACAAGACCACCATCTCCATCCCATCCATCGTCAGCCGACGTGCCGGCCATCGAGACGACACCGCTCCAGATCCGCTACGGCCTCGATCGCGCCGTATATTTCGTCACCTCGCACCCGTGCCGCCTGCCCCACGGCCACGCCACGTTCAAGGCCGGCTCGCTGGACGCCTATTACGAACAACAACACCCGAAGCACGTAAAGGGCGTGGCGGAACACATCCCTGCCCATCCACTGCACAAGACGTATCGCTACGTGACCAAGACACTGGCGGAACTGGTACAGAATCCGGAGGTGGACCCCCCGAACCCGACGAGGATGGGCGAGGAAGGAGTCTGGATCATCGACGCACGAAGCCACGGCTGTTCGCCACACAGCTCCCAGACGTGGCTAGCAGGCGAGACACCCACGCCGTCTGCGACAGAGGCCGAAGAAGCAGCCGCTCCCGGCGGCGCCGGCGCCGGCGGCCCCGTCACCTCTCCCAAAGTCCACCTCGACTACCTCCAGCACTACCTGCACGGAAGCACCGACCCGCAACTGTGGAAGAAGGACATCCTCGTGCGGGCGTGGTGCGCCGAAAAGGGCCGCAACGCCATCGTCGCCCGAGCCGGGCGCACGTGCCTGTCCTGCGCGATCCGCGAGGCCAAGGCGCTCGAGATCTCGGTCATCATCAGGGTCGGGATCAAGGAGTGAGCCTTACCTTTTGCCGTCTCTTTCTCCTAGCTGTGCGTGGGTGACGGGGTGCCACGGCCCCCGGACGGAGTGGGTGTGTGGGTGTGGAGGACTCTGTTGTTGATCGAGGACCTTAGGCGTTCAAGGAAAAAGACGCGGCGGGCCTCTTCGCGCGAACCAAAGGAGAAGGTGGACAAGACAAGCCAAAAGCCGGGTCGAGGCTCAGGTCGAGGCAAAATGGGAGGAGAAACAGAAAAGAGAATCTAGGGGGGGGGGGTGGTTGTGCTTCGTGGATCGGGACGAGAGGATTGAGGAACCTCGAACCATACTTACCATTTCACGAACTTATCACGACATGAAGAACGGAACGAGGCGCGCCGGGACAGGATCAAGCAAGCAAGGGACGAGCGAGGAAAGGAAACCTTCAACCTATCTACCCATCTATCTATCAATCTATCAATTTGGAGCCAAGTCGAAGTTTGGGACCTTGGGATCCTTTCGTTGAACGAGTCTCAGCCGGCCGGGCCTACTGGGCCAAGCTTGCAACGAACGCGTCTTTGATCTTAATTTCTGTCGGTCTTTCACGTACAATCCATAACGAGGCATGTAGTACTCCTGACAACCACGAATGGCTCATCGATCGATACCTATGTATCATGTGCTCCTTTTCTCCTGTGTCCAACACCAGCCCGGGATCATGCGCCGATGCCGCCGTGTGCATGCATCTGCTACTCCCTCATCAAGAAACCAAGGATCGTGACGAGAGGAGAGAAGTATGCGGAGGAGAGGGACTCGAAACGGCAATCGACGCAGCTAGGCTGTCTCTACGTATACGGCGCGAGAGCGATCTCGAGGCCTTGCAGCTACTGGCTGTTGCCTGTTCAGTTCGGGAAGTTATATCACACACACACACACACGTGCATCTCGTCCTCTTTGTTCCGCACGGTCAGAGACAAGAGGGCAAGGCATAGGGAACGGGGGCAAGGGGCAAAGAGAGGTCGTAGCAGCTGTAGCCACAGTCGATCACTGGGTCGTCAAGTCAGCATGCCGCTCCTCTGTGGCTGCTACTCACTCCACTCCCTGCAGGGTCTTGTCAGTGGTAAATCTTTCTCTTGTGTGGCACGAGAGCAACACTTGGCTGGTTGTTCTGGCTGGCATGAGTTCCTTATGTTGCGCGAAAAGGAAAGCCCGCAATTAGTTGGGAATCCGGCTACTGTGCTGCACGCCCAACGGGGGACCTTTTTGAAAACCAGTTGTGGGTGTGAATAAGAGCAACGCCATCTTTCTCTTTCCCTCTACAAGGGCGATCAAACATGCTCACTCTTCTGCACGGGGATGAACACCTGTGCCACAAAAGGACCTCGGGGTAGTTTGAACGACGGTCCAAGTCCGATTTGCACGTGGAGCGCGGTCCTCGGCGCTTTTCATCAGCATCATTCAAGAGGGAGCATGACAAGATGAGTCTGGCGGGGTCAGCTGCGAGACTACATCCATGCACCAAAGGGCATGCATGAGGCCGCCTTTTGGAGCCATTGGGAAAAGGAGGGTCGGAACTTTGACACTTGTGGCGAGTTGTTCTGGTCGAAGCTGCTCCTGTTATCGCAAGAGAACAGCAGATCGCACCGCCATAGTCAACGACCTCAGTGACGATACATGTTCTTGGCCTTTTGCATTCCCATCTGCCCATCTCTTGCCATGTGCAACATGTCGATCCAGAACACTCCGCGGCGGGTGTTGACGTCAGTGACATCCTCCCTAAAGCACTGACAGGACGCTGGCCCTCGAAAGTATGAGGAGAAGAGCATGCACGGGCTCAGCTGGACACCGAGAGAGCGCGACTGAGTGGTGGAAATTAGAGAGATGGATGGGTCGAGGACGCAACGGCGCCAATCCAAGTTCCTGGCTCCTGCAACCTGGAGGGACACGTTCGCTGGCACAACCCAAACCATGTTGTCAAATGAATGAAGATGAAACTGACCGTGGTGTCCTCAGGGCCACGGAGGCGCCGTGAATCTAGAAGTGCGAGTCTGCCTTGGTTTGTGACCTGTGATCCTGTGTGTGACTTTGGGTGAAAGATGTCTCGCGAGAGGACTCGGTACAGTAGACAGGAGTCTAGACTCTGTATCCAAAAAGCGATTTGAGCAGGCTAAAGGTCCCCCTTTTTTCACTTTCAAGCAATGGCCAACACTAGTATGCAAAGTGTGGTAGCCACACTCCTCTGGAAGAGTTTCTTTTAGGCTGCGTTTGTAGGCTTAAGTTGTGGTCGCATTGCAGCTCTCGACGACACTAAATTGTACGATATTGGACTATTTGGCAAACGTAGAACTTCCACTTCGGATGTTTCACTCTGAGAGGCAGCTATCGGAAATATCTGCCTTAGCGAATCCTCCGGGGTAAGCAGATAGAAAGGCAGAAGGCTTGGTTGTCGTCGTCCAAAAGTGGCTTGGTCGAGTCCCCGGCACTGCAGGAGAGTAGAAGACAAAAAGGCACGAACTGCATGATGATGTTCTAGACCAGGGAGATCATTCAGCTTTTCCGATCGTGCGAATAACTGGATGCAGTCATAGACTACAGGCTCGGACAGGGGGGGCCAGGATGGAATTCAGTGGTGTTGTGACACAATCAACATGTCCCTGCCGTTGGAGGTGTTCAACGGCCGTTCGCCACGATCGCTGCAGACCCGAGGGATTTGCCAGGAGGCGAGTGGATTCGTGAGAGCGGGGTTCGGTATGGCTGTACGGATCACCTAGAGAGCAAACAGCTTAGCTTTTCTGGCAGCGTGAACGGGCTAGGGATTCGGATGTGCTAGTGGTGAGTCTGGAGAGGAGAAGAGGGAGAAGATCTGGCCTAGAACTTGACCTGGGGTCGCCAGAGTGGTCGACCAGCTTGCAGCAGCAGCAGAGTGCTCGAGGGATCGATGAAGCCCAGGAGAAGAGGCCTGGTGATGGTAGAGCAAAGGCAGGGAAGTCATTGACTGTTGCCGAGTGCAAGAAGAAGAAAGTCATTGACTGCGCCCAGGTGCGAGAAGAGAGGGGCGCAGACAAAGCAATAATATTAGGGATGTCGTACAAGTGAATGAGGTCCAAGGATCCCCAGGGACCCTGGCCAGCGCAGCCAGCGCAGCCAGCGCAGCCAGAGCAGCCAGTCGAGATTAGTTCCGGACACGTTTCGGGAAAGGGACCATCCCCGATTCTTCTCTACCATGCGCTCCTAGTCGATCGTCTCGAATGTCTGGGTCTTGTTCCTCCATTTTTGGAATTCTTGGATATGCCCTCCCCGGGTTAGCACAGAACGAGACTGTCCTCTGTCTCACATACACAAATCATCACCACTCCCCAAGGCAGACACGTTTGAAAATGAGCCCTCGGATGCTGGGGAATCAGATCGACGAACCCAGTGACCCAACCACGCCATCATGTCCAGATCAGGTTCTGATTGCATTGCCACTTGGCGAATATCCATGAGTATCCGCTCTTGACATGCAACGGTGCGTCTTTCGTCTCTCCTCTCTGCGGATGGACTTGGTTGGCTGATGGTCGCTGGTTTTCCCCTAATGACGGCGATGTCGTCTTTACTCCTCCCTACGACGCTCTGCGAGCCACTCGACCTAACCTAACCCACATCCCTAAAGAGAGGGGAAAGCGTTTGGCGTGAAATGGTGCCGTACACGTACTCCATAGGTACATTGGTGGTGATCAACTCCTTCGATCGACCGGGCACACTCCCCTAACGGAGGTACACATGATAGCGCCGGCTTTAGGGAGAGATCAGCTCTATGCCCTGTGTGCTCTCCCCCCAACACGGTGAGACAAACAGGCATTGTCAGCCGTTGAGGAAAGAGGAAGTCCACCCAAGCCATCCTTCTGCTGAGCATTCGATCTCGATGCCAAGCTCGGTTGGGATCAGAAGCCGGTAGGCGTCCTTAAGGGGTTGGATTTGCGGCGTCAAGGTGTCTTGTTAAAAACAGAAATCGTCTCGCCTGTTCGCCCATCCTGCGCGGGCATAGTCCCCCGGCGACAAACCGCCCTAGGTACTTTCCTAGATGTGTTCTCAGCCACCCCAAATAAACCGAAACCTTTGACGTGAAAATCCAACAAGAGCATACGCTAGGAACCGTATTTTTGTGTTGGTAAAAGTGAAGTTCCAATTGCCTGTGACGAAAATGCTGTCCTAGGTAGCTTGCCTATCGACCGCTTGTTGAAACGCCGTGTTGGGTCTCAGGCGTTGCTCAGAGGCAGATAGGGCACCAAACCAAGCCGCTGTACCGTCGGCAAGCTGGGTCATAGTTGGGGCGGAATGCAAAGTAGAGTTCGACGGTTCCAGTGCCTTGTGTAAGGGGCCTGCTGCAGCCGAAAGTCGGGCATCAAGAAGTTTCTCGCTTCTCCCCCCATCCTGGACAGGCGGAGGCATTGAAATCTTAGTAGTAGAAGGAGTGGTGGTCTGATGCGATGAATCTGCCACTACCAGCCCACTAAACTCTCTTTTTATAAATAGATGACGAAGACTCTGAGGGCTATGATCCACCAGGGCAACAGATAGACAGACACAACCTCGTAGGACTTGGTCATGGGGAACCCAGGAGTCTGATACTGTGAGAGCAGTGGTCAAATCATGTACTCTGCTTCTCAAACAGACTTCCACCTGTGTATCTTCTGAATTTCCCAAGCGAGTAGTCGGGGAGAGAAAGAGAGAGAAAGATTCGCCGGGGCAAACCTTGGTCTCTTCCGCCCAGCAGGAGTGGATGATCGCTGTTCAGCTTAGTTTTGTGAACCCGACTCTGGCATGGATTAGCGGCAGCAGACGTTCTGGTTGAGCTGTTGCGAGCTTATCACTTCACACATTGGTTAGTTTCTTGTAAAATGAGGCGGTACTGACTGCAAAGATCGACAAGGAGCTGGCCTCCAACTGGTAATCCCTGCCTGGCCACTCTGCCGAACTCCGAAGCGTGCAGGAGGTTGTGTCTAGTACTGTGCCGAGTAGTAGGGGGGAGGACCTCCTCGCTGAGCACGAGTAGTTGATCGTCGGCCGAAAAGCCTATCGAAATGCTATCCAAAGGCACCAGCAATCTCGGGGAACCGCCATTGATGCCAGATATCCAAGTCTTGCATGGTCGGACGCGGCCATTTGCCATGATCTGGCCATGCGAAATCAACCACTTTGGCGAAACCGGGTAAATGGGAGGACGGCATTGCGGACCTTTGCGGTGCGGTGCCATTAGGAGCTGGCTCCTTTTTGGCGTCTCAGTAGGCCGAAAAAACCACATGGCAAGATGCAAACAGCGTGGGAAATGAAGGATTTCTGATGGCTCCAGCCAGGGCCTCATCCGCACAGGAAGAGCTGCTTCTGCATCGCCTTCGGCTGGTGCATTTCCTCTCGGACCAGCATGAGCCCCGGCAATCCTAGTCTGTCTCTGGGAAAAAGAGTTCTGCATATCGCTTTCAGGCATCCAGCTTTCAATTGCTCCCTACTACAAAGTCCACACTCCCAGAATAGGCATGATCAGGAATGAAGCGAAGGTATGAATTGACGATACATTCGCCTCAACGCGTTCGGGGTCCCTCGAGCGAGCTTCGCGGTTTCGATGACTCCGAGCTCACCCTTCTCGCGTCTGGAGAACAATCAAACCTGCAGCTCCTGTGGAGGGGGTGTGGTGCTCATCGCTGCCCCTTAGAGCGTTCCTTACCTGGGAGCTAGGTGCCACAAGGTGCTCGGTCCACGTGGAAAAAGAGGTCGACACTTGGGCAAGTGGTGTAGTAGTCCAAAACGCAGTGACGGACGACTGACTTTTTGGTTGAGAAAGGTGTGCCGCTAACCATTTGGTTGCAGAATGTACAGGGATCTCACAGTGGATAGCAGGGCAGTAGCTTCGAAGCTACTGACCATGGCATCAACTGTCGGTCGAGCCGGACGACATTTCCGTGCAGTCTAGAATCCCTGGACAGCGTCCCTGGAAGATCTGTTCCCAGGGGTTTGGAGGAGAGCCGCATTAGACACCGCCACATTATGGTTTGGACGTCTGGAATCTTTTCCCACAGTTGCTTGTTCTCTCATTGACCGGTGACCCCTCAGCAAGTTTCGCCTCCGGGATACGAGCAATGGTTGGCCTTTTGTTCCGTATACCTCCGCCTCCATGGCGTCCGGGCTAAGATGAATTATGCCGCGATGGGCAATGATAGTCGCCATGCTAAGCGAGGAAGTCAGTGCGAAGAGGAGAGTTGCCACCACCACTGCGCACCCAAAACCACTTACGAGGCTCCTTTAGACGCTGGGAGGGTTGCTCACTAACCTGATTGCGTCTATCTCGGCCAGCACGAGGCTTTGACCGACTTGATGCTCGAGTGGGTCAAGGGTCGACTCCATGCACTCGCACACACGCCACTTTCTCGGTTAAGACTTGCTGACAAAATAGGTGCATGGCCTTGGGGTGGTGACGTGAGTGGCATTCGCAGAGGCCGTGATCTTGATGCGCCTGACAGGTACAAGCAACCTAGTTCAAGCAAAACGTGGCAGAAACTCTTCCAGTCTTGCCTGCATCTTTAGCCGCCCGCCCCCAACCGCGTCGCGAGCTCGCTGTATCTTTTCGCTATAGAGACGTTGGAGCAAGCTGCAACCTGTCTTGGCCCAGTTAGACTAAACCTCAGCACGGCACACGCACGGACTGTCGGGTTTGGGTCTCAAACTCACCAAGCAGGGGTGCCACCTGCCACGCGCCCACAGGGGGGCAGAGTCCCTAGAGCAGAGTTTGTGTTCAAGCCTCCGTAAGCCTCCACAATTACCGTCACACATGGATAGATGCTCTTCAGATCATGAACTTTGAGTGGAGGAAGCGTCGCCCCCCCTCAACCGAGCCATCCGCACCTTAGGGAGAGGCCAACTTCACCCCCATGAAAGCCACACGACCGGCTTCCAGTGGCGCTAGCTTTTGAGGATCAGCCCAGGGCAGTCGGGGGCTAAGTACTGGTAACCCCAGCTCGGTGGCTCCAGTGGAGGGTTTCCAAGGCGCCCTCGCTCGACACCGAAGCGACATTTGAAGATCAATGCAGGTATTCATCCGTCAGAGCCGGTTAGCTCGCTGTCCAAAATACCTGTGGTCTAGCTCCTGAAGTTACGCCGACCACTCCTCGTACCTGTAGGGCCTTGTCGTAGTCCCTTCCGAGACCTTTCGCAAGGTAAAAAGCAGCTGAGCTTTGCCTTCCGGAATGATATCGCAACCATGAACAGCGGAACCTGGCCAGAACTCGGGTCACTGAGGCTCGTGGCTGACGGTGATCCATCTTCCGGGATCGGTCCTTCAGACGACTCCCTTTGGGGTGCGTCGCGTCGTATTTGTCGTTTTCTTAGAATCTTCTGTCGGGAGCCGTTCCCACTCCTTCATTGGTGGAGACAAGTTGGCGCAGATCGTTCCTTAGAAACCGAACTTCCTTGTCGCTTTGTCTCGGCACACCAGGCAGAGGGAGGTACGGCGTTGCAGGCTAAATAATGATGGGCATCATCACCCGCCGACTTTGGTCAATGTATTGCCTTTACTTTCTCAGAGTCGATCCAGGTAACTTAGAGATGGTCAGCCGCACCACCTAGGGCGCATCTTAAATCTCCAGATCTTCAATGCCTCGTTTTACGGGCGTTCTGGACTTTGGGAACGCAGATATGATCGAACTGTGGCTTTTCTCCGAGTGGATCTTGTAATAGTTCCTGGCCATTCAGTATTAGCCATAGTCTCCCAAGGACCCAAGGTCAGGCATACTTGTTTGGGGGTTGTTCTCGCATCTCGCCGGGGCCAGCCCCGGGCTGCCCTTGGCTCATTAGGGAGTACCTCGTGCGATCGTCCATCCACATCCTCTTCAAGCAACTTCGTCAACGCCTAAAAAAGTCAATGGCGCGAGCACACTGGACCCGTATCTTTCCTCCGCAGGTGGGCTATTTGGCTCTCGTGGCTTTAATCGCCATTTGGGAGGAGCTGGGGGTCCAAACTGCCAATGCGAGATTCTGAACCATACCTTTTCCGCACGCGATGAGAGTCATATACCACCCGTCATGCATGTTGAAAGCGCTTGTCTCTTTCGTTGATTCGCCTGTGGCAGATATCCGAGTCTGTTGGCTGTGGCGGGCCTTTTTCTTGACAATATTTTACGATCCACGAGGAGGGAACCCAGTCCTTGCGAACCTCACTTCCCTATCCCTATCACTGGTCAGTCTGCTGTAGCCAACTTCTAGGGCAAATCCCGGTCTACCCCCATCAAGAGTCCTTTGTTGAATCTGACCGTCCTTTTCATTTCTCTTCCATTTCTGATCTGGACGGCGGACGGCTGACAATCCTCTCCACTCCCTCCTGCACGATCGAACGGGTCGTCCTGAATCGTGGCCTCTTGGTGTGATTGCTTTTGTTGATCTATCAACATCGACTTGGGGATCACCTCCAATTCAGCTCCTCCAGCAATATCCAGTCTGCCTTAGCATTCAGTGCGACGTGGGTAGATCGTTCCACGACTCTTTTCTCCGATGCGTGGTAGATAGTACCGCGGGCCATATTTGTGCGGTGCGACTGATCTCGGATTTCACGAGGCTTTGATCTCTGTGACTTACAATTGAGAATCCTGTTGGCAGGCCTGATCGAGGCCGCAGCCAAAACCAGCGCTGAAACCCATCAATCACTTTGCGACAAGTCAACTCGGCTGTGATGTCGACCCATGCTCCACGATACCAGTGATGTTGCTAGTCTGCCTCGCTCAACAGCTCGACGAGTACAGTGGTGGAAGACGAGAGACTAGAAGCAATCATTGCCTAGCCTTGGTTTCGCGCAGGTAGTGCTCGTCTGTCAGCCCAAAGAGATGCAAGAGGGAGGGAATAATTTTGGGTTTTACGCAGAGGGACGTGGTTCTGCGCAAGACCAGTTTGGCTCGGAGGTTGAACAATTCAACATGCCTGGTTTGATCCAAAGCGGTAACTCATCGCCCAATGTTCGCGATATGGTGGCAGAAGGGCCACCCCCGTCGCCTGCCGACAAGAAGAGAAACAAACTGGGGTATCATCGCACGGCTGTCGCATGCGGTCAGTCTCTGTTCCTGGCTTCCCTGTGCGCGATTCATTCTGACCAAGCACTAGTCCATTGTCGACGGCGCAAGATTCGCTGCATGTCTGATTACAATGACCCAACAGGTCGATGCCAAAATTGCATTCGCCTGAAAAAGGAGTGTGTTTTCTTGCCGATTGACCCGCAAAATCCGCCGACCGCGAAACGGCCACGCTCAGGGGCGAAAGCGACGGATGGCTTGGTGAACGAGGGAGAGGCATCAGTCTCATCGTCCTCCCCTGGGGGTATCTTAAGGAGCAGCTCCATGGAACAAATAAATTATGCGAGAGGTTCTGTGGACACTCCTCCCATGTCCAACGAGAGTCCCGGGTTCCCAGGTTTTCATCCAGGTTCCAGATCCATGTCTGCCCATGGTAAGAGCATGATTCCGACTGTGTCTTTGAGTGCTGACTTCTTCCAGGCTTCGATTTCGCGCATGGATATGATCCTAATCAGCAGCAGCGCCAACAGCAACAAGCATTCGTTCCATCTCCCTACTCACCGAGGAACTTTGACGTGGATTCGATCAATCCTCAATTCTATCAGCAGCATCAGCATCCGTATGGACATTCAGTACCCACGCCATATTCATCAACATTTGCACCGAGTTCCTTACCTTCTACCATGACAACAATGTCCCAAGATCAGGCTTATCCTTACCAGACAGCGGCTCCAAACGGTGCCTATGGCTGGGCAAACCATCCCACGAGATCGATGTCGTCGGACCAAACTGACGAATTATCATCTGGCTTCCCAACCCCCTACCGAACAAACACGTACCCGTCTTTCGAAAGAGGGATGACAGGCCAGATGCAGCAACTACCGCCGACCAGTTCGAGCCTGGTGCCCATGGGCACTGAAAGTCAACACCCTCCAACGCATCCGAATTTTCGGGAACACACCTCGTATCAAACCATGCAAACCAGAGTGCAACAGGGATGGACGGCGGGGAACCCTGGTGCAATACAGCAATTGCCTGCATCCGTTGACAGCTCTTACTCCCAAGGCTGGTATCAGCCTCATCCAGGGGTAGCGAACATGCAACAAGAGGAGGAACACCCTCATATACTACCGTCGCAAAATCGCAATCCGCGAGAAAGTCAGCATAAGCCAGGCTGAAGCTGACTAGTTGTATCGATCACAATCACCCTTCGCTCCGTCGCCACAAGCAATCCCAGCCCAATCGCCAGCAGCAGTTGGTGCCTGAGCTTTAATACTCAGGGAGCTCGACTCGCACCGGTCATATCTGAAAAGATTTAGGTGGATGTGTGTTCTGGAAGTGGTTGTTCGCATTGGCTGCAGACGTGGATCATATTCCTGAGGGGCGGTATGCGCTCGTTGAGCAGTGAACCAAATGGGAACGATTCATGCGGGAAATTGCCTGGGTCTTTGATCCTGACCCGCTCTGGGACGAACCAGCTTTGGTTGTGCAGGATTCATTGAGTACCTCGCTCCGGCGCACCAGAAGTGTCCAGAGGAGAAGGAGCTAAGAGGTAAAGGGCAGATATACCTTTGGCACATCGAACACCAAGAGGAGTTTCGGGCTTTGTTGAAAGGGCCGGATAGAACAAGTTGAGTTCTGAGTTTCGGGCCCAGGGCGTTTAGAGAGACCCAATCTCTTGCCAGCATCAAGCCACGCGCTGTGTTGAGTTCTTCCTCTGTTTTCACCACAGTCTGTCTCAGATTGGCCTGAATGATGACGGTGCTTCAGTTCAGGAAGATCTAGCTGCGAGGACTCGAATCTTGTACACTGTTTTACTGCCATCCTCGGCAATGCAACAGATGTGCTTGACCCCCTCTTCCACGTTGTTCGACGCATTGTCTGCCAGTCTCCCGCATAACATCAAATCAGATTCACCGGGTCGTGCGGTCGAAAACTCTTTCAAAATATGAGGAACACTGGCGAGAGATTGTATGAATTGTTAGCTGCAAATGCCTCAGGGGGTCGGTTGGAGGACAGTGCAATCTACTGCGACCGCAATCCGACCAAGCAATTTTGGCGCCAAACGGGCGCTTAGGGATTTTAGATACGCAACAAACGTGCTGAGGCCGTGCTGAGACCATGCTGAAGTGTGACCTCCGTGGTGCCAGCTGGTTTCCGTGGCGCACCATCACCTCAAAGGTGGCGAAGAACCACATTCCGGCAAGCAAGAAGGCTGCGCGCACCGTCACTGTTTGGAATGCCAGCCCTGACGCATGGTGATTTATGTTATTAGCCATCGAATGCTGAAAGTGTCGAAAAGCGGGATGTACTTGTCTGGGGATGTCTTGGACAAGATCGATTCCCTTCTCTACGGGGTGAACAGCGAGTCCTTCTTGTGGCCTGAACCGCATCTCAGTCAGGTGCCTCTGGCGCCGCCGGTGCAGTCAGATGTCCACCAATCTACTCAGGGCTCTGGCTCGAATGACTTGCATGCAGCTGCACATGGGACAGGTCTCAGCGTTAGGCGACACGGCGCAAAGAGCTGTCAAGCTTTGGGAGGGTTTCCCTTGCGGCTGCGGAATGAATTGGTTTTAGGAGCACAGGCGCCCGTGGTTACACAAGCAAATTCCCATCGGGAGACGGTTGTGTGTCTATCCGAAGATAAAGGGAAACCAGGATACTGCGCAGGTCAGAGAGGGCGAGAGAAATTTGGAGTGAGTTGAATTGCTCATTTCGCCTGTGGGCGGTGCCAACAAAGATTCGCCTCGCGTGAAAAACAGAATGAAGAGTGTCAATCACGTGCCATCCTGCCTGGTTCAGGCTCCCTTCTGTCCCTCGTTCGCTTGAAATGGCTTCCTCCCAACTGTCAAGACTTCCAAAGAACCTGCCACTGATCATCCATCTGAAAACCAAACCACCATGGCTGCTTTGTGAGGGTACTTTCTCAGACAAAAACTCGACCAGTGGATTTGACATAATGAGCTTGATGGAGCAAGACCTGGGTTCACTCTATGGGCGAGGCCATGGCCAAAGAAAGAGAGACAAAGGGGCATTGCCCCGACTGAAAGCCGACTTCACAATGGCAACAGATCCTTTGTTTGGGCAAAGGCAGTAGTGCCAGGCATTGAAACCATGACAGCACTTCTACTTGGGTTGTCAACCATCCGGTCTACAATTTCGCGGGTTCTGTTTTGAGACAACTCTACTATTGACCAAACATCTTTGGATAAGAAAGCCACCGTTATTCTCAAATCATCCTCAGCATATAGGCGGCTCTTGGTCACCAATTTCTCGACTTCGATCCATCAACAGCATCAAGGTCAAGCCATCTCGAGAATGGCACCACCTCCGACAGAGCCAGTACACGATGAATCAATGAAGGACCGGCTGTCATCTCTTCCTGGTGAGCTTCAACTCCAGATTTCCAAGCATCTCAACTATTTTGATCTTTGTTGCATACGCGGAGCATCGCGGACGTTGAGCCGTTGCTTCGCTGACCCTGCAACTCGGCTGGCTGACGAGATGTCCAGGGCTTGGATCGAAATCGGGAACCAGTTTCGGGACCGCTACTACGTTGATATGAACATGTCGCTCCTGGGCGCGGACATAAACGGAAAAACCACTGTACAGCGGGTGGAGGAACATGCAACGGGGCGAGGCTTCTCGAAGACGCTAGTTCGATGGCTTGCGCACCCCCGTCACTACCACTTCTCTTGTTCCAGATGTCGTGTCGTCAAACCTTGGACGGAGTTTCCAACCGACACCCTGCGTCGTACATATCCTTTCAGACCATATGTGGAGCCGTTGGCGACCCAGCAAGACTACAAAGAAGTACTGGAATCTATGATATGTGGAGAGTGTACTGCTGTGGACCAGCCTCACACGTATCATCCCCTTGGGCTCAGGGACAGCAGGAGTTGGGTCATTCAATGTCACAGATGCCTCACCGTCCAGCGGGCGCCCGAGAATCTGTCGTTCAGGCTTCGTTTCTCAGGATTCTGTCCGCAGTGTTTTGCGGAGGTAAATCAGGACTGGTTCAGGTATAAGAATTTCTTGCAGGACTGTCTGGCGAGAATGGAAACTTACGAAAAGGGGGAAGATCTGGAGTCGCTGTCATGGGGAGGATTGCCCGAATGCTCTGTGCCTGCTGAATATGTTGTCGCGCTGAACAACCCGGACTATCGACCTCTGCCGACTTACTCACAGATCGTCAATGCCCAACTCTCTTTCAGAGCAGCCAGAATTCGGCGTCGGGAGCTTGCAAGAAGATAGTGTGCTTCAGGTCTCACCGGACCAGATTACAAGGCTATGATAATTTTCTGGCTACGGCCATAGCACAAAACGATGCATGATTGGACTGGCACATGCATCACACCTATCTTCCTTCTGGTTACAGAATCCGGTGCAAGAGGAAAGTCTTTGAGGTTCGCAAAGACGACTGGACGTCATGCACTCCTTCATCTTCTTCTGACCAAATACCGTTTCCATTCCGAGCCGCAAGGACGAGCCCAATTCTTATCCCTTCAAGCTTTGCCTTTGCGAAAAGATTGCAGACGGGCATCGTCCACCATTCTCGCTTGGTGGGCGCCGAGCTGGACTTGGCCATAGACTTGTTTGCAAGTATTGAACAACCCGGATGTTATATCGTTGGCACAAGAAGATGATTTGTGGTGGAATGCGAGGGGCCATGAATGTTTCCAGGACTACCCCCGTGTAGCGAGCGATCACTAAGTAGCACAACGAAAATCCTCCTGTCCGGAGAGATCATTTTCATCGGAACGCAAGAAGCCTCCAGGTTATTACCTACCATTCTCCTCTTGCATGCTCTTCTGCTTGTGACAATAGAAACGCCGCTTCTTCCTCCCACTTCAGCCGGGTCGGTGTCCTCTCCTCATGCGATATCCTACCATCCAATATTTTGGTGGTGTGCTACTTCTAGAAAATAGCCGTCCTAGGAATACAATACAGGGAAACTTCAATGGGAAAAAGGTAGAGCGAGAGAGCCAAGCTCAAAGTGCTTACAATTCCTGTCTCAGCGCAACCTGGATCCAGTCAGGGTAGCCCCGTCCCCGTACTTTTGAACATCGAACCCGAAAATTCTAACCAGGGTATCTATCACAGTCCACGAGACCGTCCACTCCGTCACGACCCCCTTCACGTCCACCCCTCCCTTCCATCCAGCGCCATCTATGCCAACTGGACAGCAGCTTCACATGGCGGGCACAGGTGAGAACCCGTGGACCCGGCAGGCACTTCGGTGTGGTTGATGGCCCAGCAGCGTAGGCACCGAGTCGCCCGACTGCTCGGCTGTGCGGCTGCTGGCTGCTTTGCCAGAGGTTGTGGCATGCTGGACTGGCCAGCAGCCTGCTGCTGCTCGCTCTCGAGCGAACCACCCTCCTCCGCCACGGATTGGCACATGCACCTCGAACAGATCCCCCCCTTCTTCGCCCCAGCGTCCACTCGCCCCAGGGAGTTGCACTTCTTGCAGAGGACCAAGGTCCGTCTCCCGTCCTTGACCACGCTCCCCTTGTCCCAGATCCCCTTTTTGACCCCACAGGCCCTGCAAAACCGTCGGCCGGCGTCCGCATGGCCGAGGCTCCTTCTCCCCATGACCTGGCTCTCCACGAAGCACTGTCGTGGCAGACGCTTCAGGCAGGCGTAGCAATTCAGCCGCTCCGCCCTGGTGATGCGGTTGCGGTGAATGTTGTTCAGTGAGTCGGCCGGGGCGCTGATGTCTGGGGGAATGTTGGCCTGGACGGATGGGGGGAACACGCCCGCCCAGCGTCGTTGGTTTGCATAGGCCACCTGCCGGCGCTGGTAGTCGGCGTGTTCCTCGGCCAGGAGGCTGGCTCTGAGCGACTGCCGGATTTGGATGATCTGGGCCAGCGGGATAAGGGCGGCTGCTAGGCGGCATGTCTGGCGGAAGGCAACGAGGGACTCGTAGTCCAAGTCGGCCATCAGGTCGTCGAACATGTCGAGAGGCAGGTTGAAGATGCTTGCGTGGCTCGCCATACCGAAGGCTGGTTTCTGGAGGGGTTCTGGATCGAGAGCGAAAGTCGAGATCTGTCGGGAAGATCTCTCTTGACTCTCCTGTCTGAATGTAAACCGACCAGCTTCGAGGTCCCTTTTCGGTTGTGTTGCGAGCTTACAGCTGTGGTGGATGATGAGGATGTCCGCAAGCAGCGGGAACGAAGTCCCTTATATATACCTATAATCCATTTGTGGTCTGGGTTATGACTCACAGAGAAGTGCAGAATCGCACCTTAATGGGCTGAATATATACAATACAAGTGCAGGGAGTGAGGGAAGAAGTGAAGGACTATATAAATGGCGTGAATAACGTAGGATGCCACCGCGGATGATGGTTGTTCCGCGCCGATGCACTGCGCCAAAGTGGGTGACAAGGTCCTCAAGGCTTCACCCCTTTTTGCAGTCTGAATGGCATTGTTCTGCCAGTGACCTGGGCATTATTGCGTGAAGATCTATGATGAAGTAGAGTCACGCGCCTGACAATAAGAGCTTGTTTGTCCGTACAGCGTGCAAATTTATCGTATTGAAGCGCGTTGGACAAAGCTCCCGTATATGCACGAGATCGAATGGACAAGCTGAATAACGACAGCTTTACTTCGATGCACTATTCCATACTGCCCAAGACCTTATTTCGTCTGTCCAGCTGCCCTAGTGGCATCGTGGTTCACGACCCAGTTCTCCGTGTCTTCAACCTCGTTCAACCCCCAAGCTGTGCTGCTGTCGTCGTGCACTGTCGTTCGTCTCAAATCTCGCTTGTATTTGCCTTCGAACGCTCCCCCATTGGCTCTGTGGAGCGTGCACCGGTTGTCCCAGATAATCATATCCGATGGATTCTTCCACTCAACGCTAGTCGTGTACTTCTTCTGGGTGATGTGGTCGAGGAGTTTCTTGATCAGCGCGTCGGATTCCTCCTTGGGAATGCCTTCTATGTGGTGGGAGTGTGCTGCAATGTAGATATTCCTGCGACCGCTGGGCTCGTGTACCTGGATGAGTCGATGCCGAGCCATAACACCTCCGTTGGTCGGATCAAGGTCTTTGAAGAATTCTGGGGATCCTAATTTGCGAGACTGCGCGATCGAATGGTGAACAACATAATCTTTCTCCAGGAGTTCCTTTTGAAATTCCGGATCCAGCTCGTCCCAAGCGGTGCGCGAGTCGGCGAAGTCAGTGTTCCCGCCATTTCCCGGAGGGGGGATTTCTACCGCACGTAGCAGTGAGAAACTTGCGCGCCTAGGGTTGAATGAGGAGTCGACATGAAAGAGAGCATTGCCCTGAAATACAAAATAAGCCTTTGGGTGGGAAAAAGACTTTCAGGTGAGCTCACCTTGCCATAGTGTGCTCTTGGGCTATTGGGGTCAAGAACACCACCTTGATCATCGATATTCCCAGCGTCGAACAATTCGTAGTAGCGGTACCTTGGTCTGCGGCCATCAACCATATAACGCTTCATAGTGTCAAGATCACCAATACGTCTGGAGAATTCGATGTGGCTGGCATCGTCTAATCCAGTGTTGCGGAAGATACAAACACCATACTAAAGCATAAAAAGGACGAGTAAGCGCCAAATTACAAAGCATCGCTGTTTCAACTGTGCGACAGATTGACGAGGAAGGGCCAGCAAGGCTCAGAAATAGGGGCGTTGGTACCTTTGCCATGGCGGCGAGAATCTCGTTGAATTGTTCATCGGATAAATTTTGAAAATCGACGCCCTCGACCTCAGCCGCGAATGTAGGGTGAAGTTTTTGGATGGTGATGGTCTTGAATTCTGGCTCCTCAGCGTAGCTGCCCATTTTGCCCCTGATCTCGGTCCGTGGTAGTGAGGTGTTGAATGCAGCGGGCGAGTTGAGGGTAATTGGGCGTCTGTTCTGCTTGGTGGAGGACCTTATCGAGAGCTCAAGTTACGACTCACTTGGGTAATATGCTCTGTACAGATACCTTTCTCTGCGCGAGAATCAAGAATCATCTCCCTTCGAAGATGGTCGAAAACCGTCTTTTGCGCTTAGGTAAAGATGGGGCTCCTCAGGTCGTGGGGCACAATGTGGAGGAGGAGGCTTCCAGGGTGGTGAGACGCATCAATGGAGTCGCCATCGGCAAGTAAGAAGTGGCAGAGCCAGCAAGACTCTGCCATCCTCGGCGCAAATGCCAGCCTGTAGGTAAATGCCGCTCATATTCCAGCCCGACCTCAGTGGACAGCAAGCAGCCCAACCGTTCTTACTGGCGGGGCTGCTTGGACGTGCTCCGCTATGCCTGCATTGACACTGAGCGGACCAGAATTGGAGGTCTGCGGGTTGGAGCTTTGAGATCTGGGGTCGAAAAGCACAGAATGGGGGCGGAGAGGAATGGGGTTTGGCCAGCTTGGCATCCGGCGATCCTTTGGTGGACAGCACGGGAGTCTCTCAAGGCACATCTGCTTCTCATCACATATATCAGCAAGGAGTGCTGTCTGCTCGGTCTTCTTTGCTGTCAATGCGCCATGGCTACTCCATGAAAAGGCCAGAGAATCGTCAATTGCACCCCCCTCTGAAGACGTCGCGTCCCTCCTTGTGTGCCAGAGGTAGAAGGAGTTGGTGCCGACACATCCGACTGTCAGAGACTGCGTTCTCTGGTGTCTTGGCCTTTGTTGTATGTATCACCTCCACACCGAGTCCAAGGAGGAGCAAGAGTGGGATGCAGATCGCAGCTCAGTCGGTGTCGAGGAGCGGTCGTCGGGGCCGACGACAGGTCCTAAGATCCGCTTGAGACATCTGGCATGGGATTTGGGTACGTTGCATGGAAATGAACCCCAACTGTTTGAGCGAAGCTCTTCTTCTCTGGCAAAGGTTGCGCAAGGTCAGAGTTGTGATCACCTCGCCTGAGCTTGCCACCGCAAAATCTTTGGGGCGAGGAGCTCGTGGACGACACAATCTGTCCCCCGGCAAAAGCACGGCCCTGTACACACAGGAATAGATCAAGTAGCCTCGGGAGCTCACCCAAGATTTGACTGTATCTCTGTAGATACTTGCTTGGTCTGAGCAGCTATCGTTGCGCCTTTTCGCGTCAAGGGGTTTGGATGGCTCGGCAAAGTTGCTCTGAAGAGGGTCACTCCAAAACTTCCTACCACTTGTGAAATTTCACGCCTTTGTGTACATCTTCAGAGCCTTTCTTCAATCCTCGGTGCTCAAAATGGAGAGCTTGAGTGATGAAGTCTGGGATGTTGTCATAGCCGGAACCAGTATTCCCCAGTCGCTTCTGGCATTGTATGTTACTTCTGAACCACCTCAACCAAGGCTTAAACTGACTGACAAAGCGTTCTTCTCTAGGGCTCTTTCTCGTTCAGGCAAGAAGATCTTGCATGTTGATCGCCATGCTTACTATGGAGGTGACGACGCCGGTTTGAGTCTGGACGACGCCCAGAGTTGGGTAGAAGACTTGCGGCAATGTGCGCAAACTGCGCCTTGAAAATTGCGGCATCACTGATCATCTCGCAGTCAGAAGCACGGTGTACAAAGATGCCTTCATATCGAGGTACACCGACGACGAGTCTAGGACCCCCTCATCACTTGGACCATCCCGGTCATATACTCTGAGCTTAAGCCCCCAAATCATCTATGCCAAATCCGAGTTTCTCCCCTCCCTCGTCTCGTCACAGATCCATACCCAACTGGAATTCCTTGCTGTTGGGTCTTTTTGGGTCCTAGATGATGGGAAACTGCACAAGATCCCAAGCACCCGTGAGGATGTGTTCAATGATGAATCACTTTCGATGAAGGACAAACGTGGACTGATGAAGTTCTTGCGGTACGTGATACAGGAGGAGGAAGAATCAACAACGGCCTCGAAGGAAGACAGTACCAGCATGTCGCTGAAGGACGCCTTGACGACGGAGTTCAAAATTCCAGACTCTTTGCAGGCTCCGCTGGTAGCACTTGCGCTGTCCCCTGTACCAGCCGACTCGGTTCCCTTCGACAAAGCCCTAGTCAGGATCAGGAGACATATGAAGTCGATGGGCCATTTTGGTCAAGGCTTTGGCGCTGTCGTTGCTAAATATGGCGGCACAGCAGAAATCTCACAGGTGGCCTGTCGTGCCGGTGCTGTTGGCGGAGGCGTGTATCTTCTAGGGCACGCGTTGCAAGCTCTCAGCGCTCCTGCTAACACCCCTGTTCTCGCACCCTTAGATGGTGGGGACAGCACTCTCGTTGAATGCACGCTTTCCGACGGTACTCGAATCCGGACCCGATACGTCGCCGGCAACCGTGACGATATACCAATTTCCAAAGATGTTGTGGAAGAAGTGGCCTCGCTCTGTACTACCTGGAGGTCTATCCATATCATCGCCGATCCGTTAAAATCAATGTTTCCTCCGACATCAGAGAATGGTCCTATTCCAGCGGTCACAATTGTTCTGGTCAATGGCGGCACCCCTGAGCACGGCAAGGATCCCGTTTATCTGCAGATTCACTCCGAGGATACGGGGGAATGTCCGGCTGGTCAGTGTAAGTCTTTGCCTTTTTTGTCTTTTAATTTCACTTCCGTGATGAACCAACATCGAATACTTATCTACATTGCCTGAGCCTTTGTGCTTTGCTGATAATTACCCTCTGACAACCTGATCTGGAATGCTCTTTCAATTATGTTTGCTTCGAACTCTTGATGCCAACCAGATTTTGCTGACTTGATTTTGACCAGGTCTTATCTATGCTTCGGTCGTTTCTGAAGATGCGTCCTCCGAAGATCGGCTGGAAGATGCTGTAAGGTTGTTTCTTGATACCGTGGGTGCAAAAGACACACTCCTATGGTCGCTCTCGTATCGAGCTCTGGGGCCTGCTATAGACCGTACTTTCAACTCCCCACCGTCACGGAAGCACACACCGGTTATCATCTTTCCACCCAAGCCGCAAGACATTGCCTTTGACGATGGTATACTCCACGCAGTCAACGACGCTTGGCAGGTGATCATGGGGTCAGAAGCTGCAACTCGCAGCACATTTCTGAGGTTCGAGGAGCGCGACACCGAACTCGAGGATTAGCACTGCATTCCCTGCTGCTATCGCCTGACTCGAACTCTCGTATCTGTTCTAGGCACTGCACAAATTGGTGACTTCATCCGTCCAAACAACCATTTCTCCATATTGGCCATCTCGCGGACTTTCTACCTCGGGTTCAGAGCCCTAGCACGATACAGCTCTTGTTGCTACACGAAAAGCATGCCATATCGGCAAAGAAAGCATTAGTCTTCTACAAGAGTTCACTCGACGCATGGAGAGCCTTCGAGCAACTTTGATCACTGCCCGTCTCCTGCGATTGGCTTGGTCATAAGAATGCGCGCATTCTTTTGCATGGATCGTGGAGCTGCGAGGTCATTTACGAGGTGAGCATTGACCGGTTGTCCAAGCAATAGACATGCTGCCTATGCAGACACTTGGCCTACATTGGCCTATTTTTTTGAGGATCAATTGACATGTAGTCTTTGCTCTCCTTGCAATAATGTATTGAAGGCCTGATATAGACACCGATGGCATCTGACGGAGGTTATATTTTGTCCCTTTAGTTCCACCTGCATACTTGTGTGTTCGACTATCAGCAAGATTTTAAGAAACGGCCTTGCAAGGTTACCGTCGAACTGTCTCAAGGATTGGAGACGACAGTCTCGTCCGAGCAAAGAGCAATCCCGAGGAGGGATGTTCAACTCGAATATTCAAGGAGGAAAGTTGGAAACAAATCTAACAAACATGCTAAACTCTGATAAGCGATAAGAAAACTCTTGGCAGATTTGCACTTCCAAACTGTGAAATTTTTGGATTTCTCAATCTTTCGGGCGCTTTCAGAACAGCCACCTACCCACCCACCGCCGCTCCCTTTCCCTCTTCCTCGGTCTTCGCACTGTGCTCTCCTTCTTAATTGCGCAAGCATGTCGTCGGACGAGATTGTGTGGCAGGTGATAAACCAGCAATTCTGCTCGTTCAAGTTAAAGTAAGCTGACTTCTTCGCACATGTGAATTTGAAAACGCTTGTCGTTCCTAACGGAGAGAATCCAATAAACCCACAGACTAAGCAGCAAAGATCAAACATTTTGTCGCAATGAATACAACCTGACCGGTTTTTGCAACCGGCAATCTTGCCCGCTCGCCAATTCCCGCTATGCCACCGTCCGACCAGACCCCCAGACTGGTGCCCTCTGCCTCTTCATCAAGACTCCTGAACGCAACCATTTGCCCTCCAAGTGGTGGGAAAAGATACGCCTGCCGAACAACTACGAGAAGGCGCTTTTGGCCCTCGACGAGAAGCTGGAATACTGGCCCAAATTCTACATCCACAAATGCAAACAGAGGCTCACGAGGTTGACGCAAGTGAAGATCCGCGAAAGGAATATCGCAAAGGAGGAAGTGAGACTTGGCGAGAAGAACGTCAGTAGATTGGCGCCAAAGATTCGGCGGAGGGAGGAAACCAGGGAGCGCAAAGCAGAAAGCGCGGCCAAAGTGGAGAGGGAGATTGAACGGGAGTTGATGGAGAGGTTGACGAGTGGCGCGTATGGTGACCGGCCGCTCAATATTGAAGAGGGGTTGTGGAGAAAGGTGCTTAGAGGCCTCGAGAGGAAGGAGAAGGGTGAGGAGCTGCTCGATGAAGAGTTGGAGGATGAGAACGAGGAAGAAGTGGAGGCAGAGGTGGAATATGTTTCTGATTTAGAGGAAAGCGAGGATGAATTGGAACGGGAGATGGAGGATTTTGACGACTGGCTTGGTGGAGAGAGTCCTGATGAAGAAGATGAGGATCTCAGCCAAGAGTCTGGAGAGGACGAAGACGAAAGCGAAGACACTGACGAGGATGAAAGTGAGGAAGATGCGTCGGGCAAGAAGAGGAAGCGACGTACAAGGCAACCGCCCAAGCCACAGAAGAAGCCTCGTGGTCGTGTGGAGATTGAGTATGAGACCGAGCTGCCATTGAAAGAGACGGTACTGGCTTAAGGGCTACATTGTGCGAACCTGGTGGAATTGACCATCATGATAAATCCCTTGGCTTTGGAGTTTGAGAATCTATGGAGTCTGCCCTCGAAAGACAAAAGGCGATTTTAGATTCGCTACTTACAAGGTTGGGGCTTGACGTTACAATTAATGACTTTGTTCAGCTGCAACAGCGCAGCACAGGAACCATCACCACCCAAGTCTTTGCGGATTTAGCTCACCATTCGCACCGAGCCGGCTGAGCTCAAGTCCCATACCTCCATGTCGCACTGGAACAAATTAAGGCGCACTTCGCTGGTATAGCTCTTGGACGGCCACTACCGCCATGGAGCCAACCTTGTCAAGCTTTGCGACAGACTCCCTTGACATATCTGAAGACCTAAAAGTATTGGAATATCAGTATTGACATCTGGATCTGTGCATGATGATCGAACACAGAGCAAAGCTCGATCGGTTCTGGAATGTTGTTTTTTTTCGTACCTCGTAACCCTTGAATTCATCTGTGGTGGTAATGCTCCTTTTATCCCAGCCGCCCATCCCCAAGACGACGCGATCAAGCTTCCCATTCAAGCGACAACCGCCCATGAACACAGGCCAGATCCAATCTACCAACCATGCGTAAGACATGGTGATCGAATCTGCATTGTTCTCGACGTGCTCGAAAAACAGGAACTCGCCGCCGGGTTTGAGCAAGGCTTGGATGATAGCTACCGTGGCAGCAAGTTGTTTCTGTGGCGCTGAGCAGAGACTCTTGACGGTAACAATGGTGTCAAATACACCGTTCTCGGGTAGACTCGAGGTCGTGCTGGGGATCACCCCGGCCTTCTTGAGTGCAGGTAGGAGACTGCCTGGTTGAGCCCCGGCTTCAAGAGCGACCAGCTTTTTCCCAAGCCCATGCTTCTCCGCAGCTTCAAGAAGTTTTCCATGCAAGAATCCGTTTGGTTCGGCGCAGTACAGCACTTCGATCTGGCCAGGCTTATAGTGGAACATTTGGTCGCCTGCTCCAGGGCCCAGTTCAAGGACCTTTCCGCCCGCCCGGGACATGAGGTCTTCGATGTGATTGACTTGGACTTCCGAGGCGGCCATCTTGGGCCCAATGACCCGCCAGAAGTTTTCGAACCATTTTGAGCGGAAGGACGACGGAGATGTAACAAAGAGCAACGGATGAGACAGCAGCGTCAGGGGGAAGTATGAAATGGAGATGCCGAGAAGCAAGAGAGGGTCTATGTACGACTGCAGTCTCACGAACAGAGGTACAGCCATGTTTTCGACGCGGAACAGAATGTCTGTTCAAGAGAAATTGAAGGTGAGAGAAAATGAAACACCGAGGGAGAAGCTGTGTGCTGGTCGCGTACCCCAAGCACAGAAGAATATCCTTGGGGAAATAGTGTGGATCCACGAGAGGAGGGAGCGGAGTAGTTACAGATTCTTTATAACGCGTACCATCTTGATATCCGAGCTCGATTACCTAGGCTGGTAGGTAAGAACTTGGGGAGCTGGCAAAGAAACTTCGACAGATCGAACCCGAGCAGAGATGGAAGCGAGGCACTGAGGCGGTTTGACCGAAGCGGGATGTTCTATCCTCACGTGGAGATAAAGGAGGGGGCCTCAGAGGCTTCGCTCAACTCCGCAATCGGCGGCGCGGGTTGATGCAATTTTCGGTGTCGAATTGAAGAAAATCGGTGGAAGAGTCGTTTGACTCATTTCCTCCTTCATCACGACGCCGCACACACAGTCAAGCGCGAGTTGGCACCCCTCTACAGTCCAATATGGCATCTCTCATCACCACCATCCAGTCCAAACTGGGCTATTCCTCCCAAAAGGCCCTCCTTCTCGGCGCTGGGTTTGTTACCAAGCCCACCGTCCAGATCCTCGCAGAAGCTGGAGTTGAGGTTACCGTCGGTGAGTGATCTTGGGCTCATGGGCAACTCATCTCGACTAACACACCATAGCCTGCCGCACACTCGAAAGTGCAAAGAAACTATGTGAAGGCATCAAAAACACACGGCCAATCTCCCTCGATGTCACCAATGAAGAGGCCCTGGACAGCGAGATGGCCAAAACCGACCTTGCAATCAGTCTGATCCCATACACCTTCCACGCAACCATTATCAAATCCGCAATCCGAAAGAAGAAGAACGTCGTTACCACCAGCTACGTTTCTCCTGCTATGTTGGAATTGGAAGACCAGGTGAAGGAGGCGGGCATTACGGTCATGAACGAGATTGGCCTAGATCCGGGGATCGACCATCTCTACGCGGTCAAGACAATTGAAGAGGTCCACAAGGCTGGCGGCAAGATTAAGTCTTTCCTATCATACTGCGGTGGGCTGCCGGCTCCGGAGGCCAGCGACAATCCTTTAGGGTACAAGTTCTCCTGGTCAAGTCGAGGGGTTCTGCTAGCTCTCCGCAACTCGGCCAAATTCTACGAAGATGGCTCCATCAAAGAAATCGCTGGGCCGGACCTCATGAGCAGTGCAAAGCCATACTTTATCTACCCTGGATTCGCGTTCGTTGCATATCCCAACAGAGACTCGACGCCCTACCGGGAAAAATACAGCATCCCCGAAGCCCAGACTGTTATCCGCGGTACGCTGCGGTACCAAGGTTTCCCTGAATTCGTCAAGGTCCTGGTCGACATTGGCTTTCTCTCGGAAGAAGAGCAGTCTTTCCTTAAACCGTCCGCGGACAAGAAGCCTCTGACCTGGGCTGAGGCAACGCAGAAAATCATCGGCGCGACAAGCAGCAAGGAGTCCGATCTTTCGTGGGCTATCAGCTCCAAGACCACTTTCAAGGACACGCCCGAGAAACAGCGCATCATCTCCGGAATCAAATGGCTCGGCCTATTCTCAGATAAACCCATCACGCCACGAGGCAATCCACTTGACACACTCTGCGCCACACTGGAGGAGAAGATGCAGTACGAGAAGGGGGAGAGAGACATGGTCATGCTGCAGCATAAATTCGAGATTGAGCACAAAGACGGGACCCAGGAGACCAGAACAAGCACCCTTTGTGACTACGGTGACCCCAACGGATATAGTTCCATGGCCAAACTGGTGGGTGTGCCCTGCGGAGTGGCTTGTTTGATGGTGCTGGACGGAAGAATCAAAGAGAAGGGCATCCTGGCGCCGCTGAAGTGGGAGTTGGCGGGGCCTATACTGAAGGAGTTGAAGGAGAAGTATGGCATTTTCTTGACCGAGAAGACACTCGAATAGGGGCAGAGGGGTTCTGATTTTGAGGCCTAGCGTGATTGTGGTTTGCACAGAGTTATACCTCGTACTGAGTTGGGTGATGGTTCATAGAGGTCTTGAACCAAGGCTCAAACAGATAGACATGGGAAAATAGGAAAAGCATGTCATCATCAGACCTGATTAGATCTGTGCTTCCACGTATCTGCAGCAGCTGAGACCCGAAAGACGGGGCCATTATTACTTTTATAGAGCGTACGGCCTGACGTTGTGTGATGGACGAGGCAGGTGTCCCTAAGTCCTCAACTAACAGGTGGAGCCCTCTAGGCGGCCGGGCGCCCGATCAGCGGCCAGATCAAGGGCACTTAGGCATTATCAATATTAGTGATTATATATTGCAAACCCATAATTTAATCCTGATGTTGCCCAGATTCGCGTGAATAGTTTAAGGGTAGAATTCGAGCTTCCCATGCTCGAGGCCCGCGTTCGAGTCGCGGTTCACGCAGTTCAAACGTATTGTTTTTGCTCTCTTCGCATATACCTTTTTCGGCTCTCGAATCTTTTTTTTAATCATCCCTAGATCCTTTTACACCAACGCAAGGGATATTTTCATTTGAATCTGTCGAATAATGTGCGGCTGCTCCAGGCGAGTCCTTTTCGGCACTGGCAGTGCCTCTTGAGGAAGTGCCCGCATTGAGGTGGGAACTCCCCCACGTGCTTGTAGCGGCAGTTCGGTGCAGGCATCATTGGCTCCTGTGACTGGAACATTCGCCGGGCCCGCAGCCGCAGGCGCAGGCGTCACAAGTCGTTGATGCAAGTCACCGGCAACATTAATTCCAAACACGCCACCCTCTCACAACATCGTTCCTAGACTCCTTTCCTCTCCTGCGCACACTTGCTCATCCTGCCTTCAGCTCTATCGGTAACCTCTCCTCGACGCGCAAGATGGCCTCCTCCACCAGATATCAGCCCGCTCCTCAGCGCGACTCGTTCGACGAGCAAAACTACACTCAAGCCCCTCCAAACTACCAGGCTACAGGCCCTGGCCCTGAGCAGGGCATCCTCGGCGCTCCCAGGACAGAAGACGACAATGTGCCGGACGACTTCAAGGTACGCTCCAGTTCTCTCACTCCGCTTCTGATCCGCATACTAACGATGCTGTATAGTTCGGCGGCGTCGTCATCGAAGCGACCATCGACATCCGAATGTCCTTTATCCGCAAAGTCTATACCATCCTGACCGTCCAGCTCCTTCTCACCGCGGCCCTGTCCATGCTTTCGTTCTTCTCCAAGGGCTACAGAAACTGGATCCAGTCCAACTCGTGGATGATGTGGGTGTCTTTGATCGGGGCCATCGGATTCATGCTCCTCACATTCTGGAAGCGCAAGTCGTACCCGACAAACATGATCTTTCTGGCTGGCTTCACCGCGCTCGAGGCATACAGCATCAGTGTCATCACGTCCTTTTTCGAAAGCCGTATCGTGATCGAAGCTCTCGTCCTCACTCTGGCCATCTTCGTCTTCCTGACACTCTTTGCCTGCCAGAGCAAGTACGACTTCACCAGCTGGATTCCCTACCTGTTTGGCGGTTTGTGGATCCTGATCATCTTCGGATTCATGGCTGCCTTTTTCCCGCATGGATCTACGGTGGAGTTGGTCTACGGCGCGATTGCGTCCTTGATCTTCAGTGGCTACATCCTCGTGGACACCCAGATGGTCATGAGACACTATCACGTGGAGGAGGAGATTGCAGCTTCCATCAGCCTTTACCTCGACATCCTCAATTTGTTCCTCTCCATCTTGAGGATCTTGAACGCGACCCAGAACAACAACTAAGTTTTGGTGAAAGATGCTGGGGCGACTAGCAAAGTCTCGGAGATGTGTGTTGGATCGGGAAAGTCGAAGGTTGGACTCGTTCCGGTAGGATCGATCGAAATCGAGCCGTGCAATCGCTCATACAAAGGTGGTTTTACAAGGGAATGCCATTCGCATTGATCGGGAGAAAATGTCGCCAATTTATAATGGGGTGCCCGAACCCAGTTTTCTTTTCAGTCGATCGTGTTCTGTGGAGTATCAAGTGAGGTACTGGGGAATCAAAACGGCATTCTTGGGCGCGGCTTGGGATCATGTCGGGGGCCAACGCGGGCCATAGTTTCGTTTGACTTAATTAGATCGTCTCAATGGCAAGTGTCTGCAGAATGCCGCAATGAAGATTCAATTTGCAAGGAAGTAATCATGTTCAGACGAAGACAGTGGTAGTAGGGAAAGGAGGAGAGACACAGGAAACAGAACTATTCCGGCGATGCAGGTGGTCGCATATATGCTCCCTGGCTGGCAGCCCATTCTTGTGAACTAAACAAGTGATACCTCGGTCGTCTGGAACAAATAGTAAGTAGTCAATACGTCGGCATGGTATGGTATGATATGGTATAGGATATAGACATTAAACGCCCGCCCTGCCTGCCTGCCTGCCTGGACGCCATCGCTCTACACGGTATTATCTCCCGCTCGTGCGACCTGCAAAAAGCCACTTGTTTTTCTATCCAAGCTCAAACAGGTTCAAGCTCAAGCTCATGGTCGTGATGATGGTCAACCAGTCATTTCCCTTTTGGGCCCCTGATTTCGTCGTTGCAGAGATTTCGGAGCGCTGGATGCGCGACAATCACTCTTGTTTGTATGCGGCTATACGAGTGTCCTGTGGTCGCTTCCGACTTCGTCGAGGAGGCTCGGGAGTCCCAAGTCGGACGAGGCATTGTATGCATGTATCGTTCTCACTGCGCTGGCCAGTGCGACGCCCCGTTCTTTGGTAACTCCAGAGGGGATCTCGTTGATATCTCTGCCGTTCTCTCTGATGCTCCCGGACACATCGTGCATGAATCGACTTTGAGAGGGTATAGTATATTTGCAACGTGGGGTGTCGTCCAAAAAGGAAATTCTTGGGACTCTAACTAGTCGACAACGAGAGTCCTCAGCAGTCGCCCTCTATGTTTCTTCGAAATCAAATCATCAGTCATATCGAACGATCAGGTCGATAATTGAATTGAACCGTCCACCTCATGTATGATCTCGACGCTTGTCACGCGGCACTCCTTCACATCTTTCCAAACACTGGCACCCACAAGCACCTCCTCGTCAACGCACCTCAGTGCGCAACAATGAAAAAGGTATTCGTGATCAAACAAACCACCATGACGCACACCCCGTAGATGGCCAACGCGAGGCTCAGCTTGCGAAGCATCTTCCGGCGGAAATTCCTCGTCCGTTTCAACAAGCTTATGCCGCTGATGCTGAGAATCCCCGAGTTACCTAGCAGATTTTGGCCTTCGTGGTTCGGTGGCTCTTCGTTGCCAGCATCGTCGTCAGACTTGTCGCTCGCATCATCGTCCCCGTGCCACTCGTAGTCGTCTTCTTCTTTCACAAGCTTTTGATGCAAGGGTGAATCGGGTGAAGATATTTTATAGTAGAACAAGCCCGGAAGGATGAAGGAAATGGAGGTGCTTCCCGTTGAACCGACGTACGCGAGAACGGCCTCAAGACTGGAGACGGTCATGGCGACGATGTAGCTGAGGATGATGATCGCGGTGGTGATGGCGGCAAATCGAGCCTCTCCCATTTCCGTGTTCCGCTTTCTGCCAGGTTGTAGGAGAGGAACGTCGCGCGGAGGGCTGGAATCGAGCGAGCTAGGAGTAGCGGGCGTGGAGCGGAGTCTCGCTTTCAGTTTGTCGGAAGGACGCCATTTGAGAACAGCATCGACACTGGCTCGGCAGGGGTGAACTTGCAGAGGGTAGGAGAACATGACGAGAACCACTATCATGGCTTGACCGATCGTTGTGGACACCGAAGGCGCATATTGTGCCACAATATTTCCTCCGATTTCGTTCCCAAATGACAAATAGCCAGTAATCGCAACCAGAATATAAATAGAGGCAGCGGTGCCGTTGGATGCGAATACGACAGCGCTGGTGCGGAAATGGGAGTTATCGCTGATCTCGTTGAGGATGCTGAACATGTTTTGATGACAAGTATAGGCGAACACAACGACGGGGAAGGAAGAGAGCGCCGGGATCGCACCCGCCCATGTAAATATTCTTAGCGGAGTCTGGTAGTGCCCACCGGGCAAGGTGTCGTGTGCGGCAAAGTGATAGACGACCAAGATGACCAGGTACCCAATTGATATCAATGCGATCACAGAAGTGTATTTCAACGAATCGAGTCGACGTAGGAAGGAGAAGGGAATGACAACCAGCATAAAAGCCGTGACCCAGAAATGGCGGTCGAACATGAATTGGCCTAGGTCCTCTTCACGAGCAAACCCGCGCACGACACCCGGCATGAGGTCGCCAATGATGATGAGATAGCTGACTCCCACGCCAAAGCATTTGATTGCAATGGCCGCGTCAAATATCACCGCGGCGTTGGGGTATGTGATTTGGGACAGTGCAAAAAAGCTCGAGGATCCCCGTTCCAGGTATGCGGCGCAGCGAGTTTGCAGGTAGAGGCCAAACCCGGCAGTGGCACCCGCCCACAGTATCACGATTGTTCCCAATAAGACACCCATATGTGACATGGCGAGGGGCATGGCGAGGACCCCGGCGCCAACGATCGTGTTGAGGAGGTTGACGACGCTGCTGATCCATGATGCCTGACCGACGGTGCCTGTGAGATCACGCTTGCTCAGAATCGGGGTGGCCGGTCGCCTGGGGAGCGGTTAGGTTATATGAACGGCAGGGCCATTGAGAGCGGGAGGCGACATACCGACGGACTCGAGACTGCGTCCTGCTCGAGGAAGCGGGCGCAGGGAGAGACATGATGGCTTGCGACAGGGTCAAGGGCGGCGCAGTTTATCTTGTGGGATCGGAAGTGCTCATCTCTCCTCCCCTCGCGAGAGCACTTGACAGGGACACAGTAGATACGGACAGATGACGACGTAGTAGATGGCTGAACCACCAAAGCGAGCGGTGTGGAAAGCGGAGGAAGTGAATGAACTGGTGAACTTTGGGACAAAAATGAAGCCAGAGAATCGCGGGTGGGAGCCGAATATGACAATTATGGCTGCGGATGGCGTCAAATGTCCAGCCACAATCGCGAGACTTGACTTGATCAATCGCCCGGCAAAGGAGTCGAGATCTCCGGAACTTTCCATTTGGCCCCTGTCAACCAGATACACACCCATCCATCTCGCTCTACCTCGTATATCGGTCTTGTACGTGTATAGGTCTACGCTGTGCTTATGGTGGAAGCACATTCATTCCTCGTCTAATCTCGTATTGTTCCTCAGACTCCCACCTACCTATGTTCAATACTTCCCCCACCCCGGCTTCAACTCCCCAAGAACCTCCCTGTAGATCTTCTCGCCGTCACTCACGCTCGCACCTTGCTTCCCTGTCGCATACGGCCCGATGTTGTTATAGAGAGGCACATCCCTGACGGCGCCCGCGAGCACTTCTAGACAAGTGCCTCCCTTGATCGGGACCATATCCTTCTGCCCTCCATTGACGCCATTGGTGCCTGCGCTTGCGCTCGCGGTAACACTTGGACATTCATTGTCCTTGACCAAGGCGAGCATCACCTGGGCGACCTCCTCTGGCGTCACCCACGTATCTGCTCCTTCTCCTTCTTGCTTCACAATCTTCAACTTCTCCGGGTGGTCGGTCCACAGGGGTGTTTTGACCACGCCAGGCATCACGCAGCTGACACGTATTCCGTGCAGATGTTCCAGATCGGCTAGGCTGCGTACCAACGCCTGGACGCCGTGCTTGCTCACATAGTACAGTGGGAACGCGAGACTGGCGCTCTCACCTGCAATGCTCGCGATATGAACAATCGATTTGGGGTTCTCAGCGCTGCATGGCGGGTCCGCTGCCAAAAAGTGGGAAATGGCCAACTGCGTGACGCGGACGGGATGCGTGATATTGATATCCAACAGCGCGTATCTGCCTCCAGCTGGGTCGTCCTTGGATTTCGCCGTCCCAGGGGGGTACCAGAAGTTACTCCAGTGAGGCTCAAACACCCCTGCTCCGGGGCACACAATGTCGATGGATCCAAAGTGCTGCTGGGCGGCTGCAAACATGGCATCGAGGTCAGACCACGAAGTTACGTCCGTTCGTTGGAAGACGGCCTTGTTCGGAGTTGATTGATACTTCTGGACCAGTTTCTCGGCTTCTGGTCGGAGCCCAAGGTCGGCAAACAGAACGTTGGCGCCATGTTCCAGAAGCAGACGGGCAAACTCGAGATTGATGCCTGGTGGTGATTGTCCAGGTTAGTCCTGCTTCGTGCGTGAAGTTGCGTTGGGATTGATATCTTACCAGAGCCAGCGCCCGTGACAATCGCTGTCTTTCCTTGTATCTGCTGAGCCATTTTGGAGATGGTCTGGGAAGAGAGGAGGGACAAAAGAACAATCGCAATCTACCTGGGGGATGGCCAACCTTGCAACCACATATAACGATCCTTCTGCCTCGGTATGCACAGAGATGAAGTCTGCATTGCCAATTGCCAGGGCCACAGCAGACCCTCCAAACTCACCTTTGGCCTCATGTTTGGGGCGGCCTTATCCCACAGCAGTCCTCCCCTCATTCCTTCGATTCTCGGGCGCAGTTTGCCCGAGGTTATGATCTTGAGGCATGGCGCAAAATAGCCACGAATGGGCGATTTTGCCTCCGCGAAACACCACACTTGACGCCACTTGACGCTAGACCTGGTGCGGAAGCGTATCCGGCTGCTCTCGCGGTATGATGAAGGATAAATTCAGACGATGGAACAGGACACAGAGGAGTGGGAGTGATATTCAGATTGTCCTTCCAGGGCATAGCGACAATGAAGAATCAACTTACTGCTGCGTTGCGCCGTGCGGCATCCACCTTGACCAAAGAGGCCGGCGACATCAGCTCCGTGTTTCCCTCACTGTCGGGCAAGAAGCCTGATCCTCTGCCTCCACGGTTCAGTGCCTTGAAGAAGACGTTGATCAGGGGCAATGAGGACGCCATAACAGCGTCCTGGCAACGGTTATTGAAGAGTCTGGAGCGGGAGATTGCCGAGATTAGATCAGAAGGCATTGATGTCCGTCCCATCTCTACCCTCAAGTCCCAGTATATGCGATGGCTGACATTTGGCGCCAGGTGATACCTAGCATCGAATTTCGAGATGTAGTGGCCGGGACTGTCCCTCAATCAAAGCTTGACGCGATACGCCACCGAGGAACTGCAGTTATTCGCAATGTTCTCCCACGAGAACAGGCGCTGGACTTCAAACAACAGGCCAAGGAGTATATCGCTGCAAATCGATCCAAAATCAAGGCCTTTCCGCCAGATAACCCTGCCGTGTATGAGTTGTATTGGACTCCCTCCCAGGTTCAAGCACGGGCTCATCCGAACATGCTGCGAGCCCAATCTTTTCTCGCCTCTTTCTGGCACTCCTCGGACCCGTCGTCAGAGATATCTACAACCTACCCTCTGACGTACGCAGACCGATTTCGCATTCGGCAACCGGGCGACGCAAAATTCTCACTTGGGCCGCACACCGATGGAGGAAGTCTCGAGCGCTGGGAAGATCCCGAGTATTCTCGCGTCTATCAGACCATCCTGAATGGCCGCTGGGAAGAGTATGATCCTTTCGACGCACGCCACCGCATCGAAGCCAACATGGACCTGTATAACGGCGCAGGCGCTTGCAGCATGTTCCGCCTCTTCCAGGGCTGGCTGTCCATGTCCTCAACAGGGCCTGGTGAAGGCACCCTGAAAGTTTGCCCCTTGATCCGACATGTCACATCTTACCTGATATTGAGACCGTTTATCAATCTCCAGACAGGGAAGCTGAACCTGGATGCCACATTTCCCAACTCTGTCCCAGCTGCATGTCAGGAATATGATCCGGTATCTCACCCGGGCCTCGAGCTTGACACCACCATGGTGAGCATGCCCAGGGTCGAACCTGGTGATTATGTCGCTTGGCACTGTGACATGGTGAGTTCCCGTCCTAATAATTGTGTTTCAAAGACGATTCCATTTGTGGCCAAGTCCGTGCCAGGATAAAAGCCCCCATTTAGCCATTGGCGTGTAGAGGCTGACACTGGTCCCCAGATCCATGCTGTAGACAAGGAGCACCACGGAAAAGGTGACAGCAGCGTCATGTACATTCCCGCATGTGCAATCACCAGACCGAATCTCGAGTTTTTGAAGAGACAACGGATGAGTGCCTTGGCATACAGTCCCCCACCGGACTTCCCAGGTGCTGGTGGTGATGGCGAGGTTGGTTTTGTTGGAGCTGTGACTTGGGATCAAGTCAATGATGCAGGCAAACGTGCCATGGGACTGGGCCAGAAGATGTGGGACCTCAATCCGGGCATGAGTGAAGGAGAGCGGATGGCGATTGAGGCTGGCAACAGGATACTGTTGGGTTGACCGTCCTGCTGCAAAAGCATCCAGCGTAAGCGGCATTGTCCTCTCTACCTTTCAAGAGTGAAATGGGTCAACCATTCTCTTTCAGGCTTGGTATACCGATTTATCTCCTTCAGGGAACTCTTTCGAACTGGGAATTCAGTTCTTCGGACTTTGAGTATTCACTCATGGAGTGTGCATCCATGGATACCGGCTCCGACTGGGAAGACGCGCTGTGAGCTCCACTGATATGTCAGGGGACATACCACTGCCATCAGACTGGTCAACAATTTTTTGCAGAAATTTCCTTTCCACCGATGTCTTAATCCGTTGTGGGTTGCTGCGAGGTGAGACAGCTGGTAAGGCAACCTGCACACTTGCACTGCCGGGCTCTCGAGGTCCCCGATGCTGGAGAGTTCCTTCAAGTAGCGTAAAAGAAAAGGAAATGTGGACAGGCACACATCATCATGCAGTAAAGATCAGCAAAAGGGGAAAGGGGTGACTATGGGTCTCGCGGTTGTCGCCATAGCCCTGGTTGGAGAGCCGCGAACGAGAACGGCCCCAGTCTTCAGGGTGAAACCGAAGCGGTGGACGCGAAGACAAGAACTTCTGACAGCTGTCAAAATATCTACCTTGTCCTTGATTAGACGGGCAGCAGTGTAACAAAGAGCAGTTATGACACAACGGGCATGCATCGGCCTGCATGTCAGTCCCGACGTCGAAATGTCGGCCACCATAGCGAGTACCTATCTTCTGTAGCTGAATCGCGGTTTGTTCAAAGCAGACCAGTAAAGCTGTGAGGAGGACGAATATTCGGTGCAAGGGAGCTTATACTCTCCCCTGGCGGTTCTCTGGAACAGTAAGCACCTAATAACGAGTAATCATCCCCCAGACCGCACGGTGGTCGAAATCATTCAATTCAATGAGTTCGAGGGGCTGGCTGATGATGCCCAACGAGGATGTTCCTGGCTACCGAAGACAGAGAATCAGGAACACCAATGATGGCTTCCCCGGAGGTGGAGGTGTCCGCTTGGTCCCCCAACTGGGTGGATGTCCGCTGAAGTCTCGGTAAAGCAGATCAACGCACGGAAGGACTGCAAAAATCCTCAGAGCAAAACTTCCCGAGGGCTGCTTTTCACCCCTCAGTGGTAAGGGACGCCATAGGGCTGACGGGATGCCAGGAACACCTTCGGCGACGCACAGACCGATAGCGTGAGGGGCCTGCTGAAACCATCTAGGCGAAAGATTAGTGACAGTGAATGTAGGCATTCTGTGGGCAGAGAACGACAAGGTACGGAGTCCTCCTTCTCCATATTCGGACGTAGAAGAGTCCTTGATCCTTGTACTCTCGCGTGCCACAGAGTGCCTAGTAGTAGTAGTCCAGGTGGTTGAACGCGACTGCGAACTATTGAGCACGCACGGCATGTAGACTCCGTAAATCTGGACGAGTAGCTATGGAGAAAGCCACGGCAATCAACGTTACGCTTGGAGCAGACGGGATTAGCCCACCTAGAGATGAAAAGCGCCATGTCGCGCGTCGGGGTGATGAGCAGAACCCCTACAGTTTTCGTGTCCAGACTCGGTCGCGCGACAAAGTTCGCAGGTGGATTTGGTCTCGCCTGTAGCTGCTATGCAGATGTGGCTGAAATCTGAAGTGATTATTGAAGCCACCAAGAGACAAAATTGCCTAATTTTTGAGTGGCAGCGAAGCCATGGCTCAGGGACCAGATGAACTCTTCGACGGATGTATGTAGCAAGAGTTCGGACCTCTAATTGGACTCGTACCATAAAGAAGCAACAAGAGGTCCATGGTGCGAGTCCTCACCGCCTGGTACCTAGAGAGTCCCGAAGTCCACAGGAGAACAGTCTCCACGAGCCTGAGGGCCTTCAGCTCGGTCAAGAGCCAGAGCCCAACCGTGCCCTGCTCAACTCCTGCTGTTCTGGTTTGTCCGGACTTCGAGCGTGGAGAGAATGCGGCAAAGGGATTGGACATTTGCAGGCTAAAAGCAAAAGTGCCTGGATGCCTGAAGCGTCTGTCAGGGGGAAGCTGCGCCATCCCTGCAAGCAGTCAAGGGCCAGCCTTAGGTACATACCAGCTTGACAAGGTTCGAGGGATACTCCGTAGGGCGCTGCCATGTGGTAAACTGCAGCTTCTTGCACTACCAGATGCGAAATACCCTGGCAAGCAAGCTACAAAGGGGAGCTAGGAAGTCTTCCGCCTCGTGGAGCTGCGGAAGGAAGAGAAGGGCTTTTGTTGGCTCGCTCCCAGATGCCCTCTGCTGCAAAAGTCCCAACGACGAGAGACTTGAGTGCTTTCACTGTGATGATGCTGGATTCGAGTCTCAATGAAGCCCTATCTGGTGGATGCTCCCCTGAAGCCTTGAGGTTGTGACACTGCGCCTTGAGGTCGAGAGAGAGCTTCCGCTCAGACGCAGTTGAAATCCATAGATTTGTTTTCTCGGAAGGTTCTGAGTGTGTGGTGTCATCCCGTGGAGCCCCAGAGGGTGTACAAACTATCTGTCACATGTCCTTATAGGCTTCAAATGGGCGTATTTGACCTCCGACAATAGGCTGGCGGACACGAGCCCCTCATGCTTCCAGCATTGGTATACCTACATGGCGACCCTGAGACAGCCGAGAAAGCATGATTGTGCTATTGATGGACAAAGTAACGAGTCCCCTGTGGTCTCGTTCCTGGTGAATATCCCCGGTGGTCGTGCAGACCGCCCGCTCATGCTTTTCCCTGAACGCCACCAATGGCAGAGAAGATTGACGGGGTTAGACGCGTGGGATTCTTGTCATGCACAACACTCGAGCAAAACCCTTAATATCTCTTCACCGCTCTTGACAGTTCCGGGTAAATGTGGCTGGGTTGTGCTGCTTGTAGCTGATCATTGCCTCCTCTTCCCAACTCCTAGCTCTTCAAATCCCGACAGGAAAGCTGATCGAAGTGATGGAAACTGTTTGCGAGAGGAAGCGAGCAACGATAAGCGAGGACGGGAAGGAGTGAGGGGCACAGGGGCGCGCAGGGTGAGCCGGTTACTTTTTCCACTTCTGAGGTTGATTGTTGTAGGCACCCCAAGCAGGGGACGAGGAGATGATATTTTCCGGTTGGCTGAAGGGAAAGGGCGCTTCTTCCAAGTTGATGAGTTAGTCTCTTGTGATAAAAAGACATCTGAATATTGACGGCCTCGAAAGCTGGCCGAACACTGCAATGCAGGCATCCTCTTGTCAACAAAGACTTTACTCACAATGGTATCGGCACGCGGCGAGGTCCAACGCCTGATCGGTGAGACTGATAAGCTGCAACCGCCCAGAATCCAGTGGCTTCATTTCAGCCAAAGAAAAGCAACGATCTGAAGCCATCACAGCTATCGTTCACGCCAAGGACATTCTTCTGCCCTCGGGTCATGTTCTCCCTCGCTTCGCCTTCGAGATAGCGCAGTAAATCAGATCGGTGAGTTGGCTTACTGATAGTCGTCAACCACAACACACGTGAGAGCAGAAGACCGGATGATAGAAACTCTGGATGCCGAGATTAGTACTGCCTTGAGTCGCTGGCGGTCCCAGAAGCCTATACTCGTAGACGACGGGGCGTTCGACTCTCTCAAAGAGAGAAAGGTGCGCAGGAAGGCGCTTGTGCACTTCTAGCACTGCAGCTTCTGTTGATCTTGACCAGGACGGAGTGTTCACCCACCAGTTCATCACCTCGTACACGCTAATCATATCACGAGGAGCATTCTTAGAGGGACGTGAGAGTGTGTACTCGTGTGGTGCGATTCGCAACAGGGGGATCGTCACCCGCAGAGCCAAAATGCAAACTTTGCCTCTGTTCCCATCTCCTGCTCTTTTCCAGCAAATATTGGCTTTCGTCCTCAAGCTGGATATTTCCGCAATGACTTGATCAACTTCCGAGCCACCATCTCTGGCATGCACTCTGCAGGTTTCGCTACCCAAAGGACTACAGAAGGGGATGTGTCACGAGTTACAACCTTCGTCGATCGGTTAAGCCCTATGTTGATGGGCAAAACCTTCTCCCGTCAGGCGCCGTGCCTCTAAGAGGCTACTCCGTAGACAACACGGAGGACTTGTATGTTGCAAAAAGCCAATTTTCAGAGAACAGTCGGCGCTCCATCAAAACCAGCGCGGAGGAAATGTCGATCTTCGGAAGAGCAGTAGAAGGGATTCTCCGTTAAGACAGCGAGGTCAGTATTGATCCTTTTGGGCTTGGTCGGGCACGATCGCTATATCTTAGGCTTTTCGATGTCGGTCAAGGAGCTGTCGGTCTCATGGAGTTTCTCTCACTACAGGGAGAAGTCTGTGTTCTCTGATTCCGAACTTGGCGACCCGAAGGTGGTGTTCAGAGATTGAAGAGCTCATTCAGGCGCATGGATGACTCGGGACTCTGAACAGGCAATCGGATGCTCCATAATATTATATCAACACCGAATTGGAAGTCCCAAGGGAAGCCCATGTACGAGTACTCGTACTTGAAGAAGCCATCACAGAGCAGGAGCATGGACAGGCTGTATTATCTTCCCAACTCAGTTTGGTGTCTGTGATGGATGAGGAGAATATGCAGCTCGCGTCGCGCTAATACCACACCATCTGGCGCTAGCATGAAACTTAACCAAACACGGCATGGACCGTTGAGTAGATCTCTGCCCAAGTCTGCGATGGATCTTCTTCCCACTGCTTCTGCGCAGATGAATTCCGTTTCTCCCGACTTGCTCACCTCGCTAATTTTGCTCTTGTCTTCACACAGAACCTTCTACCCACCTTCTCGCCGAAGTCTCCCCTTGGTACCCATTTCCTGCCCCCTCAGAAAGGAGGTCCTCTGCCCAGTCTGCCTCATTGCCTAGCGTGCCCAAGACCCGTTTCATCAAGTCTCCAGCCCAGTGCCTCGCACGCAGACCACTATTGTCAAGCCACTTGCTGACTGCTGCAGAAATCACCTTGTCTGACTCGGTCGAATGTCGATCAAACATAGCTCACCACGCCGAGAACCGCCGCCGGAGCTTCTCGTCAGGCCCTCTGAACCGGTCCTGTCGATTCATCATCGGCTTGTCAACAATGCTTTCGCTCGCTAGGTGGGAACACCAGGGACACGTTGAGGTGGCTCTTGGATCTGATTTCCCACAATTCGTCGCCCACATGGCCTGACACGAGATATTGGAGACTGCTTTCTGCGTCCTGATGCACGAATATTGCACTGCTCCCGTATCCCTCATCCACCTGCACGACCGCGGCACCTCCCAGTGGTAGTGGACGCGCGCTTCAAGGTAACGGGCATTTGAAGAGCCAGGGGCACGAAGGAAAAAAAAAAGAGTTCCACAAATGACACGATAGTGGACTAGCCCATCTCGGCGCCGGAGGATGACGCCGATGCGCAAGCAGCACGCACTACCAACATCCTGGTTTATACAAAACCCCCTGGTTCCGAGCAGCAGGGCCCGGGTTGTGGCTTCCGCCCACGCAACGAATCCGACCCACTGAGCAAGTCACTGCGGAATCCACCTGTTCCTGACGAGAACACGGCCCCATCAAATCTCCTCGCCTGCTCCTTCACACCTCCACCATAACGCAACGTTTCCCCAAGTCCCCTGCTTCCTGCTTTGCGAGGATGGGGGTGCTTTTCGAGCCGGCAGTCTCAGTCGCGTCTGTCGAAAGCATTACGCTCTCGAGCCATCCCTTCCGCGGTTTAGATTGTTCTTTTCACCCCGTTATCCCGCCATCAAGCCTCGCCGGCAGTTTGGACCACTCGCTGCCCCTGCTTTCGGGTTCTATCTTCTGCATGACTACGCCTTCGACCCATGAACGATGAGGGTCGTGCTGCTCACTCCACTCTTCGTCTGCAGTGGTCGGGGCTCTGCCAATTGGTAAGATCAGGCCCAAATATCTCGTCTCCCGCTCGTGATTCACGTCTGTCTTTCATTCTCAGCTCTGCATATCATCCAGCCTGTGCTGCTGCTATGCTAAGTTGCTTGTTCGGTGATACCGGTTGTGACATTCTAGGATTTGTTTTGATACGATTGCAATTTCCCTAATCACTGGCTTCAACGCGTTCCTCTGTTGCACAAAACAGCTTTTCGGTCTACCACCACAACCTAGAAAGGAAGGCCCCGATAGTCTCTCGACGAGCAGGCCCTCTCAAATATTTGTTGAGCTCTTCGACTTTATCGGGCACCCTAAGATATTTGAAGAAACACCTTGTCGGTGGGGCTGTACTTTGAAACCCCTCCGCCTTCAAATGTTGATTGTTGGTAAGAGTGATGATCCTCAGGAACGACCGCACGGGATGTTTCACGTGATGGCAATGTTGGCTGACCCGAAACATCAGTTCGAGGCAGCTCGTGTACCATATAGACCCCGCCGCTCGTCGAGTATTCCTTCTTGCCCTAGAACATTAACAAAACTATCCGCTTGAGCAATCGAAGCACGACGACCCTTTCCCTAACAAATACGCGAGACCAGGCCAGCACATTATCTCCGCCTATCCCCTTGTGGATGAGACACTGAAGACTTGTGTCATTGAACTTGGGATTACTGTCAACCTCCCAACACCCCAAGATCTAAATGGGTCGCTTCCCATGGAGCCAGGGACATTCCAAGCAAAGCAGCGACAGGTTGCATGCGGTTACCAGTGACTGGTTTTCAAAGGACAATGCTGAACCGTCAGGTCAAGCCTTGAACGACTTAATCAAAGAATACTCAACTGCCGAGTCAGGAAATCCTGAAATATCACCTCAAGCTCGAGTAAGATCGCGGACGAACACCGTCACTTCATCATTTTCTGCCTATACGCGGTCTCTTTCGGATGCGTCGAATGAGATGGCCTCCAGGCCTTCCTCTCGACAGAGTTTCGTCGACGGTGGAATGCCGCTGACCGAGCGCCAAGAAAGCGCTGCGAAGACGTTGCTGAACAAAGGCACTCGCATGTTGAAACGGCAAGGCAGTAAGCTCAACCTTCTGCCTTCCCAGATCGAAGAGAGATCAAGTAGCCTCCCCGAAGCAAGGGCTGCTGAGATGGCTCCCATGAAGGGTCTTCAACGCCAGCCCACGCTGATCTCCAGACGTAAGAAGTCCTGTGCCGAAGCTGTCATGGGTGCCGATCTCTAACAAGTCGCAGGATTAAAACGAAGTATCTCAGGGCCCTTTGCTTTCCAACATTTGACTCACGGAGATCAAGCCCAGTTCCAGAGTCTGGATTCAGTTAGCAAGACAGACCTCACCTCAGAATTCCACGCCGTCCATGCAGACCAGCAACCGGTCGGCCAGATTCGTGGGATACCAGTCACGGACCTTCCTGTGAACGGTGACGAACCAAAGATCCATGTTGGATTTGACGAGCCAACTTCGCCGACTACCAATGCCATTCCTTACCTACCAACAACCCCAACCCGCCCAAGCCCTCCACCAAAGGATACCTTCATGCCGCCATACAGTCCTTCCGACTTTCGGCTGTCTCGCTCGATGGAGAATTTCTCTCGGCCAACAAGACTATCTGTAGCAGCAGTTGATATTTCTCCTTCTTCGGACACAAGCAAGAGGCTGTCTGCCATGAGCCCTATCAGTCATGCCAGAGCTCTCGCCAAGCCGCTCCCACACTTGCCAAATGACCAAGTTGTCCATGCTGTTTCAACTAGAGACGACATTGCACTCCCTCTCCGCACTGCTCCACTGCCGTCGCCTCCAAGGACATTAATGGAAGTCGTTGAAGAAGAGAATACGGAGGAGAAGCTCGTGCCAGAGGCAGTTGATACCTCTGTCCAACCACCAGTTGCAGATACCCCCGCTTCACCTTCGAGCAAACAACGTAAGCGGCGAAGTCAATCATCCGGTGAAATTCATTTCGATGCTATCTCCTATACCTCGCCGTGCAGGACGTCGAATCAAGAAAATACCAGCTCCGAAGATACAGGAGCGGAAGCAAGTCCCAAATCCAAGAATCGATTTTCCGTTGGTGTGAAGCCTATCGATATTGAGGATTGGGAGGATGCCATCGATTATTCATGGGAACATGCCACAGAGTTTGAAGAGGATGGTGGCAACCACGCTTCAGCTGCAATCCCCGATCGACCTAGCACTCTGATCATACCTCCGGAGAATTATTTAGTGGTGGAGCAACCATCTCTCGACGAAGTATCTTCCTCGGCTTCGACTCCATTGACAATGCAAATGCCCTGCAACCCTTCTCGGGACGAGAGCGGCCCTGGTCGTCCCCGGCTCGATCAGGAACCGTCATCACCACTGCTTGGGCTTGGGATTGAGTCTTCGAAGTCAGTCCCCACCGTCTCATTGGAAGAAGCAGCAGTCAGTGATTTTCACCGACCGCAGGACAAATTTGCCTCGACAGACGCCTTCCGTTCTCGGGCGATGCGAAGTCCCGTCTCCACGATGAGCAAGTCGAGCTCTCAGGAAAGCATTATTGCCTCGATTTTCGGCACACACCGGTCATCGAATTCCAGTACGAGTCTGTCCGATCTCGCCCATCTGGCTAGCTTCGGCAACTCGATGGAAAGCCTCAAGCTCGATCTTCAAGATTTCGGGGCCAGCGTCGAAAAGCACTTCCGAGAAGGGAGCCAAGACACGATACGGGAAGGATCGCAGAGCAGCAAGACGGCAGACTCTCAAATCCTTGAACCTGTTGGACCTTTCACTACATCTCCGACAATCAAACATGACCGGGGCGTTTCTGCGTCTCAGATTCCCGTGCCCGAGAGAAAGTCGTCGATGCCAGGAGTCGAACTCTCGAAGGCTCAGGTTGGCCGCAAACGAGCCACCACGGCAACTTCTCGGCCTCGGCGTAACACCCGCGTCTCCTATTCTCTATTCCCTACAAACGCAGCCACCTGATGGCTGCTTGTCGACAGCAAGCTATGATGTCTACCTGGAATATCTCTGGCTCAGCCACGTTTACTTTTTTTTGAACTATTCACCGTTTCGTTTCTACCGGACTTTATATTACGATTTAATGATTGGGTGTCTTCACAAAACACCATGAACGATTATGATTCAAGACGAATATTTCTGAAGGACGAATTTACTTTGGGGTGTGTCAATTCCATGGCGGATATGGCTGGGGAACGGGGCTCAGGATACAAAAAGAGGTTATGGCGCGAGAAAAAAATAAAGTCGGTCGGTCGGTCGGTCGCGAGGCATATACTGGCCACAAAATTTTCCTGGGGTAAACAAAAATTGGACTTGGACAAGATTCTCTCTGAATTTTCGACAGGGGAACAAGGTTGAAGGGGATTTTTGGAAGAGCCACAGGTCTTGACAATTGTCGGTGAATGAGTCCTCCGTACCTTGGTTGGACTCTTTGGCACACGCGCAAGGATTCCAAATCCTTGTCGCGGGCGCTTACGCAAAATGCAGGAAGATATACGAACAGCTTACGAGCTTGCTCTGTTGATGTACCTTGCAAGAAGCTAAACTAGCTTGTTATCTTCTTTTTGGAGGCTCCTCTTCGGTGCACTCCGTCCAAATCTTCAAGTACGTAAAAACCAGGGTGTATGCCGACATGTGCTCCTTGGACACCCGATAAGTGGCTCCTGGCTCTTGCTACAGGGGTCTCTCTCTTTTCTTCTTTTGTCCTGATTACCCTCCTGGTTTCTTCGGCGTGGGGGAAAATCAGCATGGGAATGTGATATGGTCATTGGGCCCGTGGTTACGCGGGGAGCTCGTTGAGCGTTGCTTTGCTAGAGTCCGTGGTCAGTCACGGAAAAAGAAAAGGAGAAGGGTCGAGGGAGGTGGAGTGGCCGTTAGCCAGCGGCCGTTAGCTTTGTGGCCTTGGCCATCACCACCCCGAACCCTTTACTAGTTCTGCTGGGAAAAGATACGCGAGCAAAGAAACTCTCTTGCTGCGGTGGCGGCGACGGCAACAGTGATGGAGCTGATGGAGCTGATGAAGCTGAAGATGGAAAGGGAGATGGAGAGAGGGTGACGGGAGAGTTGATGGTCCAGACGAGGCGAGAACTGAGGTCGAAGGTCGAGACAGCTGCTAGTATGACGCAACTGCGCCCTCGCAGTGTCTGTCCCGTGTGCCCCTGGTGGCCCCGTCGTCTCTCTTCCGATGACTGTCGAGCCGTGTCGCCAGCAAACACCAAACAATGCAGCCTGCGTCTTAGACTTCTCAACCTGCGTTCTGCACCTCGCCCGGCATCTTGTACCCTGGCTTGACCCTTTTGTGGTGTTGTGATGGCGACTGAAGGCCCTGGAGCTAACCAACCATACATACTGGCAATGACACATGCAGAACTGTCACTGTGAAGCCTCTCCCCAACGGTTTCACACAGCCCTGCCCATGCTACCAGGTACCTGGCATGTTTGCGGAGCCGCCCTATCCCTGTTCCTACCTTACAACCATGCGTGGAGCTGTCAACTTTAGAATCACTCCACCACGGCGTGGTTTCCGATCCTTCGCCTGAACCCTTCGCCAGTTTACTTCCCGCAACCCGGGTCCGTCAAAGGACTCCGAGCAATAGGTACAGTATGCACTATGATAGTGAAAGATGCTGGGGAAAGACAACAAAGGGCGAAAGAATCAATCAAACGACCTCTGTGCGCGGCCCCAAGGTCCCTGTCGGCGGGCACGAAACATTAAGCTTCGGCATTGGTCTCTAAGTGACCTTCACTCACTCGCTCATTCATCAATCAATGAGTCAATCGACCATGACCCCACAGCGTCCAGCAGCCTCTGGACTTCTTCTTTGACTTCATCCAGTGGATCAAGTTCTGGGGGTTTGGCGTCGAAGGAAACATCTGTCGCCGTCTGGCCACCTTCGCTGTACGCTAGGGAAGCTGTTTGAGCTGCGTGCCGCAACAGCCAGCGAGCACGAAATGGATTCTGCCGTCGCTGGGCCAGACGAGACAACGAGAGTAAGCACTTGACTCTAACAGCGGACGCCTGCGGGCTTTCCCTGCCCGGCCCCATGCTTCGCCATCCAAGGACCTCGTCGAACATGTGCTCAGCCACATCGAGGTCACCCAGCCGCAAATGCGTCTCGGCGAGTCCGCGAAGTGCATCGCATGCCTCCGGAGACATGGGCCCCCTGGCGGCTTCTTGGTTCTGCAGAAGCTCGGTGAAGCGGGCGAGAGCTTCTTGTCCACGACCCCTTTCGAACAGAGACCAAGCTAGGCATTCGAGGGAGTCCAGGGCATCTGGATGCAATGGTCCAAGCTGAGTCTGCACCACGTCGAGGATACACCGAAGGACCATTTCTGACGCGTCGGCCAACGGGACTGGAGATCGGATAAACAAATCAGCACTCTGTCCGAAGGGGTTGTCTGGACTGATCAACACTTCTGCGAGCTCGATGATGTACTGGTAGACCCGATGCCAGAGGGGCACAAAGAGCGGTCCAGAGAATTGAGCGATAAGACGGCACAACATCGGCTGCCCTCGGATATTCTGCAAGATCAAAATCGGCTTCAGGTACGAAAAGGCCTCGTCAAACCGCACGAAAGCCTCCCCCACTCTGTACGCCTCCAAGGCTCTACAACCTTTGACCATCAGCCGCTCGAATCTCAGTGCTTCCTCCTGTGACTCTCGGGTGGTTGCAGCCTTCTTCACGGAGCAGACCGTGGAGAAGGTCAAGTGGTGGCATCGAACCATTTTCTCCAGTCTGTCTGAGTCAAGGGTCGCGGCCAAAGCGGGCGCGATTGAGTGCCAGAGCCGCACAGTCTGCTGAATGCGAGACTGAATGGTCTGCCGCCACCGTTGGTCATCTCTCCATGTGGCAGGGACAACAGTGCCTGCGACTTGGCCAGAGTCTTCCTTATCTTGAACCGTTACGTCGTCCCCAAGGGGACGTTGACCCCCAGACCGTCTCGCCGGTGGGGATTCAACCTCCGTCGCACTCCTGCTCCTTGTCTGCATCACAACCAGATCCTCTAGTTCGACTGGAGTCTCTTGACTAGATACTGGCGTCATCGGCGCCGCAGTAAATGGAGCGGTACGGCTGGCACTTGGTGGAGAAGCCTTGGTTTTGGCAATCGGCTTTGATGACACAGGCTGTACAGACTGAACCTTTGGAGCGGCTTTCCGTTTTCTGCTGGTTGAGGTGCTATTGCGCAGCCTTGTTGGGCCAGTGTGCGTCTTGGACCATCGCTGGACATGGCTCCGTACCTCTCTTTCGTAAACATGGTTGGTGGGATCGGTGTTGCCACCGCTCGAGTCTACCCACAGGAAATCTGATCGAAGCGTCTTCTTCTTATCTGTCATTTCACTTCCAGGAGGGGTCATCGCCATTCTTCGAGCTGTACACCGCACAAGGTCGGATATGCTATCGCGATGATCGATGTAGGTTGGAAGTCCATGATGAGGTCCGTCTCCTCCGCTCCAAAAGATGCTGGAAATGTGGCAAGCAGCGGATTGGCTCGTCGCTCACCCAGTGGCTTTATTTGGTCCCGGACTGCTGAGTAAGAGCCACTGATGTCAACGCCTCCATTGGACCTGGGGGAGTATCTAGCGTCGGCTCTTTTTCTCGCGCCGTGATGCCGGATCAAAAATCCGTGGGCTTCTTACTTCGACACGGTCTGCCCCTTGGTGAGTGAGGGGGGAAGCAGATGTCCATATCCAGATGTTCCAGGCGCGCCCGTGTGCTCGGTCTCTGTACCAAGAATCACCCAAGTTGCAGCTGGGTCGCTGGGGCTGGCACACGGCTCGTCCATCCTCACATGCGGAACATGACGGGTCCATGCTGACACCAAGAATAACGCTGAGGCAGTGAACCGAGGCCCACCTGTTCCGCGTCGAGATTGTATCGGCCAAAGATCAGCACATTGCATTTTTCCAGCTCGAGAATGACACGGTAGAAACCCTGGGGCGCGACTCCTTTTGTCGCAGCCTGACCCCGTCAGTGATAAGGAGGCCACCGTCGATCGCCAGCTTGGGTCAAGCAATCTGATCTGTTGCGTTGTCTCTTGCAGGGCGGAAGGGACACCATGCGCCAAACGATGTGCAAACTTTTCGAAGCCATCAGTGTCACTGGCAAATCACGGCGACAAGTAAAGATGATGTGGTGGTATGTGGGATAGGCTGACGCTCACTAGGATCAATTAACCAACAGAATCAAACAAGCCACCCCAAGATGCTCTCGTCCCCGTGCAACTCAGGTCTCAGGAGATGCAGCTGCCGATCACGAACCTGGGATTGGGGAGACAGAAGGAAGCCTACACGCTGCTGCTCTCCCCATGAATGGACGAACGAGCGGCTGAAACAAACAATGGGAAACCTTTCGCAGCACCGTGCCCGGTTTTGTTCTTGTGGACTTGATGGCTGGGGGATACATGTGGTCCTTTGTCCCGGGAACACGAAGAGAAGGAGTGAGAAGGGCAGAGGAAAGCTTGAGCACAAAACACACAAACCCACTAAAGCCCAAACGCCAATGACAGAGCTTCCTATGGTCTTTGGGCACGCGCGCCGGATTTTCCTTATGTGAGAAATTCATAAGCCCAATTTATCAATCAGTCAGTCGGTCAATCAGCCAAGAGTGAGGAGATGTTGGGCAGGTGTTGTCCTTGTATAGCCGCCACGGGAGAAACGTCCACCAATCCTCCCACCCATTCATGATCCAGCAGTTCCCGCCACTTGCTCTGAACAGCGTCTACGCTGGACGGCTATTCAAGTAGGCGGGGGTGGGAGGGGCAGTATGGTACGGCGAGCTGGACTCCGGCATTCAATTTGTGTTTCCCTCTTTTTGTTGCTTGTTCCTTTCTCCTCTGTCTTGTTCCCTATGCCTTTTTCGTTCCCCTCTCGCGCCCCTTGTGCCTCAAGCCTGTTGCAGCGTCTTGTTCCTCGCGAGACCACTAAAATCCCAACCTATCAATGCAACAGGCTCGCTTTATGCCTCTCTAGCTCCCTGGTCATCACGATCCCCGCGATGGCACGATGACAAGGAAGGGTGCCCCCTCGTGTAGCGAACAGAAAACCGAGCGCGAAGGGGATTGGCGCGGGCGAAACGAGTGACGGCCTTTCTGGCGGGGAGGCGGACTCGCTGCATGACCCAATGGAGCCAGCTCCGAGAGGATCAGAAAGGTACGCGAGAAAAAGGCAAATACACCATCCAAAGCCCATACACACACACACACACACACACACACATATATATATATATATATATTAACGGGATACCCCTTCCCTCCCGTTAGACGGGATCACCCCTATCCAGAAGAGCGAGATGAGAGCAATTATCTCTTCAGCTTTGTTTCTTTAACATTAATTCATTCATCCATTCGAAAGCCTTCCCCTCAATTAGAATCCCCTCGCTGAGACCATGATGGGAGTGTTGGTGGTGGCGGCGGTGGTCTCCCTGGCGGCGCTCCCCCTGGTGAAGATTTCCGGCGTCAAGTCGAACTCGGAAATCCCTCCTCCTCCTCCGCCTCCACCGTCGAAGCTGTGTCTTGCCGGTGAGAAGGGAGACTGGCCCTGTCGCGCGAGGGGATCCCCGGCGAGCAGGAGCGGTGATGGCGGCGGCCACGGACCTTCGCTGTTGGTGAAGGGGCCCAGCTCCAGAGGGGGCAGGTGCTGCTGCTGGTGCCACGAACCGGACATCATCTGTTTCAGATACTCCTGGTTCCGCTGGAGGGGGCATGTGTGCGGTCCAATCCCCATTGGCGGGATGAGTTGAGGTGACTGCTGCTGGTGGCGCTGGTGGTGGTGGCGCTGTCGAGGATTTCCTTTTTCCTCTGTTTCCTGTTGATGATGTTGTTGCGGTTGGGCTCCATGGAATACAATCTCCGAAGGAGGCGGCGTCGCGGCCGTGCCGTTCGCCTGGCTGAACCGGGCCCGGAAGTGCGGGCGGCTGGGGATGGGCGGGATCGAGGCCGTGATCTCGTCGAGCTGCTCGTTGGAGACCAGCGGCAGGACCTGGAGCAAGGCCGACTCGAGCTCGTAGAGCCGGCCTTCCAGCACGTCGATGTATCCTTTTACCGGACCCCTGGACATTGTGGGGTTTGTCAGCACCCAGGAGGTTGTTTCCGAGACCCTACAGGCTGAGGATATTCGCGCAGAAAGGGGGGAACTCGACTACCTTTTCTTCGCGTCCGGAAAGGTGCAAAAGACTCGGAGGGCGGCGCATTGCGAACAGCCGGACCTGCAAGATTTGCTCGTGGTTAGTAACTCAGCGCAACTGAATAGCTCGAGACTTTGCAGAGGATTGAATAGACGATGCATAGAGCAAGTCCATCCACGCGCGTGAGACGGCGCTGCTCCTCCCGCCTCTTCCTCCCTGCAAGTCTCCGGCGACAAATCCCTCGTAGACGGACAGCCCCGAGAGGCCTCCGCGGGCTTGCATAAACGAAAACATCTCCAGACTTCTCAACATATCCCCGCCGCTAATTTCTCGCAGTGTACTCACTTGTTGCCATCGCACTGGTGGACGAGAATTAGCCAGTCTAGCCATGGTCACAACTTTGAGAGAGAGAGAGAGAGAGAGAGAAAGAAAGGGGAGAGAAAAGAACACCATTGAAGGCCCCATCTGTACCTTTTGTCTCTTGAGCCGACAATGGTTACAGGCCAAGCTCGTGCGCCTGGTCGTGTCTGTAGTCGGCGATGCCATGGTAGGTTTCTGGGAGGAGGTAAAGGTGCAAAACCGGGGACTCTTGGACGAGCTCTCTCGGGAGGGAGAGTCACTGATGAGATGGAATCTGGAGGGTGCGGACCAGCAGAGAGAGTGTGTTTTCTTGACGTCGAGTGTTTTTAAGGCTCCCGGTGGCCGCGATACATGGATAGGTATTGCCGAGAGGATAAATGTATCGATTATGAAGCGCGCAGCCAACACGTGAGCGGTGGCCAGGGCCTTCTGGGGAGAGAGGAAGGGGCAGGGGGAGTATGTAATCTTTTCAAGGATCGAGTAGTACCAGTAACTCGACGAGGAGGAGCGGTGGGAGGAGGGATCGTCGTTACTAGTGGTATTGTCTGCAATATCCTCACCTCACCTCGCCTCACTTCGGCGGGCGTCGCCCTTGGATCGTTCGGCTAAAGGCAAACATGGGGGGCTTATGTGGTTTTGCTCTTTGACGTGTTGTGAGAAAGGACATTGTTCTGTTTCCCAAGCCGTGGCAGTCCAGCCTTTTGCGAGCCGTGTAAACCCCGCGGACTCCTCCGGCCCTGCGGGATCGATCAAAACGAGCGGTGGCCTCGCATGGATGGGGATCCATGGTCGAATCGAGGGAAAGGAAGGGGAGGAAAGGCGGGAACCGACCATCCCCGGTCTTGTGGTGGGATCAACCAACACCACGGGACCCCGGTTCGTGGGCTTTTCCTGGTGTCCTGTAGCAGAAATGGGTTCTCGTGCGAGGCGTGTCCCCGTCTCGCGCGAGACAAGTCGTGGCCTGAGGACGCTGACAAAGCCACAAAACCAAAACAACCTGGCACCTGGTGGTTGGCACCGGCTGGTTCCATACAGGAATAGTCTGGAAAACGAAAGACGACATGCCTCCCTCGCTTGCCGGGGGAGGAATAAGGAGACTGCTGAAATGGCATTCCGGACCCGAGAGACAGATTCCTTTGGTGATCGACGGCCCGCAGTCCTAAGAGGGGGAAACAGAGCAAAGATTCTCGTTGTCCAAAGATCCAGGATCGGATTGATGAGGCAAGCAGGACATGATATGGATCGAGGGGCGGCGAGCCGGATGGGCAGAGGACGGAGTGTTGATCCGAATCCCCCCTCCGAGTGGTAAAACGATACAGAGCGAGGGAGGTGCAGACGGCTGATGCAGGTCCTCCGGCTGCCGGCCCAGAGCTACGTTTTTATCGTTTGGTGGAAAGCATATCGACAGGAGCAGGAGGTGAGAAGGGTTGATGACTGCGGACCCCCGACGACTTTTATAGCCCTCGATACCAAGCAATGGGGAGGGGGAAAGGAGGACGAAAGAGAGAAGCTAGGACCACCGTCCTTCAAGAGACGAGGCGCCACCGAGATCATTCCTCACCCTCAGGCGAGAAAGAAACTAGTCCATATTTGAACCATGGCCTTGATGTGGACTAGTTTGACGACGACGATTGCCCGCTTCGAGCTGCCTTGGCCCTGCATGTCATCCTCGACTGGGTAAGAGGGGGGTGCCTTGAGACGGGGTCGGGTGGATATAAGCTTGGTTGCCGTCGTCGACACTTGCGCAGACGGAGCGGCGTGAGTCGCGTGAGTCTTGCGCGTTTGGGGATTAGGACAGGAGGGCAATGGGGAGGCGGTAGGTGTGTGAACGGTTGCGTATATATCTTCGTGGAAAAAAAAAATAGTATATAAAAAGACATTGGTGCTGGCAGGCCACATCTCGGCATGGCTAGATCAGCCAGTTGGCCGACGACGACGCCACCACCACTAAAAGGATCCCCAAGACCATGCTTGACAGGTTCCCGGCGCCAAACGCTAGCGACGCAGAACCATTCTGCTCCGACGAGTCGCTCTGCGTGGCGTCTTCGCCTGGGTTGTACCCGGTGACATTGACAATCTGACCTCCCTGGAACAATGTCTGGTTGCCGCTCAAGCTGCTGGGCTGATTCGTGCTGCCCGGGACACACAACGAGTACTTTTCTTGCCCATTCAGTCCAAACGCCTGCTCTGCCACCGTGTTCCAGATCGCCGTCACGTCAGACGCGTGAGCAGTCTGGTACCACAGCCTGCAGTCCGCTGCCTCATAGACAAACTGGAGCGGCGTCTGGGACTGATCATACTGAGCAATAGAATTGAGAAGGTTGACCTGGACAGCGGCCCCTGCATCGTTCCGAAGGAGTAGCGTGTCGGCCTGGTCCGCCAGGACTTTCAGTGCTGTCTGATTCGCCTCTTTGATCGCTTCCGACGAAGCATTCTGGTAAAAGAACAACATAGCCTGGTTGATATAATCCAAAGGTTCAACTTGGCACCCTTTGGTGCCTCCCATGGCCTGCATTGGCCCAGGTTGGGGTCGACCTCCGCCCGCAATTGACTTGACCTTACCCTGATACTTCAGCAGATGCAGGAAGATGGTGCAGGCCGACCCACAAAATCCATCCCCAAAAGTGACAATGTTCTCGGAAAGGAAAGGTTGGGGGGCAACTTTGGAGTTGTTGGCATAGCCCGAGACGACGATGCCGCCGGTGCCTTCGTCATAAGCGGCATTGGAAAGGTTGAGCTGATATTGGTGCGTGAAATTGTCACCGTGCACCTGGACAGGACCGAAATATTGTTCCCAGGATTGAAAAGGCTGCCCGCTATCATCGTCGATAGACGTGGCATCAAAGAGAGTGAATAGCCCGTCGTTATTCAAATCCTCAACATTGACAGGTTTCTGCTTTTCAGCCTGCTGAATGAGGGAAGTAATAAACGTCCCGAGGATGTTGACCTGTGGATACCGAGATTAGAACCAAGGCTGTCAGAACTTGTAAGACATCATGGCGTACCTGCTCATGTGCACGTAGCTGAGCCCCCAGATATGGCTGAACCGATGGGAACAATTGCTTAAAGATATCGTAGGCTACTATGATTGAGCCACCTACGTTCTGACTGACGTCCACGATGAGGTGGGTCTTATTAGCTTGCCGACATTGTTGCAAGAACCGCGTAAGGGATTGCTGTGTCGAAACTTGCGCCGTCTCGGACATTTCGTGGATCGCAAGAACAGCAACGCTTGGTTCATCATCCAGAAAGTAGCCAGCTAGCGAACCATCGTCGCTGATTGCGATGGCTGAAGGGTATTGCGGGATGAGGGCGGTAGGATCGGGCGCCGTGGTCGCGGTCGGCTGGGCGGGAGATGTCGAAGATGCACTCGCTGCTGCCATGGCCTTGGCCGTAGCATTACAGAAACTCTGGTAAAAGCTCTCGCCGTCGACCACGTTGGTAAAGTCCTTGTTCGTAATGGCTTGGATGGGAATAGATACTTGGCTCCCGTTCTTGAACTCAACCGCGATCGACGAACCCCAGAACCGACTCAATGACGGTGTGCTGAAGTAGCCGTAGCCGGCGTTGGTGGTCGCAGTGATGGTAAAGAACACACGGTTGTACAACGTGTCCAAGTCCTGATGAGTCATGGTCCCGTTGAAAGCCTTTTCACTCAGCCAGGAAACCGCTTCTGTTCCGTTAATCTTGACGATAGGAGAAGGCGTCCATCCTTTTGCTTCCTCTTGGGCTTGAGCCTTCAGGTCGAGGAGCGCGTAGATTTCTGGTAGCTGTTTACCATCACTCGAAACGGAAACTATGGGCACGTGGAGGTTGGCAAAATTAAAGACAGAGTAGGCATCTGGCGAGAAGGTGAAGTGCCCGTCGCGAACCGAAGTGATCAAATCGACCAGTTGGGTTTCGAAGTCAATTTCCTGGGTGATGGTCCCATCTTCCACCTTTGCGGTAAGCTCTTCCAATCCTCCCACTAGGTCGACCGCAGGGAATGGCCAACTTGCTGGTGGATCCTTTACCCAGGCTATGTTGCTCTGCCACTGCACCCAAGCTTTGAATCCGGTAAGTAGAGCAAGCGTATCCTCTTTGACCAAAGGAACCGATTGTAGACAGGCGTATGCCATATCTATTCGAAGCCATCAGCCACGATCGGAAGCGCCTGGATAAGGTCAACAAACCTGGAGGCATGGCGACATTGAGTGCTTTCGATGATGTCAGTAGATGCCAAGTACGTTCTTCAAGAGGTAGGCTTACCTGAAGGATTTGCCGACAGATATTGGCTTGAATATGCACTCACTTGAGCACATGGCTCTTGAGCGGTTGGTGTAGCGGTTGGTGTGGCGGTCAATGTGCCAGACTGAGACTCCACTGCAACCGTGAGAGCAAGCACGCACAAGGCGTGGAAAGTAGTTGAGGAAAACATCGCAAGGTCCAGATGGTGCAATCAGTATAGCAAGACATGGTCTTCATGCCGTAGGCTGGGCCTTATATATCGTGGGTGCATCTCACTCACAGCCTCCAGCCCCTGTTCGAAAGCCTCAACGGCATCCTGACACCACAGAAGCACACCTCTGTCGCTAACACAACTGAGATTCTTCCTTTCCTAGTGTACGCCATCTCGAAGGCTGAAGGGGTCAATCGATGCTGACCAGGTCCACAGCATCAATCCTTTGGTCCTTCGCGTGGTATTTGAAAGACGACAGAGACAGAACAACAGTTAATGTGGTTCAGCCGCAAGATTTCATCCGCGAATTGAAACAGAGCCATTTGACCCCATGGCGGCAGCTTGATTGGCAACGACAGTCAATGGTGTTTTCTGAGACCCGCTGTACCCATCCTCCAACACGGAAAGTCGTAAATACTTTAACGGGCCTTAGTTACCAACGACCATGTTAGTCTTTTCCACGCAGGATGGATGAGGCGTTAACCCTTCGCACAAGCCACAAGCGCGGGACAGATGGCTGCGCTGAGTGCAGCTTCTTGACGACTCACGACCAGTGAGATCCACCTTCAGCGCAATGTCCTAGCGGACACCTGAAATTACTTCTCTCCTAGACTGCCCGTAGGAATTGCTATAGAACGTGGCAAATAGGAAAGTCGTTTCGAACCAGATGGGATCCTGCATGTCGTATGACGGGCATATGTAAGCACTGAGATGGTCGGCCGTGTGACACACTCATTGTTGAGGATGTGGTCGGTCATTGATGCTCAACATTTGGTAGCAGCAGCAGGAGCGGACACTGCAGTCTCACTCTGGTGCATGGCGGTTGTTTCTTTGTCAATCTGTCTGGCATCATTTACTGCCTGTTATGCGCCGAGCGCCAACGATCTGTTGTCTGTTGGTCACCAACGAACCGAAATTCCACCGCATCTGTGTAGGTATTTCCCGACGATGACTCGAGCCCAGTTTCAGGCTGTGGATCGGATCTGCTGAATCACCCACCAAACACCCCGGCTCAAGGCCGAGTTGGCATCCTTCTCCGCAGGAGCGCCATTGCTGACAGATTGGGGCAATGTGCCAACCTGACTTGGACTAGTTGCGGACTTTGTGTCCCAAGGGAATTTTGCAGGTGCGGCGTCTCTGCTGTGGTGGAATTAAGGATCCTCGAGCGAAACGGGATTTTCATGTAGTCACACCGTGAAAACGACAAAATACCAGAAGAGCCTTGGTCGGGCTCCCAGAAGGATTCGTTCGTTGTCAGGTCATGCACCTCCATCGAATAAAAGCGCAGCACTCGTTGGGGGCCGAGACAGGGACCGTTCCAGCTGGAGGCGAAAACAGGAGTTTAGGGTCCGAAATGCGATTGACTAGGGCAGAATCGTCTTACCTCTCAGCCCACAAAGGGTTTCTCCTCTCTTGTAGGAATAGGATGCTCTCTGTATAATATAAGCATAATCCTCAGACAGATTGGGCTCTGTGTTGTCATCTCCTCGTCAGGCGCTTCTCATTCATTTGACTTCGAATTGGAAGGTCGATAAATTGCGCGTTTGATTGGTTCCGCCTGAAGGTCCTTTCGACATATCCAGGCACAATGGCGTACAACCAGAATCCAGGGGGCCAATACTATCCTCAACAACAATATGGCTCCAATGGTAACAAGAGAATGAACTTGGCTGCTTTACCTGTCCACAACTAATTGCGACAGTTCCATACCAAGACCAGAGCCAATACCAAAATCAATATCAAAATCAATACCCTCAGCAACACCAGCAATATCCACCACAGCACCAACAACAGCAACCACAGCATCATGCTCCTCAAGGGCCGCCGTCGGCCGCAGCATCATTCGATCAAAGCTGGCATTCAACTGTGGACGGCATCTCGTATTCAATCACTAACCGTGACACGAACGCCATGCTGAATGTGCGCATACCCCAAGGTGTTGTCATCAAGTCCAAACCCGGTGCCATGATCCAAATGTCTCCAACCGTCGTCCTTCAGGGAAAGGTAAAGTTTAGCATGAAGAAAATGTTCACTGGCGGGGAGATGGCTGAATCCATGTACACTGGCCCTGGCGAAGTGTCCCTGGCACCTACCTTGTTTGGCGACGTATCCGCCATCCCCATTCGCGGAGATGAGGGCTGGAACCTTGGAAAGGATGCTTTTCTGGCGTGTACGGGTGGAGTGGTGAAGGAGACTAAGAGCCAGGGCCTTGGAAAGGCCTTCTTCAGTGGGGAAGACCTGTTCATCTACCGCATTTCCGGCCAGGGCACTCTCTGGGTCACGTCTTTTGGTGCAATTGTCACCCGAGATGTAAGTGGACGGATGCTCTTTATTTCTCGCCAGGCTGGGCCCCTGTCCTTTGCTGTTTCTTCTTGTGAGACAGAGCTAACAAATCCAACAGCTTCAAGCCAACGAGCAGCACATTGTTGACAATGGTCACCTTGTTGCGTGGAACTGTCGATATGCCATTGAAAAGGCCGGAAAGGGAGGCGTTCACAGTATGACGACAGGCGAAGGTCTTGTCTGCCGATTTACAGGACCTGGCAGGATTTACATCCAGACCAGGAACCAGGACGAATTTGGGGACTGGGTAGCTTCGCGGAGTTCGAGTGCTTGATCTCAACCCAGGCCCTGATGATTGCCGATATCTAAGGCAAACATCTTGCTAGTACGCAGAAAGGAAAGCGGTGCCTGTGGCATCTGGATGTCTGGATATCTTTCTCCAGTAGAGTCTGTCGCTAGTTAGTGTGCCGTCATCTCGTGCTGATGGATGTGTCCTGACGCGGCGGAGGATAGACAGGAGGGAAACAATGAAAAACGCAGAAACATTGGCTACCGCCACCTTAACGATTGAATCGACAAGGAAACTCCGGTCTCGATAGAGGTGGATGGGACGCATGAGAGAGACACTAAAGGATGAAGATAAGATGTACCGGCGGGACTGGGATGCGCGAACTGCGTGAAATGTGAAATACTCCTCCGTTTCTATCTCCACGTGAAATCGCTGAATGCTTCGCCGGATAAAGCCCCAGAGGCCTCATATCAGCACGTGACTGTAAATTCAACGTCATTTTCGTCCACTCGCTCCGTTCAACAGTCCAAGTCGCTTCCCTGCCGATCTCATTTGCGCCTCTTGTCTTCTTTCCTTGCTCGCCTGCAGCGTCTGCCCTCCCAAGGGAGCCAGCCTTCTCTCGCAAAATGTTGGACGCCTTTGAGATCTTGACGACCTCTGGCGTCGTCTTGTGGTCGAGGTCCTCCTCCAAAATCGGCGCAGCCGCAGTCAACAGTTTGATCAACGATGTCTTCATCGAAGAGAAAGTCCGCCCGACCGCAACCAGCTCAAACAATCCCACGTACAGACACGACAAGTACACCTTGAAATATACACTGGTCAAGGATCTGGGTCTGATCTTCGTGGCCGTCTATCAGTCTCTCCTTCACCTTACCTGGGTCGACAAGTTGCTCGATGACATCCGTACAATCTTTGTCGAAGTCTACAGAGGTCAGCTGGAAGAACTCGACTACGCTGCTCTGAAATATCCCTTCGATCCGTTCTTCGATGAAGAGATGCGCCGATTGGATGAAAGCACCGGCGGGGCCATCACCAGGGAGCCGAGTCACGTTGAACTGCCGCTGGAAGAGAAGAAAACAAGCGCTGAAGGCGGGGACACTGGAGGACCACCACCGCCGGACGCACCGCAGCAGATTAAGGCACAGCCTTTGGCTGTGCCAGGGATCAGCGAGGATTCTCTCCAGAATACCCCTGTCCACTCACCCGATACTTCTCGTCCGACGACTCCTTTGCCAGGCGTTGCGCCGCATTTGTTGACGGAGAATGGCAGGCCACAGAGTCGTGGCTCTCGTAGAGCAAGAAAGGCTGCTCACGCCGCTGCTTCTGCAAATGTTTCTAGCGGAGACGAAGCCAGAAAGCACAAACCCGTCAAAACCAGCGCGAAGAAGGGCCGAGTTTGGGGGCCAGATGGTATTGCCGATGTGGAAGATGATGTGAGACTCGACTACTCTGCTGGCGATGTTGGCAACAATGGAGAGACTGGGATGCGGTCTCCGCCACCGGAAACCATTTCACAAGAGAGCTGGGGAACGAAGAACAAGCAAGGCCAGTTTGTCCTTAAAGATCTAGGCGATGAAGTGAACCACATCCTCAAATCGGCAGACGCCAACAAAGGCGAGATCAACGGGACTGGAAAATCGACCTTTGGTGCAATTTCAGGGTACTTCAGGAACATTGTAGGCGGAAAGACGTTGACGAAAGAAGACCTTGAGAAACCTCTGAAGTCGATGGAGGAACATCTGATCAATAAGAACGTCGCTCGTGATGCAGCTATTCGATTGTGTCAGGGGGTGGAGGCTGAAATGGTCGGCAAGAAGACAGGAGCATTCGAATCAATCGACGCAGCATTGCGCCCAGCCCTAGAAAATTCACTCAGAAAGATTCTCACGCCAAGGTCATCACTAGACCTCCTCCAACAAATCGAGACCGTTGCGAATCCAACCGGGGCAAAAGCGCAACCCCGTCCGTTCGTCATCACCATCCTGGGTGTGAACGGGGTTGGGAAGTCCACCAACCTATCAAAACTCTGCTACTTCCTCCTGCAAAACAACTATCGCGTCTTGATCGCTGCAGGCGATACATTTAGGTCTGGTGCTGTGGAACAATTGAACGTCCACGTGCGGAATTTAAGGGAGCTCACCGCTCGTGAAGGACTCGGTGCAGTCAGCATCTACGAACGAGGCTACGGCAAAGATGCAGCCAACGTCGCCAGAGATGCGGTAACCTTTGCAAAAGAGAACGACTATCAAGTCGTGCTTATTGACACGGCCGGACGAGCCCATACCAACACACAACTCATGGCCGCACTGGAGAAACTCGTCGACTTTGCGAAACCTGACTTGATCCTTCAAGTCGCAGAGGCACTGGTAGGCAATGATTCGGTAGGCCAGGCGCAGAATTTCACGAGAGCACTGGGTAAGAACCGTAAGCTCGATGGATTCATTGTCTCGAAGGTTGACACGGTCGGATCTGGAATCGGGACTATGATCAGTCTCGTTCATGCCACTTCGGTGCCAGTGCAATTCATTGGCGTCGGTCAGCATTACGGCGATCTGCGCCAGTTGTCAGTTCCTTGGGCGGTGAATATGTTGATGAACTAAATTCGGCCATGACGGAGATGACTGACGAATGAAACGGTCCCTCTCCGACCGACACGAGAAACGGTAAACAAAGCTGATGGAGATGTGAGTCTTGCGCTGCTGCAGATGCTGGGTGGCCATGTGAGAGAACCGGAGCGAAGAAGCAGCCCTACCCTGGATTCGAGGTAGGCCTTGACGATCAGATCAGCTTTAAGGGGCCATTCAGAAGTGCCATGCCAAGGGAAACGGACAGGAGACGGTATGGTGTCTCGCTGATCCTGCAGATAGATAAAATCGAACCAACAAAAATCGATGGGAAACCGGTTCCCCTCCACGTTCTTGAAACTGCATTCATCCTTGGTCGGTCATGTTTCTGTGAAGTTTCCGGAAACAAACACTCGCGACGCCCTGGCCCTTTTGCCCTGCAAACTCGAACACGGGGTACTTGATCGTATCGTAGACTTCAAACACCGCCCTCTCGCAGCCATCCTCCGGGATTCCTGTACCTTCACTACTGGCGACATCGGCACTCTCGCTGCTGCCGCCGCCTCCTGGGCTCGTGAACCAAGCAATCACTTCCGCCTCGGTCCAGTTACAGCTCGTGACCAGCAGAAAGCCGCCTGTTTTGACCATCTCCAGGACCTTGGCCGGGTAGAGTTCGCAGATGCGGCGCTGGCGGGTCGAGGCCCGGTCGAAGACGGTCGACGAGGAGAGCGAGATGGCGTCGAACGTGCCCTTGTCGAGGACGAGGTCGAATCCACCGTGGCCGCCGCGGGGTCCGAGAGGGGGCCACCACGGTTGCGAGCCGGGAGGGTCGTGGATGATGTCCAGGACCTCGAAGGTGATGTTCTCCATGTTTGAGTCCGTGGCCGTGGCCGTGGCCGTGGCGGTGGTCGACGCCGCGTACTGCGCGCGCAGCTTCCTCGCCAGCTCGACGCTCTTGGTCGAGTAGTCCACGCCGACCATGCGTCCCGTGTAGTGCCCCTGGAGACGCAGCGCGAACAGGGCGCTGCCGTTGCCTGTGCCTAGATCCAGCACCGAGGGATCGGCCGGGTCTCTGTCTCCCTCCTTCGATCCCGTTGGTGCGATGTAGTTCGGCGACAGCGGGAACGTCGTCGACGTCAGGAAGGCCAGTGTTTTGGCTGGCGCGCCGACGTCGTCGAACCACGAGTCAAGCTCCGAGGGATCAGGTGGTTGTTGCTGAGACTCCGTCGCGTGGTCATCCTCATCCTCGTCGCCGGCGCCGGCATCCTGCTCGGCTCCATTCTCGTCCTCAGACCCGACGCCATTTTCTAGATCGTTCTGGTAGTATTCGTCCCAGCTTCAATTGGGTGTTTGTCTGTTAGTTGCGTCCGTCGGAAGACTAGGCTTGGTAGAAGGGGGGGGTGAGGACGAAGAGACGCACTCACTACTCTTTGGTGCCCAGTTCGCTTGGTTCGAGGTGAACGGGGTGGGATTTCTCGTCAGCCATTTTTAGCTATGATATCTTATTGAAACATGTGTCCCGGTGGGAGAAGGCATCAGAACCTAAGAATTTGGTATATATTGGAGAAAGATTTCGGGCACAGCCTTTTCGTGCAGATCTAATCTTATCAAGGACCAAAAACCCCGCAACTCAGCCTTGCATGCAACTCGGCATCTTTTTTCTATGTTTCATGGCGGGCGTCTTTTCTTATTGCCTGTGGCATTTCCAATGGATGAACCGGGCTAGTGACATGCATATTGGACGCCATCCCAAGGAGTGGAAGATATCTCTGATGCGTGCTATCTTCCCTATAAGGTGATTTACCTGTGCACTTTTTGTCCGCGCACTTACATCCAATACACTACCACGGCGTTCCCTCCAAGGTAGCAATGTCCCTCCCGTCTGATCCGCAGTATGAACACATCCCCACGTCGACCCTCTCGAGCCTCGTCACCAATGACGTGAGAACCAGCCACGGCGTCCCGGGAGGCCATGTTACCTACCACTCGCAGAGGTTCGGCAAGATCGACTTGAGGGTCCCTCCGCACCCGGACATCGAGGAGGGGAGGAAGCTTTTCGCGCATTATCTGTGGCACGCAGCCGTGATTGCGGCGGAAGGGCTGGAGAGGGCAAGTTCCGACGCAGAAATTGGAGAGCGGGCACCGCAGGGGCAGAGCGACGGGGACGAAGAAAGAAAGATGACGGGGAACTGGCCAAAGAGATATTGGGATGTACGAGGGAAGAAGGTTCTTGAGCTGGGCGCCGGTACGTGAGAATTTCAATCTTGAGGTGTGGCAGTCAGACGCTGTTGGAACAAGGAACCCGGACTTCGCTCACTGCGAGACAGGGACGGCGTTGCCGTCCATAATTGCCGTCCTCTCGGGCTCGCTGTCAGCAACCATCACAGACCATCCATCGTCGCCCGCTCTGACCACGGGCGCCATCGAGCAAAACGTCCAGAGAAACGTTGTCGAACGACTCAAGTGGCCGGAAGCAGCAGGTGCCAGAGCCTCAACTTCGCCGTTGTGTTCGTCCACAACACTTATGCCGAACCGGGGGTCACCTGCGGTTGACATATTCGGCTACACATGGGGCATGGCAAAGATGTACCTGCCATCGCATTACGGCAAATCGGCCGAGCGACAGCCCAAAGACTTCGACCGAATCATTATCGCAGACTGTCTCTGGATGCCTGCCCAGCATGTCAACCTCGTGAAGACGATACTGCACTATCTCTGCCAGGAGCCCTCGCAACCAGTGAGTCCTGCCGAAAGTTGCGCGTTGGTGGTTGCCGGCTTTCATACCGGCCGCGAGATTGTGCGGCATTTCTTCGAGGTGGCTACCGGAGAATTCAACCTCCCGCCGCGACCGCCGTCAACAGAGCTGGGAGAGGATCATAAAGACAAGCTTGGGAAGAAGGATGAGGACGGAGACCCCGATAGACAAGAGGTCCAAGGCCGTCTGCGCGCCGCAGAGATCTTTGAGATCGACGCGAACGGCCTTCGTAGGCCCTGGGAGCCTGTCAGGCCAAAGGAGGATAACGACCAAGCCAAGAGGTGGTGTGTTGTAGCTGTGCTTGAAAGAAGATGAGAGAGCACAATTGATTCTCATGCGCAACAGGAGCCCGGTAAATGAGAGCCAGGGGGCGGGTGTCAGGTGCAGAAATGGGTTAAAGCCCCTGGAGCACACATCTCTCATGGTCTCCTGTTGTTTGCGTGCAGAGCTTTGTCACTCCATTTGAAATCGTCCCGAAGAGGAAGCTTTTGTTGTATTAGCCATACATATGCACGCTGGAACTGTTCATGCATCGCATGTGCCAATCCTGCAATCATCTCCTCGGCCCGGTATTGATGGCCAATCCCCGAAACATACCTTTACGTGCTGCAGCAAGTCATCCCTGTTTGTATGCAGAGTAAAATCATGAATCATCATTCCATCCCCACGACGTGTCGCGCAACCCTTCCCCATTCGAAGAGTCGTCATGACACCTGTTTCCAGTGACATCCCTATGCATTCAACATTCCCTCGGGATTGGGCGTAGCCTCCTAAGAGATGTTTTGGGAAATTCCAGTGAGCGCTTCCAGCCTGGGTTTCGCCCACTAAACGTTCATGTTACCGCCGCGGAGTCCAGCCTTTCGCCCAAGCGCCATACCAAGTGGAATACCATGTTTGCAAGCCAAGCTCCATTGCAAAACGCTAAAGTGATGGATTAAACCTGTCATAGTTATAAGGCGATGGTTGAGGGGGAGGATGGAGTTGGAAAAAGACTCGATCCGGAGGCGAATGTCGCGTGGCAGCAACATCCACAGATGAATAAGAGTTGGACGTCCTTGGAGCCTTGGGAGCTGGTCCGTCATCCTCTTCATCGCTTAGAGTTAAATCAATGACTTCGCGAGGTCTCTTCTTGCTGTGTCCTGATTGTTTGGCTGCTGAAGGAGCGGTGGAGACTTCTCGAGAAGACAACGGCGGTGTCTTGACACTGTGTGGTGTCAGTGTTTCGAGATTCGAGAGCCGGAAGCTGGGTCCATTGCGGATCTCCACTAGATCGCCATCGTCGTCATCGTCATCGCCGTCATCGTCATCAGATGGCGTTGGGTTGGACCTGCGAGAAGTAGTTTCGTGTTCGCTTTGGATGTGCCATGTCCCGTCGGGTTCGACGTTGACCGCCTCTACACTCTTTGGCGCTAGGTCCAGAATGTCGTTAACATACTGATCTAGGGCCAGCTGGTCCCAAGGCGCAGCTCTATTGCAGATGGGACATGTCCATGTAGGCGCTTGTTCCTGGAGTTGTAGATACAGGGCTGCATCGAAGCATTGCAGATGATTGCAGCCAATACCGCGACAGGGCGTTGTGATGCGTGTGTAACCGACGGGATCCTTCAAGGAAAGGACCATAGATGTAGCAACGATTTCATCTGGGTCTTCAGCTTTCCGACGCACTAGAATGCCGTAAGCTCCCGCACCAATGTGAAACCAAAGTAAACTCACTCTCCCGAATGACTTGATCTTTGGTGATCATGCGGCCTCGCCTGATCTCGGCGACCATCGCGCTAATCTGCTTTTGCAGGACTAGATTGACCACAATAAAGAATTTCTGTGCATTGGATTTGTCCTATTTAGTATGGATAGTCGTTGATGTGAGATCGGACACAAATGAAAAACGGGGGACAAATCGAACTATCGGGCGCACCTTTGTGGTTAGAGCATATATCATCTCGACCGTGTTCGGATAGTTGGCGGGCTTTTTCTTGAGGAGGCTCGTGATATCGGCAGGTCTGGTCGATCCAGGTCGGTTCTTCAGTCCTTTCAGATTCGCCTTAACCTCCATACTGTTGCATTTCAGCTCCACGTTGTGAGGAAATGCAATGTCAGAAGGTTCTCTCGGGTAAAATCCGGGCACCTCGGGCGCGCAGAATACCATGACACGGTATGATGGATTCTTTAGCGTCTCGATGGTTTCTTGGGGCAAAGCAACTGTGAGCCTTGCGGTGTCTCTGGTCGACTCTCGCGCTAGATTTCTGGTCAGTAGGTGCGCTCGCTTCTAGTGTGGAAACACCAAACCCACCTTTGCACTCGTACATTTGAGTGAGCGGTCTGGCAATGACGTAGAAAGGCGAGGTTTTGAAAGTTATTCGGCCTGCTTTTGGTCAGAGCCTCTTCCTCTTTCACAGAGCGACCTCCCATACCTGAACCAAACAACGGGTTGGAGGGCATGTTGTAGGAAATGTGAGCATTCGGTGAGGAAAACTGCGGTGAGGCTGAAGAGGTGGGCGTGTGGTTCGAGTAATGTGGATGGTAAGAGTTGCCGTTCTGATAAGAAGGAGGGACACCTCTAATCGTCCCACGTATTCGGTTCAGCGCGGGCATGTCTGCTGCATTGCGCAGCTTCTCGATATCTGCAGATATGGAGGTCAGGGTAAGGCAGAGGGAGGCAGTTGGCAGGCAGTTGGCAGGCAGTTTGGAGGGGACTTAACATACGGGCTATTGTTCTGATTTGCAGCTCACTCTTGACTCCAGACAATGGCAGGCCTTCGCTGCGCAGTACATTCTTCAACTTCTCGACAGTTAGGGTTTTCACTTGGGCAATCAGTGCTTGCACATTTTCCTGCGCCTGGGCAGGCATGTAGTCCGCCATGGTGCCTGCCATGGTTTGATGGCGTCCTTCTTTTTGCTCTTTACAAGATGGCCAGACAGGGAGGAAGTGTGGGATTCAGGCTGGGACTATCGGTGGCAACGACGTCGAAACATGGTCGGAGAAGAGGGCGAGAGCGGGCGAGAGCGAACTTGCGCGCAGTCGCAACCTCTCCGGACGCTCTCTATGTGCGCCCGTCCGTGGCCCAGCCGAGAGGGAGCGGGGATAGGGTGAGAAAGGAGTACAGATGGTGAGGTCGGGCTACATTTTCCCCCTCGGAGGAAGAAGTTGGCAAAGGAGTGAGGTTGCTTGCCGTCGCCGAGTCGTCAAGACGCCGCAGTCACTGGCTGGTCCGCTGGATTGCGAATCGGCGTAACCCCGGCAGTTTGACTGGCCGAAAAAATCCATGGACTTTATCCCACCTGCCCACCGCATGCCTGCGGTCAATTCTGCTACGATTCCTGCAATTCACTCAACTGGTGGGACTCCCTCTTTCAAAGCACACCGTGCAGTCAAGCAATCATGGCCAAGTCTGCCAGGGCCTCTGTGGTCAAGAAAAATCACCGCAACCTTCGTGCTAAGGTGTATGGCCCTGCCTCTGATGCTCGCACTGCTCGATTATCTGCAAAACTCCAGGAGCTGGCACTAAAACCAAAACCAGAGACTGAGAAGGCCATGGACGTGGATGACGGTGCCGAACAGGCTGCAGGAGACGAGCCTCGTAACACCAACTCCGAAGGTACTTTCGTTCTCCTTCCAAAGATCCAAACCAGCACTGACCTCATCACGCAGCAATGGATGTCGATGCACAAGTAGCGGGCATGAAACTGCTCAAGTCGTCGACAGCTCGAGGCCAATCCAGTCGTCGCACAGTCCACAAAGTCTCCAAGAGGAAATCCAAGCACTCCGTTGTTTTTCCCTCGGAAATCGCCAGGAGGAACAAAATGGCTAGAAAAAAGACCCGACGATGAGGAGGAAAGCAAAACCCGAATACCGTATGCATGCAAATCAGCATGACGGTCTCTTCAACGAGGGGGACGTGGCTGCCCAGATCTTGGACCTGGATTGCCGCTGGACTGCTTTGTGCTTGCCAATTACTCGACCTCTGCTCCTGCATTCAGCAAGCCGGGGCTCAAATTCACGAGGGCGTTCTACCTGCGAGCTAGCTGCCGCACTCTCTCCGCCCATCAGAGAAGGATACGCATATACATCAGCCATCCATCGTTCGGCTTTGGATCCATCGTTAGGAACACAATCTTACTGTCTATCTTTCAGTATCACAAGACTTGGGAACGTCCCTTTTCTACCGCCATCTCATTATTCCGCCTGTGGACTTGGTGTCTGGCAACGCCTGCTCATTAAACAAACCTAGACGCTCGAAATGGACGACCTTCCTATTATGAGCCCTCGCACCCCGACTGGCCCAATGGGCTGCTTGAACTATCCTCCGGAAATTCTGAACCAGATTTATCACGAGCTCTTCGTCGACGATAGCCAGGTCCTATGCTTCCTCTGCTCTACAGATCCGGCCTTGCACACGATTGATTTGAAACAGGCGGTCAACACGTCTCAAACTTCAAGTACCTGTGATTTAGACTGGACTCACCTTTACGATGCCCGGTATTACGTCGACAGCAAAGGCCTTTCAGCGCAGTTTCTCCGTGTCTGCAAAAGAATTTGGAGAGCAGGTACCGGGGTGCTCTACGGAAACCTGACGATCGCCATGCGATGGACACCAAAACCAGATCCTTGTCTAGGCCCTTTTTTCCGACGCAATACCCAATATGTTCTTGCCTGCGCCAAGGTTATTTATCCTCGGAGCAGCGAGCCGTGGCCCATAGTCAGCAAGGAAAGGAATCCGTTCAACATTTTGCACTGGGGTGTTGCGCACCCCTCAGAAAGTTGGGAACTGGACAGACAAACAATGAGACGGGTACGCGAGAAGAGATTGTCCGAGACAGGCAGGAGGAGTCTCAGAATCAGGGCCAGATCGGCCAGTTTTTGATCCAGCATCGCCGCCGAAGTCATGTCCAAGGCACTTCTCCCTCGCTCCAAGAACAATATGTTTTGTATTGAAAAGTGCCACATGCGTATTTGAGACGATGGACTTAGCTTTCAGGGAGTTCTCAGCACTTATGATGCACACAAACAATGCAAAATGTTCATTACCTCTGTGACGTCGTCCTTTGACGGCTTTGTACCAACCTTGCGACTACGCCAATTGCTGAACCCTCGTCACCCCGTCTCTTCCCTATCCTGATCGTACTCGCTTGTCAGTTACGATATATGAAGGCCGGTCGAGGAGACGCGGAGATACTTTGCTGTCCTGTCTTTGAGAGAGAGGCGAGAGGGAGGGGAGCGGATCTGCCATGGAGAGCACGGGCAGGTAGGTCCATTGCGACCGGGAAACGAACCATTTCCAATCTCCCTGTCCCCTATCGAGAACCCTGCATGGTCTCCTGGACGAATGCCCAAGTACAGATGATGCAGCGCGAACTGGAGGTTCAAGAAAAGGCTCAATCTCATCCGGGCAGCCTTGTCGAGGGTATCTACGGTATTTTTCTGCAGCCTGGGCACCAATATGAATATGACACAGAATAGATTGATGGACCGTAGCAGGTATGTATGTATCAACAACGACTCGGGTAAAAGACTTGAACACGCCGCTTGCCCTTCGCCTCGCCATTGTCTCCTTTTCTTTTCCTGTGGGGGGTTTTCTTCTTATGAATTCCGAGAGACAATGTCCCTTGACACATGCGTACATGCATAGATGCATACATACATTCATACCGACAGACGCGCAGAGATCGAACTTTCACCACGTTCGAAACCTCAAGCCCCGCCTGCTCGTCTTGCCCGTCGTGGCGAACCTGGCACTCCCGCTCCCGGTGGTTAACTGGTAGACGTTCAATTTGGCGCTGGCGCCGCAGTTCTCGGCGGGGTTGCCGGAGCAGGTGACGTTGCAGTCGGCGTCGCCGGCGGCGGACAGGGCGGCGCCGTTGATGACACCCGCGGCGTTGCAGAAGCACTGGTTGCCGTTCTCGACGCCCATCCAGCTGTAGCCCTTGGCGAAGCAGAATGCGGCGCAGGCCTCGACCGTCAGCGTCGCCGAGGTGGTGGCCGCGGAGCCCGTCTTGTCGGTGCTGCCCAGCGCGCGCGCCCCGTTGCCTTCGTTGTAGCACCCCACGTACCCGTACTGCGAACCGGGCTGGTTCGGCACGTTGGCCGGGTTCGGGTTGGTCGGCTTGACGTACAGCGTGTTCTTGTACAGCGAGATGGCGTTGGGCCCGCCGCACACCTCGGTCGTGTTGCCCGCGCACTTCATGCTGCATTTGGACGAGGCCAGGGGCGTGGACGACGGGCTCAGCACGCTGCCTGCCAGGCATTGCGAGGCGTACTCCACCCCAAAGTACTGCAGGTTGAGCTGTTGCGCTTGCTGCGCGCAGAGGTCGATCGTCATCGACGTGCCGGCCGTGAAGAGCGCGGTCAAGGCCCGTGTCGGGGTCGTCTCGCTGTAGCAGCCCATCGACGTAATTCCTGTCGCGGCGGGGACTGTGCTAGCGGTCGAAGAGGGTGCGGAAGTTCCGCCGGTACCAGTGCCGGTCTGGCTTCCAGCGGGTGGCTGGTAGTTTCCTAACGACCACACAGAGAGGCGAGAGCCTCCGCCACAGAACTCGGTCTTGTCGCCTGAGCAGAAGGAGGAGCAGGCCGACTGTGGGGCCGTAGCGGTGCTGATGCTGCTTCCACAGTAACATTCTAGGAGAGTTCAAGTCAGTCAAACGGGACTAGGATGGGGGAAGAATGGGCTGTTTTTAGCTTACCTTGACTATACTCGGTGCCGAAGAACGCAGAGTTGGTCTTTGAGCAGAACGCAGCACAAAGCTCCAGGGTCATGCCGGTGCTGTTGGAAAACGACGCACCAGACAGGGCTCGACCTCCTACCCCCTCCACATAGCAGCCTTGGTATGTCGCATTTCCACCACCCGGGACAGTCATCACCGTTGAACCAGCTACAGGTGTCCCCTTGATCGCCGGACCCGAGTACGTGGTGTCATTCCATATCTGCATGAGGCTCTGTCCACCACAATACTCGAACTGATTGCCGCTGCAGATCATGTAATCTTGTTGCGAACAGTTGAGCGGGCTCTGCAGCGGCTGCGTCAGCGAGCTAGCGCAATAGCACTGGGTCGAGTACTCCATTCCGGCCATAAAGTAGCCATTTTGCTTGCAGAAGGCCGTGCAGCTCTCGATAGACATGTTCGTTTGACTGGTGTAGCTCAAACCGGCCAGAGGGCGAGGCGTGCTTGAGTCGAGAGCACAACCCATGTACTGCCAGCTGCCTACCTTTTGACCGGGAATGGCGACTGAACGGTTCATCCAGTCTTGATTTGGAATGTAATTGAGAGTGGGTTGAACAGGACAGATGTTTTGAGTGGCACGCAAAGGTCCGCCTGTGGGGGGGTTGCAACCCGGAAGCACCTTCAAAAGACCGTGAACAGTCTCGTTGACGATAGCGGCCTGTTCGGGACAATTCTGGTTGAAATACGGGTCCACGGACGCTTGAAGCGGTGGACACAGACCGATCTGGCCATCGTTAACGGCATTGGGACCCATGCACTGGTCAATGGCAGAGTCCAGGACATCGACGTCCCAGCCATTCAAGAAGTCACCATGGAAGCCATAGCCAGTTGTGTCGCCCTGGGAGAAGACGAACATTCCACCATCGGATTGGTCGACACTGTTCACGGAATAGATAACTTCGAAGAACAAGTGGGGGAGTAGCTTCGGGTGATCAGGTGGGCAGATGCCATTGTCCATTCCAGAGAGATACGCCACGTGGCTTTGGTCAGTCTTGTATAGGTTGACACCGTCCCAGCAGCTTTGGAAATGTATCTGGGCACGAAGACCTGAATCACATTTAGTGGATTTGAAGCCTGGAGTCTCTGGCTGGGGTCCACTGCTGTCCAAGCAAGCAAAACTGACGCGGTTGGAAACCGGAGTCCCGCCGTAGGTCTTGTTTCCATAGGTCATGGTGTTGGGGTCGAACGATCGAGCCGCAGCATCGCCAGAGAGCATACGGAACCCAGGTGGGAAAGGAACCATGTTGGCTACATCCACGCCACGATCCAAATAGTACACGACTGTGCCGTCATGTGGGACTTCCTCGAATGAGCCATTGCGGTGCCTGTAGTACAGATTTGGTGTCCAGTAAGCGCTCTTATCTTTCTGAATGCTGCAAGAAGTGCAGTAAGAGGCTTGCAGGCTGTCAAACGTCGATGTGGTGTTGATGTCTACTCACGGTCAGTGAGGCTCTTTCTCCAGATCTATCAAGCCAATACTTACTGTTTGGTCCAGCAATGGTATGACAGTGACCGGAAATGCCGCCGGGGTTGACGATGGGGTCGACTCTGCCTACCTGGACGGTTCCACAGACCATACGCCAGAAGGCAGAGACATGGCCGAAGGCCAAGCTGAGCACGATGGCCAGGAAGGCGCCTTGGACGTTCTTCATCTTGATCACGTACGACAGACCTCACACAGCGATGGGGGCCAGTCTGGGAGAACAGAAGAAAACGGCAGAAGGAAAGAGCCTCGTTTTGTCCCTGCAGTTCACGGGCAAAGGAGCAAAGATGCTTTCTGGCTGCTTTGGGGTGTATCCCCCGCCGCAATGGGCAAGCTCAAGCGCCGCCAATTGGTAAACGAACAAGAGGGAGCATATCGGCGACCTATGGGAGGATCTCCGAGGTTCGCATGCGGTGGTCTGGAGACAAAAACAAAGACGCGAGGGAGAACATTCGCAAGCAGCATCACGCACGTGGTAGTAAAATTGCAGAAGTGACAATGAGGTCCGAGAAACGCTTTGTTTGGTAGGTGAGATCTGGACCGGGTGACTGGCATTGTGAAGAAGTGGACTCCATGAAGTCGACGCTGGTTTGCGTAAGCTTGTGGAGAAGCCCATCACATATTACTGAGAGGTTGCGTATTCTGTGCTTGATTGGAACAGAAGGGGAACAAATGGTAGCGCATTCATGTGCCGGGGACGTAAGGGTGAGAGGTCTAGATGAAGGCCAGGAATGTGCAGCCTTGTGGTGTCAGAGTGAACAGGGCATATCCAGTCACGTGATTGGACAAGGCCACGCTTGTCCGCTTCCTGTCTAGCGTGTCACGGACGCGTGCCCAGTGCTCACCACGCGTCGGGCTGCTCGAGATCGCCAACCTGGATCAAGCCAATTTCCCTGCAAGCTCATCCCTGAAAATTGGAGCCCTAGGCTTGCATTGACGCAAAGCTCGTGCTCGCAACAGGAAAGCTTGATGGATTGAGACCGCTGCAACTGGCCAGACTTTTGACCAGGTTTTCGATAACAAATTCTCCGACGCCAATCGATACTTTTATCCAGTAGCTCAGCCGGTCCATGTTCGAAGGCGGGATCAACTGCAGCAGCCCAGGGACCAACTACTGCATGACCGTTGAGTAGGGACTGGGCCAAAAGGTCGGTGAGGATCGAGGAGCACCGTGGCCGATCGAAAGACAGAGGGAAGTGGCCGGGGCTCAGTTGTACTCGTAAGATCACCGGCCAGACATGCGATGGGCATGGACTCGATTCACACATCCCACCTGCAATCACTCTTGTCCTCGTAGACGAAATGACGCGTTTTGGCTAGCAGCACGACTACTCGAACAAGAAACAGACCTGATTTAACAGAGTCAGATGACGAATGGGGCTGCACCAGTTCTTCACGGTGAGGGCTGCTGCTGTCCTCACTTTCAACGGGGGCATGACTTGGGACTCTGGGCACCAAGCTAGGCACCGCTAGGCACCGCTAGGTAGTCCCGGTGCTTAATTAGGTGTTCAAACGGGGCGTGGCTCGGTGGGTGGCTGCCACCCATGCACGCTGCGGCCCTGCGTCGGGCCTTTTCTTCCCGGCGCCTCTCGCAGATCCTCCTCCTCCTCGAATCCCTCTTCTGAACACCTGCGTCTGCTCTACCTGTGCGCACAGGCCTTCGGTCTCCGTACACACACATCAGCAAGAACACACCCCTGCGTTCTCAATCTTCATACAACGATCTCCTCTCGAGCTTCAGACCATATCTACGAATACTTGCGCCCGCAGTTCCCGTCCTGATTGCCAGCCTTCGCGTCCGCACAATTCCTGGCGCATCTCTCTCGACCGCCGCAGACCGCTTTGCATTGCACGACACCTCGCGGCGCATTGACCATGCTGCTCCCATCCGCATTCTCGTGCGATGGCGGCTTGCAACCCCAACTCAGACTTCAAAGACCTAAGCTCCCATCCTTCGGCGCATATGAACCCCAGTACTCTACAAATGCGCGCCCGAGCCCGCTATCCTCGAGTTGCCGCGCTTTGCAGGCCATCCTCGGAGCCCCTGCCGCGATCCAGTCCACCCAACCAGCTCAGCCGCTGGACTTGGGGAACCCCTTTGCGCCCGCTGAAGAAACCATTCCCCCTCGAGAAGCACAGGCACCGCCGCCCAGACGCGCGAACAAGCGACGGCGCAGTGATTTTGAGGAGGACATGATTTCCGCTACAGATGTACTCATGGAAGATTGTCAACGCACACCTCAGCCAATTCGGACTCCAAAACGACGGCGGAAAGTCCCTCTCTCCATGCCGATGGGTCTCTCGGCAGATGATTTCCGTGCGCTGGAGACACCTGCCGACGAGGTAGAGCTCGACATGCCCATGATCAGCCCTCACAACCATATACCCTCCGACCAAGATTCGGCTTACGGGTCATCTCCATCAGTGGACGACGCAGAATGGACCGAAGACGATGACCGGATGCTGGTAGAGACAGTGCTCGAGAAGCTGAGACTGTCAAAACGCGATTGGAATGACTGCGCAAGGAAACTGGGCAAGGACAGAGATAGCCTTGGGAGAAGGTGGAGCTTGCTAGTTGGGGAGGGTAATGTTGGCTTGAGAAGAGGCGGCAGAATCTCAAGGACGAATTTGGACATTTCGAGTTGGTGATGGCTCTTTGCTGATATTGATGGCATAGACTGGTCCCAAACACTTCTTGCTTGTATAAATATCCTTTTCCAGCTCCAGCGAACTGGCATTTAGTAGGTATATCACCGAGATAACATTGGCTCAGATGGCAGCCTCGACTGTATTTCCTTGTCTTTCCTGTCCGGCATCTTTCATGTCTCCTTGATTTCCACCGGGCAGCGCATTAGAGGTTGAGCGAACATGCAATTTCCGGGGTCGAGAGTAGGCATCGAAGTCGTTGGTCGTGGTACTGTTGGGGAGAGACTTTTTCAGAGGGGATCCGGACTGACGCTGTCATTTCCGTCCTTTCCGAAAGACATATTGGAGAAGTTGCTCCCAGTCGTCCAGAGAAATGCTCCAAGGGGCCGAAACTCTCTTTAAAATCGAATTTCATAGCTGCCAGCTTTCGTCATGTAGCGGACCCATTTGACACTGCTGTAGTTGTTCTTCTCAAAGACTTTCAAGTATCGCACCAGCAGCCCGGAGCTCGTAAACATGAGTAAGGAGAAGGTCATGCTCAAAGGAGGTCGCGACCATGCCTTATGATTCGTCATGCTCGTGAGGTGGGCTTCGGCACTGAGCACAAATTCGCTGCCACCAACGAACCGGGCAATCTTCCACACGATGCAGTTGTTTTCTGGTTCGTACTTGGCCTTCCCTTGAGTGGTCCGTTCTGTGATGTTGGCGGTGTTCAGTGGGGTAGGAATTCTGACTACCACATTGGTCGCGAACAGTTTGCTACCATAATTGGCCTTGACGGCAATGCTGTATTCCACCTTTGTGGTGCCAACTTCACGGACAATTGCGTGCACCTTGAATGGCAGATTGACGTTCTCGACAGCTCGGTAGCGCATCAGCTCGAACTCTCCGTCGGGCGGGACAAACGATATGGTCCGGTCCGTCTCAAACTTGCCGAGTTGCACACACTGGTGGAATTGACAATCTTCCAACGTGACAGAGCCAGCTGCTGCCCGTGTAGCCTTGCGTTTTCCCTCTTGGTTTCCGATGGGACCGTCTAATCCATGCGCAATTTGACCCACCACCAACTGGTCGTTGAGACCGAATTTGCACTCTGGTGTTCCACTGAGGTATGCCCTCATGACAATCTGCCCAGTGACATCCGCACGAAGGACGGTACCGGTGGCACTCATGAGCAGATTCACGTCCTCAATGACATCCACAAAGGCTTCGTTCTTGCGGTATTTGATGTCTCCTCTCCTCCATGACTGAGCGCCCGTGGCTTGCATTGTGATCTTGGAAGTGTCGCTCGGAGGTGCGGAGACCGATCGAATGGCAGAAGAGATGTTGTCTGGGGTAATGTACATTTTGAGGACATCTATATCCGTGTTTTGAGGGTAGCCAAAGTCGAGGATTTCTATAGAGATGTTAGCCAGCACTCCTAAATTCTAGGTGCAAAGTATACCATCAAGAAGCTCGTAGATGAGGACAAAATTATTCTTGACCGCTTCTTCGTCGAATTTGCCAAAGTATTGCTTTCCCAGCGCGATGAATTTGTAGACGAACTCGAACACAACGGCGGCGTTGGCATTGCTCTTTGTGACCGCCACGAGATAGATGTTTTCGTGTTTCACATGGCTGAAAGTGGTAGAGCCCAGGGTCAGGATGGGCGATCGAACTTGAGCATTGGAGATGACTTGAATGCGGAAGATGTCTGCCAATCGAGGGCGACAGTCAGGGCGGAACGCTCTGAATATGAGATTCTCGCCTTTTTGATTGAAGAGGAGTATCCCACTCAACATCTTGAACCTCTCCACGGCCTCAGAGGCCGGAACAGAGACGTTGAAGTCACTTGGCTGACATGAGAAATGAATGGTTTGGATCGTCGTTGGAGAGTGTGAGACAGAGCAAGGTGAACGTGAGGAACCGGCATTCCGGGGTATAATTTCTCCGATGCGAAGTGCGATGTCCAAGCACGAGATCCAGAGACAAAAGTCCAAGGTATTCAATTTATTCCGCATGTCAGCGTCAAGCTATTATTACAATTGTCTATTTTGATCCCCATGGTCTAATTGTTTCAAGCAATGCGCCTCACAACACTCATCAAATCATGACGGAGCGGTCCAGTCCGTACAAAACAACTCTTCCCTGCATATTCAGTACACATATGGAGGCGGAGCATACATTGACTGCTCCTCAACAAGTCCTAGAAGTGGATCAAAGCTGCGACGGCTGATGAGGGATTGCGGTTGAGCAGCACGAAGTGCCACCGGGAGACTGAAATTTGCCGTGTACGGCCCCTTCAGTGAATCGTTTCCGCTGGCTTCAAATCTCATCGAAAGGTCAAGGGTGTAACTGACTTTCAATAGATCTGTAGAGATTGAAGGGGTCGAGATCGATTCCGGCAGAAGAAGCTCCAGCTCCATTGACGTGGTATACTTGGACGTTTCGGTACTCAGCTTGTAGAGCGGCGGTAATGTCATGGCGAACTTCTGGGTCGATGCTCGATCACTGTGAACCGTGGACTCCACGGCTGAAGAGCCAGTTGTGAATGTTCTCTTAGCAAACCAGCGAGCCGTTCCCGAACATGTAATCATGTCATTCTCCAGTTGTGATTGTGCTTGTCGGCGGATGTGCGATGGTAAGGCGACATTGACTGAAACTGGAACCGTGAGCCGCCGGCACCCGGTGGAAGCGGTGGACAAGTCGTTGACGGCGCAACCGACCAACTTCGGCAGGTGCACAGATACTTCGGGTTGCGACTGGGATCCGAGCAACCTGTTCAACCGCAGCTGAGGCTTTGCAACCTGTTCCACGTGGTCTGAGGAGCCTTCGGAGGTCACCTCCACATCCAGAGGAGTGAGACCTGATGAGACGTCGACGGGGCAACTGATCCTCCGCACCAGCTGGTTCGTTTGCGACCGCAAGAACTCGGCCTCGAGCGTGTAGACGACCTGACAAGAACCATCCAATAATTCCCTATTCGTCAGAGCAGTCACTTTGGTGAGATATGTGGTGCCAGAGAGCGTCATTGATGGCACGAACTCGTCGGATGTACCTCGTCGGGAGGATGGAATCGGGCAGACGAAGTCGAGATATTGTTCTTCGGTTCGCTCTCTAGATGCAGAGTAGGCCGGTTTGAAGTCCAAGTTGGTTTTGACAATGGACGTGGCAGGCATCTTGACGGATCAAAGTCAGCTTTTGTCTCTCTCTCTCTCTCTCTCTTGGGGATGGATGGCACCGAACTAACCCTTTCAACCGCTGCCTGTGAGCCAATCCTGGTATGGATGGCACCTTGCAACCGGATGCGAACAGTATCAAAAGAGCCGTCTTGGTTGAAGACGCTGATCCGACCGTGCAGCCTCAGTCGGGATCGAGCGTGCATTTTATCATCCACGCTCATTCCTGACTCGGCCGCTGCAGATACGCCCAAGACTTGTATCGTTGGTGTCGACATTTTCACTTCCCGTAAAAATGGACAAATTCGGTAAGTTTTGGTTGGATCGTTATTTTATTCTACGTGTTGATGCGTTCAAGAAGAAGGCTGGCACTGTTGATGTATCTTGTATGTTGGGCTCGCAGGGGGGTTCACAGAAGCAGGTTTGTTTCAGATGGAAAGGGGTTGAAAGGCGTCTTGATGCCCAAGCCCCAGACTTACCGTGCTTGACGCCTCACTTTATATCAACTCGCCCGAACTGACGCCCAAGGCAACATGGCTCATCCCTAGTGAAGTCACTTCCATTCCCCATCCTCCTCTGCAACGTGAGAGCAATAATTGGAATTTCTCGGGGACAATGCCAAATCGACGGGCGGAAACGCTAAGAGCCAAAAGGCGTTGCTGAGCGGGCGGCTGATGTTTTTCGCGTGGAGCCACTCAATGGTGAGGCGGGTTGAGGTGAGGGCTTGTGTCCGGCCGGCGAGAAACGAGACTCGAAAATGACTCGCCAAAAGGAGTCAATTCGCCTGCAAAATGCTTCGTACGGCAAGCGATAGCGAGGAACCGACGTCGCTGTTTAGAGCAGCCAGTTGAAAGGGCGTCAGCTCGCTCTAAGCTGCCCAAAGAGGAAATTCGCTGCGACATCGCTCCCTACTTCCTTACCAAGCATTCAACCTCACTAATCATGCTCAAGAACAGCGGAAAGCAGCCAGCCTTGCGGAAGACATCACTGCTTGTCAGAATGCGATCATCATTGCCCTGAGCACGTTATGTTATTGTGCCTCTGAAAGCAGAACGCGGAAACTCTCGAAAGTGGGAAAGACATATATCTACCGCCATGGCGCTCACGACGAAATTGAGGAGATTGAAATCAACCAGACCTTGACTACCAACAAGAAGACCAAGTACAGACACAAGTCCATCAGGATTCTCACCGCAAAACAATGGCTGCTGCAGGCCCAATCTACACGACTTCCAATGGCCGCCCCATCACCTTCGCCTCTGCTTCTCAGACTGTAGGCGACCACGGTCCCATCCTCCTACAAGACTTTCATCTTATCGACGTGCTCGCCCACTTCGACCGAGAACGCATCCCTGAGCGAGTTGTACATGCGAAGGGCGCGGGGGCTTTTGGGGAGTTCGTCGTTACCCATGACATTACTGATATGGTATGCTTTTCCACCTCCAACCTCACAGCAATACAACACCTACTAACCGCTTCTTTAGACGTCCGCCGACCTGTTTAGCGAGATTGGAAAGAAGACTAAGGTCGCCGTTCGCTTCTCCACCGTCGGCGGTGAAAAGGGATCGGCTGATGCAGCCCGCGACCCTCGAGGCTTCTCCATCAAGTTCTATACAGAACAAGGTAATTGGGACATGGTTGGCAATCATACACCGGTCTTTTTTATTCGAGACGGAATAAAGTTTCCCCAGTTTATCCACACGCAAAAGCGGAATCCTCGCACAAATCTTAAGGATGCGACGATGTTTTGGGACTTTCTATCCAGCAATCAAGAATCGGTGCATCAGGTGATCCAGTTATTCAGCGACCGGGGCACGCCGGGGTCATATCGCCACTGCGATACCTTCTCGGGCCACACGTTCAAGTTTACCAAGGATGACGGGACGTTCAAGTATGTGAAGTTCCACGTCAAGACGGACCAGGGGCACTGGGATATGACGAACGAGGAGGCCACGGCCCTGACGGCAAGCAACCCAGATCACGCCACGGAAGATCTTTTCAATGCGATTGAACGCGGCGAGTATCCCTCCTGGACTCTGTACGTGCAGATCCTGGACCCGAAAAACGCAGAGAGGTTCCGCTGGAACATCCTCGACGTTACCAAGGTATGGCCTCACTCGGAAGTGCCACTGCGGCCCGTGGGCAAGATGACCCTCAATCGCAACCCGGAGAACTATTTCGCAGAGATTGAGCAAATCGCCTTCTCCCCCGCCCACCTGGTCCCCGGAATCGAGCCTTCCGCGGACCCGATGCTTCAAGCGCGCCTGTTCTCGTACGCCGACAGCCAGAGACACCGTCTGGGTGTCAACTACCAACAAATCCCCGTCAACCGCCCCCTTCACGCGTATGCGCCGTTCCAACGCGACGGCTTCATGGCCATCACGGGCAACTACGGGGCCGCCCCCAACTACCCGTCCCCGTTGAAGCCCAACACCTACCTGCCCGTGGACAAGCCCATCGACGCCGCTCACGAGACCTGGGTCGGACGGGCCGTGCATAACCTGCAGCCCGTGACGGACGAGGACTTTGTGCAGGCAAACATGCTCTGGGAAGTCCTGGGACGCACCAAGGACCAGCAGCAGCACCTGGTGCATAACATCTCGGTGCACTTGTTTGCCGCCATCAAAGATGTCAGGGAGAGGACATATGGCATGTTCGAGAGGGCGAATAAGGATCTGGGGAGAAGGGTGAGGGAAGAAACAGAGCGTGTCAGGGCGACCAAGGGGCTTAATGCGGCAGAGTAGGTGAGAGTCGATGTGCCAAACCGAATTTCGAGGAATTTTTGTGGGCGTGTGCAATAACGGATATATGTTATGGAGAAGGACAAATACTCTCGCAATCGACCACAGGATGTGGAAAACAGGGCTTCCCGTTCGCTCAGCCGTACTTAAGCCACATGCCGATCAGCTAGTACTACCGTGGGTGACCAGGTGGGAATCCTGATTGTTGATTGTTTTTTGCTTTCTTATTTGCCGGATCACGGGTGGAAATTGTACAATAGATAGGTCTTTAATCGGCATATAATATTTTACTCATTTTTACAAGGACTAGGTTGGGATACGTCGGCTCCTTAGCTTCGTGAACCCTCTACAAAAAAGAACTGTTACATAAGCTACACCAGGTGAGCCTCACGGACTTGGCTAAGACGGTGGTCTGAACGACAAAATCAAGAACACGGAGAAGTGCCTCAGATAGGCAACGTAATGCGGGCCTGCAAGGTCGGCGTGTACCAACTAGGCACCCGGTCAAGTACATAGCAGATATACCCAAGTAGGCATGTCAGTATCTCGGCATGTCGGTTCGTAGATGAACACACATTGGTACGTAGATCCCATGGATGACAATCCCCGATCCCTATTTGTCATTACACAGGCACCTAGACCTCCTACCTGTAGTCGGTTCAAATTCCCCAGCCCCCTTCCCACCAGCCTCGCCTCGCTTGGGAGGAGGAGGACGCTAATGGCTCTGGACAGCTAGGTACCCTTTCGCCGATGCCACGGGGGTTCCACGTAGCAGAAGCAGCCATATCTCGCGACTGGAACCAATGGGTCTGACTCTGCAAAGATGAAAATGCTTCCTCACCCCCCGCTACGGGCTGTAGCTGCGGAATGACGGCCAGATCCCTCCAGGACACGGAGGGACTCGATTCCACCTTGGTCAACTTGTCTTGACAGTCGATCTTGCTCCGCATCCGCACTTCCGGGAGTACGAGGCTCGTGTAACCCCACAATGGGCATCGGAGGTTGCCTGAGATGGAAACGTGCAGGGCTGTCTGGAGGATTTGAAACGCCGGCCGGGCGATGACCGGTGAGACTTAAAGTGCCATCGCTCGGGGAATGGAGATCCACGAGAGAGAGAGAAGGGGAATAGCCAACAAAGGATACAAACATCCACGACAAGCTGGCAGTAGTGGGCAAAGTAGGTAGGTATATTAGGAACATGGATCATTAAGATACCATCGCGCGCAGGAGGGCGCTAAGAGGAAGGAAGGAAGGAAGAGTGGAGTGTCGGAGGTACCGCCAAAGCAGTCCATATATGTATTAATACGAGGGCTCTGCTGGTACAGGAGCTGGTGCTGCTGTGCTGCGCTGACACATACGGGTTGCGGGATCAGACGAGGGACGTGGGCTGACCATTCCACGGAGCGATTTGCTGTCCAGCCATGAAGATGATGCGATTCTCGCGTGTGTTGGCGACGATGCTTCTGCTCGCCGGGCGAATCGCCCACGGCCAGGTCCAGGCACCAGCGCTGGCTGGGGCGGGAGCTCCCATCTCCCCTGCGGACCGAATATACTGCGGAGACCAGTCGTCCAACACCATCACCGTCATCTCGCCCTTCACCAACACCGTCCTGGGGACCATCGCGCTGGGCTCCTCGCGGCTCCAGGACGTGATCGGGCCGCAGTACGTGCGCTCCACCAACAGCCACGGCCTGGGGTTCTCGCGGGACGGAAAGTACATTGTTTCGCTGTCCGTCACGACCAACACGGTCACGGTCGTCAGGACGATCGACAACAGCATCGTCAGTCAGACGTGGACGGACCGTGCTCCGCACGAGGCCTTCTTCGCCCCGGACAATCGCACCGTCTGGGTCGGCACGCGTGGCACCAACCACGTCACCGTGGTAGACGGACTGGCAGGCAAAATCCTCGGCACCATCCACACGGCCGATGGACCGAGCAAGGTCGTCTTCAGCCCAGACGGAACCACGGCGTACGTCAACCACATCCGCGACCCGATCCTGTCGATCGTCGACGTCGCGTCGAGGACGACGGTGCAGAACATCACGGGGCTGGACGACGTCTTCTCCTCGGACATGCAGATCTCGGCGGACGGGGGCACCATCTGGACCATGCACAAGATGGCCGGGACGGCGACCGTGATCGACCTGGACGCCCGAAGCGTGGTCACGGCGGTCGACGTCGGGGTGGAGCCGAACCACGCCAACTTCGCCGTCCTCAACGGCACGACCCACGTCTTCACCACGGTGGGAGCCAGCAACGAGACCAAGGTGTACCGCCAGGACTCGCCCAGCTCCGTCCCGGTCTATCTGACGTCGATCAGGTCCTCGGGCATCGAGCCCCACGGCCTCTGGGGCAGCCCGGACAACCAGTGGATGTTCACCGTCAACGAGCACTCCGACACCGTGGACGTCATCTCCCTCGAGACCATGGCGGTCACCAAGACGCTGAACGTCGGGCAGGAGGGCCAGGCGCTGATCTACGTGGCGAACGCCGTGCCCGAGGGCGACGGGACCGCCAATCTGGGCACCCAGGGTCTGTCCTCCACGGCGGCGTTGAACAAGATTGTGGACGTCACCCAGTCGCCCGGGTCTGCATCCATGTCGACGATGATGATGACGCCCGCCTCCAACAAGACGCCCACCGCGCTCGTGACGATCCGGAGCCTCGGCGGGCTGGACATGGTGCAGGTGATCGGGAGGGACCTCAGGCTGAACGGCAGCTACACCATGTCAGCCACGTGCCAGCAGTGCAACGGCGGCCAGGTGCCGCTGCTGTCCTTCAACGCCACAATGAAGAGCCCCGACGGCTGTGGCAGTGCGCCCCAGGTGCTCAGCTTTTTCAAGTGGTATGGTGTCTGGGACCTCGAGAGCGTTCAGATCGCTGAGACATAAGTGGTGGTGACAAGTTGAGACCCAAAACCGACACCATGCATCATTTGGGGGGTAGTCTTTTTTCGTGAACCGCAACGGCTGGCGAAGTGCCGATGCCCCAGAATAATACCGATTACCCTGCGTACCAGCCCTTGTGCACTCCGTACAAGTCTAAGGTATCTATGTGAATCTACCTACTTGTAGTTATGTAAATAGCGAGGTTGCGCCAGGCTAGTCCAATTTAAGAAATTCTGGGCGAGAAAAGCGGGACATATTACCCGATACATACACAATAACGCAATACGCCAAACACAGTATCTCCTGGCAACAAGCTACCACTTAGACACAGGACACTAGTCCCAAGGGAGGTATGTAATGTTTTATTCTAGCCGTCTGCATATTAGTGTGATTGGAAGCACCCAGCGAGCGTGGCTGGCCCGGACGTTCTCGGCGCTGATTCGGCCCAATGACGCAACTTGCAGTAAGCAACACTCTTTGACGAACAGTCCGTCGCCCATGGGCCGGCTAATAGAATCTCACAAATGGTGGAAGAGGGGCCATGGCAGATGAGATCTCCGACGGCTGAATCCTCCGGTCTGTCGAGTCTAGAAGCCTGTACTATTCCAGATTCGCCTCAGATACATGCGTAAGATGTGAGGGAAATTCAGCATGACGGTTCGAGATCCAGCATGCTCTTGCGTCCCACCCCAGAAACGACGCTTCAGATGATGGAGAGAGTTCAATAATTAGTCCGCTAATGCTCCAAACTCCGGGCATTGGTCATCACCACCGTCACACAGCTCATTTTGTGTTGCAATACATTTTCCCGGGCCCTTCCGTTTTCTTGTGTCCTCAGAATGGCTCAGCCCAATGCGAAAGCGCACATCAAAAAGTACATCTCCCCACTACATCTTGCTCCATTATGCAATTTCCTTGACTCTGTTATCCTCCCAGCCCCATTGCTCTTTCAACTCTTTACTCCGGTGAGCCGTCGGACACCCTGTCTCCTTGGCAATGTTGTCCAGCAATTCCAAAACAACAGTTCGGTCTTCTTTCTCCTCAAAGCAAGATCCTGCCAGGTAGAGCGAGTGCACCATTTGCCTGCTTACCGCCGGCGGTGGCTTCCCCAACGCGATGCCGCATATCTGTCGGCTGTGATGCTCTGACTCTTCGGCTACCTGGCGGAACATTCGAAGCCTGTTTGCGGGATGCCTTGCGTCCTGTTCGTCAACAGGCTGGTTCAATAGCAGAAGGATTTGTGCAAAGTGATATAGTTGAAGAGCAGCGGCACACATGGGCACGCTGAAGAAGAGTCTGGCGAAGCGCGGTCGGCCATTGGGTAAGAGGTCCGAGGGTTGCTGTGCGCCGGCAGCCGCGATCGCATATGGCTGAAAGGTGAATGGCAGATTGTCGTACCAGTCTTCAAGTTGCCGACGCAGTTGTTTCCACCGAGCAACACGACTTTGCATAGCGCCTGGTGTACCCGGCTCTGACCCAGCTTTGGTGTTCGTTCCTGGACTGTCAAAACCTCGCGGAGTCCCCGCCAAACTCCCTGTAGCATCTTCTTGCGGTGCAATGAAATTCATGGTCCTCACGACTATCCAGATCAACGTGCAAGAAACCAAGTCTTCTCTATCGCCGGGTTGATATGAGACGACGGCGTTGATTGGAGTCGATGGATCGTTATAATTTAGTGTTCCGTCGTCCATCACGGGCAAGCCTGCTGCTTTCCACATGGTCAAGTTGTCTGGATCAAGTCGGGTTTTGGAGTGGTTTACGTAAGCGGCAAGATAATCTGCTCGAGCGAAGTTCCAGAAAGCGGCCCGGCCAGCCTTCATTGATATAAAAGGATTCGCGCGTGGGCGGGGGACAGAGAGCGCAGCTTGCGGGAGGATCTTGCTCTCGAGGAGCGCTTTGAAGCCATCAAGATGCCTGGGGCACCCGTTAGAAAGGAAGGCTGCGAAGCCAAAACACAAAGGGACTTACTGTGACCAGTCGTCGGCAAAGTTGTCGAGAGATTCATAGAGCGAGAAGACAGATATCGCAGCCACCAGAGCTTCCATGTCTGCTCCATCTGATGACTGTGTTCTGCTTATGCGTCGTCGCTTGTGGGGAGATACGCTGAGCGCAGCGCTATTGTTCGTTTCTGACAGAGTTCGCGGGTCGTTGTATCTCGAGGCATGTCCCGTGAACCCTTCATTGTTCGTATCGCTCAGCCAACGCTGTAAAAAGATTCGGAGGTATGAAATCCCCCGGTCGTAGTAGTTGGCGGCCTTGTAGAACCAGTCGGTATGCTGCAGGGCACCATCTTCTCCAATAAACGGCAGCAGATGTTGCAAATCCTCCAATGGCGAGTGGTTTGCCATCATCTGACCGATCTGATTGGCTGCAACTGCGGCCATTGCAGACCTTAGCATTACGTTCTGAACGGCTTTCAGAGGGACAATTCTACTAAAGTAGGTGTCGAGGTCGAACAGATCCATCCTGGTAGACCGTTAGGCGTCGGAAAAGACTTTATCAAACGCCAATGCAACTCACGATGGTGAAACTGATTGTACAAAGTGCCGCGTCAGACAAGCCAACTCGGTTGTCCTTTCGTGGAGGTATTTTTGACTGTATTCTGGACGGCTGTTACGATTTCCTTCCGAGCTAAGCCCATGTAATTGTTAGTTGACAGGTTTGACCCGGTTCGATCCGAGGTAAAGAAACGATCAATGCAGCCAAAGCGATCTAAGTGCAACGACGAGGAGTGTAACCTACCCATCATAGACCGACGATCGACCGCTAATCGAAGCGAAGTCACTCGTCAAGAAATCGTCGTCGGACTCAGGAACGTTGTTATCGGTTAAGATCACCGGCAGACCAGGAATGAAGCCACAGGCATTGTTCCCCTTCGCGTAGTAGGTTTCGATGTCAAGATCGAAATAGTCCTCGCTCACGGATGAATCCAAGTCTGAGGGCGCATATTGGGGCTTGCCATGTAGTAGTTTGGCGGTGGGGTGCTCCTGGTGGGCATACTGACCATGGTCAGGGAGTTGAGGAGGTGTCGCTGTATATTGAAAATGTGTCGGAGTAGCCGACAGATGAGGTGCGCTAATCGTAGGCTGAGGGGGGGAATTAGGGAATAGATTAAAGTCGGGACCTTGTTGGTTGAGAATGCCAAAGGCTGGAAACTGTACGTTGGGGATCGAGGCTCGATCGGAGACTCCGTGTATGCTTGGGAGATTGGCGCCGGAAGAGGGTGGTGGTGACTTTACTTGAGGAATGCTCGGAACGTTGTGTATCGGTGGAAGGTTGATTCGACGGTCAGGCACTGCCGCCGCAGGGGCTCTGGGGGAATTCGAGACTACCACCCTCGAGAAGTCCGGAGATTGAAAGTTGCCATCATACTTCCTCCGAACCTTGATGCCCTCGTCCAAGAACTTGCGTTCCAGATCGTATCCGGTACATGGTCTTCCCAGTTTCTCACACCGCAGGCAGGCAGGAAGTCTCTTGTCGCACTATTCGATTTGTGAGCAAGCCAACCGGCGAAAAGAGGCAAGATTGGGAAGTGGTGGAAAGGACGGGGTGATTCGACCAAGGAGCTGCCTACCTTGACCCGACGCTGTCTGCACGAATTACAGGCACGGTCGGCGTACTCGACACCCGGCGTGACGTTTGCCATGCAGATAAACGGGTGTTCTTGGAGCGCGCTTCGCTGTCAAATTGCCTGGGATTGATTTTTCTCGTCGGATGAGGTTGGAATTAGGTGGCGCGGGAAGGCATGGGCTGCGAGGATCCACCTCGGTGTCGATTCCAGAACACACCCTATGACATCCACAGACAGGTCGCGCGAGACCCCTCGAATTGAGGTTCGCAGATTCGATGAAATTGAGGATCAAGGCTCAGCCGTAGGAGTTTGGGATCGGAAGGGGGGGTTGTAGAAGAGAAAGAGCGGGCGAGATGGATGGGCCGGCGGGAGAAGGCCGGGGAATCTCAGAAAGGCAAGTCTCTGCGAGCATGGTGAAGCCCTGACTAATAGCGTCTGGGAGGTATGTGATTGGCTGCTGCGTCGCTATTGCTCGCTGTTCATTACCCCTCTAATCCTAGTCTCAGTCACCCTCGGCTAAGCGTTGAATCGCTCTTACGTCGCCCTCACGTGACTGTCCTACAGCGGCCTCGTCGGTTTCTCTTTCGCTCTAATAAGCATCGCCCGTCTTCCCGTCCCCGGCACCAGCGGTGATTGAATAACCAATATATCCAGGTTCTTGGGCAAAGAGGGGCACCAAAACAGATAAAGTGGCCTGACTCGCCCTCGAACTCGCCCTCACCTCCCTCTTCTGGTTTCTTCCTCCTTCTGTTCCTTCGTCCTGCGGCATCGCCCATGTATCCCCAATCAGGCTAATCTCGGGGCCCCTTCGTCCCCTCTAACGCGCAATGTCACCGACAACGTCCATCACGGTGCAAAGGGTCAGTGAACAGCTTCCGCCCGGTGTCTGCTCATCCACCATGCCTTTGAGCACCCCGTTGACGATACAGCAGCTGTTCATCTATCCTGTCAAGTCGCTTCCGCCAGTCCAAGTGTCATCGGTGGAGCTCACCAACGAAGGGCTGCGCTTTGACCGATGTTTCGTCTTGGTGAATCCTCCCAAGGACGGCTCACGGTTGGCAAAGTTCCTCACGATCAAGAAGCAATTCAAGCTCGCCCTCTTCAAGCCCACAATAGTAAGTGTCGCCGTCTGCTTGCCGATGCGCACGATGGACCCCGCGCTGATTGCCGACCCTCTGCTCGTTGCAGGATGACAGCTGGACGAAACTGACCATCCATCACACGCGGGCGACTCCTTCATCTTCAGTCACCGTGCCGCTCACTCCATCGCCACTGTCTCTGCTGGCGAATAAGACGTTTGAGGTCAGCATCTTTGGCACAACCGCAATAGGCATTGACCTAGGGGACGAGCCGGCGGCCTTCTTTTCCAAACACCTGAATCAGGATGTCCGTCTCCTCTCTATAGGAGGGACTGGCCGTCGTGACATTCCTGGAGCAGCATATGTCCCCAGCCAACGTAGTGCCCTGTCTCTAGCCCTCCAAGAAGGTCTTCAACCACAGCGCATCCGGTTTGCCGATGCTGCTCCATTGCTCATCACCTCAACGGCATCAGAGCAAGATGCCCGCTCGCGCCTCCCGCCCGAGTATCAATACGAGGATGTGATACTCCGCTTCCGACCTAATATTCATGTTGACGTCAAGGGTCAGCTCCCGGCCTATGACGAGGACAACTGGTCTTCGCTCTTGGTTCGATCGCAATCGGACGAGGCACAGGAGGTCACCATCAAGTGCATCTTCAGGACTGTCCGCTGCCTCAGTTTGAATGCAGACCCAGAGACCGGGGAGATGATCCACCGTGATCGGCAGCTCTATGGATTACTGGCCAGCGACAGGAGGGTCAACGACAAGTTTCCTCGTAAGTACATGTGTATTTTGTTTCTATTCACCTTCTGTTTGCGGTGGAGTGGCGATTCTGACCCTCGACACAGATAAGCCTGTGTTTGGTCAATATGCCTTTGCAGGTCCTTCTGGTGCCATCTTGCGCACTGGAGATACCGTCTATGTGACTGAAAGGATCCAGCGAAGCTAGCAGTTGTCCCACGGTTTGCTGCTGGGTATATCCAAAGTCGTGGCCAATCTGCTAGGCAGGAGCCAGTTGAGTCTGAAATCAAAGTCATGAATGTCGTTATACGGCGCCTGGCACAGAATCGGCTGCAAGCGAGACAGGAATGTATCGCTCTCATGTTCCTTTGCCATCAGCGCACGCCCGCCAGATCGACGGATTTTCCCGGCCATAACACTCCGTACAGTCACCCAGTCACGCGGGTTCCAAGACAACGAAGACGATCCCTGCGGATTGGGATGGTAAAATTTGGGTGTTATCTTCCGACCCCAGCCTATCTCAGCCAAATGGTGTCTCAGGTCTCCAACTGCCTTGCCCTGTCCGCCACCTCTGCTCCTTCTCCTGATCAAATCTCCAACAGCCGTTTGTTCCTCGTAACCGATCAGCCTCGTCATCGTCGAGTTGGTTGAAGAGGCTCTCTACAACTTCTTCCTCAACAGACACACCATCACAACGGGTGAAGAACATGGTTTCCCATTTCTTGCCGTCCTTCTGCTCGAGCTTCCTCAGCTGGCGCTGGGCATTCTCCAGTCTTGACTTTTCCGTCACGACAGCATTGTGATCCGTCCGTCGAATGGCGTCGAAAGTTGGACACCATGCCCGCCTCGATTCCCACGGTGATTGCTCCTCCAATGGCTTCTCTACCATGGGCGCAGGTTGATTTTGCGGGTCTGCAAGGTCGAAAACATCGATCTCCTGCCCTTCCGAGTTAAAGATCGAGAATTTGGAGCTCCAACTGCCCGACGCGGTAAAGATGGGCTTTTTCTGAGAGTCGACCGTGCGGTATATTGAAGCCTCGAAACAATTGCGCTGTCCCCCCCACATCCTCTTTCCGACGAACCGCATCTCGGCCGTGTACCCACTGGAACTGATGATGCTATAGGTGTCATTGAGTTCGGGCCAGGGGACGCCAGTGAGCACACTTCGAGCACAGACATCCGGCAAAGGCAGAAGATAAGTCTCATTGTACTTATCGACTTTTAAAACACCATGGCCGGATTGCCGAATCATGACTGAAGTGCCGGACAGTGTTGTGTGCTGGGTTGAATATGCCTCGGCGTGGACACCATGATCGTCGGCAGAAATATACGCCGCTGTCGTGGGCGGGTGATGCGAAACTTGTTCGCTGATGACCCTGACCGTCGATGCCGAGGCTTTCTCCTGGGTCAAGTCGTGGTCGCTGAACTCGCAAAAGAACAACTCGCCAAGGAAAGGATTGAGGGGCTTCTTTAGTCCTTCCTTGACGGTGCGGCCGACATAATACTGCCTTTGGAGGGAGGCAAGGTACAGTTTCAAAACCAAGAGCATGCGTCTCTCGGCCGAAGTTTCATGGGCTGGGGCGGTAAATAATGTCGGTCGCTCTGCCCAGTAGGCAGGAAACTCTGTGAGGGAAGATGGCGCTAAGATGAAAGGTGGTGCGGTAATGTGTGAGATGTCACCGCTGACCGTGGCAAGGAACTGTGTTGGGAGGCACCATGTGAGTGAGGCGGCTCTGGAAGAACAGAGATGGCAGGTCGCCACTTACAGATATAAAGTCCTTGAGGGCACTGAGGTTGCCTAGCCTGGCGACCATGATTGTTAGAGTGGTCCGCGGGCGTATCTTGCTTGTAAAGGATGTATGGGTGCTTAGAACGAGGATACAGGGAGGGATGATGGGCGTCGATAGAAAAATGATAGTGGGAAGAGCAGGGACGAGGGTAAACTGTATGGGGTATCACAAATTGAGAAGCAATGGAAGTACACAGCAATGGTGGAGGAAGTGTTTACTTCACGAAGAGGTGGGCATGGAGCTTACTTTGTACCATCCGTATCGTCTCCATCGGCCTCAAGACTGGCATCACTGCCTGAATCGGGCCCATCGCCTATGCGTTTCACGGATCTCTTGATCTTGTCCATAGTTTCCCACACTTGCCCGGCCCTCCTGATGTTCAACTAGCCCGTATCAGGGGGAGCAGAAACGCTCCAGCCTCGATGGCCGTTACGCGGCCCTGGGCCCTGGGTCCTGGGGGTGGGAAGCGAGCGGTTCCAAAGCGGGCGTAGTTTACGCGCGATACGTGCGGCAAAAGGGAGGACGATAGGGAACTGGCGTTGGGAACTTGTCAGAGCAAGGTGGAGATGGGGGAAGAGGGAAAGGGGGAAAGGGGGGAGTGGAATGTGTTGAATGCATTGCCTCTGTTTCAAAAATAGGATGTTTGGATGGCACACGATGGGTTGGACCAATGATGTCAGAGACGTGGGCTTCACTTCTCTGACACCCGCAGAAGGTGATGAAACGACTTCTGTTGCGCCACCCCTCGAGCCCTTTCCCCGTCCAGTCGAGCCTCCGGTCCACCTTGGTGACCTTGTTCATTGGGTGTGAGACGCTGAGAGCACCCGGGGGATGATGGAGATGATGATAAGGTAAGCCCACGACTCCCTCCTCCTGAACATGTGAAAGAGACGCCAACGACAAACAGCAGCAACAACAAGCAGCAGCAGCCTCTTCGGCGAACGCGCCAGCCAGACACGGGCGAATAGAAACCTGCAGGGACGTCACACATGCAGCCGGTCTGTCCCTTTGGCGAGCGCAGATCCTCCCAACGGCCTTCAGCTACGCGCGAAATCATGGGAACACGAAACCCGGGCTGGCTGACAACCACCAACGGCACCAACGCGGGGAGTTGGTCATTACGCAACGCGCCAAACAAAGCCTCCCAAGAGATATATTCGCGCGGAAGCATGGAAATCCGAGAAGAACAGGACACTCCCAAAGCGTTAAAGCTCACGAGGGCTGAACGAGGGAGGCTGTGCCCGCGTGGCGACGACACAAAATACACCGACAAATTCCCGTCCTCTGCCGTCCCCCCACAGACAGCAAGATTATTTTTAGGCCCAGACAACGAAAAAGACAATTGGTGACCTACCCGTCGACATTGGTCATCGGTTCTGCAAAAAGAAAGCCATCCAGATGCTCCCCCAGCCGGGGCAAGGCCGTGGACGAAGTCCTGAGAACCTAAAGAGGTGTCGATGCTTCCTTTGAACTGGATGTTGGGGCACGAAGGATTCTGGTCATTTCTTTGCCTGTGGTGGTCAGCTCTGCGACTCGATTCAACCTCCTCCTCCTCCTGGGCCGCGTGCTCTCTTTGCCTTGATTTTCATAAGTTTTACGTGACGCCTTCCTTCCACGTATGGAGGCTAGCTAAGCTATGATGCCGCTGCTGACTTCGATTTGGACAGCAATGAATGGTTCAAACTGGACAGGTAGGTGTCGGTGATGCGCCCGTGGTCTAAACTACTCAAGTGGGTTTCGAAACGCATATTTGGCTCGCCGATCCCAACACAACTTGCTCGAATGTAGCTATGCTACTCTTTCCCCGAGGGGAAGGAAGCTCCCCAAAGGCTCCTCGATGGGTCACAGAGCCAGTCGCCCTCCATCCACCGGCAGATTGACTCCGGTGACAAATGCCGCCTCATCACTCGCAAGGTAAACCGCAGCCATGGCGATGTCGTTTGGTTCCGACATACGCCGCAACGGAACGGTTTGAGCAAACCTCTCTCTCTCTTCAGGAGTATCTGGGACACCGCTAAATAGTTCTAGCAGGCCTGTGGCGCCTCTGAGCGGACAGATTGAGTTCACGCGCACTCCATCTGGCCCATACTCGGCAGCAAGCCCTTGGGTGATCTAATCCATCCATCATTAGCAAAAGCCAACAAAAGCACGAGGCGTCTCAAAGTACCGTGTTGACAAATCCCTTGGTGCCGCCGTAAAAGACCTGCCCTGGTCGAGTTCGCATGCCGGAAATGGACGAAGTGCTCAGGAAGACGCCACTTTTTCTCTCGACGAAGTACGGCATCAAGACCGAAACACTCAGATATATGCTCTTAATGTTGACGGCCACAACTCTGTCGAAATCCTCCTCCGAGACGCCCATGCTCGGCTGTTTCTTGTAGGTGGTGCCAGCATTGTTGACCACAATGTCCAGCTTTCCAAACTTGTCCTTGGCCAATCCAAGGCCCTTCTCCCAATCGCTGCGCTTGGTGACGTTTAATTCCACGAAGATGGCTTCCCCGGTGTAACTTTTGGCTGCAATCTCAGAGGCCACCTTCTGTCCATTGGCGACAGCAATGTCCGCTATCAGCACTTTTGCCCCTTCTGCTGCATATGCGTGTGCAATAGCCTCGCCGAACCCGCTGCCGGCTCCGGTCACGAGAGCCACTTTGCCGTCTAGACGTCCCATATCGACTTTTCTCTGATGGGGTGGTTTGTGGAAGTTGGGTTCCCTTACCTGGGGGTTGTGGCTTTTCGCGCTGACAAGGCTGAGAGAGAGGGAGAGAATGAGGGGAGAAAGAAACAACAGTGACTTGTGCGGAGATGCGCCGATGGCTGCCGAGGGCTCCCCCCCGCCAGTTGCATGCCCGCCGTTGGTGCCGTCGACCTGTGAGATGCCCGTCCAAGTGCGTTACAGGCACTGGCGGCATCTTTCTCCAACTCTGAGCCCTTGCAGATTGGGGGAATGCTTATGGGCCATACGCCTAGGGGCACCAACCATCCCCATGTCACGCCGATAGCGGACTTGGAGGTCGCCTCCCATGGATCTCCTGACAACTGCTTGGATGATCATCGAATTGCCGATCCAGATCCAAAAGCCGAACGACGCTGTTGCAATTTGGAGCATAGATGTCATCGTGATCTGAAAAGGACAGACTAGTCGAAGAGCCATCAAGTCGTCTGGCCGCTCGTTCCTGGCCGATATCAGTGTGAGTCAGCATCTTACCTGCGCAAAAGAAATAGAACCATAATGGTTCTTCCAAGCCGCTGTGACGTTCTCGTCGCCGGGAGCGGCAATGCTGGCTTCTCAGCTGCCGTGGCGGCCAAGCAGGCTGGGGCAAAGCATGTTCTTCTCATCGACAAGTGCCCTGAAGAATGGGCGGGAGGAAACTCGTATTTCACGGCCGGTGCGTATCGGACAGTCCATGCCGGCACTTCGGATCTGCTGCCCTTGGTCAACAACGTGGACGAGGAGACGGCGAAGAAGATCGACCTGGAGCCGTACACGGTCGACGGCTTTGCAAACGACATGAAAAGGATATGCAGTGGCCGGTCTGATCCACAACTAGCGAAGATCCTCATCGGGGATTCCAATGCAACGATCAAATGGCTGAAGAGCAACGGCATTCGGTTCCAGCTGTCGTTCAACAGGCAAGCGTACGAAGTCGACGGCCGCCTGAAGTTCTGGGGCGGGCTGTCGTTGAAGACGCAGGATGGAGGAAAGGGCCTGATCGAAGACCACCAGGCCGCGGCTCGAAAGCACGGCGTCCAAGTGCTCTACTCTACAGCGTTGAAGCGCCTGATAACGGACCCCAAGACTGGCGCCGTCACCTCAGTAGCCGTGCAGGCCAACGGCCAGGATGCCGTTATCCAGACAGGCGCTGTTATTCTGGCAGCCGGAGGGTTTGAAAGCAATCCTCGCCTGCGATCACAATATCTGGGTCCCGGTTGGGACCTGGCGAAGGTGAGAGGAACCCCTCATAACACCGGCGACTGCCTCGAGACGGCAATTCGCGACGTCTCGGCGAGTCAGGCTGGGAACTGGTCAGGATGTCATTCCGTGGCCTGGGACGCCAACGCCCCGAGTGACACGGGAGACCGGGAAGCGTCCAACGAGTTCACAAAGTCTGGGTACCCGCTGGGCCTGATGTTCAATGTCCTCGGCGAGCGGTTCGTCGACGAAGGCGTCGACCTGCGCAACTACACGTACGCCAAGTTCGGACGGGCGATTCTCGCGCAGCCAGGCCACGTCGCCTTCCAGATCTGGGACTCGCGCACCATTCCGTGGCTGCGATCCGAGGAATACCGACCGGAAAGAGTCGAGAGGATCACGGCGGACTCGATCGAGGAGCTGGCCGCCAAGCTGGCGCCGCTGGGCCTGGAGAACCGCGACGCCTTTGTGCGGAACATGACGGAATACAACGAGGCCGTCTACGCTTTCCAGAAGGAGAACCTGGGCAAGAAGTGGGATCCCGCCGTGCGGGACGGCGTGTCGACGCAGTCCAGCACGAAGCGGCTGGCCCTGGGCAAGACCAACTGGGCTCTCCCGGTCGACCAGGCGCCCTTCCTGGCCGTTGCCGTGACGTGTGGCATCACCTTCACGTTCGGCGGCTTGAAAGTCGTTCCCGAGACCGCTCAGGTGGTCAGCTCGATCACGGGTAAGGGAGTCCCCGGGCTGTACGCCGTCGGGGAGATGCTGGGGGGACTGTTCTACGAGAACTACCCGGGCGGCAGTGGGTTGACGTCCGGTGCGGTCTTTGGGCGCCGAGCAGGCACCGCGGCTGCAAAGGCGGTAGGCAGTAGCTGAGGAACACATAGCAAAGTGCCGAGGGAACGGACACGCCTTCACGGTACAGGCCTTTGGGAGGTACGAGCTGTAAATAATGATGCCACAGGCCAATATGCGGCGAACAAGTGCTCGATTTTGGGCCTTGCAAGATGAGAGTGTCAAAGAGAGGAGAGAGCGACCATCAGAATAAGAGAGAGGATAGAGATGGAGAAGGGGAAAGGGTATAAGTGAGTGACAATGTGTGACACTGCTCAGACAAGAACCCCCAAGGCCATCCACATGGGTTGGGTAGCTGGTACCTAGGAGGAATCTCGCACCTGTGTATATACTTCTACTACCGTACGGAATCCGCTCAGATCAGAGGCCGACGGTAATGCTCTTGATCTCGGTGTACTCGTCCAACGCATCCCGGCCGCCCTCCCTGCCGACACCGCTCTCCTTGACGCCGCCGAAGGGCTGCTCGCAGGCGCTGATCAGCCCGACGCGCACGCCGACCATGCCGGACTCGAGCGCCTCGCCGACCCGCCACAGGCGCGAGATGTCCTCGGTGTAGAAGTAGGAGGCCAGCCCCGCGCTCGTGTCGTTGGCCAGCGCCACGGCCTCGTCCTCGCCGTCAAAGGGGACCAGAAACGCCAGAGGCCCAAAGGTCTCTTGCTTCATGAAGAGCATCTCGCGCGTCGCGTCCGTGACGATGGTGGGCGGGTAGAAGTTGGGTCCGTATTTGCCTTTTCCTTCTTCTCCTCCGGTGGTGGTGGTGGTGGTGGTGGTGCTGCCGCCGCTCGCAAAAATCTTGCCCCCCTTGGCCAGGGCGTCCTTGATCTGCGCTTCGATCTTCTCAAACGCCTTGGGCGAGTACAGCGGGCCAAAGTTGACCTGCTTATCCCACACGGAGCCGTAGCGGAAGGTCTTTTCCAGCTTCTCTGCCAGCACCGCGGCGAATTTGTCGATGATGGACCGCTGCACGAAGATCCGGTTCGCGCACACGCAGGTCTGGCCCGAGGAGCGGAACTTGGACGAGATGAGGCCTGTTATGGGGTTTGTTTGAGTTAGGAGACTTGGATACTTTCCCGCGTTCTTTGTTGCAGTTGAGACCGAGAAAAAGGGAAACTTATTGTAGACGTACCTTCGGCGGCCTTGTCGAGCTTCGCATCCTCAAAGATGATAAAGGGCGCATTCCCGCCCAGCTCAAGGCTGGTCTTCTTGAACGTCTTTGCACACTCGGCGTGCAGGTAGCGCCCGACCGCGGTCGAGCCGGTGAAGCTCAGGTGGCGTACGATGGGGTTCTGGGTAAACTCCTCGCCGACCTGGGCCGACCTTGCCGAGCTGGAGGTGACGATGTTGAAGACGCCGGGGGGCCCGCCGGCCCTCTCGAACAGCTTGGCCACGGCGATGGCGCACAGCGGCGTCTCGGGCGCGGGCTTACAGACGACTGTGTTCCCGGCCGCGATGGCCGCGCCGACCTTGCGCGTCACCATGGCGATGGGCGAGTTCCAGGGCGTGATGGCCGCGACGACGCCCTGGGGCTGGCGGATGGTGAAGATGCGGTTCTCGCCCTTGGCCGCCGGGATCGTCTCGCCGTACTGCCGCTCGATGGCGCCCTCGAACCAGTCGATGAAGTCGGTCCCGTACTTGACCGTGACGTGCGACTCGGTGTACGGCTTGCCCAGCTCCAGCGTGCAGATGGCCGCCAGGTCGTCGCGCGCCTGCTTGATCAGGTCCGCCCACCGCCGCATCAGCCACCGCCGCTCGCGCGCCGTCGTCTTCTTGTACGTCTTGAACGCCGTCTGCGCGGCCTCGAGCGCCTGCCGGGTCTCTTCGCGGCCCAGGTCGGCGACCTCGCATATCTTCTCGTTGTCGGTCGGGTCTGTAAGGAGGCGGTTTTTCACAAGAATGAGCCGACAAGAGTCTCTCAAGGATAACGACAACAACTATCACCACCTCTTCCCTTCATCCTGGTGGTCCAGCGCGTTGTCGGTCGGGGTATCCTTACCAAGCACGGGGAATTTGGCCCCATTGACAGCGTCGACCCATTTGCCCCCTATAAAGGACCGCGTGTCCAAGAGCGTCGGATCCTGGAACTATTTCCCCCCCCCAAGAGGCAAACTCAGCTCAGTATAAGATCTCTCGCGGTAACAAGATAGGGGAGAGGCCAAGCCTACCGTGTAGGGAATCTTCTTGCAAAGTATTTCAGCCATGACTGCGAAACAGTCCTCTCAATCAGGGATATGCTGTGTACTGTGTGTTCTGCAAGACAAGGAGTCTAGTGGTCGAAACCGCCTGGGCGAGCATCGAGCCACGACATGCACGATATTGATATGTGCCTGCGCGGGGAAGCGTCAACGGATCATCCATCAACTTTACCACACGCCCGGGTAATGGCCGAGAGGAGAATGCCATGTTGTGTGGAAGGGAAGCAAGATTGAACCTCCGCATTGTTTGGTGGAATTGTTCGACTATGTGCCTACATACTCCAACTGCTGCGGAGAGGCCCAAGTGCCGTCCGACTTCGGCATGATACAATGACCTGCTAAGTACAATTTCTTTGTCTATCCTCTGGTCGATTGGTCCATCTCATTTGTAACATGATGCCCATTCAGCCTTGTCCAATACATCTGTTCCTAGTTGTTGCACGTTGGGGAACAAACTCTGACAAACAACAGAAAACTGGAATCGAGCCCTTCCACTCTGCTGCGGTATCTTGGATCATCCATCTCCCGCCGATCTTGATGAGCTCTGCTAAGGCATTTTGAACGGTCACATCCTTCTGACACGCGGCAAGTGCGCTCTTTGAACATGTGGTGCCAGCTGATCATAAGCAAACACCACAATCTCCGTCGGTCCTTGAGTTGAGACCATGGGCATCATTCATCGGTGAGGTCAATGACGACTTTGCGCTTTGCAGGAGGTTGTGGCAGAACGAGCAGTTCATCGTCGTCCTCAAGCTTTGCCTGCTCTTGCGTTCGCTTTGCTGGATTGCCACTTGTGCCGCTATCCTTGTTGTCGTTTTGACCAGCCTCTGCTTTAGCCAGTCTCGCCTGCCACGGTTAGCAAATGCAGTTGCTTGCATGGTGTCAACGAACGTACCTCTAACTCTAAGATTCTTGCTCGGGCGCTCTCTTTTGTTGCTCTGAGCACCTCTTCTGTGCGTTCAAGCATGACGACAGGGTCTGGAGGAGGCGAAGGGGTTCGTGGGATGCATCCGAGACTCTGGAGGATTTCTGAGAAGGAAGTCAGTGTGCAGTTCTGCGGGAGTTTCCTGGTTACTCACGTCTGTTTCGGTAGAGAAAGACGAACTCGTACAATCCACCATGCTCACCCTCGAGTGGAACGTACTTGGAGAAACCTAGCGGCGGCGGTGGGACTTGTGCCTTCACAACGTATCTAATCGGTGGTCAGCGACTTGTTGGTTCGATTTGAAACCAGAGATGAGGTACTTGACGTTGTTCTTGATATCTCTCCCCTTCAAGGCTGTTTCTGGGATCTCGTCCAGAGGCTTCGTCAAACCCGCTCTGTATATATAGGGATCCTCTCGCTTGAACCTGTTGGCGCGAAAGACAGTCACACGGAGAGAACCCAACGAGTCGATGTCGCTTGGGAAGGAACCTTTGAGGAGAGAGGGGTCTTCTTCTTGTTTTCACGTCAGTGTCATCGTTGAACTGGGTTGGAGAGAGGGCTTGACTCACTAATGTTCAGATCTCCGAACTCCAGGGCATAGGTAAACCAGTTTCCAGTCGCCTCATCTCGCATCAAGCGGCTCTCAATTTTACACTGTCTCGGTGTCCGCAGGATGTCTTGACCAGCTGGGCAGTTTGGGTAGCCTCTGATCGTCTTAGTCGTTTGCCGTGGCTCCTGGTCGATGCGAAGAATGGCGCGAACGTGCGAGGCAGACTGGAAGTTGAACCCAGGAAGCAACTTGACAATCACCTCGAATTTCTGACCCGCTTTCACTTCGATATAGCGCGTGATTCTGCGGCCGAACTCGCGCCCACCATCTGGATCAGGATATTCTGCCAGTGGCGCGCCGTCGACGTGGATCCCGACATCGATGAAGTGAAAGAAAGGCATGTTGAAGTCACTGCTGGATATCAGGCGCGAAGGAAGCGGACGGAAAGGTGAGGAGGAGGTGAGAAGACTGCGGGTGAAGCAGGTTGAAGACTTTGACAGTCCCTCGCTCGCCAAGTCGCAGTTGGAAGTGAAAATGCCATTTTAGAGACATGGCCGGTCGGAAAACCTGTCAGTCTTGTCGCTTGGATCCTGCTAGAGCCATTGTGAGCTTTGCTTTCATGCTCAGTGTTGTCAGAGTGCGCGGTTCCAAGAGGCCATCATCTGCGTTCCTTGTCTGACTGAGAGAAGATGGTACATCGTGACCATCACGACCAGTCCAGTCGCAACGGTGCCTATCTCAATCTACTCTTGCTTCGATCTTCCTCTTGCCCACCTCATGAACAAAGCCGTATTGTTGTGATGGCTCCCGGGATTCCATCTTCAGACACCAAGCCCTCGGCATGAAATGCTGCGCCTGTTGTTCTTCATATCTGCCAGCTTCCCGCACCTCAAAGGGAACAAAAGCATCTTGAGCGCAGCCAAAGCACGTCCACGACCTCGCCTAGAGCCCTATGCAACACCTCCGAAAGCGTCTGTGTTCTTGACACCTCAAATAGTCTGTCGTGACCACGATGATGGCTCATGATATGCTTCTCCAATTCCTGGACCGTCTCTGATTGGGACGTCCAGAGAACCTCGGTAACCCCTTTGATCCACCAGTAAAGGGCACTGTATGACTTGAGACATAGACTCTTGACCTCAACCATTCCGTGTCATGATTGTTTGATAGGTAGGCTGACCAAGCTGAGCCAGTTCGGCATAGATATCGCCATATCCCCTCTCCCAGCACACCAGCACACCTCACTCCCAGCCCACCACCCTTTCGAACCACCCCAACATCCGAGGACCAACTCAAAATGGCAAACGTCTTCGACAAGCACAAGGACAAATTGGCAGGGGTGTGGTCGCTGATATCAGCCGAAATGTACGACTCGGAGGGCCCTGAGCGAAACTTCCTCGACAAGCCCTACGGCGACGACCCGCAGGGCAAAGTGGTCGTCTCAGCCTCGGGCTTCCTGCTGGCGACGCTGGTCGCGCCGCCGGGCCTGGAGCCGATCGCGTCCGCCGACCCCACGGACGCAGAGCTGCTGCGCATCGGCCGCCACCTGATCACGTACGGCGGCTTCATGACGCTGTCGGAACAGGACGACGGGTCGCTGCTGTGGCACACCAAGGTCGAGGTGGCGTGCAACCCGAACTGGATCGGCAAGTTGCAGACGAGGGTGGCTCGCTTGAGCGAGAAGGACGGCGAAAAGTACATGACCCTCAACCCGGTCAAGTGGTACACGCTAAAGGTATGTTCGGTCAACGAACGGCACAAGGGTCCCACCTGCTGATAGCGAGCTTGTTCAGGATGGAAGACAGGCACGAGGAGAATTCAAGTGGCGCAAGATCGGTTCTTGAATGGCCGCTGGTTGTTATAGATCGGGCGTTGGCTACCTGTGTAAGCTCGACGGATCTTCGCGTGGCAGGCGGAAGAAGCGAGCAGACTCTAGAATCCAGACGTTCAAGACCTTTAGGATCTCCTTTTTCTAGCCTCTTCCGCCTCCCTTTCGCCCTCCTCCCCCATCCTTGATCTGTCCCACAGCTTCCCGTCTCGCCAGAACCCTTCCACGATCGGTGCCCTGCCCGGCTTGCCGTTCCGTGGCAACTCGTTGAGCCAGTCCCAGCGACACTTCTCCTTCCACCCCTTGCTCTTCCAGCTGTTCAGATCCGATCCCGGATCCTCGTTGAACGTGGGCAAGTACTTCAGCAACGCCCCGTCGTGGGCAAGGCAGACCATCACGGAGGGGCACTGTTCGAAGTGGATCAACTTATCCACCGACGCTTGGGCCGTAGGCGGGTCGACGTAGGCGGAGTTGCCCAGCGTGGATACTTTGTAAAACGGCGTCGTCTCTGGATCGCCAGCCGGTAACCCCGGAGAGACGGCTGGATGGTGATCTGTAAACAGACTGCACGGACATGGGGCGGGGAAAAAGCTAGAGTCGCGATCGAGCACGTCGGCCGGGACTGGGTCGGGGATGGGATACGTCGGGTTGGGTCTGAGGTCCCCGACAAAGTGGCAGATGTCGCCCCCGAGCAGCAAGAACGTGCTGTCATCGCCGCCCGTCGTCCGTGCTAGTCCGCACATGTGGCCCAAGCAGTGGCCCGGTGTGTCTGCCGCGGGGTCGGTGTGTTAGCTACAGAGGACACGCATGCCTGCCCATTGTTAGACACAGGTGATGGAGAATACGTACCGAGTAAATAAAACGAGCCGTCGCCGAAGAAATCATACGCCCCGTACCCGCCGATCCGCAGGCCAGAATTCCCAAAGTCAATCTCCCTCAGCTCGCGGCCTGCAAAATCGGACGTGCGGACGGGCGAGTCCAGCTTCTCGGGGAAGCCAGGGAGTAACAGCGGCGAAGACTTGAAGCCAGGGCCGACCACCACCTCGGTGGAGGGCGGGAAGAGGGACATGTCGCCGATATGGTCCCAATGGTAGTGTGACCAGACGACCGAAGCTGAAATATGCCCACAAGGTTCATGTCAGAAAAAGGGCCGTAGGTAATCGAGTAGGAAAGGCCATATATCACAGGTTACTGTTCGCTTCTCAATCCCTCCTCAACAGGGCCTTGAACCTTGTAACAGGCACCCCCGCCTCGCAGATATGCCACACTTACAGATGGAATCCAGCGGGACGCCCTTTTCGGCCAGAATCTCGGTGACGTCCCGGTCGACGCGCAGGCTGGGGATGACGGTGCCGATCCGCTTCTGCAGCACGGCGGCGTAGTTCCAAAAGTCCTTGCGCACGCCGAGGTCGAACATGACCCGGCGGCCAGAGGGACCGTGCTCGATCAGGAACGCCACGCAGGTCAGGTTGAGCAGCTCGTGGCCCGGCTGGACGGGCTTGACGAACGACTCGGCCCGCACGGTCATGAGCGCCGTGGTGTCGACCAGGCGGACGCGGACGGCCGTCTGAGAGGGAGGGAAGTCGATTGCGGACGCCGCCATCTTGGACAATTGTGGAAGGGGGGATAGCAAAGAAGACGGAGAAGTCTATCGGCAGCAGTGGACGCGGAAACTAGGAAAGATTGCGTGCAGGCCAGCAAATTCGGGCAACCTCCTGGTAGAAAGGAGAGGTATCGGCATGTGGTGGTCCTTTATATCGCTCTCGTAAACAATTGGGCGGCGGCTTGCCGGATGGGGAGTAAAGAGTGTTCGATGGCCATGTTTGTGGAGATCGAAGCACGATGCACGACTGGGTGTATGGCATTCTCCCCCACCCCGCATTCTTACATTAGGTCAGCCGGAAGGGGATCAACTCCCCCTCATCAACGGATATGGTTCTGATGTGAGAGGATGAGGGCAGGAGAATAGAGATGAAGCCTTGCTCGGGACGGGGGAGGTTGCTGAGACGAAAGGAGATGACAAGGAAAAGGAGTAGGCGGAGAAAAGGGGGTCACAGCCTTACGCACCAGGCTGGGCCGGTCTCGACGAGCATCATGGATACGCTATAAAGACGCTTTGAGCCTCGATGTCGAGTCGAACGGTTTGGCTGTTCATGAAAGTTGTATAGGCACTGTTGGGGAAGGCTTCTTTTGACTGTCTGGGCACTTCACGGCAGACGAGGGCTCGACAGACAATAGTGAGCGCGGGAACAGGACAAATTTGAGATCGTCTTCCAATTGACCATTACACGCTGACGGGATGGGAGTATTCCGTCAAAAATACAAGAGATATCACATATAGGAGCTCCAGATCCTGGGCAACCCCGCCTTAAGACACACCGTCGCTTTAAGCAGGATATGCCATGTCTTGTGGCTTCGTGTATCCGGTACCATTGACCTTCTCGGCCAACTCTTTCTCCCGGATCTCGGCCTCCTTATCTTGCTGGATGAGCGAGCAGCAAGCGCAGCAGCACGACGTAAGCAGGTCGCCAATGCAGTCACCCTGGAGGTTGTATTTCTTGCGGATATCGGCGCGCTGGAACATCATGGGGATAAAGTGGAGGCCGAAGCAGGAGAATCCGGTGAACATGAGGCACTGTAGACGTTAGGATCGTTGGACTCCAACACTCCAGATGCTCGCTCGCCCATCAGGTGCGGAAGTGCGGTGGCAGCCGACGCTGAAAACACAACGGAAGACCGAATTCACTCACAGAAGCATTGACGCAGTTGTATCCCTCCATGTTTCCATGCTTGCGGCTGCGATGATGGGTTTTGCCGAAGGTGACGCACGGTACGCAGCAAGTGATGAAGCCTGGAGAAAATGTCAGAAGCTCTGCACTCTGGTGTGGTGGATCATATCGTCAAGAGAAGGTCTGTCTCATCCAACGTACAAGTATCAATGGGGGCAAAGCAGCCGAAGAAGGATGAGTGCCATGGGCGGGCGTCTTGTGCTGCTGGTGCAGTGACAGTTGTCGAATCTGCCAGGGCCTCGTTGAAGCGGTTCACCCAGTCTTGCACGTCGTTGTGGTCGATCATGGCCTGGGGCGCGGCCGGTGCTGTTCCGTTGGATGCCATTTTCTAAAGAGTGTGTAGGTTGTGTCAGGAAGGAATGACTTGGGTCAGTACAAGCAAAAGAGTGGACGGAGACGGATGCTGGAGGAAGAGAACGGAGTAGAACACGACTCTGTGGTCATGCCCTGCAGTATATGTATATGACCTCTAGGCATCGGGAGCTCACCGCCTTTGGCCCGTTCTCAATGCTTGTTAGGGCACTGGGCGATGAATCTAAACCATTCTTGCATGATCAAGATGCTCTCCTTAATCACACACCAGGCCGGAAATGTTCTGGGTCCCTCCGTGAGCCTAGAAACGTGTTTAGGCGTTCAATCGCGACAGGCTGCTTCGTTGGCCACAATCCGCGCAGAGAGGGGTACAGGCCGTGTGCAAATCTCTCCATATCCGGTGCCCAGCCTCGTGAGATGCACGAGCCGAACTCTATCAAGCGAGCAGAGGAGCGTGGGAGCAGGGATGCCGACAGGAGATGGTGTGCCATGGGGCTAATATGGCTTGCAGCCCCATGTCGGGGGCCAACATTTTCCTGAGCTTTTCCGCGTTGACTCATCTTGCTCAACGCGATTGTCAAATTGCAGGCGCCGAATACGAGAAAGAAGGTTTCACAAAAGCAACGATTGACTGGCAGCCCGGATAAAGAGCGAAGTCGAAACCACGGTGGCGCGGGACCACTCCGACCAATTTTAGGGGGGCTCGGACCTCGCTTTTCCAACAGGCTTTTCGACATGAGGCGCTCGGCGGTGGAGGCATCGTCGAGTGAGAATACGAATGCTTGGTAGGTATGGCTGTAATGGCGAGGACGAAGCCCTTGTAACAGGTTTGGCCGACTTGGGCTCAGGACACTGAGGTCAAAACACCCTGCATTGAGGATGCAACGGCTGCCGCTGACCAGTCGAATAGATCTCGCCATATCACTGACAGCATTCTTGAAGTCGGAACCCCTTTTTCAGGGGCTGCAAGGTTCCGACCCCGTATCTTGGTACCTGACTACCGACTGGCCGCGTTGTCCTAAGCCCTGCAGATCATCCGTTAGTGTCTGGCTAACCCTGGAGAAGCGAAAGGATTGGGAGGGTCTCGCCTATTCTCCGCAAGGCAATTTGCAGCATGTGACGGATCAATCAAGAACGGCCTTGGAACTTTTGGAACGATCCGCTGCTTGACATCAACTGAGGTTGTCGGAGGGCGCTTTGCATATCTGGGCCAGCAGGGCCCAGGTCAAGTACCGAGTATCCAGGCCATGTCTTCACTGGCTTTGACCCCCTCGGAACCCCTTGTCACTGTGGATTTCCCTCTCGCTTGAAGCCCCTTTGTCCATGGACCAGGTTGCCTTCTGAGGCTCAAGTTGGCTGTCTGCGATGCTCACTGCCTTCGTCCTAAGCATCTGTAGAGACTGTACCGCAGCTAGGCAATGTGCTCCTTGCGTATATCGTTTATTCTCAAATCGCTGGACATCAACGGCTCCACGTGTCCTCGAAAGTTCCAGAGGAGATCCGAGACCGTTGGCGGGTAAAGTGTAGCTGTGCAGGAGGACATTTTGTACCTGGAATAGAGTTCGCACGTTGGTTGCTGTTGGATATGCGTGAAAGTCAACTTAACATCCACATACTTTGTCTGCTGATAAGTTTAGAGGCGAATCTTTTAAAAGAACTGCAGGCGCTTTGGGCAACAGGAGAGATAAAGCCTTTCGTCAGCCAGCCGCCGGGGACAAGTATGTTGCACAGTATATATTCTCGTCGTCTTAAGGCCACGGAATGTCCGTTTCTTGGGACAATAAATGTGTCACTCGGGAAAGCCACATTCTCAGTAGCAGCTTCTCTCTGTGCAGAGCAGAGGCGCAGAACTGCCTATTGAATTCGTGTGCCGACCAGCCGTGCCGACCGTATTGGCAGGATTGCCCACCCCAGACCAGACATCAAAAATTCGCCAGTAGCGGGACGTGCTTCTACCGGGATATTCTTAGCTGCAAGCATAACACGAACATTTGGTCTTGATATATTGACGATCTTGCACGAACGCGAGCTGTGAGAAATAAGTGCGTGGGACTCGTTGTAGTGCTTCCCTTGACGTTAATTTGACTGGCAGCCATCCTCGCTGCGGTGCGAATAGGACCTGCCGTATGGGGTTTGAGCCATCTATATACGAAAGTTGGGAAAGTTCCCGTCCCCGTACAGGATGAGATGCAGGGAGCCTTTCTACCGGGTTGCAGGTACAATGCAGAACTGAGAAAACTGACCACTATTGAACAAAGATCGCAGAATAGACTACGGGCGAGCGTTGTGGTCGAGGTGCTCCAGGTGGGCAAAGTCGTCGCAGCCTCGCAGCCTCGCAGCCTCGGCCTAATAGCAGCGGGATGCATTCGTCCATCAATGACTCGAGTGCGGAGAAGAACTGTTAAAGCAGCGTGGGGTCGAATCGGGGACAGATTTCCAGAAGAGTGCGCTCCGCGACGCACTTCAAGATTTGTTTATGACAGCCTGTCACTCTATTCACTGAACCATCTTGACGAAACAAGACTCGAAACGGCATCAGGCACACATCAACAGATATCTCACGCTCTTCCTCGGCCAGAATGCAGCGCCAGCCCTTCCCTCCGCCTCAAAAATCCCCCGAATTATTCCACCCTCGCCCTCAGCACATCTCACAAGTCCCTATGATGCGGTCCCCTCCTCCTCCCACCTCACAGAACCCGTCACAGCCCCAGGTGAATAGCTATGGGAACCCCTATCAGTCGCCGCCTGCCGGGGGAGGCGGTGGAGGGGGAGGGTTCGGGCCAAACTTTGGCTTCATGAGCGACCCGACAGCCCAGATGGGGTTCCAAGTAGGGCAGCACGCAATGAAGGCCGGGCAAGAGTACATGGAACAGAACGTACGTGTGCACTAGATCCTGGGACATATACTGTGGCTAGGATCTGGATCTCGTGGAGTATCTCGGTGGAAACGGCAAATGCTGACATCTCTCTGCCAGTTGAACCGCTATATCTCCGTCTCCGCGCTGAAGCACTATTTCAATGTCTCAAACTCCTATGTGGTACGGAAACTGCTGCTTGTTCTATTTCCCTGGCGTCATAAGCCATGGACGCGGCAGCAAGCTCGGATGACCACCTCTTCCACAACTGCCGACGGCACAATGACTCAACAGTCTTATTCTTTCAACTACCTTCCGCCCCGCGACGACCTCAATTCGCCAGATATGTACATACCAATAATGGCATTGATCACCTATATTCTCCTGTCGACCGTACTGGCCGGAATCAGGGGGTCGTTCCATCCCGAGCTTCTGGGCAGCATCACTAGCACCGCGATTTTCGTCCTCATTTTCGAGATTATCGTGCTGAAGATCGCGATGTATATGCTGAGCATCAGCAACGACTCTCAACTTCTGGATCTGGTGGCTTATTCTGGGTACAAATTTGTGGGAGTGATTGTGACACTCTTTCTCGGTGAGCTACTGACCGGCGGGAGTGGTACAAATAACTGGGTGGGCTGGACGTTGTTCCTGTACACCTGGTATGCGAATGCTTTCTTTCTGGTATGTGTCAATTCCCCCTCCACCGCGTCGTCTGCAACCTGACGTCCTTTCAGCTAAGATCTCTGAAATACGTCCTCCTGCCGGATGCCTCTGGAGATCCGACAGCTATGCGAGGCGGAAGTTCCTACACCGTGGCACGCGCACAAAAGAACCGCCGCACATATTTCTTAGCGCTGTATGCATTTGTGATCCAGTTGCTTTTCATGTGGATCCTCAGCCGTGAAGAGGCAGCTGTCAAAACGGTTGCCAGTAGACTGACTGGACCGAGAGCATAGACATGAGCAATGAAGACATTATCAGACATTTATTATGTACTTACAACTGATATCACGAGCTGTGTCAACATCGCTGGATTAGCAACTCGCCTCCAATGATCAGACCACGACCGACTCCTGCCGTTCACAGGCAGGGTCAAGAATGCAGCGCCTCTACGGTAACATGTGACGGTACATCATGGATCTTCTTGAAGATTTCTGATGCCCTTCACTAGGTGGTTGACCGGCAATGCCTTGTCCCGCTTATTGTCTTAGTAGGCCATGGAGACGATGCCAAGGTCAAAAGCTCTCTACCTATGTCAAAGGCTCTCTACCTATGTCAAAGGCTCTCTACCTATGTCAAAGGCTCTCTACCTATGTCAAAGGCTCTCTACCTATGTCAAAGGCTCTCTACCTA